CTATTATTTTTTTTATTACTGGAATATAAATCTATATTTAGAACTCTATTATTTATATAATATTTAGATATAACTAATAAAAATAAGAATTTATTATTAAGATTATATATATTTACTAATACTTTTTTAGTCTATATATAACTAAAGTAAATAATATAAGATTTAATTTATTGTAAATTATATAGTTTTAATATAAATAGCTTAACTATAATACTAGATAATATATTAGTTTTTCTAAATTATTCTCTTTATAATTTACTAGAGGCAGAGAATTATCTGTTTAATAATATTATTTAACTTAAACTAAGAAGCAGTAATTAATTTAATTAAATATTTATATAAAATCTTCTTCAGATAAACTATTTACCTAATTATATAAAACTAGAAGTTAATATTCTAGACTTAGTCTATTTAAATAATTTAATTTTTATATTTATTTTACATTTATTTTTATATATAGAGTATAGTATTTATTATATAATTAACTTATTTAATAAGATTTAGTAATAGATTTATTATTTACTGGATATATATATAATAAGATCTAAATTATAATAAAAATAATTATTAATAGCTAATAACTTAATATAATTAATATAACTTAGTTTTATTAATTATATATTTTTAAAAGTAGACTTAACTATACTTAAAGTTCTATATTTATCTATAAATAATTTTTTAGTAATTATATATATTATTAATTATATAAATAATATAATTATATCTTCTATAATTTTAGAAATAATATAAATTATTAGAATAAAAAAATACCAGAAATTAATTTTATTAGCTGATAAAAAAACTTAATATAATTAAAATTAGTAGTAAAGTAATTCTATTAAATTATTTTATTCTGAATTTCTATAATTTAGTAATATAAAATCTGGTATATAAATTACTTAAGATATTAGATAATCTCTTTAGATTAAATATTATATTAATATTATTTACAGATAATTACTAGAAGAATATTAAGTTTTTTAAAAAAAAAGTTCTTTATTATAGTATCTAGGTTAAGAATATATTAAACTAGAAATAAGATTTAAAATTTATTATAAAAAAGAGTTTTTCTAAATATTTTAAAAATATTTTAGTAGAGGAAATTCTAGGGTTAATTATAATTAAAAATTATCTTATTAAAAAAATTTACTAATTTTAAATTAATTCTAAAATATTAAAAATTATCAGGTTCTGCTCTGAAGTAAGATTTATTAAATTTTTTAAATTATTTTTATAGTATTTAAATTTGGTTCTCTGATTTCTTCTCTGGTTAATATTATTTTATATATAACATTAATCTTATTAAACTCTTTTTGTCGGGACAGACAGCTAATTAAAATAAAATAAGAAGTCCTACTCTAATCCCATTCAACCTTTAATGGGATAACCCCTCTGGAATAGGCTTCAGGGCTTCAGGGCCGTTATCTGTAATGTGCAGTGAATATTACACGTCACGTACTGTACGGCCTGTATTCTTTCCGGGTCGCCCCATTTCTTCCACCCGAAACATGAACCTATATATTCTTGTCTGCTAGTCCTTTTCCCTTTGTATTTGTCTTTCACTTTGGCTCGTTCAATGTATCATATTTCCTTGTGCCTCCCAAGACCGCCATGGCATGCTACCCACGAGCTCCTTACCCGGCGATGAGCGGGCTGAATGAGCAAATGATAGGATGGACCCGGGTAGGCAACCTGCCTGCCGTCGCCGCGCTTCTTGAATCTGCTGATTCTGCGAATCTGCCGACGTACGGCGATACGCCCCTTCACATCGCAATCAACAACAACCACCCCAACATTGCTCGCTACTTGATCTCACGCGGACTCGACGTCAATCAGAAAGGCTGTGAGTCGTATGGTGCTGTTTGTCTACCGCCTCTGCACCTAGCTGCTATGGCAAACTCTCCAGAGTTGATAGACCTTCTGCTCGATGCGGGAGCGGACGCCTGCCAAGACGACGTATCAGCCGATGGATTCTGCTGCACGCAATTAGGACAACTAGGTGAGGACGGAAGACCGCATACAGCATTTATGACTGCCGCATATTGGGGCTGTGAGGCCGCCGTGCAACGCTTGATCGACCGGCTGCAGCCCGCAGGCCTTATCGCAGCCGCGGAGTGGCCCGACGCCGTGACTGCCGCCTCGCTTTTTCGTCATCCCAAGACCCTCGCCCGCCTTCTCCGCCACTATCCGTCCCCGGGAGTCCCGCAGGATGTCTTGGATCGAGCTCTCGCCGACGCAGCCGTGAACCAAGAATACGACCCCTACCACGGGATGGGGCCGCGTCTACCAGAGGTGTCATGGCAGAACGGCGTCCAGGTCTTTCGTCTGTTGCTGAAAAATGGCGCTCGCCCAAACTCACATCCCCAAACATCGATTTATCGATCCAGTAATAGCAGTCTGTACCAATCAATCTTTCTGCCTACAATTGACACGTCTATGGGCATGGACATGGTCCAGTTGCTCCTGGATCACTGGGTAGAGCTCCCTGATTGCCGAGCCGCCAGGGACGAGGAAGGCATGAGCCTCTTTTCTCGGGCAGTACGCAACGGCAATCCCGACCTTATTCGCTTCTTCTTTGACCGTGGAGACGTGGATGTTAACGAACAGATCCAGCCTACATGGAACTGGTCGGGCGGGACCCCACTTCATCTCGCTGCAGGCAATGGGCGTCTAGAGACGGTTCAATTTTTATTAAACCACGGAGCGAACCCTCTCGCCATGGATCAAAATGGGTGGCTGCCGCTGCACCGGGCCTGTGAAGGTCGCCATGTCGAGGTGATCAGGCTGCTCTGGCCTCTAAGCGAAAAATTTGCGAACGACCTAGCGAATTACCGCACCGCAGACGGAACGACTGCGTTCCACCTTGCTGAATGCTGGCGGAGTAGTGTCTATGAAGAGGAGGCCGAAGTCGAAGTGGTTAGTCTGCGTCTATTGCACTTCTTCGAACAAAAGGGAGCCGACCTAAGTAGCCTCGATCAGAGCGGACGCAGCCTCCTCCATCATACTCTGCCTCGTAACCAAGAAAACCTCCGATGGTTCTGTCGCCTTATGACCGAAGGAGCGCAGCTCCGACCTAATGCACAGGGGCAGACAGAGCTCCACCTTGCTGTTTCCTTCATGCACTGTTACCAGGGTTGTGTCGACTTTCTGCTCGCCCACGGGGCCGAGAAGGATATCAACGCACAAGATAGAAAAGGGCGCACCCCCCTATACATGTACATTGAAACCCACTACCACAACCCCGCCAGTCAACTTGGGGGCCACATACGAGCCGAACATATTCAACTTTTGCTTCAGGCCGGGGCTGATCCGGACATTCGCGCGGCATCTGGCCAGTCGGCCAAGGAGTTAGCCACATCAAAGGGTTTCATCTATGATCTTGAGGTTGGGTCTGCAGTCTTAGACGCAGGGGGAGAAATGAAATGAAGAATGAATCCAGACACGTGAGATCTCTTACGTCAGAAGTGCTGTCATTCAAATTGATTGTGAGAGTGACGACTCAAAAGTTCACTTTCATCAAATGGGGTTCCTACGCAATGAGAAAGATGTTAGAGTATGACAGAATGTCTGTTGAAAGGATTAGTTTAATTCAATGTCCGCCGGTCCGCCGTACCGGCCAGTCTGGATCTGGAATGGTCTCTACTAGGTAAATCTTCCCGTCTGACATGATCAGCTAGAATTAATTTGTGACTCACGCCTAGTCTTGTACTCTCACGTCATCCGGTGTTGGGATGGGCCGATACAACACTATAAGATGTCCTCATCCGTAGCAAATCCCATCCCATAGTTACGCAAACATTTCTACTCAACCCAACACCGCCTTAATTACCCATATCTCCCTTCATAACCCCGCCCACTTCAGTATCTAGTACTCCCAAATACTTCACCGCTTGGTACTTCCGGAGTACTGGAATATTACTACTAGCTCCAGGGTACTTAAACTAGAATATAGATAGAAGAACTGTATAACTATTTTTACCTCAGCTATAGGCAAGTAGAGAAAAGTAGTAGTAGTTAATCCGGCAGAATTAGATTATAGTAAATCTTTTAGCCCTTCTGATCTTGCTGCTTATATTTACAGTTTATATGAAATACAGACCGACTAACAGCTCCTGCAGATACCCCATATATTCTTAAATAAGCACAAGGTTATATTTCGCAAGGCCCTCAGGGTAATCGGACTACTTAGATCAAACAATCTTCAATAAATTACCTTCCTCTCTACTCCCTTACCCTTCTCACCCTCCGCCAGCAAAAGTAAGGCCTTTAATACAACAGTTCTTATTTACTCCCTTCAATGCTTTGTCTTCTCCTCACTTATTTTTTTATCTTCTATACTCTTAAACAGCACAGCAAGCGTCTTCTTCTTACTAAGTAGTTATTAGTAGCAATAGATTACTCTACCTAACCTTATATATTAGCAGTGCTCACCCAGGCAGCACTGGAGTGCCTTAAACCCATCAGCAACTTAAATATGTATATAATACTGGAGCCAAAACAGTTTACTGAGCTGGCACTGGCCGCCAGGTAGCAGCTAAAGAATAAAAGCCGCGTGCCAGGTGGAAAGGGGTTGTTAAATAGATAATAAAAAGTCTCTACTTATCTGTCTTTCTCTCTTAATAAGAAAGTTAAGAAAAAGGTAAGCAATAAGAAGAAACACGCGGTGGTTCTTACGTTACAAAATGCGTGTAAGGCGAGTTTGGAGAATATACAGGGGGCCCGGAACGGAGTTAGGGCTTTGAATGTTTAGATGGCTAGTTTCGTCTATTCAGGCAATTTGAGCACGTCCTAGCTCTCTTCTGAGTACACTCTAATTGAACAAGTACACCTACAGCTGTTTGAAGATTGATTCATCAATAAGAATGTGGAGGACAACTTGGACCACTTCTGTGGTAGGGCTTCAGTCATAATCCCCTGACATGTAGCGAAAGTCATTGAGCGTTATATGATCGACACCCTCCTCCGCGCTCAGCAGGATAAGTCAACAACCATCTTCCAAAATGCATTTCAAACGTACCATCAGCATTGTCGATTGCCATTGTGCCGGCGAAGTTGATGATGTCATTGTCGGTGGCGTGCTTGACCCATCCGGGTGTGCTACCATGTACGACAAGTTGGTCCATTTCCGCGATAAGGCGGACCATATTCGCCAGCTGCTGCTCATTGAGCCCCGGGGTCGCCCGGCCATGTGCATGAATCTCGTTCTTCCACCTTGCAACCCAAGGGCAGATGCAGGCTTTTTGATCATGGAAAGCGAGGAATACCCACCCATGTCCGGGGGAACATCATTTGCACTGCGACGATGCTGTTGGATACTGGAATGGTGGAAATGAGGAAGCCAGTGATCGAACTCTTGCTGGATACCGCAGCAGGGCCGGTTTCTATTACCGTCGACTGTGAGAATGAGAAATGCACAGCGGTCGCGTTTCACAGTGTTCCATCATTTGTGTTCGTTCTCGACCACCCGGCGGAGGTTCCGGGACTAGGGACTGTGTCAGTTGATATTGCCTGGGGTGGGATGATCTATGCCATTGTCGACGCCACGAAACTTGGAGTGAAGATTGAGAACCGCAACGGACCGAAACTCATCAAGATTGGCGAGCGAATCAAACAGGTTGTGCAGCAGAGTGCCTACGTACCTGTGCACCCTGAGAACTCGAAGATTCGAGGTGTCAGTATCCTGGAGTTCACCGAACCTTTGACCCTTTCCTCGACGGCCGAATTCACAGCAGTCAACACAGTGGTTGTGTCGCCTGGACGATTCGACCGATGTCCCTGCGGGACGGGAAGCTCGGCTCGAATGGCGGTGCTTCATGCTCAAGGCCAATTGAAGGTTGGGGAGCGATTCCAGCATCGGAGTATTATTGGGAGCAGTTTTGAGTGTTGCATTGAAGGAACCACCCAAGTGGGGTGGGTACTGTACTACTATACTACTGCAGTTCTTAGCGGGATGCAGTAGCGAGGGTTAGTCTATCCGTCCCCCTCACTTATTACCCCGCAGTACAACGCTGTCTGTTGTGCTAGCCCTAATAAGATAGAGGCAATAAGTCATGGAAGTGGCCCGTGTTAAGGTAGCTCGATCTTTAAAAAAGCCCCTTCACTCTTCTTATTCCGTTCCGTTCTTCTTCATCTCGTTCTTTCTATCCTTACTGTATCTTGGCCAAAATGACAACAAAATCCCTTCATGGTAAGAATGCTATTATCACCGGCGCCTCCCGCGGAATTGGCCGAGGAATTGCATACGAACTCGCATCTCGTGGCGCCAATCTCCTCCTCACGTATCAGAACGCCCGTACGCAAGCGGATGCGGTGGTTTCGGATCTTATCCAGCGCCACGGAGTGGACGTCTTTGCCGTCCAAGCTCAAGGAAGCGACATCGACGCGCCTCGGCGCATTGTCCAAGCAGCCGCCGAACGTTGGGGCGGAATCATCGATATCATTGTCAACAATGCTGGAGCCAGGGAAGACTATCCATTCGAAGATATGACCCACGAGGTTTGGGAGGCGCAGATTGCAACAAATCTACGCTTCCCTATCTTCTTAATCAGAGAAGCAGCACCGTACTTCGGCAAGGCTCCGCGGATTGTCAACTTCTCCAGCAGCTACGCGCGAGACGGCCATCCGGGATGTGCAGCATACGTGGCTTGTAAGGGAGCTATAGAGAGCGTGACACGGTCGCTGGCCAAGGAATTGGGTCATCGATACAACGCGACCGTGAACAGCGTCAGTCCGGGCCCGGTCAACACGGAATTATGGAAACGAAGCATCGAGGACTCAGAGATTCGTCAAGAATGGGATCAGATTGTGAAGAATACGCCCGCGGCCCCTAGAGTAGCAGAGGTCGACGACATTGCACAGATTGTGGCATTTCTCGTCGAAGAAACCAGTCGATGGGTTACAGGAAGTGTTGTAAACGCGAATGGGGGCTTACTTTTTAACTGAGCAAAAAGGATGATGACACAATAGTATTATTTTGAGTCTTTCGTTGTTCAGGAAGCAAGTGTCGATTATCTGATCGCCAGACATCGGTCTCAAACGTCCATAATTTCGTTGGCCCTCTTCAACACAGTCCGTTGTCTGGCTTAAGGTTTTTCTCCTCAAGATCCCATTTCTCAAGCCCCAGAGACCTTAAACCCAGTTCATGTGTAAGCCGAGTGAGGTCATCTTTAGTTGTGCGGCCGATATGCCCACTTTCACCCACAACCCCAGGAAAGTCGGGTGGTGGCACACCATTCGAGAAGTCTTCTCTCTGGCGGCGGACATATTGCGCATTGTCCTCCGTGATAGGACAGGCGGGGATGTACAGCACACTGCTCTCTCCACGACCTTGGTGGACCTTGTCGACAGAATGAATAGCTAATCCGAGTCAGGAGAGTCATGCAGAGAAGTCAATGTGGACGGAACATACTATCACAGTGCCAGGCAACATAGTCGCCCGGAGCAATCCTGGGTATATGCACCATGGTCTGGTCCAGTCGCAAGTGGGGGTGCCAAATATCGGTCAGATCCTGCGAGTAGCCCGGCGTGTCGCCTTCCATTTTGCTGGACAATGACGCCTCAAGACGCCAGTTCGTCGGGTCGAGGTAGGTATCCATGGCCAGTCGTGAGCAGTTACCAGCTGGGGCAGGCGCGATTGGCTCGAAGAACGGGCGCAACAAGTAGTATGCAGTAGCCATGGACAACAGGGGTTTGACAAGCAGGGTTCCCTCGCGGGGACCAGTGTGCGACATGCCCAACCAGCCCTGGAACATCCGGAACATGGAACACGCCCCGGCCCCGTTATACAAGTCCACCACCGCCGGAACTCGACAGCCAGCTTCCCAGGGGTCGTACTCTTCCCACCGTCCCTCCCAAATACATTGGTAGACCTGTCCTAGTCCGTATCCGTTGTCTTCCCAGCGCTCGACGCTGCCGCCGTCCACATGAGGTCCCAAGGCGAACCCCGCATCACCTGGCTGGCGAATGCGCAGGCGGTCTGCGTATGTCAAGGGATGAATGGGGGATATGAGGGCATCCTCGGCGGGCGAGTGCCAGAAGCTCATGAGGAATTTCTGGGTCTGCAGCATGTGGGGATGTAGACGAGCACGCATCTGAGGATGGGACCAGTATGATTAAACACCTGCGGATCATGAGAGGGAAAGGCTACGGCGCGTCCTGTCAGAAACAATAGATTTCTGTTATCGCTTGAGAAGGGCTTCTCATACCTCGCGCCTGAGGATTGGCGCGCACGTATGCCTCAAACTCCTCTTTGTAGGCGCGGGCCTCGCCCTCCGGAATGACACCTCGCACCACGGCAACACCACGCTTACGGAGTTCGTCCTGGAACCTTGACGGTGCAGCTTGAATGTCTTAAGTCAATGGAGGGGATGATATCCGAGCCTTTCTGTGCGATGATACCCACCTCATCACGCAGTGTGCACAAGAGTCGATCCCAGCTTTTTTTCACCTGATCTTCGTGTCCAGCAATTAGACGCCGCTTCTGAGCGGCGAATATAGGCGGCAGTGCTTTCTCCTTTGCCCCAGAGAGAGAAACAAATACTCAAGAGATATCGCTTCCTTTGCGAGGGGTCTGTGTCGGAGTGGCCAGCTGGCGATGTGTTTGGGGTTTGGGGAGGATGCGCAGAGCCGGACGGAGGCTCGCGGTCTGAACTTGTGAGATATGCATGATGCAGAGATTTGATTTCAAACAGAGTTGATTGTCGCCTTGTTCGGGTTTCTGTCTGCGGCTTAAAGAAGATTCATAAGGGCTCTTATACATCACGCGCCTGTAAGTGTCGGCCGGGCATGCAGGCGGGTGGATTTCCTCATGCGGTAACCTACCGCCTGCCAGCCCTGAGCGTCGCCACTTGACCCCCTATCCCTCATAAATAAATCCCTCTTATGCATTTGCAAGTATCCAACCGTGACAAAACTTGCAGTTTCAACAGAATAAACAAATTTACATCATGGCCCAATCTCTGTCTGCCGGCCGGACCGAGCGGCATGCTTTTGCCCAGGTTCTGCTCGACTTTGATGGAACAATCATCGATTCGACCGAAGGTAAGCCCGACGAACCCCTCCCCCACCCCCTTTCTTCCCCCCAAGGATTAAGTAAATATGTGGCTGATATTGTTCCACAGCAATTGTTGAAATTTGGAAAAGGTTTGTCTTCTTCTCATGCACTACTCGCATCCTACTGAATGTATGATGTCCAGAGTCGCCGCCGAACTGGGGTTGGACTATCGCGACATCCTCCGTGCCTCCCATGGCAGGCGAAGCATTGACGTGCTCAAAGAACTGGAACCCACTAAAGCCAACTGGGAATGTATATCTATGCGGTCAAACTCCTCCTCTTTGTCTTGCTCCCGTCCGTCGAAGTTACTAGCACTAATGTACACTCAGATGTGAGCGCCATGGAGGTCAGAATCCCCCTTCTCTCCTCCATGTCTGCAGTGGAGATTGCAGGAGCGCGGCAGCTGCTGAAGCAACTAAACCACTACTCCATTCCACATGCTATTGTCACTTCGGGCAGTAAGGCATTACTCGATGCCTGGTTGACCATCCTTCAACTTCCGCGGGCGATGAAGGCCACAACAGCCGAAGATGTTAAAGTTGGCAAGCCGGATCCTGAAGGGTATCGTGAGGCCAAGGAGCGATTGCTTCAACATCGCGCCGGGGAAGGAGAGATTCTGGTGATGGAGGACGCCCCTGCGGGCGTTAAAGCTGGGAAAGCAGCCGGATGCAAGGTGTTGGCAGTGACAACTACGCATACGGTGCAGCAGTTGGAAGAGGCCGGTGCAGGTTGGGTTGTTAAGGATCATCGGTTTGTTGGGTTTGAGGCTCCGGCTGGGCTTGGTGATGTGTGTATGACTTTTCATAACCTTTTGTAAAGACCCTGTTGTCTAAAATGTTATATGTTCCACTAGTTATGATGTTTCAATCCATGTTATCACAAGTTCCAAGGAGTATTCATGCAGATCAGTTGACTATTACTCTGTGTCATATAACGATCTGTTGGGTACCTATATTAGAACAACGAGAGTGATCTCCGCGATCCCAGGCCTCACACACCGTTTGGCCCAAGGCAAGGCTCAGTAGTCATGATATGTACGGCGGGGGCAAATTGCTGACGAGAAATGGCGCTTCTCGGATATCAGCGTCGTAGCCCAGCGTCCGACTTAGACTTGTTGCGTTGTCCCATTCCCCGTCTCGTTGTGGCTGCATCTCAGATGGCGAAGAACATCTTGTATAAAGGGGCGAGCTTAGGACTGATAGCCTGTCGATAAGGTCGTTATCGGTGACTAAGGTGTCTTCTTCGTGCTTGCCATACACCGGGGGAATAATATGCCGAGCATACAAGGTCGATGTTCTCAATTGATTGACATCAACTCGGTACATATGAATCGCAACGGGGATCGAGGCGCGCACCTAGAAAAAACAACGTCAGTTATGATATTCCTCATTCAACGCATAGTCCGCCTCCTTCTTACAGCCGATATGTGCCCATCTGCGTTGATGATTCTGAGCGTAAAAACGACCTTGTGGGTAATGTCAAAGTGCGAAGACTGCACATCCTGGGCACAAGCGAGGACGGATCTCGGCAGTGGGACTAGCAGAGAGAACTCATATCCGTTGTCGTGATCGAATGTTGCGATGGCCATGTCTTTTGCCGACGAGAACCACTTTTCGCACACCACTCTACAGCGGTTGACTGGTCTCATGAATCGCCCATTGTAGGACGAAATTGGCGCGAACCCATGCGTCTCGACGACCTCAATGCCAATGCTCTCGACCTGAAGACCATCGGCTAAAGGAACAAGGTGCAAACGAGGACAAATATGTGATCCGAATGGTACCCAGCTACTGGTCAAGTTAAGGAAATATCGAATTTTTCCAGGCCACTCATTCTCAAATGACTGCCAGGTAGCAAGATCAGTATTTATGTTTGACGTTGTTGAGGGCGAGCAGCGTACCGGCGGCGGGAAGGCGGACTCCCACCCTGTCAAAGGGGGGTTCCGGTATATTTTGATCCTCTCGCGACATGTAAGATCCTTTGTGAACCTTTTTAGCACGCGGCCAGTCAGCAAGTAGGTCACTGAATAGCCTTCAACCGCCTCAACCGTCTCTCGCATGTGTTCCCCCAGGTCCAGAGCAATATTGAGGGGGATTTCATGTCTCCCAGGGCCGTAGATCAAGGTCTGGAACATCGAAGCCTCTGCTAATCGCCAACTGCTTTGGTAGATAACGGACTCCAAGCTTCCCCATCTGGAATCGGAATAATTAACGCAGGCTCGCATTTCATGACCTGGACTTTCCTCGCCTGAAACCCACTTTCGTTTCATGACCCCCTTAAGCTGGACCTCGATCGCTGCGATCTTAGTTGGCTGAACAAGGCTCATGACCAGTGTGCCGGCGATGCGAGGACTTTCCTCTCCCAAGCTGCCAGCAGGGTGCAAAAAGACCTGGTCACTTCCAGAACTATAGTGCATGTATAGTACCATATGGTTAGTCACATATTCACTGGTCAGGATAACAGTACCTACCTAAGTTCAAAGTGCAAATTTACAACCGTGATCCGCCATTAATATGGATCAAAGATGCTGCTCTACACTATTGCCTATCGTTGCCAGCTGGGATGACCATGTATGAACTTATCAACTCAGCGTTCAAGTTCTCTTGCTATATGCCTGCCACCGAGCTGACGCAGCGGAAGATGTGCTGAATTTGTCACATCCGCCTCAGGCCTCTAACACTTAGACACTTGATTGTAAAACTGCTATACATGAACTAACATATAACATGGATCATTTATGCATAGTAGATTCTGAGTTTCTGTCGGAAGAGGGGAAGCGTCAGGGCTGCTGATTAGCCACGACCTGCCGGAGGTGCAGAGGTGGGAAACGGGTGTTTTCTAATCAGGTAATCTGGCCGCAAAGAGCGGTACGTCTCAGAATGGTAATCGTTCCGCCGCGTGGCACCTAGCGATCTGAAAGGTTCCCGACCAGACAGGCGGATGCGCTATTACTCATACTATTTTATCCATTTCGCCTCTTCTCACGTGAAGTTTACCACCTCCAGATGCTACATGCATCGAGGTCTCAATACTAACCCATCAACTCACTCGATGTACGTGGCATTGATTGACTCCTAAGGGAATCGGCTGGGCTGACTTACTGCTCACCGATATGCAGGTTTACACGAGAACCTTTCTCGCGACTCCCACCCCGACCCCGACTCCAACCCCGAACTCAGCGATGGAGCTCACCTGGCTGGTAGACAGCCCACAGACTCGGTCTCGCAAAAGAGCTTTAAGAGCCTGCGACCGTTGTCAACGGCGAAAGGTGCGTACTTCCATCTTTTATGCCGGATACGGTAGCCAAGTAATCCACTAACGTTGCATCTATCTGTCGCGGAAAGAAACGCTGTCATCATATTCTTATGCAGCTAAACCCCACTCGTGTACGTCGAAGGCGACTTGCGGTTGATCTGGTAGATGGGCAAAGTCAATCTCGCCCTGGGATCTCCACGGATAAGCCACTAGGCACGAGCGTGCCCGGCCGCTTTGTTGGTGAGATGAACCCTGAGGTCGCCATTCGAGAAAGGCTGGCGGTGGGTGCCGGTTCCGCTTCACTCCGCAACCGCGTGGGGCTCTGGATTCCATTCTCCGCCGTGGAGACAGGGCGGCCATACCTGGAAGATGTTGCCAATGTCGACCAACGGCCCTTCACCCACCAGGTCATCGAGGCCGGGTATACATACCCGCCGCAGGAGTTCGAGGGCTTGATTCGACGACGGCACGAGTCTGCACTCCAAGCCTCGAGGCCACTGCCTGCATCTACCCGTGCCCTGTTGTTTGCCATTTATTTCTCCCAGGTTCACCATATCTTGCCCACTGTCGAGCCGGACGTCCCCGTTACCTCCCCATTCCTCGAGCGGGCCATCTGTCTCGTGGCCGCCAAGGCGCGAGCCGCAGCCCCACATCTCTATCTATGCGACAACGGCGCATTGGCCTCACCTCGCGACTTCTGCTCACAAATTTACACCGGACTCAAAGACGCGATCTTCGAAGGGTTGAAGCGGGATCGCATCACCCGGATCCGAGTGCTCGCCTTGATGGCGTTGCATTGCGAGGACTCGGAAGGCTCCGAAGCAGCGTCCATGCATCTATCGCAGGCCATCCACCTAGCCCAGACAATCGGTTTGCACCTCAAGCAGCCGAGTAATAGCGACAGGTCGTGTCCTCACTTGTTCTGGAGTTTATGGGCCTTGGACAAGCTCCTGGTTTCGATGTTCGGTCGGCCTGCGTTGATCATAGATCATGATGTCAGTGCGGAGAGACCCGGCAAATTGATGGACTCGGCCAAGGCCTTCAAGGGCGCGTTCGAGATCTGGTTCTCAATCTCACAGCTGCTCTTGGATGCCATTCGTCTCTATCGGCCGGGCACCGAGACTACCGTCGACCTGGGGATCTTCCCGAGCTTCGAGGAAGTCGTCGGGTCTAAGGTCGAGAGCCTGGATTTTGCCACCCTCGGTATGTCTCGTTCATGACTACGGTGGACTCGATGTGTTCACTCGTGGCAAATCAAACCATATCTCACAGACCATACCAAGCTGACTCTTTGCCAGCGTTCCTGGAACTCTCTTACCATGCAGTAGGGATTGTCTTTCACAGAACAATTGACTCAACCGTATCTGAGCAGAGCAATTCAGCACAGATCCAGCGGGGCCTAGCGGCCACGTGTATACAGTCCATTGTGGCCAAGAAATGTACCCATGACCTTCCGCCGCTGCCTATTATCTCATATGCAGTCTCACTGTCAATGAGCGTCTCCTATCGGCACTACCGGTCCAGCAATCTCATCACGCACCGAAGACGAGCTGCGACAGACATCGAAACCTGTTGTACTTTGCTCGAGGGCTTGAGTGTCTCGTGGTACTCTGCCGAAGCGATGGCCCGATTGGGCCGTAAGGCTCTCCAGCAAATCCGCGAGAGTGATCCGGGCTTGAATAGGGATACAGTACCTACCTTACCCTCTGTACAAACAACTCAAAATAAGCGTGGTCAAGCGGCTCCCATACCATCTAGAGGCGGAGAGGGTAGTCTGTCGATAGACGCGACTTGTGTACCCTTTGCACAGCATTCCGTCGATTATCCTCATGGAGGGGACCAAGGTTTGGCGTTCGGTGATATGGCTGATCTTGATATCGCATTCGACGATTTCTTGGATCTTTCACTGCCAACCAATTTTTGATCTGTCTCGTGTCTTTTCGGGCGTGGAGTCGAGTCCCAACGAGTAGCATACAAACCAGCTTGTCAAAGCTGTCCGGCTCAATAAATGAGCAAGCGAGGTCTACTTAGTGGAATAAGAGGTCCTGCTTCAGCACAGACAATGCATAACATTCGCAGACTTAGGCTACAGTTCCCTCACTGCGAGTTGCGATGGTCACTGATCTGTATTCCCAGATCTTTTCCCAGAGGTGCCAGTCTCGCTTTTAGCTTTTTTACTATACATGGACGCCAATGATGGAAGAGGAAATTGGCAAAGGATAAAGATCCTGAATGATGGAAGCCCTGGTGCTGTACCTGAGAGCATTGCTAGGCTGCTAATTTGCCCTTCATCACCCATTTAAGTTTGTGTCCTGTGGCGGAACTACACACCATTCAAACGCCAAAGCTGACTGTATCTCAACCTAAATGGCAACGATCGCATAGGCAGCGACGAAACGTCTAGCTACAATCTGGCTGACACCGTAGGAGTCTCCTTCAACAGCCGCACAGGATCCCGAACAGCGCCCTGGCCTCGCTCGATAGCTCCATCAATAAAACCTCGCCAACCATCCATCCGCCCAGTCCGCGTTTGCGAAAGTAATGTGTCCGTGCGGTTTGTGAAGCCCTTGCAGATGAGCCGATGGACAGTTGGGGCCCCAGCAGGCGCACACGCCTTGGCACTCGGGTCGGGCATCCAGTCACAAGTCACGTACGCCTCGACGGTAACATCGGGCTTGATGTCTCGCTTGAGCCTCTGCATGATGTACTCACTGTCCGTCTTCTGGGTCAAGTGCCCGTTGTAACCGAAACCTACTAAATCCTAGAAAAAGAAGAAATCGAACTTTTTATCATTACTAGAATAACTTAACATCTACCTTAAAATACTTTCTTATCTCCAAATTAGATTACTTAATATCCTATTTTAATATAAGAAGTAAATTTTATTTCCAGACATAATATATCTTAGATTTAGATTAGATATAAATCTTATTCTTAGTTACATAATAATCACGTATATTTAATATGAGAAGAGAATGTATTTACTTGGCTGAAATTTGTATATAGATAGTCTAGAAGTCCATAGAAATCTTAGCCTGTTACTGTTAGAAGACCCCTCAACTGAAACTATTCCATTGGGGTTGTCGGATTAGGGGATTATTGTTTCAGTATATGGGGCTTATATGAAGGTTTGTACTAATCAGCAATAAAGGGCTGTGTAATGAATATACAAAAGATATATATATTTAACAAGATAAGCTGAGAATAATACATATATGTATAGAATGTCAGAATCGATATAGACGCTGTCAAGATACCAGAACACAAGCAGATTCTACCCGCGTACACCTAAAACAACCAAGAGCACATTCTTCTGGCCGGTATAGCTAACGATGCCTCGCTTGATATATGTTATATGGTATCTCGATTACCGTCGAAATGATCTCACTCGGATTTACACGACGTAACGTTGACATGACCCGTGACGACTGACTGGGTCGTTTCTAGCATCCCTCGAAGTCCATGTGGATGCAGTTGATATTGTCTTGCACGGAACGATAGAGGGAGTAGGAGCCGTGATAGGACATACTTCGAGGCAGATACCTACCAGTTCTGCTACACCATAAATGACTTAGGAGCGTCGGTGTTTGCAGGCCGCAACTCCGATCCGCGACTTGGCGTAATTCATGCCTCAGGCAGAGATATAGCACTTGATCTTTACTGCCACAGCCTTCTCTCCCGACCTTCCTCGTCTTCTTCCGACTACTCTTATTCTCTTATTCTTTCCCTCTCCTTCGCTCTTCTCCGTTAATCATTTCTTGCCTTTAGGTTTTTTTGCCTCTCTGCTTTCGGCTTCTTCTCACCTCTGCTATGGCACAACTTGCCCCCGTGCTCCGACGTTTTCGTCGACCTCTGCGACGAGGCCCTCTACCCCGTCTGGTCGCCAGTGTTATTGTGGCGCTGGTCTCGGCGGCACTGGGGTTGTATTTGTTGCTGGCCTACCCGCTGGCCGACGATCCGCGACTGGTGCCGCATAACCTGCAGCGCGCCCGCCATGTGCTGCTGGTGACTGCCCACCCCGACGATGAGACTCTGTTCTTCAGTCCAACTATTCTCTATCACCGTCGGGCTCCCGATGTCACTCGAGCTTTGTTGGTCCTCTCTTCCGGGAACTACAATGGCCTGGGGGACCTTCGCCAGGACGAAATTCACCACAGTTGCGATCGGCTGGGCATCGCACCCGACCGCTGTGTCGTCCTCGACCGCAGTGAGCTGCAGGATAATCCCACTACCTGGTGGGACGAAGAGCTCATCCGCGACCTGGTCGCCCACTACGTTGAGCGCTGGAAAATCGACTTGGTGGGTACACTCACCCTACTGTGTGCATTGTCCCCAGCGAACTGACCAGCGCGCAGCTGTACACTTTCGATGATGGCGGTGTTTCCGGGCACATCAACCACCGCGCGGTAAGCGCAGGCGTCCGGTAAGCCCCCAGTTTTCCTTTCCTCCGACGCTTCACTAATGCCGTGGGGGTGGAAAAGCAAATACGTTCAAAGTTCGCCACAGGCCCCGCCCGCCTATTCGCTGCAGAGCACATTCCTACTCCGCAAGTACTCCTCGTTGGTGGACTTGCTGCGTACTGCACTGCCTTTTTCCGGTCGCATTCTGCGGGCACTCATGATCACGCCCCCGAATGACCCCAGTCTGGTCCATCTTGACCGATATCAGGACTCGGCCTTGCTGGTCAGCTCGTGGGAAACTTACCGGGTCGCTCGGTCAGCTTTCAGCCAGCACGAGAGTCAGTATTCCTGGGATCGCGTGTTGTACCTCGTCATGAGCCGGTATATGTGGTTCAATAATCTGGTTCGAGTGGCTTAAGCACGCTTGTCCGCGTGATGGTGCCGGCGAACTTGCATCGGTGGATGATCCAAATCATCGGACCTGGACTTAACGAAGGTTTAAATTACATCATCTAATTAACGGATCGAGTACCAAAGAAGCTAATTACACACGATCAAGAAAGAAAGTTAAAGTGACAACCACCGGGGTCAAACCATCTTGCTCTCCGATTTCAAAGCCTCGGTCCACGGGGCGTCCCGTCGAGGCGATGCTCGTCGGCCTCGCGCGATACAGAAGCAAATCACCCCGACGAAGGACAGCAAAAAGACCACGATCACGAGGAAGGAGACTCGCTGGTCGCAATGCGAGAAGAACTTGATCCATTGCGCATCCCGCCCGTGCCAGGACGAGGACCCCAGGTGTTGGAACAGTGGCGTATTCACAAATCCGTTCAGCATGTGCAGGCTCGGGCGTTCGGGAGTGCCAGCCAAAACGCGGAGACTGGTTCGATTCGACTGCAGAGTGAAGATAGTTCTATTGCAAGGAGATCTCGCATTAGCCTGTCGGGTGAGCCGCGGAATGAATCGGGAAGGGGTACCTACGACGCATAATGACAGCCGGTGCTGAACATGATGGTGATGTAGGGAAGCAGTGACCACCGACGGTTGAAGGTCGGGAGGCTATACACCAGATCCCGCACATATGAGTTATTCGGCGTCGCCAGCATCATGCCAATGGAGATTCCGACCGGGTGGGCGGCCGGCGCAACAAAATCAAATTGACGCAGCGGCTCGAGGGAACGACGGCAGGCGAGATCCATGTCGAGGATAGCCCCTAGGTCAAAAGAAATCGAGTTAGACTAATCAATGCCAACCCATGAGCCCATCCATCGCTGGTGGTGGACAACGACATACCTCCATACGTATGCAGAACCATGTATCGCAGCGCATCGACCCGTTGGACCAGGGCGGGATAGCTCTCCCACGTCGCGAGCAGATCAGGATAGTGGTTCTTCACGAATTCGGTCGCATTCTCGTCCTGCCACAGAAACGTCTCCCATTCCGCATGGTGTTCCAGGCACTGCGCGCGGGCCGTAAGCCATTCGGGCCGCGGTGGATTGGGTCCCAAATGGACGTGATGGAGACGGGAGGGAATGAGGGCGGGCTCTGCGCTTGTAGTGTCATTGGCATAGGCTGCAAAAGTAACGTCGAATCCATCGCGCTGAGCAGAGAGCACAGATTCGGCGGCAGAGGCTTTCCAGACGAACGGTAAACGGAGGAGCAGATACAATTCTCGCATCGGTAGGAATAGGCCAGCTAGAAAGACGAGAGTAGCCACCGCGCACAACAGCCGCATTCGAAGAGACACCATCTCTGCTGGAGAATGCCAATCCTCGGCAGTGACAGAGAGGTAAGGGAGCACGGTGAAGTCAGAAAAGACAGGCTGCGTGTATCGACACGCAAGATGGTCAAGCCAAGAAGGAGGCCTGCGACTGCGTGGCCAGCATTATTGGAGAGATGGCAGATAACTAGCTAACTAACTAACTAGGGTCATCAAACATCGCTAATCTAGTTGGGAGACTGCGGTGTAATTTACCCGCGAGGCTCATTTCCATTTTCTCCTCATTCACTGATGAGATATGGGAAATTCAGGGACATGATGGTGCAGGTGGCTGCCTAAACCTACTCTCGTACGACCTTTTTCCAAATTCAAGCATGCGGCAAGTTGAACCGGTGCCGATTGGTGTAAGCGTGTAAATCCTGCACAACAGACCGGGACTAGACTCTCAGCTAGTGGGGTCGACGAGCGATGCATCTTGCTGGCTGAGGCTAAACTTGGAAGCCATCGGGGCTCCGCGGAATACGAACGGACAAGCCCCGAAGCCACGCAGCCACCAGCCTTGGGGGCCGGTCAGAGGTTCAACCCTGAAGATGAAGTCGCCGAACAAGAAAAGCAACAGCATGGATCACTACCGCAAGCACTTCCAGGGGCCGTGCTAGCCAAAAGCCAAGTGCTATTTGCCCTCTGGGGGGGAGTGGAAATATCGAAAAAGCACCAAGTGTGAGCTCTCACTCGCCAACAAGCCAGCCAAGCTTTTCGGTCGCGCGGCGGCTAAGGCTGGAAAGGGATGGAATCGGTAGGGCTGACAGATTTCATTAAGTACAGTGAGTACAGTATTGACCCTGACCGACTAGTCGACCCTGAAATTTAGTCTCGGAGCTGAGCTGTCAGGGTTTAAGCCCCTCAACTTCCGTCCGACCCTCGGAAAATCCTGCATGCTGCCACCAGCTTCAGGTTTACAGCCACGCCCCTACTGTCTTTGTTACTCTCCTCGCCTAAACCTTCCGTTGTTCAAGCCTTTTTAATCTTTTCTAAACTCGGGGCCAAGGTCTCACAACCTGACAAACAACAACGGGGCCCATTCTAAGCCTCTCTTTGGTCCGTCTGCCGCATGGCGAAATCCTTCACATCCCACTTCATCGCTGCGCCTCTCAGGGGTTCCTTTTCTTTTACTTTCTGTTTCTTGTTTCTTTCTTTTTTCCTTTTCTTTCTTCTTTTTTTTTCTTTTTTTTTTTGGCTTCTCCCACCAGCTGGGGGGCGTAACCATTCCGAGTAAGATTGGAGCGGGAGTGGACCAAGTCTCCCCAGGCAGACAGATTTCGATCCATGATCATGATGGACGAGACCGATCGAGGATGGAAGAGCCAGTCAAAATCGGCCCTTCGCCCCCCAAGGGTCCAAATTGATCGCTGCCTAGGGGTGGTGTAACTGTCGCCAGGCTCTGAGCAGCTTGGCACGCGCCTTAGCTTAACTACCCAGCATAGAAGTACTAGGTAATTAATTAAGTTAATTAGTTAGTTGGTTAGTATGCGCGAGGCAGAGCAGAAGATGAGGGTTGCCTGTCCGGGGTGAATTCCCTCCCCTACCCTCCACAACCTCCATCTGCGACTCTGGCTGCAGATTTAACGGTCGCAAAAAGATGGCTCCCACTCGGCTGCGGCGTCTGGCTACCTTCGCCTTGATCGGTGCGGTGTTGATGACTTGGATGCTCTACCAGCGGGACGAGTTCGACAACGAGCTGTTGAATCTGGAGGATCGACACCCGCTACTCTATCGCCATGTTCATATGCATAGCGGGGAGGGAGGAGGTAAGCCAACGCATCAACGATCCCTCTTGCACGAAAATGCCTGACATCTCATCCAAGCGTGGTATATCCCGCCTAAATGGACCAGCCCCTCCGCCGCAACCCCCAAGGACATCGTTGAAGCGGCCGAGTTAGCTCTCAAGGTGACCCAGAGCTCCTCAGAAGGTTATCTACCGCACTCGACGATCCCCAAGATTGTCCACCAAACCTGGAAAAACACGCGCATCGACACTTGGCCCAAACTCATCCGTCACAGCGCCGAGCGATGGCTGCAAGCTACTGAGGAGGAGATGGCATATTTTCTCTGGACCGATGAAGGCATGGTGCAATTTATTCGGCGATTCGAACCGGGGTTGGAGGCCCAATTCGCAAACCTGGCGCGCAATGTGGAACGGTCGGATGTATTCCGCATCCTCGTGGCCAAATGGATCGGAGGAGTGGTACGTTTACCAGAGAAATCCGTTCGAAGATCAGACCCATTGACTATTCCCAGTATGGCGACATTGATACCGAGCCCCTTCGTGCACCGGTCAAGTGGATCAGCTCGACCGACATCCTTCCCTGGAGAGACAACCAAACCGGGACAGTCTACAACTCGACCGCACCTGTGCAAGCCATCGTCGGTCTCGAGGCCGATTGTGTCGAGGGAACCGATACGTACTGGCGCATGGGCTACTCGCAACCGGTGCAGTTGACTCAATGGGCCTTTGCGTGGTCACCAGGTCATCCCATCCTTCAAACCTTCATCGATCGCCTGTCAACGACGATACAAACCATCTCCGACCGGTACGGAGGGTCACTCCAGTCGCGAGGCGCTCGACAAGAGCTCATGTCCTTGGATCCGCTCATGCTGACTGGTCCGGCTGCTTTCACCGAAGCAGTCCGGGGTCGACTGGAAGACGTGGTCGAGCTGCGGTGGCATGCGCTGTCGGGACTACAGGATGGAGGGAGGAGTAAACTGGTCGACGACGTTCTTGTTCTTCCCATTACAGGCTTCAGGTATGTTCCCTCTTTCCCTGAACTGATTACCAACTCACTCACTGACCCTATAATCCAGTCCTGGCCGCGGCAGATACGGGAATATGGGCTCGAAGCCGATCACCGACCCATCGGCGCGGCTGCGGCATCTGGCGCAAGGCTCGTGGAGGGCGTTTGATCTGACGGTGGAGTATGGGAAATTCTGTCGCACTATGCTGGGCATGTGTCGCGACTGGTCCAAGGTGCCTACTGCTGCTATCGTGTGATTTCTTTTCGAATTGTAATTTTATTTACTTGGTCTATTACGGTGGGTTTCGGCGTTCTGCATAGGAGTGACGGGTTATTGGCGATACCCAACTTGTCGGGGTTGATTGCTTTCGCGCGTGCATGTACAGTACAGAGGGGTATTGATTGGATAGTGGGGCAATTTAAGCTGAAATAATAAGAAGGCAAAAGTCACGAAGCAGGTACTGGTATCTCTTCCCAGCCGTCCTCACCAGGCTGCCGAGTTTCACGGATGACTTGCAGCCCACGCCTGCGACCAAAGCCATCGCCACAGAACCCATTGTTATCGGTCACCTTCTCCACAACCTGAAATAAGCCCCCGTTGGGATGATTCTCGTCCGGCACCCAAGCTCTCTCGTTCACAACTTCCCCAGCTATTTGAGTCCTCCGCGGATTGAATCGGGGGAACCCGGCCACACGAGTCGCAATGCCATGAACCCAAGGATAAAGCCGTTCGAAGCGTCGAGTGGTGCGCAACCACCGATAGCTACGCTCGGTATACGCGGTGCGCACGTACGGGTTCATGTAAATCCCCGAGTCACTGATCTCGTCCACATGCGACGGAGTATCCTGCAGATCGGCATGGATGATACAGCATTCGGATCCGTCATAGAACAAGTTGCCATCGGCACGAAACCGCACGGGGCGATCGGGTCGCTGGAAATAGGTCGCATTGAACGCAACCATGCCACCCCAGCAGCTGCGCACGCGAACCGCATCTTTCTGGGCCAGCACGTCCTGGCGACTGAGGCCTGGGCCCGCCGTACTGAACCAGGGGTAAAACTGCAGGCCGATGTCGTAGCCATGGAGGTCCCGTGTGGCATACGTGTCATAGAATTTGAAGGGGTTGATGAAGTCCACCGCACAGGCGGCGCGATACTGAGCCACACCGTTCTGGTTCGCCCTGGTGGAGAAGAGGAGCTGCACCGCGTCCACCGGGTCAAAGACAACGTCGTTCAGGTAGAGAATCCGATCATAGGTCATGGCTGATGGACTGTCTAGCGGGCGTAGGGCACGGTTCCGCAATTCGGCCAAGTACTCCGTTCGCTTGATGCGATGAGCACCTCCCGGAACTGTTACCCTGGGAAAGGTGGTCAGGTCAAGGTAGCGGTCGGACTGAATCGACTTGTTGCACCCAACTCGGTCCTCCAGACGATTCAGCGCCCGCTCGCCTTTCTCTCCGCTATCGTTCTCGTAGATACTGACAAAGACGTTGCTTTCGCCGAGTAGATCGATCAGTTTCAGAAGCGATGCGCCCCATCTGCCTTCTGCGAGCATGCCCTCGGGGTCGTAAAGTATGGCAGCAATGAAGATGCTTTCATTGCGCGGATTGCCCCGACCATGCTGATTCGATTGAGTGACTTGTTCTACAACCGACCGATATCGTGGCGGAAGTCGCGTATACGACGGAAAGAAGATCGCAGTGCAGCCGATTAACGCGATCAGAACCCCCAAGCCGAGCCGACAAAGTCGCCAAATCAAGGCTCCGCGAGGTGCTATAAACCGACGTCGCGGGCAGAATGTGGAAAGCCTACGGCAGAGGGACGGTGAGGAATGCGAGTATTTCTTAGTGGGCAGGACCAGACCAGCCTGTTCCCAATCCGATACCGAGGTAAATGAATCGATAGATGAGCGACTGGGAAGGTCATAATCCTCTGCCCATTGAAGCCGACGGGAGGATGATGGCATGGTGGTTTGAGTAATTTCTCTCTCTTGCAGCCCAAGTGCAGTGCGTGCAGCGATAGGTAGACTAGCTGACTAGCTGATCATGTTGACCAAGTGCGTGTGTAGAAGCCGGCCCGATGTTGTTGTAAGTAAGCACTAGCATTGACTAAGTTAGTGAATTCGCACTGCTAGGCAGCCGTCAAACCATCCCCGGGTCCGTCACGGCACACATTCGGAGAGCTACTCACATTGTGCGACCATTGCCTTCTCTCCGGACAGGTCCCAAGACAGATCACGTCGGCGATCCGCGTTGCCGTGGGGATTATGCGGCCTGCAGGAGGGAGAGGGAGACCGACATGCCTATACAACAAAACACACTTGACACACCAACCCCAATAACCCAACAACCCACCAACAACACCACCATACCACAAAGGACAGGATGCTGTTCCATTTGGTCCTCTCCTTCCTGATTATGTTGATCTCATCCGGCACTGATCCTGATCATCATCATCCTCATTATCGCACATACTTCTACGTCGGAGGGGAATATACTGCAGTCGGGAGCGCGGAGCACATTCGCAGCGGCCAGATCTACGTGGAGAAATTGACCCCCACCCGAGTCACCCAGACCTATCCAATTGTCTTCATCCATGGACAAGCACAGACAGGCACGGTATGACCCTTTTTTACCCTTTTCCCCCTAAATTAGATTACCTCCAGGGACTGGAATGCCACAGAACTCCAATAGAACTGATCCCCCCGGACCGACCTATCTAGAACTGGCTGAATAAGCCCGACGGTCAAGCAGGATGGATTTCCTACTTCTTGAAGCAAGGCTACGAATGCTACCTGCTCGACCAACCCTTCCGCGGTCGCAGTCCCTGGCAACCCTTCAACGGCGAGCTAGCAACTTACTCGACCGAGCATCTGCAACGATATTTCTCGGCCCCGGAGCGTTATTCCCTGTGGCCTCAGGCTCAGCTGCACACCCAATGGCCCGGCTCCGGGGTGATGCACGACCCCATCTTCGACGAGTATTTCGCCAGTACGGTGCCCTTCGTCAACGACAACCATATCCAAGAGGCCGCGATGCAGAAAGCAGGCGTCGCGCTGCTGGATCGGATTGGAACCCCGGTCATCCTTCTGGCACACTCCCAGGGCGGGATCATGGCATGGCTTTTAGCCGATCAACGACCGGATCTCGTCCAACTGATCGTTTCACTGGAACCCGGCGGTCCCCCGTCTCGTGACATTGCCTTTGGGAACGGTTCCGCGCGAGCGTACGGGCTGACAGACATCCCCATCGCCTACACCCCCGAGGTTTCCAGCCCCGAAACAGACTTCATAACGACCACCATCCCCGCCAGTTCCCCAGGGGAGTCAGATTGTCTGGTTCAAGCAGACGACCCACCGCCACGGCAGCTGGCCCAGCTCCGGAAGATCCCGGTAGTGCTGTTCACGTCAGAGGCGTCGTATCATGCGCAGTATGACTGGTGCACTGTGAGCTTCCTGCGTCAAGCGGGAGTCAAAACGGAGCATGTGCGATTGGCAGACTGGGGTATTCATGGTAATGGTCACATGATGTTTCTCGAGAACAATAGTGACACTGTAGCTGCGCTGGCGCACCAGAAAATCGCGCAATGGTCCTGACTGAGTTCAGATCGATCTGGGCGGTCGGAAAGTTTTTACTGATGATAAACATTGTTTGTCTGGTTTGCCTGGGATCTAGCACTTAGTCATTTTCCTGCTCTGCCTTGATGCCTGAGAATCTTCGGCCTGATATTTTGCCGGGGAGACCCAAGTCACATGACGTTACTCTGGAGAAAGACATACTGTCACGTGATCCCGCCAGCCATTTCAACCCCGCGCACATTTGAATCGAACCCAAATTTGCGTAATTGGTAGTAGTTGACGGGAAGTTGCCTTGCATATGATCTGTGAGGGTTGCTCTAAGCATCGCCTTTCGATGAATTGGCGGGCAAATACTGTGGACACTGACGTGGGTCGGAGATTGATTCGAGGCGGACAGGCGGCAAAATATAGATACTTCAAGTTGACACTAACAGTAATGTTGAATTCAGAACCCGACTCACTCTCTTCCATATTCAACAGGCCTATGACACTAATTTCACACCCAGGATACAACGAGAACAGTATGGATTGCAATTTGACCTAACACAGCTGAGCGTATCGCCTGATCGTATAGGAAACCCCAAATAATCTGCCCTACTGTAATATGGTCAACAATTCTATAGTGCGTGGAAGGACGAGTATAGAGCTTCAATTGACCAGCGTCTATCCAGCCAAAATGAGAAGTCTTCAGTCTCAAACTTTCTGCGATAATATAATCTGTTCTGTGCTCCGCTTATACCATGGGAATGCCAAAGAGTTTGGGGCCCCAGAGTTTGCCGCATGCGGACGTCCCCACAGCCCTAACCCACCTCCCTGCTTTCCGCTGCTCACCGATTCGACCGTTCAAACCCTCGTCTGTTATGACGTGAGGTTTCGACTTTGCACTCCAATCCTGCTTGACGCGTAAGAGAATTCTACATTTGGTGATATGACTTTGTCAGATGTCACAAAAGCCCCCAACCGAGTGTCTGATAGAGCGTATCTTCGGGGTAGCAAATGGGTGTTCGTCCAGGAGATTCGCTCCATCTCGCCCAATTCATCCAGGATTGCTGGTGGTCAACATCCAATTTGATGCAGAATTAATGCTGGGTGTTGTTAACTTTGGATAGACCAGCCCCATGATGCTAAAATCTCTGGGCTAATTTTGCAAGAACCCACCCGCTGAAAAGTCCCATAATGGGCATCTGACTGCTTTCGCTTGTGGTGATGTCAAGATAAGGTTGACCTTAAACTGCCTTCTTCTCGAAGGTGGAGATGAAAGTGCGATGCCACATTGCTATTTGTCCAAACACAAACGATACGGATCCTCCAGCGAGTACCGGAGATTCCTGTCTAATGTCGTGCAGCTCATCCTGACGTCGTGCACGCTACAGATCGTGTGCGGAAAGAAATGAGGGAGCTTCAAATACGACACAAAGGTCGAATAGCTCATTGACCAAACCGACTATTCCATGGACATCAATAAAGGGCATGTTTAAACAAGTTTATCCATCACACACCTCAAAAGTGGAACGAACCTGAATTTGTGCACGAATGACGGGTGATACTGGTAGAGTTTCTCCATTGCAAATGCCACCCTGATCAGAGATCATAACCACACACATAGGCAACAATGGCTACGTCTTTCCAACCTAATGTCCATTACACATTCGGATCCCCTCTTTCCACGGCCTCGCTTTTCGGTACCAGGAGAGCATCAGATATCCTCGACCAGGATAGCTACAGCACTGGGCTTCACACCTCCACGTCGAGACGAGGTTCGAAGGCCCTCAGTGGCGGAGGAAGCTCTACGCTGGCGGATGTAGTAAGTTCACTTGCTCGTCGCAGTAGCGATGCTATGATCTCGTCCACAATCTCGGACGCAGACTATGCCACGCTGCTCGAATGGATTCGAGCGGAGCGAATGCGGAAGCTGCCTCCAGAAGGAAGTAGTTATGATAAGGCTCTCGTTTGGGCCGCCCTGTTCGTGGAACGGCTGCACTCGTTTGATACTGCCTTGGAGCACTTCGCGGGAGACAGTCACATGGCGGCCCAACTTGCCTACGTTCACTGTGCAAGCTTGCTGGAGGTACGTACTTATTGATCCCACATAAAACAAAATAGCTAAGTGCGTGTCTCGTAGCTGGCGGAGGAAAATGCCCCTGCCTTGATGGATCTGTTTGGATTCTTCTATCGCTCTTCCATGGGTCTTGGAAACCTGTTGGATCGTACAGAACTGTTCTCCGTGTCCCAGGATATCAAAGACCAACTAATTCTGGCATTGGCTGATCTAGTCACTCTGGTCGTCGGCGTTGCCAGATCGTTTCACCGGTCTTTGAACAGTCTCGATTGTATTTCAATAGATATCTATACCACCTTCTCGGGTCCCATTGATAGCTTCAAGGCTCGCTGTGAGCATGTGTCTGAGCTGATGTGGAGACATCAACTGATTCGTGAGGGCTTGAATGGAGATAAAGGTTAGTGTGATTGACCTTCATTATTGTCATAGTGGCCAGATCAGCTACTAAAATCTCCGTGCAACGCAGTCACCGAGATCAGAACCATCAAGGACTGGCTCCAGCCCGAAGATCCCGTGCTGGGAAACGTGGCTGAGACGATAGCTCACTTTGCACAGGAGCGAGAGGAGTCTACCTGTCTGTGGATGACCCCGTACTTGACCCGATTCCTCAAAAGCGACCGTAAGATCCTGTCAATTCATGGAAAGCCAGGATCTGGCAAAACGGTCTTAGCCACGGTCATCAACGACCATCTGCAGCATCCCCTCGGTGGGATCAGCTACAAGTCTATCTTCGTCCCGATTAGTGAGTAGCGCCACCACACTGAGGATCGTACCAGCTGACGGCAACCGAAGATAGTCGCATCCCGTCCAACACTACCCCTCGCGCGGTCGCCAAGATGATCATGTCCCAGCTTTTCGCTAAGCGTATTGGGAATGTAAGACTCTATCAAATCTTATCGGATGCATATAGTCGCAGCCAAGTAACCCTAGAAGAGGATGCGTACGATGACCTGTTGTGGGTTGCGGTGGGGAACGCACTCAAAAGCAGTCTGCAGGGTGCCAAGGAACTCGTCCTCGTCGTTGATGGAATGGACGAGGCCAGTTGCGGAGAGACCGCCCTCTTCAAACGACTCACCAACAGTGCTGTACCAGCAGACAGAGTCAAATTGATTGCCCTAGGCTCCCAGCAACAATCCCCGACAGCCTCTCAGAGCACGGTGCATGTCAGCCACGAGCTTGTCTTTGATGACATCACTGCTGTCGTCAGAAACATCCTACAGCATAACCGTGCTTTCACATCTTTGTCCGAAGATGAACAAGAGGTCAACGTCACGCGCATTGCTGAAGCGTCCAGTGGCTCGTTCTTGTGGGCGAAACTGGCCGCAAAACGGATTCGCGATGAGGGCGGCTCTAACGCACAGGGGCTCGCCAGAGCTGTCGAGAGTGTCGCGAATACTGGAAAGACAATCACCGATCTGGTCTCGCATGCAATGCACTCGAAGATAGGCGAAGACGCGTTGAAAGTCCTCTCCTGGCTTTCTACTGCAGCTCGCCCCTTGACACAGAAGGAGCTTTCGGCTCTTGGCTCAATCCAAATCGACAAGGGCACAATCAACGATGAAGCGTCGGATATTCAGGGTACCCTGAGATCAGTCAAATCGCTTGTGTTTGTTCAGAATCGCATGGTCTACCTTCGCCACGGATTGATTCGTACGGCCATTCTGGATGTCCTTGCGAAAGACAAATTGTTGCCGCACATCAAGAACCGAAACAGCGATCTAGCACAAAGACTGTTAATCTACACAAAAATCGTCGTCACAAGCGATCATGAACCCTCTTTGGATCTCTTGGAAGAACACGCGAGCCAAGAATTGCTGGACAAACATCCGTTGCTCGACTTCGCTTTACGATACTGGTTGACACACGTGAAAATCGCTTTTGGCTGCACGACAGATCAAGAGATTGCAACTGCTGCCAAGGAGCTTCGCAATGCTATTCCGACCACGCCCACAGTGCCACTGCTGGAGATGACCGTATGGGAGAACAAATCCACGCCGTCTCTACGACTCCTACATGGCATTCAGAGTCGGGTATATCGACAGGCGTTGACCACAAAACATCCTACAGCCCTACAAACGGTGCTGTGCCAAGCTTTGTTTTACCGGCGAATTCACAGCAGCCTTCCAATCCATATCAGCAAGATATTCTACGATGCTGCAAAGATAAGCCAGACCGTTTTGTCAGTCCGTCATCTGATAACCATGCAGATGACCAAGTACTATCTGGAGATTACTGCCGACCAGGTTGCCGACTCTCGGACCGAGATCATGATCAAACGGACAGAGATGCTGCAGCTCCTGGTTGAATGCTATAGGGTCCACTACGGGGTGTCGAGCAGCATAGTAACTTCTACCCTGACTCAGCTGTCCGAGCATTACATCTCGATGGGAGACGAAGCCAAAGCCAAAGAAATCACAGCCTCGATACACGGGACCACTCCGGAGAGTCCATCGCAGTCGAATAATTCCCGACCAGCCGATGACTCGCTGATGGTTCATCTCCACGGTCGCAAAGATACAATGGAGGCGCGCACTACTTTCTCTCTAGACCAACTGGAGCAGGATGATGTGATCACCCAGGCATTCGACTTCAAGTCCCTGCAAGCCAAAGCCGAAAGATTTGTAACGGAAAAAGACTTGAAAGTAGCCGAGCGGACTTATGTCGAGCTCTGGCAGCAGACTAGCAAGGAGTACCGCCTCAATCATTCAACCGAATGGGAACTGAGGAACATGGAGGCTGTAATGGGTTATGCCAAGTTTCTCAAGTCCCAACGTCGCGAGAATGAGGCGGCATCCATCCTGTCCGGCTTCTGGGAAGGGTACGGCCAAAGCACCTCCAGTTCTGAAGCTGTTGCCTCGAACTTTCTTGAGATCGCGAAGGTGATGAAGTCTGTTGGGCTCTCCGTGCTGGCTCTCAGCGTTTTTAAGCATTGCGCTCAAAGTACGAACAGCCAGAGCGGAATTCATCAGGAAGTTCAGCAGCATATCAACACCACATCGCGGGAGGTGATGAAGATGGCGACGTCGACTAGTTCGACGATCACCGAGTCGAGCCTCAAGGAGATGGTTTTCAACACCTCTAGCACTGACCAGGTATCGGTGACTGCGACTAATACGTTGCTGGAGATGTACCTATCGCAGCATAGATGGGACGATGCTACCAAGGTAATCAAGCAGGTCTTACGGATCATGTGGCCTGCGTTCTTTGCACCCTCCGTGGATGAAGTTGTTCTTCCCTCCAATAACTTGGCATACTGTGTCGAGTTGACAGAGCGGTTGAGCAATTGTTATCGCTCCAGACGCCGGACGGGCAAAGAGGAAGATGTTCGTCTGCGTCTGTATAAGGCTCTTCGACGTGACCGGCCGGCAGGCGACGAGCTGTTGGACCGCGTTACGACAGGCATCCTGCGTCTCTATGAACGCATGTCCCAAAGCGATAAGATTATCATCATCCACCAGAATATTCTGTACGACTGCACAAGGAGATATGGAGCAGAGCACCCCACCGTAGTCAAAAAACTGTGGAAGCTAGCCGAGTTGACTCGACCTCGTCCGATCGCGGTGGATTACTACCGACAAATTGTGCAAATTCTGAATAAGGATTCTGAAACGTGCCATCCGGATGCCTTCGAGCCTCTTCTCATTGTGGTCACCGAGCTTCTGAATCAAGGGCGGTATTCGGAAGCATTGAAACCTTGTCGCGTGCTGTTCAATACAGTCCAGAAGCCCGAGACAAATGCTAAGCTTCAAGAGCCGCAATTTGTTCAGACCCTTTACGAACGGTATGTTCACTGTCTGCGAATGGTCCACAGTGACCCTACCTCCATTCACGACGTGACGGTGCAGTATCGTAAGGCTTGTATGAGCCTCTTTGGTATCGGCGCACCTGTCACGATTCATGCGACTCAGACTCTGGCGAACATTTGCCAGGAGTCTAAACGGTACGAGTCCGAGGCGATCAAGTTGTATGAAGAGCTGCTCCAGACGAGATCCAACGATGTTGACCTCGACCATGACGATATCCGTGCCACACTCGATTCAATTTACGAAGAGCAAAATATGGTCGTCAACGCATCCAAGACTGAGTCTATGACTGCCGAGCAGGTCAAGAGGGTCGTGTCTATCCGCACCCAGCGTCTTGCCTCTCTCCGCTCAACCCATGGATGGGCTCACGAGGAATCGTTGTCGCACTTGGCGGAGATTGTGACTCTGTATGCTAAGCAGGGAGACATCCAGGCTGCTGGCACCCTTCTGCGGAATGCTACAGCCCAGGTTTTGGCCACCGAGTCATCTTCCATACAATTGACAGCAGCCGCCAAGACTATTGCAACCGGTTATATCACATCCGGTCAAATAGACCGTGCGAGAGACTTGTCCCAGGAACTGTACCGGCAGATTGTGGCCAAAGACACAGCCAACGTCGGGACTGTCGGATTTGACTTGACAACAGCCCAGCGGCAAAGTCTCTCGTTCCTTGCACAACTGGAGTATAGCCTTCGGAAGCGCGAAGACTCTTCGCTGACGCTGAATGAGATCTACTCAGCCCTGACGACTGAATACATGTATTTCGAGCAGTTCCGCGCCGAGATCAGTTCCAAGAACAGCAGTGTGATGAGCGTGACACCCTCCGCATCGCGGCTTCATGGATTGCTGGCAGCTAAGGGTCGTCACGCAGATGCAAGTCGGCTGGCAGAGCAGTTTACTAATTACTTCCTTGCCACCGAGGGATCCACGGTACAGGTAAATGCCAATCAGGCCAAGGTGTTTGTCGGAACTCTGCTGGAGTATTTCCACTCGCACGCGTCACAGCACTTCATTCGCTCAGTCGCAATTGCCAGCTATGACCGGGTGACCCAGCTGTTGGCGATGGCTGACTATACTTCAGCCTGCGGAGTTGCCCTTACGGCTTTCAAATATGTCAGGGCGCATCAGGGTTATGCTTCTCCTTCTGTCTTGAAGTTGCTTTTCAAATTGGGTCTCGTGATTGCCGGTCGCGATGTCGAAGCGCGACCTGCAGCCCCATCCAGGAAGGAGATGCTCAGCGTCTCAGCCACCATCCTGAAGGAGACGCTTGACTATCTTAAGCAGCAAAAGGTCGATCTCACTCAGCTCGACCTTGTCCATCTTAACAACCTCATCTGCGTACTGGACGAGCAACACGACTATCATACACTGGCTTGGATCCTCACGTCTCTGTGGAATAACCGTGACACTCACATCTCCACTCAGCCACAGTACGCCTATACACTCGCCCTGGGCCGGATGCTCGTCATCACCCGCTACTTGATCGGTGATTACACCGCCGCCATGCGTCTCGCTGAAGATATCGTCTACAACTGTGCTCGGGTTCACGGACCCCGACACGCGAGTACGGTGGAAATGACTGTTCTCCTCTCGCAGATGTACACTAGCGTAGCGCAAGGCTACCAGAACCAGAAAGGTCGTCGCGAACTGGCGTACCGGTACTACAAAAAAGCAGCCTCATTACATGAGAATGCTCTGCGAGTCTTCATCGATCCTACCTCGGTTTCATCTACCGAAATGAAAGATGGGTCCACTTCTGGACTGTCCGACTCTGAAGCATCCAGCCCAGGGGGGCTAGTTGAGGATGAGGGTAAGCATGTTAGACAGCATCTGCATTTGCTGAAGCTTGCGGTGGAGCGTCTAGGCGACTGGCCCAAGGAGTATTCCGAGTACGAGCGGCTGAATGCGGATCTGTTCCGGACCTTTGCCAAGGATTTGAAGGATGTGGAAGGAGTCGAGAAGTGGAACTTGAAGCGATTCGGATCTGGCCGTGCCGAAGCGAGCGACGACCTGATTTCGACGGGTATCAACCAGATTGTGGGCAGTCATGAACGACTTGCGATTGCGGTGTGAGTCAACTTGAATCACAATAGGCTAAAAGTGTCTTGGAACCTTCGATCGTCATGCGGTGCATATTCGATATTTCGTATGCAGTGAAATCAATCTGATTTATCTTCATATTTTAAACAGTCATCAATTGGGTCCTCGCCGGAAATCTAGGGATAAAGGGGCTTTAATTCATCGAGGCATCGCCAACAGCCTTGCAGGACGGGGGCTTCCTTACACTAGTGTGTCCTCTTGCACCCAGTCCCTTTGGTAATCTCACCTGCACTATTAAACCTTAAGGTGCCATTATCGTTTGAGGATCTCGATCAAGACCGCAAGCTCAGTATGGTCGCGTGTATTTGACATACGATGACACCAATTAGCCCGCTTCTCCTCCCTCCCACTTTCCTGGTCGTAAAGAAACTCGCCGCCGTTCTGTCGCGAGTCGCCTCCCTTCAAAGCCAATCCACTTGGTATCTGTTTCAGCTTTTCCCACACCGACTCCACCACAACTTGAGTCATGCCCTTGCGGATATAGTCCGGGCGAGCACTCATAGCCAACGAGGACAGCAACCCTAACTCATCGTAGAGCTTCCGAGTGGGATCGGCGTAGATAGGAAATCGACAATCCGTCTCTGTAGCGTAGGCCTCGATCAAGCCCGGGTCGCCGCAGCCAACGATCACCACGGATGTTGGAGTGCTCAAGTCGGAAAGTAATTCCGGGGTGATGACTTCCGACAGAGACCGGACGTATTCTTTGCAGCTCTAATTTTAGCGGACCGTTAGCACGCTGGCCGCCTCAAGCTGGCGACGGGGGGTGGAAGAACGGCATACCCCACAGAAGAAGTGTCGAATAAACACGACCAATGTTCGAGGTGCTGCATCGAGACCATTGTAGAGGTCATGGTACGGGCGAGGCTTTTCCTGGCGATCAAGAACCGTGTAACTCGCCGCTTTTGCTTGACTTTCCGCAGAGGGTGGCTCTTCGCCTTTCAGGTTTTTGGCTTGATTATCCCCCACAGGTGTGGTGTTACTGAGACCATCGATGTCTGAGCTTGAATGGCCTTGGATCTTGGGCTGATTGGCAATGTCGAGCATGGTGTGTGATGATGATGTGGGGAAATTATTGTGCTTAAGGGGGACAGATGTTGGCAAGTTGGTAGATTGAAACCACGTCTGATGTCACTGCATAGTAAGTAGGTCATGACTGTCACCTGACCATCCACCACCCCGCCTTCCCACTGCATGGAAAGAAAGATACTTCAATCGACAACTGTAAGAGAAGCACAGCCCTGGTCGTTGTATGAGATGTTAGTCAGCCTATGACCCAGGGAGGGTAGCCATGGACTCAGGGGCCCAGGCCACTGAGTATCTTATGATTTGCTTATTTTCTAAGACCGAAGATTGGCATCGGTAAGATGCTCTTACCAATACCCGACCAACCTCCATAATGTTTGTCGGGAACTTCGTGGGTCTACTCGGCATGATCCTTTTCATAGCCGGTGCTCAGTTCTTGCCTGATACATATACCTGCAGTCGCCTTCCTTTTTGTCCTGTTCTTCTTTCTCGAAAGTCGTCCCTTTGGTGTCCCAAATACTTTCATTCCTTTCTTCGACGGCACCGGTGGCCTCGGCCCTGCGTTTCATATTCTCTAATCTTGCCGCTATCCTAACATTCTCTTGATACACTCATTCATTTATCATCAATATGCATGTACTAAGCACCCTTGCGATTCTTCCCACGGTGGCCTTGGGCGCTGTGTTGCCCGCCGCTCTTCAGAGTGCCACCAAGATTTTCAAGCGCGGCTCCGGGGGGGAGCTGTGTCTCCCTGGGCCCTACCAAGTCTGACATCATCAATGCTGTGACCACCCTCATTCCCGGTACTGGCCCCGTGACGCAGAAAGGTGAGCTTTTTCTCTGGCCTGGTATGAGCAATGGCACCGGTGGGTGATCTAATCTAGACTACCATGGAGCGCTGGCCTAGCAACGCCTGGTGTGGTGCCACCACTGGCCAGTGGCGTGTTCGCGCCAGTATATTCGGGTCTTTGGGCCAGCTTGATAGGACTGGCTCTGCTGTCAGCGGCGACGACCATGTTCGCATTGAGTATGACCTGCTCTCAGATGACATAACCTGGGTGCAGACGGTCACCAATGCTTTGACCGGGGCGGAGCTGTCAACATACTCCTATGCCGCCGGCCCTTACCTGACTGGGTAACATATATCCACCGACCTCGAGTTTTCCAGGCGTCACTATTGTCTGATTGAATAGCTACGGAACAGGCACCGAGTGTGACAGTGACTGCACAAGAACCGTGGCTCCTCAGCTTTATCTCAACACCACCATCACCCTTCGAGAGGCAGATACTAGCTTCGGCGACACAATTGCCTCTGCTGCAGGCGCCAGCTATACCGGCATGAGCTCTAGTGAGGGTGGAAAGGTATAGACTATCGCTACCATCAGCATCCCCGCCATGGGATCAGAGACTGCTGTTGCCTCTTCCACTTCTGCCGCCACGGCTCACTCCACTTTGTGCAACAGCTACTCCGCTTCCTCCATTCGGTGTGTGTGCCAGCCCATTGGATAGAAATCCCTCTATCCGACACACAGGGCGACGGGATCTTAGATCGATAGATAATGCGAGATTGGAAGACCTATTTGAGTTTGGTCAAGCTCCTAGGGCCAGGAGAAACAACGAGACAAGCTCAGCACAAGGCTAGACTCTTTCACACACCCCTGCTCCAAGGTCTTGGCATTATTTGGAGACGAGATCCAGGATAAGGGGTTGTGGGTCGCCCGAGCTCATCAATTTAGGACAAAACGTTATTGCAAGATTCACCAGAATTTTGATTGGAGTTTTTTCTATTACATCCGTCCAACAACCGTGTATATTGATTATAGCTTACTAGGCTCGGTTCACGTGGTGACAGTTCAACGTGGATAAATGCTATACATAAAATAATACAACACAACTTAAATGGTATATATCTAGGCTCAAACGTATCTCTTGCATATGTTTTAGAAAGGCACCGCATCACAGAGGTCAGTGTACTGCCAAGGTCATCAGAAAATCCCCTTTCAATGATTACGATCCAGTGACGTTACGATTGAGTAAAATAGTCAACCTGTGGATTGAGATCGATCTTAGGTTGCCTCATTTAACCCAACTAACGGCCAAGTTACTAAATCTAAGGTCTAGAGACGCTTTTCCGCAGTGTTTGGTCGTGCGGAGAAATGAGATGCTTATCAAAATTCTCGAGTAGACATGCTGCAAGATCACGACGATCAGCATGATATTGGGGACCACCACCGCAACTCTACTGCTGGAGCAGACCTAGCATCGGCAACAGACTATAGACCTAACTTCTCATTACTGCCTGGACATTGATGGCGTTCTCGATAGTTGTGGTTGCTTCTCGCTTTGCAAGCAACTACAAGTTTCATGATTCGTAACTCAGTGATCTAATCGCTTTGTTTGCTTTGGCAAGGCTATTGCTACAATCGCCTTATCCTGCTCGACTCCTATGTGATAAGCATCCAGATCCTGCTTCCTATTGCAGCAGTACTGTTCAACATCACCGTGAACGATTAGTTATGGCGACATCGGCACCGTACCAGCAGACACGGTGTGGTTCTACCCGGAAGCTCAAAATAACTGTATGTCTCTCGATATCCTTATCGATTACGGAGACTTTCAGGGTAGTCAAATACTTCCGCCTTGCTTCGCCAGCCTCTGTCGTATTCTCGACAGTCTTTCGTCACCCAATGATATTCACGGCTAACCTCCCTCCCAGGATAACATCCAATTCAACCTGCGACCCCTTTCTCGCCTTCTCCCCGATCTATATCTTCTGGAACCTCAACTGGACCCTGCGCATGAAGCTCGTCCTCGTCTTCCTCCTCATTCTGGGCATTGTGTGAGCCCTACCTCTACCTCCGACTTCGACAGTTCTCAAGGTCTAAAACTCTACCTAGCGCAGTGGCGGCCTTCCTCGTCAAGACCCTGGAGTAGCCCATCATTTTCAAATCCACAAACACTCGGAACAACCGTGTCGGCCTCCTCCGGTGAACGCTCATCGAAGTCGATGTGGTCCTGATCATTGCCTCGATTCCCTGCACCCGACCATTGATCCCCCATTGGATCAAGAGTTCATCCAGCGGAAGCAGATCCAGTACCACGGAATGGGCGAGAGCGAGGCTAATGACTCAGTGCCAGCACGATGCAACAATTCGTCTCCGACTGGAAGTTTCGGTGGATTATGCCGTAAGTGCAACGACAGGACCAGCATTCATGCTCGAAATTGGTTCACGAGCGACAGATTCTTGCGATCATCACGACGCAGATCCTTGCCGGGGATCGGGGTTTTTCGACCGGCATATGGCCGGGTTTGTGAGGAGGGTAGAGGTAACAGTCGTGGCGGATACAGTCGTGGCGGATGAAAAGCCGGTGACTGACGGGAACGGGGTTCAGTTACATACTTGAGGTATCGATTGTCTCAAGGGGTGGAAGGAGCATTTGACTTAGCAGCTGGGAAGAAGTGCAGCCAGAGTTTCAGCGGCAAGGCGAAGCAACGATGGGGAATTAGAACTCAGGAGGGTTAACTTCGGCGGTGGCTGAACAAGATATAACACATTATTTCATGCTTTGCGAGAGCGGGACAGGAGGAAAGAGCCATTGCAAGAGTATTTGTGTGTAGGCTTCAGAGAATTGAGGGGCGAAGAGGAAATGGATACTGGAGTCACACATTTCTGCTAATGTTACACCATCATTTCTGTGCCAGGAGAAGCAGTCGTCCCGGACGACAGGAAGTACCACGATATCGCACACAGTCAATGGTCTGCGGAACGCTTTCTTTGATCAAGCCTCCCTTGGACCATTCTATCCCGTGTTTATCAGTGCGTAAGGCTTCTGAGCTTACATAGCTTCTTTTAAGCAAGTACCTTGGTAAATGCCTATTCCGACCCATCGTGAAGGGGCAATAAGCATTGGAAGAGCGTAGGGCTCGGCGCTCACGTGCTTTGCAACGCCGACCGCTTGCCCGACACATATACAGTAATGTTATTCAATAAATCCTCAAGCATATTAACTTCACGGACGGAGCAAGATCAGATGATATAACTGAAACCTGCGTAGAGCAGTACTTCTGTTACGCAGTGATCCAACATCAGTTACGACAGTATGTGAGAAAAGAGTGGTATTCCTCTCCACCGGTACAAATACTCACTTGTGCCGCAGGACCACAGAGCACGATCGCCACAGAGGAGTATCCACCTAACTAGTTATTTAAAGTCGTATATTACTCAATCTTCAACTTCCATATGCCAGAGATAGGTCGGACATTCATGTACAAGATTTTAATTGAAGATAATATTTATGGATGAAAGGAAGCTCACTGGTGCCATGGGGTTACTATAGTATGGCGAAGGACTGGCATCCACGGAGTCATTCCGTTTAACCTTATTCCACATAGTATATCGATTTAACGAACTCTGGCTGGTATTCAAAACGAGCATATCTTAACCCAAAGTCACATCTAATAGTAGTCTGAGCTGGCTTGAGAAGCCCTAGGACACTCGCTTGCCTGGTCCTCTTCCTCCCCCTCCCTCTGTGTTCGTCCCGTTTACATGCACACCATTGGGAATGCAGCCGGGCCGTGAGACGCACAACAAAAATTCATACTCAGCTCTGTCAGCATTTTCTGCTTCGTTTTCTTGTTACTTTCATCCAAGAGGTCATCTACGTGTACTCCCAGAGGTCTGATGTTCTCATCGGTCTTCTTTGGTAAAAGAAAACACAGTTCGTTCACACCTATTTGTTGACCAGTGCTGCTGTGCCCGATCTATTTTGAACAAGACCAATAGTTCAGCAACATCCATTCACCCTTCCGATAGGTTCTTCCTCCCTTTCGGCTCTCGGGAAAAGAAAGACAATTAGTAAAGGGTAAAAAAAAGCAAAAAAAGAAAGAACATCACCAAAAAAAGAGTTATCATGAAGATCACCGAGAAATTTTCAGTGCTCTGCTGCTTCTGCGGAAGAAAGCATCGGAGGGTTATCGAAGAGAATCAAGACGCGGATATGCAGCTCACGGCATCCGGAAGTAAAGAAGCCCATTTCTTATCGTGCAAAGATCGGATGATTGTGGATTTGTGCTGACACTCTCCTCTGGTAGACCAGTCTTCGTATAACAACAACCATCTACCGTCAAATGCTCCCCCCGGAGCTTGCCCTGGTACGTCCGACCGTTGATTATAGACGGTACTAAGCCGAGTGCTACAAGTCTGTCCTTGCATAGGAGACGAACAAGTCCCAGGTGAACAGACCGGCGACAAGCAAGCCCAGGGCAAAGCGACCGGCGACGACGGACAAGTGCAGGGCGAAACGTCCGGTGCCGGACGAGCTCAGGACAAATTATCTGGCGACGAACAAGTGCAAGGCAAACTATCCGACGCCGACGGACCAGCCCAGGAAGCCGTCCGGAGATGAACCAGGAAACATCGTCGGTGACGAAAGCTCGGGCCTCCCTGAGGAGCCAACAAGCCCTCCAGGTAAACATCCAACCAACTCAGAACAAGGCACAAAACACAAACTCTGCCACTCTTCTAAGACCCACTAGTGGCCCCGACCCATAATACATTATCTCGACGGCTTTGGGACACCGCCAATAACAATCTCATGACGGGAGATGACACAGCTAAGCTTGTAGACGATTATACGGTAATCCTCGTCACGGTCCTTGAGGAAGACGGTATCAATGCAACGGCGGCCGAGCTGAACGACTCGGAGAGAAGGCGGCACTACTTGCATCTTCTTTGCAGAAGAGCGAGGAGAGGACTGCACGAGCAACTGGGATCATGAGCAAGTTAGGGGATATCGCCGATGGCATAATTTCGGCCCAGGAATTTCCTGGACCTGATTCACCAAAACGTGTCCAAAGCAGTGACACTCCTTGCTGCCATTCCGTCGACGGTAGTCAGCGTGATACTCAAGGTAGACACTCATCTCTTCCGATTGTTCTGCGCATTGATTGTCAGTGGCCCTGAACAGTCTTTCTCCAAAATTGCGAAAGCTGACCAATCCGTCGTCGAAGGAGTCGCACATACTCTTTCCAGGATGGGATGGTACAGCAACTTGATCGACGCACTTCTGGACGGGCAATTGGATCAGCCATGCGCCGACCGACTCAAGGAACAGATGACCGCGCTGTATCAATCCATTCTCGAGTATCAGATGCAAGCGGTAAAGTTTTCCTTCAAGCACTTGGAGGCTAGGTTTGTGTGCAATGCTTGGAGTCCGGACAAATGGAAGCAGGCTCTAGAGCTTATAAGATCAAAAGAAGGGCAGCTTCTTTAAATCTGGAGAATGAACGATAAGACAGTTTCCCTGAAGCTATCCAGATCTGTCCAGAACCCTGAAGAAAAACTCGGGAACATCTCTGAAACTTTGGAGGATCTTCTGACACGATATAAGCACGCCTAAGAAAGTACTCTGAGGCTAAAGGTACTGGCAGACATGCGCGTTACCAATCCATATGACGACCTGTTACGACTCCAGAGGAGGACGAAAGAAACCATTAATGACACCTGGAGCTGTATTCTGGAAGATGACGGCTTTAGAAAAGTCAATGTGTGGGAAGATACCAGTCTAAGCACAGATTTCTTCTGGATAAGGGAAGCGGCAGGTGAGGGCAAGTCTATGCTCTTAGTAGCAGTCCTTAGACACCTACTCAAGCTCCTCCGAATTCGTTCGCCGTCACTCTGTTTTGTTTTCCTCGAAAGCAAGACTAAGCTTGACAACATGGCGGCTGCCATGAGGTCGCTGATATGGATGTTGGTTGTCCAACAGTCTAAACTGGTATCACACTTGAAAGAGGAATACGACCAGTCCGGGGGACGGGATCCGTTCGCAGGTATCAACGGATCAATTGCCTTAGCACGCGTCTTTCAAAGCATGATAGTAGATGCCGATCCTGTCATGTTCGTCGTTGACGCACTTGACGAGTGTGATCAAGAGCAAGACGATCTTGTGGAGGTGATAGGAACCTCGCTCCGCTCGGACAAGGTACGATGGATCCTGACAGGCCGCCCGGAAGTTCGGCTTGACGAGGCCTTGAGAAAATTTGGAGGGCATCCCGAGCCCGACGCTCGTCCCTCTTATGCTCTGATTGACCTTAATTGAGAGAAGGGCGATCTGGGCCACCGCTTTGAAAATTATCTCACGCATAAAATTGAGGAGCTTAGAAATGGCAACCCTGAGATGCCTTATTCAGATGGGGAACTGGAGCCTATTAAGACAGAACTTAGAGAACTGTCCAAAAGAAACTTTCTCTGGGTGTATTTGGTTGAGAGACATGATAGACCAGCGCCCCGAATTTGCGCGGCAAAACATCAGTGGCTATCACGGAGGATTGCCAAAACTCTATGATCACAAGCTTGACAGTTTGAAGCAAGAGATTCAAGTGAATAAAAGAGACTGGGACAGGTTTCTTCAGTGCGTGGATGTGTTGAGACTCATGAACCTGTCACAGTCCCGTCTCTTATCTGTGTTAGAGCTTGAGGTACTCCGACCCTCCACTGCGGACAAATGCGAACCAATTCAGGCCGTCTCAGACGCCCGTTCTTTTTTTATCATCGAGGCCAACCAGGTTGATGTCAGACACGAAGTAGCGGGGGAGTTTTTGAGGCGCTCAGACACGATTAGGCAATTGACCACTCTGAATCACGAATATCTTTTCACTAGATCAATTGAACGGCTGTCCAATCATTTGAAACGAGATATAGGTTTGCTCAAGGATTGGGCGTCCGAGACCCGTCGTCTCGAATCTTGCACCAACGGCCGTTTGACTGGCTTGGAGTACTGCTGTGTGTTCTGGCCTTGTCATCTACATGAGTCAATTGAGCACATGGACACGACAAAGGCAGAAGCATTGTTTGATTCAGTACTCTAGTTTCTCGAGGAACATTTTCTTCATTGGATCGAAGGGCTGAACCTGCTCAGGCGGATCCCGACTGTCCTTTTGTCGTTGAGAACGCTGCGAGCGAAACTCCTCCTGCGCTCGGCGGGTAACCCTTCACCAACATCTGGTCCTTTAAGGGCTGCTGAGCTGGCTGTGCTTCTGACTGAACTCTTAAAATATGTCGGTCGTTTCATGCCTGTCCTGGGCCAGTATCCGCTCCAAGTTTACGGCGGCCCACTTGTATTTTCTCCGGAACGAAGCATGATTAAGGAACACTTTAGGCAAGAAGGTATTGCCTTGGTCGGTGATGTTGATGGGCCCGATGATATTTCCGGCATCAAGGATGACTGGGGTCTATGTCAACAGAGACTTGGGAGTCATTGCGGTCCAGTCACAGTTCTGTGCTTTGCCCCAGATGGCCAAATGTTGGCATCCGGCTCTTCTGGCCAAATCAAGCTTTGGGCCATTGACTCTACTAATGTCGCCGCGGTTCCGGTTCGGTCATTTCAGGTTGAGGGGGAAGGCGAGCCTTGTATTGCCTTCTCCAGGGATTCTAGCTTACTTGCCACTCCGCTCTCCGGAACGATTCGCCTTTGGGCAATAAACGCCGAGACAGAGACTGCCACTCCGAAAACGACCTTGATCGAAGACAAATATTTCGTGCAAGCGCTCGCATTCAACGACAAGGGCACCGGGCTTATTGCATTCTCTCGGGATCCTGAAACTCGGTTCTAGCGCCTGGACAATGCGGATGAGACTTACCAGTGTATTGTCCCTTCCCCGTCTGACACTCGTTACTTGGTGGGAGTTACGATGTAGTCGAGCGGCGGACGGCTGGCCTTCGCGTCACGCCCAGAGGTGCAAGGGTTCTCGCAGAACGAGGATGGCAATCCTGGCCTTCAGACCGATCTCTTCCTCTGGGACATCGATTGCAGTACGAAAGCACAGCATGTAGGGTCCAGACAACGAATCGATGGTAACATTGACAGCCTCGCCTTTACTCCAATTGCGGAAGTCCTAGCGGTCACCACTTCGGATTGCTGCTACCTCTACAGGATCGAAGAGTCGACACTGAAACCAAACCGGTAGTCTTCTCTCCAGAGGGCCGTCCGTTGATGACCAGCTGGCATTCGAGGATCACCCTCTGCGAAGACATTAACTCAAGTCCTGAGAGCCAGGTTGACCGGAAGGTACTACATGATCACAACAGCCTAGTCACCTCGCTTGCATTCTCACCTAACGGTACATTCATCGTCTCGGCTGACAGTGAGGGGACTGTACTCTTCTGAAACTTGGAAAACATAGAATCCAGCGCTTCTTCCCAAGGCTCGAGCATCGACCTAAAGCCCAGCGCGTCTCCTCAAGGCCCAAGCAGAGCCACGGATGGTTCAGCCAAAAGCACGCAGGAACTGAGGCAGTATCTTGCCTTCTCCTCCAACGGAGAGAGACTGGTCTCGTTGGATGAAAATGGCAGCCTCCGCATATGGATTGTTTCAGCTGATGGATCAAACATCTACCATAAAGAAAGACCTACACCACTCCCTGAGGAGCGATCTTAGTCGTGAGCTTCATGACAGCAAAAAACATTATGCGCTTCTCTGTAGTGACAAATGGGTCGGGCTTGTCACTGCAAAGCGGTTGTTCTTTTGGTCACTTAGCCCCCTAAAAGACACATCCACTGACCTTCGTTCCGCTCATCATCAGTCATCCCCTTACTACACATACGTCGACCTACTATTTATTGCTTCGAATCCTGCCGTTCTCGCGAGGTCTTCCGATGGTAGAACGCTCGCCTCGGCGACAAAAGCCGGCGACATCTCTATCTGGGATTTGAGACATAAGCGGATGGGAAAAGAGGTGCAACGCACCGTATACGATTCATATGGCAGATACAAATTCCTCCAACTCGCCTTCTTCGCGGGCGGCAAGTCCCTTGCCATTCTTTTAGACCATGTCGCCAGTCAATCACAGGCGTCTACGGAAGCCGCAACCCAGCGAAGGCTTACTACCTGGGAGCGTGACGATGCAACTGGTAAATTCAGGTCAAAGCAGTCTCTCAATGTTCCAGGAACGTCATGGCATGACACTTCATTTTTTCCCGACGAAATTGTCGTGCATATTGGCCCTGAAAGCTTTCGACTGGAAGGGATGGCCCTTGTCCTACGCGGCCTGGGTCTGCTGTTACTTTGTCAGTTTCGGATAGGTGGATCTCCCGGGGAAACAAGAGGCTTTTTTGTATCCCCGACGAGTTCCAATATCAATCCGTGGCCTGCGATCGGACCGCGATCGCGTTTGGTCAAATTTATTGTGGCCGTATTAACTATGTTCCCTTAACCTTTCCCGAGTGTACTTGAGACCCCGTTCGCTTGGGACCTCTGTCGTTGGATCAGACTATTTTGATAGCTGTGTGTACAAGGATTCTTTTTTGTTGAGGAGCTATGGCCTAAGCGCACTCTTGGATAGTATGTTCCAGATGTGCTAATTATATTGTAGCTGATAGTAGAGATGATTGGAAACTTCAGAGATTGGATGATGCTTGTAAGCAAGGCCTAGTGAATTAGTAAGAAAATAAAAGAGGGGGCTGCTCTCTATACCCAGAAGCCTCCTCACTCTATTCAGGAATTAGACATTGCAGGATTTACATACACGGGAATAAGTCGGAGAGGAAAGTATGTTATATGAGTATCATTGAAACGAAGAACTGATAGTGAGGGACGCGATCACAAAAGAAGTGCATAATCTCATCTGACTGATTCACCTCTAGGTCCTCATTGACTCAGGCCCAGTTCAGCTCAAGCCCAGCCAACAGCTGATCACTTTCTGCACTCGGCTTGGCGACTGGCCGGCCAAGCCGCAGGTTTTTCAAGCTCCACTTGTCCGGGGGCGGCTTCGTCTCCTCATCGCCTGTATCATGATCTGAATACTCGAACTGGAACTCGGGATTAGGCGCTCTCTCGGGTTCGGTGGCTTGAGTATATCACCAGTCGGACGCGTACCTTTTTCCAACAGCGCATCCGGAGTCCAGTCGAGAAACGTGCAAGGTAGCGCCCCAATCGCGAAAAAATCAAGTTCTACAGCAATATGTTGAAGGAGCATGTTTAGATCAACGTTCCCCTCTTCTGGCCAGCCACATAGAGGACAGGAACCCAAGCGCTCTTCGCTATCGGCAGGGGTTGATTCGTGCCGGTGAGAGCCTTCCGAGTGAAGAGGCTCGAAATATGCCGGGTGTTCACGCATCATATGCCCACGCCAGTCATCCTCTTTAGTGAAGAACAGGGCCTCGGAATTCCTACAGCTCGGTACAATGCAAGTCTTGCCAGAAGCGCAATCTATGAGACGCTGCATCTTCACCATGGAATTGGATGCCTGTGAAGACACATCAAGGCTGCACTTGAAGCACTGAGGCAGGTAATCTTGCGGCCGTACTGATTCATCATCATCTGGCTTCGCGGTGCAGTGCATATACTGTTTCTGCCGTGACGGTTTATCCCGTCCTAGGGCCCGCATATAATTGATTATCTGGGGATGGGACTTATCGACAGATAATGACCGATGAAGCTCCTTCTGGTCTGTCTTCGCATGAACCAGAGCGTGGATGAACCGATGCCGACGCTTCAGGTTACACTTGATAAGACGATCTTGGACGCCCATTAATTCGGTACGTGGTGTTCTCTTCTCCGTGTCCCAGGTACCGCGGCGTTCATGGACCCAATGTATCAGCTTCATCTCGTAGTCCCGATAGTCGTCAGCGTCGAAGCTTCTATCAGCCTCCTGAACCAGAATTCCCGTGTAGATGCTGAGGCAGCGATGACAGTCGTCCTCAACTCTTCTGCTGATTTGTGTACATGCCAGACGAGATTATCCATCCTAACACAACGCGCTTCTGGTGACAGAAGACATAGCTTTCTTTGAAGGGGCACTTGGTCGATTGCATGATGAGCCCGGATCGGAACCACCTTCATGTGTTTCTCCGTATATTCCAGACCTACCTTTCCTTCATCCATGTATTTTGTCACATACTCCGGATCTCTTTGCCACGCATACTTGAATTTGGCTGGGGAGGGTCTCCAAAAGGCGTATTCGGTGAACTTTCTCTTGCAGAATTCGGCTTAGGACGTACACTCGTGTAGAAGGACGGCCAGACGACTCAGTGCGGACACTAACTCTGCCCGTTTTTGCGGTTGGGGTTCGAGGTTCATGTCGAGACTATGGGCCTCCCAAGCCACGTATTCAAGGGCTACGTTGGTCTTTCTGTGCTTCCAGGTAAAATTACTCCATTTCCCCTACCGCCCCACCAGTTCAGCTCGTAAAGCCTTTTGAGACTGTACACGCACAGGGTGGCGAAGTCATGAATAGTCAAACTGGAAGCCATGGTCATGGTCGAGATTGAACGGCAGGTTGCCTGTGTCCGTGATCGTTGCCCTGCCGGAAATCGAAATGCAAAGGCACCTACCTACACCCCGTCGAGCAACTATAGCCTGACATCTCATTCTACTGGAAGTATGGGTCCCGGCATTTCACCTATACCTCAACCACAGAATAGACCGGTCTAAGTGAAAGACTCCGTGAGGTAGGGTCTACAGCAGAAAAGAGCTCTGCCGATGAAGTGATTTGTCCCGGAAGACTACACAATGAACCCGGGCTCGATACACGAAAGATCATGATGCACCTAAGCGAGCACCACCGAGAGGTCTTTGTTCGCAAAAAAAGACAAGACCCACGAGAAGCGAAAGTCGCCGAAGTTGCACTAAGTGAGTGCTTCGACCTGGAGGGGCAGCTCCCAACCAGGAGATGAACCACACGCAAAAGTCCTGAATCTCATACTTAGATCTGCATTGAGGGCATGTTGTGGAGGGGGAAACTGAAAGGGAAACTTGATTGGAGACGGACAAGATGACACCTCATAGTTCAGGCCACAATTTCCTGATGTCTGGCTGAATGCCTCAGGCCGATCTTGACTAATCCCTAGTCACGTGATGGCTTGTTGTTGCGCTTGCTGCTGTTTCACATACTCTCACTCACACTTCACTATTTCGATAAAAGACCAGTCGAACAATCAATCTATGGTGCCAATCGCCGGCTAATCCTCCTCAAACTAGAACCTCACCATAGCATTACTGCTCACCATGTGAAACTCTCCTCAATATAATCCACCACCGTCTCGCCCACATGCCTCCGACATGCGCGCCGCACCTCGTCGCTCAACCCCCCGTTTCCACAGCACATGACCCCCATCGCGCCAACCTGGTTCTCAGCTTCCATCTGCACCAGAGTCTGCAGACTTGGTCGACCGGAGAACATTTCGACCGTCGAGCTGGGACTCTTGATCTCCCGCGGATTGCGAGGCCGAGTCACGAACAACTTGACGCGGAGCACCTCCCTCCGACCCGGCAGCGCCAGGACCTCCGTCATCCAGGGACGCAGCCATTCCAGATGCTCGGGTGACTGGACGATCCACACTAGCGTGATTTTTCGCGCTGAAACGGTGCCGGCGGTGGACTTCTGGATGAGATGCGGCATGAAGGGAAGACAGTGCGTGATGCCTACCCCTCCGGCCACCAGGAGGACAGTCCCGTACGAATCGAGCGAGTGGAGGCTCCCATATGGGCCTTCGACGAGAGCCGCCAGTCGGAGTGGGGGTCCGCACGGCGACTGCAGGGAAGGGTGCATCGGGTCGTCGGGGTAGGCCATGGTGCTGCGGAAGGAGTGCTGCTGGACGAGGGCGGCCTTGAATAGCTTGTCGGTGAACCCCGTGCGACGTCGGACGAGGAGGGAGAGGGACTTCGGGGCAGTCCAACTGTCGAGACGGTCGAGCGGCGATTTTTCGTGCACAGGCATATCCCCACCCCATGCCACAGAGAACGGGTGGGATGTCCAGCCACCAATGGAAGGAATATACAAGAAGAGATACTGGCCGGGCGAGAAGCACCAGGGTCGAGCAAGGTCAAGCGTGATCCGCATGGTATCACCTGGAAGAGCTTCGACGTAGGCAGTGGTGCGGGCACCTGCGCGGAAATTGCGATAGACCAGGATGAGGAAGCGGGTAAGACGCTGTATCAAAGGCCTCCAGTTAGTGCTGGCCGTTGGATCACTCTAAGACCACATCCAACATCCACCCACCTCAAATGTCCAGAATGCGACCGCCGCGTACAGGTAGAATCTGCAGGAGTAGCGGTAGACGTGATGCCACACGAACCCAGTCGCTATGCAGGCGAGGGCGATATGAAGATGCAGAAACGTCTCGTAGAATGCATGCCGGATTGGGGAGGGCGACTGGATCAGTATCACTAGCATTGCAATCATACACTACTCCTGTCATTCATGCGTACCAGGTGGCATCGGGGAATTGAACCTACCATCAGGCCATTGAACATGAAAGGCTTGCTGAGAGTCCCCAGCATAGCCTTGCACCCGTCTACAGAGGGTCAGACATTCCCATTCATACCGTGGCATAGGAGAGGTTCGTACAATTTTGGACCTTGGGCACCCCCCAAGCGATAACATGTGCCACTGCTCCAGCACCACGATCCGTCCCAACCACCGATGCAACAGGTTCCATGTGTCGAAGGAGACATGCAGCAGCGGGATCAACGGGTTGTTACGTCCAGCCATGACGAACAGGGGAAACAAATTGACCGTTGCCATGTAACCTGTCCTGTTCCGGATCAGTGCTGCAACGGTTGACTCCTTGGATTCGAAAGGAATGGTGACTGTGCAGAGAGTCACGTTCAAGACCACAAGGAAGGTGAGCAACAGGGCGTGGAATCGACTAGGCAAGGTGCCCATGTTGATGGCCTGTGAGAGTTGCATTTCACGGTTGTGGCGATTGCGCCAGAGGGGTGCATAGAGAACATGGCGCTTGAGCCACGCCAGCCGCGAGTCTGGAATCTGATGAAATCTCTGGGATGGGTCGGTGAAGGTGGCCAGTCGACGAAGATGTGCAGCAAGCTGAAAGCAAGTCTGCCAGAGGAAGACCATGACGATCAAGCATGCAAACGCCCAGAGGGACACATAACACAGCTCATCATTCAAGAACGCATACCACATACTGTCTCCCATGATAGGCGAACTGGTCACTGTGAACTGGTTAGCCCTAGGAGGAACGGAAGCCAGATAGCTCAATGCTCGATCACGCTCCGCCGATGAAAGGAATGAGATTGGGATTGTGGTCCAGCCACAGCCCTGACGAGCAAGAATAAGGGGATGGAGAACCAGAGAGGGACTAAGAAAGAAATGAATTGCAAACCACTGCAGCAGAGGCAGAACCAGAGATCCCAGACTAAGGTATAAAAGGCCTTGCCAGTCGGTTTTGGGTGGGGGGGGTCGGAAGTAGTAAAATGGACCTCATTCCGAATCAATGATTGCTGCCTGTCACTTAAGCGCCAAATGGTCTCCTGGCAATTTCCCTGTCTCAAGCGAATGCTGGATCAGAGTGTATCGGTTGGACGACAAGCGCCCAGCGGTGAATGGGTCGAGTCCAAGCTTTGTTTCGATGATATGACAGCCCCATTCTATCATAGGGCTGACCTGGTCGATAGACCTGACTATGCAGGAAATAAATAAATTGCTACTAGGTAGTGAGTACTGTACTGTACATACCTCTAGGGCTAAGCACCTTGCACAAGCCCCTCTCCGTCAAGCCTATTGCCGAGTTGCTATCTCTTGCGCTGAACATGTGGAATATGAATATTTCTCACAACACTGTTCGAACCACTGCTCCAAGGCCCTGATTTCCTCGTGTTCTGCTTCAGGGTAATCGCCTGCATCAAGAGCGATGAGATTGTCGGCCCCAGTTCAAGGTTGTTCTCGCCGCAGCGACCAAAGACGGGGTCACACACACAGTCACACACACAGTCACACACAAGCTACTCAGCTGATACTGTACTGTACGTAACTGTAAACGTAAGCTGCTTGCAAAGCTTGACTTGCACCATAACTGGTCAACAAAGCGCGGTTAAACAAGGATGATTTACGGTAACCGACCGGATTTTGTCGCCATCACAATGCTCGATTACGCGCCCAGCAGGACTTGCCAAAGTTCAACTAAACAGATCTAATTGCCCCAAGAGGCTACAATATCATACAGTACATTCCGAGCGACTATGGTCATCCAAAGCAGTAACCCAATCCATCCAGCAAGTCCCTCGCAACGACATCGATTCCCCCGGGCTGCGAATCCTCCCGCCCGAACGCCAAAAACATCACATCATCTATATGCCCGTGATACCTCTGGCCTGCCTGCTTCCAGCTAATCGAGGTCACATACAGCATTTCCGACTGATCCTCCTCGACGCTCGATGCACCGCGTCCATGGATCCAGACCGGTTTAGTGGAGACACCAAACACCTCGAACGGCTCGCGCTGGCGGAAGAGCATAACGTACGGCTCATAGACACTGTGAAAGGCAACATACTTCTTATGTTGGAAGATCGTGAAGACAAAAGTGTTGTCCTCACTGGGCTGACAGTTGGGATCCGCCCGGTCGCACAGCGTGATCGCCAGCGAATTGGTGGCTTGGTGGACGGACTCGTGTCTGGGATCTGCCAGCACCGGTAAATACCGCCGCAGACAGGGCTCGTCGACCGGCGCAGCAGCGGACGCCAGATCAGGTCCGACCGAGCCATCGGCGATGCTCAGCAGTCGGGAGAAGGCGCGCGCGGGCGCAACATCGTAATGCACGTACGCCGACCCCTGCACGTCCCAGAACAGAAACCAGTTCTTCTCAATGAGGGAATAGCCTGGCAGCAGCGGACGCTGCAGCTCGACCGGCTGCCGGTACGCTGGCGTCTGCATGATCTCCTCGCCTGGCCAGTCGACTAGCACCCGGAAATCGATCGCCCACTGGCCAAAGCAGGTGTGCTGCGAGTTCGAGCCATACACCGCGTATGGTCGGTCGGGCCCGTAGAAGATGCGCGCATCGTGCGGGCCCAGGCTTATGGACATGATTTCCAGTTCGCCATGGCAGCGCGTTTGGTCACTGGTCGTCGCAGCGACGGGCAGGATGAGCGCCTGGTCAACGCAGCGGAGGGTGCGACCATGGTCCTGAAAACTGGCTGTGCACACCAGCTCTGCGCTCCAAACAGAGAGTGGCTCCGTCTCGGAGCGATTGCGGGTGAGTTGCGCCGTGATGAACCATCTGTCCTCCAACACAGGATGCGGGATGATGCTGGGATTGAAGCCTTGATGTGACCCGAAATCGATGTGAAAGTATCTCTTGTCAGGGGTAGACGCCGAGAAGACCTCATGGTGTATGTTCAAGAGGTCAGCATTGGGCTGGATGTGGTGGTCAGAGTCCGTCTCTAATGAAGATGAAACCCCCCTGTAGAGATAGAAGAGGGTGAGGAGAAGGCCCACGAGGAGCCCGGCAAGGGGCACAAGGCGCATTAGCCGGGCAGACATTGTAATGCTTAAGACCAGACCTATACGACCAGACCTGCAGGAAAGGAAATGAGATTGAGAGAGGGGGGTTACGTGGGTTGGGGGGGGGGGGGGGGGGGTTGCAAAGCCGGGGAGATGAGATGGGATGTGGTCTGGGTCCTGTTGACGGAAAGCTTTGCAAGAGTTAGATAAATTAGGGTTGCAGCCAAAGGATTGAACTTGCAAACTTTGCAGAGCTACTTAGTAACAACAGGACTGAATGGCTGTCATTCACGATCGGCGAGGGGGGGGTGGGTTTTGGGAGGCCTGAGCAGCGCTTCTTCCCTGTTTGGGGTTGGGTGACTCCCCGGCCCTAATCAATGAATTTAATTCATCCCAATTTCCCCGCTTTCGCTCCGTCCGCAATGCGAGTTGATCAGCACTAATCAATCAGCATGTGAAATTGCCTGATTGCCAGGGTCTGGGGGGAAAGTAATGAAAGTAGTCTAAGACCGAGACACTTTCCCGCTCTCCTCTCTCTGCTCTCCAACATGACTATCAGTGATAGCGCCATTCCTGGGGACTCTTGGTTGGGCTCCGAATTCGGAAATGACCAGACAACTCATGGCTAACACAGTAAGCTAACAGGAAGAAAAAGAAAGAAGAGAAAGAAAAAAGAAAAGTAAATTGGAAAATCGGGGAGAAAAAGATGACCCGAAGCCAGACAATGCACACGCACTCATTTCTACACTAACCGTCATTTCCCAGAGTCCGTCGGTACAGCCACTGCGCTAATCGCACGCTCGGCTCATCGATCCATTTGGTCACAATCTCTGCCAACCACAACGTAACCGGCAGAAGGATCAGCTGGGGTACCAGGAAGCTCACTTCCAACCCCAAAGGCCCGACGCGCGGCAACGGCAGTCGGTTAATCCATCCAGGGCAGTTAGATGCATGTGAATCGCGCGCCCATCCCACCGCTGCGTACAGACGATCGCCCAACACCCACAATACAGGGCCGTGCACGAGGTAAAAGGCGAACGAGATGCGCCCGAGATATTGGTTGAAGGGCGTCTCGAAGAATCGTTTCAGCCAAGGCATGCGCGGGAGACACGCCACCAAAAAGGTGGCGGCCCAGAAAAGATAAAACCATTTCTGGTCGAAAACCGCCTGGGGCTTCAGGAATGACAGATAGTACCAGCCCGGGGACTCGCGAAGAATCTGCACTTCCCAGCCGTGCGATGGTACTCCGCCGAGGTAGAGGCTGATCGCGAGGAGGCCAGGGAAGATGACCTCGCGATATGGTTCCAGCATCAGGAAGAAGTCCGGCAGCTGATCCCGCGCCGCCAGCTGATCCAAGTCGCACAGCAGCATTCCCGACATAAACAACGCCCCGAACCAGCCATCGGCAATGTACAGGAAATAGAAAACCAGGCCAGCTTCACAAGCTAACCGCATAAATCGGCGACAGCGGGAAAAGGCCAGAAGTGCCGAGTAGACGATGATCGATCCGCGGAATTCCACCGGGATAGACCAGGAGTGAAAATTGTACGTGAACCAAGGCTCACCACCGCCGCGGAAAATGAAGCTGAAGTTCTTGAATTCGGCGTACCAATTCCAAAGTTCTGCGCCATAACTGCCTTGCAATTCAGGCACGGTCTTGACTCGGAAAACGTGAAGGAAGGTCATGTAGATGAAAGTCGTGGCAATAACCGGAAGGAACAGGCGCAGCCAGCGACGAAACAGAGCTGACGCAAGATTGTCGCTCAACGCAAGACGCTCTCCGGCGCTGATTAATGCGAGCGGTTTCGCCGATAGAACGTAGCCGGAGAGCACGAAGAAGACGCTGACTGCAAAATGCCCGCCCGAGAAGAAGTTGCGAATACCGGGAAAAGCGACCAGATAGCGCTGGTTCTCGAATCCGTACGCGTTCTCAAAGATGCGCTCTGCCCCAACGCCGTCATGAGCCCAGAGCTCATGATGACCCCAGTATACCAGCAGAGCGGCAAACCCGCGAAGGCCGTCTAGATAGGCTGTTCGTCGAGGTCGAGGTGGTGAGTTCGGTAATTTTTCATGCTCATGGCCATGCTCTGTTCGAGACATAAACTCCGGGCACAACCTCTCCATCCAGCGCGACTTTGGGGGAGGAGGCGGTTCCAGCAAGGTGGACTGCCACTCGCCGTCTTCCAATGTCTTTTCATGCAATGGAGAAAGCAAGAGAGCTGGCATGATGACGATAAGAGCTTGCAGCGTGGGTAAGCTGGGTTTGAGCCCCCGAGGTGTGTGATGCGGAGGAGCGATATATGAGGCATCCCGCGGCCCCGCCGTCAAAACAACCGAACTCCGACTAGGGGAAGCGATCGACTGGGGTAGGAACAGGGTGAGGGTCTTTAGCGGGAGACACATGTCTCGGAGCCATTGCCTTTCATGGTCTCTGCTCGTGCGCCACCCGAGGCTTTTCCCCAGGAACCTCCGAATAGTTAGAATGCGATCATCCTAGGTCGATAAGGGCCCCGCCAATCGACTAGCTCACTGGATGCTCGAGTTGGGGACCCTAGCGCAGCTAAAAGAGCTTAGCGACTGTAGGCCGGATTTGACGCATATGAAGCATTCTCGTCACGGTTGGGGGTGGGGAATTTGAACGATACTCGCTCCCTCATAAACGTCCAGATCATCGGCCCACGCTGCTCCTCCCCCGTCAACCACTGCACAGTCACGAAACCACATCGCCCGCTTTCTCACCCTCTTTGCCTGTGTCTCTGCTCGTTGCGCTCGAGAGAATGCAGGCAAACACTCCTCTATCTGGCGTCTTTCTCCCACGCCATCTTCGTCGAGTTGCCCCCCTTTTCTTCTCCGCCTTTGTGCTTGTGTTCTACCTCTCCTTGACTGGGACGTTTGGGGAAGTAAGTGGCAGTTTCTCCGACCCTACCACGCGATATAAGCTCTTCCCCCGCAAAATTTGGCAATCGTGGAAAGTCAATCCTCTCGCCTTTGAATTGAGAGATCTTTTGGTCGCGCGAAGCTGGCCGGAGAAGAATCCGCGTTACCGCTACGAGGTGTTGACCGATGAGAATGACCTCTACTACGTGGAGACTCACTACGGACCGGAAGGACTTAATCGCCCGGACATTGTCGAGGTGTATCGCTCTCTGAACGCGCGCATCATCAAGGCCGACCTGTTGCGATACTTGATCATGTACGTTGACGGTGGAGTATGGGCCGACATTGACGTGGAGGCCCTTCGCCCACTGGACCGCTTCATTCCGGAGCGATTCACCGAAGACGAGATGGATCTGGTGATCGGCGTTGAGATCGATGAGCCCGACTTCAACAACCACGCCATCCTGGGCCAGAAATCGCAATCTTTTTGCCAGTGGACCTTTATGAGCAAGCCACGCCACCCTGTCATGATGCGGCTGGTGGACAATATTCTTGCCTGGTTGCATGAGCGATCCGCTCAGCAAGGCAAGCCTATCGGCGAGCTGGAGCTGGACTTCGACGACGTGATCAGCGGCACCGGGCCGTCCGCCTTCACCTCGGCCGTGCTGGCGGAGATGAGCTTCCGTCTGGGGCATGAAGTCACCTGGAGTACCTTTCACAACATCCCCGAGTCGAAATTGGTAGGAGGCATTCTAGTGTTGACAGTCGAAGCCTTTGCTGCGGGCCAAGGCCATTCCGACTCTGGCAACCACAACGCCCGAACCGCACTGGTCAAACATCACTATCATGCTTCCAACTGGCCCTCCAACCACCCCCGCTTTAGCCACCCGGTGTATGGGGAGGTCGAGAAGTGCAACTGGAACAAAGAGTGCGTGCGCGCATGGGATGAGAACACAGCAGCCTTTGCCGCCCTTCCGCCCGACGAACAGGAGCGTCAGATCGCCCTCAAGCAAGCCAACGACGCAGCCGAAGCGGAACTGCAATTGAATCTCGGGATGGACCTTGGCTTAGATCTTGGATTGAACCTCGGCCAATAACCTCATCCGAAAGGAAGGAAGGGTCTATAATATTTGGACGCGCGCGAAACCCCTCTTGCCGCGGAGGTCGCAAGATGCTTCGATCGAGCCGAGGGGGCGTCTTGGGATGCTGGCGTTTGGAGTGGCTAACATGACGGTATGCTTCTCGTTTGGGATGGTTGGCGAAAGAGTATATGTTTTGCGTTCTGCTTCAATAAATAGTCCAAAAGGCTGCATGGATTGATTCTGTTTTGATTGCATTGTCCGGGCCTGTTCAAGATCAGTAGTTGTCTACTGGGGGATTGTACGTGTCCCTTGGTGCCTTCATGATCCCAACTCTGCCTGGTCGTTGTGCTGCGCTTCGTTGGTCTTTCAGCTGATATCCGTAGAGGTCGGAGGTGCTGAGTTCGCAGGCATCTTCAGCGAATTGGCCCCCTCGGAGTTTTTACATCGTATCCGCGGGGGATATATGTCGTAGACTAGTGAATATCATCACCGCTAGTCGCCCGTCATTCAAGCATGGGGTACTGTAACGATCAAAAAGCCGTAGTAGACACAATCAGTGCTTGTTGACAATCATCATCACAGCACGAAGTTGGACAGACCTCAGACTCAGTGGACGCAGTGCGACCTGAGTACGCGTGATCCATCACGTGCAAAATCCGGCTTGAGTCTGTTGCGTCGAGATGAGGGAAAAGAGCGAGTGCCAAATCAAGGGGTATCGATTGCTTCTATGTAGATGGGTATATACAGGCTAGATGATATGTAACCGCTAAAACACTGCCGTAAGTCGTGGAGGGGATGAGACAGGCACCCAACCCACTCAAGCCATCTTCTGGCAGCCAACGAGTTTCCTAAGCACCATGACTTCCGCCTCCCATTTGGCCATCTCCAATCGGAGCGCATCGCGCTCCTGAGTGATCCGATCAAGTCGCGACTCGAGATCAGAGACATGCTCGACCTGGCGCTGGCGTAACCTACGCGAAGCCATCTTGTTGCGGCGCCGTTTCTCTTGAATGCGCGCGTCTTCCGCTACTGGGGAGGAGGGGGTGTCGCTCCCTGTCAAATAGTCTGTGGATGAATGCGAGGCCGATCGTTTTGTACCTCGTCGCAGGCCTGTTGTAGAGAACGACGACAGAGAGGCTGGGGTTGTAGAAGCAACAGCGGAGGTTTGGGGAACCGGTGCGAGATGGTCAAGGCTGTGGAGAGGATCGGTGTTGGACGGAAGGAGGGAGCTGTGGCTCATTGGGGAGTCTGAGCGACTCAGGGAGGCATTCATCGTGGAAGTGGTCGCGGTCTGTGGGACGGTGGTTTCGATCAGGGAATGAAGACCGATTTCAGGATGGTATGACGGCGGAGCGAGAATCGAGTCCATATCGTAGATGAATAGATCCACCATCTCTGGATCCCAGAAGAAAGATTCCGAGCATGAGGCGATGGGCGGAAATTCACTGGTGGTGGCCGGGCTGCACGAGCGAAATTGAGCCATGGTTGTTCGGTGGGATTGGTTGGGTGGGTTGATTCGATCGGAGGAGATGCGCATAGATCAACGGATATCTGTTGAGAAGACAAGATGTGACCGAGCTGATGGCATGCAAGTGATGAGAGTCATGATCTGCAACGAGCTTTTGAATATGTACTGTACGGTAGGAAGATCGTAAATATATCATGACACTGCCGGAGGAGGAGGAGGAGGGGAGACAATCCAAACAATCCAGACAATCCTGACAAACCGAAACAAACAGGCGCGGGGATCAAATCCGACACTAACAACAGAATGTCCGGCACTAGGCTAGACTAGGTTAGCTTATACACGGATTTATTCTCAGCTGAGTCAGCGATGATGACGGATCCCACTGCACACACACTCTCTCTCTACAGACTTCATTCTTCCCCTCCCTCTCGCATCCTACACGGACTTATTTTATATCACTGCCAATCACTGACTATTTCCACCCCACCCATGGATCCTATCTCCGGACATGGAGATCATCCTATTACCACATCGGCGAAAAAAAGAAAGCCGAGACCCAAGCTCTCTTGTGTGCCTTGCCGTCGGAAAAAGTGAGCCAGCCGTCACAACTCCACTGCAAGGTTGCCCTCCCCACTGCACCCTGTCGAACCCTTCCGTGGCTTGCTTCTGGGCTTGCTTCTGGGCTTGTTACTGCGTCCCACCTTTCCGCCTCTGATTGAGCATAGTATCTGCGCAGAATCGACTGATCCCCGTCCTTCCAGATTGAAATGTAACCGCAATCACCCTTGCGACAATTGCATCAAGCATCGTCGGGCGGAGATGTGCCATTATGTGGGTCCGCAGGGAGTCTCCACCGGGGAATCCCAGGACATCAAGTACTATATCCACAAACTCGAGGCCCGTGTGCAGCAGCTGTCAAACGAAAATAGTCTGCCTCCGCCACCAGAGGTTCCGGTAAATCTTGCCTGGACTCCGGGCATGCTACTGGCGGACCCTCGGCCAGAGGTACAGCCAGTCCCTCCGGCACCCGAAGCCAATTCCGATCTGCAGCCTGAATATCCGGGAACCATCCTCATTCAAGAGGATGGTACGAGCTATCATAATCCTACGCATTGGCAAGCTGTCTTGGACGAAGTCAGAAGCCCCACCCTATATCCTTCGTGCCGACACCGACTGAGTGATATTATAGATCGCAGAGGTCAAGGAATTCTTGCAAATGAATGAAAATAGCTCTCCGGAGGATGCGGAAGAGGAGAGTCTGGTCCCGGAGGTTTCAGGCCCAGTACTCTTGTTCGGAAACACGATCTCCGCGACCATCTCGGAGCTTCTGGCAGCCTTGCCAGCTCGATCGACTGCAGACAGGTTGATCTCCGCGTACTTGAACTCCAGAGAGTCACCACTGGGTAACTATCTCTCGAACTGATCTGTCCGAAGGAAGCTGAATTGTCTCAAGTTCTTATACATACTCCGACATTCACGCGCGAAGTAGGTCATGAAAGAGCATATCCACTCCATGCTTTGTTTTCTAACGCGCGGCACAGTACTCTGCTTTCTGGAAGAATCCTTCAGGCGTATCAATCAGCTGGCTAGCCTATCTATACACCATTCTCAGCGCTGCGGCTGGGCTACATCTGTTCACCACTGCCGGCAGAGCCGATGGACATTTTGCGGAAGCATTTGATCAATATTTCACATTGTCGTCACAATGCCTTACCATGGCCGAATACACAAGACCGGGGCGGTACAAACTCGAGACTCTCCTCCTCAGTATTTGTTGTGAGATCCTGAGAAGTACAGATACCCATGTCGGACCGTCAATCCTCCTTGGCCTGGCAACTCGGCTCGCTATCCATAGCGGCTACCATCGTGACCCCAAACATTACCGCGAAATATCGGTATTTGACGGGGAGATGCGACGCCGTGTCTGGATGTATCTCTGTCTTCTGGACCACTACATTTCGTGTCAAGCTGGTCTTCCACCCACCACAGCGCAGGCGCAGTCTGACACCTTGGAGCCGCGGAACTTGACCGATGATGACTTAGATCCATCGGCCACGACTTTACCTTCTGCCCGGCCGTCGACGGAGAAGACACCCATTCTTTTCCCGGTAGTTCTGAATCGGGTGATGTTCGCAGGAGCCGAGATTAGTCGCAAGGTCTGCTCTGTCAAGGGAGTTCCCTATCGAGAGGTGCTGCGACTCGATGCCAAACTACGAGAACTTCATGCTGACATTCCACCGCCTTTGCGATTCCGTCCGCCGAGCGAGTCCATTGCAGACCCCCCTACTACGATTATGGACCGCTATAATATTGATCTGATGTACCAGAAAGCTCGATCAGACCTTCATCGAAGATATTTGACCCAACATCGCCTAGATCCCAAATACGCGTTTTCACGCCGGGAGTGCTTGGACGCCGCAAGACGGGTCTTGCAACATCAATCCGATATCTTCAACGAGAGTTCACCGGGCGGGCAATTGAATTACGCCTCCTTCTTCTTCTCGTCCTCCGTGATCATGCATTTTCGTGTTGCGGCGATGATCGTTTCGTTGGAGATCTCATGTCAATCCCGGTATGACCTTCAACAGAACCTGCCGCTCACTGTACGACAGGCAATACTGGCAGAACGGCAAGAGCTTTCTCGGGAACTCGAGCGCTCTCACAACATTTGGAACCATCTTCGTTCCCAGTCTAAGGAAGCCATGAAAACGGCGGATGCTCTGCGGATCATGCTTCACGTCGCAAACACTCACCTGCAGCATGGCGCAACACCAGGTGGGGATCAACCCTCCCCGGCTCTCGCGGATACTGGAATGATCAATTCCTTCTCGGAACTTGATCTCGTGCCATCCCACTTGACCACGCCACCGAGTCAGAGTCAGAGCCCTCACACTGCCCTCTTTGATGTCGACATCATGGATGCAACGTTCTATCTAGGACAGGACGTGGGTTCGGATCATGCACAATTTGCTGCTCCTACAGATAACGTCGATTTCTTTGATCGTTATTGGGACAACCTGATGCTTCTAGGCGACGACTCATCGATCAATCGATTGTGCATGGATCCCAATGCTGGACTCGAGTTGAATTAGTTCTAGCGGCTGTTGGTGGTCGTCTCAGCCCATATAATGAGGGTTAACCTTCGCTAGTCATCAGGCATCATCTCACCGCGAGATCCAGTGCCTGACATTCCTCGTCAGCCTTGCTCTCGGCTAACACGCAGCCTCCTCCATCGGACGGGGGAAAATGTGTATAGTGATGCCATCAAGCAATCCCAGCTGATCTACAACTTTATGCCGGGTTAATTCTAGCCTGCAAGCTAAAACTACAATCTCTTATCGGCGGTGCCACATCCTGAATCGCAAAAGCAGGGATATATATAGAATCTATCTCAACTTCATGTCATGGATCATGACTACTGTTCAACATTGACTGGTCCGTGGAAGACGCCGTATGGACGGGGTCTATAGGCCCAATCCTCAACACACTTAGCCCGCGTACTCCCTATTGGTCCCAGTAAAACTTTACCTTCCGGAACCAGCTCTGAATGATGTCCTTGTGAATTATGATATGCAAATGATACGTCTCGCGGCCGGGCACATTGCACCTACGGGCCCTTTCTCGTTTCGGATCGTACCGACAGAGCCAGATACTATCACCCGATATCACCCCAACGCCGTACGAACTGCCATGCGGGAGGGTAACTTTCATGTGCTGCATCTCTCTGTTTATACGGCTAATGATAATATCGTGGTCCTGGTACTGGTAGTCCATGTCCCAACCAGGCTCGGCGTCGAGCACGGCCATGAATTTGTGGTTGGTGTTTCGCCCCTCGCGCTTGTGGACACTGAGCGTGTAATAGGCCGCTTGATTGTCGCCGCTGGTCATGACGAGGTCAGTCTCGAAGCCTTCATCTGCAGGAAAGATCTGATGCAAGTAAGGGCGCCAGGCAGTGAGCCCTCTGGGAATTCCTAGTGGAGTGAAATTCCTACCAACCATCGTAGGCCAATCTTCCGTATAAAACATAACGACAGCTGTGTTTTGTGGCAAGGGTTTTTTGGATTTCGAGCCTCGGGCTAGTGACGAGAAGGGGACTCGGAAGTCTGATTCAAAGAGTCGGTATGTATTAATGCCAAACGAGAAATCGAATTTCCCTTGAATTGGGTCGGTCTTTCTTATATTGTGTTCCGGGTATCTGAAACTGTGAACGATAATGCCACCGAGGATGAAAAGCCCTGCCATCCTTTGTTGTTTGTTATTCTTTGCACCTGGAACCTTGGCCTTTGATATCACTTTGTATTTTCTTCGAGCAGATCGAGGCATCAGGTAAATCCCTTCACCTTTTTGTGTGCGAGACAAAAGCATATCTCGTCAAATCTTGGTCTGAACTCGTTGATGCATTCGATCGATAATGATAGTGAAAGGTGGCTGTTTTATTTTCGGGAAGCTTCACTCACACCGTCATCAGCACGAGCGGCGTGGAACGGAGTCGAGAGCATCTACAGATACGTCCTTTGTGGCCTCAGTAGCGTCTACTCAGACTGTTCCTCTCTCTATGGCCGCGAACAAAGCAATGCGGATAACACTCGACGCCACCTCCATGGCATTTTATGAAGACAAAGACAAACAAGGAATGAAAGTACTAGGGCTTTATTGTCCCGCGCTTCAAAATCTAAGTGAAGGTGAAGAGTTCATTCTACGCCCACAATATACTCGAACCATACATGGACAAGACCGTGATTCTGAAATCCTGAGCTAAGCTTGAGCATTCATTTTGAAACTTCAAAACACATGTTCAACAGACTTTATCCCCAAAGGATGTTAAACCGCGCCCACTTGCCCGTCCTGACGGGCACATTCTCTGGGTCGTCGCGCACTTCCTGCAGGGCTTGTTGCAGAGGCATCTCATGTACAGAGGCTATTCTGGTCTTCTTCCAGAACTTGTATCCAAGGTAGAACACCAAGACGAGGGGGATGTCCCTGCTACCGTTAGTATAACCACCGCTGCCTGCCTCGAAACACTCACAAGTATGAAAACACGAAAGAAGCAGGATCCCAGTTTCCCTTCGTAAACACTGTAAATCCACCGGTGAGAAGAGTGACAATGCACGACACCAGTGCGAACCATGAACTATAGTCTACCGTCACCCCAAAGTCGGTTAGGCGCAGTACCCAATACATGTTTGCAGGGAAGGGGGAACTCACACGACCACCAGTTATGCCACGGCAACGCCGTGGGCGAAATTCCCTGCGCCCTGCACCCCTGAATTAAGCGGATATGATTCAGCGCAATCGTACTCCAGGAAATTAACACCCCGGCCGCCGTGAGATCCAGCAACCAGTTGAACACCGTGTACGCGCCGTTCGAGCAGCTCAGGTACGCGAGACACGAGACGGCGATCTGCAGCGCCGCGCACATGTACGGCACGCCCTGTCGCGTGGTACGGAGGAAGACCTTCGGGGCGTGGCCCTTCAGTGCAAGGCCATACAGCGTCCGCGTACCGGCCAGGATGCCTTGGTTCGAGGAGGACCAGGCAGACGTGAGGACCACCGCATTGATGATTGATGGCACGACCTTGATGCCTGCGTCGGCGGCAGCGATGACGAAGGGGCTCGTCGCCGCGGTACCGGAGTAATCGTTCAAGCGCGGATCCGTGCTGGGGACCAGCATGCCCACGATGAGCACGGCGATGACGTAGAAGATAGTGACGCGGGCAAAGACCCGCTTGCAGGCGCGAGGGATGTTGTGACGCGGGTTCTGCATCTCGGCGGCGGCCATGGTCAGGCTCTCGACGCCGGAAAAACTGTACACGGCGGTGGTGAGGACCGCCCAGAAGCCCAGTAAGCGGCCCCACGAGCCCGAGGCAATGTACTCGGCGAACGGACCGGGGTCTTTCCAGTACTGAAAGCCCAGACGAGGGGTGCCAGCCACGCCGCCGAGGTCGATCACCAGTCCCATGATGACAATGCCGACGATGAGGAGGATCTTGAGGATAGCGAGGCAGAACTCGAGCTCGCCGTATACGCGAATGAAGAGCAGGGCCACGACGGCCGAGAGAATGATCAGGATGGTCACCCAGATGGCGGTGTTCAGGTCTGTCCAGTACTGGATGAGCACGACAGCAGCCGATATCTCGCTGGGCACCGACATGAAGCAGCCGTACACCACATTCCAGCCGATCGCAAAGCCCAGACCGGGGTCGACCAGCAGTTCGACGTGTCGCACGAACGAACCCGTCACCGGCATCAACGCAGACACCTCCCCAAGCGCGATCTGGATTGCACATACAATCACCCCAACTAGCATGTAGCCAAGTAAGGCGCCCAATGGGCCCCCAGATGCGATTGAGCTGCCCAGTCCAAGGAAGAGTCCGGTTCCCTATAGTCGAGGGGATGGAATTAGCTGTCGGACCTTTCCCGAGTCTGTTCGGTGGAGGCAAGAAGAATTGTCACTTACAATCGCACCAGCAATGGCAATCATCTGTGTATGCCGCTGTTCCAGCCCCCGACTGAGATTCTGCGCTTCCTCATCTTGAACGATGCGCTCTCCAGCGAACACCTTGTTCGGTTCCTCGAGCGGCGGTTGCAAAGAGTCCTCTGGCTCTTTCGCAGGATAGATCTCACTCGCACTCATGATGCTGCTTCAAGTGAAGAAAGATAGAAAATCAAGAGGGGCGCGATCGGGCTGCAGCTGGGGAAGGGGGGGCATTCCGCGTGCCCCCAAGGGTTGGCTGTCTTTGCAGGTGCAGTGGTCGGAATTAATTAACCCTGGGATTCTGATTGGATCCCCAGCCCGACTGTCTCGGTTGGCGCGAATGGCGACATTCGAGCCATTATTCACGATAATCACTTGAGGCCTGAATAAGCCGATAAGGGGAAGATAAGCCCATGGTTAGGGCTGATCTGCACTTTGCACTTTGCATTCTGCAGCGGGAGGATTCCAGATAAGAATCAAAACACGTGGTTGTCCGATGTCTTAGCAAGCAGTAAAAAGCCAAAGATTACCATTCAGTAAGAATCCAGAGACCGGGCGAAGTGAGCAGACCGACAGCTAGAACAGTATATTGCGCAGGGTGTAGAGAATATCTTGAGACCTTTGTTAAGGAAAACAATAACCACGAGGATGTGCTTGGTGTCTCAGCAATGCTATGGGGGTAACCAGGTCTCTAAAAGCAGGATATCAAGGTGTCTTCCTCGAAATAAGAGGGCGAAGAATAAGCTGGGGCCTTGTGGTAATAATCAAGTCCAGCACACTTGCAGGTCGAAGTTAAGACAAGCTTAACTTTCTAGAGACTGTTATCTCTGTACTGAATGGTTGTGGAGATTCAACAAGAGAAGCTGTTTTTGTATTCACAATGATATACCACTCACTATGTCATTGGAGGTTACATCAGTCAGATATAGTTATAATTTAGTGAATGCGCCATCTTACCAAAGAATACCCCAGGCGCTGCGGCGACCAAGTCTTTCAGTCTTGCACTATATTTATTGGCAGTCCATGGCTGCGTTTTCCTTACAACTATCTCATTGTGTGACGCTTTTTTTTTCATCTTACAAGCTTTACTTGGGCATACCTCTTGTCTTGGTCTGCTCCTCATCGACCGCCCGTCTTGTTGCTCGTTACCGACCATATTCCACGATGGCGATCATCGCCAACTACATCATCGATGCGACAGGAGAAGTCACCATCGTCCTAAGCACCAAGGTGGTCTCCTTTCCAGCCCCGGACAACGCGTCTCCTGAGCTCGCCGCCGCGGCCGCGAAGTCCGACATGTCCCTTAAAGACGTCGAAGCGCGCATCCAAGTCTCCGCGAAGCACCTCAAACTCGCATCGTCCGTGATGAACCGTCAGCTCACCGGCGGCTTCACCGAGGCCCAGGAACTACACGAGACAGGCAAGGTGGAGATCAAAGTGGAGGGCTGGGATCTGGAGGCGTTGTTGATTTTGTTGCGCATCATCCACGGTCGGAACCACCAGGTGCCCAAAATCATCACGCTGTCGCTGTTCGCTCGCATCGGCACCTTGGTGGACTACTACGCCTGCCAGGAGACCGTGGAGATTTGGCTGCACATCTGGAAGTCGCATCTGGAGGCTCAAATCCCCACCACCTACAACGCGACCGAGATCGTGGAGTGGATCTGGGTGTCGTCGTTCTTCGATATGCCCCAAGTGTTTGACTGCGTCACCCTCCTCGCGATCAAACATGGCGACGACCTCATGGACTCTGGGGAGTTTCCCATCAAAGCGAAGATCATCGGTATGCCAACTCCTAACTTCGTGTGAGTGATACCATAACTAACACCACGCTATTTTGCCACACAGAAACGATCAACACCCACCGCGAGCAGTCCATCGCCAGCGTCCTCGCTCTGATCAGCAGATGGAGGCACGGGCTGCGCCAGGGCGTGTTCGGCTGCACCTTTGAAGGTCGCTCTATTGACTTGGGTGCTTTGGAACAGGGTCTCTACGTGGCCAATATGCACCAGCCTCCCACCACTCCGTATACTGGTTGGAGCTTCTACTCCCTGGTCAGCCATGTGAAGGCGTTTCAGGAGCCCCTGTCGCAATGCAATCCCCTCAGCTATCTCGATCACGCCAAATGCGATGCGATCCGAAAGATCGTCACAGAGGTGGAGGCTATTGAATCGGAGATGTTGGGGTTGGATCTGGCTACGTGCAAGTGAGAGGTGATAGTTTATGAAGTGGGTTCATGAAGTATGGAAGTTATCTGGCGTTTCATTGAGTTGGGTTACAAGCTTGTGCTGGATACATCGGACAGTACGGCCGTCACTAAAGGGTAGTGTAGGGTGTTAGGAAATGGAATTCGTGGTCACTCGGTCGTACTAGAGTCAAGGCTTGTTAAAACTATTTTATTTCCCTAGGAGTACAGGGAGCTAGAACACGTACTGCTTGTTTCTGTCGTGGACGGGATGTTGTAGACGGCATTGGTCATGGTAAACCCATCGTGTTATCCAAGCTGGCGTTGATTGAAGGAGGCGTAACGAACGGGGTTTCACGAAATTGTTATGGGTGTAAGTACCGACTCCTTGAGCATATCTGCGATTCAACAGCGACAGGGCCTCAGACACAAACACCAGAGTCTTCTACCTGCTATCTGTGACCCGGTTAGGTCGTTGAACCAGGATAGAAGGTCATTTCCTGCTTCTCAGAAAGAACTAAATGATCAAGCATCAGATAGAGCCCGAATTTATCTTCTCGAAAATGGAACTTGGTCTCATCATCTTTGTCAGCTGCAAACCATAGGTCAGTTGGCTGGACTGTCCTGGCGTGGCCACGTAGAAAGCCATTTCTGGGAGAGAAGTAGTGGTGGAATGGTGGGAGGGTGCATGGTGTTGCAGCTAGAGGAGATGGTAGAAGTGTACAAGGACTTGAAAGCTGTTGATACAGTATATAATACCTGCAGGTCATTTATGATGCGTTGGTGCCAGGGCAAGGACATCATAAATATTCAGCAGCACTTCCTACATCAGAGGGGCACATGTTCATGAGCCCTTGCCCCGAGCCCTAGGCCCTAGCTCGGAGAAAACTCAGACCGGGGGTCACGTACTTCGGGAAATACTTTTAGGGCAAGTGCCGACCAGCTGCCAGGCAACTCAAAGCGATGCAAGCAGAGCAACTGAAACTTGGAACTACTTGAACCATGGCCACTTGCCCCTTGCCACCAACCCAGACCCTCCCCAGCCATGCGGTCAGACAAAGTCTAAAGATCGTTGAGAAATAGCCGCTCGTCCGGAGTCAGGGGCAGAGATGCAGACCAAGTTCCATATAGGCTCCAGTTCATGGCGAGCATGCGATTCGCTGCACCCCGTGTTAGACTTCTCGATCTGCATTTCTGCGCAGATAGTTCTCCGTCTATCCTCACTGGATCAGACAATCCAAGCAATTTGAGTTGTCGATCTCTCCGAGTTTCTCCTCGTGCGGGGATACGCTTTCTTCCCCAGAAAGGTACCGCTCAGGTGAATGTAGATCTTAACCCACATCTGATGGCTGTACCCAATGAAGAACACGTCCGCCACAGACACACGTATGACTGCTCATTATTGAGACGGAACTGATATCATCTACCGTGTCGCTGCATCTCGGAAATTCCCCGCATAGGGACCATGAGGTGGAAAGATCTCTCCGTCTTGAAGTTTGGAGTAACATGGAGCCGGGGAAATAAACTCAAACTTGAGCCTTCACTTTTTAAAACTGCGAACATTTAGGCCTCGAGAGAATTGAACTTGTATATTCTCACACCGGGGACTATCTCTGTGTCTATTGAATCTATAAGGTCGTGCGTGCTAACATCTGCCAAAGCATCATGTCTGCTGAACCCAAGGACGGCGGGATTCCTGAAAGAGTCGAGACTCACACCACCGCCTCCCACCCCGTCGATACGCCTTACACCGAGTACGGGCCTTTGGCTCATGTCAATACAGCTGGAACATATCTTCCAGCATTTGCGGGCGAGTTGCAACCCGGACTGTACAAACCCGTCATAGAGCGCAAGATTGCCAACCCTGCGCCGTTGGGGCTGGCCGGCTTTGCTCTGACCACATTCGTCCTGGGTTGTGTCAACATGCAGACGCGAGGAATAACACAGCCGAGCATGGTGGTACCACTGGCATTTGCTTACGGGGGACTTGTACAACTTCTCGCTGGCATGTGGTAGGTCTCCAACCATCTCTTTCGCGCGCGGCATTGGAACCTCAACTCACTGTACTGTACCAGGGAAATGGCGGCAGGAAATACCTTTGGTGCGACCGCACTCTCCTCGTACGGAGGGTTTTGGATCTCGCTTGCCATCACTTTCACTCCTGGGGGATTCAACATTGAGGGTCAGCTCAAATCCGCTGACAATGGCTCTCTCGGCATGTTCTATGACTCGTTCGGGCTGTACTTGATCGTTCGTGCCACCCCCAAACTCCGGTTTTGCGACTAATCCTGTAGCCAGATCTGGCTTCCTGCTCGAGTTATGAGGGGCATTACTGCTGACACTTCCCATCACTTAGGGATGGTTCATCTTCACGTTCTTGCTTGTCACCTGCACGGTCAAGTCGACCGTCATATTCTTCTCACTTTTCGCCTCCGTCGACATTGCAGTGCTTTTCCTGGCAGTCGGCTACCTCCATCGCCCCGGTGGTATGCCATACACCCCTCTGCTCAAGGCGGGTGGGCTTTTCGCCCTACTGGGTGCGTTTTTGGCGTGGTATACTTGTCTTGCGGGCATCGCGGACACCAGCAATAGTTTCTTCATCATCCCTGTGTGGCACTTTCCGTGGTCTGAGAAGGGGCGGGAGTCGAGGAGGAGGAAATCTGAGGCTGTTTGAGCCCAGCCTTTGACGGACCGTCCAGCTTCTCATTATTCGAGTCGATGGACCTTTGCTAGGATATGCTATCAAGCTTACCTTTGTTTATTATGCGTCAAATCTCATGCATCGTTGTCTGAATAGTATGCCTCCATGGGCAGACTTCCATGATCTATGCTGTTCATGGGCAGTGTTTCATGACACTGTCCTCTTCAAGAATCGCACTTGTCATGGTGACCCTTCGATAGTAGTACTGGTGATACTCTCTTGCTCAGGGATACTACCTTCATTACTCGAGTTGCTCGTCAATAAGATAATTATCAACAAAGCCTTGAGCCTCCGTAAGCTCGCGAGTCTTCATCTGCACCATCTCTTCCGGCTCTCGCTGTTGATCTGGATCCAACAGAGCGATGCGATCACCCAAAGACGCAAACGGTCCATACTACTGTCGATCGAGAAAAGCACAGTAGATCTCATCAAACATGGAACTGTATCGTGCAGCCAAGCAAACCAAAACAGCCCACTCTGACTGGAATTCTCCGTGCGACCCGAGAGTTGCTGTGACTCGAGAGAGGATTCCGGCCAATCAATTCGTTTTGGCAGTCGATCATGGCCTGCAAAAAGACATGGAACCTAGGCATATAGCGACACCAGAACTCACCCAAGTCATCTTCCCAATTCTCAGGGCTTTGCAACAACAGCCACCAGGGTGTTACATGGAAAAACGCGGCCGGCGCAGTGTACGTAAACTCTCAGTCAAGAACAGCTGATACACGCAGCGTGTCGAGATTGACGAGCACATTTGACGGGCGAAAGTCATCACAGAATATGGCGAAAGGGACCGTGATCGACAATCACGCCCGTCTTCTTCACGAGATTAAGGAATAAGTATCGCGCGGTGAACTTCTTCCGGCAGTCGTCTTCGTTGTTGATGGCATTGTTTTGTTGTAGCTGCAAGTGGAAGAACTGTTGCTGCGCCAGCATCTGGAAATAATCTGTAGCCGACCTGAACGCATGTTTGGGAAAGCGTCGCTGGGGCAAATTCGCGACACCATCAGTTCATTCATGTTGAAGGTAAGCGGTCGCTTTGAGGCCACGGACGTGCCCTCTTCCTCCTTAAGTGCTCCGATGGCATCTAACTTCAATCTCGATGATTCGAGCGAGATTTTCTCCATCTCGTGATACGCTCGTTTCAAGCTTCGGTCGCTTATGTTGGGATCCAAAACTGGTCTTCCGTCCACTGAATGATCTTTAAGAAGATCAGACAGAAGCTCACCTACGACCAACGGTATCACTATATAGGGGCCGGCCCAGCAGATACCAGAGCCAAGGACTTCCGGAACAGGGATTGAGGTGTTTGCGTGTAGGTACTTCATCACTGCGACCTCATTCTGGACCTTTTCCCTTCGTAAGATGGTTCGTTCGAGAGCGGCAAAACGAATGATGACATGCTGGCCATCTTCATACCTCACACGATAACAGATGTTGAAGGCACCGCCTCTCCATAAACACGCGGCTTGAATCTTACCGGGTCGATGTTTTGCGGCCAGTCGCATCGACAGAATCTCAGGCGAGCGACTGGTGAACAGCTTCAACCACACAGTAGCCTTTTGCTCTTGTGTCTTCTCGAAATCGTGATGGAATTCCATCGCGGTACAAAGAAGCGGGGTGGTGTTGATAGCTGACTATCCCGATTTTCTGGCTGCGTAAGCACAGTGAGACTGGTGGGAGAGGTGAAGGACGAAGCTATGCTACCCCTAGTTGATGGGCTCGAATACATCCTGGTAGATAATCCTGGGTTTTGATCCTAATTAGGTATCGTTCTATGTACAGGTAATGTCGGCGCGCTGTCCATCGACACGCCAAGCAACAGGGGCGCGATGCAACCACGAATGATCATAGAGCACTCTGACATGCAGATCCATTTCGAGTGTAAATCAATTCGAGTTTGCTCATAGTCTAAATCTTATCTTGTCGCGTGGATCAGTTCCTTTATCTTCACAAGTCCTGCCGTATCCCCCTGTATTGTCTCCATTTGATCCTTGTCCACCTATCCAGGCGTGTATCCCCCACCAAAATCAACCACCCACGCATTTTCGTTATTATCGATCAGGACATTGGCCGCCTTGACATCACCCCAAACAATTCCAGCATCGTGTAAGCAAGCTAAAGCTGTCGTGACTTGTTGATCCCATTTCGTACGCAATGTCAACGGGGTATCAGGGCGCAGTGCACATTCAAGGGTTCGGTTCCCGCAGTCCACCCACGATAGCAGAAGGCCGATAATCCGAGCATTTTGTTCTTCGCACACCACACCGATGAAGTGAGGGGCGTGGGCTTCGTCGCTGATACCTTGGGCTTTCATCTCCTTGTACACACCCATCTCCCGGATCGCTGCCCGCTTGTCATCATAGTCGACTGGTTTGAAAAAGCACACAGTGCCATCGGCTAGTACCTTCCGTGGAAGCTGCGAGAGCCCTTCATCGTGGTCCGATACGCAGAGTTCTATGCTCTCGGGGACGAATTGGCGCCATGTATGATGTAGAGTAATGTCTCCTGGGTCCACGCCGGCCACACAAGGCTGTGTAGGTACGTCATAGTCCAGACGCGGCTCGAGTCGCTCATTGACTGCATAGAGGGAGTAGCGATATATTTCAGGTGATAGATAATCCCGCAGTGTCAAGGGTTGTTGATTCGGAGGAGTGGGAGTTGTTTGGGCGAACATGGGAAGAAAGGGGGTCAAGGCCCAGTGATGTAGATCTTCCTCCGCTGCATAAGACAGACGATAGTCCTCGTCGTCGCACACTGCATCCATAAAGTGAGTGTAGGTTTCCAAGGCCAACGGCGACTGACAGAAATTTGATGGGGACAGCTGTATCTGGAAACAATTTCCGTTACACACAACGGTGATTCTTGACATCTTATCAAAACGCCCAAAGAAGAACTCTCTCAGTTGCCAGGGAACGTTATGGGAAGCCATATTGACGATGTTCTTGGATGGAATCTGGTGATATGGGTTATGACAAACAAAAGTCAAAGTCAAAGGAGGAAGAACAAAGACCAGGTGCGGCGGTGGCCCCCGCCTCAACAAGTCATAAACAAACGGGCCGGTGATCGATCTGGGATGCCTTACCAGGTCCCCACGGCCTGAATGTATGAGTAAATGAGTGAATACAGCCTGGAGTAGATAAGATCTTGCCGGTTACAGATAAAGAATTCACTCAATTGTTCGGAACTCGGTGTTGCAATTTTGAAATGAATTGGTGTTACTCCCATAGACTGACTCCCTTCAGCTGTTATATCAGCCCTCCAAGCAGCCACGGGCATCTCACTACCACCTGAACAGAACCTTTTCAAAACGTCTGCTACATCAATAACCCTCCTTACCCGGTCAAGCAGGTTCCGTCATCCACTCCTCCAGGTCTCTTACCTGCAACCTGATCAGTCACGTGCTACCGTTATGTCAAAATATTCAGCTGTGGGCACGATAGGCGATCCCCAATCGTATATTGCCGAGACGCCGTTGTGAACAGCGCCACCGGACGCAAAACGGTTTGCAGCAGAGAGCTGATCACTGAGCGAGTTTTCGATCCAGCTCGCTGCCCGGCCACTGCCTGCTTATTGCATGACATGAAGCGACAAGGTTGGACATGCCGCCAGTGTGGTGAAGGTGGTAATCATATGGATGAATGCATTGGGCCCCCGAGCGGAGGAATGTCCTGCAACACGTTCTCTGTACTCGATGTCAATACACCTAAAGGTAAGTTCACCCTGGGCTTGCATGGGGAATCTAGATGCTGAAGTGAACAGTCGCGACCGGAACTTCGACATCTACATTTACCCATAAATCCTAAATCCGAGATCCCTAAGAAGAAGGGCAGCAGTGTAATACCGCGAGGATTTGTCAACTGGTTGAAGGCCGCACGCTTTAATCCTTGTGATCCTGAATCACCGCTTGGTCTTGCTCTCTTTCTGGCCATTTTAGCAATATTCTGATATGAAGAAGAGACGAATGGGCAATACTATCAATCAATCGTGGTATAATTCATGTCTGATGTGGGAGGATCTGCCAAGCACTGGATGCTACCCAGCTAGTTTTTGGCTCATATTTGGTGTGAGACTATCCAAGACATTCAATTGACTCGGTATTCGCCTTACAACTGTGTTCCTTTATACGCCCAAGCAGAATGAGGAAGGTCAATAGATTACTGGTGCTGGTGCTAGGAAGAGCAAGAATGTATTTAGCGCGGATCTTCGCTTAGTTAGTTATAGTAGTAACTGACAAGCTAACGTTAACTAAATACTACTAATTCCCGGGGTTCATTACAATACCTACCTACCTACCGGTTTCTGCCTCGTCAAAAAAGGTCTAAAACCCCCGTATTGGGATTTTAGCACGTATGAGGCGACCGCAGCTGCTTCAGACCCATTTTAACCTGAGTAGCTATATTTGTAACGGTGTCTCCGAGACATCTGCCACATGTGTCTGTTATTTCCGCGGAATGGGACCTCCGTCCAAGCGACGCGTAGCTCGATGGAGCCAAGCGCCTGCAGATACTTGACGCCATGCAGCTCACTAACTTCCCGCGGTATATCGAGCCGACCACCACGATGCCTACCACTGGCTACTCCATACATCGACTTCTGCATGCTGCATGAGCTGAAAGATGCCACGCAAACAATCTCAATATATAAGTACTGCGCTGCCGGACGGGGTTAACAACTCCGCACGCACACACGCACAAAACCAAACCCCTGCTTCATCATGGGATCCATCCAAACCATGAAGGCTGTTGTTTACAACGGCCCCAACCGTATGGCGATTGAAGATCGGCCAAAGCCTTTCATCACAGAGCCCACAGACGCCATTGTCCGGGTCACCTACACCACCATCTGCGGCACTGACCTCCATCTCCTCCAAAACGACATCCCATGCGAACCGGGCTGTATCCTCGGCCACGAAGGCGTCGGTGTGATTGACTCGGTCGGATCGAGCGTGAGCAACCTTCAAGTCGGCCAAACCGTCCTGATCTCCTGCATTACCTCATGCGGACACTGTCGCTTCTGTCGCAAGGGCATGTCCTCTCAGTGCACGTCCGGGGGATGGATCCTGGGCAACAAGATCGACGGCACCCAAGCGCAATACGTCCGGATCCCCCACGCTTCGTTTTCGCTCCACGCTTTGCCAGAGGGGATCGACCCCAAGGCCTATGTCATGCTGTCCGATGTGTTCCCCACCGCCTTCGAATGCGGGATACTGAACGGGGACATCAAGCCGGGCGCGCGGGTTGCCATTCTGGGCGCAGGACCTATTGCTTTGACCGCACTGATGATCCTGAAGCGGGGATACGGGCTCCCTCAGCAGGTGGTGATCATCAGCAGGGGCGAGTATCGGCTCGAGCGAGCGAAGGAGCTGGGCGCCGACCATGTGCTCACCACGTTCAACGGTCGCGAAAAGACGCTCGAGGCTTGTCGGAGGCTGACGGATGGAGAGCTATTCGATGTGGTCATTGAAGCAGCCGGAGCGAAAGAAACATTTGATCTATCGCAGTATTTGGTGGCTCCGGGTGGAACTATCGCGTCGCTGGGGGTGCATGGAAGTAGTTGTGCCTTCCATCTGGAGCACTTGTGGCATCGGAATATTTGTAGGCTTCCACTTTCTCACGTTAAGACCGTCAGCTAATATGAGCAGGTCTGCGGACGAGTCTCGTGGACACGAGTACCACGCCGGAGTTGCTGAAGATGGTCAAGGCTGGGATCCTTACCCCGGACACTTTTCTGTCGCATAGTAAGTCATTCCTCGATTTGCGCTTATCTGGAAGACGAAGCTAATGCCAGTAGCATTTGCGCTCGATGAGATTGAGCAGGCATATGAGGTCTTCCGGGCAGCGTCTACACACCGCAGTATGAAAGTATTGCTCACCTTGTGATATGCATGGGATGTAGTTATGCCAAGCGACGGGGCGTGAACTGCTCTGCCAATAAGATAATGATTAACATGGTGGTGATTACTTCTATTGTTCGTCTTCAAAATTCCACAGTTTGATCCGAACGATCGGGTTAGGATAGATCCTCGCATCGCCCCGAAGGACTGTCCGAAAAACAGAGTATCTGTTCTGGATTAAGGTGGCTATCTTTATGCATAACTGCATCGGTTTGAATGGTCTCTCGGATTTAGGATTTCTTATCCCCGATCTGGTCTGCGCATAGTGATGTGGTAAGTATTGCGACGACTCACAAGTTGCAATAGCCATGTCTTTACAGTTTATACACTAAGCTCTGCAAATGAAAGCATTTCATTCTTATATGAACCTCTTGTACATGGATCCTCCTGTACAGATATCCGCATCCCCACTAAACTCTGTAGCCCATAGTCAACTACAACCAATGCCTCACTCCTGCTTCTGGTCCCCATCCCCATTCAAGCCATGCATAACCCCTTCATCGCCCTCCCTCCAAACAACCCTCAAATCCCACTCCTTTAACCTCCACAGATCTTTGTCCTCCTCATCCCGCACCACATCCACAAAATAAAGCCCCCCAGCCAACAACCCCCTCACCGACGCATCCGCCCCCTCCCCGGCGCGGTAATGCTGCGCCAGCACAGTGGCAGTCAGACTCGCGGTGCCGAGCTCCTCATCGACCCGCGTGACCCGGACATTGGAGATGTGGTGCGTGGTCTCCATTTTCGAGACGGGCTCGTACACGTACGCGGTGACGGCAGCGGCGCCCTCGATGATGCGGCCGTTCAGGATGAGGCGGCCGGTTTCGTGGATGGCGGAGGCGAAGAGCGAGGGGTTGGCGGTGTCGACAGCTAGGAGGACGCGGTATATAGGGTCGATAATCGCGTCTTTGGTTTGGGGGCTGAGTTTGGGAAGGGTGTGTTGGACTGTTTGTGGGTTGGTCATTTTAGAGATTTGATTTTGTGATTGATTGTTGATTATGATATTTTGGAGGGAGTAGTGGAGGTGGTTGTGGATTGAAACTGCAGTGTCAGAATTTGTGATTTGGAAGGAGCTCAGTGGTTGTAATTGTGATGTTTATATGATTGTATAGAGATAGAGAATAGTGGTTTTTGAGCTGTAGATATAGTGCTCTCCAATCCCATGTCTGGTTAAGTCCGGGTTATCTCCGCCTGTCAGGGTGTCGGGGTTAACATGTCTCCATCGGTCAGATGGTTCAATGGAGATAACGACTCGGGAGAGGGTTGTCTATTCCCGAAATACATAATCAGTGATGGGTATGCTAATAGTTGCTGTTGGTATCAACATGTCAGCCAGCAGAATGCAGCATCACTCGATGTAAATGGTATACCGGGAAAATTATGTATCGGGCAAAGGGAATACACAGCTAGTATACATGTAGTCTAGACAGACAAAATAGAAAGATACCACCAGCCCGGCAAGCACAGACACCCCACAAGAAACACACTTGAATGCCGAGCCAGTAGACCAGCGTGCCTGATACCGTGCCGGGGATGTGGCACTGGTTCGAACAACACCAGTCTGGTGATTTGACCACGAGGATACAACAATTGAAGCAATTGAAGAGAATTGGTAATTACTAGTGGAGTAGATAGCCCCCGAGCCCTGACCTCCAGTTGCGCCAGCGATAGTACCAGCCAAGGGTGGATATCCGGTGCCGGATTGGGACTTTTCTTCAGACTCCGCACTAACTCCGACAGCAGTTGAACCCGCTTTCCTACCCTCGGGAATAGTGCTTTCATACGAGGCGCCGGATTGTTGTTGGCCTTGCGAATCTGTGCTAATCCCTCGTTCGGATACGCTCGGTTGGCTGGCCGCGAAGCCAGATGCGGATGCTGTCGCTCCGGACACGTATAGCGTCTTGGTCATTGGAACTGTCACAGTGCTGAGGTAGGTTGTTGTACTTTCTTCCGTAGGTGATCCCGAGACCGAGGTATAGCTTACGGTGGCGGTGTGGATCTCCGTGGCATAGATAACAGTGGTGATGGTCGAAACGTATTTGTCTTCAGTGGCCCCAGAACGAATAGCTGGGTTAGTGGAAGATTCAGTCGCAGCTGCAGCGAGGCTGGTCATAGGCCTGGTAGCAGCTGCAGCTGCTGCAGCACCGGTCTATCCCGCAGCTACCGGACAGATAGTAACGTAGTCCACTACTGTCTCTGTATTCAGGGGGGCAGTCTTTCGACTCGGGAGAGTCAACGCAGTTCCTGATCGGCGAGCGACAAGCTGTGACGGGGTGCACATGAGTGATGTAAACGGTGGACGTCGTAAGCTTTCCATCTCTGGATTCGGTGGGCTTGGTGGAAATACCAGAGGCGGTGGAAGTGCCAGTGAGAACGTCCGTTCGGTAAGCTGTAGCAAAACAAATAGTGGTGTAGGCGGCAACAGCCTCAGTCATATAGTAAATTGTTCTCTGTGAAGCCGGGCAGTTAAGCACCGATAAAGGGCAGGCAGTCCTGGTGTAAATCTCCGTCGTGAAGACAGTGGATGCTGGAGAGCTGCGAACGAGCGGGACCGATGAGCTCCGGTTGACTGTAGAAGAAGATAAAACATTCGGTGTTGGGGATGCAGATGAAATAAATGAGGAAACGAAGCTGGATGCGACCACAAAACTAGAAATCACCGAGCTGGACGAAATAATTGCTGTATTTGAAATCACAGGAGTCGAAGAGGCCGCAACAGCCGACAATACAACGGAGATATTGCGATACTGGAGGTCACCGTCGGGCAAGGGTTCGATTCCAAACGCATGACAACGCAGTTGATTTGCTTGATATCAGAATCCGAGTAATCATAAGGCACATAGGTATCTGTTAGCTGGGCGGATGACGAGTAACAAGTCCCGGAAACCAGAATGTGCCGATAGAGCTAGAGTACATCGAGCAGAACTCGATGCAGCCCCAGGTCTCGTCTTGCTGGGAGTTGGGTACCGAAAATCCTGCATAGCTTCGCACATTGTCGCCACGGATGACCTGGTAGTAGTAGCCATCGTATTCGTAGTAACCGTTGAGACATTCGGTCGTTGTAGGAATGGGGGAGACGGTGCAGGTATCCGCCGCCGATGCTGTAGCTGTGGGGGTTGCCTGCGTGCTGGTAGCCACTGCGGACAAGGAACTCAGGCTCAGGGTTATCATTGATATATAAGACGAAGTATATTCCACAACGGTAGTTTGCGTTGATACTTGAGTTGGAGAATCCGTGATGGTCACAGTACACGGATCGGTACTATACCGAGCGATGGCTGCGAAATAACTCTTGGATGCAATGGTCGTAGTGGCGATAATGTGGCGGAGCAAGGAGAGGACCAAACTGCATTGCCAACAGCTGCCTGCACATCAGTCCCAGGAGTACAAGTAGTCTCTACGGTGGTCTTGGGAAAGATGCTGGTGGTTGTGTTGGTTACTGTAGCAGAAGAGGTGGAATGCTGCTGTGTGCAAAGGCAGTAAGAGCAAAGGCCCATCTTCTTGCTTTGAATTGGCCCATGGCAGCTCGGAAAGGATAAAGGATTGTGGTGATGGCAATGGATGAACGAAAGACTATTTACTGTGAAGAAATGAAAGTGAATTTCAAGCAACAGATTGGGTAGAAAAAAGAAAGCTAAAGCAGTGAAGATCACCGCCAACAGAGACTGACCGAGAGAAAGAGGAGAAGAAAAGATTTTGACTTGTGGGGAATCCACCTGGGGCTCGTAATGGACATCTAGGGTCTGACAGTCTTGATTCTAGACTACTTCACTACCTACTAGTATGAATTCATTAGCTGGAATCCCTTCAAAGTGGCAGACTTGAAGCGACAGGAAAACTCTCCGCCCCGCCGAGCCCTAAAAAGGACGACTGCAGGCAACTTCCGCTTGACGCTTTTCCAGGGAGATTTGATATCGTTCTGCGTGGATCTATTTACACTGCACAACAGTCTAACAGAGGTTGGGAGAGAATTAGTGTATGAGAGTCAGCAAGTCACAGCAGATCATTACTTCGGGCCAACTCAAGATCAAGACTGTGTCGCAATGGTTAACGAAGAGATAACTCGGGCACGGAAGTTCCCGAATTATGATGCTTTAGTCCAAAGATTCGTGCTGTGGCAGAAGGAAGTAAGGGTTTTTCGAGCTCGGCTTCCACCTTCTACATAGTACCACCGGCCTCAGTTGGGCACGAAAAGTGCGTGCAAACGCTGAGTGGTCAGAACGCGATTGTCAGGGGGGTGGTTTTGTATGGGGTGGTTCGTGCGTCGGGCCGTTTTTCGACAAGCGAAAGTTCGCCGGAATTGCTACTTCAGTGGCGACCCTCCCCCGCCTTTGTCTGTCAGTTGGAATGATCTCTTAGAACGTGAGGATCGTGAGTGACCCCGTAGAGAACAGAGAGCTCTGTATAATGGCATACATCATGGAATAGGTCATTGATACAGGTTGGGTGCCCCTGGCTTTGAAAGGCAATGCGGCAGCTGCCTCTCGCTTGATAGTAAATTCACCCGACTAAGGCATACATTACAGGTATATTTCAATAACAGTTTATCCAAAATTGCAGATCATCATTATACATAGCAAGTAAGATGCATGTAATCATCTCGTATAAGAGACCCTCCTACTTCCCCCGGTATGTGCTAGCTTCTCGCGATTCATGAGATAAACCTCGGACAATGTCGAAACTTGCAGCAGAATCCCAGGGACGTAGCCGGTTGCTCCAGCTACCTGACGAGCTTCATCTTGAATATCTCCAGTATCTCGATGTCCCCTCCCTGAACCACCTAAGCCAAACCTGCGTGACACTCCACGTGAAGCTCGTAGAGGAACTCATCGCGAGATGCAAAGATTACGCGGTCGGGTCCAAGGAGGGCTACGAAGCCGCGATTAGAGGTGAATTGGAGCGTATACTTGTGAGGCAGTCACATCGATCGGGACGTCCTGGCGGTATCATGCCACAAGTTGACGGACACCGGCTGCTCAACGCCGTGCTTGCCGATCGTTTCGACGCGGTGTTAGGGTTCTTGAAAGCCGGGGCCGACCCTAATCGCCCATGCTACGCGAAGTGGCCATTGTTACATCATGCGGTGCTACGCTTTCGGTCAGGGAGAACACCGCTTCGAATGATCCAGATTTTCTTGGAACATGGCGCTCCGCCCAACGATCAAGTCATGTTCCTTCGTAGCACGGCCCTAGACTTGCTTCTTTATCGCCTTGACAGGGGGAGGTTTATCAGTAAAGAGGCTATACAGCTGCTCCTGTCTTATCGGGCTTCTCCTACGAACCAATTCAGTCTCGCTGGGCCCCTGGCTCAATGGGAATATTGATGTAGATTAATCGCTGCTCGCAGCAGTTTGAGAAACCAGCTCTAGAAAAGAAACGTTCCACGAACTGTTGCGATTTGTTTGTCAAAGACCTTATACGCTGCCATTCAATTCTCTCCCTCAATAAAGAGCTAAAGAAAAATACCATTCCGGACCATGCAGTTGGGGTCCCTCTGGGCATTATAAATGCTACAAGGCATCCATAGTACAATCACATCGAAACATCTGCTCCCCACAGTCATTGTCCCAATTGCGCCGCAAGATGACTGAAGAGACGAGACCCGCGCTTATCCTCAGGCTGCCGGACGAGCTGCATCTGCAATATGCTCAATCGTTGATTGGACCGGACCTGTCTCGCCTCAGCCAAACCTGCAAAGCACTGGAGGCCAAGTTCCGCGACAGGTTGAGCAAGGTCAGGGAAGTGACGGCGGATGCGCTCACAGATGTGCCGGAAGCCGTCCAGGGCAGAGACCCGGTGATCTTGCCGCATCACCAAGGCCGTTTATGGGTGGGTTGTCATGTTGGGCATAACGGGCAGCGGCAATACCATCAAGTAATTCGACAAGACGGGCGTCAGTACTACCACGACTGCATGTGGCAGCGACTGTACCGAGTTATTCAGGCGGGGCGCATCACAGAGCTGCAGCGCTTCCTGGACGCCGAGGGCAGTCCCAATTTGCGCCTCCGCTGCGGAACCCCCATCCTGCACGCGGCCGTGCACGAACACCAAGATCTGATGGTCTATCTTCTGCTGAAGGCCGGCGCTCGGCCAAACGATAAATGTCGGAATGGGAAACGCACGGCGCTAGACTACGTCCGCTATCCTTCCGTGGGTTGGCACGGTGGTGGAAGATGGTCTACTGCTGGTGATATTAGCCAATACCCCGCCACTCTTGTTGTTCCCCTTGTTAAATGGTTTGGTGCTATCGCCACTAGGTGTGAAACGCTCGATCACCTGAAGAACTATCATGAGTATGGGGCTGATATGTTGGTACGGGCCGTCTTCAATGGCACGAGTCTCAAGGACATGATGGCTTATCAGGTCCGCAGTATCCTGCTAGGCATGGACCCAAGGACCCCAGGGAGGAACAGCCCGCGCCGGGTTCTGTTTACCGAGGATGAGATCTTCCATATTCTGGGAGACGAGCCCTGGCTTGCCTTGGCCGGTACGGTGGGTAATGTTGATTCTATATTCGCGAGGACTATCCAATCCCACCCCAAAATAGCGCGCGCGATGGTTCAGCATGGGTTGGCTTTGATGACCGGTCCGAGACCGTGGCTAGATTTGGCTGTTGAGGCTGGCCAAATTGAAGTTGTAAGAGCACTTCTAGACCGGCCTGAGCTAGCCCCTCGTGATGCAGAATGGAAGCAAGAAATGATCCGGGAGGCAGAGGAATATCGCCGTGGTACTGCGTGAGTGGATTTGTTCGGCGCAGATACCGGTCACTAAAGCCCCTGTGATAAGCGGCGGTGCAGTTTTCATCATCAACTTAATTTCATTCATTCATTTATTACAGTTAACGGTTATGTATATGTCCTAGATAGATAGACACTTAGAAGAGAAAGCCAGGCATCCTACATTCCGCCCACAGTGGGTCCTTGACAGCGTAACTTATCCTACCCATCTTACTGAACGCCGTGGTTGCCAGCTCATAAATAGGACCACCTCTCACAGTTGCCATGCCATGGGCAACACTTACACAGGCACCGCGCAACCAAACGAGGTAGCCACTGTTCCTCCCGGTCCAAAGACAGAGATCAGCCCTTCAATACCAGCCCAGGCCCCCATTCCGGAGCACGCCAAGCCACCCATGAAATAAAGCAAACTGGGGACATTGATCCACCAATATTTCTTGAAGCCGCGAGCCCAGCGCTTCCACCCACTATCATGGCGCGTGGTCTCGCCCGTCACAGGGTCGAAGCCCTCACCGGGCAGGGCCGCATCCATCCGACACCGGAAGCCGACGTACAACAGCGCGGGAAAGGTGTAAGTGAAGTTGAGAATCAGCAGCGCACCGACCATGCTCACGATACCGTTGAGGTTAGGTACAGCAGCAGAGACGACGAAGGCCAAGATCCAGTATGCGGGGCCTAGGAAGTACCAGAGCCAACGACCTTTGGGGCTGGTGATCTCGGGCATCTTGAACACTTCCTGACAGACCTCAATGTAGACGGTCTTCATGCCGACGTTGAAATAAAGAACTAGCGGAGCAATTGTTAGAGTGCGGGCCACCACAATATCCCGCAGACAAATATGAACTTACTGCATGCAATCCAACTCGTGATGAGACTGATGATGTTTCCCGTCAATTGTAACCCGTAAGGATTAACGATGTTGTAGATGTTCGAGGCGGAGTACTGTCCCCAGAAGCTGTAGACCTGTTGGACAGTCAGTCGGATGATACAGTCACAGCAGGCTGTGAGGGAAGAGCTTACGAAGGCACCGAAGATGACATAAACGATGCAGATAAACAGTTGGGCGATGAGCATGCCTTTCCAGAAGTCCATGGGGTGGCGCATCTCGGCGAGGAAAGCGATGAAGAGCATGGCACCTCCGTAGCTGTCTGTAGAAGTGTCAGTAGCGGATCGAAGAGGCTGGTAAAATCACCAGGTTGAAGCACATACAAACAAGTGAGTCGACACCGTTGAATTGCCCGGCGAATCCGGCGCCCTGTTGTTGATATTCAGTCGGGGGAGCACCAGCGAACGTCTTAATGGGACCAATCGTTTTGATAAGAGTAGACTTTGTGACGACTTCATAGACAGGGGGATAATGGGCTGCAGACACCATACTGCGCGCAATGTTAGGGATGTTGTCAGGGTAGCCTGTGGGAAAGTGAGACCTTACATGACGATAAAGCTGACAATGTTGAGCCACACGGACATATTTGTCAGCCAGCCAAGGCGTTGCAAACTGCGAATCATGCCAAAGCACATTCCAACCACCATAACGATGACCATACAGACAATAAAGCAAAGCTTCGAGTTTGCCAGCTGCGCCAGGGTCGTACCGTTACCCAGGATCAGCACGGAAACCGTCATGAACTGCTGCAGGGACTGCGTCACGTTGATGAAGTGACGCGCTTTCGGCCCGTAGACACGGAAATAGGTATCGCCAAAACTCAACATCGGGTATCGTGAAGAGTCGAGCTTCAGGAAGACCTGCCACAGGATGTAACCACTAACACCGGCGGCAATGCCAAAGATAACATACAGCGCGGTGGCAGGACCGAATCCGAGACTAGCATACACAAAACTGAATGCCCGACGAACAAAGGTTAGCTGCTGCACAGACCACGAAATTGAGGGAGAAGGGAATACTTACGGGCAAGAGGACCAACCGAGGATGTCGGTGGTGATGAGGTAGAAGATTGTTCCCCAGCTAGCAGTGCGCAGGGCTCGAGCGGCAGTTTTCCATTCCGGGTCTAAGCTCGAGGAGGAAGCCAGCACAGTCGCAGCATCTTTCTTATCGTCGGTGGCGCCGTGTGTGATCTGGGCCGCGGCCTCTCTCTCCTGCTTTCTCTTGTTCTCGTGGTGCACACCCTTGGAAAAGCGGTTCTTGATCACTTTGCCAACTGTGAGAGTACCCCTTTCTTCCACGTACAGCCGGTTGGCCTCCTCTTCCTCGGCACGCTCGATCTTGGCCCAATACACGTATTCCTCGAAGGTAACTGAGGGATCCACACGAGCATCCAGGCCGTAGACTCGTTCACGCACCGGTGCATGGATCACCTGGTGGTCGGGGAAGTACTCGTCCGCATTGGACGCGGGCTCAATCTCTTTCTTCTCCATGGACGCAGGGTAGGTGAGAGGTAGTGGGCTCAAAATTTGATTGAAAGAGTAGAAGCACAGAGAACCTGCCAGCCGGCACGAGGGCGTGACCAGTGCTTATAAGCAAGGCCGGGCTGGTAACGTACAGTAGTGGCGAGGACTGATCCGATGTTGACCGATCGCGCTGGGTTCATTGGCACCAGACTATGCATGGAAGGGGTGGATCCGAATGCGAGGTTGCAACCAGCCAGATTCGAGGGTGTATCTCTTGATCGAGCGGGATAGAGTTGCTGATACCACTGCGTGGAGTGTGTAGTATGTTGTTTATGCTGGTGTGTGAGATTGGTGCAGCTGTGTCAAGTGGGGTGCAGCTATAAAATCGTCGGCTATGCAGGCCCCACGCAGGATAGTTACTGTCGTAGTTACTGTCATGGAAATTGATAATATCAACCAGTATCTATTGGCCATTGTCGTTTTGCTCTTGTCTATTGACGGGACAAATGGGTCGAGGCGGACAACCGAGGCAGAACGGAGATTCCCCCACAACATTTCATAATTAATACAATCTCAGGGCAATGGTGACCAAAACCTCAGCTGACAGTTGTCGATTAATGCGCACAGAGACAATGTCTACTTACCACAGATACAGATATGAAGCCAGCATTGATGTTAAATCCCTCGTATCACTGGGATGTGCTTGGGCCGCCACCCCCAATGCGCGCCACAACCATACACGACCAACGAATGTCTTATCTTTGATTGCCTCGCAAGCACTGGATCAGTCAAGGTTTCGGACCCCCTCAGCCCCGTCGGAGACCGGTAATCGAGGAGGAGCCAGCTCGGTTGGTGGAAGAACCCACCGCCAGTGGGGAAGATACTCACTTATCTTGCCTTTATCGGATAAGCAGCTGCTTGTGCCGGACTTTATCGCGTGCCCTTTTTGGTGCTCCTTGGTGTCCCTGACAACACGGCAACCCGGGGCTTGCGAGTTGCCTTCTTTGCTTTGCTTCATGATAACCAAGCCAGGGAGGCGTTTCTTGGCTGGGAATAACCCTCAACTCGCGTCCCAATACTTCAACCAGGCCAAGGTGCCCAGCCCTCGCACCCGCTTCGAGAAGAGCTTATCTCTGAAGCTTGCACGACTCCTCGACCCACCCCCAAATGCTTGACCTGGCCCGTCCGTGTGAATCGCTTCGCGCCATTCCCCAGTCTCATATGACCATGCCAACCCGAGCGTGGGGCCACCTCCGTAGGCGATAAGCGTGAGCCAAACAGGGTCTTCCTTACGGCGCCCAGCTGACAACGGCCAAGTGTAACCACTGACCTCCTTCCCGACCAAGCATCAACCCCGAGAAAAAAAGAAAGCATATTTATTCGCGCGTAAGCTGGAAAGCGTGGCAAAGTGGATCTGGGGTTTTAGTCTGCGCCATCTGGGAACGTCTGTCGGTGGTCCGGCGGCTTTGTGCGGCACCTGGCTGCGATAATGTGTAACTCGACCAACCTGCTCATGTACCAATGAAAATGGCCCAGCGATGGTTGAGATCCTGCAGGCAATCTGGGCTCACCAATGGTGGCTCCGAATATTTCCCCCTCAGTCCGACGGCGTTGGGTAATATTCCGTACTCCGTACTGCGCTTACACTGGCACTAACCCTGCATCGGCTGCATCCGCCTGAGACAATCCAACCCCCATTCAGCCAACCCACTGCAGATCAACGCTGACTTCCGGCCCCCAGCCTCTCCAAGATTGCCTCAACTACTTTCAGCCGTGCTGCCGCAATGGACTTCTGCTTCATTTCGCTCAGACACCACATCCCCGTGCGAATGTACCCCATATAACTCGGGAGATCCCCTCGTCCAACACCATGTGCCACTAAGCTCGGACACGAGGTCTCCAAAAAGAACGGATTTTGGGGTAATGCCTACAGCCATCCTCGTTAGCGATGCGACAGTTCGGAACGTCGAAACCACACGAACCCTAGCAACGAATTGACCCTGTTAGATGTGCTCCAGTGCTGAGATCACATTGATCGCCCCGTTCGCCGCGTTCTGACATGCGGAGATCAAAGTCGGATCGTCTGCTGGAGATGCGACCACGCTGCTCAAGTCGGGGGATTGGCTGCCAAGCTGCAGATGCCGGGTCGAAGACGACGGGACGACAAGCTGTAGAAATGGTCGATAAATGACGAGGTTCGCGTAGTTGTATACTTCATTAGTGTCCCTACATATCAGCATGGAGTTACGGTGGCAGGGTGTAGGGCTCACACACGAGCCATATCCATCTTCATTCGCTCTAGATTCATCTTCGGTCGGTTCGGATCCCGGTTGGCGAAGATCAAGGCTGGTTCCATCTGCGACCAGTGCTGCTTGGGGCGCTCGTGCAGCGCGACTGAGGTGTCCCATAGCCGAGCGAAGTCAAGGTCTAGGCTTTGTTGGAACTGATGGTCCTGGTGGATGGTATCGCAGATGCCGTCGAGAAAGGTCGCTTGGGGGTGTTTGCTTTCGGGTGGGCTGGGGAGGACTGGCCGTACAAGTGGAGGCCGTCCCAGAGTGACGCATATATGGCTTGAGGTCATCAGCGCTATGCATAGGGCTGGAAACTCTACAAGGGGTCAATCTACCTTTCTGTTCCAGTCAATGTCCGCAAGATGGTTTGGTCAATTGCCGTTGGCGGAGTCTTGTGTATCCCCGAAGCCAGACATTGGGCGGCTACCATCCAGGCCCAATTTCCAGCTAGCCGCCTGGTAGCAGAAGCATGTCCGCGAGTCCAATGTTCAACTGCGTGGCAGGGAGAAGATCACTACTGCTCGGGCGACAGAAACTTGGTCCAAACTCAAGGGCAAATGCGTGGTCATGTGAGGCTGAGGTGAGAATACAGGATATAGACTCTATATACTGTACAGTGCATACATGGTCCATACATGAACAGGACTAGTATTGGCGATTTATAAAACCATTTTTCAATTTCGTATGTATGCAAAATACAGGGCGATATCTTACCTGACAGTACAGGAGAGATCGATTAATTTCCCCGCAAATAGATAAGTACCCCCTTCAACCCCCCTCTCTCTTCTCATCCACTATTCCAATTCTTTTACCCAATATCCCCTCGCGCCACGCGGCCCCCTTTCCAAGCACTGCAAGAATGCCAGACACCGAAGAACCTCCCATGTTCACCAAATACCCTTCCCTACGCAAGATGGCGGCCCTGGAGGAGTCGGAGATCGTTGAGTCTCATGACGGGCGCGAAATCACCCTTCTCAAGCACATCTACGCCCATCCCGAGCTGGACACCAAATTGAGGGGTTCTCCGGTCGCCATTCTGGAGGTGATGGACGAGTTCGCCGCCCAGGAGGACTTTCTAATCAACATTGGTCCGGATAAAGCGGGCAAGCTGGCCGTCTTGGTGCGGGAGCACCGGCCCAGGGTGGTGGTGGAGTTGGGGGGATATGTCGGGTAAAGTTGAAGGGACGATTTTGTCATAAAGAGGAGAATATGCTAACTGGGGGTGGCTTGCCGAATTAGGTACTCTGCCATCCTGTTTGGAAGTATCTTGAAGGAGATTTGGACGCAGAATCACCCGAACAACGCGGATCTTGAGGGTGAGGACGACCACAGTAAGGATCAGCCCAGGCTCTACAGCATTGAGATCGATCCCCTTGTCGCCTCCATCGCCATGAATCTCGTCAGCCTCGCAGGCCTGCAGGGTTTTGTCGAGGTCGTCGTCGGCGCCTCGGCCCACACCCTGCGTCGGATGCATGAGCAAGGAACCTTCAGCGACCGGGGGATTGACCTGCTGTTCATGGACCACGATGAGGCGCTGTACGCAGCAGATATTCAAGTGGCCGAGGAACTGGGACTTCTGAAGACAGACGGCGCGCTGGTCATTGCAGACAATGTGATGCGACCTGGGGCACCGGCTTATCGTGATTATATGCGCAAGAACCCGCGCCTCCGGCAGAGTTGGGGTCTGCCGGGATTGATTGTGCCGGGGGATCTCGCGGTAGGGTCTTTCTTACCTCCCTTGATTCTTGGATTCTGTCTCTGACCGCGGAATTGTAGGACGAGATGGAGATCAGCGTCGTGGGTCGAAAGATGCTGAGCGAGAAGAAACCGAGCCGCGCAATGGAGAAGGTCGAGGAGGAGAACTGGGTGGACGAGCAGAAGCAGCCCGATCGCAAGAGGAAGGAGGTTACTAACTAAAGATACTAGCATGGAGCAGGCGCAGCGAGTGGCAGGAGTCGATGGATTCAGTAGAGCCTCCTTAAATATAAATCAAATAGGAATCCAGGATCAGGCCCTAACGCATAACATCTCAACAAGCGAAGCATACATACACACACATACTGGTTACAGAACGAGACCGCAGAAAATCGTAAAACCATCAATTCATGTTTCTACCCATCCTAAACTTAAATCAGCGACTTTCCTCTCGCATCTTGTAGCCCCAAAGCAGGCTCTGCTGGAAGATGATCGGATACTCGGCCGCCTCTGCCGGTGAGATTTCCACCCTGGCCTGCTGGAAGAGCAGCGACAGTTGCGCGGCGCTCACCGGACCTGGCCCAAAAGGGGTGTGCAGCATCGCCCGGCACTCCTCCTTGCGCATCTTGGTATCCTCACGATGGAACTGCGGGCCAAACACCTGCTCCCATATGCCTTTGACAGCGGCGATGATTGCGGCGCGTGGCGGCAAGTCGGTTCCCTCGAGTTGCCTGTCGATCGGAAGAGTGGGTGGGGATTCGGGCGCGGTCTGGTCGAAGTAAGTATGTAATTGGAATCCGTCATCGGAGACATGAGGGGCCTGGAGGAGTGAAATCGCATCGTCAAATTCGTCGAGAATGCGATCTGCAACGGAAGAGAGAATAGTTGCGGTGCTGTAGCTCAGTTTGATCTCATGCAGTCTCTCGGCACCACACTTGTCCGTTGGAGTTACCATTATCCATAGGTCGGCAGCGTCAGAGGCAGGTACATAAGCTTCGAGACTCCCCGTAGCCCCGCCAAGGAGAACACTGTCCAGATCCTGGTGCAAGTTTTGGTATTGCAGGATGGAACTAAATCGGGTGGATGGCGGCCGTTGTGTGCCGTGATCAATGATCTCGCGGAAGCCTAACATGGAATGGGGCAAGGCACCTATATATTGCTGTTGAATCGCATGCAGCAGCTCCCTTCGTGCGCTAATCGGCTGAAGCTGGACGCGTACAGGAAGCACATTGAGACAGGGACCAACAACCTCATGAATGGCTGGCAGATGATCCAAGCTGGGCCGAATGTTGGTCAAGTGGCCGAAGCCTACGTCCTGACGTTGCGAGAGACGGCCGAGCACGAGTGCCCAGGCGGCCTTGATGATCGTGGCCGGAGTGGTGGAGGCGTCGGAAGTTGATCGTGGCAGGCGAATAGTCCGGATTGTGGTCTGATCGAGGGGATAGTCTTGCTGTGGCGAGTGCGAGGAGAATTTTTTGCGTACCACGATGGGGGTGACTTGTGATCCTTGCAGCAGCTGACACCAGAACTGCTGGGCGTGCTCGTTCTGGGAAAGCAGTCGCTCGCTTTCCTCCACATACTCCGAGAACCTTGCAGGAGGGTCCAAGGCAATCGTATTGTATAACGCGTTTAGGTCCTTGAGAATGATAGGCATGCTGAGTCCGTCATATTGAGCATGAGAGATTCGCATCGTGAGACGAACATGGCCCGGGTGGACGATGTGAAGCACGAAACGGACCAGAACATCATTCAAAGAGGGAGCAGAATCACTGTGAACTAGACTGGCTAAGGGACCGAGACTGTGCATCTCGCTAAACCCTTCAAGTACCTGAAATTGAACATCTTCTGCTCGATATCGGGGAATTACTTGCTGGACAGAGCCGTGGAGAGCAACGAACCGAGTACGCAGAACTTCGTGCCGTTGCACCAAGGCATGGCAGGCATATTTCAATTGCTTCACATCGATGCTGCCGTGGAGGTCATAAGAGAAAAAGTTCAGCCAGCCACGGGATGGAGAGAAAGTCTGTGCCAGACAGTAGCTTTGGAAGTTGGTCGCCTTGAGGACCTTTTCAATGTCTCCTTCGGGGATTCCCAGTTCCAGCGAGACGAGGCGGACATCCGGCGTAATGTGACTAGAAGTAACATCGACGTCATCTGCTGGCGAGGTGGACTGAGGTGGAGGAACACTTCGTAACCTGGCCTTTGCAACAATGGCCGACAAGGTCTGGAGTTGGTGAACGTCTGCAGAACCGATATCAATGGAATGGGCTCGGGCATGCGCAACCAGGGGCATTACTAGAATAGAATTACCCCCCAGTTGAAAGAAGTTCGCATCTGGTCCAATGGACAACATATCCTGTTGCAGAATGTCGGCCCATATGGATTGCAGCGTACGGAAAGTATCCATTGGTGCTTCCACCCCTTGGGAGCCCATATTGCCCCTGTCATCATGGTTCAAGCATTACTGCTGCTGCTGCTGATGCTCTTGTTTCTGTAGACGGAGATGCTCCACTGCAAGACGACGCACCTCCAGCCGGTCTATCTTGCCCGAAGGAGATGTTGGGGGGCTGTCGAGGCGCAGGAGATGCGTGGGAATCATGTACTCAGGAAGCCGGCTTGTGAGACTGCCGTGCTTAGCATCCAGATGATGCTCTTCGCCGCGGTATTGATTAGAAAAGATGGCAAGCATCAGGATATCTACCGCTAGAATGTCAGGCGCTATTGATCGAGGAATAATCTCGACCACAAGGTCTTGAATACAGGGGAGATCGAGGTCTCTCAGCGCTTGCTGCACCTCCTCGAGCTCCAGTCGCATCCCTCTCAGCTTGACCTGAGTATCCTTGCGCCCGACATAGATCAAGCATCCATCCTCGCTATAGCGGACCATATCTCCGGTTCTGTAGCCCTTCGAATTGGATGATGAACTGCCGTCTACGCTCGGCAGCCAGAGAGGCAGGTTGGTGAATGCCTGTGAGGTTCTCTCCAGGTCATGCAAGTATTCCTTCGCGAGTGCTGGTCCTTCGATGACGAGTTCGCCAACGGCACCGATGGGAGCCAGACGGTCGGGACTGTGTACATCCACGATCCAAGTGCGACATGCCAGACCCCGTCCAACATTTGCCGGATGGGTCTTTTCAAGGTGAAATGAGCGAGAGGCCGAGCAACAGACACAGGACTCGGTCGGTCCGTAGAGACTTTTGAGGTCGACACCTATACCTACCCAGTCCGTAAGGTCAGCACTTGTCAGATTCTCACCTCCCAGTCGAAGCTTGGTGAGGCATTGAGAGACTTTTTGCACATCCAGAGTCCGCGCCACCGTGGGGGGTCATGGCGGCATAGTTGACCTGCATGTCCACAATGAACTGCGACAGGTTGTCGCGGCGCTCCGCTTCGGACGGCACGCAGAGACAACTGCCACTTATGAGGGATATGAAAATATCGTCAATGCTGGCATCGAATGCATTGGAAGAAAATTGCAGGACACGGGTGGTCTCATCCAGCTCAAAGCCTTCTGCTTGGCTGCTGTCGAAGAGGCATACGCCCCATGAGTTACGACCACTCCTTTTGGTGAACCAGTCGTCCCCGACGTGAAGACGCAATAGAAAGGATCATCGGCTCCGGCTCTGCTTAGCTCTGCAGGTTGTTTATCGGGCAGGCGACGCAGAAGTTGATGGGAAAGGCGTAACACCCGAAGTCTTCCTGATTCGAGGATATCACTCGCACTCGCGGTGAATGCTATCACCACAGTCGCATTACACTGCTCGAGTACCTTCATCATTCCATCTCGGGGAGTGCTCGACGCATCAATTGGAACAAAAGCCGCGACTTCAGAGATCACCGCCAGCACGCTAATGATATAGAGCGCCGATTTCGGCATCACGACGGGGACGAAGGAGCCGCGCTGAACCCCACAAAGCCGCAAATAATAACTGAGCCGCTGGGATTGCTCCACAAGTTGACTGTATGTGAGTGCGTCGTCCCACGCGTGTATGGCTGGAAGATCAGCGTGCTGCTTCGTGGAGTTATAAAGCATCTCAATCATAGTGGTGTCGACAGGCGCAGGAACAGAGCAATTCCAGCTGGCAATGAGGCCCAAGTCGTTAGAGCTGACCAGAGACAGGTCAGCAAGACGCATATTAGGGAATAGGTAGAGTTGCTCCACCAAGTGCTGGAAAAGGTAGACGATGCGCTGCAATGATGAGGCCGAGATGAATGCTTTCCGGTAGAAGACGTGCACCTTCCATCCTCCTGCCTCCTACATGTCGCACTCCACCACCACGGGATATGGCTGGTCGTTGCCTCGAGATATGGGGTTCGAGCTCCGGGAAGAGGCGAAAATCCCCAGCGTCTTCGCCTCTATCTGCGGCTGAATAACCAGGAGACTGTTGAAATCGCAGCAGCGAGAACAATCAGGTCCCAACTTCGCGATTTGCTGGAGCCCAAAGTGCTCGTGGGGAATGGCAGCAATCATGGATTGATTAACATGTCCGAGGAAGTCTTCAATGGTCCAGTCGTGATTGATTTGCAATCGGCAGGGAATTGTGGCCAAGGTTGGCTCCACCATCTGGTCAATGTTTTTAATAGGCACATTTCGCCCCGCCACAGAGAGTCCGAAGCGAACATCGTTGTTCCCAGTATAGGCTGTGATGACCAGGGCCCATGCGGCTCGGAGAACTATGGCGGGCGTAAATTCAAGCCTCGAGCCCTCCTGCTCGAAATATGGCATGTCGCAGTGATAATCCTCTACAGAACCTAGCTCCTCGACAATTCCGTTCTGCGATGGAAGGACAGAGGAGCCAGAAGAGTGGGTAAGAATGGATGTCCAGTATTGGCTGCTGAGGTCTGGATCCAAGCCTCCCAGATGGCCAATAAAGTCTCTGAAGCGAGGCCTGGGGCGTTGAGATGACAGGGGGCCGGATTTATACACGTCATTGACTTGCTGGAGGATAAGGGAGAGACTCCAGCCGTCATAGAGCGAATGATGCATGGTCAAGAAAAAAGTCCATCCCGCGGATTCATGACTATACGGGCACAGGGCGACCCGAATCAATGAGGTGCCCAGGCCAAACGAACACCCTTGTGTAAGAAGCTGGTCAATGCCATCTCCGTACTCCCATCGTAGTCCGTCTCTTGTGACTACTTGCACGGTGCCATGAGGCTCGAGATAGACAATTAGGGTTCGCAGGATATCGTGTTGGCGACATACAGTCTCGACGGAGCTTTTGAATCGATCCAGGTCAATATCTAGCGGTAAGTCATAGGCAGCCTGTGAGCCGTAAGTTGATTGACTGTGGCGCCCTTCAGCAGCTAGCATTTCAATCTGGAGGGGAGTGCAGGGGTAGACATCTTGAACAGTGTCCTCTGGAATTTCCCAGACTCTTAACAAATCGAATAGCAAAGTCGGCGAGGGGGCCACAAGTCCGAATGGGTGCAGATCCTCATGAGCCCCTGACGTTGCTCCTGGCAGCTGTTTTGTGCTCTGGCCCTGAGCATCAATCTGGCTGGCCATATGGCGTATTTCGGGGTGATTGAAAATGTCTGCAACAGTCAGAAACATACCTTCATCACGGAGCGCGGCCGCAAGCTTTATGGCCGTGATCAAGTCGCCACCAAGACGGAAAAAGTTGTCGTGGCTCCCAATCATCATCGTATCAACGCTCAGAACTTCGGCCCAGAGTTTCTGGAGCTGAAACTCGGTTTCGGATTCTAAAGGCTGCTTTTCCCCACCCTCGAGCGAGTATGCCAATAGGTCTTCGGTGCTCATCGAGTTGAGGAGGTGCTGCAGCTTACGCCGGTCTGCCTTGCCAGCAAGTGTTCGTGGCATGGAGCGGAGAGGCACATAGCGTGAAGGAATCATATAGGCTGAGAGCGTCTTAGACAGGCAAAGAACGAGGTTAGAGGTAAGCTCCTGGACTCGTTTCTTAACGGCCGGCGTCAAGGACATCAGAACAGCGTCACCCTTGTTGAATGAATCGTCTAGACAGAGGAACGCAACGAGGAGTTTGCGTTGGAGAGCATCAGCCTGTAGGCCCGTCACCTCGACGGCCATCTCAATCGTTTGGGGTAGAAGGGCCCTTTTCAGGTGATCCTCAATTTCACCTATTTCGATCCGTTGCCCATAGATCTTGACCTGTGTGTCTTTGCGGCCGATGTAGAGAAGGGTTCCTGTCTCGCTGTACCGTTCAAGATCGCCCGTCTTGTAGAATCGGCGAGGGCTCTTTGAATTCCCTGGGGTACGTGCCCATGTCGGATCAATGATGAAGGATGCGTTTGTTTTGTTGACATCTCCGAGGTACCCCCGGGCTAATAGAGGGCCCTCTACGAGCAGTTCTCCCACAAGGCCGATGGGGGTAAGTTGATGATGGTTATCCGGATTCACAATCCAAGTGAGAGCCGCGACCCCACTACCGTTATCAATAGGGTCTGAAGCCGTGGTAACCGTTCCACTACATGTGGCCGTGATGCAGGTCTCGGTGGGACCGTAGACATTCCTCAACTCGAGAGCTGGCGCCCATTTATCGATATGAGTCGGTGTCATCCCTTCTCAACCGAGACGCAGGTACTTCAGGCCTGGGACCAACTGGGGTGAAAGGGTATTCGCGAAGGATGGCGTGATGTGGGCGGTGTTGGCCCTTGATTTGTTGATGAACTCGGCAATATCATTCATGCGATGATTTTCCGAAGGAATGCAGACGCATCCACCGAAGAACAGAGTAGTGATAATATCCTCCAAGCTGGTATCAAAGCTGAACGACGCAAATTGAAGCACTCGACTCTGCTCCGAGCGGAGAAGGGCTTCTTGCCGGGGCCCTAACACGCCCGAGCAGAATTGATCGTGCTGGATGACCACACCCTTCGGTTTTCCAGTACTGCCGGAGGTAAAGATAACATAAAAGACGTTTTGCGGCTGGACATGATGACTTTCGGTCAGATCGCTGTCGTTCCGTTGAGCCGCCCTTCCCGATATATTGCTTCCGGGAGTCAACATATCGAAGGTAAATGGCGTCTCCGGTGATCCTGAGTGCCAAGAAAACGAGATCGGCGTGCGTGGTGATGAGTCTCGAGGTGAGCCTGTATGTTCGGATGTCTGGTTTCCGGACTCTTGCTTGGATGTGTCTAGAAATTGTGGCTGTAGACCGGGAAAGTAGTGAGTCGGCCTGACGTCGGGGGTTTTGGTGCTATATTGGTTATTCTCATGCCCTCCAGCGTCCAGGCCTTGAAGTATGTTCTGTGAGACTACCAGTTTAGAAGCCGTACAGAGAGGGGTCCCTGAGGTTTCTGACGAGACTAGAGCCAAGTCTGCCTTGCACTGCGCAATAATGTCGTTCATTCGGTCCAGCGGATGGGAGACATCCAGAGGAACGAATCCACCCTCGGCCATCGTGACTCCCAGCATTGCCACTACTGCCCAGACCGATTTCTCGAATAGTACTGGTACCAGCCGCTCGGGTCCAACGTGATACTCCATTTGCAACGTCCGTGCTAATTGGGAGGAATATCGATGAAGGTCACGGTATGTGAGAGAGCCATCCCATGCATGCACGGCTTCAGAATCTGGATGGAGAAGCACCTGTTCTTCGATCACCTTATGCACCAGGCGAGGCTGGGGTTGCGGTTGCTCCTTGTTCCACGTCTGAATCTGCTCTCTGTCCTTCCTGGTGATCATTTCTACCTGTCCGGTCGTTACGCCTTTGTCGAACAACCAAAAGGTCTGGAATATGGCATCGAAGTGGAGCGCCAGACGCTCGGCCTGCGTCGGTGAGATAGTTGTCAGATCGAAGATGACTTCAAGGTCCACCTCATGTTCCGAAAATGTGCATGACAGGACCAGGGGATAGGTGTGAAAATGGGAATTGGCGGCAGCCTCGTCAACCGGCTGCCCGAAAACACTTTGTTCTGCAGTCGACTCGGTCTTCTCGTCCGCTGGCTGTATTACAAGCAGGTTCTGAAAGTCGCATGCCTCCAGACAGCCTTGACTTAGCTTCCGAATCCTTTGAAGGCCAGTATGCTCATGTGGCATCATCTCCGTGGCCTGTGATTGCATATTCTGAAGGAATTCCAACAGAGATTGCTCACTGTCGATCCGAACACGGACTGGAACCGTGGTCAATGTAGGCCCCGCTATGCTGGCAATTCCTTCCACTGGAGCCGTTCGTCCGCTTAAGGTCACTCCAAAGCTGATATCGTCGGACTCGGAGTATTTACTTATCAAAAAGGCCCAGGCGACGCGAAGGATGATTGCAGTAGTGAACTGGCGACGATTGATTGTTTACTCATTTCAATTATACATGAGAATTTTTGGAACTCGCTAACAACAAGATACAGTCTCGTGCCATGATCCACCCGAATCTATACAGAGGAACTTGCTCGATGAGCGCCTCCTCCGTCTAATTCATAAACATGTTCATACCCTCCAGCCAGCTCATGGCGTAACATTGGCTGCTGAACCTCCATTTCACTCGCTGTCGCATCCCCGGAGACCTCACTGACCGTACAGCCCGACGTGGGAAGCTCGGCCTTGTACCAGTCATCTGCGGCGACAGGTTGAATTTTCTCCATCTGGGGCACAGTAGGATGCCGACGACGTCGAAGGAAGAAATAGCCGAGGGCGAGGAGAAGCGCGACCCCGACCACTCCTCCCACGACCCCGCCTGCGATAGCTCCTGCGGAGGAATGTGAAGAGATTCCAGTACCGCTCGATGGGGAAGGCGATGCGGTTGCTGTGGTGTTCGATTTCGAGACGAAAATATCTTTCAGGGCCATGCTGGCCCATTCGGAGGGATATGGTGAGGTCTTGATATCTGCTACCGTGGCAGAGGGGAGCGAGTATGTCATTAACCCCGGCTAATTCCATCAGCACAATCCCGAAACTCGTCTCGAGGGAGCACCTACGTCGAACCGCGAGCGCACTACCTCCGACTGGGCATCATAGATAAATGCCGGCATGGTGTAGCATCCAGCACTGCCGTCATCCGCCCAGGCCAAACGACCGCCAACTCCGAAGATCTGTCGGCCATAGGCCTGGCAGCTGAGCGTCATGCGGCCTTGACTGAGCCCGGCAGCATTGTACCACTTAAACGACGGAATGGAGAGATAGTCCACGTCGGTGATGACATCCTGAGACTTGTAGTCGGCGCCTCCGACCACGTAGATCTGGTAGGTGGAGGATGAAGGGTCGTGTTGGACTGTCGCGCAGAACTGCGTGCGCGAGGCGACGCTGCCACTGGTCGACTGGTTGTACCACTTGCCCGAGGCGATATCGTAGACTTGGACGTAGTTCCAGCTGTTCTGCATGCCTGTCAGCCTGGCTCCGTCCACCCCGGCAGAGCCTGCTCTTACCACTGTCATGGTCGCATTGGTCCCGTTGGCTATCGACGGCGTCTCCCCGCCCATAAACACCAGCAATCCTTTCTCCCCAACGGGGATATACACCAGCGCCCCGTTCTGGACGGGGGTCATCGGAGCCTCGATCTCCGTAATATCGCCGGTCGTCGTGTTCAGCTGGACCATACTCGTCGCATAGTCCAGCCTACTATCGGTGATCGCAGTGGTCGTGGACGAGTCCTGGTACCCGCCAAGCCAATACGCGCTCTGCAACTCAGGGACATTGGCGTTGACTGTCCACAGCATCAGCATCAACATCACACCGGCACCGGCACCGGCACTAGAAGCATCTTCTCTCAGATGATCACAAGAAACTCACCCCCGCCATCCAACCGCACTGGCACCGCACTCGTCTCCTGCACATCCCACTTCTCCTCCTTGATCGCATACTTCCACACCCGATCATCCAAACTGATATTACTCGCCCTCCGGCCCCCGTACAGGAACAAGGAACTGTTATCTTGATTCGACCACAGCGCCTGATCCTTCAGTACGGGGATCCTGCTATCCAGCAGACTCATCTTGTAATTCGCGCCATCGTTCATCGAAAACGACTCGGTCAGATCGAGTTGGAGCAGGTAGTTATCTGTCGCTTGTGTCAGCGCCCTTCCGTCTAACCCAGCGGTCCGTTGGAGAACAAACGCGAGCTATTGCCGTCATCCGGGACTAATCCCCCGTCCAGATCGGCCATGTACAGGACATCGTTGGCGATATTCACTACTCGAGGGTACATGAGTCAGTCATCTGTGCTCAGGTTATAGGCTGCGCCGGGCTGGTCGCGAACGTACCGCCGAATTGGTAGCTGCGACAGAATCCTCCCGACAGGTCCGTCAGCACCAAGCCGCGCTTGCTGAAGGTCGTATTTTCGGCCTGCGTGACGGTGATCGTAGCAAGAAGTACGAGGAGAGATATGAGGCGTGTTGTCGCCATGGTTGTAGGGACGTCGCACGGGAAGAATAGAGCAGCCCGGTGCTGCTGAGTGGGTTGAGAACAACAGCAGGGAGGGGAGGTGACAGGAAGACAGAAGTCAAGGAGGGGACAGGTGGGGAGGCTGAGCGACAGATTCGCCGGCGCCATCAGTGGCAGGGCAGGGCAAGGCAGGCTGCGCTGCTCTTAGCTGCAGAGTCCGTTTCATGATCGGCGCTTAGGCGGCGCCTACAGCTTTGGTGATGGTTGCTGGAGTGGGATGGCGCGATGCTGACAAAGGGTGTGTACAGATGCTCATGTTGTCAGGATTGAGAGCTTGACGAGTCAATAGTCTACTTAAGGCAAACTATTGGGATGGATTCGCATGTCGAGGGTGCTTCAGTCGGAGGTAGAGTGAGGGCTGAGAGCGATCAGGGGAGGAACCGAGCATGTCGCCAGATCGGGTCCACAGCCCTACATTGAACTAGTCTTATATTCTCGCTGATTGGTACGATAATGTTGCGAGTGACGGGGTGGATCCAAAGCCAATTTCGAGTCTGAGGCCGGTTGTGGGGGCCAAAAGAAACAAGTTGAAGTTGAAATTGCTTGGGGGATTATTCAATGGGAATTGAAATAAAAAGAATGACCAGACTGGGGCTCGATCCCAGGACCTTATCGGTGTTAACGATACGTGATAACCAACTACACCATCCGGCCAATTGATGAAGAACTGGTACCATTATTCAAATATGTTCCAATTTTTGTCCCTAATCACATTATCTCATAAGCCAAAGCACTGTAAATACGAGATAGCTTATTGTGATTAAATGGGTTATGGTTAATATTCCAATTTGGTCCAGAATCGTGTCTTGGGAATGCCAATTGGCTAATCTTCTCAGCGGTCACCTGCTTGAATCGCTTCGATAGCAAACATAGTAGGATGGTTTAATGGTCAGACTGAATCATACCTCCAGGATGTATACACTAATGAACTCGAAGTATGCACGACGTCAATAGACCGTCAATGCTGAGGTGATGAACGACCATGCCCCTGGAGATTAGACCATCATAGATCCACCACTGGGGCAGTAACTTTCATTGACTGTGAGTGGAAGAGCCATGAATGTAACAGCAGTTACACCATTCCATGAACGAACCTGATAGCAGGTGCAAGAGTGACGGGCTCTAAACGTCATCACTCTCCATCTCGGCGCCCACAACAACTTCCACATAAACATCCTCCCAGGAACCACCGTCTCGACCGCAGACCCGAGTATTCTTGATCAAAAAAAAAACCTGCGAAATTCAACGCACAATGGCTCTCGTCCTTCAAGGCGCTACTTTCCTGCACCAGTACGTGGGCGCATTCCTGCATTCCGCGCCCCAGAAGAGGCCCAATGCCCTCAAACTCGGCGTGCTCTCCTCCGCCCAGATCAATGCCGCTGCCAGTATGCTTCCTGCGCGACCGTCTCCACACTCACTCGCTGACCCTCGCAGTCATTCACCCCGTCGAAACACACCCCGACGTGATCCTCTACAGCATCGCCTCCCGCGACGGCGCGACCGCCGCCAAAGCCGCCAAGCAGTACCACTTCACCAAGTCGCACGACTCGTACCAAGCCCTCCTCGACGACCCGGCCGTCGACATCGTCTACATCTCCACCCCGAATGGGCTGCACTACGAATGGGCCTCCAAAGCCATCCAGGCGGGCAAGCACGTTCTCTGCGAGAAGCCATTCACCTCGAACGCGGAGGAGGCCCGCGCGCTGATCGACCAGGCTAAGGAGAAGGGGGTGACCATCGAGGAAGCCGTGAGTTTTCTACGCCATGTACCTGTCCGTGTGCTGTCACTAAGATACCCTAGTTCCACTGGCAATTCCACCCCGCGGCGCACGCCTTCCGCCGCATTCTCGAATCCGGCGAGTACGGCCACATCATTCGCACCGAGGCGATCATGACGGCCAGTCCCGGCGTGCCCAAGGGCGATATCCGCTGGCAATATGACCTTGCCGGTAAGTGCTCCCGTTTCGGCTTCTGTCGGTCGCATGCTAACAACAAGCAATGCAGGTGGCTCAGCCATGGACATGACGTACGCGCTCTCGTTCACGCGCTACGCGCTCCGCACGCAACTGCCCAAGACCATCCACTCGGTGACGGCGCGGCGGTCGGCGGACGACCCGCGGGTCGACGAGGCGATGTATGCGTACCTGACCTTCGAGGATGCGCAGGGCCGCGAGGTGCACAGTCGCGTGTACACGGACATGGCGCGCGCTTGGGCGGGCGGCGTGGTGCCGCGGTTCTGGGAGCTGCCGTCCATCGAGGTCGAGACCGAGAAGGCGATCATCTTTTTCTACAACGCCATGATGCCGCACCTGTACCACTACATCGCCATCACCGACAAGACCACCGGCAAGACCAGGTACCAGCGCCAGTACCGCGGCGGCCCGCTATGGGAGAACGTCACCACCAGCGACGGCAGCCGCGGCGGCAAGACCGCCTGGAGCACGTACCGGTGGCAGCTGGAGGCGTTCGTCGATGCCGTCAGAGGGAAGACGCCGGCGTACTGGATCCCCGGGCAGGAGAGTATCTGGCAGATGGAGTGTATCGATCAGTTGTATAAGGCGGCCGGATTGCCAGTCAGGGGGGAGAAGACGGACGAGAAGCAGTGATGGAGGGAGGAGGCTGGTAATGAATTATGCCTGTTGGCTGGACAATATGTATGGAGTAATACACCAAGTATGCAATTAATGTTTGATCTGCCTGCTACTTCCGAGGAGGGATGACGTTGAGTTGATTTCACCGCGCTGCAGGCTCCACCTGTAGACCGGAGAGCCTGTTTATAAACCCGCACCAGCAACACCTTGTTTATAGCATAATTACTTAACACACCTCACTCCCTCTTTAATTCCCAATCCCCCCTACCGACTAACCTACCGCCCATACCCAAAATGATCCCCAAAACCGCCTCACGCACCACCCTCGACCCGGAAGTCAAGGACTTCCTCACCTCCAACCCCAACCTCCGACTCTCAGGTCGCGACCTCTTCGACGAACGGCGCCACCACGTGGAGTCCTTCAGCCTGCGCGCCCTCCCGGAAGCCAAACAACCCCCAATTCTCCATGTCGAACACACAGCAATCCCCAACGGACCCCACGGCACGATTCCACTGCGCATCCTGTATCCATCGCGGCCCTTCTCAACCCCATCGTCCACCACATCCCAGGACCCCAACCACCCGGCCCCGCAAACACCAGCCCTAATCTACTTCCACGGCGGCGGGTACACGGTGGGCAGCGCAGACGACTTCGAGCCCGGTTGCCGCATGCTGTCAGAGCAGGCGGGCATCCAGATCTACCTGGTGGAGTACCGCCTGGCGCCAGAGTGGCGGTATCCAACGCAGCTGGACGAGTACGACTGCGTGCTGGAGTGGCTACGCGGCGAGGGCGGCCGCGCCCGCCACGTCGACCCTGATCGCATCTTCGGCGGCGGCGACAGCGCCGGCGGTAATATGACTGCGGCCATGTCGCTGCGGCGCCTCGATCGCGACCAGCGCGGTCTGGATGGCCTATTCTTGCTGTATCCTGAGGCTCGCTTGCCGTTTGATACCCCTGCGGCTGCTGAGAATAACTCCGGCTTGTATTTGGAGTGTATGTCTTTCTTGGTTTCCCGGTTTGATCTGTAGTTGATTGGGGACGGTTTGCTGACGCGCTACAGGTAACGGGATCTTCAACTTCGCGGCCAACTATCTCCCCGACGGGGTGCCGCCGGGTAGCAGGTATATCTCGCCCGGAATGCAGCCCGTGGACTCGCTGAAGGGGCTGCCGCCGACGAGGGTGTATACGTGCGGGTTTGACCCGTTGCGGGATGTCGGGGTGGAGTTTGCGTCGAAGCTGGAGGAGGCAGGTAATGCGGTGGCGTGGAGGCACAATGAGACGCTGTGTCATGGGTTCTTACAGATGGCGCCGTGGAGTGAGGCGGCCATGGCGGCGTTGAAGCAGGTGGCCGGGGATGTGAGGGATCTGGCGGAGGGAGGGGAGAAGAGGTAGAGTAGACGGAGTCATGGAGCAGGGTTGCATAGACATAGATTCAAGCAGGCTGGTATCATACAAACATACAATTCGCTGCGTAACGTATGCGATTAGCATCGCATCGTCAACCCTTCACACCCCACACCCCACACACCACACCCTATTACACCTTCTCAGCCGCACGCCCCAGGCTCATGCCCACCTCCACGTCCGTCGCGATGGCATTCTTGCTCGCCCGCAGCAGGTCCTCGTCGAACACAATCCGTCCCCGCTGGAAGGCGACGATGATCGACGACCCACCGAACTGGAAATAACCCAGCTCCTCCCCTTTCGCAATCTTCGCTCCGGGCTGCTGGAACCGCTCGTGGATCCTATCCCATCAGCACCAGCATCACTCCCCCGCTTCAGTTCCAGAAAGGAAAGACTCACTGCACAGTGCCGACCTGCGCCGCTCCAATCGCCACAAACAACACCTCCCCGAACTCCTCACTGTCGATAACCACGTAGTCCCTCGCGTTCCGCGTCAAGATATCCACGCGACTGCGCAACGCAATAGGATCAACCTCATAATAATCACCCGGCATACTGCGAAACAGCCGTACCGTGCCACTCACAGGGCTATGATAGCGATGATAATCCTGCGGAGAGAGCCGGAAGCTCGCGACGGGGCCGTCCGCGAACTTGGGCCCCAGGTGCCGGTCCATCACGAGGTTGGTGATGGAGAAGTCGTTGCCCTTGATCCAGATGGTCTTGCTGAGAGCCACGGCCTCGTACGCCACGACGCGGCTGTCGGCGACGACGACGGCGGCGCGCGGGTTATCGGGCTCGAAGATCGGCCGCGCGGACGGATGGTGCGCCCGCACGAAGAACTCCTCGAAGGTCCCGTACTCGTTGATGTCGGACGGCGTGAACTCCGACATGTTGATATGGTAGAAGTCGATGAAGCTTGCGATTTGGTTGCGGGACGCTGGCGTGGCTTCTTCTTTGCCTGCGGCCGTTGGTGTTAGTCGCGGGTTGTCGCGTAGGGGTTCATGGGGGCTACAGGTAGGGAGAGGGGACTACCTTCTTGAATTGCTTCGCGGTGCATGTATAACCGCATCAGATGGGTTGTGTCCAGCCATTCGGTGAGAGGGTTGAACAGGAGGAGCAGTTTCATTTTCTTCCAGAGGGGTTGCTGCTCGCGCAGAAGCTGGCCGGTCTGCGGCATGTTAGCTTTGCTTCTAGACAGTGCAGAGGGAAGGGGGCCTACCTTGCGATCAATGGTGAGCCATCCCACTTGGCGGTTTTGCACCTGGAATTGTTAGTCTTGCGTCAAAAGAAGGGATTGTTGCGCACCATCTTGACCCGGGCCAGCAGGTCGTCGGCTATCTTGTGGAGGAAATCAAGGATGCCCATGTTGTCTGGCTACAGTTTGAACAATGTGATAAGCTTCGTCGGGGGTAGAGAAGAGGTGTAAAATGATTCCGCAATAGAGATTCGATATATGTTCCCTCCGCATGCGGCGATGATGTAAGGATGATGGTTCTTTGTGTTATGCTTGGCACTATCCCAAATAGTATACGACACTAATTATGTATGGACAGCTATCTAGAATTCATGATATGCACAGCAGATGATACGAACTATACACTAAGCCTTACTGACTCCCGCCTCCAACACCACAAACTCATCTGCCTCCGAGTCCAGCCTCACCCTCGCCCCAAACGGCAATGTCAAGAATGGACTCGTATGGCCAACATCCACATTCATCAGCACCGGCACCTCATCCTTGCGTCCGACCACCACATCCAGCACCTCCTCAATAACCTTAGCCAGCTCATCCTGCATGCCAGCATCATACTTATATCCCCTCCCAATGACCAACCCACTAATTTGCCCCAACACCCCCGACAGCGCCAAATCCACCAGATTCCCACGAAACCGACTAAGCGCATACGGCAAATGGAGACTATCGCCGCCCATCGCCGACTCAAGCAACAAGACCCTCCCAGCCCACGAGTCCGGTGCATACACCGTCCCCTGCAGCCGCTCAACGATATGCACCGTACCGCCATACAGCCTCCCCTCCGCACGACCGCGCCGCACCCATCGCCACGGCGGCGAGACGCCCATCTCACGCACCTCCATCGACGCATTCTCGCCAAACTGAAACGGATTATGCTCGACGGCGCACCGCTGCGACCGGGGCAGCGGGCCCACCACTTTGCCTGGGTTGGTCAGCACATGCAGGAAATGCTCGACGGTGAAGGGCAGCGGGCCGCCCACGTCGGCGAAATCCGTCAGCACGCTCGGCCCGTAGAAGGTGCGCAGGCCGGCGCGCGACTCCAGCGCGTAGTGCAGGAAGGTGGTGTCGCTGTAGCCGACGAAGATCTTAGGGTGCGCGCGGATGAGCTCGTAGTCCAGCGCGTTGAGGAGCTCGTTGGCGTGTTGTCCGCCGAGCGTGCAGATGATCGCGCGGATCGTGTCGTCGCGGAAGGCGGCGTGTAGCTCGGCCGTGCGAATGCGGATTGACTCGGCGATGCTGATCTTCTGTGGGAATGGGGTGTAGATAATCTGGACTTGAAACCCGAGGGATTCGAGGAAGGCTTTGCCGCGGTTCAGCGGGAGGGGGAGGATGTCATTGTAGCGGAAGGAGGGGGAGACTAGGGCGATGGTTTCGCCGGGTTGGAGGGGGGGTGGGAGAATGGGTGTGAGACTGGTGGACATTGTGGTGTTTGATGTTGTGATAGTATTGGGGGTGGTATCAACGGTGGTGATTCAGAATGAAGATTGATCTGTATAGATGATGATAAGTGATTATGAGTGCTGTGTGATAGCCAGGCCTTGAGGGTCATCGACTCCCTTATATAGCTGAGAGACTGCCATCCTAGCTAACGAGTCAAGCACGAGTGCAAACATCAGCCACAACGTGAAGCGCAAAAGGAGAGAGTTGGGATGTTTGCAAATGCCACTTCATGAATCCTTCGAAGATGCGGGGATGGACTGATTGGTGCTTATCGCCCGTGAGGGGGTGTTTGCACGTTTGCTTCAGTTTGTCTGTGTTTGTCTTGTTTGTCCTGTCGGCAACCCCGATGATTTGCTCTGTTTGCATTTATTGTTTACAATTGCATCATCCATCCTCAGAAGTAAAATCATTATTATTTAGTGCTTATGAGCCATATAATGCTCACATATCAGCCATCGCATGATCTAAGTCAACTATTAACAAGGATACCCCCTGTCTACCAACGCTCTATCAGCTGCGCAGAAACAGCAAATCTGTCATGGTCAATACTGGTCCTCACAGGGGACAAACGAGTACTCACGATACTGACTCCCCGATGCCCAGCCATCGACCTCCTCCAACCCTGCCCGGCGACAGAGCGTATTGCGATCCTCAGCATCGTACTTGTGGCTCTGTACCGCAAGTATTCTCCTCCCAGCCGGTATCGTCGCACCCGCAAGGCTAACACTGTCGGTCGGGAAATAGAATTGATCGTGGCTGCCATTCTCCGCGTCCCAATGACCAACCACATCCCATCGGTCAAGCTCGAACGCCTCACGCTCCAGAGCCTCATTCGCCCTTTCGAGTCCGTGCTTGATGAACCGACGATTGACTCCCTCGGGGTCATTGTACGCCGCTAGCACCCGTTCCCTGTCCATGCACCCGTCCAACCCGATCAAGAAAGAAGGGCTGCTCCCTTTGCCTGCTTCCGTGTGCACGAAACTAGCCAGAAAGCCGGCAGCGTCGGCCCGCTGGAAGCTTCCTAGGGTAGAGCCGAGGGAGAGGATCGTTTTCGGACGCGAGCGGATGTCTGACTGCTGGAGCCACTCGCGGCCATCGTCGTAGGTGCCCAAAAGACCAAAACAACGCACGTGGCGGAAGATACCGGGCGGCACCATGCTCAGTGTGCGCTGGAGCTCTGTGAAAGAGACGTCCAGGGCAAAATAGTCCACTTCATGGCCGAGCTCATCCAACGCGTCGAGAAGAATCTTCACTTTCCGGAGGTTGCTTTTTCTGTCGTCAGCACTCTATCCATACGCCAGAGACAGGCGGCCACCCACCCACTGCCTAATTCAACCAGCATACTACCGGACGGAATCCGCTCCGCGATCTGATACTTGTGCTTTTCCAGGAGTCCGATCTCCTCGTTGGTCAGGTAGTATGACGGGGAATAGGTCACATCCTCGAAATATCGCAGCCCTTGCTCATCCCAGAGCAGCAAGTCTGGCATGGCCGCCTTGCCATGACATGCGGCTTCGATGGTCTCTTGCAGAGACTGCCGCAGCTGGGTCTCACCCTTGTCCGCCCGTATATCGATGATGTTGCTCGTGGCCAATGTCCCGAACGCGGGCGGAGGGAGTTGTTGCCGGACTCTCAGCTGCGGCGTGACAATATTTTCAAACATTTTGAGTGGGGTGCAATGGCATAGATCGAACTTGCGGGTTTCTCCTCGCATCGCCCTTCTGGGTATATAATATAGTCAAGCGGCCCTGGTGCCAAGGATGATCTATGACGTGAACATTTGGCGGCGGGGGCCGCCAAGGTTCATGGCTTATCTTGTCTGACTCCGCACGTCCTGATCTCATCCTTACCCGCTATGCTGATCATCTCGGACTCTGGTTCCAGTTGGGGCGATTGGCTTTGTTGTGGTTCTAGATCTCTCTTATGCACAAATCCAGTGTACCCTGGCTGAAGCAAGGAGTGACAACATCGGGTTACCGCATGCGGATACTTGGAATGCTATGCTATCTTATCTATTATGCACATGGCCCTTCTCCTCCCCTCCCCTTCCCACCTGTCATTGCCGGACCTTGGGCCCCTCCAGGAAGACTGTCACGCACGTCGCATTATCGCTCCCGGGCAAGACGGTCGTCCCCTCGGTGAGATTCTCAGCGACGCGCTTTGCATTGAAGCCCGACTGCTTCAACTCCGAGATCCGGTTGATGATTGCCGCGTCATCCAGGACATTGGTCACGCCATCCGACAGCAGCGCCAGCAGATACCGGCGATCCGCCTGGAGTTCGACTCGGTTGAGGGCTGGTTCGCTGGAGATGAAGTCCCCTCGACTCTTGCTGTTGCCGGGATTCTCGCCCTCGTGGCCGGCCATCTTGCCCCTCTCGGTCATATTATTGAGGGGATTCTTGTAGCGTAGATCTCCGAGCGCGCGAGACATATTCAGCGTCCCTGTCATGAGATCAGCGGCTGGTTTTATGCTCCGGTCGCAGACTTAACTTACCCACTCTCGCCGTGCCGCTTTCGGAATTGACACTCCCACCCGCCAACTCCACGCGATGTTTCTCTCCATCACTCTCCGGCTTATGCGTCGTCGATAACCGCGTCTACAACCACTCATCAGCACTAACCAGCCCTCCAAGAAATAACAAGATTAAACACTCACCACCTGCATCTCTGCCCCTTCCCGCTCCTCCCCCAGCATGACATCGGAATCCCCCACATTCGCCACGACCAGAACCCCACGCGTCAGATTCACCAAACAAAGCGCCATCGTCGTGCCCGCCAACGCATGCTTATCCTCTCCCTCCCAGAACTCATGCAACAACTGCTGCTCCTCCTTGCGAATCGCCTCTGTAATAGCCCCCTCATAGTCGCCCGTCTCCAGCTCGGCGCTCTCTTTGATGTACTTCGGAATATTCTCCCTAGCGTGTATCGCAACTTTACTCGATCCACTATCGAACGACATCAGCTCCCGTCTATTTCCCGCAGAGCTTCAACTCGGCTCTGAAAAGGTCGTTAATCATAGCATACGTACTGTCCATCGTAAACCGCAAACAGCGCCAACTGGTCGTTCTTACTCCAGAACTCCTCGGGAGACAGAATCGTGTACTTGTCTTGTTGGGAGGGGCGCGAGCCTTGGGCCTGGAGATCATGGTAGGTGCGGGTTAGGCTGGGGATGTATGTGTTATGCGCGCGTGGGGGTGAGGAATCATCGTACGCTGCTGCCGCCGGAGTCTTTGAGGATCAGGGCTTTGGGGTAATCTAGGGTGTCGGCCATTGTTTTCTCTTTTGCTCTTGTGATGGTTGTGGGTGTGGTGTTGAGGGTTGGTTGGTGTTGCTATGTCCGCGGAGAATTGCTTACGCAGGGGTTTGGGTGCGGGGACGAAGGGATTATATTGATTTTCTAATTCATCGGCGTGAGATCCCGGTTCTGGTGATCAGGACGCATCATTACGGTGTGGTCAGTGGCCAGGGGCTGACCAGTTCAGGGACTGGTTGACTGATGGACTGATGATGGACTATGGATTGATGATGACTGGAGATCTGCCTGTGCATTGGATCGGAGAGAGAAGGAGGGGCTCGGACTGCCGTCATCACGCCGTCAGAGCTTGCCCCACTTCTTGCGGCCTGCCAGCCAGCCCTAATCGCTGCCTCACGCAATGCTGAAGTAACCATGCAGCTGCATTCTGGGGTTGACGCTCATGTTTGCCATCGATAGAGGAGAACCAGTATGTCTGTATCTAAACCGGTCAATGACCCTCTCTGGATTAACAAAACAGTAGCACATACATTTACACAGAATGTAAAACATCCCACTGAGCAATACAGTAAACCCATCCCAAATCAGTAGAAACAATGATATTAGAAAACAAATACTATACACAATCAATACATCCACCTAAAGCCAACAAAAAAAAGGATCAAATCTATTGATGATCCTCCGGCCCAAGAGGCCTCTCCCCCGCCTTCTCTACATTCCTTCGCTTCGTCTCCGTTGACTCGGCCGGGTCGTTCTTGATCTGCGCATCCGCGGACGTCCGCTCCTCGCCCTCGTGCGCCTCGCTCGTGCGCCCGTACTGCGACGAGATGGGCGACTGCACCGATCGCGTGTCGGGCGTGTCGTCGTGGCGCGCCTCCTTGCCGCGCGACACGTTGATGGCTTGCGACTCTGGGCTGCTGGATTGCGGGTTGGCCACGTTGGAGGATTGGCCTGGTGAGGCGGTTGTTTTGCTTGCGTAGAAGCGTGCGCCTACGCCTGTGGCTGGGTGGGTTGGGATGGGTTAGTGACGGTGCTCGTGGGTTGGGGATACAAGGGGGTTGAGGGGAGGGGCTTACTGCGGGCTGTGAGGCGGGTGTGGCTGAGGGCCATGCGGCGGAGGTTGAAGGTTGAGAGGGACATTTTGGCTTTGTAAACTTGGATGGTTTTCGTGGTTATTCGTGTTAGTGTGGGAAGGAGATTGGGAAGGGAACTGGGGAATGTATATATAAGCCGAGAATAGAGTTGACATGGGAATGACTTCATGGGTTCACCTGCTGCAGGTTGGACTGCGAGCTTGCGTATGATTCGCTGGTTGGATCTTGCTACCTCTTCCTGCTTTGATTGGGCAGTGGGAAATATGTCGAAAAGCCTTCAGAAGAGTCCTTCAGAAGAATGAGATCCTGTCCAATTGTCGATCTCATTAACCTCTAAGGGCCAAAGTGGTCGTTAACTCCCCGTGCCGTCTCCCCGGTATTTCTGCTATCCTGCCATTGAACTCTATACCTGTACCCATATAACTCTGGTCAGCCATCCCTCAATCTTCCTGTCACTTATGAAAGCTCTATAGAAGTAAACGGGAGTTAACTTTTAGGCCACATATGTCTGCCAGGTGGTAAATGTCCGGTCCATTTGTTTTAACCCAGTAGCAGGGATGGAAAGAATATATACAACCCAGCACAAGCACAACCCGCAGCATGAAGCCCAACAATTCAAGAACCACAACCCACAGGTAGACCAAACGCCTTCTTATGCCTTACTAGCTTGAATCAATGATTTTGAATCCGGGTAGCACCATTCTAAGCAAAATCTCACCGAATAAGAAATAGTGCGACCCAGAGCTGCTGCGGATTTGTCCGGCTGCCATAGTGACAATTGGGATATATTCGCAAACATTGGACCTGTTATACATCAAGGCAAGATGGCCGAGTTGGTCTAAGGCGTCAGGTTAAGGTTACCTTAACACCCAGCTTCACAAGCTTCCTGATCAACGTAAGTTGGCGTGGGTTCGAATCCCACTCTTGTCATATCTTTTTGCTGATGTTTCTATCCCCGTCCAAGGTCAAGGTAAGATAACAACTCATAGAGGATGCTATTTTTGTGCTTCTGTTTTTGTTCAAAGTGTGTGAATGTGAATAGGAGATTCAGATAACTCTTCCTGCCCTTGCATGCACAATCCTGCTATCGCCAATTGCATGTTTGTCGCGATCAACCTGTATCAGTGGCAAAACCATACCAGTAGAAGTACAACCCTCTACGCAATGCGCTTTGAAGCCACGACAAAATCTTTTTTAAATAGTACGCAAACACCAATGTTCATACTGATATCATCAATTCATACAAATATTAACGTACTAGACATACATGTCGCACACAAACCAACCAACTCCAGCACGCTATCGAATTATCAATTTCCCAGTTACGCAACGACAGCCCCTAAAAAGCAACGGTGGAAGCCAGCCCATCCAGTTCGCGCTGGTAGTTCCGGTGCTGTGAGACCTGGTAGAAGAACTTGCCGACGAAGTCCGTCGCGTCCTTGAGGATCTTGACGGTCTCGCCGATGCTTTCCGGCTTTTGAAGAGCGCCGGCGGTGACGACACCGTACCACTCGACGGGGTCGGGGCTCTGGGCGGTAGCGATCTGGACGTCGAGCACACTGCCGATGACCTCCTTGATCAGCTGGGCGGCCTCGCCAGTGGCGGCCAGGGCCTTGAGGTGGCCGAAGGACTCGGCGATCCAGTACTTGATCTGGCCGTTCTTGCGCAGGGTCTGCACGTGCGGCCCGCCGGGGATGAAGGTGGCGTCGAACATGGTGGAGCGCATGCCGTCGTAGAAGTGGTCCGCCACCACGCCCTTGGAGGTCTCCTTGGACTCACCGTCCGCGAAAATCGGTGACCGCTTCGTGCCGATCACAAAGGGCAGCGCGCTGGCCGCCTTGATGGCCGTCTGCAGACCCTTGAAGGCCACGGAGTCGTAGCCATCGCCGATGATGATGGCGATGCGTCGGCTGGCGATGGTCGGCGTCTTAGGCGGGAATTCCGTCTGCGAGAGGCGGATGGCGCGCTTGCCGTGGTTGGGGCGTAGCGCCTTCTCCGGGATCGGGGCGCCCACCAGCTCGGCCACCTGCTGCGCCAGGCTGAGGTCGATCTCCGCCAGCCGCGTGCCGGCCAGCCGGTTGTAGACCACCGGGTCGTCGCAGTGGTCCAGCTCGAAGCTGAACGCCTTCTTCATGTGCAGCTTCTCGTGCTCGGACATCGAGTTGTAGAAGAGCTGCGCCTGGTTGTGGTGCTCGCGGAACTTGGGGCTCAAGCCGCGGCGCTTGCGGCCCGTCGTCGGGGCTGGATACGACTCAAAGCCCTGCCCGTGGTGCGGCGCCGCGCCGTCGGGCTTGCCTGCCTCGAACCGGTTGGGCCAGTAGTTGACCGTGCCCTTGGTGATGCGGTGCCTCATGGCACCGTCACGGTTGTGGTTGAGCACCGGGCACACGGGCCGGTTGATCGGGAGCTCTTCCCAGTTGATGCCCAGGCGGCTGATCTGCGTATCGAAGTAGGAGAAGTTGCGGCCCTGGAGGAGCGGGTCGTCCGAGAAGTCGATACCGGGCACAATGTGCGAGGTGCAGAAGGCCACCTGCTCGGTTTGCGGGAAGAACTCGTCGACGTTGCGGTTGAGCTCGAGCACACCGATCGTGCGGGGCGGGACCAGGTCCTCGGGCCAGATCTTCGTGGCGTCGAGAATGTCGAATTCGAAGTCGTCCTGCTTCTCCTCGGGGATGGTCTGGATCTGCAGGTCCCACTTCGGGTAGGCGCCGTTGTCGATGGCTTCCATCAAGTCCTTGCGGTGGAAGTCAGGGTCCTGACCGGCCAGCTTGAGCGCCTCGTCCCAGACGAGGGAGTGAACGCCCAGGTGCGGGGTCCAGATGAACTTGACGAAGTGGCGCTTGCCCTCCTTGTTGATAAGGGAGTAGGTGTTCACACCGAAGCCTTGCATCATGCGGTAGGAGCGGGGGATAGCGCGGTCCGACATGGCCCACATGAACATGTGCGTGGCCTCGGGGTGCATGTAGCAGAAGTCCCAGAAGTTGTTGTGTGCTGTTTGCGCCTGGGGCACTTCGTTGTGAGGTTCGGGCTTGACGGCGTGGACTGTGTCCTGTTAGTTGGATCGTCGAATGCGAGGCGGAATTAACGTACCAATATCAGGGAACTTGATGGAATCCTGAATGAAGAACACGGGAATGTTGTTGCCGACGATATCCCAGTTGCCCTCATCAGTGTATAACTTAACCGCGAATCCACGGACATCACGGACGGTGTCAGCACTGCCTTTGCTGCCCTGGACGGTGGAAAACCGGACGAAGACCGGGGTGTTGCGGGATGTGTCGTTCAGGATGTTGGCGTAGGAGACATCCTCGCAGCTCTCGAGCAGCTTGAAGTTTCCGAAGGCACCAGTGCCACGCGCGTGGACAACTCGTTCGGGAATGCGCTCATGGTCGAAGCGGTGGATCTAAGCAGGCGCTGGGTTAGAGAAGGAACTTAAAAGCGGTCATATAGACAAGGATGGTCTACCTTCTCTCGGGCAATCTGGTCTTCCAGCAAGGAGGGACCGATGTGGTCGCCATCGACAGGCTTCAGCCAGTTGTCTGTGTTGCTGATGGGCACACCATGGTCGGTGGTTTGGCGCTGTTCGGTGGTGACATCGACAGTGTCGCGCTCAAGGTCGACAGCCTTCTTGTTCTTGTTCGAGGCACTCTTGACGGCCTCCTGGGCCCGCTCGAGGCCCCCTGCGACGATGCTGGCCATGGTGGATGTGAGAAGGTATTAGATGGTTGGATGCAATGAAGCGTGTATGAGAAAGAGACGAAACCCCAGCCAGCGGGAGATCGCTCCTAATTAAAGTCTCCCAGCCTAGCCATCAGGTCGCATTGCCCGTGTCAGGTCATGGATAGTGGTGGGTAATTGGCAGACTGTGGTTGGTGACTGGCACGCAGTGTCGGGTGGTTGTGCGGGGGGAGAGATTGTTGTTGTAACCATGACGTTGAAGATGTGAAGGAAAGAGTCGGAGACGTCACTGTGACAACCTTTGACAACCCCAGCCCTAACTAACCCGCCGCCCTTCGCCGACTACTCCCTCCCTGCGCTCTCTGTTCAAACCCCCGAAACAGGGTTTTGTCTCCCCCCCCATTCTCGCCTTTCAAACCCCGTGCTGAAATCCAGATACACTTATTGGCGGGCTGGTCTCCCTCGGGTCGCCGGTCAAGCCAGCACATGGTTGTGGTGGGGAAGAACTACAGTGGAGGTGTTGCAGAATCAAGTCGTATGGGTCTGGCTGTTAATGGCTGTTAAGGTGAGATACAAGCAAGTGAAGACAGTGACACGCAATCCTTTGCAGTGGCATCACCCGGGTAACACTTGGTCAAGCAGGAGTCAAGCTGGGCATTAGCCAGGTCCTCGTTGCTGGTAACTATGTAGATCATCGAGGCCCACCTCCTTCCATGACTTGCTGCTCAAAACCGGTGGGTTCAGGCACTGGGGCAAACACAGGCCAGGCCTCCGTCTCGAACCCTGGTTCTGGTATTTGTAAGAATCGGGTCTAGAACCGCGTGGCAGCATTGAGTGGGATTTGCGACCGAAGGAGAGCAGCCGTGCTACTCATACCACCGCCGAACAGCCCTGCAGAACTCAGCAGGGATTTGCAGCATGTCAGTGCATCCGGCAGCTCAACCTATTACCTAGTACTGAGTAGCAGTAGTCCAACCGTTGGCATTAGGCTCGATTGGTTTAGTCTGCCAATAAGCAACGCTGCGCGGCAGAGTCGGCACGTCAGTTCTCTCCAGCTCCAGCGAGCATCAACCATAAACCCCGCCATCCCACCTGTCAAAGACCGAAACGTGGAAACAATTACGCAAATCAACTCCTGCTTCACGACATAACTCTCAATCACAATGCGCGAGAGGATCCAACAGCTCGACAACCCAGGTCGACAGGGTCACGATGCCATCTTTGAGGCCTCCTACCTCGACGACATCCCCACCGCCCTGACCGAGTGGAAAGCGTCGCGGGTGCTTCTGGTCGTTAGCACCAGCCTCGACACGAAGTCCTCGGTCATTCGCGATCTCGAAGAGCGGCTTTCAGACTACCAGATCTACAAGAAAGTTGGAGTGGGCAGTCACTCGCCCTACAATGACATCATCGACATCGCACATACAGTCCAAGATCATGACATCCAGGCCGTTGTCTCGATCGGGTCCGGCTCCTACTCGGATGCATGCAAGATCGCCGTGATGTTGAGTGCTACGCTGCCGGCGGGCTTCGGGGCCGACGAGATGGAGGCCCTGGTCGACCAAGAGCGAGGTCTGGCTGGACCAGAGACGGTCAAGGCTCCCGTGACCAAATTAATATGTGTGCCCACAAGCCTCAGTGCCGGCGAGTGGAACGCTATCGCGAGCGGTACCAATGCGCAAGGGAAGAAGCAACACTTTGGGCACCCAGAGGGGGCTCCGTCGTTGATCCTGATGGACCCCCAGGTCGCACGAACCACCCCGTCGCACTTGTGGCTGGCATCGGGGATGCGCGCGGTCGATCATTTTGTGGAGAGTTTATGTAGCGCCGAGTGCGACGAGGAGGCAGCGACGCATATTCAGAAAGGGCTGCCGCTCCTGCTGCGAGGGTTGAAGGAGTATCATGACGGCCAGGAGGGTGGCAATGAGGACGAACTGCTGAAAGGAATTGCAGAGAGTCAGCGCGGGTCTAGAGATGCTCTGATTCCCTTCCTCAAGTGGAAGATTCCCATGGGGGCAAGCCATGCTATTGGCCATCAGCTTGTGAGTCTAAGTTGCACCACCTGTGTTGGGTGAAAGGTTTGCTGATTGGAGGATGCCAACCCCAGGGAAGCGTGGCAGGTGTCCAACATGGTGAGTCGGATCCCTGACCCCGTTCTCTATGACATTCAATCGAAAACAGCTAACCTTAGCTCATAGGTGTCACAGTAAGGCGACCTCTACTTCTGTCTTATCCCTCGCTGTCGATCGCATACTGACTGCTGTCAAGAGCTGCATTCTGCTACCCCCCACATTGAGATACACGCGTGATAAGACCAAGGCGGCCCAGGAAATAGTCCTGAGTATCTTCAACGAGGTGCTTGGAACTCAAGAGCGAGAGGCTGCTGACGCAGTTCGTCGCTTCGTCCAGCTCTTGGGGCTGCCATCGCGGCTCTCGGAGGTTGACGTCACGCAGGACGAGCAGCTGCACAAGATCGCAGAGCTGACGCTGACGGACGCCTTGGCGCACAACAAGGCGCTGCCGGATAAGGAGGGTATCCTTCAGATACTGGACATGGCCAGATGAGAGTCAGTTGAGGGAGGAAAGAAGGAGAGACGGGATGGCGCGACTTTTCGCCAATCCGCTGTTGACGCGTCGCAGGTCCCAACCGGGTTAGACTGTCAGCCATCATGACCCTTAGCCATGACGTCACGGGCGTGGCTGCGATCGCCCACGCTTGGAGATTCAGGATATAACAACCTTACTCTTCATAGATTTGATGACAATCCCTCGTGCTAGATTCTGTCTTCTTCAACACCACTAAGCATTTCTGAAGCATCTTTACAAGACATACAAAGCAACCTTTCCCCCTATACTCCACTTCGCTATCAATACATCCTCCTTGCCGCGTATCCGAACCAGATCTCCACCAAACCATAAACTTTCCATAACCGCCACACCCAGACCAGAAGATGCCTTCCTCCCAAGATTCCGGAGTCACCGGCGCCGCCAAGTTTGTCACCTCCACGCTCGGAAACACGGTGGGCGGAGTGTCTCGCACCGTGGGCGGCGTCACCGGAGCTGCAGGCCGGGGAGTCGGAGACACCATCACCGGCGCCACCGGCAGTGCGGGCAAGCCCGTCGGGGATGCCTTGGGCAATATCGGGAGCGGAGTCGAAGATGGCGCGCGCAAGGTTGCGCAGGGCGTGGAGGATGCCGGACAGTGGAAGTCCCGGGGCTGGTAGGGGTCCAGTTCTACAAACTACGAACTACGATGGAGGAGTGGGCTGGAATGGTGATTCCGGGCGAAGTTGACGCATGATTTAATGACTGTTCTCCCTATCCTTCTCTGCTAATGACTATGTCGATCTGTAATGAATTCCGTCTCTTTTTAGTTGACACATTCCAACTCAATGCAATTCCTGACTGTCGATCAAAGCAATCCCATACCAGCGTATTTGTTCTCAATCATAACAAGTGACCTATTCGCATGCTGAATCAATGCAAAGCTCCGTGAATGCAAGTCCTTGAAGCTAAAATCTAGATCAAACTCCCGACTTGGGAACGATCATTGCCCAACCAATGAGAAACAGGCAGCCGAATTAAAGAGACCAGTTGAGCTCCTCAGCTGCAAGCATCCCCAGATACCACATGCCCATCAGCACCGTGAGCTGACCATGGCCCCCCGCTGTCCAGGCAATTGACACAGACACGGCTAGACGGCCGTTGGTGTCGAGACGCTTGACGGCAACCAACTCGGCGTTGGTAAGCACAAAGCCATGTCGCGCGTTGTGTTGATCCATATGATAATTCACCTGCGACAGGACCTGCTTGTATTGTCGCTGGTCTGAGGGGTCTGGTGAAAACCGGTAGTCGGAACGCCAATTCCCTGAGACCTCCAAGTCGCCCGGGGCTCGGTTCGCGCTCTCGGCGTAGATGCCCCCAAGAGCGACGAAGGCAGTGTCAGGTGGAAACTGATCGACGTACGCTGCCGAACTTCCGCCGTCAAAAGTGACTGGCACAGGGCCTAGTTGCTCAAGCTGGGGCGCGAGCTCCTCAAACCCGGCTCGAAGGGCGCGTCTAACACGAGGTAGAAGCAGCTCTGCAAATCGAGAGCGAAAGTGAGGTTGATCCCAGATGGCGGCGGGAGGGGAGCTGAAAGGATCGGCGGCGATCTGCTTCGCGTTCAAAATGCCGCCATATCGTTGGATGATTGTTGCATAATTGAAATCTGGCCAGTCGATGACCTGAGAAATGTCTGCCGCATCATAGTAGGGGTTTGTTGTGTTTGTCGATGGGGCAACACGCCGAAGAGGAATTGTCGGAAGAGCAATGGAAAGATACTGCAGCAGAGACTGGTTGTCCATGTTGAGGTGGTACTGTACTTCAGTAAGGTACCAGGCCTAATCACAGGAAAAATATATTGGAGGCGTAGTCAATATGGAGTACTATAGTAAGCGCCCTGTTAATTGAAGTGACAGGAGCAAAGCGAAAGAAAGCGGTCAATGAAAGCCCTGGATCAGAACTATGGTGAATAAACTGAGGTGCTACCTACTTATAGTACCAGTACCAGAGATATCCCCGGACTTATAGTTCCAAGTTCCTTACCTCTCCCTCTTTTGTGGAATTTTGATCCCCAACAACACAACAATCCATGATGTGTTCAAGGAACACTCCCTTGAGGGCAATCGACCCTTCCAGAATCCGTATCAACAGAGATATCAAGCACTCGGATGCCTCTTCGATCTTTGAGGTTGAACTGAATGGGCAGAAGTATGCCTTGAAGATCTTCCACGACAACGGCGACCCGGGCTATACCGAGAAAGGGCGCGATCTGAACCGATTTCGCTGCGAATTCAACGCGTGTCAGAAACTCCTCGCTTCGGGTGCCTGTGAGCGCGGCGTCGTTCCCAAGTGCTATGGCTATATCGATCGGATGGACCCGGCTGCATTTGCTCCTGTTCTCCGACATTTCGCCCACGACAAGCTACAGCCACGAGCAATCTTGCTAGAATACCTCCCCAACGCCGAGAGTTTGAACTGCGTGAACTACTCCGATGCGCTTTATTCCCAGGCGATCGAGGGCATGGAGGAGATCCACCGGGCGGGAGTTCACCATCAAGACCTCTATTCCAAAAACCTTCTCCTTGTTCATGGAGATCCCGATCGGTTGGTTTGGATCGACTTCGATGTTGCAACGACTTTCGACGAGTTGGGTCTTGAACAGCAGGCCGACTGTGACCATGAAATTGCGCTGGTGAAGGGATTTGGGGAATTACTGGTTAGGGGTCCAGTGCTACCTATGCTGGAAGCGATTGGCATGCTGACTGAGGAATCTAGAGGAAAGACCAAGCTGAGGGTCTTCCTCCGAATACCAAATACTATTGAGGGGTGCATGGGCGGCCTCTGGTATGGATGGTGACGCAGCATTTTAGCCCTGGACCGTGTCTGTCGAAGGCGCCCGGGGCAATCATCCGGGAGTATGGTGTGGTTTCAGGAACAATCACGTAGTAGAAAATAAGATTAGAGTATAGCTATCTAGGATGAGGCTGTCTCAGACAGTATCCATGATCGATTGTTGCCACACTCTAAATGCGACCGACGGGGACCACTAAACTGGAAGGAGTTTAGCTGACATTCTACCTGATCTGGAATTGTCATCGGGAATTCTGCAGCCGGACTCCGCTCCGGCCCGATGGAAAGCCGAGAAGAATACTCTGAATAAATAAGAGCGGCAGAAAAAAAGAAAAGAAAGAAAGAAATGAGGCGGCAATGCCTACCTCAGCAATTAGTCAGCTTACTAGGCGGTGAACAGCTTATACGATGCCGGGACAGCCGTGATGATGCTGATCAATCCCATCAATTGCACCTATGAGAGGTGGCAGTGCCCCGTTGCATTACCATTTTGCCTGCATTATTGAGTGCCATTCTCCCTCTCTGTTCCAGCCCGCGCCCCGGGGGGCCCAGCCTGACTCTGCCAGCTCTCTTCTCCTCTCTCTGACTGTCTCTGACTTTCCCCTCCCTGCATTCCTCCGCCTCTGTCATTCTCTCTCTCCTCCCTCCCTCAATTTTTCTGGGTCACTTTATCGCGTTCCTTCACGAGCTTCGTGTTCAGACGGTCTCCGTCATCGTGCTCGGCCTATTCTTTGACTCTCCCCGACTATACAGCGAGATTCCATCTACTTCCGGTCGGTCGCATCCCACGCCAATTGCTCGTCCCACCCTCTAGCTCTCCGCTCGCCAGCCCACCCATCCCACTCGCCTGCCCACCCTGTACGCTTCAAGACCCCGCCGACAGCTCGAGAACGGACTGTCTTACGTCGATTCGATCTCAGAAACACCGCGATCGAGCTTCCCCTCCTCCAGAAGGCCTGCGTTGGCCGCATCGAACCGGTGCTGGTCGTCCCGACCGGTCCGATGAGCACCGTCAGCCACTCGCATTAGTCGGGGAAACACTCAGTGGTCAGCATGGATAGCTACGACAGCAAAGGGGAGAATGGGCTGGAACGAGCCTCCAGCGAGGTGCCTCCTCTCCCCACCACGAACGAGGATGCCAATCAGAAATCCACCAAGCGCGCACGATGGGCCACCACGAGAATGAATGCCACTTCCGGTCTGCGCAAACGAGTTTCCATCCTCGAACGTGGACGCCGGCGGAATCACACCGATACCATGGCGAGTGCGACGGCCGGCGAGCCCGACCTCGCCGAGGGAGGTTCAGCGTCGCGCAAAGTTCATTTCAACCTTCCTATTCCGGACGACGAGCGGGACGATGACGGGAACCTCAAGGCTGTCTATCCGAGAAACAAGATTCGCACCGCCATCTACACCCCGCTCACTTTTCTGCCCAAGAACCTGTGGCTGCAATTCCACAACATCGCTAATCTGTATTTCTTGTTTGTCATTATCTTGCAGTGTTTCGAAATCTTCGGCGATGCCGATCCCGGCCTGAGTGCCGTCCCTCTGATCGTCATCGTCGTCGTCACCGCCGTCAAGGACGCGATCGAGGATTGGCGGCGGACCGTGTCCGATAACGAGCTCAACAACTCCCCCGTATACCGACTGACTGATTGGGACAATGTCAATGTGACGGCCGACAATGTATCCCTCTGGCGCAAATTCAAAAAAGCTTGCACCCGGGGGGTGATTGTCAGCTATCGAGGCATGAAGCGCATCTTCCGCAAGAATGGAGCCGATAAAGACGTGGCGGGCGATGTGCAGATGGCGGATCCCAGGCCGTCGGTCGAGCCTTCCTCTCCGATCGCGATCGAGATGACGGCCGTTTCCCCTACGATGGAGGCCCGTGCTTCTGGCGACTGGCCGGACCCTGTGAATGATCACGATCAGCACGCAAATTCGCCGTGGGCACGGACTAAGGGCAGTGTCCTGAATCCCACCCGGTCAACCCCGGGCAAGGCGCGCTTCAAACGTCAACACTGGAAGGATGTCAATGTCGGCGATTTCGTGCGACTGTACAATGGGGACCAGATTCCCGCCGATATCGCCATTCTCTCCACATCAGACCCGGATGGAGCGTGTTACGTCGAGACCAAGAACCTGGACGGCGAGACGAACCTGAAGGTGCGCAACGCCTTGAATTGCGGTCGCGTGTTGCGAAATGCCCGCGACTGCGAGAAAGCGGAGTTTACTATCGAGTCACCGCCTCCGCATGCCAACCTTTACTCCTTTAGCGGTGCTATCTACTGGAACCAGCATGATGAGTCCGGAGAGCCCCCGCAGGACCGCGTGGAGCCAATCACAATCAATAACATCCTACTTCGAGGCTGTAGTCTCCAAAACACTGAATGGGCTCTGGGCGTCGTGCTCTTCACCGGGCCAGAAACGAAAATCATGCTGAACCAGGGCCTCACGCCTACCAAGCGCCCGCAAATGGCCCGCAATATGAACTGGAATGTTGTCTACAACTTCGCCATCCTATTCATCATGTGTTTGATCTCAGGGTTTATCAACGGATTTGCTTGGGGCTTGGACGATGCCTCTCTGACGTTCTTCGATTACGGCTCATACGGCGGCTCGCCTGCCGTGCAAGGTGTGATCGCCTTCTTTGTAGGCGTGGTCCTCTTCCAGAACTTGGTCCCCATCGCCTTGTACATTTCCCTGGAAATCTGTCGTGTCATCCAGGCCCTCTATATTTATTATGACATCTATATGTACTACGAACGCCTGCAGATGTCCTGTGTGCCCCGATCCTGGAATATCTCTGATGATATCGGCCAAATCGAGTATATCTTCTCCGACAAGACCGGAACCCTGACACAGAACGTCATGGAATTCAAGAAGTGTACAGTCAACGGTGTGCCTTACGGCGAGGCATACACAGAAGCTCAGCTGGGCATGCAGCGACGACAGGGGGTGGTGAATGTGGAGGAGGAAGCCGCCAAGGCTCGCCAGAGGATCAGTGAAGCTCGTGTGGAGATGATCCAGCAACTGCGCCAGCTGCATGATAACCCGTATCTCAAGGATGAAAATTTGACCTTCGTTGCTCCCCAGTTCGCAGCGGACCTGAGTGGTGCCTCGGGCGAGGCCCAGCAGCAAGCCGCGATAAGTTTTATGACGGCTCTGGCACTGTGCCACACGGTGGTTACGGAACGGATCCCCGGCGATCCACCCCAAATTGAGTTCAAGGCGCAATCGCCGGACGAGGCTGCCCTGGTTGCCACCGCCCGCGACTGCGGATTCACAACTCTCGGCCGGTCGGGTGAAAGCTTGATCTTGAATATCATGGGTGAGGAGCGCCGGTATACTATCTTGAACATTCTCGAATTTAACTCCACCCGTAAACGAATGAGCGTGATTGTTCAGATGCCGGATGGCACTATTCGCTTGCTGTGTAAAGGAGCCGATACCATGATCTACTCCCGCCTGGCGCCCGGCCAACAACGCGAATTGCGTGATGCCACCACGAGAGATCTCGAAACCTTCGCCCAAGAGGGTTTGCGAGTGCTCTGCATTGCCGAGCGTACGATTGACCCTGCAGAGTATCGAGAATGGAGCGTCATGCACGACGCCGCTGCCGCTGCCATTGTGGACCGCGAGGAGAAACTAGAAGAAGTATCCAATGCTATCGAGCAGAACCTGATGCTTCTCGGAGGGACGGCGATCGAGGATCGCTTGCAGGATGGTGTTCCCGATACCATCTCCCTTCTCGCCGAAGCAGGTATCAAGCTCTGGGTTTTGACCGGCGATAAGATCGAAACCGCCATCAATATCGGTTTCTCCTGTAATCTCCTCAACAACGACATGGAAATGATTGTGTTCGATGCTCCCTCCGACATCGACATGGCCGCCAAGCTGCTCGATAGCAAGTTGGAGATCTTCGGCATCACAGGCTCAGACGAGGAACTGCAAGCCGCACGCCAGGACCACTCGCCGCCCCCGCAGACCCATGCTCTAGTGCTGGACGGTGACACTCTTCGCTTCATGCTGGACGAAACTTTGCGACAGAAGTTCTTGCTTCTTTGTCGGAAGTGTAAGTCCGTGCTCTGTTGCCGTGTCAGTCCAGCGCAGAAGGCTGCTGTGGTAGAGATGGTCAAGAACGGCTTGAACGTGATGGCTCTGGCTATCGGCGACGGTGCCAATGATGTTTCGATGATTCAGAAAGCCGATGTTGGAGTGGGTATTGCCGGAGAGGAGGGTCGCCAGGCAGTCATGTCGGCCGATTATGCCATCGGACAGTTCCGGTTCTTGCAACGGCTGATCCTGGTCCATGGACGCTGGGCCTATCGCCGTCTCGGTGAGACCACCGCTAACTTCTTCTACAAGGTGAGTCAACGATATCCTCTGTTATGAGTTCATAGATTCTGGTGTACGAAAAGATACTGACGTTATGGTAGAACTTGGTCTGGACCTTCGCCCTGTTCTGGTATTCGATCTACGATAACTTCGACGGTTCCTATCTATTTGAATATACTTATATTACGTTGGTTAACGTGGCGTTTACGTCCCTGCCGGTCATCTTCATGGGTATCTTTGATCAAGACGTCGATGATCGGGTCTCCATGGCAGTCCCACAGCTCTACATGCGCGGCATTGAGCGGAAGGAGTGGACGCAGTTAAAGTTCTGGTGAGTTGCGCTGGTGTTTGCACTTGTGGCTCCGTTGAAGAAAAGCTAATTGGTTTGTCCAGGATCTACATGCTCGACGGCTTCTACCAGTCCATCATCTGTTTCTTCATGCCGTATATGCTTTATCAATATGCCAATTTCCAAACCGACAATGGACTAAGCATTGATGATCGTTATCGGGTTGGTGTTCTCGTGGCTACTTGTGCTGTGGTCGCAAGCAACACCTACGTGATGATGAACATGTATCGGTGGGATTGGTTCACGACCTTGATCAACGCAATCAGTTCGCTGTTGATCTTCTTCTGGACCGGTATCTATTCGTCCTTCGAATCATCTGCCACCTTCTACGGCGCAGCAAAGCAGGTCTATGGCGCGTTGGCCTTCTGGGTCGTGTTTCTGGTGACCGTGGTGATCTGTTTGACTCCGCGATTCGTGTGCAAATGCATCCAGAAGGTCTACTTCCCGATGGACGTGGACATCATCCGAGAGAAAGTCATTCTCGGACACTACGATCATCTGAAGAGGTTCGAGGCCTATGTGCCTCCGGACGCCGGCAAGCTGGCGGGCTCGTCCGACAGTGAGGCGTCCGCCATGGCTTCAGACCAGGGTGCTTCCCACCAGGCCAATGTCACCCGCCACTATCCTGGGGTCAACGGTGTCGACCGCACGGCGAATTCGACGCCGGTGGCCCCGCTCGTGGACGGCCAGGGGGCACCAACTCGTCTTGACAGCCAGTTCACGAGTGCCAACAGCAGCGTTGCCTTTGGCCTCCAACGAAATACCTCGTGGGACAGCGCCAGCCGAGAGCAAGCGGTGCTGTCCGGCCCGGTCCTCACGGTCGACTCCGCAACCATGGAGCCGCAAACACCCCACAGCCCCTTAAAAAGTCGAAGTGACCCCCCTTCGACATACCCTGTATAGAAAGCGTGCTTTATTTCTTCTTGTTTCCGTTCCCCTCGCCATATTCTTTGATCTCCCACACAGTTCTCCTGCTACTTATTGACGCCCTTATAAATACCTTCTCTACGGTCCGCACAAAAGCTACAGTCTTTGCGACTTACCTTTCTTATTATTCCCCCATTTATTCCTTATGATTTTCCGTCATTTAATGTCTGATTGAAGCGCAACCCGACTCTGGTGGATTGTCCTGTCGATACTTGCTGCTGTTGATACTGACTTGGTCAATATATCTCCTCGCACATATTAATGTAACATAGAGTTTATTTGTCCTCGGACTTGCAATTTATATTAGTCTGTTAATTCTATCTGTTAATTCTATCTGTTCATTCCGTAGACGTCATAGAACCAACCCAGCGTCCGTAAACATCGCAAAGGCCTTCCACCAGTCTCGACCGGATCCTTTCCCATCTCAAACCCTGTCGCTTCATCCCCAGCTGGCGATCCCCACACTGCGAATTAAAGACAGACGTCAGGTCGGGATTGATGCAGGCACTTATCCCCTTGTTGATTCACATAGTCGTCAGGTGCAGAACCATCGGCTATCAAAAGCTTTGCTAGAGTATTCATCTCGTCGATGAGTTCTGCTTTTTCCAAGGACAGTCCGCTTAGAATGTAAGTTTTGTTGATCTTGAACCGCAAAGCTCCTCCGAAACGTTGATGCATGCATAGCGTCGAATACGCCACGCACACTGCAACACAGCGTCGCTTGTCCCTCTGGCGACGAGGCTGAGACCGTTCCTCGGTCTTTCGACTTAACGAAGATTCCTGGCTCGGTTACTCCGTGTTACTTCCGATATGGTAAGTCGAAAAGCAGCGCCGCTGGATGCATCATCCCCTCGAGTTTCGAGTCCCATGCAAATCTTAGATCCGCCTTGCGGTTGATTAGTTTGGTAGGTATTGATCGAACATAATGAGCTTACTGACCTTGGAGCAATGACCATTGGCTACAGGGCCCCTACAATCTCACTCAATTATGATGTATACCTACCCTGATTCACCACTAAGACTGATATCAATCAATAAGAAGATGGAAGCCCGAGGTACAGTCAAATGAGTTTCAGCTTTTGCTTGTTCTGAGCATCAGAATAAGAGCTAATATATGACTACTGGATTAATGATAATGCTGCATATAGCGGTCTGGGAAACTATAGAAGACAAGTAGATTCTGATACTTAATGTAAAGGATAAAAGACATGTTGTGCATAGGGTGCTAAAATTCCACCGCGATGTCCTTTTCTTCGTTTCTATAGGAAGAGCAGAGATGTCATTTAAATTCACTCGCATGACCCCTTTCCGGGCACTTCATTCGCCATTCATCGGAACTCAAAGATAGGCCCGCATTTGCCAGCAACCATGATCCAAGTGGCACCTCATGTCCAAGCAGGAACCAGACGGAGCAGACGTGAAGCATCAACTCAAGCAAGGCACGACAGCAGCGTCCCTAGACCTCAAACCTCACGAACACGAACTCTCCCCGGGCTTCTCAACACGGAAAACCACACCATTGTCCGGGTCGTACGAGTAATAAAGATTGTACCCGTACTTATACACCTGCCCGCTGCCCTGCTTGACAATCTGGTAGGTTTTGCGGACATGATACTCCCGATCCCACGGGGGGTTGAAGGTGTAGGTGTCATCGTAATTGTCCATGTTCGACAACTGGTACTTCTTGCCGCTGGTCAGACCAACGCCCGTACCCTTCTCATTGCGGTGTCCCTTGACGGTCACGGCACTAGTTTGCTCGTCCGTGGTGATTGTGTAGTGACCCTTCCAGGAGACGCTGAATTGGACCTGTTCTGTATCAGGGCTCGGCGGGTAGCATGGTGGGACGGTCATCCAAAAGTCGTAGGTTCCCTCATATTGGGTCGGTGGGGCCCGTGCCTCCAAAGGTGTCAAGGCTGGCGCAGCGACGGCGCATGCCATGAAGAGAGAAAGGAGGATAGTCTTTGAGTGCATTGTAAGAGATGATGGAGTGTGGTATTAAGTCGATATGCGATCGAGTTTGCTAGACTTGCTGATGATCGACAATGGCAAGGAATCTCTGTCGCTTAAATATCCTTGATCATTGCGCGCCTCGTAAGTCGATGATATGCTTCTGGCTAGGAACCATGGACTACTCATAGCTCTCGTGTCAGCAGGCTTGAATCTTGACGTCAATATAGAGCCATGTACACAGTGTTGTAGAGAATGGATTACAGTTACTTTCTTCCATAGCTCTCTCAAGAGACACAAAATGTCTCAATTGATCCTTGATAGGTGGCTGTGCACATATTACTGAAGCAAAAATACTATGCGGATCGATTTACATGAACCATGGCACCGTGAATGGAGATTGTATGTTCGTGTTCGTATGTAAGCAAAGCCTAGATTAGGGTCGCCAACTTTATCTGCTCTCACATGACGGGAGATAGCTTGGATCTCTATAAATTTTGAGATCTAGATCGAACACAGCCCTCCCGACCCGAACACCCAGCAAGGCTTGGCACCCTTAACCACTGTCTCAACCATGGTAGCTCGGTGATTGAGACACTGCGATATGATCTTAAGGTTTCAGAGGTGGCAATCGGCATTTTTATCTTGTCTTTGACATTAAAGGTTCAGTAGAGGAGATCTAGCCACGAGCTTTTGCGAGGCGCATGCTTTTTCCTGCCACGGGCGGGTGTGCACCTTAAGAAGCTAAAATGCGATTTGTGCTATTGTCTGATTTGCAACGAGAGGAATTTTGCCAGTACTACATCTTTCCTTGGAATTCAATGGCATAACAAGCATGATCAGTCGTCTTTCCATTGGCAGAGGTTAAGAGTGTTCTCCTAATGACGGGGACTATCTAGGCTGTGTCCCTGACGATTTCAAGGAACATGTCACATGGAGAGATTATAATTATGTATCCGTGGTGTCCAGGTTAGCTCATACTTGAACATGTCAGATATGATTGGTGTCACTTTTACTACGCTTGGCCCTAGAGCAGGCGGCACTAGGAGGGTGGCTTTTACTATCCCACTTGTAAGTACGACCACTTACACATTCTTGTCTCCATTACCATTTTCTTGAGAGAAAGGTACAATGGTAAAGCTTGCTAGATGATTTCCGGATTCGAATGTATCCCTTGTATGGAGGAGACTCATTCATATGTGCATTTCTACCTGGGATACGCCCTGGCCAGGGGAGTGGCTTTCATGGAGACGTGCGTCGCCAACTCACGTCTCTTGCCGACGATTCATGCAGGATGAACAGCACTTGTTCTGTCGCGAAGACCAACAACAAACAGTATGAGAAGCATGAACTCCGTGTTTGAAAAAAAGTACAGAAAAAATCAAGCGTGGCCCGAACCGCGATTCGAACGCGGGACCTCGCGCATGCTCTGGCTTATATACAAGAGTCTCGCTGATAGACGAAATTGAACTTGTATTTACCCCGAAGCGCGAATCATACCACTAGACCATCCGGGCTGTGACAGGAAAACAAATGCGCCTTTGTGGTGCGTGACAGGCTCAATTTTAAGATCCAGAGCCGTATCCCTGTCAGATCATCAAGCCGGATTACCACTAGCGGCCCGAGCGGGAAGTGCCCAGTTTCCGTGGTTTGGGTCGTAAGTATCGTATATTGTCCCAGGAAATTTAATCTATCATCTTGTCATCTCTTCGGTTAAGCGTTTTCTAAGGAGAGATAAACTGAATATCATATAACAGAATAGGCATAGCTTATATATGCTATAAGATAACCCCGCGGGGATTGAAAAGCTGTGCAGCGGCCGTGCGCTTCATCTCTCTTTCTCCACTGCCTAGAACGATCGCATCCAGAAGTTTACAAATATGTTTCTGGACTCATTACCTGTTGAGCTAGTCAACTCTATTTGCCATCACCTGCAACGAGCAGACTGTTGTTCCCTTCGCTTGTCATGTAGGGCCTGTTACGCCAAGTCGCGGACAGCGTTTGCGGCTCGGTACATGAAGCAGATCAATGTCCTCACCACAGAAGAAGGCTTTCGACGACTGAATGACATTGCCTCTCATGATCTCTTTCGAAAGCAGGTGGAAGAAATATGCATTGTTCCGGACGTGTTTCGGTTTCAGTACAAACTAATTTATGCGAACCTTGAGGTGGATGGCGAACACGCAGGCTGTCAGGAATCATGGACCTCCAAGGAAGAGAAAGCGAAGTTCATCACGTACGAGGCTGCCGTTGCGTATAATGTCCGGCTTGTGCAAACGGACCTACTTTTCGAGATCCTCGCGAGTTGCTTCAAGAGATTCGGCAAACTAAGCGTGGTCGGCATGGAACGTCCGCCAGGCGATTCAACCGGCGACACGCGTACTACCTACCTAGGCTGAGGCCCTCCTGTCAATTCCTTCGGCGGCTTCAAGGCCTACTATGGCTATATTCGAAGCCTTCGACGCAAGCAGACTCAAACACATTGCCATTTCCCTTGGAAACCCTATAGTATGCGGGCGGTGGTCTTCTCAGCAATCCTCAAAGCCTTAGCCGCTTCAGACGTCCAGATCAAAGGCTTGTCCACCTGCAGCGCAGGCATGCGAAAGCGCCGCTGCGGGGGCTTGGTACTCAAAAGCCTCACGGTACCTGAAAGCCAGCAAATCGCATTGTCCTCCAACTTCCGAGACTTGCAGAGCCTCCATCTCTGCAGTCATCATGAGGAAGAAGCCATGCATCCCGCGTTCGAGTTCCTCCTCCGTCTGCTTCTCACCACTCCACCGAGCCTTACGGCTCTCGAACTCTCAAGCTGGACTTCGGGACTCGTGCGGGACCCCAAGCTCTTCCTTCAGCTCTCCGAGACCATCTCCTTCACCCGCTTATCCAAACTTGATCTCCACTCGATCGATATCACACAGGCCAGTCTAGCAGCCTTCCTTCGCACCGCCGGCCCGACATTGCAGACCTTGACCCTCATGTGGGTCAATTTCACGGATCTACTCCGGCCCACCAGTAATGCGCAGGCCTACAATGACGAGCTCGCGGGCCTCTGGCGGCGAATTGACGACACCCTGCGTGAAGCCCTCACCGCGATCCGATCCCTGTCGCTGACGGAGATCACCCACCAGCGACGTATCCTGCGCCTGGTGGGTCCGATTGATGAAGTCGGAAGCAGCAGCAGGATAATCGATGGGGACGAAATTAAATGGGCTGCTGATCAGGATCAGGTCTCGTTTGCATCGTGGATCGGTCAGGTCGGACTCGATACGAGTGCACCACACTGAAGATAGGCTTAACCTTGTTCCTCTTGATTTTGCTGAACGAGGAAAGACCTAGATCATTCGCATGTTGTAGCAAATAACCGCCCCAGACCTCCGCCGTCTCTCGGCGGTCTGATAGTGACAGAGACTTGACTACCATATCTGGGTATAATATCTAATCCTAAGTCCAGAGTCCTATTTTCAGTTAGATGACAGCCGCAAGGGCAGAGATCTAGTGCAGGCAAGCGGGGCAAGTCCCGCGAATGGAGATCGAAACACGAGTATATATTTATAGATTCAGACCAAATAACAAACCTACAGGTAAATTGGTCCATTGCAATCATCATAAACACATAGCAGCACCACCCAGCCACCTCAATTTCCCTTCGTTATACTCAACCCAAAAAAGAACCTAGAACAACAACCCCGCCCTCCCAACCCTCTCAAAAGCACGATGCCACGACTCCTCAACGCCAACCTCCTCCTGGAACCCAATCCCCCTAGCCCTAGATAAATCAAACTCGCGATCAAAATCCATCAACCGCAGACTCCCCATGCGGGCGCCAGTATTATGCGTACTCCGCCAAATCACCTCCTCCTTGAGCCCCTTCTCCCGACACAACTCCTGCACAGTGCCCCAATGCTCCTCCATAAACTTTGTAGGATGCAGCGCCGAAGCATCGGGCCCGACACCCTCCAGTCCGAAGTAGCGCGCCAGCGCCGGCCAGCGCTCGGCCCAGGCGACGGGGCGCGCGCTGTCGGCGATGTTGAACGCGCGGGCGTGCACTTTTTCGGCGGGCTGCAGAGAGGCGTGGATGCAGAAGCGCGCGATGATGTCTTGGTTTGAGTCTGTGGAGGTCAGGCGCCAGGTGGTCTCGTTGCCTGGGAAGGGCACGCGGGCGCCCGCGCCGAAGATGTGGCGGTATAGGCTTAGGTAGATGCCCATTGTTTGCGCCATGCAGTTTGCGTTGCCGATTGGGGCTACGCCGACCTATTATTTTTTTTGGGTTGGGTTAGTGGGGAGATGGCTTGGGTTGAGTTTTCTGGGAAGCTGAAAGGAAGGGGGGGGTTTGGGGGGTTCTCCCCCCATGAACGCCCTTTTTTGGTGTGGAAGTAGAAGTGGAAGTGGAGGTGGAGGTGGTGTTCTGGGGCAGGTCAACGTACAATCACGTCCGGGCGCACTTCACACCACGACCATTGCTTGTCCTTGCTGAGCTCCTGCAGCAGGTCGACCTCGTGGTAGTAGAACAGGTCCTGGGCGTACTCGGCGGGCACGCGGGGCAGGTCTTCGCTCAGCGGGGTCTGGCCGCGGAAGGGGAATTTGTCAAGGAGGTAGACGCCGTAGGCCTGTCTGATGTCAGGGTGGCGAATGCGAGAAAGCAAGAGGCGAATGATCTGTCTACCTTTGTGCCGGTGATCAGCGTCACGAAGGAGAGGCTAGGCGACAGCTTCTCCAGGGTCTGCACGGCGGCTCGCAGCATCTCCTTGTTCATCCGGCATTCTTCGGCGGGAACGTCGCTGGCGCGGTAGGCTGTGAAGCACAACAATCAGCCGAGACCAATCTTGCGCAGCCTGGGGTAGAGCCAGCATGGTATACATACCCGCGTAGTACACATGGCTGATCGTCTCGACAGCAGGGATCTTCTCGTGCAAGGTGGCGGCCAGGGCCTGATCGTCGCCGGCTAGCAGGTCCACGCCCGAGACCATCTGCAAACGATCATCGGAGGGCCATTGGGCCTCGTCGCGGCTGAACGCACGGTTCGCAACGGCCGTCACTCTGCTGAACGTGCCGCGCGAGGGATAGTCGGATAGTAGCTGGTTGACCAGCGCCCAGCCGTTGATGCCAGAGCACCCGAACACAATCGCGTGGTGGCCCTGATTGGTGTTTGCTTGTTGTTCCTGCATGGTGATGGAGGTATAGCAGTACGGGTGAGAGCCAGCGAGGAATTTTGGGAAGGATCGCAACGACGCTGGTGTGGTCGGCCATTATGGAGTCGCGCATGCACGGAACTCAGGGGGCCCGTCCGACGGGCTGACCCTCCCTGTCAGCACTCACGACTCCCCCATGCAGGGACGGCATGATTTTTCCTGATTCATTAGCCGGGTCAGTTTCGCCTCGAGCAAATCATGAATGCTGAATTGCGACGTGACTTGGAGATTGTTGGCGATTCGATCCCTCGGCCATCCGCCACTCGCATCAGGGGATTTCGGTGGAGAAAGCGGACGGGCGGTTATTACCGCGGAAGTGTCGAGAAATGCCCCGGGGAGGAGAGAAAGAAAGAGAGAGAGAGAGAGCTGGCTGGATTTGGTGGACCACGATCGGTCGAAAATTCGGGTCCGATGAGGATTTGGGGGATTTTGGGCCCCGCTGATGGCTCGTCGTCGAAGTTGCGTTGTTAGACTTGGACTTGAACTTGGACTTAGGGCTCCGGGAGCAATTCCTTGGGGACGTGGCGCAAGACAAGACTTCTGAAGACTTCTCGGCTTTCTTGGGGATTTTCTTCACAGTCCCAGCAGAACGGATGAGCAGGGATATTACATGCAATAAGCATCTTATTGCCTTTTGGACAGGGGTGTATAGACAGACTACGGTATAGCGTGGTGCACTTCGTGCAAACTGCAATCTGGCCGGTCGGGCTTTGGGAAATTCAGTCGAACGACAGCCGACAGAATGGGATAGTTTCACCCCAGTAGTCACTGGTCAGTGCTATTGAACCGAAACGTACTCCGTACACTAGGCAGACAGAATACCGTGCGAGATCCCTGTCAATTCGTCTCGAGCAGCAACACAGCCAATCATCTGAGCCTATAGGTGTGAATCGCCAAAGCGGGAAGTATTCGAAGTTCAATGTACTGTACTTAGTAACATAATGGGAGGCGCCGCATAGCCAGATGATTCAAATTTGCATCAAACCACGTCGAATCCTGCAATTATGGAGCCAAGAAAGAAATCTGATGGGCTGGTGGGTTTTGCTGGTGGAGTGTTAGCCCTTGCTCTAATTTACTTCCGGCGGGCCGCCGACCCTATCCTTCTCCCTCATTATTGCACGCCGTCTGGAACTAGCGCATTCACTATTGCTGGTGGGAAAATTTTGTGGAAAAGAGGGAAGAGAGAGAAAAATTAGAAGAAGGAGGTAGAATGTGGTTCTTGATCAATGCGACTAAAAGAGTTGTCTTGCAGAAATATGACACCCACCTGCAGTAGGGCTTAGAGGTGAGGAGGGCATGACAACGGCTGCGCAGGGGACCCTCAAGGACGGCCCTCGAAGTGGCTTGCGCGTTCGGATAAGACACACGGCAGCATCAGGGGGCATTGTGCGAAAAGAAGAACTTGTTAGCTCATAGTTATCACCTTCCGACCTATCAGAGATGACTCTTCGGCGAAACCCACTCTGCGACGGCTGCCAATGTCTGGGCGATGGCAACGAGACGGGCCATCCCTTCTGGACCAGAAACACAACCGTGTCTTGGCATAAGCTTAGATTAGCTTACCAGAGATTGCCCTAGTCTCTACCCTACGACACACTACACTGGTCTAGGACCCTCTAGTGAGATGGACTGACAAGCCAAACAGGTAAAGAGCCCGGCAGGTCGCCAGGCCAGACCTGGGCCATCGGTCCGATCGAGAAACATGTTGGTAAGGGATCTGCCGCTGAGTCCGTGGCATAGTAGCAACAATCGGCGTGGCATTAGGATCATGAAATATGGTCTGATGGGACAGGAGGTGGAAACAAAGGAAATTATAGTATGGTGGGTGGGTGGGTGTGGGTAGGGTATCGACAAACTCAGTCACTCTGATTCACGCTCACATGAGTCGTGATCTGAATGCCTGCGTGCATGGGGAAAATGCGCTCTTCCGATCCATTCAAACTGGCCTCGATATCGGCCCGGCTCTGGCCTGTCACCGTGTCCAACTTGATGCTCTGGTGAGCTGTCGACCGACCATGCGTAGTCCGCCGCCCAGACGTGCCGTACATGCGCGAGCGACCCGTCGAGTCGCCCTTGCTGGAGAGACCGAGCAGACGCTGCAGGGCGGGGAACCGGAAGCTGATCAGTGACTTGAAGGAGGGGATGCAGGCGATGAAAATGGCCACCGCGACCTCCACACTGGACCAGTTTAGTGTATTGACCAGGGTCCCTATCACTGCATGTTAGACACACAGAAATCAAAAGTGGATGACCAGGGGGAAGAGCGGTGGGGGCCCAACTCACAGGTGTGGTCCAGGGAAAAATTGCTGATATAAGTGGCACGGATAATGCTCGTTAGGCAGACCCTGTAGCTGAGATTAGTATTCCGACAAGACGAGAGTGGGAAGAGGGATCTCGTACAAAACACCCAGTCCGAACATGATCACCAATCCTGCACGTTTACCTCGGGTCATGTTCAACTGCACCAGTTTCGGGATCGGTAGGGCAAAGATGGCCAAGTCGGTCGCCAGCTTGATTCCAAACGAAATGTAGTAGAATGCTGTCAGAGCCAGGCATTTCCCCTTGACGACGCCCTCCGCATCCCAGGCTTTGTGGATGGGCGAGCATTGGAAAACCACCACGAGACATTCTTCGAGCGTTTCGGCCATAAGCAGGGCAACCAGGCTCCAGCAGACAATGCGAAAGGCTTTCCCCGGGAAGATCTGAAGGTAAAGGATACAAAAGGAGCATTTCACAGTGCCCAAAGCCATCAGGTAGGCGATCATGCTGGCGAAGTCAAGCTGGATTGCGGGCGGTCGGGTCAGTAAATCCTTGTGCTTTCGTGGAGGGATCAGTATCAGCAGACCTTGAGGAACATCTCCAGGGTGGCAACGCTATGCACCGTTTCGATATGTCTCCCATAGCCATAGTTGGTCACTAGAGTTCTCAATGTCAGCAAGCTGTGGTCGACTGCGTATGGAGGCTGAGAGAGGACTTACTCATTATACACAGAATGCATAGCGCGAGGGTAAAAATCTGGAGGACACGCACTTGCGTCAGTCTAGAAGATAGGATTGATCATTCGCCATCAAGCTGAAGACGCACCCAACTCGCTATACACAGGAAGTCATCTGCCCCAAGTCCCGAAAGATATTGGGTCCGCACGAACACACGCACCAGCACCCCAACGCTCGCGATCACGATGAGCACCGTGTTGCAGACGATGATCGACGGGACCCGGGAGGCACTTAGGTCGACCGGGGAGTCGGACGAGGACTCATCTCTGAAGATCAGTTCGTCCATGACAATCGACCGTGCTGGGCAAGAAACGAGCAGATGCAGACGCAGAAAGCTTGAGATCTAGGGCCTACATGAAGGCAAACGATGACAAGGATGATGTAGTCCAGGACGTCCTGCTTGGCCTTTCTATCTTGCGCCCAGGGGTGTGCACGAAATGCAAGGGAGAGGGTCTTTTGCCACTACCATTATTTTCCGGAATTATACGGTAATCTCGGGGCAGGCAGCGTTCCTTCGGCCTATGAATTATTCATTATTGATTGGGGAATTGAGGTGGAAACTGACAAGCTCGAACCGGCAGTTCTCGCCTCCTTCATCCTCCGCTTCTGCAACTCAGCGAGCCACACGTGGAATGACTCGAAATTGCCATTCCGAGCGAGATGCAGGGCAGTTTTTCATTATTCCGGCCATGCAACTAATTCCAAACGGAGCACTCTAGATCGATCGTGGGCCAATGGGTTGGTTGGCTGATGTGGCTAGTTATTCGCCGACTAAGACTCCACCGACTATAGCGGGCCTTTTTCAATATCGCGCAAGGACCGTCGCCGACTAAATTAGTCTAACTTAGTAGTCCAAAAACTCCAGATGAACCCTAAGCTGTGTGGTTTCTCCCCTCCTCTTCACTATGACTATGACTTGACTATGATTATATGACTATGACTATGACTATTGCCCCCATTCCCCCCTCTCCACCCCACCCACACTCAGGCACTCGGAGGCTAGACATCGCATGTTAACTCTTGGTATTCCATTCATGGTTGTAAGGCCGTGGGCTACAGTTTCGCGACCCAGTAGTCGACCATCGTAACAGTTATCTAGACCACGGAAATGAGATGGGATGACCTTGCAGTCCGGTTTTGACGACTTTTCTAGCGTCTTTTCGCCTCGTGGCCGTCGCCTCTTTCTTGCATACGATTACTTTAACTATCTGCATTTCCTGCAGCAAGCTCAGGAACCTGTCTTCCGATTTACCCGCTTTCTTCACCTCCCCTCCTCCTTGTTTCCCCCCTCCCTCTCGTCAAGCATCTTAGTCTTCGTGAGGTACATACCACCATGGCGGACGAGAAGACCCCTCAGCCCGTCGAGGGCTCGATTCAGTCCCGGAGCATGGACTTGAACCAGCTGCCGGCCGGCTACTACTGGAGTCCTAACTTCATCGGCTCGCTGATTGCCGGCTGTTTGATGGCGATCAGTCTGTACCTGGGCTATGTGCTGCCGGTGCGTTTCTCTTGCCTCACGAAGCCAACCCCATAATTCTGACGTGCAAGTATGGAAATAGGTCAACAGTTTGACTGCGATCAACAAAGATCTCGGTAAGTCCCCATATCCCCCCATCCCCCCTCGTGGCCCCCCTTAACGGGGCCGATCTGTCCGGGCGTCCGCTGATCACAGTCTCTTGCGCCACACAGGGCCGGACCCCAACTACAGCATGATCTCGACGGTATTCACGTTGATCTCTGGAGTAAGCGCCCTCTTCTGTCCACGGAGCCTGACCACAAGACTAATTCTCGGTCCTGTTTAGGTCGGATTACTGCTGGTCGGCCGACTCGGCGACATCTTCGGGCGGCGCTACATCCTGATCGGAGGCCAGCTGCTGGGGCTGATCGGGGCGATCGTGTGCGCGACGGCGAAGACGGTGCCGACAGTGATCGGAGGCAGCGTGCTGTGCGGGCTGGCGGCAGCCGTGCAGTTGACGTTCACCTTTGTGATTGCGGAGCTGGTGCCGAACCGGGCGCGGCCGGTCGTGAACGCAGGCATCTTCATCACGACGCTGCCCTTCTCGGCGTTTGGCTCCATCATCGCGAGCGACTTCATTGCTAACACCGCCGCCTCCTGGCGCTGGACCTACTACCTGAACATGATCACCTGTGGCCTGTCTATCATCCTGCTCGTGCTGTTCTACTTCCCCCCTGGCTGGGATAGGAAGCGCGGGTCCCAGAGTCGGCTGGACGGGCTCAAGAAGTTCGATATCATCGGCTTTGTGCTGTATGCTGGTGGTATCGTGCTGATTCTGTTGGGTCTTTGTATGTTTCTCCCTGCTTTGCTGTTTGATGCGTGCAGCTGACGAGTGATATAGCATGGGGTGGCACCTCGTATGCCTGGGATTCCGCTCACGTCGTCGCCGTGCTGGTCATCGGCTTCGTGTCCGTCATTGCCTTCGTCATTTATGGTATGTTTTGCGGTTTACGGGCCTCGTGCACAGTCACTGATGCGATAGCAGAGATCTACGCGCCCCTGGAGCAGCCCCTGCTCCCTATGTCGCTGCTGCGCAACCCCGGCTACGCGGCGACCGTGTGTTCGGCGCTGGTCGGCAACATGGTTTACTTCTCCATGAGGTAAGTGGCCCAGTATACCTAGGTGGAGTGCGTGAGGTATCCTCAGCCCTAACACGCAACAGTCTGCTCTGGCCCCAGGCTGTCCTCCACATGTTCACCACCAACAGCATCAAAGCCGGCTGGCTCTCTGTAAGTCGCCACGCTGCTCCCAGTGCACCACACCACTAACGATGCAGATCTCCACCGGAGTCGGCGTCATCATCGGCGAGATTGCCGGCGGCGTGCTCATGAAGCCCCTGGGCTTCACCAAGTACCAGCTCATCGCCTCGACGGTGACCATCACCGCCTTCTCGGGCGCCCTGGCCGCTATTAACCAGCACCGCCAGGCCTACGGTATTGCTGTACGTGCCACCCGTTCACATATCCCAATTGAAGCAGAATGACTAACCCCAAACAGTTCACCGCTATCGGCGGCTTCGCCGTCGGCTACCTCGAGCTGATCACGATCATCATGTGCCCGCTGTACTGCAAACCAGAGGACATCGGTCTAGCGAGCGGCTTCCTGGGCTCCGCCAAGCAGATCTTCGGCACCATCGCCAGTAAGCTCCTCCCTCCTCTCAGTATCAGGCGTTGAAACTAACCAACCAAAGCGGCCATCTACGTCGCCATCCTGCAGAACCGCATCACCGCCAACATGCCCGGCACCGTCAGCGGGGCGGCCACAAAAGCCGGACTGCCTGCTTCGTCGGTGACGGACCTGCTCGAGGCTATCGGGGCGGGCACCAGCGCCGCGCTGGAGGCCGTGCCCGGTATGACGAGCAAGATCTTGGCGGCTGTCGCAGATGCACAGAAGACGGCGTACGCGGAGTCGTTCCGGACGGTATTCTGCGTGAGTATTGCGTTCGGCGGGCTGTCGATTATCGCGTCGTTGTTTTCCAAGGAGGTCGATACGCGGTTGGATGGTGGGGTTGCGGCGAAATTGGTGGTGAAGGAGGATAGCAGTGCTGCGTGGGAGAAGGGCGGCGCGGATGAGGAGGCGCACTGATCTTATTAATGATTTGCTTTGTTGAGAGTGTGGTCGATTGGGAAGAATGCGCGGTTGCGCAGTGCGGTTATTGCCGCGAGATGATGTCATACTTGGTTGTTTTTGTCGTCTGTGACGGGGTAATAATGGGTTCATGAAGACTTGATGTATGCTTGTTAGTGTTGTCATGCACGAACGAACGGACGAAGGCCGGCCGAGCGGTTCGTTTAAGCAATGATATCTTTGATGATCTTCGCCAGCGGTGCAGGCGTGTACGCTTCTAGACTACGAGTTCGTTGTCCAGTCCCGGTGTGTACTTCGTTAAATCGAATCCTTAACGCGGCGTCCCCGGAGATCGCGACCTTCAGGATTCCCAGGATGAGTACGGCTGGGTCCGACTTCCTTCTGCAGCTCCGCCCGATCGCGCGATTGAGCCCCGCGAGCTGCTCCTCGCTTGTCGTCCAGTTTGTCCCTGTTGTCTCCCCGAGCAGCCGCTGCAGTTCCCGCTGTGAGAGGGTGGCGCTCGACGTACGACTCGATGTCCGCGCCCTCGCGCCTGGAGGAAGATCACACGGTTCTTGGTTTGCGCGAGGTTGCGGAGCACGTTCGCGAGAACGGGGTCAGGCCCGACGCGCAGGCCAAGTCGTGGAGAAGCGGCGGTCGCCTCCGTCGTACAGTGTCATGTGGCGGTTCTGGGTGACGGAGAGCAGACTACCTGCGAGAAAAGGTTGGGGAGGGTGTCATGCACGACCGGAGTGTAGGATAAGGTTGGGTGTTGCGTCGCTCCGGCTTGTAGGAGGTGCTGGAAGGCTACCCCTTCTCTCGGGGGTGTTGGCTGCTGCGACGGAGTGATGCTGTTTTGCGGGCGGAGACATTTCTGAGAGCATGATATCGAAGTTGAAGGATATGAGGCTATGTAATGAAGCCTGCGAGTGCGCTGGTGCCTCCCCGCGATGGCGATGGTTTATCTGAGCATCTGTGGGTGGTTGGTGTTTGTTGACGCGATGGCGGACGCGGGGAAACTCTGTGCGGTGAGAAGCCCCACTGCGACTATCTCGAGAGAGAAGAGAATGACATTGAGCCCGGGAATCTCAGCTTGGTGCTATTGACATGGAGTGAGGAATGATATTTTTGAGACATCTTACCCGGCCATCCACTGCTATAACTGGACTCATTAGCGAAAAAGTGACGAGAAGTCAGTTCAAGTTGTGAAAGAGCAGTAAAGAGTGGTGAGACAGGGACCAATAATCAGTCAGATCCATGGGTCATGTCACGTGCACGGGAGACAAGCCTCGACGCCTTACCGCCCAGGCCGTCAGGCATCAACCATTAACTCTGGCCAACTCGGCGTTTGCTGAGGAGAACGAGGAGGAATCAACCCGTCTGATTGGGAATAACTAAGTTAACCACCTCTGATGCTGATTGACTGTGCGCCGTTCAGTCTCAAATGTGCCAACCTGCTACGGACCGAATCCTTTGCATTTGCGGATAACGCGGTACCTGCAGTGGGCGATGTAACCTCATTCTGAAATGAAACTTCCCCCTATCTTGCCAACATCTTTTCAACTTGACCTCCAACGCTGAACCAGAAAGATAGAGTGTCTTGACGGGCCAGCGGGGAAAATCTTGACGATGCTTGTGGATTGCGGGGAAGAAGTTGCCAAGCTGCTTATCTCTTGGCGTCGGCAACTGCTGATCCTTCGGCTTTTGATTGAATGCGGGGAAGCCGAGAAGCTTCAATCGAGATGGGAATGTCTTCATCGCCCATGATGAAGGAGAAGAAAGAGAAGATCAAACAACAAGATCAAGCATGGCCAGGACTGCTAACCCCTGCTACGATGTATGCAAACCCTTGCAATCAATCTCGCGGGCAAAGATAGGGGTGCAGAAGTTTGTTGACTAGTGGGGGATGAAAGCAGCAATGATGCTCGCTCATCCATGAAAAGAGGCGCAAGGGAGCAGCAGATCATTGGTAACGATGACTCAGCCCCCGCACGATGATATTACTAACTTAGCTGGTTAAGTGAATCATTCCCTAGGAGGTATGGGGTGCTCGTTCTCCCTCCGCATCTTCCTTCTAGCTTTCTCTCACTTGTCGCAACCTCCCTTCCCATTGTACCACACCGACAACTTCCCTCCCTGCAGTTCAATGGCTACCAAGGAGATGGAAGCCCAAGCTACACTCCCTAATGAGAAGGCCTCCGTCCACCATGACCCGGAGCTCACCAAACCCACGGTCCAATATCTGCAGGAGATCGACGATCCCGACACAGGTCTGAGCGAAGAAGAGAAAGCCAATCTCGTACGTATCGTGCCTGACATCGAGAACGTGCCAGCGGTTGACCCATCCAGGACCGACGGTTACTCCGCAGATTAGACCTGCGGTTGATCCCTTGGCTCTCGTTACTGTATCTGGCCTCGTTTTTGGACCGCACCAACATCGGCAACGCGAAGCTGGATGGCCTGCAGCAGGCACTCAACATGAGCAATGCGCAGTACAACGCCTCGCTGACCGTGTTCTTCGTGTCGTACTCCGTCTTCGAGCCACTCACCAACGTCCTGCTGAAGCGCACGCGGCCTAGCCTCTTCATCCCGACGATCATCGTTCTCTGGGTACGTGACCCCATCCCCAACCCACAAACGATCCACTAAGACCATCTGACACCAGGGCATCTGCATGACAACCATGGGCCTAGTGCACAACTACGGCGGCCTGATCACCGCCCGGTGGTTCCTGGGACTAGCCGAAGCCGGCCTCTTCCCGGGCATCAGCTACTACCTATCGTGCTGGTATCGGCGGGCCGAGTTCGGTATCCGGATGGCGATCTTCTTCTCGGCGGCCGCTCTGGCGGGCTCCTTCGGCGGGCTGCTGGCGGCCGCGATCGCCAAGATGGACGGCGTCGGCGGCAAGCAAGGGTGGGCGTGGATCTTCATCCTCGAGGGCCTGGCGACAGTGGTCATCGGCGTGCTGTCGTACTGGCTCGTCTACGACTTCCCCGACAAGGCGGCCTTTCTAAGCGAGGCGGAGCGCAAGCGGGTCCTCCGTCGCCTGGCGGCGGACCACCAGGGCAGCGGCGTACGCGAGCACCACTTTAAGTCGGCGTACATGTGGGCGAGTCTGCGGGATTCGAAGACGTGGCTGGGGTGTGTGATCTACATGGGGGCGGACGGGGCGCTGTATGCGTTTTCGCTGTTCGTGCCGACGATCATCAATGGACTTGTGAGTACTGGATCTTCCTGCGTTGAACACGAAGAGCTATTACTGACGCATCGAACAGGGTACCCCTCCTTGTCAACGTACCGCATAGACGGAAAACTGACCTGACCAGGCTACTCGTCAACCCGGGCGCAGCTGCTCAGCGTCCCGCCGTACGCCTGCGCCGCCATTCTGACAGTGAGCATCGGCTACCTCGCTGACCGCACGCGCCAGCGCGGGCTATGCAACATCTCCGTCTCGCTGATCGGCATCGTGGGGTTCTGCATGCTCCTCGGCTCCAAGTCGGCCGGCGTGCAGTACGCGGGGGTCTTCTTCGGCGCGATGGGCATCTACCCGTGCATCGCGAACACGATCTCATGGGTCAGCAACAACGTCGAAGGCGAGTACCCTCCTCCCAAAAAATACTCCTTCCTCTAACCAACCTCAAGCCCCCTTTCCATATCAAATCCACCCACTAACTAATTCCCACGATCAGGAGTCTACAAACGCGGCATCACGCTCGGCCTAATGATCGGATGGGGCAATCTGAACGGCATCGTCTCGTCGAACATCTACCGCACGGAGGACGCACCGCGGTTCTATCCCGGGCATGGGGTGGTGCTGGCGTATCTGGTTCTGTTTTTGCTGGGCGGCTCGGTGACGCAGTATCTGTTGCTGCGGAAGGAGAATGCGAGGCGGCGGCGCGGGGAGCGCGATCATCGGGTGGAAGGGTTGAGTGCGGCTGAGGTTGAGGAGTTGGGCGATGCGCGGCCGGATTTTATTTATACTTTGTGATGCTTGTCGTGTAGCATTCCGTTCGGTCCGTCTTGATTGGGATTATGATTCGTTCCCTAGTTCGCGTTCGCGTTTCCGAGTCGTTGAATAAGGTAGAAGTGGCGACGAAGCGGAGATGTAAGCGTTGCCTGGATAAGGACTGATGGGAGAAGGTTCAGTTGGAAGGAGCTGTTGAGAACATGGCGTTCGTGGAGTTGCTGGATCAGGTGACCTCGGATATCGCTGCGGGAGGTACTGTCCAGTACTCCGTACTCAGCAGCAAAATGAGCAAAATGAGGTGTGGGCTGGCAGTAAAATTCGTTGCCTGTTGCCCGAAGCACACCCACTAGGTCGGTCTACTCCACGGCTCCGATCAAGATAATCAGGATCATCTAGCAGTGCTCTTGGCAACGGGCTTGATCTATGAAAGTAGAAACTACTGATAACGATCAGGGGTTTCTACTGACATGCGGGGGGTGTTTATGAGTGCTTTAGTAAAAGTCTCGCATACTTGACGCGCTGTGTTTCTGACCCCAGGCGTTGACATCCCCGCGTCCCATCTCAGCTTGAAATTCTCCGATGTGTTTGGTTCCTGGAAAAATTCTACGTAGACATCTACTCGGTCGCGATAACGGTTGACGTGTGGTTCGTTCAGAGGGTATCTATATGTCTGGAATACAAAAGTAGCACAAAGGGTCGAGGGATCCGAAGTCATGGAGTCGACCTGCCTAATCTGACCGCGTTGGAAGGGGCATCAAGTGCGGCGGGAGGGCATCAGGGTGGAGGGCTGCAAAGTCGTGAATCAGGGGCAAGGGCAAGGGTTGTCCTCCTCTTTGTTACCAGTGGGCTTGAGGGAGGGCTTGCTGGCCGTAATATTCGTCCCAGTTGGTCCCGGCTGCTGAGGAGCCTAGACGATGCAGTATACGAAAGGGTGATTGTTGAAAGGGTGGTTGTTCAAAAGTACGAGATGCATCACTTCTCATACTTCGCCATAGTATCAACATTAGTCGTAGCCCCACAGTAAACAGGAAGTAACCCAGCAAATACCTTGAACAGCAGAGAAGAGATATCCTCCGCATCCTCTTTGTTGACGCGCGAGAGGAGCAGTTCCAGCATCAGTCGATATTCATTGGCCTCGGTGACCAACTGATCCATCTCCCTGGCAAAAAAAAATCGGGTTTCAACATGGTTCGTTCCACAGCACCGCTCACAAGAAAAAAAAAAAAAACGGAGCACTACCTTTGAATTCGCTCCCGCTTGTGGGCGGGATACCAACACTGCCGGCCCAGCATGGCACACCGCTGACATTGGTTCTTCTCCCCCGTGCACTTGAACTTGCCCTGTCGACACGAGTTACACGCCAGCGCGGCTCGACTCTTCGGGGCATATCCGCGGCTGGCCTGACGCGGGATGGGCTTCTTGTTGCGGATGAGGGTATGCGAGGAGAGGTTCGGGGTCGGGCAGATGGGTCGGGGGGATGGTTCTTCGGAGGAAGAGGGTTGACTGAGTCGTTCGTGCGAGGATCGGGATTTGGGTTGTTTTGTGTCCATGTCTTCTCCTCCTCTACCTTCTCCTCCTCGACCTCCTACCCATTGAGGGGTATCGTCCATATAATTTAGTACTCGCGAGATTTCCATATTGGGCCGATCGCGGGCGCCGGGTGAGTGAGTGTGTGTGTAGAGGTGGAAGGTTGTGAGGATAGAAGGGGAGATCGGAAATGAGGTAAAACACACAAGGAGTGTAGTTGAGTTACTGTACAGTCAAAAGTCACGGAGGGTGGGACCCCTCAACGGACGGAGCCATCCGTCTACTTTTGTAGAACGTGATTTAAAAAGTGTTTAAGGTGGATTTTTCTTCAGCCTTTCCGCCGTTCAGCCGTTCAGCTCCCTTCATTCCCATCCCCTCCAAGATGGAAAGGCAGATGGTGACGCAATGTCTTAGGGTTCCCTTGGGTTCCCTTGCAGTAACCACCAAACAGGTTTGACAGACAGCCCACCACTACATTCCACAACCCCACCTCACTTTCCCTCCTGAAGACTAGTCAGACAGACTCAGACTAATTCTGCGATTCCTGGATGCAAGGTAAGTTTGCCGGCCGCTTTGGGCTTTTTCTGTTATGGCCTCTGCCCGCAAGCCCCAGGGGCCTCGACCCGCGGTCGGTGCAGTGCATCTTACCACTGATACTTGCTCTTTCTTTCTTTCTTTCTTTTCTTTTTTGGACCTGTAAAAACCAAGTCCAGCCAACTCTCGAACCGGACTTTCAAGGGAGGGTTCCTCCATTCCGGTTTCTGCCATGTAACGAACAGAGAAGAAAGATGGATGGAGGATGGATGTGTTAAGGCGCACTAAACCACGAGTCAGTGTCAGTTGGCGAAGGGCTCGGCTTGAACCGAGCAACGCCGAAACAACAACGCTCGCTACCAGTAAACCACCAATCTAGAATGACGTAGGTAGCACTGGGGCTGGCAACTCGGGATTATCTTCCTGGACTCGAGTCGATTGCGGTCTATTTTTTTGGCTTTACTACTCAGTATATAGTCCCGGTTTGGTTCCACATTCCACCAATTTCTTTTTTCCCCGAATCAAGATTCAGGGGCATGCAAGGCCGCATGTGAGAGCATTATCACGGCTCCCCCTTTCCTTTCTCGCTCGCTTCCCTATACCACTCTGGTCGATAGCCCACAATATTCTATCTTCACGATTCGGATGGGAGGTCCGTGGAGGGGAGTGGCAGTGTTCTCCAACTCTTCAATAGGAGCTGCGAATGCCACGGATATCTGATCCGGGCCGGGGGGAGAGCCCTTAGCGCAAGGTTTATTGCATACCGTCTCGATCAGTGCGAGGGGAGGCGTGCGCCGGGGGTTCTCATTCGCTCATCTCGGCAATCGCTAGTTTGGTCCGATCCCAAGAATTCCATCCATCCACGGGAATTTATTGGGACGGTTTACCGGATCGAAGAAATTAGGTTTCTGGAGCGCCCTCCCTCCCCCGGGGTTCTCGGTCAATAATGTATCACCCGGACTTCCATGGCAGCAGCGGCTTCGACTGACTGGTCAACTGGTACTTCTTGTTCAATTTTGGGATGGCTTGCTTGCCTTCTCGTCCGGGAATCAGGGTTCACTGCCGGATAGTGTAAGTGCATCCCTGGGAACAAATCCAAGATCATCCGGATGCTTCCAGTGGCTAAATCTTGGCGAGGTAACTCAATCCTTCTGTCATTATGATCGAGAGAGTGTGAGTACAGACTTGATCAGATGTAGCGTTCCATTCAGAGGGTGTGTCTGGTTGAAGGTTCTCGGGGAGTCGCCCTAAACTTCCCCTCCCCTCTCCCCAGTGGTGGGCATGTCCACTTTCGGTGTGTTTTCAACCATACCCTCACTACGAGGTGTCAAGCTTTGTTAGCTCCTGTTGTTACACTGAGGCATTGGCGTGTGCATGCTTCATTGCAGACTCCATGATTCGCTCTACGTCATTAGGACTTGTACGAGACACTTCACAAGATAGATGAGTTGCGATGCAGCCGAGGGGATAGTCCGGTCAAGAGTCGAGTCCGACCGTCGACCCTAGGAACGGTGGAAGTCTCCAGAATCAACAGCTCCAATCTTGGAATCTATTTCCGAACCAAACGCATTTCCCCATATGAATCTCCAGACTTCAAAGGTCCCCAGCGGCTACCAGGAATCACCTGAGGATGTGTGCAACCACCCTTTCTTCCCCTCGATTTACGAGTGCAGGAGTATCTCAGAGTAACAGTAACCCTCTTCACGAGCCGGACAATCCCCCGAATCCGAATCTCGCTCTCTCACCAACTCACACCTGATCCCTAGGGTCTGCGAACGATGACATTCTTGTGCTTCCCCATCATCGGCTCCGAGGAGACAGGTGAGACAGTCCGCCCCGCCCAAACCAGTGGGCCATTCCCCAAAGCAGCCAAACCTTCAGCTCGTTTGGTGGAGCCGCGGCAAAGGTTTCCGAGGCGCGGCTTCAATCAGATTCATCGTCAATAGAGATGCCTGCCCAACAGGTACTCAACTACTCTCAGCCACGACATTTTCACAACACCACTTCGCCAATCATCTATTGGTCTCTATCCGGTTTATTCCGCGCCCGTCAGCTGCCCAGTATACTACGGTCCCATAGTTCCCCTGGTGGTGGTACCCTGTGCCATCTGACTGTGCCGTCGGGGAGACAGAGCCTGATCGTTCACATGAGTGAAAACTGCCACGCGGTCGCGTAACAATGCAAGTTTCTAGTCTGCCCCACGACACCCACAGAGCCATAAATGAGCCCGGGGCTTGCTGTTCAGGGGGCTATGAGCGATATAGGCCATGACCTAAATGCCAGATCGCCCGGTAGAGGCCTTTACATTGAATCTGAGTTGCGTTAGCCGACCCTACTGCTTGGCTCACAGGCATTCCTGATTCTCCGATGACTGTATTGCTGCAAAATCTGGAGTGGGCCGTAGCAGACTCCGGAGGGATAACTCCATATACAGATATCGGCATGGAACATAGTAGCGATACATTTGTCCGAGTCTCGGTTCTGCAGCTGGCGTTGGGGAGAGACCAAGCGAGGCCTAAGGTCCGGCACATGATTCCTTAGGCCGCTAAATCATAGGTGGTGAAGAGGAATGCCTTGATGCCATCTCATCTCCGCTCAGAGATATACTCGTTATACTAAAAAACCCTACCCACCTTCCTGGAACAAATCATCGGGTCTCCATCTTTTTCGGTGCGATATATATGAGATTTCCGTTCTGCTCAACGCGCAGCCGATAAAGGTTGGTTGTTTTGTCTAGGCGAGCCAACAGTGGTTTACATAGTCATCCCATGAAATCCATGCATACGATAGATACAAGGTTCTAGCATTGTGGTGCGAGGTACACAAGGTCCAGATAAGAAGTAAAGCGCAGAGTCGCAGACTGTGGGTAAGATACTAGGATTGACTAAGATTACTGTGTATGTGAAGACTTCCTCTCTCTGTCCGGGCCCATCCGGATGCGGGAGCTCATGACGGCATCCAACTGCCAGATCAGGGCGCTAAGCTTCCGCCAATTTCAAGGTCTCGGAAGACAATCAACAATATGTTCACACGCGGTACTCTGCTTTACTATACCTAAAATAGAACAATGCCTGGTAAAAAGTCGATATTGGGACAGGTAGAATTTATCATGTGGGATCCATGTGAGAGCCGCGATACAGAGGGTCACCGGATTGCGGTCCCACTATGGATTTCTGAACGGATTGTGGATTCTTGGGAGTGTCCGGTAGCCTCAAGTGAAAGTCAAACATGTCCAAGCGATGGTGTATGCCTTTCGTGAAGATGATGGCATTCGATAGGCTGGCTGTCTTTACCCTCTCATTAAGGCTGGTGACTCCATGGTCAGGTCGTATCCAGAAAACAGGGAATATTCCAATGGGGAATGCTTTGAAGTGCAGTTAGCGAGATCCCAGACGTATCCGGGAATATCTGTACTCGATTATCAGCCAGGGGATCGAGTCGTGTTATGGGAAAAGGTATGATGCGGGCGATCGTCAGGCTGAGGTGGTTCATTCTGAAGGACGTTGTGATCACCATCCATAGCTTGACTGCCCGATATCCTCGAGTCGGTCCTGAGCGTGTGGCAATCCGGGGCACAACGCGTCGGTCATGACCGCGGATAAGGCAATTCTCCTGCAAGCACAATTCACGATGCCTTGTGTCAATCATGGTTGGCTTTCGACTGGATAGTCCGGCCGATATTGGTGTCGTTGGCCGTCTGAATTATGTTTTAGCTATGCACTAGAGTCGGATGGTACCTCACAAGGCACCGACTTCTTATACACTTATGATAAGGAAACTGGAGATGGCATGATGAAAGCCTAGCTGATTAAGTGCTGTTATATCAACTTGGCAGGTTTATACCCCTTTGCTGATGATTGGTCTATCGGTACCATCATAAACATTGAGAACTCTCTTTGCAGAATGGTGCTGATCTGAGAGCAGCATGACAAAGTTGGAATACCCAGAAATCTCTCAAGCAATGCTTGATATCTGTGAGGCGGAGTTGGTGCCTGAGGCAACTGTCGTGACAGCCCAGGCCTCCGGCGGCGTGTCAACAGGCGATACATATGATGATATAATGAATGGGGACGGCTGTATCAGGCTCTTTTGATCAAATTGGCTCATTATGTAACCAGGTTAAGTGCTATGTTTCTGCTGGGTCTGGTGCTTGGACACCTTCGGGGCAGGCCGCAGACCCAATAATCGCAGATCGTATACCGCGTGCCTCACTATCAAGATATAAACCTGAGGTGAGCCTTCTTGTTTAGGGTATCCGCATACAGACACCTATCAGACATAATCGATTGAGTCGCAAGCGGAGTGCACCAGCACAATCCATTTATACCTGACATTTTTATACATTCCGTAACAGTAAACACCTACCATTGAATCCTTGACTGTCGCAGATGGACACAACCCAGGACATGGAAGCTATTTCGTTTAAAGGGGGCACCTGACTCAAGACAATGCTGTGGTCAATGACTAGTAATTGGCCTAGTGAATGGTTCATCTCAGGAGATCGACATCAGATCGGAGGCTGTACGAGTGCTTCGTATGGGTGGAGCTTTTGCGTCCCACTTTTCGATCGTTTGTGTTTGGCTGGGATCGTCTTCCCCCAATGCGCCGCCACCACTCTTCCTGTCATAATTCAGCTGAAAGATCCTTCGCTTTCAGCTCGTGATGGGAGTTGGTGAAAAAGGTCGTGGACAAAACTGTGCTGAGTGACATTTCCCAAGCAGCTGGTACACACACGCTAGAAAGGAATGATCTACCGATCTGGTTGCGAACTCGGCATCCCTATGCGCCACAACCCCACTGAGTGTTCCGCCATCACCCCCTGAATGAGTCAGTTACTGAAGTGATATACATCCAGCTTCTATGATGATCTCTGCTGTTACGTAGTCATGCGGAGCTGCAGTAGTTTATACTCGATCGGAATGGACAGCACTCAGGCGACAGCGTTCAGCTGTGGCGCCGCATGTGGTAGAGGATTTAGGTATAAATATACAGCGATCGCCCCCAACCATATCCTCCAAAGCAGACCCTTTTTCAATATCAAAGCAACCAACCTACTGCAAGATGACGGAGCATAACACCAACCTCGGGGACTGGCTTGGCCAGGGAGTCTTTTGGATCCGTAAGGCCAGCATTTGGACATCGCACCAAGCACCCAGCTGACAATTTCCAGTCAACAAAAGATCCGAGTCCAATAAAGAGAAAGCCAGCAATAACGCAGGCCCGAAACTCACGGGCTGGTGCTTGGCCCTCAACAGACACGATGATCTCGTCTTCCTGCACACGGAGGGCTATCATCTGGGATACATTTGGCGGAACGCCGCCCCTGGAGGTGTACGCTTCGATACACGGGGCTTCGCTGTCAAGTCGCGTGAGTCGAATTATCAATTCATGGTGCTGGGTCCCCGGGAACACTGGACGGCCGAGTGCAGCAGAGACAATATGCTTGAGTGGGCTCGCCGCTGGGGCGGCTATGAAGTGACTGGCGATGAGAAGGAATACTACATGGCTTTGATTAGAGCAGCAGCTGAAGAGTGCGACGGCGAAGAAGAAGAAGATTAGAGATGACTCCGACTTTGCGCAATAGGATGATCAAAGAGTATTACTCAATGAATCGAGGAATTTCATTTTTTATGCTGTTTGGGATAGGTTATTCCCAACCCTCGTGTTCCCTTCACTCCAGGTTCTCGAGCTCAGCAATCGAGATCGAGATCGAGAAGTCGAGATCGATGTGGGGCGATGGTCTCCTTTTCATCTCTTTCGCATACCTAAGCATGGTCGTAGCCCCTGAACCGAGGACCCACATTGGCTCTCCAGGATTATCGAGGGCACACCGGTCGGATTCGTTGACACTGTCTGGACAGAGAACTCATACGCAAAAGTTGCAAGGCTTTCCAATCCGCAGATGAAATTGCAGTTCACCTCCGATCACCGGTCAAGCTTCCTGCGACTTATCGCTCTCCATTCTGGCTAAGGAAATATCGGCCAGGGCAGTAATCAACCAAGGTCAGGCCGCTTGGTCCGGTGAATATCTCGGGCGAATAACTTAATCTTGGCCGTAGAGAGGAAAATAGATGAAACTGTAGTGGAATGTGAGGACGATGTCGAGAAGAAGAGTCGATGTAGTCAGAGAGTGTCTTATGGCCCGATGCGCCGGGCCCGAGGTCTAGGCCGTGCTTGTGCTTGTGTTTCGACAATATTGCCCAGATTCTGGAAATTCTCTTTTGCCAGGCTTGGCAGAGTAGATCATAGATGATGCTCGACTGGCTCTAGAAACCTAGCCACGCTCAACGAACTATTTCATGGAACAACGCTCCGCGGCTTTTGCGGCTTCTGCACTGGCGCGAGTTGGGATGTGCGTTGTGAAGACGAGGCCAAGTCCGAGGGCAAGTGATTCGTGTCCGACATGCAGATTCAGTTCTACCTTGACAATATGCACAGGTCCTTCGTCAGACTAGAAGAGAAGCATCGAAAATATATCATTTCTGGTGGCACTAAGCACAGGTCCCACGCCATGCCATACTCCTGACTGATGTTCGGAGATAAGCGTCGATCCCGATACAACCGAGACAATCTCACCTTAAGATAACAGACAGCCCTGCATGCAGCAAGAGGCCCAAACAAGCCACAAACCCGTCACTCACAATGCCATACCATCGACCAGGTTGTCAAACCTGCAGGACTCGGCGCATAAAGGTATTCTCCCCTTGCAGCCCCTGCACCCAACCTACAACCACCCTAACAACCAACGCAGTGCGACCAAACACACCCAGTCTGCCAGCGCTGCCAGAAATCCCACCGCACCTGCGCCGGCCTCTATAGAGCACAATCGCAACCATTCCACCACGAAAACCGCTACGCAAGCGGCCAGCAGAAGCGTCCGCGCGGCCCCCGCCGCAGACCTGCGAGCCCGAGCCCGAGCCTGAGCCCCAGACTCACCCCCCTCCTCATCCTAAGACAGCCGCAACCCTCCCTCAAAACCCAAGCCATAGCCCACTACCTCCATCACTACACCTCCCCGTCCCCCTCCACCAATCCCTCATCCTTCACCACAAGCCTAACAGAAACATACATCTCGACCCTGCGCACCCTCCCGCAGCCCCATTTTCACCACTCTCCACCAGTAATCACCACAGCAGACCTCGAAAAAGCCATCACCCCCCTCGCACTTGCATATTTCGCGCGCGCAAAGCACTACCCCCCCGCAGCAAGAGAAGCGTCATCTACATACGCCCTTCTCCTGCGGGATTTCAGCGTGCTCCTCCGATCCGTGGAAACAGATCCTTCACCCAGGCAAATCGACACCCTCCTGCTGATGATCTTCTTTATGAGTCGGTATGAGGATACCGTCCATCCTGTCCCTGGACATAGTACCACTACCCCGGGGTGGATGGGAAGTTCGAATGGGTTCGCTCCACCCACGGCCAGCGGAGGGATTACCAGAGGATCAACCTTGGCAAAGGACATCCATGCGACGGTGGGAAGTTTTGCACACCAGGATGGGGCGTTAGCTGTTTTAAGGGTGTGGGTTCTGTTTCTGGCTCGAGGAGATAGGGGTACATGGAAGGCAACGGAGGCGATTAAGCTTACCCGCCGGGCGATGATGAGGTCTGCGCTGATGCGGGGGAGGGCGTTGCCGGTTTGGATTCTGGATGGGAGGGCGTTTGGGGAGAGGGAGGGTGTGGAGGCGCGGTTGGATGGGTTGGCGGTTAGGGTTGTGCAGTTAAGAGGGGAGGTCGTGGCCTTGGGTACTCGGAATTTTGCGCAAACGGTGGGGGGGTCGCGTGAGGGGTTCTTGGTTGGGAATATGGGGGTCGCGAAGGAGGTTTATTCTCAGGCGAGGATGGTCAGGGCTGCGTTGGAGGCGTGGAAGGTGGAGGTCGATTGGGTGAGGAGGTGGAGTAAGGAGGTGGTCGAGGGGACGGTTGATGTTCTTGGGTCCGGGAATGCTAAGCTGCTGGCAGACCGAGTGCTCTGCTTCTCGGATCTGGCGCACGCGGTGCTGTGGTGTCATTTCTTAACCTTGCGGATGTTGGTGGAGAGTGTTTGCTTGAGAGTGCTGCTATTTGTGGAATCTGAGATCCCAGGGTCCGGGGCTGCGATGTGGTGCGATCTTGCTGCTGCGAGAGAACTGGCGGCTGCCCACGAGGCGGAGCTGAAGAATCTGGCAAGGCAGCTGGCGGCTTGTTTGCCGTTCGTTCTGGGGCAGATTGAAGTCAAGGACAATGCAGCGTGGGGAATACGGTCTGTTGCTTGGAATGAGAAGCAGCAGCCCACGCCCTATAGGGCTAGTCTGGTGGTGTGGCCGTTGACTGTTGCTTCGGGTATAGAAGGACTGGGTGACGAGCAGCGGTGGTTCAAGACACAATTGGGACATCTGGGCCGAGTGACAGGCGTGGGGGTGCTGGAATGTGCAGAGGGGGACGAGTGGCTGAAATTCTAATTATACCACGTCCTGCAGGTTGTGTGGTCCGACGTCGTTGCTGAAGATAATGTCCAGCAATAACTAATACCAAGACAGGGGATGTAGTCTTCTTGCCGGTAGATCAACTCCATTCCTCCTCACATGCTGACCTACTGTCCTAACAACAACACCATTCGCGTCGCCTCAAGCACAGTCCCGATCTGCTCCATGCCAAGACTCGTATCTTCCAGGGCCGCAAATTCTTGGTCTGTCGGCCATTCATAAAGAGAGAAGCTGGAAGACCTCATCGGTCAGCACAAACTGGCCCTTTGACTGGATGTGCAGCGGCGCCAGATATGCTCCCTCGCAGTTGAATCCAGGTCCGGATAGTACATGGTGAGAAGGATCCTACTCTGGAAAGCTTGATCCATTGTGTCGGCGCGGTTCGAGGTCATGATCATGACGCCACTTTAGTATTCGAGCAGGAGCTTCCAGTCAGCGTCTATACACTGCAGCAGCGCAAGAGCTACACCACTCACCGCAAGAAAACAGCCACCACATTGTTCTGCTCCAGCTGACTGCTCGACCGCTCTGGCAGGAACACATCGCATTCATCGAACAGCAGAACCGCATCCCCCTTCTCAGCGAGCTCAAGGACCGTATTCAGTCGGTGTTTCACATCTCCGCATGTCATCCCAGCTCGCCGACGCGCAGCACATACAGCGGCTTCCGGACGCGATCGGCGATGGCTCCCGCCGTCAATGTGGTTCCCGGGCAGGAGCATGATGATCCCTTGTCCCTTGCCTCAATGACAACGTCGAAGACATCCTTGTGGGCTGCTTGTCCTCGATGAAAAATATTATCGGATTGTTGTAGCCGGTCGGCAGCATCAGGGTCGACAAGCTGTATTATTCCATGAGGTGATTCATGTTGGCAACTATCTACACCTCAGCAGAGCAGGCAGCGAACTGTAAGTCATCCATTCGGCCCAAGAATGAGAGTGCATATTGTCGCCAATAACCCTGACGTAAACTTAGTAAGTATTAGTATGTCAATAGTGAAGAGAGTGAACGAATAAGCAGGATATGTCTGGAGAGTCATGACCATTGTCAATCATCACACAAAGAAAAACGCAGCGAATGCGAGATCATCAGCTTATTCCACCTGGACGCCTGCAATGTGGGTAATTGTCTGGGCGCTTGTGCATCAAGGTATCAATTTCGAGCCGGCGCTAATACTCGACATGCTAGATACCTAGGAAGAAGCCAAGAAGCATCCTTCGCGCAGCATACAGACGAGTTCAACACCCAACAAACACCGTCAAATCCCGACATGTCACCGAGCAATTCCCGCCAAACCAGCCCAAGTCAAGTAAAAAACCCCAGCCTCACAGCGACAATCACGCCAATCTGCTCACCCCGGACCCCTCTTCCCCATGATCACCCGGATAGTGAGATTTAATATGCATATCATCTTCCGCCCTACCTTCAGGATTTACCGGTCCCAGCGGCCCGCGCGGAGGACAAAATGTGATGTATCACGAACTCGTCATCTCCGACATCCGAGCGGACCATAAGTACTGTACAGTACGAGTGGGTCTTGCATCTGGATCTGTCTTGTCGGGCAAATCCTGCGAGTCTATGTATCAGATTCTTACCCCTCCAACCTTGCAGGGGGTTGCATGTGACTTGTGGAATCCCTGGGAGTACAGTGTGGCGACAGGGGAGACAGTACGAGGTCTGAGCGAGGAGGGGCTGGGGCTTGGGGTTTGCGCTTTCCCAGGTGATAATCGTATGATTGACAATATCTACTGGGGAGTCAATCATGAGAGTGTTGTGAACAAATGAACGTAGTCTATGCATGACATATGGACAGGTCTAGTATAATGTACAGTACAATAAATCATCACCGCGGAAGATCAAAGGAAGGTGACGACCGCAAATAGACCGGGCTGACCTCCACATTCGTCTCGATCTCTGTCTGGGCCATGATCTTGCCCGCGGGGATCACGATACGGTCCTCGCTTCCGTTCCGCTCGATATGTGTCCCTGCGATCGTCTCCGTTTCGGCGCAGCTCTGTAGCACACTCATCCCGTACTCGGGCGGCCGCGGCTTGGAGAAGCCGGACCCGTACCGCTTGGCAGCGTTGTTGTTGCTGCTCGACCAGCCGCCGTAGCCTTTGTTGGAGGAGTATTCGCCGATCCAGCGAGGGAGGAAGCGCGAGGCGATCGCTTTGAACGAGGGGATGGAGGACGCCAGGATGCCAACGTTGATCTCGATGGACGACCAGTACATTGCGCCGCTGATGGCGTAGGTGGAGTCCGCGGAGGTGAGCATAGCTGGGATGTAGGTGATGCGGATAATGGAGGAGACGCAGGCGCTGGAGATTGAGAGTTAGAATGGGGCGGGGATGGGTTGTGGGAAGTGACGTACAATAGACCCAGGCAGAGAATGAATCCCAATGCCAGCTTTTGTTTGTATGGCATATGGAGGTGGAGGATCACCCGGATAGGGAGTGTGTAGGTCAATAAATCGGTGACGATGTTCAGGGCCGCGTTGGCGAGGTAGAAGACGTTGATGTCCACGCACTGGCCTTCGAGACTGGGATTCCACGCTTTGGGGATCGGTTTGCATTGAAAGGCCGCCGTCAGGACAAACGCCGTTGCTTGACCTCCCACCACGCACATCATTACAACCGACAATCGAGTCAAGGCTTTATCGCCCAGTCGAGTGTAGAAGAAGCAGACCGAGGTTTTGATGAAGCCTAGACAGGCGAGGTAGAACATCGAGCTTAGCCAGACGACCTGCAGGAAACATGATTAGGAGGGATCGTTGAGATCAATAGCGGGGGCAGCGTACAAAGGCGTAGGTAATGAGACCATCTTGGTCGACTTCATCTATATGCTTGCCCATGCCATATTGGACGGCTGATGGTGGTTAGTATTGTCAATGTCAGAAACGCCGGGGCACAGAGCATACCAACTATTGTCACCGCTGTGAAAGCCCATGAAAGCAACTATGTATATCAGCTAAGCTCAACTCGATTCCCGGAAGTTATCTTACACAAGCGACGATAATCAGATCTGAGAAACGGTCAGCCAAACTCAGGGTTGTCCCAAAAAAGCAGACGACTCACAATCATCCAGTCCCATCCGCTTCAACACGAAGAGCCGGGCAAATAACCGCAGACAAAGAACGATAAAGGTCAACACGGCAAAGGCGATGGCCACGCCCGCCACAACGGGGCCCTGCGTCTTGGCCATGTCAAGAAGCTATACAGCACAGCGGGCGAAAGGGAAAGAAAGAATCTTTCGAGTCCAATTCGGCTCTGGTCGAGTGACGTGCCTTTTATGTAGGTGGAAGCGACCTGGCGTCGCGCATCGACTGCTAATTTGCAAATCGATTCGGGGTTTTGATCATGCAGCAGCTTCAATGGGCTGGGCAAGTCGCCCTGCTGGGAGAGCCCTAGCTCGGGGTTCTTCCCCTGATCCCCATCTTCGCCCTCCCTTGGCACAGGCCGTGAAAATGGATGACCAGTAGCGTTTCCCCGAACAGGGAATCAGGAGCGAGAATTTCGCAAGATTTCCCCAATCTTTGGGTTCAATGTTCTGGAAAGGAGGTGGAAATGCAACCGATTGGGAGGAGACCCTAGCTTGGACGCCTTCGCTCAATTGGGTTTAGCAGAGAGAGTGGTGTTGTCCACATATCGTATCGACGAAATGTGAAGAGTGCATTCGACACAGCGCCTGCGTTAAGCGGACAGCTCCAGGACCTTTTGACGTTTCCTTTGGCCAATGCGTGACAAGAATAGCATCTGTGACCGGATCGTCGGCGCGGGTCATCGTTCCGGACGGGGGAGAAATGAAACACGCCGATCGCGATTCCACCGCGGACGGGCGCGGAATTGACAGTTGACAGAGAACCCTGCGCGATCAATTGTTCTGCCCCAGTGTACTGCGTATGAATGACTCAAGTTCGAGATGCCATTGCTGTCACCCCTCCGGACAATGGCATTCTTGCTCGCATCCGACTGATTCACCCTCCCATGCCATTTCCCGAGCCTTCTTGACTATTGAAAATCCTAAGATAGGCGACCTTAGCAGGAATTAGGTTCCGACGCCAGTAGCTGCCCTAAAACGCCGGCAACTGGGCTTCGAAGCGGGAAGCGGAACGCATTCTCTGCAACTGGCTTAGGGCATGACAGCCACTGACGGCAGATTGGCGGGAGACTGGTGGTGGCGTTGGGGCATCGCGATTGTCCTGACCCACCCACGCAAGGAAGAAACCGAAATCGGAGAACCTGCAAGTCGATGACGGTGGGAGACTGTGAGTGCGCAAGAGTCGGCCATGCACCCAGGCCCAAATCCCGGTCGATTATTTCCCATAGTATGTCAATCCGGAACGACCACGGCCTTGGTACACCCCGGGGTTCGGTTTGCTCTTATTCAGGGGTGATGGAGTGCTGAAATGGCCTCCGCGATTTAGCTACAGTCTGGAGAGGAACCATTTCCTACATCCACGATCTAATTCACTATAAACTAGGGTGGTTCAACGGCAGCGAAAGGGCTGAAGCGGGAATCGCCATCGTTCTCCCTCCCCCATCACAAGGTGGATTCAGGCGGCCCTCACGGCGAAGGCCCATCGACGGTCGGACAAAACGGCAGATTTCTTCCGGTCCTTGCGAGCGCGACCGCTAGCTCTTCGGTCTTGCGGTTTTCTTCTGAGCATGAAAGCCGTTAACGGGTGGAGATTTGCAAGCTGGCAACCAACTTCCCCCTGGAACATCATGAGTGGCAATCCGACGGAACGCTCTTTCCTGCAACGGGGCACCGTTGGCGACGCAGCTTGTCAAAAGTACAATTGTCGTTCACTCCCGCACGGCGAATGACGAGAGCGAGCGTTGGTCTTGGCATTGTCGATCGAATGACGGTGCGCGCATTAGCGGCCTTTAGTTGCAATTAGCTGCAGTTTAGTGGCCGCACGCAATGGAGTCACTGTCCGCGAAGCGACTGTTGTCCGGTGGGGCTCAATTTGGAGCTGTCGATGGGATAGGTCACATTGCGCGACGAGGGGCTTCAAGGCGGGTACAAGTTATAACCCTAATGCCTCGCTCGAATTAAGGGGGGAGGACGAGAGCAGTTATGGAGCCGGTTACAATCCAGGCTTCCAGCCAACCCACCAAGACGCCGCGGAAGAAGTCTTTCACACCCCCAAACTTGACAGGGAAGATGCCTGTTCTTCGAGCCAGATTTGTTGCTCTGACAGCTGTCAACCGAATCACTAACAACGACGACCGTCAATGAGATTCGATGTCGTTGTCTTCCGTGGGTCGCTCAGTCACTCACTGCGGTGTACACTGGACAGTAGTAGCATTCGCGGCCACGAGGCGCCGTTGAACCCTAAGCTTCGTATATGAGCTGCTGTGCGTCTGACAGCCCGTCAGGGCCCATCGACACCCACCATGCCATGTCCACCCCTCCCTCCCTCCCTCTCCTCCCCGCGCCAAACGGTGCTCCAACCGGGATAGTCTGCCCATTTGATTCTAGGTCCCCCCCGAAACAGGCTGGACAATCTCCGTGTCTCGGTTGAGTGGACGCTTGGATGCCTCTTTCGCTTGTCGGCACGAGGAACGGACTGCACGTTGCCCACTGCGCCAGCTCGTGCCAATGAGAATGCGATTGTTTATGAAACACCGCGGTGATTTGCCCTCTACCCACTGCCGGATCAACCCTAGCAAAGGCCCCTTACTGGAGGACTGAGCAGCGATGGAGACAAAGAGCCCTGCTACTGCTTGGCCGGTGTGAGGTCAGGCAACGGTCGCATTCTTAAGAGCTCGTCTCCTCGACTTGCGAAGCTTCGACTGCCTCATTCACCAAGCAGCTATGGGACTGGAGAGTTTCCTGTCGCAAATCACCCTAGCCAGGGTGGCTTTGGGTCTGGTCGTATATGTCGTACTTCAATTCGTCTACCAAATCATCTACTATCGCTTCTTCCACCCTCTCGCCAAATTCCCCGGGCCGTTCTGGGGCAGCGTCACGCGCATCTGGCTCGCATGGCACAATCTGCGGCAAACAGAGCTGGAGACTGTTTCTGAGCTGACGAAGAAATATGGTACCGACTCTGTCTCTGGAGAATTCGCGAAATATCAACATAGCAGCATCTAACGCCGAGGTCTTTCATTCACAGGCCCCGTTGTCCGCATCACCCCGACTCTGCTGCTGGTCAGCGACCCGACAAAGCTGCCGGATATCTATCACCGCCAGGCCGACAAAACTGGACACTACATTACCGGATCGTTCGGAGAAACCGAGTCGCTGTTCAACATGCGCTCGTACAAGACGCACTCCTCCTTCCGCAAGCACTCCGCCGGGCCGGTACGTTTATACATGCTTCACCGCGAGACTGGTGACTGACGCCCGCTGCAGTATAGCTTCAGCAATGTGAAGAAGATGGAACCTCTGATTGATCTCCGCATGCAAGAGTGGCTTGACAAACTCGACGAAAAGTACTCCAGTACCGGGGAGGTCTTTGACTTTGCCTGGTGGGCTGTGTATGTTCTGCATCGATTGCCCCTGCCTATGCCTCTCGCGAAGCCCAGCCTGTCCAACTCACCACTAACCCCGACTTAACACAGCTACATGGCGTACGACATCATCAGCGAGGTCGGCTTCGGCGCACCCTTCGGTTTCGTATCGCAAGCCCACGACGTGGGCGGGCTAATCCAAGGCTTCCACGACGGCCTGCCGGCCTTCGGGCTGCTCTCGCGACTGCACCCGTTCACGAGCTGGGTGAAAACGACCTTCCTCAAGAAATACCTGGTGGCGACGCCGGCGGACCAGTCGGGCGTAGGGGTGCTAATGCGGTTCCGCGACCGACTCATCGACCAACGGCTGCGCGACCTCGCAGAGAAGAAGGACATCGGGCGGGTCGACCTCCTGCAGACGTTTCTAGAGGCGCGCACCGAGAACAACCAGCCACTGGACATGGAGTACATCAAGGCGGAAGTGCTGCTCGTGCTCCTGGCGGGCGCCGACACCACCGGGACCGTCTTCCAAGCGCTGGTGCACAACCTCCTCACGCACCGCGCCGTCTACGACCGCATGATGGCCGAGATCGATGACGCCGTCGCCCGCGGCCTCATCCCCGCTGACTCCATGCCGCAGTACGCCGACATCGTCGACCACCTCCCCTACTATGTCGCCTGTGTGCGCGAGACGATCCGCCTGAATCCCCCCGCGCCTAACATCTTCCCGCGCTATGTGTCCGAGCCCGGCATCGAGCTGTACGGCAAGTTCGCCCCGCCGGGCACCGAGATCTCCGGAAACCCGTGGATTATGCATCGCGACCGTAAGGTGTTTGGCGAGGATGCCGAGGAGTTTAAGCCCGAGCGCTGGTTGGATCCCGAGCACGCCAAGGTGTTGAACAAGTATATCTTCACCTTTGGGTATGGGGCCCGCGTGTGTTTGGGCAGAGATATCGCAATGATGGAGCTGTTTAAGGGGCCGTTGCAGGTATGATATATCCGATTGCTTGGTTCGGGTTTGTTTGGTTTTGACTGACGAATTGTTCTAGTTCTTCCGATACTATACCCCCCATGTGATTAAGGATAAGCCGGCGGCACGATTTGTGATTCAGGGGGGTGTGGGCCACTGGACGGATATGTGGTTGACGATTGAGAAGCGGAAGACGGCGTAGATTCTTAGAACGGTGGCTGCTCTGAACGTATAGTTGTTGGTGTGGTTTTGAGAAGTTCATGGATTGTAAAATAGCCACAACCACTTCGAGTTCTTGTGTTAGAGGACAGCCAATGCAGCATTACTTGCGACTTCGACACATTTATCGTTGCATGTACAGCACAGTACTTCCACAACCGCATGCATAACTTCCTGGCCGAGACCCTGGAATAGAGATTCGGGTGTGTGTATAGATGAGCTGTCAATGCGTTCGCACATCTGGAGACTTCATTTGGATTGATTCACGAGCTGAATGATTGCCAGTGGCTGCTTCACTTGGACAGACAGTCCTTCACGGCTTGAACGGAGGACAAGTACGAAGCGCAAGGTAGAAAACCGTTCATACCATTGATTCCAGCTAGAGAATTGCTAATCAAAGATATAGGAAAGTGTACTAGATATGATGCTAATTCTCGGTAGAATTCACCTCAGTTATCCAGACCTGCTACGCCCCAGTCATTGATATCTGGTAGCCTGCGGTGCACCATTCTCCGCACCACTCTTCAAGATCAACTCGATCTATATTCCGTCAGTAGACCATCGTTATCATCCCGATCGCTTCAATAGACGCACCACTTCTAGATCTGCCAACGCTTCCTCCGGCCGCTGTTCGGGTTTCAACTGTCCCGATACCAACGCCTCCCCCCATGCCTGAATCTCATTCACGACCGCCAGTTTCTCCAGCGGCAGTGTCTTGCTTTCCTCCTGTTCATCCAGGTTCAACACCACCATATCATCATTCGCCTGAAGATGGCCATTCTCGCCAACAACCGTCCACCCACCCTCCTTCAAACTCGAACAACCCGACAGCTGAAACGTTCCCTGCGCGCCGGACTCGGTCCGCAGCATCGCATCCACCGTGTCCACCGGTGGCAACGCATCCGCAAAGCTGCCCACAAAAGCACTCACCTGCGTAATCCGTTCCCCTTTCCCCAGTAGGTACCGCATCGCCGCTGCATGATGAACCCCGATGTCCAGCACCGCTCCACCCTGATGCTCCGGTTGTTGACGCCACGCAAGCTCTAGGTTCAGTCATCAGCCACCATAAAACACACACAAATTTCTCTGAAAATGGGTGATACCGAAGAAAGGCCAGTACACAAATCGGCCCGGTCGGCAATCGAAGTAGACCTGCGTGCGGAATTGGCGGATGCGACCGAGACGATGCATTTGGGCGCGCCCGTGCCGAAGCGTGTCGAAGTAGCGGTAGTTCTCGGCAACGGACCAGATGGTGCCCTTGGGCAGGATAGTGGTGCGATACCAGTCCAGTAAGGCGGTCGCTTCCGAAAGGTCTTTGGCGATGGGTTTCTCGGAGAGGACGTGTTTGCCAGCTGTTAGGGCGGCGCGGACGTAGTGGGCTTGATTGGCGATGGGGAGCCTTTGGGGGGTTAGCTGATCTTTGAGACGTCTTCGTGTGAGGGATGAAGTGGCAGTTAACGCACGCAATGATCACGGCTTGAATGTCATTACGTGCAAGAAGCTGGTCGAGACCTTGGTCGGCGTTGTCGGCATAGCGGTCGATGTGTTGGTCGGGGGCGATGCTGGCGGCAGATTCCAGGGAGCGAGAGTAGACGGCCTTCAGCTCGAGGTCTGGGGAGGCTTGAACTCCAGGCTGGGGAGGTCAATCTTTCATTGCTTCTGTTGGGCTCGTGAGTTGCATACCAAATGGTAGTCCTTGATGAAGAGACCTAAAGAATGGTATTAGGAATGCTCAACCTAAGGTCGGGGGTTTTTACCTGCTCCGATAAAGGCGATTCCGATAGTCATGATGCTTGAGAATCAATTAGCACAGAAGCTTGATGGAAGATGAGTTCGACAATAGCAAGGTGCATCCGTATTTATTTGTGCCATCACTAAGGATATTCAGTCAATGCTCCTTTGTATTTCTAATAATTGTCCGGTCCAACAACAAGGAACGGCTTGGTCGGTCAGTCTTTGCTCCGCTTGGTTGGTGGCATTGTGTTTCACCCATGATTGCCAGGGCCCAGCTGCATGATGGCGTAAGATTGTATGCAGGAACCCCCACTTCTGAATTAGTGCAATGGAGCAGTGCCGTTTTGCAACCTGAGGCATTATGGTAGTCGTCATAAGCGAACCTGAAATCAACGTGGTAAGGTCGTATGTATATTGGATTGATGATTCTGCCCTGAGGAAACTGAAAAGGAATTCGGCAATGCACCCCAGCAAACCATTGATCGTCATAGACTTCGGTTGGAGGGAAGATTCGCCCCTCTATTTCAAGACTTGGTCATGTTCTTCGCAGTTGAAAGTGGTAACCTGAAGCCCAAAGCCTGAAGATGGAAGTAGAAGCCTGTTGTTCCCGGTTGCAGGAAAGCTTATTCCGGTTTGCGTTGCCGTCCTGAAATATAAAGAGATCTCGCGAGGCCATCATCTGTCCAAGCCGTTACAGAGCTCCATCTTGCTGCCAAACATGGCTCCTCCGTCGAAGAAAATGAATGATGTCTTCAATCAATATCTCCAAGACGCCAAGTCCATTACAGACCACGCCACCAATCCCTCTCTGATCCATATCGAGAATTTTATCGGTTTTACACGTGTCCCAGTCGGTCTTGCTGGGCCACTAGATATTCGCAATTCCGACGGCGAAAACCACAGGATCTGTGCACCCATGGCAACGACCGAGGCAGCACTGATCGCGAGCTGCAGTCGAGGATGCAAAGCCCTGAACGCCAGTGGAGGAGTGGAATACATTCTCGGCCGTGAGGGCATGTCTCGGAGTCCGTCGTTCCAGTTCGCCAGCCCGCGTGATGCGCAGGATTTCATCCAGGTCCTTTCCTATGTGGAGAACACACTCTGTGAAGTGGCGGAATCAACTAGTAACCACCTCAAGCTCGTGGACATTACTCCACACCTCATCGGGTGCTACGCTCATGTGGTCTTCAACTATACCTGCGGCGATGCAGCCGGACAGAACATGGTCAGCATTGCAACCCAGCGCTGCTGCACCTGGTTGATGGACACGTATGCTTCGCAATATAAGATCAAGCACTCTTATGTGGACGGACAGATGAGTTCGGAGAAGAAGCCGTCATGGGGACATGTGAAGACGCCGCGGGGCGTGGAAGTGACTGCATGGGCGTGCCTGTCGGACGAAACATGTCAAGAGATCCTGGGTTGCACCACATCTGAGTTTTATGACCTGCTGCAGATGGCGAAAGATGGTTCTATCCGGAATGGAATCCATGGCAGCAACATTGACGCGGTCAACGTGCTGACTGCTGTGTTCATCGCGACTGGCCAGGACGCTGCGAGTGTGGCGGATGCTTCATGGTGCCACCAGAGCACTTTCTATGACCGAGCCACGAAAAGCCTCACCGTCAGCCTGTACTTCCCTTCGCTGCCTGTGAGTGTCATTGGGGGAGGCACCTCGTACGACACCCAGCGGGAGGCACTGCAGATAATGCAATGTGCTGGGTCAGGGAAGAAGAGACAGCTTGCCGGATTTTTGGCCTGCTTCGCATTGGCACTGGAGCTCAGCACTGCTGCATCCGTCGTGACGGGCACTTTTGCAGGAGCCCATCAGAAGCTGCGGAAGGGTGAGAATGCTAAATTGTGATTCTAGTACAGAGAGTCTTCTTATGAAATGTTAAAGGTGTTGATTAGAGGGTCTGGATCCAGTCCTCGTCTGCCTGGTGTGGACGAGTGTTGTTATAGATAATGATATATAACTAACAGTGGAAGATGCAATATTCAAGGTCAAGCCACGGTAGTACTAGTTGAGTAAGCATGAGACTGAATACCGAGCTACAATACCATTGAAGAAATGATGTATGCACCACCATGTCACAAATAGTATGCTAGCAATGCATTTCGCATCAAAAGTGATGTATGTTGATATGGTGTAGTTTCCATGCAGAGAAAGAACCAGAAACGAGGAGACAAGCATAGATCGTGGATACCCGAGAAAGAATTGCCTGAGAGAATGGGTGTCTAGCTGAGTCAGCCCGCCACCGCAGTCAGAAATCACCTGACATCACGGACTGGGGAATCCCTCACCAATCAGCGGGCGGAGATGGCAGCCCGTGGCTTCTTTTGTCTTCAGCAGTCCCGTCAACGGCGTCATCACCATTACTACATGATGGGACTGCATCCCTTCTTCGCCCTGAACCCGATCTGACCCTCAACTACCTTCTTCGTTCAAGGATGCTTATTTTGTTTACTCCCCTTTCATCTAACTAACAATGGCAGACTTTGTGAGCTCTTCCTACCACGATAACACCGACCCTGACCCCAGGGAGGCGAATATCCTATCTCAACATCTCGACCCACAGTTCACCGCTTCGTTACAGGATGAACTCACTCCCCCAGATGCACCAGACGAGCACAACTCCGGCGAGTCCGGCCCTGAACCCCAATCCTCCCTTAAACTTCAAGGCGGAGATATTCACCGAGACCTGTACCGCATCGATGCCCGCTCAAAGCAGGCCCGCCTCGACAAGCGAGCCCTGACCTTCTCCCACCTCCCTCGACAGACCGACGATACCGTTGAAGAAAGTGTCGCTGCCAACGAACCCGGTAGCTTCCGCCGCCACTTCCTGCAGAATAAGTATGGTCGTTTAGATGGGCGAGGCGTCACCGCCTCGTTCCTCGATTTCTTGGATAACTATGGCAACTTTGCGGGCGAGGACCTGGTCGATACGGACGAGGAGGAATCGGCGATCGCGGAAGAGGAAGAGAGGGAGGCCCATGAACGGAGCCCTCTGTTGCGTCGTCGGAAGAGTGCCCGGGTCGCTCGGCCCGGCGATGCTTCCAATGTGAAGACCTTCTTCACGCTGCTCAAGGCTTTCGTCGGGACGGGTATCATCTTCCTGCCCAAGGCCTTCCGCAACGGAGGAATCCTGTTCTCGTCCGTGACCCTTCTCTTGGTGTCGCTAATCAGTACCTTGTGTTTTCACCTGCTGCTGGAGTGTCGCAGACGGTATGGTGGAGGTTATGGTGACATCGGAGAGCACATCGCTGGCCCACGAGCGCGATCGCTGATTCTTTCGTCGATTGCCATCTCGCAGTTTGGATTTGTCTGTGCGTGTATCATCTTCACAGCCGAAAACATTCACTCCTTCATGACGGCGGTGAGCTCCGCGCCACCCGAGGCGCTGACCACTGGGGCTCTGATCGGGTTGCAACTGGTGGTTCTGATCCCGTTATCATTGATCAGGAACATCTCCAAGCTTGGGCCTGTGGCTCTGCTCGCAGATGTGTTTATTTTGATGGGACTAGGGTACATCTACTGCTACGACATTGCCAGTCTGGCCTCTGGGGGCATAGCATCGACAGTAGAATTGTTCAATCGACAATCGTTCACCCTGACCATCGGATCCTGCATCTTCACCTTCGAGGGCATCGGATTGATTCTTCCCATTCAGTCCTCCATGAAACACCCGGAGCACTTTGACCGACTCCTCTACATTGTCATGGGCATCATCACGGTCCTGTTTACGGCCGTGGGTGCACTCTCTTACGCCACCTTCGGGGCGGACACCAAGACGGAGATCATCAGCAACTTTCCCCAAGGCGACCGGTTCGTCAACGCGCTGCAGCTGATCTACTCGCTCGCCATTCTCATCAGCACTCCCATCCAGCTGTTTCCCGCTGTGCGTATCCTGGAAGGCAAGCTCTTCGGCCAGGGGTCCGGCAAGCGCGACCCAATGATCAAGTGGAAGAAGAACGTGTTCCGGACGACCGCCCTGCTCGGCTGCGGGGTGTTGTCCGCGGTCGGAGCCGGAGATCTGGACAAATTCGTGTCGCTGATCGGCTCGTTTGCCTGCGTGCCGCTGGTGTACATCTACCCCGCGTACCTGCACTACAAGGGCGTGGCCTCGTCGCCGTGGGTTAAGCGGGGTGATCTCGCGATGGTGGTGCTGGGCTTTGGCTTTATGATCTACACGACGTCGGCGACGGTTTCGGTCTGGGTGGGCAGCTCTTAGCTTGTTTTACCATTGCATTAGGGTGGGGGTTGTATATGTAGGGATCTGCATGTTCAGAATGTTATGCCATTGCGCTGGTGTTGGGGACGATCAGCATGTTACGGGACGGGTTTGCCATGTGATGCATTGTTATGATTTATGCCATTGCTTTTTTTTTCTGTGTTAGTGGTGGTCGGCATGTGCTTGAACAGTCCATGCTGGGGGTTGCATGCTAATGATTTGCTTCCAGGTGTTGTGGTGAACTAATGCGATACAGGATAGACGTGACGTGTACAAGGTAGACTGGGCGACCGGTCTATCATAAACTCATCAAGCAGATGAAAGAAGGGTGGGTGGCTTTGTCTGTTGTCCTGGCGGTTCTTCTTCATTTTCAATAGTTCAATTCATTTTGGTGCTGCGTAGATAGATGTGTTGCGCTGTCTTGAGAGTACATCCTAGTCCGCCCCGACGCACTGAGACTATCAACCAGCAGTATTCAGTAAACCTTAGCAACAGAGGAGAGATGACGGCGTGGTATACTCCTCGCTAGTAGACACAGGACCTATTATCATCATGCTCTGGCCTGCTGCGTATAGTTTTGGGTGCGACAAGAAGGATGAGAGAATCAGAGTAGGTGTTCAACACCTGCCTCATGAATTCAAAACAGAAAGCCAAATCAGACACCTCACTAGAAGCCAGAATAGATAAACGCTGTCAGCGTCAAAGAGGAGAACTTCCAAGGCAGCGTCATCCAACCTGTAGCTCCGTAAGAGCAGCGTCAAGCCCTCACCCGAAACCAAGACAGCCATTTTGACCTCGCCATCAACACCATAAGATATACCCCTAGGGGAACAAGCCAGGCCTTCAACCCTCTTTCAGACGATTTCAATCCCAAGCTCCTTTGACGCCAAGAACCCCATATATAGCGCAAATCCCCTCCCATCATCGTTTCCCAGCCCTCCTGCCCTGTTACAATCTTGCCAACGGCAATCCCCAAGTGATAGCCTCTTTCCCCGACGCATACCTCCCGACTGCACCCCCACGCCCTGCAACCCCCAGGCGCAGCCCTACGAAGCACGAACCGCAGCCGCAGGGCTGGTATCAGCCTGCACCTCCCGCGACGCACCATCCACTACCCGCGAGGATCCCATATCCGTCTTATCAATCCACCGCGGCCTATTCAGCCGCTGGCTAATCGCCCGGAGCGCCACGGCAAGACGGCGCCGAATCCGGCGGAAGGTATTCGGCCGGCGACCACGCTCGTCGTGCTTCGCCCCTGCATCGACATCGTTCTGCTCTCGCGACGGGGACGGGGACCAGTATCCTGATGGCGGGTCTGCGTTATCCAGCGCGAGGTCCTCGGGTCTGTGTCTGCCCCGTCTTTCGGGTTGAGCTGGCGCTCTGACCTCGGGGGTATCTGTGTTCCTGGGATCGGTTGTGTCAGGATAAAGGGGTCTGTTAGGTTGGAAGCTCTGCTGGTTGCTTGTGTTTATCTGCCTCATGGTCTGTAATGATGGATGGAGGGCTGTGGCGGTTCTTGCGGCATTGTTGAAGTGGTGCGGGGAAACGAGGTGTAGGTGTGGCAAGGTCGCGAACACGAGGGACACTTGGAAAACCACACGACTTTGTTCGACTGACAGGAAGGTCGCACGAAATGACCGGGATCGGTCGTTTGTCTTTCCTGCATTGAGGGTTGAGGTGGTGGGGTGATGCTGATGATTTAGTGCTGCAGGTTGGCGCTACACCTGATATCGTGAGCCCTAGGAGTTGTGTCATGGATCACGGTATGACAGTGTAGCTGCCTCGTGTTGCAGACTTGATCAGAGCATGAGGCTGAGTGTCGAGTATATCCTTACCTCTCCCTGCGGTAGAAACATCGCTTACGGCTGTGTTTGGCCACAACGCTTGGAGCGATATCTTGCTCTTGGACTCACGTTGATACAACACGGTATTCTTCTGGACAGGGAGTCAATGGATCGAAGTGCTGTTACAAACCTGTTACAACAGACTCAACAAACTGATGCCCTGATCACAATAATTACAAGGTATACAACAGTTCAAGGCTCAATCAGCCGAGATAGAACAGCAAGTCCTGGACTGAAGGTTGTGTCGTGCTTACTGCGCACCCTCGCTGCAAGCATAATTTCAATGCTGCGACCAATAATCCACAAGGGATGTGCGACAGGCATCCTCAATTTCACCTGAAGAGACCGCGCATTAACCAAGGGTCAAACAACAAATCTTTTGCAGTGGCTCTTTCCTCTGGCAGCCAAGATAACATGCGTCGGAGAAAGCGCAAAAAATCGTCCTTCTCATCACCTCGGAGCCTCTCTTCCAGGGCCTCGATAGTCTTATCAGGGAGGGGAGCTGCGCCTTTCCATTTCCCTAAGACAAAAGGTTAATACGTTGATGCTACCCGTTCTTTCCGCAGGAAAAGGCCGTACGTACCACTCTTATCCCAGAACCGGAGACTGCGTTCGCTTCGAGCGAGAAACTCAGGAAGAGGAAATCCTAAGACTGCCTGCATTTCTGCAAGATGGTATTCATCATCCAGCCTCCCTTCGGGATTCCGAGCTTTAAAAAGATGACGATGCTCGAACAGATCTCATATCTATCCCACTGTCAGCTTGATGATGTGTTACAAGTACTAATGGAAAAGCCCTCTTGCCATCATCCCAACATTCCGAATATCAACTTTGTAATGCCAATTCATGCCCAATATAACCTCCGATGCCCGGTAGACATCAGGCATGATGTTGCCCTGTTGCTGATCAACACCCAGTCGAGCCTTGCCGAGATTACAGAGCACAGGCATCACAAACGATATGGGCAACGGGCGTGAGAAGTAAAAAACACGGTCCCTGAGAGTCTTCCGCGGCACAGGCGCGTCGAAATCAGCTTGTTCAGATTTCGATGAAATCAAGTCGTCTTTGATTTCGGGCCTGAAACACCTCGATCAATGGTCGTAGACACGACTGGCCCGCGTGGTGGGAGCGGATAGTTCTCAGGTGATTGTAAACCTCAATCTCCCGGGTTACTCTTGGTGATGCTGTGTGGATTTTCAACGCGACGTATTGGTGGTCCCTACCTTGATTAGGTTGCGCAATTGAAATAAAGGTTGGTGGGTTCTTACTGCAGGTCCCGGCCGAGCCACACCGTGGCGCTGGATCCATATCCTAACTTGCCGACGACTTGGTAGCGATGGTTGGATACTTCCCAGATGCGGACGGGATAGAAGTTTTCGGGCCTGTAGGTCGGAATTGACTCTTCCTCAACTGGCACGCAAGGGTCGATGTTCTCCCAACCTGAAGTAGGGAAGACATGCGGTTCTGAAGAGCGAAAGTCCGTTACGGCACGTCTGGTTGATCCGCGATATGAGATGGGGGAGAAGAGGTTGGGGTAGGTAGAGAACCTAGTTGAGGATAGTGGGTAGATTAGTCGCCTTCTCTTCATGGTTGTTTGCTGGATGAACAACGACAAGGAAGAGTTTATGCAGTATGTTTTGATCTTATCTGGCACTAACGTCGGGCCGCCCTTCGTATTTGGCAATTCTGAGGGTCGGTCACTCCCGCTGAGTGGAAGCCAAGAGGTGAATCTATACACTTAAGGACCCGTGGAGAATAGCCTTTTCTTGGAAGGTCAGCCTTGTGAGGGCTCCAGATCTCAATCCTCACAAACTCTTTAGTTTACGAATTGTATTCATCGGCATGCTTCTCAGTAAACCGCGACATCGAGGTACGATACATAACTCATGCCAGCGCAACCCAAAAGACACCGCTTGGTAGTCGAAGACGCTCAGAATCTGTACACCTGATTTATCGAGAGGACGGAGCGTGGATTGACTGGCTGGCTGATGTGGCAGTCAAAGCCCAATTCTAAGCATAGTCGCACTAGCGAACACAAACAATGGACCTCCCCCCGTCCCACGTTACTCTCTTCCTCATCATCATCCTGAATGTACGATGCTTAGTATCAATAACTGCGTCATCCTCCCCCACGATATGCGCAGAGGAAGCAAACACGATGGCCTCGCCAGTCCGCAGACTAGCAATTGATGGAAGCCATCAGAGATAACCCTCTCCCGCGACTTTGTCGCTATCAATGGGAACATGCTGCTCGATGGTCCTGTACCATTCTGGACTCGTGAACCGGTGGATGATTGTCATCGAGCAGAGGTCAATCAACCGCGGTGAGATTGTCGGCTCTTGCGTCGATATGATAGTCCGCACGCCCAGGTGTCGTTGTTGTCGGATGATGGTCAGGAAGGTCTCGGTCAGCTGCTTCGCGGCTGGGGTGTTGGTCATATACTGTGCGCCGATGTCAGCAGACCTTGATTTACACACTGTGTCAAAATAGAAAATACCTTATGCGCCCCATCAGCAACAATCATCTTCCCTCTTGAAGGATGGCCATGGAGAAACAGCTCAATAGCAATACGAAACATAACGCACGCCGTGCTCTTGAGGTAGTCTTGCAATTGTTGTAAAACAACTGTAATCCAAGTCGAGAGTATATATCCCTCCTATAAGTTATTCCTTACTTTAGCCGAGTGTTACGAATGAAACTTGTTGGGATTACTCTTTGATAAACTTGGAAATACATGTGCAACTGTTAAACCAGAGCCTAGCGACGACAGGCCAGAATATTATCCATTTAATCAGAGTGCTCGCATGCTCTGAAAGATTCAGCCTCTAAGTATGCAGCCACCAGTTCCAAAGACCCTCAAGTCACCGTCTCGACCAGTTGCTGCAAGTTTCCGAATCGCGACAGCGTGTAAAGTACTACATTTTCCAAGTCTTCTTCTGTGACTCATATATCTCCTCCTTCAAAAGCGGACCCATGCCGGCAGCAGTTCTATTAGCGTCCACTCGGTCCAACAAGACAAGATAGGGCGGAACGATCTCCATTGGAACACCCCGCGTTCTGTCTCGCTGCTCCCATTCACCTTCATGGAACTTCTGCCATGGGACACGTTCAGGTGGAAGAGTGAAATAGTCGTGTTCAATGTCAAGATCTGCTCCTAGGTATACACATCGAACGAGTCGGAAGAAGATCAAATTGGGTAGGCAACTTAGCCACTGCAAAATATCTTCCCAGCAGCCGGAAGTCAGGTGGACGTGGCAAATCTCGAACCTTTTGAGTGACTGTAAGGCTGGTGCCGGGAGCGAGACCAGGGTAGATGAGGGAATCGCTAAGGCAACCAGAATGAGTGTTTCCAAGTGAGATGTAGGAGCGTTTGTGTTGCGGCCCAGAACGACTTCATCTTTTGCCGCGGTGAGAGTGGAAGAGTAGAGCGAATCTCTCAGACAGCCGAAGATCCAGGCTGCAGAATCAGCAGCTGGTGACCAGAGCGGTGGAAGATCTATCTCAGCCCTCATCTGACGAAGTTCGAGATAGCGAATGCGATGGAGAACCTGGATGACTTGATCCGTCTCCACGCCCGCTCGAGGAACATGACCATCAAACTCCCAGTATTCAGGAAAATCGACTCTTAAGCTCCCGAGTTTGCGCAGTGGTGCAGCATTCAGGACCCCATAAATAACGTGATTCAGCTCGCTGGGGCTACTTTGATCGTCGAGATAATGATACGGAAGAGCCCAATCCATAGATTTGATATCTTGTAGGGGGGTCATTGCTGACGATATGATCTTGCCGAGCTTTGTCCCATCATTCAATATGTCCCACTGAAACGTCCCAGAGATCTGAAAAATCAGGTGTCGGATATAGCGCGCACAGGCGGTCTTAAAGAAACCCTGAAACTTGCGTAGATCGTCCAGCTTCGAGGTAAGGCAAACGACGAACGTACGAAAAAGAAACGGTGAAACAAGCAAGGAAAAGGCTTTATTGACAAGCCGCAGCCTGGCGAGATAAGAGTAGGCGGACCGAGTGAGTTGATTGCCAGTGTTATGATAGGGGAATTCATCATAGCTTATAAGATGGCGGATGATCTGTAAAGCCTTAGCTCCGAGAAGGGGTTCGACATGTCTGTAGACTCTCACCATGATGTTGATTTCAGCTGGAAGATCCATGCTTGCGAATGCTGCTTACTAGCTGGGAAGAGAGAAGAAGAGGTGAGGAAGGTGTGAACGAGGTTGGAGGAAGGAGGCCTTTTTATGGGCAGCCAGCCACTTGAGGATCGAGAGAATTGGAAGATATTCACTGGGAACTGACAGCCACCCAACATCACATGACAGAATTTCAACCACCAAGGGATTATTGGGTATAGAGACTAGCTGAGACAATTCAACTCCGTCTCCGACATCGCTTGCCTTGGTTTGTCGAACAAAGTTAAAATGAGACATTCAGTACACGTGCATGGCTGATCCACAGCATTCATTGACGTTTTATAGTAAGCTATCAAACCTAACCCCATCGATCCCTGTACCTCGTTCCTACCCTCCTCTCAACCTCAAATACCACTGGCACCTTCAGGGACACCCGGAATCCGGATAATTGCAGCTATCGCCACTACCGCCGGTAATGCTCACGCCCTCGAACACAAAATTCTCACAGCTGCCGTCTCCACAGAGGATATAATAATCCTTGCCATCGCTCATAGTACCCGTGACATCAACAAAGGTAACATTCGTGATCTGCACCCCATTGGTGGGCTCACCAGTAGGCCCACCATTCAAATAATCCTGCTGGACATCGATACCGTAGTCCGTGATGCCGGAGAGCGTGATATTTTCATACCGGATATTGTAGACCTCGCCGGTCTCGCCGGAGTTAGTCTTGATGCGGCAGCCGTTCTCGGAGTTGACGACCTGCGAGTTGGAGAAAGTCACGCCGTCGACCGTGTTGTCGCTCTTGCCGCCGATCGACCCGATGCTCAGCCCGTGTCCGCCGTAGCAGTACAGGTTGTCGACCAGGATGTTGCTGCCCGAGGTGACGGCTACGCAGTCGTCTTGGTTGTGCACCCACGAGTTGGTGAGCGTTAGGTCCGTGCTGCTCTTGATGTCGAAGCCGTCGCTGTTGTGTGCGGCCGGGTCGCCGGAGCTGAGGCTGTTGGCGGCGTCGCCGGCGGAGTTGTTGAGGGTTATTCCGGTGATGGTCAGTCCGCTGCTGGATTCGATGTCGAAGCAGTGTACCGGCCAGTTTTGGATGTTCAGGTTGCTGATCGTGCTGTTATAGATTTTCTTCACAACGATGAAGTGATCCGGTCTGTGGGTTTGATTAGTTAAGGATTTGTTGGTGGGAGCGAGTAAACTGGCTTACTTCTCTTGGCCTCCGTTCGAGCCCTCGCCGTCCCAGTATGCTTGTCCGTTGCCATCGATAACGTGACCATCCACGCCCGTGATCGTCACGTCAGTTCCCGAGATCACGATCGGGTCGAAGTCGTCGTCGTACGTGTCTCCGAAGGTCTGTGACCAGCGTTAGTTTGGAATGAGTGATGGGATGGGGTGGTAGGTGGCGTGCTGACAGTTTCGCCCGCGAAGATCACGGCTGCGCCCGTCTGCAGACCGGAGAGATCGATCGTGCTGGAGGCCGGGGCGCTGATGCCAGACAGTAGAATGTTGGAGCACGAGGACACGGCGGACGAGATCGAGGCATATTCGGTCACCGTGCAGGTCGTGCCGCCGTTGCCGACGGCGGAGGTGGCGACGGCGACCTTGGTGGTGACTGGAGCCAGGGTGGTGGACGCCGCCTGGCTGGTCGAGGCGACCTTGGAGGAGGTCTGGAAGGTCGTGGGAGCCACGGTGGAGGTGGCAGCGACAGGAGCAGCGGTCGAGGTGGTGACCGCAGCTGCACCGGTGGCGGTGCCCAGGCAGCTGCAAGCGCTGGACAGGTGCTTGGTCTTGTAGTCGCAGTTGGACAGGAAGACGTCAGGCACGCCCGTGGTCTCGGTCACGGCACTGGCCGTGAAAGTGGCACAGAAGCTGGCTGCAGCCACCGAAGAGACAGAGTAGACGGAGGCACAGGCATGGCTCTCGGGGCTGACACAGCCCAGAGCAAGAGGCGCCAAGGCCAGAAGAAGCGCACTGCGCTGCATAGTGGAAATGAATGAACGACTAAAGAGTGAAAGATTAACGGAAGAAAAGAAAAGAAGGACTGAGTTGGTGATGACAGCAGGCAAACAGTCGTCCGTCGCGCAGCTTAAGTACCATCGTGCCCTGCATGACAGCCGGAAAATGCGGATAGCGCAGCGCTGCAGGTGAAGGAGGTCCGGACTGGTGGTTTCAGGATTCTCCGTGCCAAGCAGTGAGATGGAGGAACTCGACACAAGCGTTAGCCAAGTTGTTGAAGCTGTGGTTGGCACTTGGCATGCAGTCTGAGGATTCATGAGGGCATTCGTCTCCGAGGGTAGACCATAACAGTGTGCACGGGCACTGATGGGGATTCTTCAGTCAGGGCGCAGCGTTTATTGGTACGGTCGGCATTAGCCGAGCTCGAGACGAAGTCATCCTCGCTGCGATGCCCCTGGGTCGGTTTCATGTTGAGGTTCGCTTGGGGTTTATTAGATTAACCCTTCTGCAGGCGACGTGGGCTTGCCCGATGAAGCCAAGATTCCGCCGCGTCATCAATCAGGAACGTGCAGCCACCGAGTCAGCCGTAGTCAAAAATTGATAGATTATCAATCATCGCAAACTCACCCTCAGGAACCAGACTTACAAGCTCGAATCACCCCGGACCCACTGCGTCAAGCTCTTCTCTGCAAATCCATCAGCATTTTCCTCGGAGTTTAGCACTCCCTCGGCTTTACCAGAGACTTTGTGGTCTTGATTATTAGCCGAGAACGCAACCAGACCTCCCCTTGAGAATAAATAATACCCTCCAAGAAGATACAATATCGCAACTGCATCACACACAGTTGGGTAGTCTGCAGATGTAATCACATCTCAATCTATTCGACACCATAATACGGCCGCAACTCGCCATTCGCTAACGGTGCATGCACATCATCCCATCTCCCCCCGGATTCATTTCGACGTGCAGGTCTTCGGCCGTTGTGTCCCATTAGTCGTGAACCCTTGGTATCTCCGAGGAGATCAAGCATAGCTGCTGTGTGGCTGTGTTGGGACTAAGTGGGGGGCGACACTTTCATCTCGGATATGCGACTCGTCCAGCCCGTGTGTCGGAGGTCGGTGCTTGATTCATGATTCCGTCGACGGGGGTTGGACTGACTCTTGCCGCGATAGTCCTGGAGTAATATTATAGTCAAAGACGGGTTATTTCTTCGAGGCTCAGTAGAATACTATGGAGTATCTCAAGAGGTCTGTTTGTTATATATTCGAGATATATTATATCTGTAATGTGGAGAATATACTTGCATCAGCAGGCAAGCATCATGGTAATCATTGGAGTTAATACTTCACGTGGTACTTGCAGCGAGAGTACTAGATTGTTAAGCCAATGTTTTTTCAGGTCATTTCAGATCGCAGGCTTTCACAGGAAGGAATCAATGTGACGAATCAAACTTTATCAAGCACCACTTGCAGGCAGGTTCATTGTGACAAGCTAAGTGCAGATGACTGAAACTTATCATAAGGCATTTCCTATACCCACCCATCGACAACACCTCCCATATCTCACAACAAACAATTAGTATACTACCCCCGAACCTGCCCTCAGCACCTAACCAGCTCAATAATCCTCTCCCCCAGACTAGTCGTATAAGTATAAACATTCCGAATGCCAACCTGAACACTCCCCAACAACTCCTCCCACTGCGCCCTGGTGCGCTCCCTCATGGTAGCTCGCGCATCGTCAGTGTAGTTCGTATAGCTCCAGCACGTGCCGTCTTTGTCGAGGGAGCTGTGACGTTGATCGTGGAATTACAGCAGCCTCGAGCAGACCGAGCTCCAATGCTCTGGAGGGAGCAGTGATTCTGGAAAAAAGAGTTCATGGAGCTATCCACGGATGCACCGCAGTTCAGCGTGCACGGTTGACCTCCTCGGGAACCCATGACTAAACGACTGTGAGCGAGGCAACTGACATGGTTTTGTATACGGGGATGGCCCCACTGCTTACCGTGGAGCATACCCTGTCAACACGACAGATAATGCTGATCGGATGTAAAGCGAAAGTCTCTCCAGAAGTAAGCAGTGAGGGTCGCCCAGACAGCGCGTTCTCGGTTAAGCTTTCCAACTACAGTCATTGATCCAGCCAAAACTCACGACCGACGACGTCGGGTCCGAGACTACTGCTGCTCAGAAGAAGCCAAGGTATTAGCTGGTCAGTAGAGGTAAGACATTGTTCGAATGGGTGCCCCCCTTCCTATGACCAGAGAGGTGATTCCGTTTCCAAGACATCCGCGCCTCCTCGTACCGTACCAGATCAGCCACAACAGCAGTAAAGGCTTTTGCGTGCTGGGGTTCAGCCACACCGACAAAAGCGGTTCCTTGTTACCTGGTACGCGCGTATTAGCTGGGAAGAATTCCAAGTGGTACGGTGTAGGGAACACCAATCTAGACTACTAAGCAGATGACAAGATGTGGGCGTGCCCAATGATTCAATTATATGATTGTTTATACCAACTGCCTCTCAGAGACAACAACGAATGTGTAAATTCCAACCACAATACAAGAAGCATAGAGATTTTGAATTACCGTCCAATCAAGCGCTAAAGCTCAGCACCTTACAACTCCTCCTCGGGATAAACCACCTCATCCTCGTGACCATACTCCTCAACGCCCTCACCATCGGAGATCGACGCCTCCTGGTACTGCTGGTACTCGGACATCAAGTCGTTCATGTTGCTCTCGGCCTCGGTGAACTCCATCTCATCCATACCCTCGCCGGTGTACCAGTGCAAGAAGGCCTTGCGGCGGAACATGGCGGTGAACTGGGTGGCCACACGGTGGAACAGCTCCTGCACCGAGGTCGAGTTACCCACGAAGGTAGCGGCCATCTTCAGGTTCTTGGGCGGCACAGAGCAGAGGGCGGTTTGCACGTTGTTGGGGATCCACTCCACGAAGTACGCGGAGTTCTTGTTCTGCACGTTGCGGACCTGGTCTTCGACTTCCTTCATGGAGACCTTTCCACGGCTGTTGGGCTGTTAGTATTGGTAGGTTGAGGGGCAGGGGGTGATAGAAAGTAGAGGCAAAGGGATGGAGAACTGTGGCTTGGGCTCAACACGTACAACAAGGTCGAACAAGTCAGGAAGCGACCGTTCTGGAAGTTGGCGGCGGTCATCATGTTCTTAGGGTCGAACATCTGCTGGGTGAGCTCGGGGACTGTCACCGCACGGAACGAGTGGGCACCGCGGCTGGTCAACGGGGCGAATCCGACCATGAAGAAGTGCAGACGGGGGAACGGAATCATGTTGACGGCCAACTTGCGGAGATCGGAGTTCAGCTGGCCGGGGAAGCGCAGGCTGACGGTGATACCGGACATGACGGCGGACACGAGGTGGTTGAGGTCACCGTACGAAGGGGAGGACAGCTTCAGGGTGCGCTGGCAGATGTCGTAGAGGGCGTCGTTGTCCAGACAGAAGGTCTCGTCGGCGTGCTCGACCAGCTGGTGCACCGACAGGGTGGCGTTGTAGGGCTCGACCACAGTGTCGGACACCTTGGGCGACGGCATCACGGAGAAGGTGGCCATCATGCGGTCGGGGAACTCCTCGCGGATCTTGGAGATCAGGAGCGTACCCATACCGGAACCGGTACCACCACCCAGGGAGTGCGTGATCTGGAAACCTTGCAGACAGTCACAGTTCTCAGCCTCCCGGCGCACGACGTCCACCACCTGGTCAACCAGCTCGGCACCCTCAGTGTAATGACCCTTGGCCCAGTTGTTACCGGCACCAGATTGTCCGAACACGTAGTTATCCGGGCGGAACAGACCGCCGTTGGGGCCGGAGCGGAGGGCGTCCATCGTGCCGGGTTCGAGGTCGACCAGCACGGCACGGGGCACGTACTTGTTGCCGCCGGCCTCGTTGAAGTAGACATTCATGCGTTCCAGCTGCAAGTCGGAGCTACCGTTGTATCTATTCTGGTTGTTAGAAGGAGGAAGGAGAGCGATCGAAGGCCAGCTGGATCACTGACACGCCGGAGCCGTCGAGGCCATGTTCAGCGGAGATGGTCTGCCTGTTGATGTGTTAGAAAGAAGAGAACTCGAAGCAGATGAGGGATAATAGAACGGTGGTAACTTACCAGAAGGCAGAACCGATCTGGTTACCCTGTTGGGGAGCAAGAGATTGTGAGCAGATGTTTTGAGGTTCCTGGATGGGTAAAACGTACACACTGGCCGGTTTGAAGGTGAACCTAATAGTGGGGAAAACAAATTAGTTAGACGAACTAATAATTCCAGAGGGATAGTTGGGTAATAGCAGAACTCACGATCTCACGCATGGTGGACTTGGGGATGGAATCGGGGGGTGTTTTGGGGGAAGGTGGAAAGGAGGTGGAGAGAGACGGAAATCCGGAGGAAGAGAGAAAATGAGGAGAAGGAAGAAAGAGGTTGAGTTGAGTGAATGTTGAGCGGTCAGACTGAACTGCCACTAGTGCTGATCAGGAGATGATCTCTTATCGCGGTCAGGCCAGAGGTTCGGATATTTATCAATATTGACCAATATTGATCGCACACTGCACTGCTTGTGTGTTTGTTTTCTGCCGGCACTGTTCGGCCCGCTGTAGGTATAGTAATAATCCTGACAGGTAAACAAAGAATCAGTCAGTCAGTCTGTTGGCCGGAACACGTAGTCAGACAGTTGTTTTGGAGGGACATATTCAGTGCACAGTGCGATAAGCAGTGCACTGCTGACAAGTTACTCAAATTTTCACCATATTGATTAACTGTCACCAGCTGCCCCACCCTTTCCCGAACCCCTTCAGTGTATTGTGAGTTCTAGACCGATATCTTCTATCTCACTCCCCACACAATCTCCATTCCCGGCGAGCTGAGCATTCCAACGAGACTACCGTGTCGTTGATCCGCCACTCCCGCGCGGCTACGCGTCTACCGCTTGTATCAGTCTTAATGACTGTTTAGACTGTGTATGTTGGACAAGACGAAAGAAAAAGGCTTACGAGGCCAAATGCTGTAGACAGTGACAATGACTGCGTTCAGGGGTATGATCAATCTCCCGATGGTGACAAAAGACAAATCCAAGCAAGCCCTGGATTGGTGGAAGACCGGATCCGACAAAAGCAATGCCCAACCTTGAAGCTAATTAGCAATGATATGCCCGATGCCAGCTCGTTTCCAATCGCACGGCCGTGCGGAGAATGTCGATTGCTTCTCGGGGACCTGGCACCTTTTGAACTCGCCACTATTGCTCCGGCGATATTTTCATGACAAGGAGAGCACAGCAGCAGCTCCACACTTCGAATCGATGGGTTACTGACAGGGAAGTAAAGACCTGATAGCTTTGATCCAGAGGCTATGCTGTGCGAAATCCATACAAAGTACTCTGTCTCGATCGGTTCCCAAAGGAAAGAAATAGAAAGAAAACAAAGGAGGAAAGAAAACACCCTGCCCCAAATTCTTCTCGATACATACACGCAAATCAGCAAATCACCCTCAAACCCCTGAATCAATTTCATTGACAAACTCCTGACCACTGAAAACGGCCCACTCGTGGCACGTCTTTGCCATCGCGGGTGGAATCCCAAGCTGCGGGATCTTGGACGGTTGTTCCTGTTGACAATCATCAGCCACGCGCCAGTGGAGAGGAAGAAGAAAACACATACGATGATATTCAGCGACAAGCCCATGCTCACATGTAACGACATATGACAGTGCAGCGGCCAAACGCCCGGGTTATCCAGCTCCCATTCTAGCACCACGTACGCCGGGTTCTCGGGGATGCCGGCCTGCACGATCTGCGTGTCTCGACGCTGCGGATTGGCGGGGTTCGTGATCGTGCCGTCCCACGTTCCTCGGCCCTCGGCGAGGACCCAGAAGTTATGGCCGTGTAGATGCAGTGGGTGGTGCATTGGGTAGATGTTGTTGAAGATCAGGCGCACGCTGGAGTTGGAACCGTAGTTGTAGGTATTGGCATTGGTATATCCCGGGTACGAGAAGTTGCCGGCCCGGCCTAGGAGGAGGAGCGGCGCGTTGTAATTGGCGCGGAAGGTCGCATTGTTGAGGTAGAAGAGATAGTGCCCTGTTGCGTTCTGGCCGAGGTTGATCTCGATCGTCTCGGTGGTGGTCGGATTACTTGGGGGGGTAAGGGGATAATATGGGACGGTGAGATGAAGCGGGTCGCCGGCGCAGTTGTCACTCTCCCAGGTGGCGGTGCTGGTGGTGTTCGGCCATTGGGATGTCACTGCGTCTTCGTAGTAAATCGCCGCTGTCACTGTTGGGTATGTAGCGGTGGAGTTTAGGCAGTCCATGTCGATCGATGCGCGCATCCAGTATGCATCGCGAGGCTTACCATTCGCCTTGACCAGTACGTCCGTGCGTTGCCCGGCGCCCAAGGTGACCACTTCCGCATTGTAAGGCTTGATCGGCACGAAGTCGTTCGCGATCACGGTCATTGTGTGGCCGTCAATACTGATCTTCTGGTTTGCGTTAGCGCCGGTGTTCAGCAGCCTCAGACGATGCACCTTTCCGCTCTGGAAGCTGAACCGCGAGAGACTGGCACCGGCGCTACAATCGACTCCGCTGCAGTTGTAGATGCCGCGGCCGTTGATTAGGTTGTTATCCACGTTCGGGATGACCGGTGGTCTTAAGAAGATATCTTCCAGGATGGACCAGTAATCGAGGTGATGATATTCAGAGATCATGATGGGCCCGAGGTCGTGGTCGTAGGCAACATGGTTGGGCCCATGGATTATGACAGGGCCATACACACCGTCAGTGAGCTGCGCACTGTAGTGGGAATGGTACCATCCGGTGCCATACTGATCGGCTTGGAAGGTGTAGGTAAAACTGGACCGGGGCACGATGGGACACTGCGTAACCCCAGGGACACCGTCCTCCCACGGAATGCCTTTCTGGGTCAGCCCATGCCAGTGCACCGCCAGCCCTTCCTCAGTTCCGGTGGTAATCATGTTGTTCACTGTTACCGAGATTATATCGCCCCAGTTAGCTTCGATCATGGGTCCGGGGAATTGCCCGTTAATTAGCATGGCACTCTTCTTGTAACCATCCGGCGCAGTCACGTCTCGCGAGACAGTGAAGTTATAATGGCGAGTCACTCCGGTTGATGAAGGAGGCCCCGAGGGCTGGACACCGCGCCATGGTGGGTTTTGAGTCACCCCCTGAGTTGAATCAGTAGGTAGCCCGGTGCTAGGAGGCAATAGCAGAGGTCATTCATACCTCATCCTTGATGAACGGGGGAAGATAGTTGGCGGGTAGGGTTCCATATGGATACAGGCCTAGAGGGAGATAGCAGTCAGGATTAGGACTCAATGGATTGAAGTAGTATTCTTCAGACAAGAAGAGGCACGGTGGAAGGCGTACTGTTCTCATCACTGCTATTACAAGCAGCACTGATGACTGCTGCACCGCGAAGGAAAAAGGGTAACCAATTCACCATGGTAAGTCACACAAAATATGGTCCCATAAAGCCAGATTGAGTGACGCTGTGCGAGAAAATGCATGTCAGAGATCATCTGGGAAGTATCAATGCCCGCGAAGGAGATTATGTATCATGATCACTCTCGACAAGTGGAACCTATGCCCTCGCAGGCCCCAGACAACGGTGTTTTAGCATCACCAATCCGCACAGCTCCTCACAAGTTTGTTTGTCACCATAATGCTTTTCATGAGACAGCATTGCTTCTTATCATCAGCAGTAGTTATGTACGATGTTGACAAATTTCAGTACAAACTGAGACGGAATTTAAGCGACGCATGTTTGCCCCTCCATGTGATAGAGATGGGCTGGACCGGGCATCACCGGATTCGGTGACAAGCTTTTGGGGTAATCGTCCACCCTCGTACGCTCAAATGCTTTGTGAAGAAGAAGAGTGTAGATGCTTGTTTCTATGGCTGGCTCGAGAACACGACTCAGACCTGGATCTGGATACGCACGCGTGCAAATGCTGGGGGGAGCACACAATGAAGGCAAGGGCTGCAAAGGTATGAATGCATTAGGGAACCATGTTCTGCCACGCTCGCATGCGAAATGCACATCAAAACGAGCGACAAACGCGACATTCAGTTTTGTTTGCTGTCTTCTCCCCTTGACCTTTTCCTGGACAAGGACATCTAGCACCGCCACGAACAGGTCGGAAAATAGCTGAGACCCAACACCCCGGGGCCCTGGTAGACACGACATTAGCTCCAGATCCGGTCCGGCTCGCCGAAGCCAACTTTTCAATTGTCTCACCAGAAAGTGGTTAGGGCATTCGCTGGATGAAGTTCACCAGCCCTACAATGGACCAGCTGATAGACCTCCCCTGATGTCTCAGTCCCAAGCACAATCATGGTTAAGAAAAGAGAATCCAACGGGATAATTCATTCATATGCGTAATCACCAGGGAAACAAATCCATCTAGTCAGGGTATCACAGTTCACTTGTCTATCTCGGTTGCCCGTGCAACATCATCACATGGCCTTGTAGCACCTCACCCGCAGACTTGACGGCCGCAATTAATATTGTCCAGCAGGTCTCCTTCCTGCCTCGCAACAACTGTTACCTAGATACAGAAACTGATCGATCGGCGTACAGACTCATCTATGATCTCTGGCTCTACAAAGCGTTTCCGGGGGAGAACCTCCGGACCCCCCTTTCTTTCAGCTTCCCAGTACATAAGCATGTCATTGAGCACAGAAAGCACCGTTCCGCGAGCCAACCTCCCGATACAGCCAGTCCCTCCAGCCCTGATCACGCAGGATCGATCTCACGCGGGCCTCCAACCACTCAGTATTCCCCCAAAAACCCCAAGAAGCCTGAAACCGACACCAGTCGACCAACGCCGTCTCCCAATGCCTCTTGAACGTATCCCAGTCATACATCTCCGACCCCTTCCCCTCAAGCAGCCGCGCGCGATACTCCTCCAACAAAGCCCTCTCCCCATCACCCATCCCCAGCACCTCCTCCACATCCTCCTCACCAACCAGCATCCGCAGCGGCACAGAGCACGTAAACAGCTTCGCAAGATCACAAACCCCAAGCCCAAGCCCGACATACTGGAAATCAAAGAACGCAACCTGATCCCCAGTCTCATTGGTAAACAGATTCTCCGACTTAACATCCCCATGGATATACGACTCCACAGCCCTTCCACAAGGCGCAAGCACAACCGCAACCATCTCCGCAACCGACATCCCAAACCCCTCCACAACGCCACACAGCGCACAAGACCACTCCGACCCCGTCTCCGCAGCAAGAGCAGCATACTCCCTCCGCCGCGTCGCAAGATACGTATACCCGCCGTTCAACCACACCCCAGTCCCCGGAGTCACCCGCCGCACCTCCTCAAGCGGCGGACGCACCAGCTCCTCCCTCCCCGCCCCAACAGGAACCAGCCCCCACGACCGCGCATGCATCCCCGCGAGCCAGCGCACAGCAGCAGAAACCTGCACACCACTAAGCGCGCTCCGCTTCCCACCAGCAACGGGATACCGACCTCGCAAATCAACGAGCAGAGTAGCGATGAGCCCGCGCAGCTCCGGCACATCCCTCTCGTAGGTGGAAGCCACGCACCCCGCCACCGCAACCCCCGTCCCCAGTGCAGGCGCTACAGTCGCGTAGAACCGCTGCTCGACCTCGTAGCTTAGCATCTTCCGGAGATGGCCCTCGTCGGAGGAGGAGCCGGGCGGCGGGGAGATGAGCTTGAGGATTAGGGGGTAGGTAGCCCCTTCTGTTGCTGGGGATGGAGCAACACCGCAGAGCTGCGCGAGGTGGGCAGCTGCTTCGGGTGTCCTGGCGCGCGCTGTCACGGCGCAGATTTGGCCGTAGCCTGCCCACAGGGTTTGGAGGGGCGTGCACGAGACGAGCTCTAGGGAGTGCCAGGAGAGCATTATGCTTGCGGTGCGGGTGGGGGAGGGGGGTGTCATTTTGGGGTTTTCGGTTGGTGTGTGGGTGATTGTGGGGGTTGTGGTCGGGATAAGGTAGTTATAACTTATAAGTTGTTAGGTTGTGGGGATATCGATATTGTTCGGGTGGGCTGGGAAGATGAGGAGATTTGTGGGTGGTGGTGGTTGTGCAGTGGATAGCTTGGTAAGTGGTGTATGGTGGAGGGTGATTGGGTGGTTTCTGGGATTATGTGCATAGAGTGTGGATTAGCTGACTAAGCCATTTGGTGTTCGTGCGAATTTGAGACTAGGTATCATGGCACGCTGCTCGAAGCTCTACAAGAGTTGAGGTCATTTTGGAGGCTTCAATCTCGCCAAGTTTGGGCCAACTCGACATTCAAGCTTTGTGATTACAACAGAAGGCGAGCACCAATGTAACTACCATGAATACTCAACCGCCTCACACTTCCAGCCGACAGAAGCATGACGCCCGGATCGGCACGTCCGCCGCAGCGACTGCTGTCCTCACCTGACTTTCAATCTTCTTCGCCTCCTCCACCTTCCCCAACGCAACAAAGCACTCGTGCACCCCATGCAATGCCCATACATTGTTCGGATGCCGCAGGGCCCGAGGCAGCGCCTCCGTCATGCCCAAGTCCGCCATATACACATCCAGCGCCTGCTGCACATGGCCCTGTTCCATCAGCAGCGCTCCATACGCGTGGCGCGTCGGCTGCATCCACCCCCACGGTTCATCGTAGGGCAGGTTGTCTTCGAGCTCGATTGCGCGCCGGAGAGAGGAGAAAGCGGCATCGAATTCTCCCTCGCGATACTGAAGCTCGCCTTCCAGCATCGCGAAGGCGATGTCGAGGATCTTCAGGCATTGGTTGTTGAAGAGGGTGCGGGAGGGCTGGACGCGTTGGACGGCGAGACAGAAGTGGTGGCGTTGCGCGCGGGCTTCTACGACCTGGCCGGTGGCGGCGTAGGCCACGGTCTTGGCGTAATGTGTGATCGCGGTGGTCATCGAATAGAGGGATTCATCGCTCGGCAGGGCTAGCTGGATGATCTCGTCCCACCGGCCGAAGCGGATAAGCACGTGGAGGCGCACGGATAGGAAGGCTTCCAGCCAGTCGGCCATGGGTGGGGATTCGACTCGAAGCAGACTCTCTGGGATGGAGGCCTCGAGTCGCTGCACAGTGTCTATGGCTACTTGGTAGCGGCCGGAGAACATGGCGGCGTAGATGCGGAAGTGGTAGTCGTGGGCTCGGTAGAGAGTGTAGAAGTTGAGCGGGCCGACGCGCTGGTGGTACTTCTCATCGGCTTCGATCGCGGCCGAGTTCCAAGTGATGGCTTGATCATATCGTCCGCAGATGATGTCCAGGTGGGTGGGCATGTGGTGGAGGTGGCCGCCGTCGGGGACCAGCCCGCGCAGATGATTGGCTATGGGAAGTGCGGCTTCGGGTTCGGGAGACATCTCCATCAGGTGAATATACAGGTGTAACAGCCCTGGATGCTTCAGAGCGCCATCGAGCATTAGTGCGCGGTCAATGATCGCCTTGGTTTTCAGCGTGGGCGCTCCCTCGGTGGGTTGGCCAGTCTTCAGGTCCCAGAGGTCCCATGGTTTGAGGTTCATGAGCGCATCCGCGTATGTCGTGATGACGTCCAGATCGTCTGGGAATTCCCGGTGCACTGCCTCCATGGCCTGTGCAAAGTCCTCGTTCCATGCGGAGAATGGCTTAGTGGGTATTTCTTCAGGATATCGCGACTGAATGGCTTTGATGAGCGCTGTTTCCACCGCCGACACTTTCGATGCGTACGACTCGGCTTTCTTCGCCGCAGCATGTCCCCGCTTCACCACGGTGGCAAGATCCAAATCGTCGAAAAAGCTCCAGGGCTTGTTGTAGTTGGCGCCAATGGCGTAGGCAAGGCCCCAGTAGGCCATGGCACAGGCCTCGTCTGCCTCAATGGCACGTTCGAAGCACCTGGCGGATTCTTCGTGGTTGAATGCGTACATCCAAATCAGACCGCGATTGAACCATGTTTGGCTGGTGGTGGAGGTGGTAGTGACTGGACGGTGGTATGTACCCAGATCAAAATATTCTTCTTGTGACATTGCGCCTGGCCCTAGTTGACTGGCGATGAGCTTGATCGTGTTGTCGTTTCGCAATCTTCAATGTCGATATGGCGGGGTTGAGTTCTTGGCGTGACGTGACCGATTCGATATGCTCTGCGCTACCAGGCCACAGTTCTCGTGCTTTGAGACTATTTGGCAGTGAGATAGCAGTCTGGAACCTAGACCAGAGAATTGGGGAATAGGAAAAGGGCTTATGGAGTAGACAGAGAGTGTTCACAGTTGACTGAGTGTTGACATTGACAGGTCGGGGTAACCGATTGTGGGCCTCGGCCAATTCCTTCGGTGTTTCTCGTGATAAGATAAGGCACGGTAGGGTGCATTTCTGCAGGCGCTATCTACATTCGGGAAGGGAGATGTGCACATGATATGGAACATTGGGGAGCAATAGATGAATAAAGTGCCCATCTCTCCAGTAGGTAACCCTACAAAACCAGCTCAACTCAAATACCTAAGCATTTAATACTCGCCTGTCGCTCTATCTGCGGCAACTGCTGCTGTGTACCTTCCTGTTAGCCACGTATCAGCTGTGTCACAAGGCACCTTCCACCCTAGACTATGCGCCCAGCTGTCCACGGTCATCAATCATCAAATCATGATCCCCGACACTCCTTTTATCGGGTTAGATGTGCAGCGTGCAGCGGCGGCTCGGAGAGTTCCCATTTGCTATTGAGACCGAGCATTCGGCGACATGCCGATTCCCTTCCTAGTTGGAGCTCATACTTTAATCAGGCACAACCCTCAGTCACAGGTAAACCCAGCCCTTTCAGCAACACAACACTCGTGGATAAACATCCCAGACAACAAGCTACTATACCACCCCAAATTGTCGTTTCCGAGGCTGCAAACAGCTAACAATGATGGGTGTCAAGTTTCGAAGCCTCCCCTCTAGGCTCGTGCACCCCTTCACCTCACTCCGCTCCCAATCCTCCCTCTCCACCAGCGCAACCATGAAGCCCTCCTCCATTCTCTACACCAAGATCAACGCTCCTCCCCTCAAGGTTATCTCAAGCCGCGGTCACTACCTCCTCACCGAAGATGGCCGGGAGATCTTCGACGCAACAGGCGGCGCAGCCGTCGCCGCCCTGGGCCATAACCACCCCGTCATCAAGCAAGCGATCACGCAGCAACTGGACGAAGTCGCATACTGCTACTCCCCATTCTTCACCACGCCCGCTGCAGAGCGCATCGCACGCCTTCTGACCGAGTCAACCGACGACGAGATGACGAAGACCTTCATCGTGAGCTCCGGTAAGTTGACCTGCATGTTTGTCACAGAACCATCTCAGATATCGAGACAATGCAGGCACCGAAGCCATCGAGGCATCGCTCAAACTAGCCCGACAGTACCACGTCGAGCGGGGAGAGCCCCAGCGCAACAGGTTCATTGCACGCAGACAGTCGTACCACGGGAACACCTTGGGTGCTCTGGCAACGGGGTATCACAAGGCCCGGAGAGCGGTGTACGAGGATATCCTCGCCAAGAATGTCTCGCATGTTTCTCCCTGCTACCCATACCGTGGTAAGAAGCCCGGCGAGAGTGACGAGGGCTATGTGCAGCGACTGGCGGATGAGCTCGACAGCGAATTTCGGGCGGTCGGACCGGATACAGTCTGCGCGTTCATCGCGGAGACGATCGCTGGAGCGGTGGGTGCAGCTGTAGTTCCCCTTTGAAATCAAGAATGACTGCTAATTCGGGCAATCAGTCACTGGCTTGCGCGACCCCTGTGCCGGGCTACTTTCAAGCTATGAAGGCAGTATGCGACCGCTACGGTGCGCTTTTGATCATGGACGAGGTCATGTCAGGCATGGGCCGCTCGGGAACTCTGCATGCGTGGGAGCAGGAGGGTGTCGTGCCTGATCTTCAGACCGTTGCAAAGGGTCTGGGAGCTGGATATGTGCCTATCGGGGCATTGTTGGTTGGGAAGAAAGTGGTCAACACGCTGGCCCAGGGCACCGGCGGGTTTGTGCACAGCCAGACATATCAAGGGCATCCGGTGGCATGTGCTGCCGCTTATGCCGTGCAAAGATTGGTTCAGGAGCAGGATTTGCTGAGCAATGTCAAGGTCCAAGGGGATTACTTGGGGCGACTGCTGAAAGAGCGCATCGAGGGCCATCCGAACGTAGGGGATATCCGTGGTCGAGGACTGTTCTGGGGTGTGAGTCGATCTTATCCTGGTGCGAGAGGAATGAGTCGGCTAATGAGTTGTAGATCGAGTTCGTCAAGGACAAGGAGACGAGGGCACCCTTCCCTGTGGGTGATCAGATCGCGCAGACAGTCCATATAACGGGATTGCAGCCCGGGCATGGCATCTCCTTATTGCCCAGCAGCGGGAATGTCGATGGCACTCAGGGTGATGTCGTGTTGATTGCCCCTGCGTACAACATTACCGGTGGGGAGGTGGAGATCCTGGTGGACAGGGTTGAGAAGGTCATCGAGTCGGTATTCGAGACGGCTGGAGCATCCTAGCTAGGCTTGTCGCAGCATCCAAGATATCCTCTATTCATACGACATCCGTTCCGCAGTTATATCGTAGCTCTATCAATGGTCATTCCGCTGAAAGTAACGCAATTCGATGTGACCCGATAGCTCATTTAAACCAAAGAAAATGGGAATAATTCTATCTACTCAACCCTAACAACCCGATACGGCACAACCCTCACCTCCCCAACCAAGCCATACTTCCCTACGGCCGGCATCTGGCCCGTAACAGCAGCCTTCTTCCCCCCACTTTCAATCACATCCCAATACTGTCTCAGCACATTCCCCAGCGGACTCGCCACGACAACCTCCACCTCATTCTTCCCTTCACGCACCCACTCCCCGATATCCTTCCTCGCGTCCGTCAAATCGAGGGGACCAATATCCCACCCATTCACCCTCACCCTCACAGCATGAGACACCCTTCCCAGATCAATAACCACACCACCGCCCCCTTCCCTCGTATAGTCCCTCGACAACCCAAAGGCAGTAGAGTAGTACCCAGCCCCAGAAACATTCCTCAGCGCTCCATCAATCTCAGCCCAGGGGCGGAGGGTAGATCCGAGGTGATAAGCAGAGGTATTCGTCCGCACAGGCCCAGCGCTGACATCGTAGATCTCAGCAGGCGGAATCCACGACTCGATAGTCAGAGTCCAGTTGTCTAGTGCCATCGCCGGAGCGAGCATCGGTCCCAGAGTTAGGGTCTTGTTGTTGGACAGTGGGATGGTGAGCGGGTTGGGGTCGTGGGTGCGGTGTAGCGTTAATGTCGTGTTATTCCTGGTTGTTGTGGACATCCCGATGCTTGGGTTTGTTTCCAGCAGGTGGATTGCCGTGCTGCCGGCGTGAGCATCAGTGTAGTGGAACCCGATGATCAGGGTCTGGTTGCCCTTAAGTGTGATTGGTATGGTCGTGTGGGTTGAGCTCTGGTTGTAGCTTGCCACTGCGGACACGGCGCCGGTCCAGGCGTCGTAGATATACGGCGTTCCGGTACTTGCGAAGGTGATGCTGCCGGTGGCGGTGCTGGCGTTGATGGGCTTGGTGGCTGCGTCGTTGAAGATGTAGATGTAGTGCGTTTGTGTGGTCGGGTCGTCGCGCCAGGTTGTGTGCACTGTGCTGTTTGTTGCGATAGAAGTGCGCGGGTGGATGGAAAGGGCTTGGAGAGTTTGTGCGAGGTGCGTGTCGGGGACGAGGTGGACGTTTGATAGGGAGGTGAGGTTGTGTAGAGAGTGCAGGGCTTGGGCTTGCGCCTGGCCGTCGCGGTCGTGGCCGCTGAAGGTGCTGGGGAGGCCGCCGGGGAAGATCAGCGGTAGGCCTTCTTGTGCGTACTCGACTAGTTTGGCTACGCCGGTCACCGTTAAGGTCTCGTTTGCCCGGATGATTAGGGCTTTGAAGGCTTGTCTGTTGGGTGCGAATGTGCCGTTGGCGACGTATGCTTCTGGCAGGTCGAAGTTGTCGGGGCTGAGGTATTCGTATGTGAAGCCTGGGTTTGTTAGGATTTGGATAAGTGAGAATGTGAGGCAATCGTACCTGCTTCCTCCAGATCACTGGCGGCGTAGAGCATCGTGATCGACTCGTACCCCGTGGTATTCTTCGCCCAGAAGGCGAGATCCACCTTGGGTACCCCAGTCTGCGCCACCCACTGGTTGCGAGACACATATCCCAGCCAGTCCGAGTAGAAGTCAAACGCCGGCTGCCGCGGCCCATGCATCTCGGAGAACAAGAAAGCGAAGGTCGTGAAGCCCGGCCAGGTGGTGTTGCCGTAGTTGCCGCCCATGGGCCATCCGTGCAGGATGAAGTTGTTGACTGAGCCCGCGAACGACCGCTTCAGAGCCCAGAGGAGGTCCGCGATGGTCTGCTGATAGACTTCTCCCATTGTGGCGCCCGCCTCGCTCGAGATAATTCGCTTGCCTGCGAGATGGGCTGGTCCCGCGAATTGCCGGTATCCGTCGAGCAGGTTGTTGAAACCCAGTGCCTCGGTTTCCGGGCCGTTGACCGCTGGGATGTTGGCCAGCATGTCCATGGGCATGTTGTAGACGACCTGCGACGACCATTGCACTCCCAGGTCGTTGGACCACTCGGTTAGAGCGGCCAGGTACTCCGCGTTGAGCTCCGTCAACTGCTGCCCGTTAGCCCTTGTACAGTTGCTACGCTGGCGATACGCACCGTTTGCTCGTAATCTTGCACATGGCTTCTCCCCGCATCTGCTTCATCTGTCACGTAAGTGACATTCGAGGATTGCGTGCCCGATCCGACCAGAATAGGTAGATACTTCGTGATAGCATACCCGCGACTCGCCTGGAATATCCGCGGCAGACGCGGAGTCCACCACGTGGCGGCCTTGTACTCCTGACTATCCTCCCACAGATAGTTCCCGACCTCGCGAAGCAGACCGCGCATCTCGTCATCGAGCAGCGATTGCTGCCAGAATGAAGCGATCAGTTTTGCCCCCGCGACGGAGAAGTGATCGACCACCCACGAGCCGTTCTGGGCCCATGTCCTGACGGGCGACTGCGGGACCGCCACTGGCACATCGGCGGGACTTTGGACCTCGCGGTAGTTGGCTTGGACGAGGTAGTACGCGAAGAGATGACTCTCGGACGAAGCTGTTGATTGCGAAGATCGGATAGAGATATGGCCACTGCTGCTGACGGCGCGGGTGACGTCCTGGAGGGAATCCTCGGCTAGTACTTTTGTGCTACCGCTGTCCGATATGACCCTCCCCGTCACAGCGGCGACGAGCCGACCAGTCCCCCAACCCGGCAGCGTACCACTGTAGCCTTTCGTGCTGTGAAAGCTAGCATTATGAGCAGCTAGATCCCATAGAAGGCCTTCGTCGTCGTACGGCGCAGGGACACCGGCGCCCTGGTTCGGCCCAACGGCGAAATCGACCACGAGCCCGAGCTCTTTGGCCGTCCGCAACACTGTGAGGGACATATTCTCTGGGCTGTGTTACCAACCATCCCCCAAAGAAACACAGATCGAGCGAGGGTGGATAGACACTCACTCCAAGCAGGACTCCCGAACCCGTACTGCGTCCAGTCCGACTGCAGCGGCATCCGCATCCCGCCGCCGAAGTTATCCGAATCGCCGTAGTTATAGTAACCCAACAACTCCAACCCTCCTGCTCCGGACTCCGCGATATCCTTCAGGTCCTGCACCACCGTGCTCGGACTGATCGACGCATCGTTCACCCAGTAACGGAAGCGCGGCCGCACCTGGTTGGATGGGTTCTGGAAGCTCCCGTAGTCGAGATCCGCTAGGACCTGATCGTCGGTTCCGTGAGAAATAGTCCCTGGTAGTATTAGGGCTGCTGTCGCTAGGAGGCGGAGTAGTGACCGCATGATGGGCTTGTAAGGCTGGTCCTCGCCTCTGTGGAGGCTTCGAGCAATGTTTCATTCCCTTGTCTTTATACTTCGTACGTCTGGGGTGACCCGAACGAGCTCGGAAATCCCGACCGCCATGCTCGTTTCGGGATATAGCTTGACCGAGTGCTGCAGTCAAGGCGAGGATAATTTAGAGTCTGACATTGCGTAGTGGAACGCGTACTCACTCCGGCAGGATCTGGGCGTACTTTCGCTTGGCGGTTCTGAGGTAAGACTGCGAGACTTGGCATTTGTTGTTTTCTCACTGGGTCTGTAAGGTATGGCTTCCATATCCGTGGCAAAAAAGGTCGCATTGGGTCAGGGACTACGTGACGATAGTATTAATTAATCTAGAGCACAGGGCACCCCCCGGCTATTGTCCAGGGGCTGTGTTGGGTGTTCTTCAGTGTTCGTGCGGGGCCCCGGCTTTTCCCCGCTGACCAGATAATTCCGCCCTACTTCTGTTGCCTCCACATCGGCAATTTGAACCACTCACAGACCAAGCATTGAATAATGATTTGTGGGGAAGCTTGAATTATTTTGAAAGTCGGGTCCGTTACTAGCAGGGTTCGCATCTTATTTCCCCGAGGTAAAGAACTGCTGTGGTTGCCTACCCAGATGGGGGATCCTTTGGCAACGTGGCATGCAGATTCTGCCGAGGAAGATTTCCACTATTACTCAGTAAGTCACTATGACAACTGTTTGTGCAAGCGACATCATCTAGTTCACCTTACGCACACAATACCTTATTCATGAAGACAGTGCTCAAGCCGAGAATATAATCGTTTACTCAAGTAAAATAGACCCAAGCTGAGGGATACAACAAAATTCAATTATTCAGATCCGTTCCTACAGTTACACACAAGTACTAACCCCCTTTTATGTTATCGACAAAAGAACGTAAAGGAGAAATGAGCAAATTCGAAATAGCAGAACCTTCGACGCGCAGAGGGAACTGTTTCCGATTGTTATATGCGTGGTGAGAGGGAGGAGTATAGCGAGGGCGTAGACTGGGGACCTCATTTTGAGAACTGTTAGTTATTCCAGAGTGTAGATGATAACAGAGTGTTACAGACTGTGAATTTCGATGTGTCTCTGTGAATGTTGAATCCTGGTCTAGGCCCTTGGGGCGTATATAGATAATTCTTTGCATAATGACCACAGCGAGTGCAGTCTAGATGCGGCGGAGTATAAGTTGCAATACTCATCACTCGACACAGCCTCTTTCCGGCCCAGGGCTGTAGATTTACGAGCCATGGAAGCTGCTCTAATCTAGTCTGTTCTATTTATTATCATACGTCAGGGATGATGCGTGATTTCTAGGGCGATGTCCGGACGACACAAGGGATATAAGGCATGCTCTACAGATCCGACCGAGCAATTCCGCCGTCTCGGATAGTCTGCGACCGTCGTGGAAGTCTTGGCATTGAGTATGTGCTGAGGATAGATTGATCAATTTGATGCTGAGACGAGTTTACTTCGATATTTCTATGGAAATGACGTCTATGCGCTGGATATTCGATACAACTAAAAGTGCCGTCGCGAGATATTGCCTGCGCACTTCCATTCACTTTTCTTGACCACGACCACACCAGATGAACACAACCCAACTCTAAACCATTATCTTCGAACCGAAACTTCCACGAGATCAGATTCTAAACCAGATCGCATAGAATCTCCCGCGCCGCACCCCTGACCACCCATACACCAGACATCAACCCTCCAACCCCATCCAACGCCCCTTAACCCTCTGCGTAAAGCTCACAAACTTCGCCATCCCAACAGCAGCCTCAACATGCCCCTCCAGATCCTTAACCTCTTCAGGAAACGCAATGCCCGCCCCAAACAACCCCCTCACCTCCCCTTTCCCAGGAACTTTGAACCCAGAAGACCGCATATCAAACTCCAACACCCCCTCCACCCTCTTCCCATCCACCACCACCCGAGGCAAAGGCCCCCTCTCATACCCCACCGCATAAACCAGATGCGTACACGAGGGCAACTCGCGCGCCAACACCGCCTCCTCATCCTCACTCACGCACACCGACTCGACAATGTTACGGTCAGGATCCTTCTCAAGTACCGTCTTCGCCCACTCGGCCGTCGCGCCCTTCAGACCCGTGTTATCAAATATAATGCCATCGTCTGTATAGACAGCGTATTTTATGGGCCGGTGGTAAAAGTTCAGGATCTTCAGGGTGCGGGTGCCCGATTCGGCGAGTTCGTAGAGGTTGCGTACGACGAGAATGCCGGAATGGGAGTTGCCGATTACGGCGATTTTTAAGGGGGTATCTGCGGGCAGGAGGGCGGGGAGGCGCGAGCGTTGCATGCAAGTGTCTAGGTCTAGGGTTTTCATGGAAGGGTTGTGGTGTTCGTGGGTATTTGGGCGCTTTGGGTGCGAGCCTGTGCTTAGGATGAGGCGGTGGGCTGTGATGGGTTGGTCGGGGATTGTTGGGGTGGTGGTGATCGCCCAGGTGGTGTTCTTTGGAAGTTAGTTTTCATTTCTTTGTGGAAGGGGGTAAAGGGTTGATCTCGCTTGGTGGGCGGTGCAAGGGGAAGCTTACCTCGAGACGTGCTTCCTCGACCTTGCCCACGAGTTTCTCGACCTCCGGCCGCGCGAGCAGCCCGTCTATCAGCATGCAGATCATGTCGCCGGCTATGCTGAGCTGGCAGGTGGAGTTATGGTCCATTTCCTCGAGGCGAGTGATGGCGTGGGGGGCCGGGGTCGAGTCGATGATCGACCGGAAGGCGGCCGATGAGTAGATGGCTTTCAGGTAGATGGCTACGGTAGTGTTGCTGGGTTTGTTAGATCGGTGGACTCAATGGAGTTCAACTGGATGAGATAGGGATAGCATACGAGGAGATCTCGCGGTACATCCCGTTCAATCGCCCGCCGCGCCACTCGGGATCGACCCAGAGGATCCTCTGGGCTCCCGCGTCCAGCAGTGCCGCAACGCTGGCCAAGCCTCCCGGGCCGGCGCCGGCGACAACGGCGTCGTAGTTTGCTGTCATTGTGTTGAGTGGGATTCAAGATGTGGTTGTGGCGGATAGACCCGGAACGAGACGGATGGAGACTTGGAAAGGCCGATGATGAGTGATAAAGTTGGTCGTAAAGGGCTCAATAAATAGCAGCAAGGTGGTGAGAATGACATCATTGGGGCTGTTCTAGAAAGCCCTATCAATAGCAGTCATCTGTCCAGTCTCAGGGCAAAGCTTGATTCAGTTTCCCCACTCCCCGAGATCAGTGGATAAGGCGTTCACTAATTGGATATCGGGTCGGTCTGCCGACGGATTGTTGATGTCTGACCTCCACTTCGGCGTCTACCCCTTGTCACATCATTACCTTGGGGATAGATCACACCATTCAGAATTCTAATCTTATTGCTGGATCGGTGTTTAATTTGCGGGGTATCAATCGCCGAAAAGCTTGAGTAGCATTCCCCGGACTTGGCATGCTCGGCGTTTGTTAATTGCATCTATAGAAGTGCAGGAGGATGATCACAGATTGAAGTCGACCGCAGCTACCACACACCGCTTGGCAAACCATCTCTAAGTGCCAGTATCTTCCTAGAGTTCTCACTGAAGAAGTATCAATGAAAATTCTCTCGTCATCAGAACCTTCCTGCAAGAACACCTGTGCATCACCCGCAATCAGCCGCAGTGACCATGACAGAGCCTGTATATCAAAGCATCCCCAATTGACACCTCCCTCGACTATTTCAACGTGGGCACCTTCACCCGCCGTGTCACTACCAAGAGTGAAGCCGCACAGACCTGGTTCGACCGCTGCTTCATCTGGGCCTACTCCTTCAACCATGAAGAGGCGGAGCACTGTTTCGAGCAGGCGGCTGTGCATGATCCCAGCTGCGCCATGGCATATTGGGGGTTGGCCTTCGCGGCGGGGCCCAATCACAACAAGACCTGGGCAGCCTTCGACCCGAAGGACCTGAAAACCTCCTTCCCCAAATGCCACCGTCTCGTCAAGCTAGCCGAGCAGAAGCTTCAGGACTGCAACGCCACGCCCATCGAGCGCGCCCTCATCCCCGCCCTGCAACACCGCTACCCGACCTCCACCGTCCCCTACGAATTCGACACCTCCAACAAAGCCTACGCAGACGCGATGCGCGAAGTCTACACGCAGTTCCCCACCGACCTGGACGTGCTCACCCTCTTCGCCGACGCGCTCATGAACTGGAAACCGCGCCAGCTCTTCGTAACGCACAGCAGCCTGCTCAACGAGAGCTCACCCGTGCACGAAGTCCGCCGCGTACTAGAGACAGCACTCGCGCAGCCAGGCGGCACAAAGCACCCAGGCGCGCTGCACATGTACATCCACCTAATGGAGCGGTCCGCATGGCCGCAAACCGCCCTACAGGCTGCCAACCACCTGCAGAGCTTGGTGCCAGACGGAGGGCACATCTGGCACATGCCGACGCACATCTACGTGCTGGTAGGCGACTACCGACGATCACTATACAACAACCTGCAAGCGACGCTGGCCGACGACAGCTTCTTCCGCACGCGCGGCGGCGAGAACTTCTAGAACTTCTACCGTCTACACGACTACCACTCGCTCATCTACGCGGCCATGCTACGACGACGATGGTGTATTACGGGAAAGGTATCGCGTGTGCAGCGACGGGCGATGTGCGCACCGCGGAGAAGTATAGAGAGTTGTATGCCGCCGCGGCGAAGAAGGTGCCGCCGACGAGGCTGGATTTCCCGAACAGGATTGTCGACGTGTTGAAGGTCGCACGGCTATGTTGGATGGCGAGCTGGAGTATCGCAAAGGGGAACTTCGAGGTCGCGTTCAAACACCTTGCGAACGCTGTGGAGGCGGATGATGCGCTGCTGTATACTGAGCCCTGGGGCTGGGTGGTCCCCACGCGCCATGCCTATGCGGCTTTGTCGCTGGAGCAGGGACGGGTTGAGGACGCGGCGCGCGCGTATGCGGAGGATTTGGGGCTTGATGGCTCGTTGACTCGCGCTCAGCAGCATCCGAATAATGTGTGGGCGCTGCAGGGGTATCATGAGTGTTCGGTGAAGATGGGCAGAGAGGCTGAGGCGGGTATTATCGCCCAGCAGCTGAAGGTCGCCGTTGCGGCGGCCGAATGTGCCGATTGCTTCGTCGTGCTTCTGCCGGAGGGGGGATGTTGGTGGACAGAGTCAAGGAGGTGAGAGCGAGCAGGGCTCTTCTTGTTGTAAGTAAATAGTTGGGGGGTAGATATCTGCTTGATAGTCAATGCAGTGTTTATGTTCGCTACACCTTTCCGTACTATCTCCGAGCGATGGCCTTTCGGCCGATACTACCTTTTAACGATTGTAGTCCATGTGAGGTGCGTTTTCATTGACTAACACCCAATTTCTTTCTGGCCATGAGTTCAAGGTTTATATCTATAATATGAGCACTTGAAGGATCATTAAGAGAGAAGAACAATGTCGAGTGCAGACATCAACCACCGCGGACGAGGTTACCGAATTCAGCCGATCAGATAAGGCTCGGGGATAAGAATCGATCTCCACAAGCGGGGATCAGCCCATCTTTCAACTTCTTCATCTCCCAGAGCACATCACAAATCAAGACATCCCTCGCTCTTGGCGCCAAGTACATGCCCAACATGGCTGAATCAAACCTCAAAGCTGAAAAGACCGCTGAAAGCTACAGCTGGTACGAGCCCAACCTGACGCAAGTCCAAGAGCCGGCGCGGACTCTACTGGCCGAGTACAGCCACATCCCGGAGGAGCAGATCATCGAGCATGTCAAGGAGGTGGTAAGTGTTCCCTTGGTCTGATATCTCTCCTATACTGAACCATTTCTCAGCGCGATCGTGCCTTCGCCGTGGTGAGCCACCATTCCTGTCTCCTCTCCGTTACAGTCTACACCCAACTAACCAGACAAGTTCCCCTACCCCTGCATCGGCTCCTTCCGCTTCCTCGACATCACGATCAACCACTCGCCCGCCTACGCAGAGATCCTATCTCGCCTCAAGACCAGCGACCACAAATACCTCGACCTAGGCTGCGCCATGGGCCAAGACATCCGGTACCTCGTGCGTTTTCTCCCCCTCTCCTCTCCCCCCCACCCCTCCAAACATCCTAACCCCCGAAGACTCACCAAGGCGCCCCATCCACAAACCTGTACGGAAGCGACCTGCACCCCGAATTCATCGAACTCGGCTACGACCTCTTCAGCGACCGCGCAACCCTATCCTCAGAGTTCATCCCCAGCGACATCTTCGACGACGGATGCCCCCTCCTCACTCGCCTGGCAGGACAAATAGACATCGTCAACGCGGCGTCCTTCTTCCACCTCTTCGACTGGACGCAGCAGGTCGCGCTGGCGAAGCAGATCATCAAGCTCCTGCGGCCGCGGCCTGGTTCGTTGCTTGTCGGGCGGCATGTGGGGGACTTTGAGGCGGGGGAGCGCGCGGATAGTGAATTAGGAAATACGTACTATCGCCATGATCTTGACTCGTGGAGAAGGATGTGGGGCGAGGTTATGAGGGAGACGGGGACGCAGTGGGAGGTTGAGGTTGCGGCGGAGCAGTGGGAGGAGGTGAAGAGGAATAGGCATAATCGGGAGAGTTCGTTTAAGATGGTTTTTGTGGTAAGGAGGGTTTAATCTATGGGATGCCTGGGGGCCGAGAAGAAGGGAGTCCGGTGGTTCTCCCCCGGAAACGCTACTCCTTCTATTGAGGTATTCCGGGGGAGAACCCCCGGACCCCCCTTTTTTTCAGCTCCCTGGGCACCTTAATCCTTAACCAGAGCTATACGCTTATTCTGAGGCCTGGGTAATATGAATTAAGCTAGCAGGAAGCTGAAAGAGAAGGGGGGTCCGGGGGTTCTCCCCCGGATGCTTTTACTCTGGTCTTGGGAATATAGATATGCCAGGAAGTTGAAAGGAAAGGGGGGTCCGGGGGTTCCCCCCCGGAACGTCTTTGGAGAGGAGAGGACAGGAGGGGGGGTTTCATTGTGGTTATTATTGTTATGGTGGTAGTGGTGGAGTGGTTGGGTTGGATGGGGCGGGAGATGAGTGTATGGGGGAATGGACAACGGGATCGCAAGTTGATTCTCTCGAATTGTATGCAGTGACTGAGAGTGGTGTGGTGATCAATCTGCTAGGTTGTGCATGGGGTCCTCGTCCTGTCTTATCTTATCACCCCCAGGGTTCTGTCCCCAGGGTCCTTGTACAGCTTTTATAAGAAATTCACTGATATTATATTGCACCGCAGCACCATCACCACGCTTTCTAGACTAGGATAATGATTAGCCAGCCGGAAAGTACTAGTGATGCCAGACACAATGTGCACACGACCAAGAGGTGAGTGTTCATCCCTACCCAGGACCGAGATTAACCACAAACAGAGCGGACTTCGTCGTCCTCCCCCTGCTGGCCACCGGCTTCGCAACCTACCAGATCGACCGGACCAACATCGCCAGCGCCCTGACAGGAGGCTTCGCATCGGACATCTCCGTGGACCAGAACACGATCAACCTGGGCAACCAGATCCTCTTTCTGGGCGTCATCCTCCTCGAAATACCCTCCAACATGGCTCTGCAACGGGTAGGTCCTATTCTCCCAAGCCATCTTGCAGTGTGGTCTGACCGTTCAGATCGGCCCCCGGCGCTGGATCAGCGCGCAGGTCTTGCTCTTCGGCGTGCTCGCCGCCTTGCAGATCTTCATCCGTGACCGCACAGGCTTTCTCGTCACAAGAGCCGTGCTCGGCCTCGCGGAGGCCGGGTACATTCCCGCGGCGATGTACACGCTGTCGACCTGGTACACGAAAGAGCAGCTGACGAAACGGATCGCGATCTTCTTCTTCGGGATGTTCGGCGGTGCGGCGATCTCGCCGCTTCTAGGCGCGGCGTTGCTGAAGCTGGATGGCCGGGGTGGATTAGCTGGGTGGAAGTGGATATTCTTGGGTGAGTGCACTTTTACACTTACACACACATATACACACACTGACAACAAAGCAGTAGAAGGACTCTGGTCCATCATCATGGCCCTGCTCCTCTTCACGGCCCTGCCTGACCAACAGCCCCAACCACCACCAAGCTCCTCAACCAGCAGCGACAGCATCAGCACCAGCCTCACCTCCACAACCGCACACAAACACCCCCAAATCTATCCCAATCCAACAGCTTCAACCCAACACATCCCCTGGCACACCGTCTGGAAAACAATCACCAACACCTCGAGATGGCCCCACTTCCTCGCGACCGCCAGCGTCTTCGCCACCTGGAGCCCCCTAACAACATACACGCCCAGCATAATAATGGCGCAGGGCTTCTCACGCATCCACGCGAACATGATCACCGCCCTCGGCACCCTCCTCACTCTCCCACTCATCCTCTTCTTCGCCTGGCTAAGCGACAAGACCCAGCGACGCGGCTACACCGTCCTGCTCGCGATATCCAGCTACCTCGTTGTACTCATCGTCCTCCGGACGGTACAACCCCATGTCGGGAAATGGGGACATGTCGGCCTGTGGACGGCTGTGAATGCCTTCGCGGTGGGGTATCATCCTGTGCATAATGCGTGGATTCAGGTTACTTGTCGGTCCCCGGCGGAACGGAGCGTTAATGTTGCGTATGTTTTTTTCCTGTTTCTATACAAATTTTGGGGTTAGGAGAAGACTTTGCTGATTGGATTTAGGTTATGTATGTGGAGATTTCTTGTTACAGGGTTTGGCACGTGCTAATATTGCGTAGTTGTTATGTCGGCCACGGCGGGCTTGATGGCTGGGAGCCAGATCTTTCGTCAAGATGAGGCTGCTGAGTTGTAGGTTTTACTGTCCCCCCTATTGATGTTGTATGTGGGGGAAGTGTGTGCTGATGGGTATAGTTATCCGAGGGGCGTATTGATTATGATTGCTCTGGTGGTCGCGGGGCTGCTTCTGGTTGCGCTGCAGATGTGCATCTATCGGTTTTCCATGAAGGGAAGAGATTGTGGCTCGGTGGGGAATGCGCAGGGTGAGACTGCGTGTTGACTGTCTTGTACACTGGGTACCATAAGTGCAATCAAGATAGTTTCCATGCAGGGCCACCGCCAGCCCATCTCCTTGATACCAGGCTATCGTCAGCGTCCCGGGGGAGAACACCCGGACCCCCCTTTCCTTTCAGCTTCCTGGGCGCCTCAATCTTCAGCAAACATATAAATTTACCCTATGCCAGAGTACTACAGAATTTAGGTTACCAGGGAGCTGAAAAGAAAGGGGGGTCCGGGGGTTCTCCCCCGGGATGCCCGAGCTGCGGCGGCGCGGGCTCTACGATTGCGCTGTGCCCCGCGGCACGTATCGCGAGAACCTCTATAGTAAGAAAGGCCAGACGGGGCAGCCGGGTGGTCATCCGGCTGCGAAGTATCGCTGGCATGCGAGCGTGCTGGCCGATGAGCATCTGATTCCTGAGTGAGGAGGGCTGCAGTGTGGCGGTTGAGTTGATATGATGCCATAGGTGATCCCATGATCAATCTAGTTCCTTTATATCCAGTCTACTAGAGCATCATCCTACTTTAAACCCTCTTCCCCAGCTTCGCACTCGTCTTAACCCGAATCCCCACCGAAAGCACCGTCGCTGCCAACGCCATGAACCCTGCGTAAAGAATAGCCGGTCGATAAGCCTTCGTGCCCGCGCCTTCGCCGCCGGACGCATCGAGAATATACCCTGCAATCGGCGAGCCCTAACCACCAGCATCAGTTGATTAGCATTCCACACACTCGTCCCTCACCAAAGCCCACACATGAGAAAGTATAAGACTTACAAGAAGATACCCCCCAGCCCAACCAGTAACAATCATCCCCATCGCGACGCCCACCCGCGCTGAACCAAACACATTCCCCACGACCGTCGGGATTGTCGAGAAGAACCCACCGTTCGACATGCCATTAATAATCACAAAGACGATCAGCGGGCCGATCGAGGTCGACACGGGCCAGATGATCAGCATGCTCAGGGCGGACAGCAGCAGCGAGACACTCAGCGTGTTAAGCGGGCCTAGGGTGTCGCTGGCGAAGCCGCAGGTGAGGCGGCCCAGCGCGGACGAGAAGTTGAACGCGGCGACGACGCCGGCGCCGGCTGTCGAGCCCATGCCGATGGAGTTGGTGTACAGCGGTAGGAAGAAGGGCGGTACCAGCAGTGGGAACGTCGCAATGGCGCCCACGGCGAAGAGGAGGCAGAAGCGGAGGTCCCGGAAGAGGCGCCTTTTTTTCGTTAGTTTGTATCCTGGATTATTATGGGGCGGCACGGAGGGCATGCTTACCACTCGACGAACGCGGCGCGGGGGATGGGAATGCGCTGCTTGACCAGGTACGCGGCCGGGAGGCCCGTAGTCAGGGTCATGAAGCCGATGATACGGAAGGTCCAGGCAGTCCCCACACTGGTTAATAGAGCGTTGATGATGAAACTGAGGGCGGTGCCTCCGAGGCCACCGGCCGCGTAGAGGATGCCGTTGGCGGTGCCGCGCTTGGCCTTGAAGTACTGCGCGGGGATGGTCGAGACGGTCATGAAGCAAAGACTATTCATCATACCTGGTCAGCATCCATCCATCCCCAAGACATACCACCTTCTGAAGGAACCATCATACCTAATCCCGACACCAAACACCACCCCCTGCGTGATAAACAGCCCCGCAATATTGCGACACGAGAACCCGCTCAAAATCGACCCCATCCCCAGGGCAAACACCCCCAGCAGCGCGCTGGTCTGCGTGTCCAGCTTCCGGATCAGCTGCGCGTTGGCAATACCCAGGAAGGCGATGCAGGCGGTAGCTAGCGAGCCGACGAAGGCCAGCGTCGAGGCCGACGCCAGTCCCTCCTGCACCAGCGCCGCCTGCAGCACGCCCCAGCAGTAGGACGTGCCGATCATCCACCAGGTCATCACCGCGCAGGCACCGATGACCACCCACCCCTGGCCGCCGTCAGGGACCTCCGCGTCCGCCTGCGCCGACGCTTGCATCACCGCGTCCGTGTCCGAGGTCGGCGCGGCCGCGGGAGCCTTGGGCGCCCGCGACTCCAGCTCGATGGCTGGCGCGGTCTGCCATTCTACTGCTGTTGAGGTGGATGTGTATGCCATGATTCAAGAGTTGGAGTTGAAGTTGGAGTTGAGTGTTGCGCTCAGCTGGACCGCGGAATGAGGTTTTATGGGATGGCTCAGGGACAGCCCTAATTGAGCGAATGCTGGTGGCCCCGGGTTAGAGCACACAATGGTGGTTATGGACTGACCACGTCCGATTGAGTTCAAATATGCCAGAGAGACAAGATCCGGGTGTTCAGATGCGCACTGGAGATGATTCACAGTCTCGTCGGTTATCTTCGGTGGACTATCCATGGAACGTGGGTCTGCGCTGCAAAAAGTCGGAAAGTGGATCATGTCATCGAAGGGCGTGCGATCTTCACCATCCTGATAGCATGCTAGTCGTTTTCCGGGCTCTTTCCGTTCTTGTTACGAGGTATCAGTAATATATAGCGCTAATGAAGCAAGTACCTATTCGGTTTCGAGGCTTTCTTGTGCTTGACACCCGAGTCTCCTAACAGACGAGTTGTAGCATTGACCCAGTATCCTTCCCGTCCGGATATTGTCAGGTGTGGGGAGATGGAGTCAACCATGCTCGATAAAAGGGTAACATGCAGGCACGATAAACTGGTAGGCAGTCTGCGTCCCTGTTCTACTGCTTGGGTTTCTTTCCTGATCTACTCTGCACAATCCCTGGTCTGGACTCTTCCTTCTCATTCATTAGGTGGTTGGTTATCCAAGTTTAATGACCAAGACAGTTATGTATTCCGAATTGTGAGTGAACAAGAGGGCTTATCGGCTCTTCATAGACTTTCTTCACATGCGACGTCCAAACCCGCCAGTCAAGGAGGGCTCTAGAGCAGGAATGAGGTCAATCACAAGTGTAACCAGCATCAACAAAATTAACTCCGTCCCGTACCCCTCGCTATGCCTGCATAGCATAGAGACAGCGAGACTACTCTATTGGCCCACTCCACGACGATCATCAACCCCTCATCACCCCGCACGCATCAACACAGATAACCATGACTCTCTGCCTCCCTAGCATTACCGCATACACACAGAACCAACACCACAATCAATCTTCCCACCATGAGCACCGCAACTTGGCAAGCAAAAGTCCAAGCCAAGCAAGCCGAAGGCGAAGCGAAAATCCCCTTGGAATGGCGACTCCCCGCATCGCTTCTCGCAACCGCCGACCCGTTGTCCCCGGAGTGCGTGCTATCCGTGCCGCGCGAGTGCGGCCTCCTGACCGAGCGCGAGCTAGCCATCACCGAGACCGCCGATGCGACGGCGCTGCTAGCCCAGCTCGCGGCACGCGAATACTCCGCAGTGGAGGTAGCCAGGGCGTTCTGCAAGCGCGCCGCGATCGCGCAGCAGCTCACGCAGTGTCTAACGGAGACGTTCTTCGAGCAGGCACTGGCACGGGCGGAGGAGCTGGACACGCACCTGGCGACGACGGGGCGGGTGGTCGGGCCCCTGCACGGGCTGCCGGTGAGTCTGAAGGACATGTTCGAGGTGGCGGGGGTGGCATCGACGCTGGGCTACGTCGCGTTCCTGGACCGGCCGGTGGCGGCGGCCAACACGCCGCTCGTGGACGTGCTGGTCGCCGCCGGCGCCGTGCTGTACGTCAAGACCAACGTCCCGCAGACGCTGATGACCGCCGACTCGCACAATAACGTCTTCGGGCGTGTGCTTAACCCCCACCGCCGCACCCTGACCGCCGGCGGCAGCACCGGCGGCGAGGCCGCCCTCGTCGCCCTCCGCGGCTCGCTGCTCGGCGTCGCGACCGATATCGGCGGCTCTATCCGCATCCCGGCCCACTGCTGCGGGCTCGTCGGCTTCAAGCCCTCCGTGGGTCGCGTTCCCTCCACGGGTTTGATGAGCCCCGGGCCGGCGGGATATCTGTCCGGGATATCGGGAGTGGTGGGCCCGATCGCCCACTCTGTCCGCGACGCTAACCTCTTCATGAAGACCGTGTGTGATGTGCGTCCGGATGACTTCGATGATACCGCGCTGGGGATCCCCTGGACACTAGAAGGGCCGTCCGGCACCGACGATCGTGGCGATAAGCTTCGCATTGGGCTGTTCACGGCGCACCCGGACCTCCCGTTGCACCCGAATATTGCACGCAACCTGCATCGGGCAGCGGAGAAGCTCGCCGCGGCTGGTCACGAGATAGTGGATATCACTGAGCAGCTTCCGTCGATGGAAGATGCCAACGCCACTGCCTGTGGGCTGTTCAGTCTAGACGCTGACCGGACCTCGCTCTCGCATCTGGCTGTGGCGGGAGAGCCGAGCATCCCGTCCTCAAATCTCGTGATTGAGCGCAGGGGATCGACTCCAGATCCCACTCTGCGCGATCTGTTCAGACTGACGGCTCGGAAAGCGGAGATTACTGCGCGGACGCGCCGGGTGTTTGTCGACAGTAAACTAGACTTGATTCTGGCGCCGGCGTACCAGAGTTGTGCCCCCGTGCATGATACGTATAGTCATGTGTGGTATACTGTGTTTTGGAATTTGGTTGATGTAGGTTCTATTCTAGCTCTGTTGATCTGGTATGCGCCAGGCATTGAATGGCAGGTGCTGATCCACGGTGCAGAGTCCAAGCTGTGTGCTGCCGTATGGCAAGTCGAATGCAGAGGCAGATCGGGAATGGTGGAGACCGGATGCGGTGTATCGGCCTGCTTGTGAGTCAACCTACTGTGTTTATTGAAGGAAATCGACTGAGTGAGGATGCAGATCAACCAGAGAAGGTCGAAGGAGCACCGTGTCATGTGCAATTGGTTGGACGGCGACTCAGGGAAGAGGTGTTGATGCGACAGGCAGCATTGGTGGAGGCGATTCTGAAGGACGACTAGGACGCTTGTAGATGCGGACCTACGTACATAGTATAAGTGCGACAATCGCGCATAAGCAGATCATATTATCGATCAAACAATCTCATTCTCTTCGCCACAAGCAGAAACAACACGATCAAGCCCAAAATCACCCCAAGGATCCCATACCACCACACCAGCCCAGCAGCATTCTTACCAGGGACCAGGACATTCATGCCAAAAAGCCCCGTAATGAACTGCATCGGCACAATGATCGCTGCCACCACAGTCAATCGGCTCAGTGCCGTAGCGATTTCGTTGCGCATGCGCCCGGAATCGAACTGCAGCTGCGACAGGTACTTCGACTGCGAGCGCGACAGCATCTGCTCGGCCTGCTCCAGGTTGGCCATCATGGTCAGCACATGGTCGCGGATGTCACTGAGATACAGCGCGACCTGGGCCGAGGTGGCTTCCGGCGCGTCACAGTGCCGCGCGAAACACCGGATCACGTCCGTCTTGTCATGCAGCAGCTGCCGGATCTGAATCACCTCCTTGCGCCATTTGTAGATATGTTGTAGCGCCAGTCCAATTTCATCCGGGCGAGTCACAGAGATGTGGTCTTCCATCAGGTCGACACCGGTTTCCACGCGAGCGATGAAGGGAGCAAAACCGTCGACGATCGCGTCACTAGGAGACTCGCATTAGTGTTTGCGTAGCAAGATTGATTGGGAATGTTTACATCAAAGCGTAACAGATCCAGTCACTGGTCAAGGCCAAGTGACTCCGGTGTTCCTTGATGCGGTTCCGGACGTGATGCGCATGAACGTTGGGCCCGAAGTTGAAACTGAGCACTCCCTCTGGGAAGACGACGGCGTAGAGGTTGTGCGACACGATGCGCACGCCATCATCGGTCTTGATCGAGCTAGGCGGTCGCAAGGAGAGGAAGTAGTAGGAGTCGAAGAGCTCGATCTTCTCGCGCTTCTCGCGCATGGTGATGTCCTCGACGGTGAGGGGGTGGAGACCGAAGCTGTGCGCGAGGGTCTCGATGTCCTCCTCCGAGGCAGCCGTGACATCCAGCCACCAGAGGCCATGGTGAATGCCTGTCTCCAGCAGAGTGCTCACAGGATTATAGATCGCACAGAGATCGTCCAAACTAGGGGCGTGGACGATGCAGTCGAGCTTGGTGGTGAAGAAGTTCAGTTCAGGGGATTCTTTAGCAGCCGCGACGGCCGAGTCGTCCGCCGGGCGGGGATCCGGGGTCGACACGGCCATGATCGGACTTTGACAGTCCTTTTAATCGGGTAGAAAAGAAGGGCAGATGGAAGACATCAACTGAGAGTGTTCCCACGACAGGATAAGGAGCATTCTGACAGGACTGTCCCCCTTGACAGAGAGAAGTCGAGAGTGGTGGTGGCTGTGTTCGATAATTGCCAAGAAGAGTTGAGACTGCCTGCCAAGACCTCCGTGCAACAGTGCAAACTCTGGCCTGAGGCTCCCCACGTAGTAGCCTCGGCATTGACTCCGCGGGGAAATCCACTCGGCACTTCAACTTGCTTCTCTCCAGCTTCATTTCTATCGCAACAACCACATTTCTTATATTCTGGATTTGTCTCAAACCTTCCCTAGAATCGACCCTCTATTCTTTTTACAATTACAGCTTGCAGCAAAACCATGATTCACCCTCCCTCGCAGCGTCGTGTCATCAACACACCTACCAATATACATCTGTGATCCGGATAAGAACTCACCCCGCCCTCGTTTACCCACTAGGTCTAGACACGAACCTCCTCTTCTATCCCACTTTATTTCCGATTATTCGCAGTCACCATGGTCTGTGAGTCAGACATGGCATGGGGCGACCCACTCAGGGTCCATCATTACCCCAGACCCAACTACTTTGGACGAGGTATAACTAGTGGATGACACCACCCACTCCTGGCAGCTACAACAACCATCCCGCCATGCCTCTAAACATCATCATCGTCGGAGCAGGCCTCATCGGGCCGCGCCACGCGCAGACCGTGCAAGCGAACGCAGCAACGCACCTCCTGGCGCTCATTGACCCGTCGCCCAACGCAGCGCAAACCGCCTCGACGCTGCAAACCGCGTACTTCCCCTCGGTAGCAGCCTTGCTGGCGTCCCCCTCCACCCCACATCCAGACGCCGCCATCGTCTGCACGCCAAACCACACGCACATCCCAATCGCAGAGGAGCTGCTAGCGCGGGGAATCCACGTACTCCTCGAGAAGCCGATCAGCGACGACCCAGCAACAGCCCGGGCACTGCTCTCGAAGCTCACCCCGTCCTCACCGAAGCTCCTGATCGGCCACCACCGACGCTTCAACCCATACATCGCAGCAACAAAACAGCTGCTATCGGCCAACGCACTGGGGCCCCTGATCGCGCTCAACGGGCTCTGGACGCTCTACAAACCAGACACCTACTTCGCGCCACCAGGCGACTGGCGCCGCAGCACCGCAACAGGCGGCGGCGTGCTAGCCATCAACCTGATCCACGACATCGACCTGCTGCATTATTTGTTTGGACCGATCACGCGAGTATTCGGGGAACGGACGCGGGCGACGCGGCCTGCGCCGCCGCACGATGCGGAGGAGGGCGCGGCGGTGACGCTGCGATTTGCCTCGGGCGTGGTGGGCACTTTCCTGGTATGCGACGCCACGCCGGCGCCGTGGAGCTTCGAGGCAGGCACCGGCGAGAACCCGCTTATTCCCCGGGTTGACGGGCCCGGGGGAGAGGGCTTCTACCGGATCTTCGGGGAAAGGGGCTCGCTGAGCGTGCCGGATATGCGGCGGTGGAGTTACGAGGGCCGCGCGCAGCGGAGTTGGAATGAGGAGCTGGTGGTTGAGCGGGTAGAGGTTGATACGGGCAAGACGCCGTTTGCGCTGCAGCTGGAACATTTTGTGGATGTTGTTGGAGGGAGGGCTGAGCCGGTGTGTTCTGGGGAGGAGGGGCTGCGGGCATTAGTCGTGGTGGAGGCCATCGCGAAGGCGTTGCGGACGGGGCAGGTTGTCGATATTGAGACTTAGAGAAGAGTTGACTGACAATGTACTGTCGATGTCTGAGTCGGTAGACTCGGTCCTTGTTCTTTGTGTTTTCGTTTCCTTGTTGGTTCCAAAGGATCGGGGCTCAGCGCTGCTGCGCCTTCCCCCTCGTCCGAATAATCTTCGTTCCTAATGTAAATGGTATGCGCCGGACCGGTCCGTTTACATCCGCACTTTGACTCCGTTCGATCCAACAACTCCGGTAGGGTGCATGGTGGTTGGTTAATCTTGCTGGGCGCCACACCACGAGGCTGTGGCGAAGATACGAATGTGGCTCAGTCAGGCACAATCCTTTGTTTTCGAGAAGCATTGCAGGCCGTAATCGCTGCCTATTATTCATGACTCCAATATTGCAAGCTATTCTTCAGACACGGGCAGTAGATAGTTCAGAGTAACGATTCCCTCGTATCTATCTATCTAATCGAAGACCAGCCACAGTTGGTGGGCTGCAGGCAGCCGCGGGTGCATGGCGGACTACATCCAGTCCACTATCCCTGAGAGGCTCTTTTCCACCAGCTGATAATCGATCTTCCTGGTCATGTCCACTGCATCAGAGCAAAATGCAATGCAGAGGGCAATGTAATGTGATGTCATGTCATCTGTTCAACATGTGCCCGGGTGACGCGGGCTGAATGATAGGCGCGCCCCTGCCCGGTGACCTTTTCCCGTTCCTATTGTCATTTCATCTCCTCCCGTAAGGCTGGTGGTGAAGGTGTGTACAGACACTCGTCGCCAACCATTCTACGGACAATGGATTGATTGCTAGATTACTCTGTCCCGGGCAACTGGGAATAGGTTGCGGTCCGCTGCCTCAACCAATTCGACTAGTTTCTACTTACTCACCCTGCTCAGCCACAAAAGGCTGGTGAGTGCGAGAAAGAGACAAGCCCAGGGCACTCCCCCATCTGGTGATCTCCTGTTCATGTGCACGCGTTGAACTGTCGGCGTGCTCTTGTTGAGGCCGTAGATATAATCCCCTTTCCTTTGGGCCCTCCTTTGACTCGCTTCTTTATCTGTATCCTTCTTATTCTTCCCCCTTCACTTTACGGTTTCTCTTCCATGCCTCGGGCCCATGTCTTGTCTCTTTCATCAGGCGCGGTGAACCCATGACTCCTACCACATGTCGACCGGGTCTGCCCAAGGCATTGTCACTGCTACTACTGTTGTCCTTGTCGCGACAACTCTTCCCTCTCCACAAAGAGGCCGGATGCAACGCCTATTGTTCGAGATTCTCTACCATGTCGATCCGCGTTCTTTGTCTCTGACGGCTGATTCCGTTGTCGAGTCTGTCGAGTCTGCCCGCTGCAAGTATATTTGGCCGCGTCACGGCCAGTTTGTTGTCAAACAAAATCCATTCCCAGGCTACCCACCATCCAGTAATTGCCCCCAAGGCCGGACATTGTCATTCTGTCTAACAATCATGTGTCGTCTTAGAGAGAAAATCAGAGGTATCCCCGGGGCGATCGAGCACCCCAGGCTTGAGGTAGTCCGCTGTCTCCGGAGCCGGATCGGACTGTGCCGTGACAGGCATCGCATCGATCCTTCGCGACCAAAGAATCGTGTACTGGTGGAGTCGGACATGCGAGACGTGGACGACGCACTCGGTATGCATATCCCACCACTCACCCGCAAGCGCAGCGGAAGATTCAAGCTTCGGTTTCCCTTTCTCAGGCGGCAGCCAGAATCATCGGACGAGGAGCGTCTGCGCGAAACCCTTCGTCCTCGACCACGTGGGCGTCATGCGACTCGCACTCCCATCATTGTTGATCCTCCCGCTCCCCCGCTCGCGGAGCCCAGGCGAGTGCCTCCTGTACGACGTCAGGACTCGCAAAGATCCGCCCCGTCAAGATCGCCCGCGTCGATTAGTTTCGATGAATCTTCGCGTCGACGAGCGCCAGAACTTAGGCGCCCGGAAAGCAGACCTCGAGGGCGACCTCGACCCGCAACCCCGTCACCAGTGGGACTTCCCCCGCTCCCTCGCAAGTCGAGCCGTCTAACGCGGATGCTTAAGCAGGTGATCATAATTCCATCGCGGCGTCGACCAGTCTCCCCGATTGCAATAAATCCTGATATGGTAGCTCACCCCAGAAGCCCCACAAAAAGTCGTCTGACAAGTGCTTTCCGGCAGATAAGGAGACCTCGCCCACGCTCTCTGTCATCACGACCCAGACCGACAGTGATGACACGCGAGCCCAGGTCTCGACCCAGAGACGCAGCAGTGATCACCAGAACCCGTCCGCCGCGCCCAGTGTCCCCAGTGACCGAGCGGGAGCCTATCCGCAAGGTCCGCTCCAACCCAGCGAGCCCGCGACGCAGGGCTATAACGCCCCCAACCAGACGCCACAGCATCAGCCCTTCACGGCACGTTCATTTCGCCGAGAGCCTGGAGCAGATCCCGCCCAGTTCGAGCGATAGCAGTCCCGTCGAGAACACCACAACGAGCAGTTCTGGCGAGAATAGCCCCAAAAACCATACCCCGACGCCGTCACCCGGCAGGATCCCCATTCGCCCCACGAACCGTCGCGGTCTTTCCGACGATACCACTACCCGTCGCGGGAGAATACCCAGAGATTATGAACACCGGCGCACGGTCTCGCCACATCCCAGCCTTCTGTCGTCGACATCGACTCTCCGTCCGCACAGCCATCCGCAAAGGCGACCACGACCGCGCATCATCCAGGAAGGGGTGCAGGAGTTAACGGAAAGAGGATCCCGGTTGATGGCGAGCTCGTACGCGCGCCGCAGCAATGAGACTATCAGGCCCCTGCGTAGGAGGCTCCCACTGTCAGCATATTACCGGCCGAGATTTCCAGACGAGGAGCGGATCGCGGACGAGGACGATCGGAGTGGAGGGACACGGTTGGGACGGTGGTTGTGAGGAAGTGTCGTTAAGTTGATCAGAGGGTATTTGTGCTTGTATATATATACACGCTGATGAGCGTCACCATCACTTTCGGGTATGTGTTTGCGTTTAATGTTTAATATTCTGTCTTTTCCTATGTTTCAAGCGTCGAGTTGGATGTGGAAATGGGAGAGGAAAGAACAAGAGAGAAGAAAGGAAGGGGCAACCCCGCATGTGACCCCGCACGTGATGGGGGACCTCGGCAGCGGCTTAGCGGCTTAGCGGCTAAAGGCGGGCGGAGGCGGCGAATGTCCTCCGTCTCCGCTGCTTGATCTGCTTGATATACCTTACCACTTCCAACTTCCCCAACTACTTCTTGCCTCCCCATCCCCAGTCTTTTACTCCGCTATTCGGTGATAGACATCAAATACTCAATCTCCTTTGTCGTGCTTGCTTCTCTTGTATCTCAGTATTTGCCCATCATGCAGCGCACCACTCGTGTGATGCGGGCCATCCCCGCACGCCCTCAGTTCCAGCGCGCCTTTCACTCGACCCGCCCTGCTCAGATCGAAGACGCCTATATCCTCGGTGCTGCCCGCACTCCCACCGCGAAGGTATGTCCTAGATGAGCCTCGTACTCTCTCACAATCTCTAGTCCTTGTACCAACACGTTCATCGGGAGACCCCCATAACCCCCTCTTTTTACTTCCATCTACCCAATAGAATACGTTCATGGGGGGTACCCCCAAACCCCCTTCATCTCTCAACCCGTCTTTCAAACCGCTAACGAAACCAGTTCAACGGCCCATTCAGCACAGTCCCCGCTCCCCACCTCGGCGCCACAGCCATCCGCGCCGCGCTGGACAAGTCCCGCGTGCCAATCTCCGAGATCACAGACCTGTACATGGGCAACGTGCTGTCAGCAAACATAGGACAGTCGCCGGCGCGACAAGCAGCGATCTTCGCCGACCTGCCGGCAACGCTGGACTGCACGACGGTCAACAAGGTATGCGCATCGGGGCTGAAGGCAGTGGCGCTGGCGGCGCAGAACATCCAGCTGGGGCTGGCGCGGGCGCAGATCGCCGGCGGGATGGAGAACATGTCGCGGGTGCCTTACTACCTGCCGCGCAGCGCGCAGCTGCCGCCGTTCGGCGAGATCAAGCTGGAGGACGGGCTGATCAAGGACGGACTGTGGGACGTGTACAACCAGATCCACATGGGCATTTGCGCGGAGACGACAGCCAAGAAGCACCAGATCGGCCGCGAGGCGCAGGACGACTACGCCATCCGCAGCTACGAGCGCGCGCAGGACGCGTGGAAGACCGGCCGCTTCGCCGCTGAGGTCGCCCCTGTGACCATCAAGGATAAGAAGGGCAAGGAGACGGTCGTCGAGCGCGATGAGGGCTTTGAGAATTTACGGGCGGACAAGCTGCGCGCCCTCAAGCCCGCCTTCCTACGCGACGGAACCGGCACCGTCACCGCCGGTAACGCCAGTACCATGAACGACGGCGCCTCGGCCCTCGTCCTCGCTAACCGCGCCCTGGCCCGCGAGTATGCCGGCGACGGCTCCAACCCCGTGCTGGCCAGAATCGTGGCTGCGGCCGATGCTGCCGTCGACCCCATCGATTTCCCTGTGGCGCCGGCGAAGGCAGTGCCAATTGCGTTGCAGCGCGCCGGGATCTCGAAGGAGCAGGTGGCCGTGTGGGAGTTCAACGAGGCGTTCGCGGCGGTCATCAAGGCGAACGAGAAGGTGAGTCTGCCGCCCCCGACGATACTGACACATTATACTGACGAGGCGTAGATCCTGGGCTTGGAGAATGCCCGTGTGAATCCCCTGGGCGGTGCCATCGCGCTGGGCCACGCCCTGGGCAGCTCGGGGTCCCGCATTCTCGTCACGCTGCTGCACCAGCTGCAGCCGGGCGAGTACGGCGTCGCGGCGATCTGCAACGGCGGCGGAGCGGCTACGGCCATGGTCGTGCAGCGCCTGGAGCGCGTAGACTAGCCCGTTTATCATGTATTTAGTATCATAACTGTCCCGGGGGAGAACCCCCAGACCCCCCTTTTCTTTCAACTTCCTGGCGTATCTACATCCCCAAACCAGAATATAAGCGTTCCGGGGGAGAACCCCCGGACCCCCCTTTCTTTCAGCTTCCCAAGCACATCAATTTCTTAGGCCAAGCTGGAAGCGTCCCGGGGAGAACCCCCGGTCCCCCCTTTCCTTTCAGCTTCTTGGCACCTCAACCCTAAACCAGGACATCCATTCACCCAAATGCAGTAGTATGAATTGAGGTTACCAGGAAGCTGAAAAGAAAGGGGGGTCCAAGGGTTCTCCCCCGGGACGCCTCAGTAGATGTGTAGTGACTGTAAATGACATCAATTTCTCACCCTCGCGCCCTAATCTGCTTGCCGATACACCTAGTAATGGCCCTCAACCGTCAACGTCCCCGTCTTGAGAACCAAATACTCATCAACAGCAACCTCCTTGCCGCTCTCCTTGCCATATCCAGACTCCTTCAAGCCGCCAAACGGCGCCTCCGCAGCGGACGATGCCCCGGTATTGAGGCCAATCATACCAGCCTCGAGATTCTCAAACAGACGCCACAGGCGATCCGCGTTCTTGGTGAACACATAACTAGCAAGCCCCATACTCGTATCATTCGCCAGGCGCACGGCCTCCTCCTCGCTCTCGAACCGATAAACCGCCGCAATGGGCGCAAAGCTCTCCTCCGAAGACACACGCATATCAGGGGTCATATCGCACAGAATGGTCGGCTGAAAGAAATACCCCTCAGCACCGTCCACCGTCTCCCCGCCAAGCACAAGCTTCGCGCCCTTCCCAAGCGCATCAGCAACATGCTCGCGCGCCTTCTCGACCCCCCGCGACGTGGTCAACGGCCCCATAGTCGTCCCCTCATCCGCGCCCTTCCCCACCCTGACCTCCCGCGCCGTCCTCTCCCTCAACAAGCCGACAAACTCCTCATAGACACCCGCTTGCACATACACCCGATTAGCAGTAATGCACGCCTGCCCGGCATGCCGCCACTTGAGCGCCATAAGCGCCGTAACCGCCTGGTTTAAATCCGCATCCGCAAACACAACAAACGGACAATTCCCACCGAGCTCCAGCGTCATTTTCTTGAGCCCGTCAGCACAATACCCAGCAACCAGCTTGCCGACCCTCGAAGACCCGGTAAACGTCACCTTCCGCACGACAGGGTCCCGACACAGCGCCTCGCTCACGGCGGGTGTATTCTCCAGATCGGTGGTAAGCACATTGAACACCCCAGGCGGGAACCCCGCCCGCATCGCCAACTCAGCGAGTACCAGCGCGCTGACCGGCGTTTCAGGGGATGGCTTGACGATCATCGTGCAGCCTGCGGCGAAGGCCGCCGCGGCTTTCCGGACGATCATGGCGACGGGGAAGTTCCAGGGCACGAGGGCCGCGACGACGCCGATGGGCTGCTTTAGGGTGAGGATTCTTCGGCCCGGTGTTGCGGCTGGTGTCAGGGTACCGGTTATGCGCTCGGCTTCGCCGGTGAACCACCATGTGAAGGTCAGTGCGTAGTCGATTTCGGCGAGGGCTTCGGCGGTGGGCTTGCCGGTTTCGTGGACGAGGATGCGCGCGAGGTCTGTTCTGTGCGTGCGGAGCTGGGTGCTCCAGTTTTGGAGGAGGGTCGCCCGGTGGCGGGCGGTTGTGGTGCGGAATTTGGTGAATGCGGTTGCTGCTGCGCTTGTTGCGCGGGGGATATCTTCTGTGTTGTTGGTTGGGATGCTTGTCCATGGCTTTGTGGTTGCTGGGTCTATTCTTGGTATTAGTATCTTTCTTTCAGAGCATTTATGCCAGGGAGCTGAAAGGAAGGGGGGTCCGGGGGTTCTCCCCCGGATATACTCTTATCTCTGGTTTTGGATTGGGGTGGCCAGGAAGTTGAAAGGAAAGGGGGGTCCGGGAGTCCTCCGGCGGGATGCTTATAGTGCATATTCCTGTGGAAAGGGGATGGAGGGGTGGTAGTGACCTAGGACTTCGAAGCGGGCGCCGCTGGAAGCAGGGACCCATTCGTTGTTGACGAAGGAGTCGAAGTGGAGGATGGAGGGGTCGTCGAGCTGTGGTGGTCAGTTTGTGTTTATGTTTAGTTGAGAGAGGGTGTATATGTACTGTACCTTGAAAGGGAGCTGGTAGCCAGACATGGTGAGGGTTGTATGCTAGTAGCTGGGTGGTAGTAGATCTGAGTAGTAGAAATATGAGTGGAAGATATGGAGTATGAGAGAGAGAGAGGGGTATAGTATGTCTGAAGAGGGGTCAGTAGCAGTTTATAAGCGATGTCTCCAGCTGGACTCACCCCGCATGTGACTGCAAATGGGAGCAGCACGCCGATCGCACAGTTACTTCTTGCATGTCAGTGGTGGGAATGTATCCCATTTGGTCTTCTGCAGACTCGCACAACTTCTGCAGGCTGTATCTTCAATGGTGTCATTGCTTTCCCGATGGGGATATGTGCGTTGCACAGCTTGTTTAGTGGTACACAGTTACGAGGACGCACATCATTATTGCCGTGGAGCTTACATGGTACAGCTACAGAGATTTACAATACCTTGTTGATGCTTGGTTACGCATCGGTGTTCGTAGTACATCAGTGCTCGTGGCAAATATTAATGCTCTGGCCTACATCAATGATCGTAGTACACATCAAGTTTGTAGGATACGCAATCCTCATGGTTCAGTTTGATGATCGTGGCTTACATCAATAATTAGTGGCACACAGCAATGCTCGTGGTGTAAAGAAAGTGATAGCTGACTGCATCTCAAAATCTAACTGACCAGTCTACTAAATGGTAGTAACATGCATCCAACTGCCCAATATCTTCTATCTCTATGGTATATCCTACACCGGCCTAAAGCTTGGCCTTCTCGCTCTGGGCAGCCAAATCCGGCATCAGCACATCCCTCAGATCCGACGCCGCCTCGTTCAGATAGTAGCTCATGCGCTCTGCGCCCAGGCGCTTGCACACAATGTTAAAGTTCAAACTGCGCAGTCAGTAAAAGAACACTATACACAAGACGAGAGACTGGCTGGCAAACTTACCTGTTCTCGTTGATCATGTACGCAATGCCGAATCCATCGTCGATGACCTGGCTCCATCCGTAGCCATTGAAGAACTCCGAGCTCAGCTGGCTAGTCGACAAGTACCACGAGCCGCTGTAGGCATACGCCGGATCCTCGTACAGCGCGGGCAGCTTCTCGCCCTCGCGCACCAGCTTCTTCAAGCCGAACAAATGGCGATCGACGCCCCGGCCGTCGCTGGCCTCGGCCGTGTACTTCGAGTGGGCGGTCAGCGCCGCGCGGAACAGCCGCACGACCTCCTCGCGGGGAACCGCCGGGTCGCTGATGGCTTTGCAGAAAGCCACGCTCTCGTCCGACACCGTGCGGATGGTCTCCGTGCGGCCCTCCTGGAACTTGCGCGTCGAGGCCGACTCGTACGTCGGGCGGTTCTTGCCGTACATCTTGAAGTAGGCCAGCTGGATGATCATCTGCACGTATGCGTCCGGGCTGCACTTGAACTTCTTGATCAAGCCCTTGCCGTAGCCCTGGTAGGCCTGCACCTTCAGCTCGTGGTTCGAGATCTGCTGCCGGTGCTCCTTGGTCGCCGCCTCGATCGCCTCCTCCACCTCGCCGTTGAGGTGGAAGTGGATCGGCCGTGGGTCAGGCAAGTCCGACCGCACCGTCTGCTCCGAAAGATCGATCTTCTTGCCGAAGATGAGACTGTTGAGGTGGTCGTTCAGACGGTGGGTCGGGCTGCCGTCCATCATGCTGTGCTCGCCCATGAACCCGGCCGTGCCGTTGTCATTGACGATGAACTGCAGCGGCTTGTCGAACCAGCGGTTGGCGCCGTCGCCGTGCCAGTACTGGTGGGCCCGCTCCTCCAGGGTCACGGGCGACGCATCGTCCAAGCACACTACGAACCCGCTGGACTCGATGTCCCTGAGAGCCTGCTCATTGGCCGGGTGAGCTGCCAGCAGCTTCTTCCGGGCGTCGGCCCACGAGTCCCGGTTGGCGACAGTCAGCACGCCGACAGCGGGCGACCGCTGCGCGATCTCGTAGATCCGCTCGAACTGGCGCTGGAACTCGGAGTAGCTCAGCGGCCGGCCGTTGACGGCCAGGGGAACCTTGAAGAACTGGTTCTTGCGCACCACCACAATGTGCTCGTTGTCCTTGGCGGGGTACTTCTGAGGGTAGTCGACACCATCGCCAGGGATGCGGCAGCAGTTGAACATGTACTCGTACGAGCTCATGGCCATGGGCTGGCTGCGCATGTACTCGGGCTCCAGCTCGCCCGAGTCCACTTGGCGCTTAAACTCGAGCGCTGCGGTGGTGACGGATGCGGCCCGCTTGGCGGGGTCTCGGCGGGCGCGGTCGTCGCGGTACGAGTAGAAGTAGGAGACATAGGGGATGACCGGGTCCCGGTAGGCGAGGTAGGCTGCGTGGTTCCACCATTCCAGAAGCCAGTTCTTAGTCTTGGGGTCAGCAGCCCGGGCGAGCAGCCTTTCCTGCAGGGGCTCACCCTCACCACCGGGACGCACGAATGCCTCGACGGCCTTCTTGGTCTGCTCGTACTCGGCCTCGGACACGAGTGGGTGGACGGACTTCAGGTAGCGCCGGCCGGTTTCCTCTAGCGAGGGGACGGGCAATCGCGGGAGTGAATCTTCAAATCTGAGCATCTTTCCTTTCGAAAGATCTTCTGTGTAGCCTGTTGGGGAGATGCGCGTTAGCCTCATCTTTCGAGCGAGACGGGCCGTGGTATGAGACTGTTGCCTTACCCTCAGGGACAGATGAGGCCTTGCGCCGGGGAGCCATGGCTGGAGACTGTGGCACAGAGTAGGATGTCAGTCACTGCTCAGTTGCGAGGAGCACGAACACAATCTTACCACGGCGGATCTAGCGAGAAGCGAATTCGTGGGGGGAAGACGAGGCCGTAGGAGAGTGGGGAAGCGGCTTCTGCTCGCAACCGTAAACATCCCTCACAGCTATGAAGTAGAGTCGGCGAGAGAGGTAGGAGAGAGGTAAGAGAAGGTTGTAGAGTGAAGGAAGTAAGTAAAAGACAGCAGGAGGAGTGGGAGGAATGAGAAGAAGAAAAGGAAGAAAGAAGAGCAGCAGTCGATGGAAGGACGGACGGGGAGGAAGAACCACATGAGACGATCAGCCCGCCGGCCAGTTCGGGGAAAAGCCTCGGCAGCAAAGCAACAGAGTCTCATCCGACCGAGGACGGGTCACGTTCCTGTAAATTACCGGTCTGGGGGAATTGGTTAAGTGCTGCAGCCCTTGTCATTTGTGTATACAGTGTGTAAAATACAGCAGTCACTAGCACGATCCGCGGGATTATATAACGTCCCCAGACGGCCATCAGCCTCGGTTCATGCGAGCTTCTGTTGCCTCCTTCCAACAGTATTGAACACAAGGGGGTTTTCTTCTGACAATGTCAGAGCATTACATTGTGAAGTCTTGAACTTCAGAGAGCATCTTGCATATCTCGTTAGTTCCTGGCAAAAACATTATGTTCCCTCTGCAACCACCTCACAAGCACCATCCCATGTTGTGGCTTCTGTCAAAATGCGGGGAGAAACTGGGGATGGAGTCATGATGCGGGTCACTCACTCTGTTGACTCCGCCAGAACCATCGGCTCGCACAGTGACAGACAACAAAGATGAGCATTGTTTCCGTCTCTTGTCTGCACTGCTACATCATAACCCTTGCAAAACCTCGTCCAGCTCACCGTCCACATGAGCCTTCCATTCATCCGTCCCGCTTGCCCGAGTTCAGTGGAACGCATTCATTGGTCGCGCCGCAAGGAGTGACCGCCTACGAGTGGAATATGTACCTCTACAGAGTTATTCGCTGACATTGCTGGATACATGGCTTGTGAAGAATCATGGCATTATATCATGGGTATCATGGGAATGGTCTACTATAATTCCGGGGGTGACTCGCGCAAGAGATCGTAATGCGCCAAATACCTGGGGAGTGAAATCACGAGCGTGGACGCTGACCGCCTTAGTGCTTCAGCCTGCTCACAGTGCATGCGAAACCACCTAGAACATCTGACAGCTTATGCCCCTAGGCACTCGCTCAAGGCCGGTCTTGCGACACTTCCTCCACAAATTCCATCACACTCGGTCGCGGAACACTGGAATCCAACGTCCAACTCTGTGAGCGCAAGTTGGCGGATCGCTTATCCTCGTCTACCCCACGGGACCCATCCAGCCCCCGTAATGGGAAGGTTTGGATCGTCAACTCCTCCCGCGACAACCGGACCTTCATCTTCTTGTTATTTCCCGAGCTTGATAGAGCCCGGAGTTCGCCATGATGGGCATACGCCACTTCCCACCTCAGAACTCCCTTGCCGGCATCGGCCCCTTCCTTCGGCGATTTCGTTCCCTTGTGCGAGATAGCAGTCACGATATCGAGCATGGCAAAATGGATGATGGCTGCGGCTGCTTCCGTCTGCAAGCCAATTCGACTAGGGGGCTGTACTTCGCGGTGATGCGGCAGATTGACCGAAATCTCATAATAGGTGCCGGACGACGAGGAGACGGTGTTGGTACGGACTTTGACGCAGAAGGAACTTTCGGGGGTGATGAGATTGCCGGTGAACATAGATTCGAACGGCATCAAGAACTGTTTGACCAGGGTCTCCACTTTTGGCATCGAAGAACGGGTCTGGGGAAGTCTGACCGATGAAAAAGGTGCAGAAGTGAAATCGCATCGGAGTCCTGCAGCCTTCATGACCTTCCGGAGATCGTTCATAAAAGACTCCAGAGATCGTACATGCGCGGTATGCTGAAGATAGGCCATGACCGGACGCAACAGCTGGTATTCAGGAGTATGTCGACGTTTCTGCGAGAGTGGCGGCGGCGGCTGTGTCCTGCGCCATAGGTTCTGCCGGTGAGCATATGCCAGTAGTATCCGAACCGAGTGTGCGACGGCATCCGCAAGGGTATCATGCTCATTGGAATGCGTCTCTGTGTCTGTTGGTTCACTTTGATCCACGTCGACAAGATCTAGAAGAACCTCCTGTTCGTCGGAAACGGGCACTTGGACGAGGTTTTGGCGAGTCGTCACACCCTGGCTGCCCATTATCCGAGACTCGCGCACCATTTCATGGAACAGCTCTTCCTCGTAGACCGTGTCGCGCGCTTGTAGAATCCGGCTCTCGATTGAATCCGCACTGGGTAACGACCAAGAAACCTTCGAGCACCCGGTATATTGTCCCTGAGTCCTGATCCGCACGCGTACTGTTCTGGCTCTCTGAGGGATCAATCCTTTGTCTAGCAGCAGGCTTCCGTCGTCGGCTCGTCGTAATGCCGCCAGGCCTCGGTCGCGGAAGATAGGGGTGGCTACCAATCATCAATATATATTCAATCCTTGATTTTGGGGAGTGCATACCTTCAAGGAAGCCATACTGCACGCCCAAAGCCTGTCTGTCCCGTGGCAAGCGGCAAACCTTCCAACCCTTGTCTTTCACCGCAAGCACTTCATTCCAATATTTCGTCTCGGCGGCGACCTCGGTCTCGAGTCGCGTGGCGGATTTGAGGAGTTTGTTCGCTGCAGCATTGAAGTTCTGGAGTCGCCAGCCACGCGAAACCGTCTTGATGTCTTGCAGCGCAGCGTCCGACTTCGGCGGGGGGTTGACGATCTCGGCATTCAGCGAGCCGAGAGGCGCAACCTGTTTGAGGTAGGCCGACATTGACAGCTCGGCTTGTCGAGGAGTGTGCTTGGAGAGGAGAAGCGATACGAAATCGAGGGCAAAGAGAGCTTCCATGTGTGCCTGCCTGCAGTTGTTGCCATCAGCACGTTGTCTGTCTGCTAGTCGGGGTGAGCCACCTACATGGCGAACTGTGTGATCTCGGCGCGGCGCTTGTATAACTGGTCCATTCGTTCCGCCGTATCAACATCAGCGGTCGCTTTGTCGATTTCATCTTCCTCCGCCCACGGGTCCCTGTTCTTTTCCTCCTCGATTTTGGCACGCAGGCTCTCCTCGGTGACATCGCGGAAGGATCCCCACTGGGCGTTGATCTGGGCAATTTCCTGGGGGAGGGTGTCCGGCCGCTCGCGCTTCTCAAGAAGCGGGCGCAGAGGAAGGGTGAAGGAGTCGGACATGATGTCGTTCCGTCCGGCGGAGAAAGTGAGGGTGTAGATGTGAGGTGATGGAGTTTGATCGATGATTGAGGCGGAGATAGAGTGCTATGGGGCACGTGACCAGAACAGCAACAAGCTGTTTGCCGCTAGTCTGGTTTGGTCCTAGTTTTTTTTCCGCCGAGGTATCAGTTCCGATAAGGCTTCTCTCATCTCAGCTATCCAAGGGAGCATTGCTGGGGCATAACTATGCCCGTCGTTACATAGCCAAAGTATCCTGGCCAGCTAGATACGAGTGCTTTTTGATACTTCGTATAGATGTTAAAGCTAAGAGTCGAAGTCCCAATCAAGCTATACATTTTCTGACCTAATATTTTCCTGTTGTGCCGACCAGTCTAGCCTTAAAGCGAGGCAACCAAAGTCCCAGGACGAGTGCTCGTATCTGGGACTGTCCTAAGTAAATAGATATGGCTGCTTCCCGCGTTGTCGACTGCCATCAATGGAGCTGTTGGTAGCTTTCTACTTGTCATGGGTTAGCGGGTGAATTTGAAGATATATTTACGACCTCGGCTACCGTGCCTCGTTCGAACCGCAACTTGATTTGGACCAGCAGGTTGTGTAGTGAGCGATGAGTGACAGGGGTCTGGTGGCGCATATAATATAATCTCTGGCCCAGCCGCACTAGAGGCCGCGAAACGCCTCTTAGGCAGCTATGAGAAATAGTACTTGTTCTCTTCTGTCTACCTATATCCTTATCGATCAAGAAAAACATTCACATCTTGTTGTACTGTGCACGTTCATTCTCGCTCTGGAACATTGCCGCTTCTTCCAAGCAAGTCATGATCCAGTTCTTCCTCGCATTCGTTGGGCTCTGGACTGCGGTAGTCTTCATGTGAGTCATTATTCCAGATACAACAGTCCCCGCTGCTAACTGATAATATTTGTACTTCGTAGCCGAAAATTGGTCGTGTCGAGTCCCCTTCAATCCTCCATCAAACGAAGTAGCTGCGACCGGCCAGGGTCACAGCCTGTGACCCGTGAAGAAGATACCCTGGACATATGTGGCCCTGGCCTGATAAAGGGTGAAGGGTATATCGACTACCGGGTCTTGGGCAGCCTTGGTAATATCTCTTTCGTGCAAGCCTGGCCCTCGAACGGACGATTCTGGTGCAAAGAGGGCCCCACGCTGGCCGACATGATATTCCTTGGCCTGGACTCATCCGAGCCGATGGTGCCACGTTCCCCGTCTCCAACGGAGGAGGACGCATTCGTAGACCGACTGCGACTGGTCGGAGCTGGGGAGTGGGAGAATGAATACACATGTCTGGAGGAGTGGATCGGAGAAGCCGCAACTACTAACCTAGGACGGTACCGTCAATCGACCTACGGCTGGCCATCGAATGGCAAGGGGCTCTGGGTTTGGGAGTATAATTCGCACCGTTGGCGGTTCACGCCGCGGCAGCGTGAGCTGGTGGATGCGTTGCGCGGGGCTCAGAGCATGGATGAGCAATGTGCCATACTGGAAAGGTCGGGGCAGGCGACTTTCTATGAGGATCCTTGCGACTATCCGCCTATCGCGGATCTTTTCAAGAATCGCAAAGAAGAGTTATGATTCACTTTCTGTATTTGTGGTTTCTGCTGTCAACGGGTCCATCTCTACTTAGTGTGTGGGGTGTTGGACCACCCATAGTATGATAGTACTCCAAAGTATATAGATGATAAGCCGGTGTGGCCATTGCATGTGGCCAAGAGTATGTGCTTTGCAAGAAAGGTGCGGCGGTCGGGCCACGGCGAGGGAACCCCGAACCCCTCACTGTCCGGATTGGGATTAGGCAGCCTGCAATGAGCTTGGATTGTATAGCCTGGCGAGTCCATTGGATACTCAGTTTAGCTGAGGATGATCTATGATTACTGTAGGTGTTGATCTAATGAAGCTTTGGAGCTTTGGAGCTGGAGCTTTCACCAATCGGATCACTCACATTATACGCGTGGATACTATTGAGGGGTAGCATCACATGACTTCACGTGAAAGCAACGGCCCTACCCTATTACCCATCACGTGACCTTTCCTGTACTAGTCCAAATATGGGCGGAGAGGGGCGTTGACATCAATTGCCGTCTGTGGCCGCCTTGGGATTTCTCCCCCTCTTTCGTCACTTTTCCCACCAGGCCATCGTCCCATCGGAGCTGAAAAGCGCTGGGAAGACAGCAACCTGCATTGCCAGGGAGTCCAGAACCCACCCGTTCTCCTCGGCCTAGAGTCTTCCGATCACTTTTCGTATCCTCTCACCACTTCTCTCTTGCTCAACCTCCATCCATCTGGTTTTATCATCCCTCCCGTTTCTCTTTACGGTGGGGCAACTGACGGACCCCCCCCCCCAAAGTCTGTGACGTACTGTTTGCCCACACCCGCTTTTTCTCACCGGAACTTCTCCCCCCACCGTCACACAAGTTATCTTACCTTAGGATCGTTCCGCAAGCCGCCGTTGCCAGCTCTTTTCACTCTCATCCATCATCAATCTCGCCCCTCATCGAGTATATCGCTCATCCCATCCCCCGCGTGGATTGGAGCTACAACCTTCACATCAACTGATTTCGTCGTCATCGACACGATGGCTACCCCCCAAGCTCCCGTGCAACCGCCCAAGAGACGCCGTATCGGTGTCCTGACCTCCGGTGGTGATGCTCCTGGTATGAACGGCGCCGTTCGGGCGGTCGTCCGCATGGCCATCCACTCCGACTGCGAGGCCTACGCCGTCTTCGAAGGTTACGAAGGTCTGGTCAACGGCGGAGACATGATCCGTCAAGTGCACTGGGAGGATGTCCGCGGCTGGTTGTCTCAGGGTGGTACCTTGATCGGCTCTGCTCGCTGCTTGTCCTTCCGCGAACGCGCCGGTCGTCTGAAGGCCGCTAAGAACATGGTCCTCCGTGGCATTGACGCCCTGGTCGTCTGCGGTGGTGACGGTAGTTTGACTGGTGCCGATCTCTTCCGCTCCGAATGGCCCGGTCTGTTGAAGGAATTGGTGGAGACGGGCGAGTTGACCCAGGAGCAGGTCAAGCCATACAAGATTCTGAACATTGTCGGCCTGGTCGGATCCATCGACAACGACATGTCCGGCACTGATGCCACGATCGGTTGCTACTCCTCCCTCACTCGTATCTGTGATGCGGTGGACGATGTGTTCGATACGGCGTTCTCGCACCAGAGAGGCTTCGTCATCGAGGTCATGGGACGGCACTGCGGCTGGCTGGCCTTGATGGCTGCTATCAGTACCGGTGCTGACTGGCTTTTTATTCCCGAGATGCCTCCCAAGGATGGCTGGGAGGAGGACATGTGCTCCATTATCACTAAGGTAAGCTCGTTCCAACCTTAAATCATTCAAAGCTAATACCCTGCAGAACAGAAAGGAGCGCGGAAAGCGGAGGACCATTGTCATCGTGGCAGAGGGAGCACAAGACCGAAACCTGAACAAGATCTCGAGCTCGAAGATCAAGGATATTCTGACCGACCGTCTGGGCCTGGATACTCGTGTCACGGTTCTGGGTCACACCCAGAGAGGTGGCCCGGCTTGTGCCTACGATCGCTGGCTGTCCACTTTGCAAGGTGTTGAGGCCGTTCGCGCTGTGCTGGACATGACGCCCGACTCCCCGTCGCCCGTCATCACAATCCGCGAGAACAAGATCATGCGCACACCCTTGATGGACGCCGTGAAGCTCACCAAGACTGTCACTGCACACATTGAGAACAAAGAGTTCGCCCAGGCCATGGCTCTTCGCGACTCGGAATTCAAAGAGTACCACTTCGCCTACAAGAACACCTCCACCCCCGACCACCCGAAGATGCTGCTACCAGAGAACAAGGTAAGAACTTTGCTTGCGGTATATGGTTCGTGTGCTAATTAATGTACAGAGAATGCGCATTGCTATTGTGCACGTCGGTGCCCCCGCCGGTGGTATGAACCAGGCCACCCGCGCCGCTGTCGCCTACTGTCTGACCCGCGGCCACACCCCCCTTGCCATCCACAACGGCTTCCCCGGTCTCTGCCGCCACCACGCCGATACCCCCGTCAGCTCCGTCCGCGAGATCAAGTGGATCGAATCCGACAGCTGGGTCAACGAGGGAGGATCCGACATTGGAACGAACCGCAGCCTGCCTGGCGAGGACCTGGAGACGACCGCCAAGTGCTTTGAGAAGTTCAAGTTCGATGCGCTTTTCGTTGTGGGTGGGTTCGAGGCCTTCACTGCCGTCAGCCAGCTGCGCCAGGCGCGCGACAAGTACGCGGCGTTCAAGATCCCGATGACCGTCCTGCCGGCCACGATCTCGAACAATGTGCCCGGAACCGAATACTCGCTGGGTAGCGACACCTGCCTCAACACCCTGATCGACTTCTGCGACATCATCCGCCAGTCGGCCTCGTCCTCGCGTCGTCGTGTGTTCGTCATCGAGACCCAGGGTGGAAAGTCCGGCTACATTGCCACGACGGCCGGTCTCTCGGTCGGCGCAGCGGCGGTGTACATCCCCGAAGAGGGCATCGACATCAAGATGCTATCGCGCGACATCGACTTCCTCCGCGACAGCTTCACGCGCGACAAGGGCGCCAACCGCGCGGGTAAGATCATCCTGCGCAACGAGAGCGCGTCCAACACCTACACGACGCAGGTCATCGCCGACATCCTCAAGGAGGAGGCCAAGGGCCGGTTCGAGTCGCGTGCCGCCGTGCCCGGCCACTTCCAGCAGGGTGGCAAGCCGTCGCCGATGGACCGCATCCGCGCGCTGCGCATGGCCACCAAGTGTATGGTCCACTTGGAGAGCTACGCGGGCCGCACGCCCGACGAGATCGCCAAGGACGAGATGTCTGCGTCCGTGATCGGTGTCAAGGGCTCGGATGTGCTGTTCTCGCCCATGGGCGGCGAGAACGGGCTGGAGGCCACCGAGACCGACTGGTCGCGCCGCCGTCCCAAGACCGAGTTCTGGCTCGAGCTGCAGGACACCGTGAACATCCTGTCTGGCCGGTCCAACAAGGCCAATGCCGCGGCATGGACGTCTTATTCCGAGGCTTGAGGACTGCATGGCTAGACGCTATGAGCTAGAGCTAGAAGACACGTGAGCGGATGAAGCTACATGAGCTACGAAGAAAAGACGGATACAGAAGAGTTTCGAGCGGGTTACGCATGTTATGGATAATGATGACTGGTAGTTCGTTCAATTCATTGACTTACTCATAAAATCCTTGACCTCAGTATTAAACAGTAGTTATAGTAAGATGTCCCGGGGGAGAACCCCCGGACCCCCCTTTCTTTCAGCTTCCCAAGCACCTCAATTCTCAGGCCAAGCGTGTAAGCGTTCCGGGGGAGAACCCCCGGACCCCCCTTTCCTTCAGCTTCCTGGCAAACCCACCCTCTATATCACCCCAACACCGCACTCTTCGCCTTCCCAATAAAATAATCCCGCCCCTTCGCCAACCAAACCACCCACGCCCACGGCACCCACCCAAAGAACAACTGCCCCGTGCCCCCGCCATTCCCAATCGGCACAACCATCAACGGCGTGCCCGGCGGCGCATACACCTTCCTCTTCCCTCCCTCATCCCCATTAATCACCCTCACCAAATTCCCCGCAACAACCCGTGCCTGCGCAACAGCACTCTGCGCAAGCCTCGCAGGGTGAGCAGTGATATCGCCAGCAGCCCAGACACCCTCAAGCCCCGGCACACGCAGCTGGTCATCAACACGCACCCAACCATCCTTATCCAGGATCTCCGCCGGCAAGAAGCCATTGTTAGGCAACACGCCCGTCGTCGGGATATACACGTCCGTATCGAGCGTAGTCCCGTCAGAAAGGGTCACCGTTCCACCCCCGTCCTTACCGGACTCGCTTTCCGAAGAAGAAGGCGTAAATCCCACGACCTTCACGCCTTTAACAATGTAGACCCCCCGTGCCAACAACTGCGCCTCGGCCGCCGCACTAGCCCCCGGCGAAAGACTAGGCAGCAGCCGCTCCGTCCCCGAGATCAGCGTGATAGCAGGCTTGGACTCTATCTCCGCCAACTCCCCCGCAGTCTCGACTCCGATCGGCCCTGCACCGCCAATGGTTATCCGCTTCGCGGTAGCGATGCGTTCTTGCGCTGTGGCGATTAGCTCCCCTAACTCCACGCCAGCCTCTGGCTGGTTCGTGCTCGGAGGAGGCGGCGGCGGCTTGAAAGGGTACAGCGGCGTCGGCGTAGCCGAACCAGCTATCGACGAGGGCGTCGTGCTCCCACTCGCGATCACCAGGTGCGTATATGTGTACTCCGTTGTAGCATTCGTATTCGAGTTGCTCAGAGAGACACTAACGCTCTTAGCAGAGGTGTCAAGCGCGATCGCGTACCCATGCACGAACTCGAATTCCTCGCGCGGGTAGATCGCGAAGCCTGGCTCAATCGGCACTAGATACTGGGCTTTCGTGAAGGCGTCCGGGTTGCTGAGGATCCGTGGCGCCGCGATCATCCAGTAGAAGTCGCGCGAGGGGTTGATGAGGATTACTTTTGCTTTTGCTTTCGGGGTTTTGTGGCGGTTGTTTTTGAGGACGGCGTGCGCGATGGGTAGGCCTGCGACTGAGGCGCCGATGATTATTATTGTTGGGTTTGGCATTCTGGTGGTGGTAATGTACACGGTGTGTTGGCAGTGGTGTTTTGGGATGGTGGTTTATTGAGAGTGAAGGGAGGCGGTCGGTATAGAGTTCGTCTGGTACGGGCCGATCTCAGTATTTATACTCTTAAGTACTATAGGGGGGTCCACTATTGTTTATCTACTGCATAGGAATGTGTCCTGGTATCCGCTTGTGCAACACGACTCGAAGATCGTGCTGCTCTGCTTTCGTGCGTGATCTGCAGACCGACTATTGCATTAGGCAGAATGCATAGTGATACAGCTCATCGGCTGCGGTGGGCTTAGAAATCTATGCGTCGTTAGTTAACTTATCGGTGTTGATTATGAAGCAGTGTCCGCGGACAGCCCGAGCTGATAAATCAACATAGTTAATTAAAGTTCTCGATACGAATTCTGGATCCTGTAGGATTTACGGAGTAGTAGCTGAACCCCTGCCCTTCACTATCCTGCGATGCATACTGCTTTCACACGATTTCAACCAGAGTCTGACATGTCATAACTGATCCGACAGTCAATTAAGCTAGACCTTGGAGTTCATCCAGGAGCTGCATCGTCTCCGCCGGACTCGCAATCCACGCCGTGGTCGACGCCAGTCTTGCCTGCATACCCTGTTAGTTCATCCACAGAAACGAATCTCAGCACCTACCTTGAAGTCATTGGCGCCAGCCGACAGAAATTGATCTCCCACGTGCAGGGTGCGAGCGGGTTCGATGCCCCCAAAGTACTTCTGGCATGCCCGCACACCCCAGGACTTATCGCCGATATCCACGAACACGTCATTGCCACCTACGATACGTCGATTAGATACTGTTCGAACAGCAAATAGGGTAGGGAACGCTACCGTTGAAAGCGCAGAACGGCAGCCGCGAGCCGACCGAGGACCGCTCCACCGTGTTCTGCACGACCAGAACCGTCTCCTCGAGCTGCTCCCGCGTGATCTTGCTCCTGTCCAGCGGGTACACGCCCACGGCCCGGTCCTTCCGCAGCACCGCCACGGGAAGGCTCAGGTTGGCGGCACAGGCCCGCAGCGAGGACTCTGCAATGTCCAGCAGCTCCGTGATGTCGCCCTCTTGCCAGGATCGCATATCCTCCAGAATCCACTCCGAGCGAGGGACATACGTGAGTTTATGCGGCGACGCTCCGTCGTACCGGAACAGGAAATTGCTCTCGCCGCCCATGACGACCAGACCGGCCCGCTGGGCGTCGGTCAAACTGGGCGAATCGTGCATCGCGTCCAGCAGGCCCTTCAGGCGCTCATAGTACTTCGCCGCCTCGGTGTACCCGGCCGCCGTGACAATTCCTACCTTGCGATCTTCCAGAAGGAGACGTGTGATGCGGGATATCACCGGGTTGTCGTCGGTCAGGCAGGCCCCGTCGTCGTAAAGAGTAACATCTCCATCGAAGGTGACCAGGTCAACGCCCGTGGTGCGGGCGAGACCGAACAGTTGAGCCGAGTTGAGGATCAGACGCACGTCGTTGAAGGAGGGCGCGACAAATCGGCGACGGCTGATGAATCGTTGCTTGTCCTGGTAGTTGAAGGCGTCTTCGAGGAACAGTGGCGTGAAGAAAGAGCCCACAGTGGGCACCAGAAGCTTCAGCTTCGACTTTCCAGGCGCGTTTTGTTCCTGGTGCTTGATGTGGTCGCGGATGAGCATCTCTACGTCCCGGAAGATCTCCGCATACCGCTGGTGAGTGTCCGCTGCGACCGCGATCAGGTTCTCGCTGTGCTCCTGGTAGACTGCGGTCGGCTGCGAGTGCAGGACAAATGGTACTGCCAGGAGGCCCTGCTAGCTTTCAGAATGGTGAACAAACGTCAGAGAGGATGGTAGAGCATACTTTGATCCATTCGATCTACTGCAGTTAGCGTTGATCTTGATCTCTAGGTTTGAACCGTGTTGACGTACCAGTTGATCCCGACGGTGGGACTGCCAATGCGGGTCAGCTTGTTTTCAAGAGTGGTATTCGAACGGCATACCTTGAGTGCATCTATTCTCGTTAGCTAGTACCAAGCATCATATCGAGGGTGCCTCACATTCAACACGGTATCGGGTGGTCATGGTGAGTTTGTTTGGGGGAAGTCTTGACGTGGTTGTGCCCCGCTTGAAGAGGGGTGCAGTTGTCAAATGAGACAATCAATTGAAAGCTACGGTGGTTGTCTGGCGAGAAAGAGGAATGCTGGAGATTCGACGAAAAGGAAAAGATCAAGAGGACGGATGAGAATCATGCAAGAGCAAGGGGTGCAAGACTGGCAAGCGAAGGTAGGACAAAAGGTAGACAATTGACTAAGTATACATACGAGAGGCCAGGAAGGAGCAATGAGCATGTCGGAGATCGCCGCCACTAATCATCATTGGGCCGGCGGTGAGATCATCTGACCTCTATCTTATCGGCCAGGGGCCATCACAGGATACGTCCCGTGACCTGGGTCCAAACCAATTGATGCAAATAGTGCAAATCGTGCAAATGATCCATATATCGGCAAGTGATGATCGACATGATCCTATGGTGTGTTCAGTCAAGACATTGTCGCGTTCTCATGCCTATGGGCTTGGCCACATATTCCACCTTCCTGGCAAAGTCGGCGGAATGGTTAGGGTTAAATCATGCTCTTGTATCCTTCTTCCTAATATCATCATTAGGTGACCTGGCAATGAAGTAGGAAAGTGGGTATATTGAGGATTAACCGCCCTGGCTATGCCGTACAGAAGAGGCACCGTCAGGCTCGCAGCCTGACTAACTCTCTAGTGCATGGAAAGAAGCCTTTTTCCCCCGCAGCACAGGATGACTATTAGAGTTGAAACTACCCCTCTGTAGAAATTATGATCACGCCCACATCAATTAAAATCATTAGTGGGATTTGACTATCCTTACCAATAGCGACTAAAACGATGAACTCGACCCCTTCTTTCACCCATGATGACTACACAGTAGCTTGCATCTGCCCCATGAGCGTAGAACAGGCCAGCCTCGAGGCGATGCTGGACGAGATCCATCCAGACCTTCCCACGGCCACCGACAAAAACAGCTACACGCTGGGTCGCATGCACAAACACAATGTCGTCGTGGCCGTGATGCCCAGGATTGGCAACAGCAGTGCCGCGTCGATGGCCAACCAGCTGCTGAATGACTTCCGCCGCGTTCGTTTCAGCTTTCTGGTCGGCATCGGCGGCGGCATCCCCAACCTACTGCGCGGCGTCGACATCCGCCTGGGCGACGTCGTCGTGAGCAAACCCTCCGGGGTGTTTGGCGGGGTGGTACAGTTCCGGCAGGGAAAGCTGCTGCCCGAGGGTCAGTTCGAGCGCACGGGGGCCCTGCACCCACCGCCGGATGTGCTTTCAGCAGCAGTGGCGCGGCTCGAGGCACTTCATCGGCGTGCGGGGAGTGCCATCCCACGCTACCTGCAGGAGATGACGCAGAGATATCCCCGCATGAAACGCGGAGGCTGTGTCTACCAGGGCGTGGAGAATGATCAACTTTTCCGGGCGGAATACAAACATGCCAAGAAAGATTGCGATAATTGCGAAGATTGTGATCAAGCAGCAGTTGTACAACGCCCATTTCGCGAGGACCGTGAGCCCGTGGTGCACTACGGCACTATTGGCTCGTCAGATGTGGTGGTTAGGGATGGTCAACTGCGGGACTCCTTGCGCGATGGATTGAATCTCTACTGCGTGGAAATGGAGGCGGCCGGGTTGATGGACTCCCTCCCCTGTCTGGTCATTCGAGGTATCTGCGATTATGCGGATTCTCACAAGAATAAACGATGGCAGCCTTATGCCGCTGCGACCGCGGCTGCTTATGCGAAGGAGTTGCTGTCTTACATCCCGATTTTGAATCGTCAGCAGCCTAGCTCAGCCATATTACATATGCAACACGTGGGAAATGTTGTCAATGGTAGCGTTCATGGAGATTTTGTGGCCGGGGATAAGGTTGCTGGCGATAAGCTTGTTGGAGACAAAGTGTGGCAAGGATGGAGGTAACGTGTTATTATATCGTATACTGAGCACTATCGAACCACGAAGAATAAAGAAGGAAATCGGTTGATTCGAAATGATCGAGGAACGATGGTATTCGGCTATCATCAAAGCGTATATGGAGCAGATGAATCAGGAATTCCAAATAGGGAGGGAGAGAGGAGATAAATAGATGAATGAAGGGAATCGCCCAGAAACCGCCTTTCTTAAGAGGAAGGAGCCTTTTATCCTCCGCCACAATCCGTAGGTTTAAGCAGTCACTCTACCATATACAACACATTATTTACCACTTGCAGACCTCCAAGGTTGTGACTGCAGCCGTTGTCCCACTTGGGGTGAGTTCACATCGATCACCGTTGCAGGCGAAGCCTGCAGCCGGCGACTCATAGTTTGTCGATAGTTGATAAATACGACCCTTAGAGTTGAAGGAATTCGACGTTCCCGCAGCTCATTGAAGAGCTCGTCAAATCTCAATGACCATTGATACTCCTGGGCTGGGTCTGAGAAGGCCGCTGTATCCAAGAGTAAGTACACTTCCCTGACCCCATTCAGCACCGATCCTAACAGGCTAAACCAATCGTCCACGCTCGATGCATTTTGAACCCTCCTAGCAGTCAACGAGGCGCCACGTTCAGTCACTATCCCAGAATTTTGCTGGACGACCTGGCGCACAAGTTGTTTCACAACATCCACGATTTCGAATACACCCTCCGACTTGCCGCTATTGTACTGAAGAACCCAAGCAACAAGCCTCTTTTCCGCGTGAAGCAGATCGATCATATCCGCAGCAAAGTCTCGGAGCACATGACGAGAGCGGAAGGAGCCTTTCACCACGAGCTGAGAGGAACCAGACTGAGCTACCCAGTCTCGCAATTGTCGGGACTTTCGTAATTGGGTCGCCAACGAGTTCCCCTCCCTACGCCGGCGAATGTTCCGCATTGAGCTATAATAGTGGAGTGTTGCCTGCGAATTGGCTACCAGAGGGAACAAATCGCAGAGGTTGATGCTGTGGCTCCCTGTGCTGGTTTCGAGCGTACCAGTATAGTGCAGTTTGTGGAACTCTGCGAAAGAAATAGATTGCATAAGTCTCCATACCGGACCAGTCAATGCACTGCCACTAGTAGCACCCACCTTCAAGGGCGTTTCTGATATCCGATAAGCCCAGAAATGAGGTTGTAGGGCTCGACAAGTTTCTCTCTTGGACCTCAGCGAGCATCATGATTGAGACCAGCTCAGCGATTCGCTGGAGATGGTTCATAGTGTTGTTGTCTGAGCTCTTCAATCCGAACTCGCCTATTGTCGCGGGGCCGATCATGATATTGTGCATCGCTACGGTGATCTTATCAATTCACGTTATGATTAGGACTGGACGATAACTCTTCAGGTCCTGTACAAAGCACAGTGCCTACCTTGTCCCCTGAGACTTGGTCTCCTCCGAATTTGCTTCCGCCAATCTGATCCCCGGCGACATTCCCATTAATCAGATTTTGAACATCGCGAGTGTTGATATCGACCACGTTTGCCATATCCTTAGTATAGTGGTGGGGCCTGGGGAGAACCAGGTGGATTGGAACGAGTGATCGCAACAAGGCCCGGGCTTTCTGGATCGATCAGATCATCTTTGCGGGGTGCTCTGTCCCAAACCCTTGCGAGGCTAGAGGGGCAAGCTACCTAGTAAGTATTAATCAGGTGGACTGGCAATGACAGGGATACTTCAGTTCTGTCTCCCATCTTGATTGGCTATATAGCCGCCAGCGCCCGCCCCCGATCATAGTAGCGTATACTAACAACTGATCAGGCACGCACTGACTTCTCCTCTTTCAACCTCGCTCTGAGCTCACCTCAGAGACAGTACCTGGTCATTCTACTCCCTACCACACCCCGACTCCGGCAGAGTCTTCCGGTCCGTGGCCTTCCGAGGCATATTTCCGATCACTGCATGTCTCAACCTTTCCAATCACATTTCGATTCTGATTCCTCACTTGGCTTTGGTGAGCCTCGTACTCGAGCCCCATCAGCCATTGCTCGTCATCGCCCTCGATGGTCGCACTATTCTCCCGTTTCCCACGTGCCTCCTCCTACCCAGGCAACCACTGCTGACAGTCCAACGACATCCGACACCGAAACGTATACGCTGTGCTTGTATCGATCCAATAGGACTGAAGCAATACGCGATAATAGATATTATCGAGAGGAGGAAGAAAAAGACGAAAAAGAAGCCGAAGAGGACGACGAGGAGGAGGTCGACGAAGGATTCTCATCCAGCAACCACCAAGAAGAAGACAATTTCCAAAGCCGTGCGCGCCCCTACACCAACGAATATCTTTCAGGTGTTCAGTCTCTGCCCGGGCAAGGAAATTTCGATTGGCTGAAAGATTCCACTATATCCGAGGATCGGACAAATGAAAGTTGCTGGGATCAAAAACAACTTGCGGGCGTTCTTCCACAGATCGCTCGACCTTCTCTAGGACAGGGAGGGGAGCCGGCACAGGAGCCGGCGCCGGAACCGAAGTCGAAGCGACTCAATCTTGCATTTACACAGGGAGTCAATTCTGGATATACTGACATTGCTGATTTCAGTTATCAGGGAACTCGTGAGCTTTTCTCGGAGGACTTTGGCTCCGTGCGTTCTTCAAACCAAGGCGAAGACACTGCGGAATCTGAATTTGATCCGGCCATTCTGTCTCCGAGGTCAGAAGTAGATATGGCACCAGAAGATTCTCGTCAGCCAGCAGCCCGTCTCTTCCGACGAAAAAGTCGAGATTCCCCACGGAGGTCTATCCGGGAGGAAGGGGATGGAGAGCTAATCTTGCCAACCGATGGAAGCAGAGCGGAAACCGAGATTGGTGATCATCGAGGTCTCAATACGGCTCCAAGAACTCCTACACACCTTCGGCTCGGAGCATTGCCAACAGCGAATATAATTAGTTTCGGTAACGAGGAAGATGTCAAATTTCCAGATTATCGGCAATTGATAGAATACATCGACGCTCTTGAACAAGAAAATGCATTGCTGAAGAGCTGGATTGATCCGGATTCCGTTCACGAAGGACGTCCTTTCTTCCAAATTGTCCATCGAATCAAGAAGGATGACAGTGTGTTTTTCAAACCACCCATATGGATTCGACGAGATGCCAATCGATACTCTCTCGCAGGGAGCTCTTTCTCCATGAAAGAAAGCACCTATCTGCAGCAAAGCAGCAATCTAGCTTTTGTCGTCTACAAAACATACGCTCCGCAGACGGTAGACTATCCCGTCGAAGGGGATGGTAATTGCTTCGAGCCTTTACCCCTACCGCAGCCGGAAGCCGAAGCGGTCTTTTTCGCCTCAAAGGAGATGAGATCAGCTGTCAAGACTCACTTGGACAAGCAAGCCGATTTCAAGCATTTATTCCCTTCGTTTGACATCACTGAAGAGATTCCATCCCCTTATCTCTTCTGGTATTGCTTTCGATCATCTTACGAACGTGTTCTCCAAGTACTTCCTTCTTCGCAGAGAGCACTTTTAAAGTTGTTTGGGGATTGGGTGAATGCTAACTATGAGGCGGAATACAACCAAGTAGATGACCAGATCACACGCGGGTTTATATCCTGCCACTCGATGAAATACCTCGTCCGACCAGGTGATCCTCTCGTGTCGCAGGCCCAAAATATGCCTCAGGCCTACCAGGCCACATCTTGGGCCAGTATCAAGCCCAATCGTGGAAATAACGGTGGCAAGGACGAAGACTTATTCGACAAGGCGTGGGAAGTGTCAGCCTGGTCTTATGAATTTGACGGCGTCTTCCACCAGAAACCTGTCATTCTGGTCATCAAGCTTGACGTCACCAATCCTACAGAGGAGGTTTCACTAATTTCATTGGAGGTGGCCCCCTTGGAATACGCCAATCCTGAGCTTCGAGCAAAATTAGAGCGTCGGGGGAAGACATATTGGGCATGTCGCAAAAAGAAATTTATCTCTTATAGTGGAAGTGGTGACATTGATTCACTCAGTAATGTGAGGAGGCCCTCGAGACTTCTCCGATTGCTGTCTTTCAAAGCCAGACGACATTCTCTGACTCGAATTGAAAACAGAACAGCGAACGTTTTATGATCGACTTTTCGACTTACAGGCAACTCCATTCGTTAGATTCTAAGCCACCATCCGCTACGAATCGCACAGAGATTCCTCGTGAGCGCATGAACGATGACGAACCGCCAACAGCTCCAGAAATTTACCTCTTCCCAACCCGCATCGTGGGTTTCAATCTGGGCCGAAAAAAATGGAGTAAGACATTTGCTTTATCTTTGTCATGCAGATTAATCTAGTCTAACCCTTTTGACCGCATAGTCAACTTAGACGTCGACCTGATTAAGGAGGTGGAATGGAACAAAAAGGCCTTTGACAACCTGGTGGTCGATGAAAAGACCAAGGAGCTCGTGCAGGCGCTCATCACCAACCGCCTTGAGGCGGAGCAGGGGACTGACATGATAGATGGCAAAGGCAACGGGCTCACCATCCTCTTGCACGGGGGGCCGGGCACTGGCAAGACCTTCACCGCGGAGAGCGTGGCCGAGCTCGCCGAGAAACCTCTGTACCGGGTTACGTGCGGCGACATTGGCACCCAGCCTGACAAGGTCGAGCACTACCTCGAGTCCGCGCTGCACCTGGGCAAGATCTGGGACTGCGTGGTCCTCCTTGACGAGGCCGACGTCTTCCTGCAGGAACGCACCCTGGCCGATCTGCAGCGCAACGCTCTGGTCAGCGTCTTCCTGCGCGTGCTCGAGTACTACGATGGCATCCTGATTCTGACCTCCAACCGCGTCGGCACCTTCGACGAGGCCTTCAAATCGCGCATCCAGGTCTCTCTACACTACCCTAATCTCACCCGCGCACAGCGCTACAAGATTTGGCGCAACCTGTTCACCCGGCTCAAGCGGCTGGAGAACCCGCAGATCGACTTCGATGACGTCGAGTGCTACCTTGGTGAGCTGGCAGAGCAGACACTGAACGGCCGCGAGATCCGCAACGCCATCACGACGAGCCGCCAGCTGGCCAGATTCAAGGGCAAGAATCTGTCCCAGGCGGACCTGCAGCATGTGCTCGATGTCTCGGGTCGGTTCGATAAGTATTTGTGCAGTTTGAAAGAGGGGTTTACGGATGATGACATCGCTAGGGACTCTGGCTTGAGATGAGTGGTTATTTGTAAATAGCCTCAGCGTCGCTTCTGTGCATCCACCGTCTTGGCGCCTCTATTGGTATGAGTCCCTCGCGCCAAGAAGCCCTGCTGTCCATGGCTATTCCTGCGACTACATGCTATTGCAAGGCTTGTAAGGATGTTGATCCTTACATCTGGTTCCGCCTATGCACTGTAACAGACGCCTAAATTCTTTCGACTTTGACTCACAATTACGCGAGCAACGTAGGGGTTGATACGCAAACCAGTGATGCTGGAGGTCTACAAACAATGAAGAATCCTCCAAAGCCAAAAAGAGCATAGCATCTCGTAATCAAATACACATCACGACCCGTACATTTGGCGACAGCAAAGCGACCATTATCTGAAAGAGGTAACAGCAGTCCTCCCGGCTAAGACCGAAATCAGATCATTCTGGATGCGTGATACATCTATAACCCTGTCAGATAAGCTACAAACCAACCTGGATTCGAATCCTGCATCTCCATGAGGCCATTATCTTCCTGGGAAGAAAAACCTATGAAGCCATAGTATCGATAATCACTGCGCGGCGCCACACAGGACAGAGTTTCACGTGCCCTCCCACTAGTTTTCATCAAAAAAAACTCAGTGCCGGGCAAAACAGCACAACAGCCCGGTTTTACTCAGGAACCACAATGCGCCCAAAAAGCGGAATACCAATAGGGCTGAGGTAGCCAGGAGGATGATCTTGAAGTACCAGGCTGTTCGAGTGGTTGATATGCTCTGTTTGGGTGGTTAGCATGATAGTCAGCCTCGAGAGGAGAATGCATGTTGCACCCAGGAAAGAACAAAGGATGAAGGAGAAGGAAACATACCGTCAGACACAAGTTCGTGATAGAAGTATTGTTAATCAGCAGCACCAACAACATATTGGACAACGACCACAGAAGCACCAAATTGGTGCGAAAGGTCTTGTAGGAGTCGTTCAGCTCCGTCTTCTCGTGCTCCACCGGCGGCTGATAGGGCGTCAAAGCGCGCTTGACCGTGATTTCGAACTCGGTATCGATATCCGCCTGCCGCTTGTCGGTCTCGACGACGAAGTCCGTGGCCGAGGATGGATCATTCGCGGGTGCGGAGGAGTGCTGCGTCTGCGCCGAGGGGAGGGCGGACACGATTGATCGGAGCCCTTGGTGCCCCACGAAACGTCATGCCAATTGCAGAATGCATATACCACGAGCACGTTGATCGACAAGGGCATGCACAGGAAGTAGGCCTACGATGAGGTAATCATGTGCCACGGACCCGCATACCCCATGCTGGCCAGCACGTAAATGCCGTACGTTGAAACCAGCGCGATAAGCAACAGCCCGCTCGTCGAAATGAAGAACGAGGACAGGAAGCTTCCTGCGCCGTGGTCGACGTCAATGTCCACGCTGCCTCCGGCGAAGGCCTGAGCCACAAGGTAGAAGGAGAGAACCAGGATGTATAGTTGCGTTTACATGGCTGGGCGAAGATTGTAGCCATTGCGGAGGGTGAATTCGTCGGGGTGGCAGGTTGCTGCCGTATCTGGTTTGATACGTCAGTATTGCTCCATGTTGCTAGCCTTATCTCCTTGACTTATATGAATAGTGTTCCGACAAGGCTTACATCGTAGGTGAGTGAACTCCTCGGGTGAGATACTGGCATCGTTAGGATACTGAGGCTCGATCGCATTCTGAATCGCACTCGGAACGGGATAATTGACGCTAAGCACCGTCTCTTTGACCAGGTTGATTTTGCAGGTCGGGTACCGTCGCAGGCGACTGGCTCCGATTGTTTGGCGCTGCTGCCAACGGGATGAGAAAGAGGTTTCCGGTGCATTGCTCGGCGATGGCGAGACAACAGGGGCGGAGTGTTCTCTCTCTCGACTCGGTTCGTCTGTGTCTTTCCCAAAGGGATTCCCAGTGACGTCGTCTCTGTGTTGCTCGACCATACTATAACCGCCAGGATGTATCGTGGACGAAGTGCTGGCCGCCAACTTGTAGGGTGGGGGGCAGTCGGAGTCCGCGGAATTGGCCAGCCCATGGTCTCCATGTTCTCTATAATCTCGTTCATCCGCGGAATAGGTACTGGATGAGCCAGCTCTTCCTGATCTCGGGTAGAGGGCGAGGGGATAGTTGTGCTCTGGGAAGTGGTCCATAATCTCTTCAGCAACACTTGCTGCCGAAGCGTGAGTCGATATCGGAAATGGGGTATGAACAAGCAGCGGGTTGAGTGAGAATTTTGCTGTAGAGAAATCAGATTGAGAACAGGGCAATCGCGACTATGCTCAATTCCGAAGTCTCAGTTGTGCCCAGAGCCCAGGTATGTACAGCGCCTTCTGATCAGCATCCTCCCTCCCTGGACCTTTCCGCAAAGTATGGAATCATGATTGAATGTTAGGGCTTGGTTTGATGATCCATCCGGTCCGAGGCCATTCATTGGTGATACCAGGCCCCTCTCTTATGCCGAACCAGTCAATTCCATATCGAAGGTTTGCTGGGCACCCACTCTTATGCCGGGGCGACAAAACCATGCGAGTGGTTACGGATGTCTATATTCAAGCTTGGCGCTACACTCTCGTTGACTATCTTCGACTAGTCTGAAACCCCACCCCCAAGAGTGTGCCTCGGGCTTCTTGCCACCTGTGAGAAACGGGTAAGATTGGACATGCCAAGACGAGTTGCTTTTGCCCACATTTATGCTCCGGGCGCACATATGGTAATGGAGGTCAGACTCGATAAATCCCCGATAACTCGTGTGGGAGGGTATTCTTCCATGTTCACAAGTCAAAGTTGCTCTCGCCTGCCGCCATTCTATACCCTCAGCAACTACTGTGGTGGATTCATTCTCCATGGCGTATCTTCTGAGTCACATTCTACTGGCCCCTCCCATGACGCCCTCCCTATCTTAAACTTGAGAAGAGCAAGCCAATCTATACAAACCATGATCATATTACGGGCCACGTGATTCTAGAGCCCCAGGCTTGCATCAATCTTTCCCGGATTACAGTCACTCTGTCGGGACACTCCATCTGTAGGTTTGAGGCCTCTGGCCATAGCGAGTCGCTTCAGGTGAGTCGCGGCAATGTCTTGCAATCCTGACCAGCATATTGATTCTGTGCTAGCTTATCAAAAAGAAACAGCAAGTGTTTCCTCAATATGGGGAGTTCAGTGCCGGCTCTAAGCCATTGATCTTGGGATCCAAACGATACGCCTTTCCCTTCCGTGTCTCGGTATTTTTTCCGCTCAGCCCTTGTCTCCGGAAGATGTGCACCGGCTGACTAGCTTCCTAGTTCCCTCATGATCCTGAATCCTTCGGAGGGCACTCAAATAGATCTTGGGAGAGCAAGTCCCAGACAGAATCACCTGCCACCAGCAGACTGGGACAACTTCCACCCTCGACTGGGAATTCATCCAGCAGCACTGAGATAGTTTATACGCTCAACGCAGGCGTTGTAGTGGGCAATGTGTTTAAACAGTCAATCCAGCAGGTCCGTCACGACAGACCCCAATCAAGCAAGAGCATGATCCGCTGACACCCTGAACAGTCTCGCCGAGTCTTCTTCTACCCGACAATCAGTCCCCAGCCACCTCCACCATCCATGGCCTTCCGCCGTGCAGTGGTCTTTCCCTGCAATGGCGCATCAAGCCCAGCTACCGCCTACCAGGTTACGATCGAGCTGAGTCAAGGATCACAACTGAGCCTAGGCCAAAGCCTTCTGATCAGTATACAGGTCACCTGGGCCGGTCCCGCAGACCACGACCTTCTTCTCAACGATTACCAAGCAATGCTGATCCAAGGAACCGTCACACGAGTGAGGGATCTGACCCAAATGCAGCGCATCTCTCGGATTCTCCGAACCCTGAGTAATCTGCATCAGAGGATATTCCTCGCCGATACACCGGCTGGGAGCACAGTGCATGTGTCAGACAATTTATGGGGTGGTCAATCTTTGTCGGGAAATCTCGTTTCGAGCTTCGAGACCTCTCGAATCCACCGCCGTTATAAGCTTGAGGTACGATTGGGCTCCAATAGTGGTCCGGAGAAGGTAGGCCTGCCCCACCTCGGCATGGCATGTCTATGCTTGGGGGTATTACAGGTTGCCATGCTCATCTAACGCTTGCTCAGGTACACACACGCATTCTTGAAGTCCAATACCCTGTTTCTATCGTGGCGATAGCCTCCGCGCCGCTTCCGCTCACCAGTCCGCCGGTCCGAGAAAGGCGGGAGGAGTCCTTGCGCGAGGGTGTGCATTGGAAGAATATGAAGCAATAAGTGGAAAGTTACAGTGACATAGCTAAACCTTTCAGGGACTCTTCATGGCCGCCTGCCCCTCTCGATCCATTCTATCATACTCTGCTCGTCTTCTCAAAAGCAAGAGGTGCAACATCTGTACTTGTAAAGACCCCTTAGATCACTTGGAGGCAATCACCAAGAAAATCGAGATCGATGAAATTGATCTGTCGAGCCCTTACTGGCAGGGTCTCAGAGCATATATGAAAGCTCTCTACACCAAGAGAAGACAGCCCCTGGAAGAACTACCAAGCCCCGGAGCTAACCTCCTACAGGGCCCAAGCCAATAGAACAGAATCATAGTTTGGAACGTAATTTTACAAGCTGGTCCATGTGGAGCCAGCTCTCTCGGCGCTTTCGTCCCAACCGGGACCCGCGGGTTCCCTCTCCAGAAAATTAGACGACGTTGAACCCATAAGCCGACTTCGGAAGGTTCCGCACCCTCCAGTTCGTGAATAGGGGGTCAACTTATGACATTGGGACAAATGAGGGCTCGGCCGTCTATTTTTGGTGGGGACAAGAGCCCGCCAAGCCCGCACGTGGTGGCGCTGCCTATTGCGGGGCGGAACCTGGGTTGGCGGAACCCTAACTGCAGGGTCAGTCTTAAAAAGGCCAGCAGCCAGGGTCGGATGCATACATTGTTGTTTCGTGCTACTGGGTCGCATGCTCAATGCATTGGTGCATTCTTTTCTATCTAGCTGGTTCATGAACTAGAGGTCGTGTTTTCGCTCCTTCAGCTTCCATCCCATGCCTCTACAGCTGCCACTCGCTTGACCAACTTCGAACATTCTTTATATTAGCCACACCATGCGCAACAGCTTCAGCCTTTTTCTCCTCACGCTGGCAGCAGGACCAGCATGGGCAGCCATCGCCACCCCGCCGTCCTGCAGCGCCACCCAGCTCTGCCCGGAGGAATACCCCTGCTGCATCGGCGGCACCTGCGGCACAGGCACCTACTGCCTAGGCGGCTGCGAGCCGCTGCTCTCGTACTCGCTAAACGCCTGCACCCCGAAGCCCGTCGGCCACAATCAGACCTACACCTGGCCAAACCTCAACCGCACGATCGCCAACGGCAAGTACCTGGGCAACGCGTCCGCCGCAGATTGGGAAACCAGCGGCACGCCCAAGCTCTCAGACGGGCACGTCATCCTGACCATGCCCAAGGACACAGGCGGCAGCCTGCTGTCCAGCACGCAGTACATCTGGTACGGGAAGGTGGGCGCGGACATCAAGAGCAGCCGGGGGGCAGGGGTAGTGACGGCGTTCATCCTGATGTCGGACGTGAAGGACGAGATCGATTTCGAGTGGGTGGGCTCTGAGCTGGGGGAAGTGCAGACGAATTTCTATTTCCAGGGCGTGACCAACTGTATTTTCTTCCCCCTTCTCCCCCTCCACATCCACTTAAAATAGAGTACCGATACTGACATGGACAAGACACCAACGGCGGCAAAACCCCCATCCCAGACGGAAACAGCTACACAACCTGGCACCGCTACGAAATCGACTGGACGCCGTCCGCCATTCACTGGTCCGTCGACGGCACGGTTGTTCGCACCCTGCTTAAAGCCTCAACCTGGAACGCCACCGCGAAGCGCTACGAGTACCCGCAGACGCCCTCCAGGCTACAAATCTCCCTGTGGCCGGGTGGTCGCGCCGGCGCCGCCCAGGGGACCATCGACTGGGCCGGCGGGAATGTCGATTGGGACTCTACCGATATTCGCGAGCAGGGGTACTACGCCGCTGAGTTTGCCAATATCACTGTGCAGAGCTATGCGCCGCCGGAGGGTTCCGGGTCTGGAAACCGGTCGTATGTGTATGTTGATCGGGAGGGGTTGGAGGGCTCGGTAAAGATTACAGATAAGGGGATTGTCTTGGCGGATTTGGGGAGGACGGGGTTGAATACCGGGGTTGATGAGGGTTCTGAGTCGGGGGCGCAAGGGGGTGAAGGGGGTGGTGCGTCGGCGACGGCGGCCGCGGCGCAGGTCACTGGGACTGGAACGGGATCTGTGTTCGCGCAGAAGGCGGCTACTAATCTGGCGGCGCCGGTGGTGGAGGGCTCGTGGAGGGGGTTGGGGCTGGTCGTGTTTCTCGTTGTGCTTGTGCTTGGGTGAGGTGTATGGAGATGTGGGCGTCTCTGTAGGTCTCATGTGTACAGTACTATAAGAGGATTATTTTGTCAGCGGGGGTATAGACGATACTACCGCTCTGAATGCATATAGGTAAGATGGTGAACAAGGTGTATTAAATTTCCTTTTTTTATATGTAATTTTGGATATTCCCGAACAGGACTCCTGAGATTGAGATCAGAATGGAGGCTTAAGAGGTGAATAGTGCCTTCGAGGGTTCAGGCAGCAAAGTCTTTTCCTGGAGGTCGACGAGACGTCAAACAGGCATACTGGTCGAAAAATGACCCTGGGGTCGGTTCTCGAGTCGGCCCACGCTCGGGCAAGTCGGATCTCTGGAGAACGAACCTCAGCAGGAAATTTCTAGACTGTGGGAGCTACTAAACTACTAAGCCATTCAGCAACTAAGTATGTGCAAAAAGCAGAAAGGGGGGCAGACTGATCGAGCCTAAGGCTACTTACTATACTAAGCGCTAGTGCTGACTGCGAAGCACGTACTGAGCCTGACGAGGTCTTGGCCAAGAGTGACGGTGGAATGAAACCAGCTGCGTTGATCGACGGGGATTTGGATTGAGAGACGATGCTACCAAATGCGATGTGGAATTGTGATTTCGAACACTGCAACAAACCTTCCGTCCGTAAGGACGGAGATTGCATTATCTGCAACCGCCATCTCTGCGCTACCCACCTCGACCAGCATTATCACAAGTGTCCGAGATGGGAGGTAAGCTAGATTGTAGCAATATCAGAGAACTGGACCACTGACACCCCTTCGTTGCAAGAACGCCGAATCGTATGAACCTGCGGCTCAAGAAGCTGAACGCAAAGAAGTCACCAACCTTTTGAACAAAATCGACGTTGCTGCACTTCTTGCCCGGGCCAGCCACCTGCGTGGGGGTGTATCTTGCTTCCTATCCAAGGAACTCCAGTAGGATCGATCGACGTAGTCTTCGGTCATGGGAGGCATGAATTATCACATCGAAATCCAGTTTCAGGATGGAGTTGTCTGGCTTGCACGTATCCGAAGGTCCAATGCAACCTCTCCACCCCCGGACCTACAACGATACATCATGCGCAGTGAGGTCGCCACCCTGCAATTCTTGAGCAGGACAAAGGTCCCTGCTCCGACAGTCTTCGATTGAAGTCTGAAACCAGGCCCTGTCGGGGTGGAATATATTCTCATGGAGAAGATGCCTGGGAAGTCTCTGCGTTGGTCGCTTGCGACCAAGGTGTAAAGGAATAAAGTCATGAGTCAATTGGCAGATATTTTTATTGAACTGCAGACACGCCCCTTCGCTCTGATGGGCTCGTTGGACCAACCAGGAACTGATCATGTCGGGCCCTTTTGCACGGGAGTCACTGACTGACTATCTGGACTCACAGATGCGACCCATTGGGCTCTTTACCACCCGAAAGGATTTTCTGGTGGCATGCATCCAACTGACGCTCGATCTCATTATCGAGGGGGAATGCTATGCCACGCGGCCAATCGACGCTTTTTTGACCCATCGCTCACTCCTGGACTATATTCCAAAGGTCTGCTCCCGCCCTGACTTTGACGACGGGCGCTTCTACTTGAAACATGCCGATGATAAAGGAGATCACATCCTCGTTGACGATGATTACATTGTTACTGGAATAGTCGACTGGGAATGGGCGCATACTGATTCCAACTCAGTGGCTTTCAATTCCCCCGTCTTCCTGCTTCCCGTGGCTGACTTCTACGACGGAGTAATCGAGCCTGGTGAGGATGAATGGGAGTTCGCGCGATTACTGGAAGATAAAGGACAGTCCGACCTCGCGGAGATAGTAAGACAGGGAAGGATTGTTCATCTGTTTAACTTTGTTGTGGATATGATCTCGCTGATTTGGATGGTTTCGAGGGACTTTTTCAAGGGCTGCGCAGGGCGTTGGAGGCGGATGGGGAGTTGGAATGGGAGGCTTGGAGGGAGAAAGCCATGGATGGTTACAAGGACAATGAGCAGTTGACGAAGCTGATACTCCGACAAAGCGGCTCTTCTTCTAGTGACTAACCAGAATAGCTAGATCAATAAGAAGAATCTACTCCCTATGCACCTTATCAACCCAACCACAGGCTCAAACCCTCGCCGAAGCATCCGCGCGCTCCTCATGCGTCACCGTCCCAAACTGCTCCTCCGCCTGCTCGTGCTTTTCATCCACCGCATAGTCCCTCTGCTCCGCATCGCGATTGCCATACCGCCCAATCTTGTACCACGGCAACTCGAACAACCGATCCATACTCTCGAGACTGCGACCCGCCGTCTCGGGCACGCTGAACCACACCCACAGCCCCCCGAGCACGGTCACCGCCGCAAAGAACCAGAACGTGCCCTTGGGCGTGATGCCGCCGTCGCCCGTGCTGAGCAGCATGTTCGGCACCGCGCGCGAGTTCCCGTATTGGTTGACGAAGTGTAGCGTCATGGCCGCCGAGGTGGCCAGCGCGCGGATGCGGAGCGGGAACAGCTCGGCGGTCAGCAGATATTGCATCGAGTTCCAGCCCAGCGCCCAGCCCACACCCGAGATATAGATCATGGCGATGGCGCCGCGACTGATGCCCTTCTTGGACTCGGGGAGGACGAAAGAGTCGTCGATGCCCATCTTCGGCACGTCTGTTAGGAAGGCGGCGATGTAGATCATCGCGATGCCTTGCAGCGTGATTCCTAGGAGCAGGGCGCGTTTGCGGCCAATCACGTCGACCAGGAAGAGCGCGCAGATGATGGCCGCCGCGAGCTTGACGATACCGAACACGGCGGTCACAAGGAGAGACTCGTTGGAGCCGGTGATGCCGAGGAGTTTGAAGAGGTCGGGCGCGTAGAGCGTGATCGAGCCGGCGCCGGACCATTGTGATAGAAGCTGCGCCATCGCGGCGAGGTAGAGACGGTAGAGGTTGCTAGGGATCAGGAAAGCTTCTTTGATGATCCCGAACCATCCGGCGCCCATCGTGGCTTCGAGCTCCGCTTGGTGGGCTTGCTGGATGGCGGTGATCTCTCGCACGACATACTCGTGGTCTTGAGGGAGGTTACGGATGCGCGAGAGGTTACGCAGAGCTTGTTCCGGCTTGCCTTTCTTGATGAGGAATCGCGGGGACTCGTACTGGAGGAAGGAGAGAATGATGATCAGGCCAGCGAAGATGATGTGTAAGCTCGTGGGAATTTCCTGGTGGTCTGTTAGCGAGGTCGTGGCCAGGCACATAGTGGTAGCACTCACCCATCGCTTATGTGTGTTGTCTCCGAGGTTGACTTGGCAGCCGTAGTTGGTAAAGTAGGCGAGGACAATTCCGAGATAGACGAAACCGGTGAAGACACAGGTACACAAGCCTCGGATAGATGCAGGCGCCTTTGAAGGGTTAGTCAAGTTCACAATCAATACCTGCAAGACACTCACAATTTCTGCCAGATAGACGGGACCGACGACGACCGTCTGCCCTACGCCCAATCCGGCCACGAAGCGCCCTGCGTAGATCGCTCCCAGATTGCCGTTGGCTCCCATGAAGATCGCAATGCCTATGATCCAAAGAACACACAGCTGACGAGTTGCCCAGATACGGCCAATGCGGTCACAAACAACAAAGGCGCTGTTGAGGTTCATGAAGTATGAGCGATAGGTGCACTTTGGCTGGGCTAGGAGACTTACAAGAGAGCACCACCGACCGAGCCAATTTGCACCATGGCCGATACATTAGCTTTGATGTTGGTCTGCTCCACCGCGCTATACGAGCTGTAATGGATGGTTCGTTTGAAATCTTGAGAGTTGAAAGCACCCGAGATCAACCCCTCGTCCACACCGCGAGCAGCGCCCATCAGGCCGAAAGAGAGGACGGCAAACCATAATTTCCAGTTGAAGATCTCCTTGGGGTCGCCGAGGTTCCTCAGACGGAAAATGTTGACTGGTTTCTTGGAGCCAGCCATTGTGGCGCAGCTGTCTCACAGTGCTGGGTAGGAACGAATTAAACCAGCTGCAGGACCGTTGAGAGGGAAAGGTGTGATTCAAACACAGCTGAAGTGCGTCACGCTTAGGTTTATATAGGGACCATAGGGCGGATGAACTCCGAGCGGCCTGTAAAACACCAACAACGATAGCGTGGGGGGCGTCAGAAAGGACCAAAAGTTTGTGAACGAGGAGAGCGAATCATGTCGAGCGTGTGACCAGAACGGCTTTCTCATTGAGTGGTCTAGAGGAGGAAATGCAGGTTGCCGTGCATGGAAACTGGAATGTCCCCTGTGGACAGTCCGAGTTTTCACGGCGAGCTTATCAATGGAATCACCGGCCGGCTGTGTCTGACTGGCCAACGCACAATCCCCCGCGTTGTCGTGGAGGGACGGTAGGCCGACTGCAAGGACATTTCCCCGGAAATGGAGAAGACTGATGCCTCAACAGGCGGGGAACTCGCGTGAATAGACTTGGCTGGGAGAAGTTCGGTCAACTTCCGCGTAAGATTTCCGAGCAAATGGGTAGATAGAAGGGCACAAACCTGGGGAATTCTCCGTTGACCGGGGAAATTATGGGGTAAAGCGTGGGACTGGGGGGTAGCGGGTCATGAGAGCTGGAATGCAACCATCTTCCCTTGGAAATGTCAGCTCATGGTGGGCGATCAGCAGCTTATTGCTCTTTTTAGGGTTAGTGGAGTGGCCCGCTTATCACAAGGCGCGGCTGAGATCCGGGAGGAACAAACAGACGGACAGGCAGACCGGCACATGCCAAGTACCGAAGATCGGGGGCAGTAAGAGATAGACTCGATTCAAAAAGCTTTGCATAACATGTGAAGTGTAAAGAAGAGATGATGGATGGATTGGGAAAAGTTTATCAGCAGGCTGGAGAGTGATACAAACCAGACAAACCAAGCAAAGTGGAGTTGTCAAACCGTCGCAACTTCTTCATCGCTACATCATCCCCCCAATTACATCATTCTTCTGCTGCACAATCCGGCCTTTTTCACCGGTCCATGACTCGTTCTCCGACTCCCAGACCGGTATCATCGTCATGAACTCGGGTTCTACTATAAAAAGGCCCCGACCAAAGGGTCCTGGTGGGACGATCTTCAGGGTCTTCATACCATCGTGATCGTCCTTCTAGCGCAATGGCGGCTACTCTCCTGCAAGACTCCGTCTTTGGCCATGCAATCCGCATCCTCACTAGAAACCGATGTTTTCGGTATGCCGAAGAGAGAGACTCCTCACTATGGAAACGATATATCAGCTTGGAGAAGTCCGGCCAGATGGCGCACGGGGGTCGAGTAGACTCGGCCATCAAAGTCCCTGACGAAGACCACCACTCGCCCCGCGAACACATGTCGAGAATCCCCTCAACGGCCTGGGAACACAGAGGTCACAATTTCCAAGGCTTGACGGGCGTACGAATCAATCCCGAGAAAGGCAAAGACGTCAATGTCATCGACTGGTGGGACGACAACGACCAAGAGGTGCGTGTGTATCCATCTACATGCATATTGCACACATGCCAACCTAATCCTGTCTAGAACCCCCAGAATTGGCCGCTGTGGAAAAAGGTCTTCGTTACCTTGGAGATTTGCCTCCTGACCTTCAGTGTCTATATTGGAAGTTCCATCTTCACCCCGGGAATTGTGACCGTCACCAAAGAATTCCAGATCAGTCAGGTGGTCGCGACGCTGGGATTGACGCTCTTCGTGGCGGGATACGGACTGGGCCCGTTGATCTGGTCGCCCATGAGCGAAATCCCCCAGGTTGGACGTAACCCCGTCTACATCGCGACCCTGATCATCTTTGTCTGCCTGCAGGTGCCGACGGCGCTCGCCAAAAACCTGGGCACATTGCTGGCGTTCCGGTTCCTGACGGGCTTCTTCGGCTCTCCCGCCTTGGCCACCGTACGTTTCTTCCTCTCCAATCTCGTCGTCGCCCACTAACCCGCACCAGGGCGGCGCAACCATCTCCGACATGTTCCGACCCGCCAAACGCGCCTACGCCATCGGCATCTGGGGCATCAGCGCGGTCTGCGGGCCCGTCATCGGGCCGTTGGTGGGCGGCTTCGCAGCGCAAGCCAAAGGCTGGACCTGGACAATCTGGGAGCTGATGTGGCTGTCGGGGTTCTCGCTGGTGCTGCTAATCTTCCTGCTGCCCGAGACCTCATCAGCCAACATCCTGTACCGGCGGGCGCGACGGCTCCGCAAACTCACAGGACGAGAAAACCTGAAGAGCGAGCCGGAGATTGAAAGCGAGGGTCTGATGGGCCGCGAGCTGGTTATGATCACGCTGGTGCGCCCGTTGACGCTCAACTTCCTCGAACCAATGGTCTTCCTGCTCAATCTCTACATCGCGCTCATCTACGGGCTCCTGTACGTGTGGTTCGAGTCCTTCTCGATCGTCTTCGAGGGGATCTACGGCTTCAACCTGGGCCAAGAAGGGCTAGCCTTCATCGGCATCCTGACGGGCGCCGTCCTCACCATCCCGCCCTACTACTGGTGGATGTACAAGTACCTGGAGCCCAAGTTCGACGAGAACGGCAACGTCGCCCCGGAAGCCCGCCTCCCGCCCGCCATCGTCGGCGGCTGCTGCATCCCCATCTGCCTCTTCTGGTTCGGCTGGAGCGCCCGCCCAGATATCCACTGGATCATGCCCATCGTCGGCTCTGGCTTCTTCTCCATCGGCGCCTTCCTCCTCTTCAATCCCGTGCTGAACTACCTCCCCGACGCTTACCCGACTTACGCGGCGTCCGTGTTGGCCGGTAACGATCTCTTCCGCTCGGCGTTCGGCGCCGGATTCCCGTTGTTCGCTTCGGCGATGTATAAGAATCTCGGTGTTAATTGGGCGAGTTCCACGTTGGCGTTCTTGTCTATCGTGTTTATCCCGATTCCGTGGGTGTTGATGAAGGTGAGTTCTTATTCTATTTCCCTTCGGGGTTTGTGGTTGGAAGGGTTGATGCTGACTTTTGTGCTTCGGATAGTATGGGGAGACGTTGAGGAAGAAGCACAGTCGGTATGCGAGGAAGGATATCTAGATATAGATTTTGGGAGTAAAGTAAGGGCGTTGAAGGGTGATGAAAGGATAGAGAAGGTGCTGTGCTGTACTTCTTGGGAGGCGTACACGGGCTGAAGACATACACGACTCACGAAGTGAAAACGTACACGATTCAAAAGACGAAGACATACACGATTCAAAAGATTTTGATAGATCATCATTAATATATAGCGAATGTACCATATACGGCTTACAGGGTATACCATGGGCTTCTAGCACGTAGATCGACCATGGGTTCAACCTGAGACGTCAACATCTTACCGTGATTAAATTAGATTCAAACAAAGACTATTGTACCTAGCGCTATTCACTTCCTAGAACATGATCTACCCAATAAAGTCATAGATACATGAAGCCAACAAAGAATACGCCAAGCACCCTTCCATCTACCCCCTAAACCTACTCCAGCAAGCAAATCACATCTTCCACCGAAACGCGGGATTCCGCCAGTCGAGATCCTGCACCTGCTGCTGTGACAGATCGGCGAGCGCACGATCGACATCGACCTTCTCGCGGCGGCGATTATCCCAGCGCATCCAGGCCCACATGAGCGCGCCCAGAATCAAGGTCATGGAGGCGGTAGCCAGGTTCAGGCCGTTGCCAATGTGGTAGTCGGGTCCGTCGAAGGGCAGGAACGACCAGGTGGAGACCAGGCCGCCGATGTTACCGAACATGACGTTAGTGCCGATGGCGGACGAGCGGGCGGTATCGGAGACGACGTTGTTGGCGACGTGGGCGTTGCACAGGGCGCCGAAGCTGAAGGCGCCGGCTGCGATCAGGAACGTTGCGCCGTAGCGGACGTGCGCGTCGTCGCTCGCCAGGAACATGATGTACCCCGTGATCATGAGCGGCGGGGCCAGCACGAAGAACGGCAGGCGTCGGTCGAAGCGCCAGCTCAGGAAGGGGAAGAGCACCGTGAAGAACGCGCCGACTACGTACGGCGGCACCGTGTGCAGCTGCTGTGACACCACGCTGTTGTGCGGGTAGATCGTGCGCACGATCGTCGGCGCGAAGAACGCGAGCCCTTGCACTGTGATGTTGTTGAGCAGGAAGATGAACGACGTGGTTAGTGTCGCGGGACTGAAGATCCCGCGCAGCGTCTTCGCTTTGTCCATTTTGTCGAGGACTTCGGTCGTTGCGACGCGTTCGGATTTCAAGCGCGCGATCGCCAGTTCTTTCTGCTCTTGTGTGAGCCAGCGTGCGGTTTCGGGGCGGTCGGTCAGGGTTATGAAGGCTAGGAGGCCCAGCCCGATCGTGATAATGCCTTCGATCGCGAAGATCATGCGCCAGGTGTGCAGGCTGCCGAAGTTGTCGAGGGTAAGGATTGCAGAGGCGAGCAGCCCTCCAAAGGCACCGGCGAGGGGCGCCATGACGATGTACAAGGACATGTAGAAGGCGAGCTCGCGGCGACGGTACCACCGTGAGAGGTAGTAGGCGATACCGGGCATCATTCCGGCTTCGAAGATCCCGAGGAGGAAGCGCACGCCGGAGGCGCTGTGGATTGTGTGCACAAACGCCGTGCCCAGCGAACAGATCCCGAAGGCAACGGTCAGGGCAGGGAGGAACCAGCCTGGACCGACCAGTTTGCAGGCGATATTGGACGGGATCTCAAAGAGGATGTAGGAGATGTAGAACACTGAAAGGACGGCGTTGTAGTCGTAGCCTGTCAGGCCGAGGTCTTTCTCGAAACCAGCAAGCTTGGCGTTTCCTAGAATGCCAAGCGTTTAGTGATGGGAATTTATCTTAAGATTAGAGGGAGTGTGTACCGATGTTGGCTCGATCGATGAAACAAAATAGGTATATGAGCGAGACGGTGGGGAGGATACAGAAATCGATCTTGCGTCGCAGGCGACGTTCCGCTACACGGTCGAATTCAATCAAAGCCCTGCCATACTGGTCGGTGGCTGCGAGGCCTTGACCAGCCGCTTTGGAGGCATCTTGGGTGAAGATGTCTTCGTGGTGTTGAGAGAGACCCTTCTCGGAACCCACTGGATTGTCTTGCATCGCGGGAGCTGACTGTGTCTGTAGACTGTGATGAGGGAGGAGGTGCGTAGATCCTGTGTCTCAACAACCCACAACAACAGCCACAATCACAGCGATTTATAACTTTGGTGTGTGCGCTGCGAGATCTATTATTCCCGAATCTCTCTGCCGACGTGAATGCAGCGGTAGCAGACCTTGGATTCACCTGAACTTTAAGAAGGGAGAAGATGGTCGGGATGTCCGCGTCATGGTTGTGTCTGGCTTCGGCTACGATGTGCGGTTCTTATCATCGCTCCCCCAAGCACCTCATTACGAGGACCCAAGAGCCTCCGCCCAGTGAAAGGGCGTTCCACGTGTCCAGGGACTTCCAGCCGTGTGACTTCCCCCCGGGGCCATGACGGCTGGATATATTGAAGCCAGCCCCTTGATACCAATCAGGTCTCGGGGAGAATATCAAGGTTTGCATGAAGCATAGACAGATAGCCGACGAGTAAAGAAGGGAAGGCAGCTTTCCCCGCAATCTTCCCAACCCCGCAACCCCGGACTGGCCAAGACCTGACTGCTGGTATTTGTCTGCGGGAACTGCTTCTCGGCAGATGGTTTGAGGATAAACCAGTGAGACTTCGCAAGCTCCACGGATGGAACAGCCGAGGCATACGATGCTCTATCTGGAGGATCTGTGACCAGTCAGTCTTCGTGCTTTTGGTGGTAAATGATTTTGAGTGAATGACTGATGGAAAACTCGATTCATACCGTACAGAGAGCCTGGTAGGCGTTGGCAGTGTGACACAGATACATCAGGGGGAAATTGGTACAACGAGACGATGACTTGCCTTTGGTCGGAAAATCCGAGCTGGTCGTACAAACAATGGCTTGCACACTCAAGCGATGGCCCCCGGGCAAAAGGAGAGGGGGCAGTTGGTTCTTTCAGAGGAGTGGCGTTGCCAAGAAACTCTCGCGATGGCAGCCAGGCCCTCCGCCGTGGCGTTGAACCTGTCAGAATATCAGAAGTCGACTTCGTCTAGATTTCCTCTCTGATCGAGACACTTCCACTTCCTGCCAAGCTTGCTTCAAGGTTTCAAGGGTAGAACCTACCTCCGCTCTGTCTTTCCTCTTCTCACTCATGTATCCGAGGCTTGATGGCTTACACTATTTGTGGTGGTTTAACGAGCACCAAGCTCGAAGCAGTTCGCGGTAAATCACCGGGAAAGATAGTAGACATTGCACACCTAGTACGAACATTTGGTAAGAATGAGTCGGAGTCGTTGACAGGCTCCTCGTCGATCAAGATAACGAATATATATTTTGAGACCAATCAAAACAATAATCGAAAGCCTACCACCACATTGAATACTTACCACAGGCTATCATACCCAGTCACATAGAGGGAAACAAAGAGAGACTAAGGTAGTCAGTCGACTTCGTTTGAAGGCTGGAGAGAAATGCAGTGCCAACAATAGTCTACTAGGGAGGAACTGAGATGCAGGGACTAGAGCGGATCAAGCTCGGAATAACGGATTAATCCACGTGACTTACATCCGATCTCTCCGACTGGCGCCCAATGACGCATCATGAAGAAAACATCCATCCTTCTATCTCCATGAAGCACAGATTCAAGATCTGTCAGGGCCACATTTGAGCTGCCACACTGCCCAGTGCCAAATGGCTGACGCCGAGTCCCCGTCGCAACCAACGGGCTGGCGGATCGCCAAGGCCTGTCAGGAGTGCAGGAAACGGAAGATCAAATGTAACGGAGCCAACCCCTGCAAAACCTGTCAAGTGCGTCGGACCCCGTGCATCTACCGCGATGTCATCCGCCAGCGCAAGAAGAGATATCAGTATCAGGAGAGGCCCGAAAATGATGAACTGGGTCCCAATGGGGCCACTCGGCCCGACGAAGGTAGCGCTATGCGGCAATTGTCTCCCGGTCTCGCACAGCAGCCCCGTCGGCGAAACCCATCCGTCAATATGAACTTTAACAATAGTGTGTCAGCCACGCACATGACATCGCCCTCATGCAAGGTCCAGCTGTACTATGGCTCGACCTCGCACTTTGCCCTCATGCACGAGGTCTACAGAGGCTTGGTGGCGAATAACCACTCGGCCGAGGCTGAACGGCCCCCAGGCGAGGTCGAGGAAGCCGGAGCGGGCTTGGACATGTTCAGCTTCCGTCGGATTTTCTTTGGCACGCCCACCGACAATCATGATGCGAACAAGTCAGCCACGGGCCTGGACTCCCAGCTGCTATTTCTGCCTTATGATCTGGCCAAAATCTTTCTCGAACGTTTCTTGGTGACTTTATACAATCTGTCCCCTGTTTGGCCGAAAGAAGAGTTCTATCACCAATTGGAAAAACTGTATGGTCAAGGGCCTGAGGCTCGCCCCGACAAAGGGGCGCAGTCAATTCTGCTCGTAGCAATGGCGATTGGCGCGCTGGCTACCCAACATCATAGCTGGGGCGATACGCTATACGACCGCGTCAAGATGTCCACGCATTCGCTGGACGATGTCGTGAACTTACAAACAATACAACTAGCTCTCATCATGATAAGTATCTTGCTTCGTAGATCCCAATTGGCGACACTGACCTATTTTCCTAGCACGCTCATTACCAAAGTGAACAGGGCCGGCCCAACTCGACATTCCTGTTAATGGGTACAGCCGCACGGAAGGCTATTTCGGCTGGTCTGCACAAAGAAGCCCCAAACGAGAGTGGAGATGCCGCCGACAGCACCGAAGAACGACGTGCCACTTTCTGGTCTGTCTATTTTTACGAAGTGTAAGTGATTTTTCTGGCGTTGTGTCGAGCATCACACGAGGCTGATATTAGCAACAAGCTGGACGTGCTTTCATCTTGGACGGCCATGTTCTTTGTCTTTGAAGGAGGTCAGTATAGCTCCACCCGAGGATCCTTTCTTGCGGGTCCTCACCAGCCTGGGCAAGATCGTGGCTCGATCAGCATGTGAGATGTACGGCCGCCGCCATGAGTCTTTACTGCAAATGTGGAGAATCGCGAGATCCATCGTTGATGAACTCCGTGGGTTTGATACCTTGATGCGGCAAGCACTGGGGTTTGGGTTGGACAAATGTGCTCAGCCAGGAAGTCTTGGAGTACGGCAGATTATCCTGACAACCCGTGAGACACCTGTGTTATAGTAACCTTGCGGCGAGTGCTGACGGTTTCAGTGTACTATCACACTATTCTTCTGACCTTTCGACCATTTCTTATTTTCCGTGGCCGATGGCAGCAGGATATGAAGAGGTCAACTCAGACCAGGAGTACCAAACGACCTACAGAAATCCCCTCCTGGCTCAATGAAGCCTGCAACCAAGCCCTCAGCGCTGCGTGCCGTACTATCCATCAACTATACGAAGCATCGGCGTGCAATGAACTTGTCAGGGTACGTTCTCCCCTGGATCCCAGCCAAGGAAATTGGGGAGCGCTGACCGTATCGTAGGAGTTGCGGTATCATGGGTACTTCCTGGGCAACTCATCTTTTGCGCTCATATACGACCTCATGCATGGTGAAAACCTCGCGGCCACGCACCTTCCCTGGATCCATGCTGCCGTGCAGGGGATGTCATTGATGCGACCCGGAGATCCGATCAAGAGCTCCATCACCGCGATTCAAACAGTACTGAGGAAACTCCATCCGTCGTACGAATGGGTAGCACCCGAGACGACCAAAAGCCAGGTATATGATTACGGACACACATCACCCGTCAAACTACGACGATATCCCACACAGGTTCTCAACCCAGAGCAGAATCCCATGCCTATGGCTGCGCCTGGCGATCCGTCGGCGGCGGGGGCGCTCCCCATGTTGTCTGATCTACAAGGGAACTCTTTACAGGATGGCATACGTATACCCAGCAGTAGTGTGGGAAGTGGGGATGATCTTCTGGATTTCACCCAATCCGACATGGGCTGGGATTTTGATTTCTCCACGATGGATCTGGAGGCTTTCTTCTCAATTAACGCGAATATAGACCCGATGGTGTTTTGAAGGGCCTTTTTTGTGCATGATTGGTCATTCTGACTATCTGCGTCTGTGACATGCGATTTCATTCCTCTGCGGTGCTTGGGCGAGAATCTACGGGCGGAAGACACAATTAGACATATTCGATTGAGCCCTGAGTGCACAAGATTTGGAATAGCTCCGTTGGGAGCAATCGGCTTCTACTCTGCCAGTGACTTGGCCAACCTCGCCAAGGATTGATACAGGCTCTTACTGGACGTGATACATTGAAAGGATCGAACCACTTTCCTGATTCGAGCTGGCAGGTCAGCCTAGCGCTGATACCCGGCGATGATACATCCATCGCGGCTGCGGGCAAACCGGGCGGTAGCGCAGGTTTCAGGTCTCGATCCGCGCCGGCATCCATCCGGTACAATGGTCCAGTTCGGCCCTCAGAGATGCCATATTGTGTAGCTGGACTCGGTTTTGGATATCACAAATTGATCTGTGACTCGGGGTGTGGTGGTTGGTCGGGCTCTTTAATTTGTCAAGGAACGACGAAAAGGACAAGACTGTACTTCAATCTGACGCAAAGTGCTTCCAGACGCGAAGAGCGGGCCCTCCGCTGCATCGTCCCACCTTCACGATGATAGCTCACTTTTGAATTCTGTCTTCCGGGCGAGAGACTCGAGCTGTTGCGTACTTTTCACCCAAGCATAGTGCTCGACTAGGACTCTGTTAGATATTAGCAGTTTCACTGATATGTACGGAATAGTATTGGCCTCTTGTACTGAGTGCATCAATCCGTGGACTGATTCAAGGTACTTTATTCCGCCCATTTACCATACATACTTGCCTCAACACTTGACTGATCGCCCCAAGCCTGGAGTGAGCATGAGTAATCCTGAGTATGTAATCGTAGAGAGGCTGCCTGAGGCCGGGATACCAAAAGCGGAAAAATCTGGCAAGATTGGAACTTACTTGAACTTGTTTAAGGCAGGCAGGCAGTCAGGCCCCAGTCAGACCCCAGTCAGGCCCCAGTGAGGCCCCAGTCAGGCAAGCAGGCCGGCACGGGCGGGAATCGGGATCGCTTCTCTTTCCTGCTCTTCTCTTCTCCTCTTCTTCTCTCCTCCAGTTTTTCCTGTCTCTTTACCTTTTCCGGTTACATCGTGCACAACTCTATCGATAAAGAAAATAGTGGAGTTCTCGCTAAGGTTCTACCTTCATCAGATTTCTTGCAAGCACAGTTACATCCATCCAACCTTCCAGTCAATCCCACCATCCTCTCTCGCGCAATCTCCACGATCCCAGCTTATCGTCTCCCGAACCCGCTCGGGGAACTATTTCCCCCCCAAACAACCTCGCGACGTTTCTCCGATCGATAACCACACAATTCTCCTGCACCAGTCGCAGGCGAAAATTCGGGGCCGAATTCCCCCCACAGGAAGCTTTTCGGCCGTATCATGCGCTCAGAGTCGTCATGTCCGGACCGTGGATCATCAACGGTCGTTCCCGGGAATTGACCAGGTAGAAAGCAAACGCATTGAGCTCTTTGGAGCCGTCGATGATCCCCTTACCCAAGCTGGACCGTATGAGCGGAGACGCTGGATGATCTAGACCCATTTCCGCACCATCTCCACTCCCTCGCCCACTTTGCTGGGGGAGTTTCCTGTTCACCTCCAAAGGGTGGCCAATTTCTCAACTTTATTTCACCTTACTACCTCTACGGCTATCTCGGCCCCTACTCCCACGATATAACCACTCTTCTCCGTGCCCTGTCGTTCGTCCTTCTCCCCATCCTACATCCACCGGAGTCTTCGGATGAGTTCGTACGATCGCTTGCAATGCCATAAAGACTCTAGCCTTCAGCTATTGCGAATAGCGGCGTTCTAGCTCTGCCCTCGATGGCTCCAGATCAGACGAAGTACGTATTTCTTCCTCTTGTCGATCTCCGTTCGTACAGTTTGTTCTCTTCCTCTGTTGCACTTCGCGGTACAGCTATACTGACAAACTGAATCGTCCGAGCAGGGTGTTCAGCTTCCAGGCTTTAGACCGAACGGATGGCCTGCCGCAGCCGCTGTCTGCTTTGTCGTCAGGCGACGAGCGGAACAGCTCATCGGAGCCTTGCCCGACTCCAGACTCGACCCTGTCCGCTCTTTGTCAGCTCGGTGTCTATCAATTGAGCTGCAAATGTGCGTTTGTGGGCTCTTTCGAGAACGGGGAGACGCAGATCATCGCGGAAGCAGGGTCAGCCAATTTGACGGACAACAAGGCATCTGTCCTTGGCATGATGACCCTAGGTCTACGCCTTGGCGAAGGCGGAACCATCGGCAGCCCTGGAATTGCGGAGGACGCATGCAATAACATCATCCGGGACATTGCCGCGCAGATCGACGTCAACTCCCACCCTTTCATCAAACAGCACCCCCATGCCAGATTCTATGTGGAGGTTCCCCTACGCAGCTCATCTGGAGAGATTCTTGGTACATATGGTGCTGTAGACGACCAAGCTCGGCCGTCTTTTGGCGAAGTTGAGCTGACGGCGCTTCACGACCTTTCGAAGTCAGTAACAAACCACCTGGAAACTGTCAGGGCTGCACGCCGCCACATTCAGGCGGACCGGCTGCTCACTGGCCTCACGGCTTTCTCCAAAGGACAGTCCAGTGCACAAAATGCCGACTGGAGCAATCGCCGGAAGAGTATCGCCTCTAGCAGAGTTTCTCCCCGGTCGCTGGATGTGCCGGATGTTGGTCGTCTGTCAGTCTCGTCTACAAGTACTCGCGAAGTTTCGCCCTCTTCGAGTCGACAGCGGGAAACTCCCCAGGAGTCGTCCTTCTTCCAGCATCGGGCCTCCGGCAACACCCAGCCAACTTCACCCTGGGAACAGCAAGGTTCCAGGAAACGATCGGACGACCCGAACAAACTGGTGATTGTGCCGGAGTCAGCCGCCTGCGAGAAAACATTGCAACTGTTTGCTCGTGCTAGTACTTTGTTACAAGAGTGCATGGGATTAGATGGGGTCATCTTTGTGGATGCATCCCGGACCAATTCGCGCAGGTACGGTGTAAAGTCCCCTCTCTGTCGACTAGCTAGCTAACTTAAATTTAGCGGCTCAACCGCCAGCGTAGGCGACTGGGACATACTCTCCAGAGATAGTGACCTGGGTGTATCTAGTCGCTCACCGAGTCTCTCCTCCCATGGACAATGGGCTGAAAGGTCTTGCGAAGCTCTGGGACTCGCCACATCCATCAGAGCGACTGAGAGCAACCAGAGCTCGTTGCGACCAGCATTGACAGAAGGCTTGTTTCATGATCTTTTCAACGCGTGTCCATATGGAGAAATCTTCAATTCGCCGCAGTCGGTCGGTCTTTCACCTCCAAATTCGTTCAGGTGCAGGCGCAACAGCCAATCGCGGAAGGAGAGCGAAGTCACCTTGCGCCAGTCGGTTGAGTCTCGGTTGACACAAACATTTCCCGAAGCTCGGTCCTTCATATTTCTACCCCTCTGGAACTGGAACCGATCGCGCTGGCTTGCTGGAACCTTGATATGGACGTGTGATGATCAGCGTTTGTTTGACCAGGATGATCTTCACTTCTTGAAAACGTTTGGCGACTCAGTTGTGTCCAAGTATTGTCAACTTGAGTGGACGGCGACTGAGAAGTCCAAGTCGGATCTGCTCTCCTCAGTTAGCCATGAACTGCGGTCGCCATTGCACGGCATGCTCACAAGCACAGAGCTCCTGCAATCGACGGGATTGGAGTCCGCTCAGCAGGATATGGTCACTATGATTGAGACGTGCGGTCTGACGTTGCTAGACACGATGAACCATTTGTAAGATTCCTCATTCGTGCCACCCGACTCTACTGACTTTTCCAGGCTTGACTTCACAAAAATCAACAATCTGACGCTTGCGCACAAGAGAACTGGAGGCACCGCAAGCGTATTGGACAGATTGATGACCGATTTCGAGTTGGACACGCTCATCGAGGATGTGGCTGATTCTTTGTATGTCGGCCATCGGTCGTTGATCAATGCTTCCAAGATTGCGGGACGGTACTTGCAGACGGGCACAGCTATGTCAAGTGGGGCTACAAAGACCAGCAATCCTGATGATCTGTCCGTCATCGTTCAAATCGAAGATCTCGGCTCGTGGAATATTCAATCGTTATCTGGCGGCTGGCGCAGAATCGTTATGAACATACTGGGCAATGCCTTCAAATTCACCCGGTCGGGATATATTGAGATATCACTCGCGAAAAAGGTGCAGAGAGATGTAGGGTCAAAGCAGGTCTTCGCACACTTTTCCGTTACCGACACCGGGTGCGGAATCTCGCCTGACTTTCTCGAGCATCAGCTCTTCAAGCCTTTTGCACAAAAAAATATCTTAACTGAAGGTGTAGGGCTGGGCTTGAGCGTGGTGAACCAGGTGGTGACCTATCTAGGAGGGGAGGTTGATGTGAAGAGTACTATCGGCGTCGGAACTCAGGTCGACGTATATGTGCCTTTGGATTTCGTGGCGGAGAAATTCGCGCCGCCCGAACCTATTCCCAGCTCGATAACCCGAGTTTCGTTGGTCGGGTTGAATGCATATGCAGACTTGAGACAAGCCCCAGGCGGACTGCTGCGGCCGGAGGCAAAGCGCAAATTGGCTCTTCGCAGCGCATTGAGCAATGTGCTGTTGAGTCAGCCGGGATGGATGCTGTCGTTCGCGGATTCGATAGATAAGTCGAGCGGAGACATCGGTGTAATTGAGGAATCGGCGTTGAAAGCGCTGCATGAAAAGGGGGGTACCCGACTGAAGTTCAACACAGTCGTTGTGATCGGGGAGCAGGGGGTATCTCTTCCTACAGATCTCACCATTGAAGGCTCCGACGTGATCTATATTCCACAACCGTAAGTCTATCCACTATCTACTAGAGGGTCGCATACTGACAGAACCTAGTATCGGTCCGCGGAAGATCATCCAAGCCCTGCGAAGAATCCACGAATCCCGCCAAAATACCCCCTTCATGGAGCAGGATTACGTTGTCGGCCCGTTTCCCGGTGCACAACGTGGACGCAGCCTGTCAGATGCGTTCGCTCTCGCGAAGGGATCCGAGTCGCCCCCGGTAGTGAGGGAGAACGTCTCCGAATTCGCCCCCGACATGACGAGGGCGTCGCGACAAAACGACTTGCATGTGTTGATAGTCGACGACAACGACATCAACATTAAGGTACGCGGACCTACCCCTGACAACCACCAGACAGACGAGAACCATCCCGCTAACAAACCCTCCCCACCAGATCCTAACAACCTTCATGCGTAAGATTGGATGCAGCTACGAAACCGCCACCGACGGCCTCATCGCCCTCGAGAAATTCAAAGCGTCCCCGAAACGCTTCGATTACATCCTCATGGGTATGCATCGCCCCAGTCCTCCCTTCTTCCCTTCCAGTATTAACCAAGAACCAAAAATAGACATCTCCATGCCCGTAATGGACGGCATCGAATCCTCCAGCAAGATAAGGGAATACGAGGAGGAAACCGCCCGCCCGCGCACGGCCATCATGGCCGTGACGGGCGTGGCCTCGAGCGAAATGCAGCAGCAGGCCTTCGCCGCCGGCATCGATGATTACCTCGTCAAACCCCTATCGCTTCACGACTTGAAACGAATTATGAATATTGCATGATGTGTGTGTGTGTGTGTGTGTGTGTGTGTGTGTGTGTGTGTATGCAGCTCACTGTGAGAGCTGCACCCCGGGAAGTGTGGTGGGGAAGCGGGGAGGTGAGTGAGCGAAAAATAAGTTATAGAATCAGTCTCGGATGGTGTTTAGGAGGGGGTGGCGTCTTGAATGATATCTAGATCTAGGTAGGTCTCTTTGGGAGTTAGATGTGTGAAATAGACGCATTGCTTGCTTGTCTTGCCTTGCCTTGTTATCATTACTCTTGGGGTAAGGCGTCAAGGGGTATTCTCCCGGTTACTTAAATAGTCTATCTATAGTTATCACTAACTACGGAGTCAATAATCCAATTGTTCAATACCAAGAATGGCCTACCCGTAGACACAGGGAATCCACGACAACTCCATCCCGTATCATCTGCTCGGAGCACATTCGTCCATGCACGAATCGCTAGGATGCGATAAGATGGAGACGAATGCAGACTGTAGGGTCCACTGGCCGTTCTGCTCATTCTGTGATCCGAAGAGATATCACGACGGAGCCAGTATTGCCATCAAGCATCGATTGGGCGAGCATGTCGATCTCTACTTCATGGATCTTCAATAAGCCATAATCTTCCAACCATAAACTTCAAAGACATTCAAATTGTACACATCAAGCTAACATTACAGGTATCAGACTCGTCATCACAAATACACACTAAGCAGAGGAAAAGAAGATATAAGATCGCGACAAAACCATGGTTCGGCGCCCAACCCTTATTTCTTCTTGCGGCCAGTCAGACCCAGGGCGTCTGTCAGGGAGGTTAGCCCCAGGTTGCTGAGCAACTTGTCAAGTCCCAATCCACCGAGCAGACCCTTCACCAAGGGACCCAACCCCAGTCCCTCGAGCAAACGACCGACAAGGCCGAGCACACCGCTCAGCAGCAGACCGACGGCCGCGATGATCTGGAAGAGAGGCTCGCTGAGCAGGCCCCAGAGAGGGTTGAGTTCCTTCTTCGCGTGAGGCATGCCAGCAATGCGCTTCTTGCCGTTGTCGATAGTGCGCAGCACCGTGTCGGTGAGCTCCTTGAGCTGGTCGGCCAGCGCATACTCTTCCGGAGACGCCTCGTGGGAAGCAGCGCGTGCTTTGGCAGTGGCGGCGACGTGGCCATCGGGGTCGAGGGCCCGAATGGCGCCGTTGCACTCTTGCAGGATCTGGCCACCTTCTTCGAGGAGGGGCTTGACATCCTTAACCAGCTGCTCCTCGTCTAGCTCCTCCTTCGGGGTGCGGTCTGCCTTGTCAACGTGCTGGGAGCCGTTAGCAAGGGCACTTATCTCATCATTCCGGGGGTGATTCTTACCTCAGAGATCATCTTGCAGATAGGACGAAGACGGTCCAAGGTGGATCCGACAATGGCGCTCATCTTCTTCGCCAGCTGTCGGTCCTCTTGCTCTTTCTTCTGAGCCTCCAGCTCCTCAGGGGATGGACCGGGCTCTTCTTCCTGCACCTCCTCCTGGGGCTCCTCAGGCTCAGGCTCAGGCTCAGGAATGTTTTCAATCAAGGTGCATTCTCCAATCTTGTTGCCATCGTTGTCCACAACATAGCCATTGTCATCGATCTCTTTGCCAATCAGCGAGGGCAGATCACCCGAGGTCAGCTTGCCGATGAGGTTGCCGTCAGCATCGCGCACCTCACCCTCCTTGTTGACCTTGCGGCCAGCCATGGGGTTGATGTTGCGCTTCTTCTCCTCCGGCTCCCAGCGCTCGGCCTTGCCAATGGAGTTGCCGTTCTTGTCGAGAATCTCTCCATCCTCGTCGACCTTGCGCCCTTGCAGGCGCTTGGCATCACCTTCGATAACACGGCCGATGATGCGGTCGGTGCCATCGGTGACCACACCGTCCTTTCCAACCACAGCATTGTCAAAGCCAAAGAACGGACCCTCGGGCTTCTGCTCCTCAGCGCCAGGGACAAGTTCGGCCTGACCGATGACCTTACCATCGTCACCCCAGATTTGACCCTTCTTATCAACCTTGCGGCCGGTCAGTCCCTTTCCGCCAGAGACAACACGTCCGAAGACATTGCCCTGCCCGTCAACCACCATGCCGGCCTTGTTGACGGTCTTGCCTTCGAGAATAGAAAGATCCACCTCCTCAGGCTTCTCTTCCTCGGGCACCTCGTAGGGCTCGGCGCGGCCCTTGACACTACCGAACTTGTCGATGATGTCTCCATCCTCATCCACAGCGCGTCCACGGAGCTTCTTCGCGTCACCCTCGATGACCTTGCCAACAATGTTGCCCTCGTCGTCTTCGACAAAGCCATCCTTGTTGACCACGAGACCCTCGAGACCGGCAAACGGTCCCTCGGGCTTCTTCTCGCGCTCATTCTCGGGGATGAGCTCGACACGTCCGATAGGCTTGGGGCCATCATAGATCTGGCCGTCGTGGATTTCCTTACCAGCCAGCTCCTTCGGGTTGCCCTCAACAACACGACCGATGGGAACGCCCTTGGGGCCGATGACGTACCCGAGCTTGTTGGGGGTGAGACCCTCCAAGCTGGAGAGGTCGATCGCCTCGGGCTCGGGCTCGGGCTCCTCGTCAGGAGTTTCGTAGTACTCCGCCTTGGCAATAACGTTGCCGTGCTTGTCGGTCACATCGCCGTCCTCATCAACGGGGCGACCCAGGACCTTCTTGGCGTCGCCATCGACGATCTTGCCAACACGCTTACCGTTCTGGTCCTCGACCCAGCCGTCCTCGACGACGTGCAGGCCTTCCAGACCGGCGAAAGGTGGCTCATCGGGGTACTCCTCAGGGGCGAGAGTCTGGGCTTTGCCGATGACGTTGCCGCGGTTGTCCCAGAACTGACCCTTGTCGTCAAGTTGAGCGCCGAGAGAAGCAAGCTTCTTCGCATCGCCCTCGATCAACTCACCGACGGGCTTGCCGGTGGCTGGGTTGATGATCTTGCCCAGCTTGTTGCATCGCAGGCCTTCCAAGGAAGATAGAGGAGGAAGCTGCTTCTCCTCCTTACCCTCCTCCGCAGCCTCTTCGGTGACTTCTTCGGGGGCGTCCTCCTGAGCGGCCTCGGACTTTTCTTCTGCGGTGCCCTCGGGAGCACTCTCGGGCACCCCTTCGGTTGCAGCTTCAGCGGCATCCTCGGGGGCCTCCCTGGCCTCTTCGGCCTCTTCGGCCTCGGTGCCAGCCACCTGTGAGCCGGGAGCCTCGGACTTGTCACCGACGGTCTCCTTAGCTTCCTCCGCTTCAGTGCCAGCGGCTTCGGTTCCTGGGGCCTGAGAGCCCGGGGCCTCCGACTTCTCGGCGACGGTCTCCTTAGCCTCGTCGGCTTCAGTGCCAGCGGTTTCGGATCTTGGGGCCTGAGAGCCCGGGGCTTCCGACTTCTCGGCGACGGTCTCCTTAGCCTCGTCGGCTTCAGTGCCCGGAGCCTCTGACTTTTTCTCGCCGACGGCATCCTCAGGCGTGAGCTCTTCGGCAGAGACATTGTCGGCAGTCGACTTGGGGCCGACAGTGCTCTGGTCTTCCTCGGGCTGAGTTCCAGAGGCAGCCCTGGACTTGTCCGCGGCACTACCGGCGGCGGAGCCGGAAGCCTTGGAAGCATCTGTAGGGGCGACACTGCCTCTCTGCTCGGTTGCTTCAGTGGGTGCCTTCTTGCTGGACCCGGCGGCGCTTCCCGCGGCCTCGCGAGCCTGGGAAGCGACGTCGACGCGACCAAGAACGTCGCCGTCATCGCCGAGAATTTCTCCCTGCTCGTTGGGAACCTTACCAGCCAGTTCCTCCGGCTGGCCCTCGACGAGCTTACCGATGGTCTGGCCAGCATCATCCTTGAGCTCCCCAGACTCCGAAACAGCCTTACCAGCCAGGTCCGCGACATTGTTCACAGCGGCAGTAGCAGTGTCGGCAGCCTGGCCAACGGTATCGGCAGCCTCATCCACAATACCGTTAGTCTGATCATGCTGGCCTTGCTCCTGATCCTCTTCCTGCTCATCCTCGCCGAGCTGACTAGCCTCAACACCATCAGCATCCTTGTTCTGGAACGCCTCGGCCAAAACATCGACAATACCAATCAAATCGCCATCCTCATCGAGGATCTCGCCATTGTCACCGACAGTATATCCGACCAGATCCTCGGACTTACCCTCGACCAAGCGGCCAATGGCATTACCATCCTGATCATGGATCAAACCATCCTCACCGACCTCCAAGCCCTTCAAGACGGAGAGATCGAGATGCTCGGGGTGGGATTCGGTGGGACCGCCGTTGACACTGGGAGTGGGCTGCTCCTGCCCTTCCTCTTCCTCTTGCTGCTCCTCCTCCTGGGGCTCTTGCTCCTCCTGAGGCTCTTCCTTCTGCTGCTGCTGCTGTCCGCCAGCTTCACTCTCGCTTCTTCCTACGCGGCTCTGCGCGCGGGAGCCCGACGCGGAGGCCGAAGCCTGCGACTGAGCCCGTCCGCTACCCTCCTTGGGCTTGGGGACGGGGGAGTCGCGCTGCTCGGACTGTTGGCGGGGAGCCGACTTGCCCTTCGGGGTGGGGGTGGAGGGCACGCTGGGATCTTCCTCTTCGGTCTTCTCGGTGGTGCCGGACTTCTGGTGGCGGAGCTTGGGCGGGGTGCCCTTGCGGGAGTCGGGGCTGAGGTTCAGCTTGGAGACTTTGCTGGTGAAGGGGGAGGACATGGTGGGGTGTATTGTTGGGGATAGTTGGATGGATGGGTTGGTGTAGCTTAGTTGAGAAGGTTAAGTTGAGTTGAAGGTAGTTGAGATGCAGGAGTAGTTGCGTGGTAGATGTGAAGAAGTGAAGATGTGGTGATCTTGTCTGTCTGGATAGGGCAGTCACGTCTCGATGGCTCGATTAGGCAACTGCGTGTCGATACAGAAGTATGGTAAGTGGTATCGTATCGTGATCAGAGCAACAAGTCGGTCGTCAATGTATCGTATCAGAGTATTGTATCGAGGGGTACTAAGTCGTAGTAGTAGTAGTAGTCGTAGTGGTGGTGGTGGTAATTAGATAGTAGCAGTCGTCAAACCGTAAACTAATGTACAATCGTAGCTGTGCGCGAAAAACAATTCTGAAATCTAGAATCCAACCCAAGCCATCCTCGACCTCCATCCCCTTTTTATGTTGCCTCTGTGTTCCTCCAAGATATGACGATCATGATCATAATGATGATGATGAGAGCTGTATGGGGGACTCTTATCCACCTACGTCATGCGCGACGAGCTGGGGATGGAGAGAGCTGAGCTCGACGACCGGTAAGCCCTACGCGTCACATCGGGGGGAAGGGATCCTGCAGGGATGTCTGTTCTTCGTATGCAGACTGCAGCAGACTACAGACTGGGGCTGGACAGGGACAGAGCCCGGTGGAGGAGAAGTGGAGTGGGTGCAAATGCCGTCCTCATCATCGCGGATCCACATCCACTCTTCGGCCGAGGGTTCGAGGCTGGCTCGGGGTTAATGGTGGGGGAGGAAGCATTGCGATGGGTGGACGCTGAATTCATGGATCATCATTGCGTCAGGTCGTGCAGGGATGAGTGGTGTTGACAATCGCAGTGACAATGTTGGCATGTCGTATAGGTGTAGCGTTAGGGCACGGGACGTGGTACAGCTTTGGTGGTTGGCAGGCCGCATGCATGATGGCTGCATGGGCGATGGGTATAAAGGTGCGCTTGCGCTTCTGGCTGCGGACTCGCAAGAGAATCAGTAGAGTGAATATTTTTTTTGCTCACTCTCGCTGTCTGTCCTGGCCGACAGAATGAGTGACTATGCTGCAAACTTAGTGACAGATCCACTTCCCCTGTCGTTGTCCCTGGCTGGCCCTGTCCCTGGCACTGGCACTGGCACTTGGCCGGACATGGGCAGACAATGGATCGGATTGTCTGGACGCGCGGATGAGATCATGCCTGGGTCCACTTCATCTCGGAGAATTGATCAAGCCACACAATGCCCGTGCCCACGAGTTTAATTGGAGGTCCCGCCCCGTTAGGTGTCAGCTTTTCTTAGGGCAAGATTGGATGGAGACGAGGGACGGGGGGCATGACGTATCGCCGCGTGGGAGATTGCAGGGCTGGATATGATATCCCCATACCTATCTCATTATGCAGGCTATGGATGATGACGGACTGTGGCGTGCGACAGGTAACAGAAGGGTCTATCGGTACTTGTAGATGGTCGAGTGCCGCTCAACCAGTGATTGCCATCTGAGGCCTGGACTGCTTTCTTCTCCTGACTGTGGAGAAAATTAACCTCCTCAAGACATTTTCCTTAGTCCTGACTCTAAGTCCAGCTAAATCCTGGACATGAATCGCCGACAAGAATCGCTTGACCATGACGGTCTGCCGGGGTGAAGATGGGGAGAATGCCAAGGGGGAACCCGTCAACCAGCCGGATCGCGCACTGACGTAATGGATGAAGATCGCGTGGCGTTCCGCCGGTATCTTTTCCTTTTTGGCGGTCTAGAATACACTCAATATATTCTTAGTGGGATCGGCATCGCAATATGACTTTTGGGTTAGCTGGTTGACTCGTATCCCAAGCCGTACTTGTTGTTCTGGTGCAACATGTAGCAGTCATACCAATACAATTATACGAAGTACTTCAATTCCTACACTCCACACCACACCAAGAAAGTCCACATCCACAACAATACAATGCAATATCAACACCATACTCCCCAATCAACCAAATGACAAATAGATACTTAACGTAGTACAATTTCCCATCTTGCCAAAAAGTGTGTCCTCCCTCACTTCCCAGCCCTCCCACCACCACCACCACCACCACGATCATCACCCTTCACGCTCACCTCCTCAACCATCCACTCAGCCATAGTCCCACCACGACCAGCAGTGGCACCGCCCTGCGCCTTCCGCTGAGAACCCTTCTCCCGAATCTCGCGCAGCACCCGCTCATACCTCTCGAACCGATGATCGCCAGGCACGTCGCGGACGCGGAAGACATGGCCCTTCCGGGTCCAGCCCATGCCACTGCAGCCGGGTTTGACGGCGTTATGGGCGGCCCCGCCGGCCATTGGGTCCAGGAAGCGACTGACCTCGATGTTGCCGGGGCTGACGTACAGGGGTTCGTCGAGGGCGGTGTCCAGCGCGCACTCGGCCTCGGCGGCCTGCACCTCGAGGCTCGGGTCGGTGATCTGGGGGTCGAAGGACCACGGGTGGTGCGCTGCCTCGTCGTCGGTGCCGGACCGCGAGTTCTCCGTCGTCCACGGGTTGAGGAGGTGGCGGTCTAGCTCGGATTCCGGGTGGCGCTGGCGGGGGTGATTTGGGGGTAGGCTGTTAGGGTTGGCGTTGATGTGTGGAGAGCGGGTGAGGAAGAGGGAGAGGTAAGGTTTGGTGTGTTGTAGAGGTGGGCAGGGGGGGAGTGGGCGGATGAGTCTGTTACGCCACATTGTTGTTCTCGATAAGGTGCTTGATTCGTATGAGGATGTAGTCAGTTGTATCTGGCTGGTGTAGATGCGTGGATAGCAGTTCGGATTTCTGTCACAATGCGGACAGTCAGTCTTTATCTAGGGAATGAGGTTGACTTTGGCCTTGAATGCTGACGTCAAGAGACTCGAGCACCAGGAACCATGGGTGCTGCGAAGCTCTGGCCTGTCATAGCGCGGACCGCGCTCGCTACCAGATTCGTCGGGATATCTGTTCAGGACATCTTGTTCTGTCCACTGTTGCTGCTGGGTTGGAGTCTGGTCAATAGTGAGGTCGAGTGGGGCGTGCTGAGTATATCTGAACCGAGCCTGCGACATCCGGCTCTCACTCAGGACACCGCTCGCTTCACCACCCGGTTTTCCACCACTAGCCAATATCAAGAGAATATGCTTATCTCGAACAGACTGTCAGATCATGCCTGAGCAGCCACGTTTTTCGAATTCTACTATCCCAACGTCGAAGCCCAACGATGCCGCTTGGACTAGAGCTTGCATGCCGATAGCTCTATACACAGATAGTACGGACCTTGTCTGTCTGCACATCGACAGTAAGTTCTTCTCTAGATACGTTGATTGACTGGACTAAGAGTGTAGATATACCAGGAAGCTGAAAAAAAGGGGGGTCCGGGGGTTCTCCCCCGGGACGTCAAAGTCTGGTCTGAGAGTGTAGATATGCCGGGCTGAGCACCACTCTGCCAGTGTCTCATCCAGCTACCCATCAGCAACCACCAACCACCAACCACAAAACACGAACCAGCTCATCAGCTACTAAAGAGCCCCTCAGTAATCACTAAGTGAGTGCTAACACACGCCAGCCGCGAACGGCAATCCCGGTAGTCCGAGCCAGCTCATGCCGGTATGCTCTGATATACACCGTAGCCGGGAGCACTGTCGCCTAGCCCTCCAACCACTCCTTCAAGCAGCGGTATAAATACTCCCAGTAAACAACACTCTCTGTGACAGCATATCCTGCACAGCTCCAGAGCAATCCCCTCAACCATCATCTCACCGTCTCTTCACACATCCCAATATCAGCCAACATGACGCGTCCCGCCAACGTCGGCATCAAGGCCATCGAGATCTACTTCCCCAGCCGCGTGAGCAACCCTCCCCCTGCACCCACCTTTGCACCAGAGATATATTGTAACGTCCCGGGGGAGAACCCCCGGACCCCCCTTTTCTTTCAGCTTCCTGGCATACCTACCCTCTTTACCAGAAGAGACATACCTTCTATAACAAGATATAACGTCCCGGGGGAGAACCCCCGGACCCCCCTTTTCTTTCAGCTTCCTGGCAACCTACCCTTCATAACAAACAAGATATGACAATTTCCGGGGGAGAACCCCCGGACCCCCCTTTCTTTCAACTCCCTGGCATCCCTACCCTCTATACCCAGAGATAAAACAATACACTCAAGCGCAGCTAACAAGAATAGTATGTCCCGCAAGGAGACCTAGAGGGCTACCTCGGCGCCAGCAAAGGAAAACACACCATCGGCCTGGGCCAAACAAACATGAGCTTCTGCGACGACCGCGAGGGTACCTACCCCCCATCCCCCTCCCCAGAACAACACCAATTGATACCCCAAAGACTAACAGTAACAAGATATAAACAGCCTATCCCTCACAACGCTCTCCGCCCTCCTAACCAAACACTCAATCCCCGCAAAAAGCATTGGCCACCTCTCCGTCGGGACCGAATCGTTGATAGACCGCTCAAAATCCACGAAAACAGTCCTCACCCAGCTCTTCTACCCAGAGAACCCCGACCTCGAAGGCGTGGACACATACAACGCATGCTACGGCGGGACCGCGGCGCTGCTCAACGCGGTAGCATGGATCGAGTCCTCAGCGTGGGACGGGCGGGACGCGGTGGTGGTGTGCGGGGATATCGCGGCGTACGATACCGCAGACACCGCGGCACGACCAACAGGGGGAGCAGGGTGCGTGGCGATGCTGGTTGGGCCGGATGCGGCGGTGGTGGTGGAGGCCGGGGCGCCGCGCGCTTCGTACATGCGCCATGTGTATGATTTCTGGAAGGCGGATCATGCGCGCGAGGGACCCGTGGTGGAGGGGCATTTGTCGCAGAGGTGCTATTTGGAGGCGGTGGATGGGTGTTATCGGCGGTGGGTGCGGAAGATGGAGGTGAAGGTTCGAAGGGAGGGAGAGGAGGGGGAGGTGAACGGTCACAATTCGGAACGAGGCGCTGGCATTGGCATCGACTCCTTCGACTACTTCCTCTTCCATGCCCCGAATTGCAAGCTCGTCGCAAAGGCCTACGGCCGGCTTCTCTGGAACGATCTTCTCGGCGCCGATGCTGTGCCTGCCGAGCTGTTGGCGCTGGCTGCTGGCCTTGAGCGCGACGACGGGGCCACTCTCGCGAATAAGGCCCTCGAGAAGGAGCTTATAGCCCGCGCGAGGGCGCGCTTCGAGCGGTGCGTGCAGCCCGGCCTGCTGGTTCCCACGCAGTGCGGGAATATGTACACGGCCAGTCTGTACTCCGGGCTGGTGAGTCTGCTGGGCACCGTGCCCAGTGCGGACCTCCAGGGGAAGCGGATCGGCATGTTCAGCTACGGTAGCGGGCTGGCGAGTACCATGTTCACTCTGGTGGTGCGCGGGGACACCACTGCGATGGCGGAAAAGTTGGATCTCAAGCGGCGGCTGGAGGCGCGCGTGCCCGCTACCCCGGAGCTGTGGGATGAGATGTGCCATCAGCGTGCGCGGGCGTATCAACAACGGAACTATACGCCCAAGGGGGATATCGAGTCCCTCCTTCCGGGCACCTACTATCTAGACTATGTGGATGAGAAGTTCCGGAGGACATACAAAGTCAAGGCGTGATGGGCTGTGCGTTAACAGGAGACTGAGCATTGATGCAATGTGTTTGAATTGATTATTGCTTCGCCCAACAAAATACAAAGAGATCTCAGGGGTATAGAACCTGGTATGTCCAACATAGTCATTATAATGTGTATATCCAGCATCATGCAGCATCTGTCCAGCTGCGAGGTCCTTGAAATGCAGCCTCACAACTTCGCCGTCGGCGCAATCGCCTTCCGGCGCACCTGCTGCACAGAAAAATCCACCTCCTCAGCGGGCGTCGGCCCGGCCGCGTCCTCGAACAACTTGCGGCCTACGAGGTCGGACATGCGCATGACGCGCGAGGAGACTGTTGCGCCGTCGCGGCGGTTTTTGCTGGTTTTTTTTTTTCGTGGTTAGCTCCCATAAGCTACGGCCATAGATTTGTTTAATCTGGAAAAAGAGGGGGGAAACTCACCCCTCACGTCTAGACTGCGCAATCAACTCCGTAAAATCCCACAGACGGCCGCGCGGAAGCACCTTGCCTGTCGCTGGGTCACGTTCGGGGGTCCATTCCGGGGCGAGGCGCACGGACGAGGCCTTGGATTCTTTGCTCTTGGCGATGTGAATGATGCCTTCTTCTGCGAAGCGTTGGTAGGAGTTCTTGAGGGTCTCTTTGTTGACGGCTTCGAAGTAGGAGAGGTCGCCTTGGTGGTAGAGAGTTTTGCCCAGCTGGATTTGGTGAGATGTAGGTTAGTGGTGGGTTTGGTGGTGTGCGTGCCTTAGGGCAGTGGAAAGACTTACGAGTTGGGCGTTGTCTTGCGCTTTGCTTAGATCGATCCAGACATCCTTCGGGAAGTCCAAAGGGGGGGTCAGTCCCAGAAGCGAGACGGACCCTAACCAAGACGCTTCGATGAAGGGCCAGATGAGGAAGCAGTAGAAGTCGTAGTTCTCGCGGCCGCATTGGCGCTCCGCCTCGCTGAGTTCGACGGTGAGCGGTTTGCCGGAGGACGGATCCCGGCTGACGGTGATCACATTGTCTTTTTCGAATCCCAGGAGTGTTTTCTCCAGGTTGGTGGTTAGACCTTCGGGAGGAAAGATGAACTCGCCGCGGAAGAGCTGGTACAGTTAGCGGATGTCTAGAATTGGGGCTGAGCGAACGGGGTCAGCGTACCTGCGAGAGGAAGGATACCTGGTTCATCAGATCGGTGAATGACATCCGCTGGTAGGACGGCCCGCCGCCTTGCTTGATTCTCGTGTACATGGCCGCCGATACCAGGGCTTCGGTGATAAAGAGATGAATCGTCATATTGCGGTAGAAGGAGAGTTGGAAGCGGTCTACGGCGTAGTACGTCGGCTCGACAAGTCCCGTTACCTTGCCCACAATCTGGGGTCCCAGGACCTCCAGAGCGCGGTCGACAACGACCTCAGTGGGGTATCTGTAGAAGTGGGCAACGCGGCCTCCTTTCGCCTTGACCCGTTCACAGAGCCATTCAACTCGTCTGACCAGCTCTCCTTTGCCCACACCACGGCCACGAAGGGTGAGCAGTACCGTTCCCACTAGGGCGGTCGGCATCATCACGGACACATTGTTGATATCGGACAACACCCGGTACCCCAGTGACCTCAGGATGCGGCCCCTCTCCACATTACTCAGCTTCTGGCCTCCAATCTCCCCGATCTGGTCAGGCAGCCGTGTCAACTGCTGAGTGATGAATTCTCGCAGGCTCCATGGCTCGTGGAAGCGCACGTCTACCCGACCTAGCTTTAGAGAAAGAACCGACGACGATGAAAGGAAGTCGGCTAGGTTTTCTTTCCGTTTCGGCTGACCCAGCAGCTCGCTGATGTAGGACCTACAGAAGTTATTAGCAGAGACGACCACGGAATCGGGACATGCGTGCCATACTCAGTCTCAAGGACTTTGTCATACTGCGTGCTGACAGGACAGATGATGGTGTCCTCCACGCGACCCGACAAGACACTATCCAAGATAAAGCTGAGGATGCCAAACTTCGGCGACAAGAGCTTTCCCGTGCGTGAGCGGCCACCTTCAATGAAACACTCAAAGTTGAATCCCTGCTGTAGTAGCGTGTCGATGTACGCCTGCACGACGGTATTGTAGAGGGGATCATTGCCAAAACTCCTGCGAATCCACATGGCGCCTAAATCCGTCAGCACACCCCAAATAGAAGGGGCGATCATCCGTCCTACCTGCATGCTGCAAGAACGGGCCCACGACGGGGAAATTGAGGTTATCGCCAGCCACCACGACGGGCAAACCAATGCCCAAACGATAACAGATCAACTGAAGCGAAACATAGTCCACATGGGACTTATGACACGGCAGGAAAACAATCGACCTTTTCTTCCGAGCAGCCTCCTCAGCAACGGACCTCAATCGCAGGACTTCTTCGCTCGATACATGAATGCCTAAACCGAGTCAACGAAGACCACCCCCAAAGCACCACCAAAAAAACCCAAGCCGGGTACATACCCTGATGATAAGCCCTAGTCAACAACTGCGTGGCCACATAATACGCGCCCCGAATAAACCGCTTACTATCCATCTTGCAAATCATATTATCCAGCATGGAGTCAACGACCTCCTTGAGATGACTCTCAATCTCACTCCGCCGATGCACCTTCTTAGCCTCCACAGGCCCGGGATTCACATCCAGAAGCCCCTCCTTCTCCTCGACGGCAAGTCTAAGCTCAGCCAATTCCTTCACTTTCCCCTGCAGGAGCGGGCTGGCGAGGATGCGGGCCTTCATGCGGTCGGAGAAGCCCGGGTAGAAGATGGGCTGGCCGATGACGTCGTCGTAGGCGCGCCAGCCGGTGCCGGACATGTAGAGGCTGACTTCGCGGAGGAAGTCGAAGGGGTTCTCGCGGAAGCGCGCCATGTGGCGGACCAGGTTGCGCTCGGGGATCTGGTCGTCTTGCGGTTCGGGTCCGCCTGTCACGCCGCTTGGGTGGATGGTCAGCTTATTGCCTACGATCTCGAGGTCCGGGGCGGATTCCCCGACTGGGGGGTTGTCGGAGGGCATGTCGTTGGATAGAAGGGTGGATGATGGTGTTTGCGGGGAGACGGTTGTTTAGTTATGGTAGATTAGAATAGAGCTCAGCAATTGAACCATTCAATGAAGTATCAGGAGTAAAACATGATCAGGTGAGGGGAAGTGGATAGGCAGGCAGGGCCATGATCGGAGAGAGAGAGAAAGAGAGAGAGAGGAAGCTCTCTGAGACCGAGAGGGGAAATTGGAGTAACAGTTGAGGAGGAGAGGAGAGGAGAGAAAGGGAAAGGGAAGATCTCCCCGGTATTTCCCCAGAATACCTCGGATGATTTGCTGGTGAGACCAGACCAGATTGAACCAGGTTGCTCACGTGAAAGTTGCAGCGGTACTGTAACTAAAACCGTACTGTTACCATCTTGGTTGGACTGAACACAACGCAGCAGTGATGAGCACGCTCAACTAATCCTCTCTCCACCCCTCAATTTCATCATGCCATGGTTCCGGGATGGACCGCAGAGCATCCATGCGATCTTTTCCACATGGTTGAAGTGCTGTTCTTGCTGTCAACATCACCTCTTTCTGTTGGCCACTCACAGTCACTATACTTTGTGAGTGAGTAGGCAGCTGCTCCACAGCGGGGACACAGAAGAAGAAGAAGAAGCATTTCGCCGCGGCCAACCGACCTCAAGAAAACCACCTACCAGACACCCAACACTCACACCATGTTCACCTGGCGACGGCAATTTTCACGTACGTTGCTCGATCCTACCCCCTTTCCTATCCATCAATCACCAGTTCCGTACTCAACCATTCTAACCACCCTCAAAACAACAGAAACCGCAACCCTCCTCAAAACCGCCGCCATGGCATCCTCCACCCCGAATACGAAAGCACACTCCTTCCAAGTCATCCGCGACGTACCACCCCTCCGCACTCTGCGACGAGAGCTCCTTCTCTCAAACCGCACAGTAGGCCTCGTGCCGACAATGGGGGCACTACACGAAGGCCACCTCTCCCTAATCCGCCAAGCGGCCGCCGAAAACACGGACGTGATCGTGAGCATCTTCGTGAACCCGACGCAATTCGGGGTAAACGAGGACCTATCGAGCTACCCACGGACATGGGACAGCGACGTGGCGCAACTGGAGGCGCTGAATGCCGAACTAGCCACACAGCAAACCCAGACCCCAAACGAAAACCCACGTGGAAAAATCACAGCGGTGCTCGCGCCGACCGCGCAAACGATGTACCCGACGCTTCCGCCGTCGTCCGCAGAGGACGGCGACGGGTCGTTCGTGACGATCACGCCCATCGCCCGGAAGCTGGAGGGGGCGGCGCGGCCGGTGTTCTTCCGCGGGGTGGCGACGGTGTGCATGAAGCTGTTCAATATCGTGGGCGCGGACCGCGCGTATTTTGGCCAGAAGGACGTGCAGCAGACGGTCGTTGTGCGGCGCATGGTGGCGGATTTCCACGTGCCGACTGAGATCAAGATCGGGCCGACTGTGCGCGAGCAGGACGGTCTGGCGATGAGCTCCCGGAATGTCTATCTCGGTGCTCGTCGCCGCGGCGTTGGGCTTGTGCTTTTCCGTGCGCTCAAGGCTGCGGAGGAGAAGTACGCTGCGGGCTCGTTGCGGCGGGGTGAGATACTCGATGCGGCGAATCGCGTCACGCAACGGGTGCTGGCTGAGCAGCAGGGTTTGGGCCCGGCGGAGCGCGCCCTGTTCGAGGTCGATTACATCTCGCTGGCGGATCCGGATACCCTGGACGAGCTCGATACCGTCGACCCGCGCCGTGGCGCGATTCTGAGCGGTGCGATCAAGATGGCCCCGCTGGAGGAGTCGACGCCCGGCGAGGACTGCGGGCTGGGCGAAGGCAAGGTGCCTGTGCGACTGATCGATAACCTAATTTTCCCGCCGCGAGAGTAGACTTTTGTGACTTTTGGTGGCGCAGGAGCTACAATGTTTATACCCGGATGTCGATAAACTGTTGAATAAAATGTAGACTACATATATCACATGCTCAATGCAATGCTCCCCTTTCCCCCAACCCATGAATCTCTGTAAGCAACCCAGAAGGAAAATAGGGCACATCAAGAGGGCTCGGAAGCGCAGACGGGCCGAGAAAAAAAACCCAACTGGACTCTCCGCAATCCGACCGCCCGACCGCCTGCCCGTAACCCAGAGGGGAAGAAAAAAATCCAGGTCTGGAACTGGAACGACGCGCAACCAACATCTCCGTCACACCAAACAAGACAACTCTTTACCCTCCATTTCCTTCATTCCCTTTATTCCCCTCCTCTAGCCTCAAAGTACCAGATAACTCGATCAAAATGGCCGACGACGGCCTCCTCCTAAACTTCAGCCTAGGAGGCGACACGGTCCTGAAGCCGACGACGACAAAAGTAAAAGGCGGGACATGGCGGGACCGACTCAGCGCCCGGAAGATCGCAGCCTCGCGCAAGACACCCCGCGACCCGAACGCACCTAGGGAAGAGAACGAGAACGCGACGCGGAATCCGAACCGGATAGCGGTATCGTCCAGCCGGCCGGTCAAGCGCCAACGGACGGACGACCACTCCACCCCTTCATCTTCCTCGCACAATCACTCCCAGAACCAACAGAACCAGTCGGCGCGGCCGTTTGTATCGTCGCTTTTCTCAAAGAACCCGCTGCCGCAGACGGCGGAGGAGCCCGCTACAAAAGATGGAGAGGGCGAGGATGTGGATGCTAAGCCGACGAATGCGCCGCTGATTGATGGGTTGGATACGTTCACGAACTTGGGGTTGTCGGAGAGTTTGGCGGCGCATCTGTTGACGAAGCTGGGGGTCAAGGCGCCGACGGCGATTCAGAAGGCGTCGATCTCGCAGCTGCTGAAGGAGGAGAGCGATGCGTTCATCCAGGCGGAGACGGGGTCCGGTAAGACGATGGCATACCTGCTGCCGCTGGTGCAGCGGTTGATGACGCTGTCGCGGGCGTCGGCGCAGCAGGATGGGACGGTGGTGGGGAAGAGCGCGTCCGGGGAGCCGATCGTGCACCGCGACAGCGGACTGTTTGCCATTGTTCTGGCGCCAACTCGCGAGCTGTGCAAGCAGATTGCGGTCGTGCTGGAGGGGTTGCTGCGGTGTGCGCACTGGATCGTGGCGGGCACGGTGATTGGTGGAGAGAAGAAGAAGTCCGAGAAGGCGCGGCTGCGGAAGGGGCTGAATATCCTGGTGGCGACGCCTGGTCGGTTGGCGGATCATCTGGAGAACACGCAGGCGCTGGACGTGAGTAATGTGCGGTGGTTGGTTCTGGACGAGGGCGATCGCTTGATGGAGCTGGGGTTCGAGAAGGAATTGCAGGGCATCATTCAGAAGCTGGATGCGCGGCAGCGCCCCAGTCGCATCCCGGGCGTGCCGGCCAAGCGCACGACAATCCTGTGTTCGGCGACATTGAAGATGAACGTCCAGAAGCTGGGCGAGATCAGTCTGAAGGATGCGATCCATGTCCAGGCGGACCCTGCCGACGAGGACCCCGAGGCCAAGAAGAACAAGGACGAGGACGACGCATTCCGGGTCCCGGCGCAGCTCAAGCAATCCTATGCGATTGTCGCCGCCAAGCTGCGTCTGGTCTCGCTGACGGCGCTCATGAGGCGGACCTTTATGCGGAAGGGCTCAGTGATGAAGGCGATCGTGTTCGTCTCGTGCGCCGACTCGGTGGACTTCCACTTCGAGCTCTTCACGCGGAAGCTCAAGGCGGAGGAAGAAGCCGACAAAAAGAAGGAAACGGACTCGGACGACTCCGGCTCCGACTCGAGCGATGAAGACGGCGAAGACGAGCCCAAGGAGAAGAAGAATAGTAAGGCGGCCAACGAGCACGGCACCGTGGCGCTGGCCACCGCGTTCTCGAACCCGACCAACCCAGTGATGCTGCACCGACTGCACGGCTCGCTGCCGCAGCACGTGCGCACAGCGACACTGGGGGCGTTCGCGCGCAACCGGGAGGCGTCAGTGCTGATCTGTACGGACGTGGCGTCGCGTGGTCTCGACCTGCCGAACGTGGACCTAGTGGTGGAATACGACCCCGCGTTCAGCGCAGAGGACCACCTGCACAGAATCGGGCGAACGGCGCGTCTAGGCCGCGACGGGCGCGCGCTGCTGTTCCTGATGCCCGGGTGCGAGGAGCAGTACGTCGACATCCTCAAGCGCGGGTACCGCGACGGCGGCAAGGCGCTGACGCGGCTGAACGCGGACGACATCCTGAAGCGCGGGTTCGGGGGAAATGTGCAGTCGCAGAGCAAGGATTGGGAGGTGAAGACGACGGACTGGCAGATGGACGTCGAGCGATGGGCGGTCGACAACCCGCAGTACCTGGAGATGGCGCGGCGGGCGTACCAGTCGCACATCCGCGCGTACGCGACGCACATCGCCAGCGAGCGCCACATGTTCAACATCAAGGAGCTGCACCTGGGCCATCTGGCTAAGAGCTTCGCGCTGCGCGATCGGCCCAGCAAGATCAATGTGCCGGGGCTGCGGCAGAGCAGCAGCGACGCCAAGAAGGACTTCAAGGCCGCGCGCACCAACGCAGCAGGCGGGCAGAAGCGCAAGGCGGGCGATGACGATGGCGATCGTCCTGCCACGGCTGTATCGTTGGCGGCGCAGAAGATGCGGGCCAAGATGAAGGAGCATATGGCCGGGGCGAACGAGTTCAACATCGCGTAGTGTCGTCGAGAGAGATAGAGCAGAAAAGCATGTACATAATCCGTGATTTGTCGAAGCTCACCCACACAGCCTTGAGCTGGACCGACCCTCAATAGATATCCCACAAAGAAATTTTCCCATCCTTGGACCCAGCAGCCACCCAATGAGTCTGTTGTACCTTGAGGTCTCGTAGACGCTGAACAGCGGCGAGGGAGCGATCTTCTTCCCTAATCTCATCTTCCCCTGGTGCATCCCCTTGCCTACTTCCCCCAGCACGACCCCCGTCCAATGGAACCTGACCCTGAACCTCCGCAAAAGCAACAGCATAACACCCCTCCTTATGCCACCGCAACACCGCAAGCTCCTTAAGCGTCTTACACGAATAAACCCGCACGCGGGAATCCCAACCAGCCGTGGCCAGAATCTTCCCATCAGCCCTGACCCTCAACCCTTGCTGACCCGCATGTTTAGTATTAACGGTTTTAAGAGGCTGGGTCACCAGGCCTGACCCTAAAGATCCCAAAGGATGCTTAACAATACTCGCATCCGCCGCAGACGAAAAGAAACAGCCAGCCGACGGGGCAAGATCCAGCGCCAGCACGGGCTGCGAGTGCGCACGACAGGCGTACAGCTTCTCCCAGTGCCACTGCGACTTCGCCCCGCTACCCTGCCCCGGTAGACAGGGCTTCATACACCGGAAGACCATCACGCGGCCGTCTTCGAAGGCAGAGAGAACGTAGATAGCGTCGGCGCGCACTAGTAACCGGAGAGCCATGACCATGCCGGTCTGCACGTCGGGGTCTGCGGGGATGGTGGAGACGCGGGTCTCGCTTGGGAGGTGGAAGAGGTCGATGGCGCCGGAGTTGAGGGCGTTGGGGACGGCGAGGAGGACGGGGGGGGATGGAGGTGCAGCTGGAGCATGAGCCTCCGCAGTTCCATCTGCAGTGGCCGCAGCAGTGGCAGCAGCAGTGGGACTAGCACCGCTCCCCTCCCCCTCCACCCTTAACACAGACCCAGACCCAGAAGCAGAAGAAAGAAAAGCCATAGAGAACGCACAAAAGTTCAACGCATTAACCGACAACGAATGCAAAAGCCACGGCTGCCTCCCTATACTGATCCCCTGGTCAGCCAAAAGATCAACAGGAAGAACCCTTCCCAGCCCTCCATCCCTCTCATCAAGCACCGAAAACACCCAGACGCAAAGCTTGTGGTCCCTTCCATGCCTGTACGAAAGTCAGTCAGCAAGGCCCTTCCAGCAAATCCCAGCCCAGCAAAGCCATCCTAAGCTTAAGCTGGGAAAATCACCCCCGCATCCAAATTAAAAAAAGAGGAAAAAGTAAACTCACGAATAAACCACTGTCCTCCCCCCAGCATCAACCCCATCACCAGTACCACCGGGAAAAAAGAAAGCAGTAGCTTCGAGGATCGCGCCGTCGTGCGCTTTCCATGCCGCGGCGGGGCGCTTGGTGCCTACGTCCCAGACAATCAGATACCCGGCTGCGTCGCCGGAGAGGAGGCGGCGGTTTTGGTGGTAGAGGTTTAGACTGTGGATTGGGGTGGCGTGGCCGCGGAGGATGTAGGTTGGTGTTGCTGGTTTTTGGAGTTGGGGTTGTTCTTGGGGTGGGGGTTGGGATTGGGGGTTCATCATGGGGTTTTAGTTTGGTTAGATAAGATCAGGTTTATGAGGTGAGTTGGGGGTGAGTGAGTGTGAGGTGTTGCTGGGTGTGTAAAATGAGTGTATGGACTAGTATGTAAGTAGTAGTGAAGAAGTAGGTTCGGGCTCGGATGTTCAATTTAGGACTCCTGCGGATATCACCAAAGCCGGGGCGGGTCTTGGCGGTTCCCGACAGCGGGCCGATTCGCAGCTCTTGCACTGGACTTGGAGTGACGGACTGAGCTTAACACCAGGAGTATGCATAAGGATAAAGTGAACAATTACAGCCTATGGATCTGGTACAGTCAGACTGGCTCTGGCCTAGGCAATGCCATAAATAGCATCAAGGAGAACATCCATGATAAAAAGTACATACACTACACTTCTAATATTCAACAGAAGCCTATCATACATAATACACATCAAATAACATCAAATCTCGCTAGATATCATGCAGCCAAACGCTAAGCTAAATCCCACCATACGGATACTCGCCAAACGAGCGGTGCGGCGCAACATAATGATCCTGGTACGGATGGTTCTCCATCGAGAAATCCGCCGACGCCATGAGCGGGTTGACACCCCCTGACATCTTCAAATGGGGCGCAATATGGCTAGGACGCAAGGGCTGGTCATTGCCGAACATCGCCACGATGTCTTCCGAGGTTGCCATGGGCGGGCCGTGGTGACTACTCCAGCCCCAGGCGGCTTGCAACTCGGTCTTGACGTTCTCCGCTCTCCACCCGGTCTCCTTGATGATGTTGTCAAGGATCTCGAAGACCTCGTGCTGCGCTTCTCGCGTGACCAGGCATCCGGCTGCGATGGCCAGAAAACGGATGGACAGGCTGGCAACACCCCTACTAGCAGTTAGCTGATAGCAACGATAATCACCTTGAAGACTAGAACTACTCACCGATCCTTAGAGTGCGCGACAATCCCGCAGATATCTCGTGCGTGACCCTGCTGGACAGTCTGCATCTCCGCACTGAACTCAGATTCAAGAGGGTTCGTCTTGGTCAGCAGGATGCGAGTGGTGTGGTACAGAAGTTGAGCCACGATTGTGGAACGTTTGATGAGCCTTTCCGATTAGTTAGAACGACCCAAGCGCCGAGCAAGATAACAAGCACAGACTCACCATATCTCTGGAAACACAGACTTCGAGTTCGTCTGCCAGGAATGCAGATAGCCCACTGGCATCATAGAGCGTGGCACAGCCCGAGCCCACTGATCGCACCATTCGTTGTAGGTGCACCATTCCTGGTATCGCTGGCTCACCCGTGTGTCACTGATTGGATCGTCCACGCCCTGGCCTTGGCCCAGCAACGACCGGAAATTCGCAACCTTGGCGCAGATGAAGACCATCTTGTGGGTCCACGCCTCCTCGTTACCGGCCACACTCGGCTGGGCCTGGTCCAGATCTAGTTCAACACCCCAAGAGTCTGGATTCCAGGAGAGCGCCCAGTTAAAATGCAGACAGCTGATCAGCTCCATACTAACATTTAACCAGAAACATGCGCCACCCAGACCGGGTGTCTTCGCGTCCCAATTGCATTCTTTGATCAAAGCCCTCGCTCCGGCGATATGGCTCATGCCCTGGATGGGTCGGCCCGACATCAGCTCGTAGATATTCAAGAGAATGGCTGTAGTTGCACACAACGCAGAGTCGCGATCCGGATCCTGCAACGAGCGTAGCAGATACTGAGAAGCCTCGTCATGGAACAGTGCAGCCTTTTCCTCTCCGTACGACGTATTCACATGGAACAGATGCCGCGCACCACAAGCCAAAATAGCCTTGAAGAGCATTGGCTCCTCCAACGCGTGGAATGGTAATACATTAGTGAACTGCCCAGGTTAGCCGCGTACAAAATGCACAAAGCACGGTTCTCAACTCACATGTTTGACCGCATCCATAGAGTCCATCCACAGCCCAACCTCATCGACAAACACCTGCAGAAGAAAAACCTCCTCTGGATTATTGAGACAAGTATGGTTGGTCGAGTTGATATGACCATGCCCCGTCGACCGGAAGGGAGCATACGAGGTGTTGGGGTCGGGGAACAATGGAACATGGTGCGAAAGACTGGTGAGCGATGCGCCGATGTTGTCGGACTGGGCGTTCCCGAAACCTTGCATGTAGGTGTCTTTGGACGTGATCGGCGTATTCGAGTTCAACGACCCCGTCGTGCCTTGTTTCTCGGGTTCCTCTGCGACAAGCGGAGGGTACCTCTCAAACCCACCCACATATTCCGACGCTATGATCCGGGATTCATCCCGAAAGGTGACTCGGTTCCCTTGCAGACGCACCACACAGTGCGGAGGCGTCGCCGTCTGCGTGTCTATAAAGTTCAAGCGAATACCACGCCTGCAGATCCTGCCCGACTTGCGACAGTTCTGACATTGGTGCAAAGCCTCATCGCACTTCAGATGCCGTTCGCGACACGTCAAGCAACCAGTCCTGACTCGCCTGGGCTTCGTTGTAACCTTGCCTTTCCGTCTGCTGATCGACCGAGGCGTGTTTAAGGAAACACTGGTCGGGGTCGAGGCCGCGCCTTCATCCGATGGGGTGGGTGTAGTTCCTTGAGTAGTGACTTCGGTCGCTAACAGGGGGCTCTGCTCGTCCAAGTCAAGGTCGGGAATCTCGACCACAGTCCCGGGATCCGCCAAATCCAGTGCGATGTCGAGGTCCAGTGTCGGCAAGACATGGTCGTCGACAGTAGAGGCCATCGCGGGCTGGTCTTATTGAGTGTTGCCTGTGCTAGGCAGTAGGTAGTCTGTTATCCCAATGCGATCATCTACAAGCCCCGAATTCAGCCCCAGAGACGATGACTCTGCATTGTGACAATATCGACGGCCGCCGTGAAGGCTATTCCTGATCCGCGCGCCAGATTCACATGTGGCAGCGGTAGTTCTTGAGAAGGAAGAGGACGACCGGCGAGCGTCTGCTGTATGGAAGGATTCACAAAAGACCAAATACTGAAAGTTGAATGCATGTGCATCGGCCGCTGGGGTGAGGATCGGAAACCGTATCGAGGACGCTGATCTAATTAACCAGAGGTTAGTCTGACAGAGTTACTTGTAGAGTATATTGAGTTCTGGGATCTTGGCGAATACCAACATCGAATGAAATGCAGGTCATACAGCGCCTCTGGAAGTCTGAGGCTCTGAGCAATTGGTTGGAAGTGAGCGTGGCCGGCGATCTCGAAAGATTTGCGGGGGAGATGGAAGTTCTGCCTGCCGCCCGCCCGTGGAGAGCTAAGCCCGGTTAGTCTAGCGCAAACGGAAGCCTTTCCATACAAAATGATCTCTCAGAGAACCACAAACAGGGCAAACAAACTTCACTTCTATAACCACATCATTACATTTCTCTCAGCCTAGGACTCTAGTACCTACGCGATATTTCATATACTTTTAACAGATTTCAGCCCTCTATAGGGTCGGTCACACAGCTAAAGCCAAGTCGCTATATGCAACCTCGAGTCATGAACCTTTGACAGCATCAACGCTGCAACTTTACTCATTACGGCCATCAGCGAAGTATCGTTTCTCGCAGGCCCTGTCATCGATAGATCATACTGTTTCAAGATCGGGGGGAGCAGCTTATGCTTTGTTTCCCAATCTCGGTAGACGAACGCGGAAATGAAGCAAAAGCATGAGTGCGGCCCATACCGCGGCGGAAAAGAAAGTCACCCGAAGTGCGGCAGCATAGGCCCCGATCACTGTAGAACAGTTAGCAACCTCATTCAAATCAGTGCTGGAGTAAAAATCACATACCCTGGTGTTGGCTGAAGGGGTCCAGCTGTGCGATAGCTTGCACAGATTTACGCACAAGCAAAATGACCTCTTCCTTGTTGGGACCAGTGACCCTTTCGTCGAGCTGATACAGCAGACTGTTCTGGAAGATCCAGCTGCTGGTGGCCACCCCCATGACGGATCCCAGGTTCCTCCACAAGCCCAGGGTTGTCGTAGCCACGGCCTGGTCTTCCTGGTCGGAAGTCGCGAGAACCGATACCATCAGCGAAGGGAATGCGAATCCCTGGCCGAGACTTGACAAGGAAACACAAATCATGGCAACCACATCCGGTGTTCCAACTCCCATGGTCGCGGCCGCTATGCCTCCCAGAAGGAGGGAAATGTCACCAATTATCACCGTCGGCTTAAGTCGCTTGGTCCACGTGATAATGAACCCGGTCGAAACACTTGAAACGGTCACGGCAAGCGTAGAAGCGAGCAATCGAAGGCCGGAATCTGTCGGCGAGGCTAGTTTGACTGCCTGAAAATAAAGAGGAGCATTGAACACCATAGTATTAATCGAGATCGCCCCGAAAAAGTTACCGAAGATGAGGCTTGCACGCGGCTCTTGCAGCAGAAGGGAAATCGGCATGACTCCTCGCTCGACAGTACGCTCGTAGCGCACGAATAAAAACGCAAAGACGAAGAAAGAGACCAGGGAGGAAATGACAATTGGATGAGTCCAGCTGAACACATTGCCGCCTAGGTTAAGCCCCATGATAAGGGTAGTGACTGCCAAAACTAACAGGAATGACCCCATGAGATCGATGTTCTTTAGCAACTCGACAAAGGTCAAACGCTCCGTCTTGGCCCGTTTCTTACCCAGGTCGGCGGGCACCGTCCAAGCCGCTACAATGAAGTAGACGAAGATGAAGGGTAGCTGTACCAAGAAAGCGCCTCTCCACCCTACCTGGTCACATATATAGCCACCAAAGGCAAGCCCAAGGCAGCCTCCGAGACCAAGACAGAGGTTGATGTACGACTGGTAGACTCCCCGATACTCCAGGCGTACCAGATCACTAGAGAGAATCATTCCCATGGAAAAGACGCCGCCAGCGCCCATGCCGCAAAACGCGCGGGCTGCGATGAAACTCATCATGCTTTGGGCAGCGGCACACCATGCCGTGGTGAGGAAGAATACTGCGATTGCAAAGAGGTACACGGGCTTTCTTCCTACAGTGTCCGAGATGCGGCCGAACAGAGGCAGAAAAGCAGTCGAAGTCAACAGGAATGCAGTGGAAAGCCAGGATGCTGAATTTGAGGCATGGAAGTGGGAGGTGATCACAGGGTGGCTAGACGCCATCAAGGTGGAATCGAAGAATCCGATGATGTACCCCATCATGACGCCACCAAAGATCAGCCAAAAGCGCATTGGCGAGACGTTCAGGAAGCGAGAGGCATAGTCTCCGGCTTCTCGCTTCTGACCTGCTTCCGGATCATTGCCATATTTCACATCATCTTCCGGTGCTGGGGGGATCGTTTCAAGGCTGGGCTCAATATCCGGCCCTTGCGGAATCGAGGCGACTTTGGTCAAACCAAGCAAGGCAGAGCTATCTTCGACGGTGAGAGCGAAGGGCGATAAGCTTGAATCGGCCTCATGGTTAGCGGCATGGGATGTATAGGGTGGCTGAGAAGGTGATCCATTCAACAGAGGTGTTGACTCTGTGGCATTGTCTGCCACATGAGGGACGGCCATAGTAACCACAAGACGATATATGTGTGCAACTGACTAATTCTTTTCCAATGAGTCACTGAAGGACAGAAAGATATAAAACTTTTCTTCAAGATAATCGCAACAATAAAGAGAAAACCTTTTTCGCGTCCAAAACAGAAAAACAAAGCAAGAAAGAAAGAAATTGGTGACCAGCCTTCAGTAAGGATTGCGAAGGCTCTTAACTGATGGGTTCAATAAAAATTTATAGAGGGAGAAATGGAGCCAGCGGCGCTAAGCATGCACGGCGCACGTCGGATCCATTGAACACGAGGCAGTCAAGGATGAGTCGACGGCTTGAAGCGCTCTAACCTTTATGACTGTACTGAAATTGTATTCCGCAAAAAGAGGGGAAGAAGGGAAGAAGGAAGCCGGAAAAGCTCCACCTGCTGCTTGGAGAAGGATCTGTTGCTGTTCGGAAGTACTGGTTTTGGTTTACAGTGATTTGAATTGGAATATCTGGTGACAAGAAACAAATCCCGCGTGCATATGCAGTATGCACACCCCCTTCCCAACCATGAACCATGTCTTGCTCAGATCCGATGTCGGTCCACAATCTTTTTAAAGTTGTGTTGGGATATACCGCAACCCTTGGAGGAAAAGTGCCCCAATAATTGGTTGGCGATGGAGTCATCAGACCCAGAATTTGCATGTGGCTCTAGACTGGGTTGGGCTTAGTGGCTGGGGCTCTCCGATGGCCATTGCCGGTATTGAACTAATTCAACTAATCCAAGCCATCAATCCCCTCGTTTCTCACCGTCTTATCTCTTCTCTCATTATCTCATTATCACTAGAGTCGCGGGGATGAAACCTACCGAATATGCTGAACGATTAGCTGTGCGAGTCTATCTCAAGTTACCCCGCTTCATGGATCTTCGCATTGCCGACGGTGACACGGTCAAGCAACAATGGTAACACAGTCGATCCAAAATACGGGTAACCTGTAGGTCGATGCATGGGGAAGCATGTCTCGTGGCTTGGTACTAGTTTCTTTGCTTCTTTTATCTAGCTGAAGCACCGCCCAGCAGCATTCTTGCGGGAACTGCGGAAAAGGAATCACCTCTGCTGTTACTAAGCAGTCCACAGCGCGGGGTGAGCACAAAGATATAGATCTGGACGCAGGAAGAGAGCCAGGTTCAAATTCAAGTATCTTAGCATACTGAATGGATATCATACAAGGAATCCAACCGTACGCAATCATTATTCAGCCCAACGCGTCTCCTCTTCCAGCCTTTCTCTTTTCTCACCTTTCGCGTTCTCAAGACCCGTCTTCCTCAAGTCAATAAAGAATCGAATCGCTTCATCAAAGGTCTCATTGCTCGTCCAGCCATCTCTCTGCACAAGCCCGTCGATCTTTTCGAAGAAATCCTGGACCACGTTCCATCCCTCGGAATCCCGCAAATGATCCCTCAGCTCAGCATCAGTAAAATGGATCGGGCAGTCTCCCTTGATCCCCAATTCCGCCCAATGTCTAGATCGAGTTAGACACCAACTTACTCTGGCTTTGGATGGAAAAGTACCTTTCAAAGTTGATGAGTGCCTCCCGGAAAGACACAATATCATCATCCCACGTATCGCCGACATACTCCAGTGGCAAGCGCCGCGTTTTTCCATGATTAAGATGGAAAGTTTCCGCCAGATCGGGGTTGGTCTCCTCGGTTTCAATGAGGTAGAGCTGGAGAAGAGTTGACTTGAAGATCTGCTGCTTGATCTCGGCTTTACGCTCATCATCGAGATCGTCGAAATTGGCGGGACGCTTCAGTAATATCTCACCTGAATAGTCCAAGAGTGGAGAAGGTTTGGCTTGGAGGAAAAGGGGGCCCGCCCAGACGCTTTGCCAATCGATCACTGATGCTATGCGGTTATTATCAACGAAGATGTTCGAAGAATGGAGGTCGCCATGCCATACGAATGATCGAAGAAAGCGCTTGTCGACGTCCACAAGGTAAGGGGCAACATCAAGAAATTTCCTGAGAAACTGAATGTGTGCTTCGGGACTGCGTTGGGCTGTGGAGGCATTAGGAGCATCCTCGATTGTTTTCAATTTTGCGAATTTCTCTATCCTTTGGAATTCCGACGGCCCAGAGACAGCGCATAGTCCACAGCGTTTGTCCCTGGTACCAGTCAGCAGAGGACCAGTCTATATCCTCAGGATAGTTTCTTACAAGGTCCGCGAGAAATGTCCATTTGTGAACGCTCTCCATTCAAGAAACCCCTGTCAGAGAGGATCCAATGGTGAATTTCTCGGCCACTACTTCCTTCAACTCGGCGGGCACATCACTGGTAATCTCTGCCAGGACCGGGCCCTCAACCGAGTCGTTGGCAAAGTTAGATGCTCCCATATCTGGCTGTCGTGTTAGTCCTCGGCACGCAAGCAAGAGTACACAACAGAGGCACATACTGCGAGAAAGATATTGAGGATAGTCTAAGCTCAATCGAAACGATTTCCTTCATGATAGCGAGTTTTGAATCGGGTGTCAATTCTTTCCAGACCTGGTCAAGCTGTGTCCCTGCCACCTCCTCCATTATGATATATTCAGAGCCAACTGGATTGTTTGCAGTAGCACTCCAATCATACACTTTGGGAACAGGAACCTGAAAAATAGTCCGGGCATATTGGGGCATTAGCCTCGTAAATACCAGGACGAATCGTCGTTTGGCTAACTTACAAGCTGCACTGCGGCAACTTCAGAGACAATTGTGTAGAAAGGTGGCCCAGCATTTGGATTTGGGATGCGAGCCAAAACAATCTTCCCATCATTCATTTGAAGACGAAATACTTTATTGTATCCACCTTCCGCCAGCTTGGCCATAGAATCGCATCTGTCGGACCCCGGAGCTTTGGCAGCAGCTTTTTGAAGCTCAGCCACATTAAAGACCTTATATCTGGCTCTCATTTGTTGCTCCTCATCCCATAGCCAGCGGCCACTGGTATAGCGGAAGAAGTCTTCATAGTCTGCCTTTGTCTTCTTGAGGGTACTCAGCCCGCAGACAAAAAAGTCTCTACCGCAACGCTGAGATGATCTGACTTTTAGACTTCCGCGCAAGGATAAGCAGGGAGATAGCATCTGACGACGCGAACGCGGAAGATGATGCCATGGAGAACATATGGCCTTAGCACTCGAGCGGCTCAAGGCAGATAGCATTGCTGGTTGCGATGTCGGAAGAAATGAGTTGTGTACTTCCTCTAAACGGTGCAGTCATCACTCCAACGGCCTGTATTCGCTGTTGATTCGCAATGCGCTTGGCTGTTGTGGTGACGCTTGCGGGTATAGATGTTATTTTGCATAATCCGAGCACATTCACCTACTTGAATGGCATTGGCAGTTCTATTCGAACTTCAAAGCGGGAATATATCTCTATAATACCAGGTCTTCGATTATATAGAACTACAAAGGTGCTGGCTCCACACTATTATTCTTGATACGGGAAAGCTACAGTGGGAGGAAATTAGTATGCACCCCCCGCGGAAGGAGTTCGGCACTTTTCCTAATTAATTCTAGCCCATGGTCATTCTGCCAGCTTCTTCCCATACATTTTAGGCGGTGTGTGGGCGCTTCGGGGAGGCGGTATATTTCTCGAACCAAACATTGGGGGTTGCAAATTAATTTCCTGCGACTTGTATCCGGGATCAGAACGATAAGGCGGTGGCGGATCGCCGGCGCTTTGTCATTTCCATAGAAGAACACCACTCCACCATCTACCATCTACTTATAAATACCATACAGCTATATCCGAGCTGAGTTATCAAGAAATACTCTAGCAGATCACTGTCCTTTGAATCCTACCCGCCCTCACACAACTGTCTCTACCTACTTATCTACCCTAACCCACCAACGACACTTAACCCCACACCCCAACAACAATGCATCCCCGCCTCCGCATCGCCGTGCTAGAATGCGACACCCCAGTCGAAAAGGTCGACCAGAAGTACGGAGGCTACCGCGGGGTGTTCGCACAGCTCCTGCATGAAAGCGCCGCGGCGCTCAGCCAGCCGGACCCGGTCGAGCTGGACATTTCCGGCTGGGACGTGGTGACGGCGCAGGAGTACCCCAACCTGGACGAAGTAGATGCCATCGTGTTATCTGGGTCAAGTAAGCACTCCTCCCATCCCTCCCCAATTAGTGTCCTGCAGCAGCACCGTACTTCTATCCGGACCAAAAGCAACCCACATGAACTACACTGCACTGCACTACACCACACCCTTACATAAACCCCCTTCCCCCCCCCCCCGCCAAACCCAACCCGACAAAAAAAGGCATGACTCACAAAGAATAGAGCACGACTCCTTCGAAAGCCACCCCTGGATCCTTAAGCTCCTGGACTTCACAAAACAAGCCTACCTGAACCCGCGCGTCAAGGTCTTCGCCATCTGCTTCGGGCACCAGATCCTGGCGCGCGCGCTCGGGGTAAAAGTTGGCCGGAACCCCAAGGGCTGGGAGCTTGCGGTCTGCGAGGTTGATCTCTCGGAGAAGGGGCGGGAGCTGTTCGGGCGGGAGAAATTGGTGAGTTGACGCTTTCTTCCACTTCCCCGATTTGCTATCGTGATGAGGAGAATGAGCTCTCACGCCCCTCACACTGAAATGATTAAGTTGCATGGTCTGGCATACGCACTGACCTATGTACTCTCGCAGCGCATCCACCAAATGCACCAGGATATCGCGTACGGGTACCCGGATGAGGTCGTCTCGCTGGGCTCCTCGCCGCGGTGCGCGGTGCAGGGCATGTATATCCCTAAGAAGTTGATCTCGGTGCAGGGTCACCCCGAGTTCAGGGAGGATATTATGAATGAGTTGATTGAGTTGCGGACGGCTAGTGGGCTGTTCTCCAAGGAGCTATCAGAGGATGCGTCGCGTCGGGCGGCGTTGCCGCATGATGGGGTGGCTATCACGGTGGCATTTTTGAAGATTGTGCTTGGGGAGTAGAGGGTGCCACTTCACCTAGACTCGGAGCTCATACCTGTGAGATTTAGATGCATAGACGGTGTCTTAGATTTGTTGCACTACACATCGGAACTTGAAGATACTAGACGCGGATCCATAAGTCGGGATCCACTGATTGATTATTTATTAACAGTCCATCCCTTTGCCGTTTGACACTAGTCCTGCCTGCGTAAGTTCTTGAAGACATCCAGGGTATGCTCCCAAACCAATTTGGTGACCCCTTCGGAGCGATAGCGGTCAAGTAAGGCGGTATTCTTGGTATAGGGCTCACCATCCCAATGGAGAGAGTAGGAGCCACTCCCCTCAACGCCGTCAACCCCGACTGCCACCTCTGGCGTGGATGATTGCTCGGGAGCAGGGGCATTGCGGACTCCACCCAAGCCAGCATTGCGGGGCGGAAATCTGGGACTCGTGGCTGCATACAAATGGCGTTCTCCGCTCTCAGCCAGTGGTACCATCCAGGGCGAATACAGCGCCATAAGGGCCAGCACAAACGGTTTGACCAACGGGCCGAACCCGCTCACTAGGCCTGTCTTGACGATGCCGGGGAAGGTGTGGATGAAGGCTGTCTCGGGATGCTGCCGAGCCAAGTGCTCCATGGCGAGGGTGGTCATGGTACTGGCGTGCGTCGCGCACGCCTGCAACCCGTACCGCTTCTCCAGGGACAGATCGTCCAGATCGAGGGGTCCCTCATGGCCCGCCGAGAAGACATTGACGACGCGGGACAGTGCCCCCGGGGTTTCCTCCGCCGCGGCCTTCAACAACGGAAGTAGTTGCATGGCAAATCGCATGCGGGAGTAATAGTGCAAACTGAATTTCTGATCCAGCCCCTCGCTGGTCTCTATAGAAGATTGGGTAGTGAGAGAGTGAGTGAGTGAGCAGCAAGTCGGCTTTCGTCTTTCGAGCCCAGAGAGAACCGGAAAGATTTTGGATGAGTGGAAGACTGGAAAACTTACCAACTCTTCCTGCCAGGTGATCATGCCGGCCGTCATGAATAGTAGATTGACCTTGTGCTCCTTGGCCATGATCTTCGCGCATGCCTCGTCTGCGCCTCTCAGGAGAGCAATGTCCTGTTTGATGAACGTGGTGTGGCCCTCGGGGTTCAACTCCCGGAGCGCCTTCAGAATCCGACTGGCTTGGGCCTCATTGCGTCCGATCAAATACACTCGTGGTCTATCGGTCTTCTGGACAAATTCTCGCGCGGTCGCCTCCCCAATGCCGCTTGTCCCGCCGACTGCCCATGGCATGGCCCAATTAGCCCTACTTGTCTGGGGAGGGTACTGTAGGAGGGTGGTTACATACCGAAGACGGCCACTTGGCCCGGTCCTAACCGTGCGAGAGAAGCGTTGTTCGCCCGAACTGCTGGCAATTGGACCATGACGGTGTAATTTCGGTATGAATTCACCGCTTCGCAACCAGAGGGGGGGAAGGGGGAAATGTTGAGATGATATTTTCAACACCCAGATCAAGGACTTGAGGAGACATTATTTTATTTTTAAGTCATTATTGTGGCATGATTACAGAGTTCTTGGATGCAGGCCGACGACGTGTGCATGCCAAGAAAAGTCTCTAGTCGTTCAGCGAACTCTAAAGACGACGGGCCGGACTCAGAGTGGAGCGAGGGGCCCTTCTTGAGGCATTTGCTGTGTTGTTACTAGTAGTTAGAAGCAGAATTCATTAGCCGTGCACTGTGCCAAGTGATGGCGGCCCACGCTAATTTGCTTAGCTGCAATCGATGTATCGTTTCGGTATTCCGTGACCGTACTATATTCAGCAATATTGAAGATGACACCGTCCAGTGTAAAATAGTAGAGTATGAAAAATTGAATCGTTACCCATCACTCCTGCAATGCACCAAGAGCCATGCAGTGAGTGAGTGACCTGTGGAAATCAATACAGTACAGCCCATGCCATATAGTTCGGAGCGTTCCGGCGTCAGGCGAGCGGGTCGGATCATTTAACCATCGGCCCGAGCCCGAGCCTAGCTCGATCCAGCTAAAATGCTTACATCGTGTGGATCCGTTTGGACGCGCAGCATCTGGACATTAGTTTGTATAGTCCGTGATGACATCCCACCCTCCCTTGGCCCCGGAGATGGAATTAACGACGGGGCTACCACAAGCGACGCAGGGCAGTTCCAACACAAGACTGATACATATATCTCTTCGGAAGGTTCACTGTTTCCCGGCCTACTTCAATCTCGATTCCTACCTCCAGCGTCTAGGAGCAGCAAAGCAAGATGACATCTGCAGCTCTCGCCACCGATTCCACAGTGTTGGAAAAGCAACCGCAATTCAGCTCAGCGACTTCGACCGAGGACCGATGGTCGCAGAAACTGGGTCTTCAGGGTGACGACGAAAGCGACGAGCCGAGCGACAAGCCATCATCCTCAGAACGTTCCGTCCAAGGAATCAAATGGGTCATTATCGTCTCTGCTATCCTTTCTAGCACCTTTCTCTTCGCCCTGGATAACACTGTCGTCGCCAACGTCGAACCTGACATCATCGAGTCATTCGGCGAAATTGAGAAGATGCCTTGGATTGGCGCTGCCTTCAACTTGGGTGGCATCGCAATCCTGCCCTGGGGCAAGGCGTACGGCGTGTTCAATGTGAAATGGCTCTATCTTCTCCATGTCGTCCTATTCGAAGCCGGGAGTGCGCTGTGCGGTGCCTCGCCGAACATGAACGCTCTGATCATTGGGCGAGTCATTGCGGGTGTGGGGGGCTCGGGCATGTACGTGGGTTGTATCACGTATCTCGCGGTCACCACCACCGACAACGAACGACCGATGTATATGGGCCTCCTGGGTCTGATCTGGGGAGCCGGCACCGTCCTGGGACCGGTCGTGGGCGGTGCCTTTGCGGACAGCAGTGCGACCTGGCGATGGGGCCTCTATATCAATCTTGTCATTGGGGCGATCTTTGCCCCTGCCTACTGCTGGCTGCTTCCCAGCATTGACTTCCAGCGATCACTGTCCGTTCGGGACAAATTCAAGCAGGTGGATTTGCTCGGAATCGCAGTGTTCCTTGGCGCCATGGTTTCTTTCATCATGGCCATCAGCTTTGGTGGCAATGTCTACGCATGGAACTCGCCTACCGAAATCGCCCTCTGGGTGGTGGCAGCGGTCCTGTTCCCCCTCTTTGTGGCCACCCAGTGGTTTCACCCGTTTGTGGCCAAGGAATATCGGTTGTATCCCTTGCACTTCACGCGCCGCCCATTACTGGTCAACCTGCAAGTGCAGCTTTTTCTGCTGTCCGGGGTCATGCTGGTATGATATGTCCTGTCTCCAAGCCACCGATGGGGCCTTACCGGCTGACCAACAAACGAACGCGCCCAGGTTTCGGCCTATGTGATCCCACTGTTTTTCCAGTTTGTCCAGGTAACGTGACCTTCTCCCAGCGCCTCCTTCCATTGGATGTGTCCCCCCAAAAAAAGCCCTAACCGATGCCAAAGGGTGATTCTTCCTTGCATGCTGGTGTCCGCCTTTTACCATATATCTGTATGGCCGTGGTGTTTTCGCTCCTGAATGGCGGCTTAATGGTAAGGTCTGGTCATTGTCTCCCTTGGTACATCTTTGCCGGCATGACCATCACCATCGGAGCGGCCCTGATGACTCGGATCACCGTCGGGTCCTCAGCCTCGGGGATCTACGGCTTCACGGCGTTGATCGGTATAGGGGTCGGTGCGGCTGTCAATGCGGGTTATCCCATCTCTCAGTCTCTCGTGGACCCCAACGAGGTCAGCAATGTGGTTGGCTTCATGAGCGTTGGTGAGTTAGTTCCCTCTTCGTTCTCATTCTCCAGTGGAGTGCTGTGTGTCGCTCCCTTCGCTTCTTGTTTTTTTAACCCCTTTACACAAACCCCCCGCCAGCCCAGTCCTTCGGCATCACCACTTCGATTGCCATCTACGGCTCGATCTACCAGAACCTTGCCGTCCGGTACGTGGGGGCTATCTTGCCTGAAGCCTCGGCTGCCGAGATCCGTACGGCGACCGCCGGCATCTCGAGCTCCCTGTTCGATTCTCTGTCGCCTGCGACCCGTCAGAAAGTGGTGGAGGCCATTGTCATGGCGGTGGCCAAGGTCTGGTATCTGGTTCTAGCCTATGGAGTGGTATGCTTTGTCTTGTCGTTCGGACTCTGGGTAAGTCCCGCTTCATACATACATATATCTCTACATTTCATAACCTTCTTTTACTTGGTCGTTCATCCGTGCTAACCATGCTAAAAACCAGAGGGCCCGTTTAGCATCATCATAAAAAAGTGATGGAAGAGATCCAAAAAGGTATGTAGTCATCATCGAGGGTGGGGGCTGGGCTTTGGAGGTCGGCAAGATCTCTGTCTGGGCAAACGGATCGTTCGATTATCAGTACTACTAGATTTTCTATTTTCTCTTTTGTTGCTCATTGCGGGCTTGATTAGAATTATGGAGAAAAGAGACAGTAAGTTCAATAAAAAAACACACTTCCAATTCCACTTGTTTGTTCGTGCACAACTCTCTCAATGTACAGGTACAGAATATCAATGATTCGTAGTGTGATGTTCGTGGGTGGTGGATGGACTATGCGGGTAGAGAAGGCTTTCACGAAGTACTGGAAAATCCACCGGTAGGGCACTAACAAGACAAGATAAGACAAAAAAGTCGGGATTCACTTAGAAGAAATCACTGGTTTAGACCAGGTACGAGTGGAATTACTCGGAATGGGTGCTATTGAAACGGTTACAGAAATATGCCGTTCTGTTTTGTCTGACCTCATAGGCATGTTTGGAAGGGAACGACTCAAGTTCTCTGATCGGCTTGCTCTTGCGAACTGCATTGTATGCTATTCTCTTCCATCAGCATAGCCACGACATGTTTATCTCGCTGCCAAATCAACACCGCCGCAGTGCCGCCCGGCCCGAGCAGAACGGTCAAGATCAGCGTGGAGGCCATTTGCTTCAGCCATGCGCCAGCGACCGTGCTGCGGTGAAGCATGCTAGCCCACAGGAAAACGACGGCGTAACCGATCCATCGGTCCCACTGCGGCCAGATACCGTTTCGCTTGTCCCTGTTGCCAGGGCACAGAGTGCCGAACGGGCTCCTCCTTCTCCTCCTTCTCCTTTAGAGACTAGGTTGTGGACGCGTACAGTAAGATCGGTCGGCTCAGCAAAGACAATGGTGAATGCCTGCTACCCACCTGGGGAATGGGGTCCAGATCGCAATCGCAGCTTGCTGGATGGCATAGCCCCAGATGGGAAGGCCGATCAAGGAACTTGGGATTAAATAGTCCCCAGTTATCGCGGCGGGGAGATACCGGAGTGGTCGCCTAGGGGCCGCGATGAGGGCGAAACGCTGGGATGCTGTCGGTCGTTCTGCTGCTGCTGCCGCTACTGCTGCTTCAGTCGACCACAAGCAGCACATCAGGTACATCGGGCCAAAGCAGGCCAAGGTCAGGTTTTGCATGATGGTTACCCAGAGCGCCGATCTGTTCCTCATGTAATGAGTTCGGAGTTCAAGTTATATCTCAATGTGTTTTCCTCTCCCCGTCAAAAGTCTGGTATAGAGAAAAATAGATATGAGTTGGGTGGTTCAATTACCTGGACGTTGCCTTGGCCCGGTGAGCAGCACGAGATCCCTCCATCCAGAAGAGGGTCCATATACTAGCCAACTGACCCAGAAAGTAGATACCAACGACGCTGATGGCAGGATGGCTTCCATCGACTGCCTGCCAGAAAAAGAGGACCTTGATAGTGAGCCAATAGTCCACGAGCGACAGGCGGGTGAATCGCAGCCGTAATGCTTCCTTACATCTTGGGGAGCAAAGGCATTCTCATGTCACGGAACTCTAGCATATACACGAGGGTGCCGTCCATGGCGGACATACCCCATGTGAGGGCAAATGCCACGATTGACAGCAGCACAAAGACGACAGAAGAGATGCTTGGGCCCATGATTGATGATGATTATGGGTGGTGATGATCATAGGTGCGTCGAACGAGAAGGGATAAAGATGGAGCCGGATTTATACGACTGGTAGTTACACATAATACACGAGTAAAGACACTGCAATTACGGTCACAGTGCAACGATGCAACGAGGCACTCACTAACCTGCCTGGAAATTGGGACATATTCCGTACAGTCAGCATGGCACCGAGGCCAGAATTGCGAAGGCGAGATGACCGAGAAGAACCGGACCTAATCAGCGACGCATCTGCTACTAGAAAAAGGGAAAAAAAAAAAAGGAAAGAAAACCCATAGATGAAGGGGAACGAAAAACTTACTAAAGTTGTAAAGCTCTAGAACGAGAAGGAAAGAAACAAAATCAGTTGTCTGTGTATTAAGTGTTAAGCGACAAAAAAAGCTATATTATATATAAATCTTAATAATAAAGGTTCCCATCCTCCTCGTCTACAACAACCCGCTAATACAAGAATATAGACAAGTTACAATACCTGGCTTAGTTCGCGAATCCATCAGCCCTAGTCCCGCCAGCTCAGATACTGGTACTCAGGGCGATTAAGTCAACATTAGAGCAGTCTACGGATCGGATGATCTGAAGTTGGTCGACGACGAGAGCTATCCACCGACATGCCTCCCTGGGTATGATGAACTGCTTCTTAGTGAGCAGCTGGAGTTAATTGCTGTTATAGAAATAGGTACGTGCTCATGGATAGGATAGATCTCGCGCCGCAGGTGCAAATAGAATGAGATAGATTACCAATAGGCGTGATCAGCAGGCTGTCGACTACCGGGGGACATCCAGTATCCGGTGGATTTCTGGAAACTGATTATGGAAAAAGGCACTGGCCGTACGCCCAAGGTGCCAGAGTCCTGTTTCAACATCAATGCTTATCTTTACCCGGACAATAAACGACCGGGATCGTTCAACATTCCTGGAGGCTATTTTCTGAACAGCTCCCTCCAGGAGTCTAACCCAATAATGTTCAATATCTCCCCTACTGAGGCCATGTGGATGATTCCGCAGCAGCAGATGCTCCTCGAAGTAGTCTATAAGGCGTTGGAGGCCGGTGGCGTCACGTTGGGAGTAATCATTGGCTCTTCGACCGCATGTTTTGTAGGTAGCTTCACCAGCGATTTTCAGCAGATGTCGTTCAAAGAACCCGATTTACGCCACAGCTACGCCGCTACTGGAGTAGATCCGGGTCTGATCAGTAACCGCATCAGTCATGTCTTTAACCTCAAAGGACCTAGCATCACAGTGAACACGGCCTGTTCGTCTTCAGTTTATGCCTTGCACAATGCCTGCAATGCCTTGTGTAATAAGGAATACTCTACTGCAGTGGTAGAAGGTATAAATCTTAATTTAACCGTCGACCAGCATATAAATACGGCTAAATTGGGTGTTCCGTTCCTGACATCTACCTGCCATACATTCGATATTGCGTTAAACGGATATAACTGCGCAGACGCCGTGGGTGTCGTCTACCTGAAGCGGCTCAGCGATGCCATTGAGGATGGTGATCCCATCGATATATAGGGTAATCTGATTATCCACTGTTAATGTGTAAGCTCAATCCGCCTTCTCATGATCAACCTGGGAGACAAACTCCATACTAAGCCCAAAGATGATTGCAGTAACGGAAAGGTACCGGGGGTAGGCATTACGCACCCAAACTTGGAGGGTCAAGAACGAGTGATTCGCCACGCTTATCAACGGGGTGGTAATCTGGATCCAAATCTGACGAGCTACTTCGAGTGTCACGGCACTGGCTCCCCTATCAGTGATCCTCTTGAGGTCCATGCAGTGGCCAAAGCAATGAACGAGACGCGCGCCCCCGATGAATAGGCTCTGATGATTGGCGCGGTCAAAATTAATATCAGCCACAACGAGGCAGCAAGTGGCCTGTCGGCGTTGATCAAGGCTGTATTGGCTGTGGAAGCAGGTGTCATCCCACCTACCAGAGGAGTGGTCACCCCGAATCCAAAGAGTATATCTTCCCCCCATCTCCTCCATCTCCCCGTTCTTGTAGTTAAATCTTTATTACTTTTATATATCATTTTCTCATTTTTATTTTAAAATAATCAATATACAGTTTTTTTCTCTTTATTAAATTTATTATAATAAATAATTTATCCAATAGATTAAAAATCACCTCTAATCATTTATATATAGTAATTCTTTATTATGAGTTTATAATTTTTATGTGATTAACTAAAATAAAAAATAAATATTATTATAACTAATACTAATAGATTATTCTTCTTAATAATTATTATCTGCTATTCAGAAATAGTAAATACCAACCCCCTCGGCCTGCTATGAAACCTGAAATGATGAGATGTATAGATAGGTATCATTGCTACACAGAAGCGCGTTGGTATCTGGAAATAGCTAAGCACATACACACACAAACATATAAAGCCCTCCACCGCTCAAGTCCCGAAAGATATAACCCAGTACCACTCCCACGGCACACATACTCGAACACAACCCCCAAAATCACCCCGTAGCCGTAGGATCCTCACGCTCCAAAAACGTAGGATCCATATCAACGCGCCTCTCAAACTTCTTCCACCAATCCTGAAAACTCTTCAACGGGACGACATCCTGACCTTTATCGGACGACGCAAAGCTAGCCAGGAAATTAAACGCATTACCGATGATGCGCTGCGCCAGGACCTTCGTGCTGATGGGGCTGATGTTGCGCGACGAGCGCGCCAGCTCCAATGCACCGCCACTGCTGGAACTCTCCGCTTCCAGCGCGGCGAGCTGCGGCGCAACGGCCTGGACGGGCTCAATGGAGATGCCCAGTGTCACCGTCGCCGTGGCCGCCGACCCGCCTGCGTCCAGCATCTCGTCTTCATCTTGTGCTTCGGTGCGTTGCTGCTGTGAGGAGGAAGGTGGGTGGACTTTGAAGACGGCGGAGGGACGCTCGTTGGCTAGGGCGCCGATGAAGCGGAATTGTGCGGAGTCCGGGAATTGGATGTAGATTGCTGCGGCGGTGTCTGGGGGCAGGACGGTGCCCGGGAGAAAGAAGACCACGAGCTCGGTGAAGGACGGGTTCTGCGGGAAGGTGAAGGCGTATTTGGTGGCTTGGCCGTTCGGTTGGCCGTCCACTGCGACGATGTCGGTCAGACATGGCCGGCCGGGGATGATGACGGAGAACATGATGGGTTGGTTGGTTCAATTAGGGCCGGTCGTGGAAGGGATTCGAAGACATGAAATGGTTCTTGTTGGTTATAGAGGTGTGATGTAAAGCCGTACTCTAGACAGCGAGATCGCTGGGCTTTCAATGCATCATCGTGAATATGGATGAGGTGAGTTGCTCGCAGTTATACAAAGAATTTCCGGGCGCGTTCCATGATGGAATCTCAGAGAAGCTTAAGATTCGGCCGGGCAGTGACGAAATTGCCCTTATCGATAAGGGTTCGTTTGTTTCCCCTCCGGCCGCCCTCGCCGGTTGTTGCCCGATAGGGGAGACTAGAGTTAGCCGGGTAGTAGACTAACTACTGAATGCTGCGGGCTGCAGGTTGACAGCCTTTTTCTGGGGATGACTCAAGCTTAGATTGTTTGTTGGTTGCAATTCAAGATCTACCATCATTGTCCTCCAACCCCGCACAACATGGGCAAGTCTAATCTAGAGCTGGTCAAAGAATGCGACCGGTATTTGCCTTGCCTCTCTTTCTTTCTTCTCATTGAATGCGTGCTTACCCATGATACCACGGTAGATTCCCGTATTACCAGGACGACCCCGCATACTATACCGAGCACTTGAAGAACCACCATTTCTTCAAAGTGACTGGATGCGATGCGGTGCTGGGATACATCTTGAACTCGGTGATCCAGAAGTTCCACTGGCCTGAAGACTGCTGGGCAATTGACTCCGAGAACCGGACGGTGACGCTGGTGACCGCTCCGGATGCCACGGCCGAGCAGCGGAGTGAACTGGTCGCCCGGACTCTGGCCGAAGCGGTAAAGAGGGACACATTTGAGATCCTCCGGGGCTGGCGTGATGAGCTGTATCCCGTCTACGGGCCCAACGGCGAGTTCCTGCTCGAGATGGAGCGATCGGCCAGCCCGCTGTTCGGCATCGTCTCCTACGGCGTGCACTCCACGTGCTACGTCGAGGACGCCGACGGGATGCGGCTCTGGATCCCCAGACGCTCGCGGACAAAGCAGACGTACCCCGGTATGCTCGACAACTCCGTGGCGGGCGGAATGAGCTCCAATGAGCACCCGTTCGAGTGTCTCGTCCGGGAGGCCAGGGAGGAGGCTTCCCTACCAGAGGAGGTGACGAGAGCCAACGCTGTAGCCGCCGGTTGTGTCACTTATTTCTACGTCCGGGGGCCCAAGGCTGGCGGGGAGACCGACCTGGCGCAGCCTGAAGTGGAATACATCTTCGACGTGAAGGTCGATGCCGACGTGGTGCTGAAACCTGGAGACTCCGAGGTGGAGCAGTTCCACTTGCTGTCTGTTGAAGAGACAAAGAAGGCCCTGGCCAATGGAGAGTTCAAGCCGAACTGCGCAGTGGTCCTGATCGATTTCTTCATCAGACACGGCATCCTGACGGCCGAGGACGAGCCGGATTACCTGGAGATCCTGGCCAGGATACATCGCCGCCTGGAATTCCCCACAGCATCGCACGCGACAAATTAAACAAGCGAGGCGGACGCAAGTATATAGAGCAGAAAACAAGATGTGATAGGAAGAGATATTTAGTGGTTCTATTTGATATACCCATTCACCAATCGAACGCCAGCGCTGCAATCGAAGGACCCCAATCAATGCAAACAGACTTTTTTGGACTACCCCGGCCGCCAATATCGGGCCAGATAACTCTTACAACCCAGGAAAGGCAGGGTTCAAAAATGTCAAGAATCCTCGTCTTCATCTTCATTTCTTCAGGAGAAGGTACACGTAGTCGATCCTCAAGGGCGCCAGCTTCTTGTAGGGACCTTCAAGGTAGAGCAACAGTCCGCCAAAGGAGATGAAAACAGCCCTGTCGGTGTAAATTAGCCACATTTCAGGCATCACCAAACGCCCTCCGTCTCGCCGATGAAGGCGCAAAGAGACTTACATGTTTCCCGACGTCGAGCCCTCCTCGAACCGGTAAACCTTGCCATGGCAGACATAGTCGTAATCGTTCGCCAGAGTCTGCTCGCCCATGCCAACCTCCTTCCAGCCCGTCTTAGCCCCGGAGTCATCCTTGCCATCCAGCGACAGCGTCGACGCCAGAGCCATGTTGAGCGACTCGCCCACGGCGCACGGGTACAGCTCGGTGTTGACATCCAGCGTGAAGGTGGTGAAGTTATCCGACGAGGTGCAAGTCAAGCGCGACACGCGGTCGTATTTCTGCTGATTGATCCCCGTGACGGTGAAGGTATCCTCGAAGAGTAACGGGTCCGACATGGTGGGCAGTTTGCGTTTGCGATTTCAGGAAGACAAATTCCGAGCGTATCGTAGAATATCCCGATCTTCGCGGATCTCTCGGCTTTGCGCGTGTTGCGAAGGCGTAAATGTGATCGGTTGTTGGAGAACGCGGGGAGCGAGTGAAAAAGAAAGAAAGAGAGTTGAATCCGCGCGCGGAAACCCGACACCAGCTTTTTTGGTAGAACTTTTAGCGCCGCCGTCGCCGCCGCTTTTACTTCCCTCCCGAAAGCTGCTTGCCCCGCAGCCCAAATCTTTGATGTAGAAATTCCGCTTCCCCCATCCCTCCCCCTCAGCTTCATTGGTTCTCAGCAATTCTTTGTGTACGGCAATGTCTTTTCGCAAGAGGAATATCGGTTTGTCTACTGGAGGCGACCGGCCCGCCGCGCTCGTCAATTCTGCGGTCCCGCTGCAGCAGCCTGCCGTTCCAGAATCGACACCGGGCGTGCGCCCCTCTCCCGATGATGGGCGACCGACGACTTCGACGGGCACGCCGTCGCTTGATAATATCCTTGCTGGACATGGAGGTTTGCCGATTGGGAAGGCTTTGCTGGTGGAAGAGAATGGGACTACGGATTTTGCGGGGGCATTGCTACGGTACTATGCCGCCGAGGGCGTGGTGCAGGACCACAGGGTCCATGTCGTGGGAATGCCGGAGCAGTGGGGGAGAAGTCTTCCGGGCTTGATCGGGCCAGCTGATGCCGTGGATGAGAAGCAGGACAAGCGGAAGGGCGAGCGGATGAAGATCGCCTGGAGGTACGAGCGTCTAGGGGAATTCGGAGCAGGGATAGCAGGGTCAAGAGGTAAATACTAATCGCGGCGTTCTCATTGAACTGCGTTGACAAAATACAGTGCCTACAGCTACCCCCGGAGACCAGAGTCCAGCGACGGCGGACAGTAGTCCGGACAAGCGACCTGCGTTCTGCCATGCGTTCGATTTGACCAAGCGACTCACACACCCTTCGATCACCAACCTCAACTACATCCCGCTGCACCCGTCGAACGAGCCCTTGTTTACAACGATCCACAAACGCCTTCAAGCCGCGATCGCGTCGAGCCCTCCAACCACCGTCCACCGCATCGTGATTCCCTCCCTACTGAACCCCACGCTATACCCGCCCGAGTCGAGTCAGCCGGACAGCGTTTTGCCGTTCCTGCATTCCCTGCGAGCCCTGCTCAATACGTCAGGTGTGCGAGCCACGGCCATGATCACAATTCCACTGTCTCTTTACCCGCGAGCTTCGGGTCTCGTGCGATGGATGGAACTCATAAGCGACGGCGTGATCGAGCTCTGTCCCTTCCCTCACTCAGCCGACGCGCTCGCCACATCAGGCGCGGCCACATCCCACGAGGAGCCGCCGCAAGGCATGCTGAAGACCCATCGACTACCCGTGCTGCACGAGCGTGGTGGCGGAAGTGATCAGAACGTAGGCCAAGATTGGGCCTTCACGCTGAGCCGGCGGCGGTTCGAGATCAAGCCGTTCAGCCTTCCGCCCGCCGAAGGCGACAAGGAGGGCCAGGACGGCGCGGTTTCCGGCGGGATGCCCAAGAAAGCGGATCTGGAGTTCTGAGCCGGGGAGTGGGTTTTCCGGCAGAAGCGCGCCCCCGATTATTCCTCGTGGTCCGAGTCTCGCAGCATGTCGTCCAGCTCGATCTGCTCGGACATGGCGGGTCCGGTGTTGACCATCGTTCGGAGATAGTGTCTACCGTACGAGTCGATGCCCGGTCCGGCGGGCGACGCGGAGAAATACGATCTCACGCGCCGGTTCCTAAGACAGGTGGAAAGACCAAGCCATGCTTCGAGGCATTAAGAGGTGTTTTGGACGGGTGCCTTTGGTGGAAACATACCTAGAACCAACAACAGCGGCGCAAAGAACACGAAGAATAGAAGCCAGAAGAAGCTCATTTCGAGGGTAGAATGCTCCACACGTGTTATTCGACACTGGGTTCTGTTGGAGCAGCCAGCTTCAGCGACGTGGACGGTGGTCCGTGCACATTACTAATCTTCCAAGCAGACGCTAACCGGGAAGGGAAAGGTCATTCTCGGGGCAGCTCTTTAAGAGCTTCCATCCCACGACAATTAATTTTTCCAATTCCTGCTCTTCCGACCACGACCAACACAATCTGCACCACATTTATTCACAGTCTCTGGACTATTGACGCATAGTATGCTTGTGCGTTTTGAGTAGATGGTAAGCCTCACCTTTTTGTCTTGCACATGACTATCTATCTTCTTGCATGATTATATAACTACTATAATCTGTCAATCCCCTGAAGCTCACTAATAATCTCATTAAACGAGCATATGTGATTGAGAAACGTATTGAAAATGACCTGCATTTACCTCCACTGTTTTATTGTCTGCATCACTTGATGAGGTCCAAGCTAACAGTGCCCCAGTTACAGCAGAGCAATACATTCAAATAGCCTCCCACACACTATAACAAAAAGAAAAAAAAAATAGAGATGGAATCTGACCCGATCCTCCTCCCCATCCCGATCTCGTATATCGCGGGTAGCTACTTTCTCTTCTCAATCGATGCCGTGACGTATCTGAGACGCGAGCATCACATCTGCGGCGTGCTCAGCGGCACGCTGCCGCAGATCCCCCAGCAGAATGTGTTCCTGGGGTTGCCGTTGAAACTGATGCCCGAGGAGGCCCGGCTGCTGGTGGAGAAAGGTGTAGCTTGCATTGTAGACGAGGTAAACGCCCAGAGGGCCGGCATGCGCGCCCTGGCGGCCGACGACCGCCGGAAGTATCTGCGTGAGCTTGAAGCCCAGGGCGCGCATGCCATGCGCCTGCAGACTAGTCGCAAGGAGCTGCAGCGCGAGGAGGCGCTGCGGAAGGTCCAGGCGAAGAAGGCTGCTGCTGCTGCTAAGAAGGCTGGTGCTGATGCCGCTCCCGATGCTGCTGGTGCTACAGCTGGCAGTGACGAGCCCGCCGCGACAGAGAATCCCTCGCGCCGCGCCTCAACTACCACCACCAACTCCGAAATCCACGCCCCCTACGGCACAACAATGGGCATCACCCCCGCCACCTCCCACCCACCCCTCCCGTATTCCCCGGCGACGTCCACCACCCTCCCCCCGCCCGCCGTGCCACCCTCCTATCCGCTCTTCGCCCACCTCCACGCCGACGGCTACTACCTCTCGCCGGGCCTGCGCTTCGGCTGCCAGTACCTGGCGTACCCAGGCGACCCGCTGCGGTTCCACTCGCACTTCCTGGTCGTCGCGGCCGACTGGGACGAGGAGCTCGATCTGATGGCGCTCGTGGCCGGCGGGCGGCTGGGCACGGGCGTGAAGAAGGGGTTTCTGATTGGCGGCGCGGAGCACACGAGGGCAGATGATGCGGGGATCATGGGGGAGCCGGAGAGCGTGCGGACGTTCAGTGTCGAGTGGGCTGGGATGTGATGGGCCTGCGCTTGGGATCGGGGCTTTGTTGGGATATATCGTCTTGTCCTGGTTGTTGCGCGCAGGACATATCGTCTTGTCTTGGTTGAATGTTGCGCGCAACTAACCCACCTCCCTCTTTATCACGCTTCAGTGGGGCGAGAGACTGCTGCGCCGCGCTGCGGCTGCCCTTCGGTCAGGATGAGGACCTGCTTTGGGTCCCAGATGGGATCTCGCCGTCAGCGCGCGGCTTCCTGGGTACTATAAGTACCTGGCCGGCACGGACGGACACGAAGTTCGTGATCTGGAGCGTCTGGTCGGACTATCGACGGGACTGCATCTGGCTGAGCGTCTGGCTGAATTGCATCTGGCTGGACCGCATCCATAAACCAGATCATCAGACTAAATCGACGAGTTCAATCTGACCCATGAACTGCTCGTCAAATATGCTACATCGATGACGAATAAATCGAATGAAATAACGAGTTCTCACGTTGATCAACTGATAAGTAAGATCAGCAAGGAGTAAATCACAAACTGTCCTTCACACATACTGTCATGTAAACCCAAGTAAAGTCCCTCTCAGTCCATATCAACCCTCGCCAGACTGCAGCAACAAGGCAGCCTTCTCGAGTCCCTTGTACACAAAATCAGCATCTCCAACGGAGTGTAACACAATCTCACACACGCAGTGAATACAGCCTGCACACCCGCGCAGCTAGCCATACACCAGAGAGATATAACGTTCCGGGGGAGAACCCCCGGACCCCCCTTTCTTTCAGCTTCCTGGCCACCTCAATTCTTAGGCCAGGTATATAACCATTCCCGGGGGGGAACCCCCGGACCCCCCTTTCTTTCAACTTCCTGGCACACCACTATAACCAAAGACACAACTAAACATAATCCACATTCCTCCACTTGAACTTCTTATTCGCGCGATCAACAGGCCGATTCATGAACTGGCTCCCATGCAGCTCAAACACAAGCTTCTTCCCCTCTTCCCCATCCCCATCCCCATCCCCCTGACCCTTCCCCTGCGGCCCCGCAGAACCAGAACTAGAGGGTAAAGGCAACGAGAACCGAAAAACAGTATGCTCCTTCGGAATACCTAACCACAAACCATCAGCCCGCCAACCTCCACAAACCAAAGGAGAAAGAGATACTCACGCACAACCCCCCCACTCTCCTGAATAATAGTGAACAGGAACATCGAATCCCGAACCACAATCCCACGCACCCCAACGCGGGACGCACACCGACTTCTCACAACTTGAACCTCAGCCCCATGAAAATCAGCACTAACAAGCCGACTCCCATGCGAACTCGGCGTCACCACGAACCCCGTCTTACTCCCCGCCCGTAAATCCAAAACCCCAAGCATATACTCCACCCACAGCCGATTCAACTCCTCAAAGACCTCATACTTGCAGTCCTCCTTCGGAAGAGCGTAAAGCGCAGGGCAGGCGCGTTTGGCGCGCGCGCTCAGCGGTTGCGGTTTCTGGCGGCGGAGGAAGTACTCTTTCTTGCGGAGGCGGTGGAGGCGGCGGCGTTGGCGGTTGTCGGCGGGGTCCGGGGAGGTCGGGCGGACGTATAACGGTTTTTGTTTGATGCGTTCGGTGAAGAGGGTGGTTGCTGTGTCGGGGGAATGCGCGCGCGAGAGGAGGGTTTGGGCGATGTGTTGTTTTTTCGGGGTGGGCGTCCCGGGGACTCCGTTGGAGGGGGGCGTGGTCATTTTACGGTCTTTTCGTGGTGGTGTTGGGGGTGGGTAAGATGCGGGTTTTGTTGGTGTGGTTGGGCTTGTTCGTGGGTTGAAGAGCTGTGCTTCGGCTTCGGGCTTGAGGTTGGTTGAGTCGAGGTTGTAACTGTGGTGGTGGTATGGTGACGAGTCGCGGACAAATTCGCTTATCACTTTTTCGGGGTTGCTTATCGCCCAAAGATAAGATCGTTCGCGGCCTTGCTGCCTGCGCCGTGTCGATCCTGCTTTTGCTTGCCCTGAAGACACGAGAAATCATATTCATAAATAATTGTTATAGCTGCTAATAACATGACTGAAGCTTGTAAGCTGTTCTCATTTGGCGTGCCTGTAGTTAGCTATCTGCAATTGTATACACGTCACTTGATACAACCCCTATCAACTAACGTCAACAGCAGAACGTATCTCACCCAGCAAACACCACGATGTTGTATATCTTCTTCAGATCCTGTTTCATTTCCACTGACCTGTACCTCAGATACGGAAATTCGACTCAATATAATTGACTATGATCCCATAAGTCGGATGATCTCCTTCTACATTTCTTCTACAGCTCACCATCAAGTAGCTACGCCGTGATCGAGCACAATCCTATATAAAACCATGCTCCGATCCCATCCCAGAAACACCCCCTCTCATCATGCACCCCGATACTCTCTCACCAAGTGTTCTCTCTTACCTCTGCTCAGTGAATGTAACTTCTCAGATCGCCCTTGGCATACCAGCAACACCCACCCAGGAGCAACACCGGCACTCGAAACTGTTTCACCTCCAGCCTCCAAGTGAATTACCGACCCAAGTGTTATATATCCTTCCACTATATAAATTCTCTCAGACTCGCGATCAAGAGCCATTCCTACCACTTCATCATCAATTGAATACCTTCAGCCGTACCAAGCCTCAACACCATCAACATGGCTCACAGGGACACTCGTATGGACATTGATGCCCTCTTCGACTGGGACTGCTATCACACGCCTCTCAGCAGTCCGAGATCATGCATTTCCACACCACCTACCTCGCCGCCCAGTGACATAAGCCCAAACAGAGTCTCGGCTCCATACTTCGGTAAGACAGCTAGCTCACCATACCAAGCTCAGGAAGTGGCAGGAACTAACCAATACTTTAGAGCGAGATCTTTCCCCAATATCTCCATGCACGCTGACACGAATTCGGAATGTCCGACTCGAGGTTCCACCCCGGAGCAAGAAAGGCACCTTCGACTCCGACAGCACACCTGAAGATGTCATCAAGGACATCAAGAGGCGCCGGGACAGCTTTCTCAGAGCGAAGAGAGACTTGATCCTTCCTCTTCTGGATGATACCCCAGCCGTATTAAGTGATTCGGAAGATTATGTGCAACAGAGCATAGAGCCACCGCAACAACTCACGAATCAGCCGAGAGGGTAAGTCTAGGCTCATGCTCACTGGCTGCTTGCTGGCTGCTTGCACTTACACTGACATATTCAGGTTGCGGGCAACCCTGAAACCATATCAGCTTGACGGGTTGTCATTTCTCACGTATCTCAGACGAAACGGAGTTGGCGGAATTTTGGCGGACGAAATGGGCCTTGGAAAGACTCTGCAGACGCTGACACTGTTTGAACACGTCAAGGAAGTCGAGGGAGCTTCTTGTTCCAATCCGGCACCATTTTTGGTCGTATGCCCATTGAGCGTCTTGGAAATTTGGATCTCGGAAATCTCAAAGTGGACTCCAGGCCTTGCCGCTGTCAAATTCCATGGCACTCGTGAGCAAAGGGCCGATGTGAAGAAGCTATTCGTCAAGAAGCAGGGCAAAGAGGGCTGCTTCAAGGAGGATGTTAGAAACACAGTGGTGATCACTTGCTATGAGACTTTCATGTCGGAGGTCCTTTGGTTCAGAAAAGTAGCAATCTGGAAGTATGTTGTGCTTGACGAGGGCCATCGAATCAAGGACAGCACCTCGAAGAGGGCACAGGCAATCGGCAAGATTCGAGCGGAGTACAAACTGATACTCACAGGGTAAGTGGAACCAACCATGTCTGCGCTTCCAGTGCCTTGCCTAAAATCTATCTCTTTCAGCACTCCGATTCAAAACAACTTGGGTGAAGTGTGGTCCTTGCTGCACTGGCTTTTCCCTGAGGTTTTCACCCCGTCATCGGCTAAACTCTTCAAGGACGCATTTTCGTTGAATGAAGGCAGATTCGATGCTGCTTTTTCCGGCCATATCAAGCGATTTCTCAACCTCATCATGCTGCGAAGACTGAAAGACTCCCCCCAAGTGGGTATTAATCTACCGCCGAAGCAAGTCGTCACACTTGCCGTGCCACTTTCCAAGCTGCAACACTCGTTGTACATGAAAGTGCTAACGGGATTGGATGAATCACTAGGTGAAGCATCAAAGCTGACCTTCAGTCCCGACGAGCAAGGCTGGCCTGTGGAAGAGCCAATCTTTGACCCCAATAAGCCCGCCACAAAACGGAAATGGAAGATATCAGACAACATCTTGATGGAACTGCGGAAGGTAAGTGCTGAGACCCCTATCAGTCAGTCTGAATACTGATAAGGAAGTGTAGTGCTCCATTCATCCTTGGTTATTGAACGACAGCCGCGAAGATTCTGACGACTCGGGTGGCTCCCTTCTCTCGTGCTCGGGCAAGCTTCTTGCGCTGAGCAAGTTGATCAAGCATTTTGTCTTCACCGAGAAGAAGAAAGTGGTCATCTTTTCGTGCTTCGTCATGGCTCTTAACCTTTGCGAAGAACTATTAGGAAGTCTGCAGAACGGTGACCCCTTCGAATATGTCCGGCTTGATGGAAATACTTCGCGAGCCTGGCGTAGGCTTAGCGTTCATCTCTTCAATACCCTGCCCCAATTCATGGTCTTCCTTGTGTCGATCAGAGCCGGTGGTGAGGGCTTGAATCTAATTGGATCTTCAGTAGTCATCTTCTTGGACGAAGATTGGAATCCGCAGGTGATGAGGCAGGCGGAGTCTCGGGTGCACCGCATCGGCCAGACCCAGCCGGTCCAAATCTTTCGGCTTATCTCAAAGGGAACCTTGGAGGAGCAAATGAGTCGCCGTCTGCTCAAGAAGGCATATCTATCATCGAAGATCATCGAGGAAGAACGCATATTCGAGGCCGGAACCGGTCAGGACGACGAGGATGGCCTGCCTGAAATACACGCAACTCCGCCTATGCGTTTGATTGCATCCGAAGGACTTCCAGAGAACAACTTAGCTGCCATGGACTCGTGGAGTTTCCGATCGCTTCTGAGCAGATGTGCCATTAGTTCAACAACGGGGCAAGACCTCTCAAATAGCTCTTCCTGGTGGAAAGTGTCGGAGCGGATGCGCACGAACATTTTCAATGGAAAGAAAGTCGAGAAGGTGTCCAGATTTCAAGCATTCCCCGAGGACCCTCCTTGTTTCGCGCGCGCCGAACGTCGGATTGGCAAAGGGAGACTGATCACTATCGAAGGATACGACGTCACGAAGGAGAATTTGCGCATGCATGTCCCTCGAGAAGCGTCATCCCCAAAAAAGACGAAGTCGCGAGAGAGCGGAACGGTGAAGTCAATGTCAAATGAGACTGTGAGTGGCACAATAATCTCCTTCCAAGACAATATCTAACGGATGTAGACTTGCGGAGTCTGCAAGAAATTCGAACCGCTGGCATGCCAGACCTGCCCGCGGGCATATCACTGGGAATGTCTGCAGGATTCAACGAAGTCGCACACAAGTATACATCGTTTCAGCTGCCCCCATCACGTCTGCTTCGAGTGCCAAAAACGGACAGCCGATGCAGGCGGACTCTTGTTCTGTTGCATGAGGTGCCCGCTTGCATTTTGCGAGGATTGTCTGGATTGGGGGAAAACCGAATTCATTGGAAGGAATCACTCCTTCGAAGTCTTTGGATACCACCCTCATTCTTATTTCTATATTCACTGCCCTGGGTGCATTGGAGGTCGAAAGAGGCGCGGCGATGAAGCTAATGTGTTGACTTCGAAGCGCTACCGACTGAGGAAATGACTATATTGCGTCCCTGAGGTTCAAACACGAACAAGGAAGCGGGGATGGATACGTTGCAAGGGATCGAGCCTATCTGTACGAAGCGCTTTAATGTATTATCGAATAATCCCGGGACAAGGTCGAATAAAACTGCCTGTCAGAGAACTGACCGTCATCGTACGTACATGTACAAACCTGCCACCTACCTCGTACGAACCGGTTAATCACCGAATCCGATGACCCTGTAAAGAAAAAAAAAAAGGCACGACGATGCAACCAGACCAGCTGGTCCATTCATCACATGGCTCAGCGACTCATCTGCTGCTCGGTTGGTAAGCGAGCAGGGCGTCAGAGTTCACATGTGGCGCATCGGTCCCGGTCAAACCATGCGACACGTTGCATGTTCACCCATGGCTTCCAGACGCACCCTGGTCGGTACCGTATACCAGCCCCGGCGATCTGCAGGTTTGTTCTCCTGGAAACAGTAGAAGCCGGGGATGTGTTTCTGTCGGCATGTCTGGGCTGGGACACACAGACGCCCGCCTCGTATTTGAGGTACTGTAACTGGGAAGACCGCCGGTTCTTGGGCAAGCAAGGCAACCGCTGCATGAATAGCGGTAGGAGCAGGGATCAATCTCATTCGGTTCCAGTCTGCTGGGTCGGGGGATGAACGGGGCAGTCATATTTCTTTTTTCACGAAGGCAGTGCTCCGGGAATACAGTCATGCAGGGAGTTGAGATTTACCTCCAGGCTGAGTTGGGATCATCCCCTGGGGAAGCGGTGAAGGAGGAAGGAACCGTGACCGGCGCGGGAGGAGGAGGGGAGGGGGGATCTTTCCTCGTCTTGAATCTTGTTTTATTACTTATCGACAGGGTTTGGGGTTTGGTTTGTGTTGATCAGGTTTGACTCTGGTATCACCGAGCTTGGAGAAAGCCTTCGTATACCAAGTTTTTGTCCTGGAGACGCGATGCTTCCATCCTAACCAGGAAGTCAAGACGTCACTGTCGACCCTGATTTGACTTCATGCAGACTGAATCATAACGTCAATTGCCTTCTATAATGACAAGCTAGGCTGAAGTCATTACCGACTTAATACCATAAATTCAACGGTTCTCTTTCAGTACGTCAGCGGAAAGTATTCCGCGAAAAGCCAATCTGATTGATCTCTGCGATCATGTCGCAAACAATACTGACAGCTAACATCCGAATGCACTCAAACAGCCAGTGTAAGAATTTAGGAAACCATCGCAAGACCCTTGGTAGTGCCTCGCCTGGTGCTGAGCACGAGTCCCACGGATCCTCCCCGGACCGGACCGGTCGAGAGGATGCATGGTCTGGATGACCTCCACGCGAGCGATCTGAAGTGAAGCTGCACATGCTAGACTATCGCCAGACAACTTGAGTCCGATCTCAGCAGGGGTTGCTTCACCTCGCAGAGCAGCCTAGAGATTGTTTATGGTCGCCGACCACCGCACACTACAGTACCATCATCCCAACTATAGTCAGCAGAAGGACGTCTGTAATAATAAGATCATCGAGTGTACCGCCTCAGCAAGCAGAGGTTACACAACGCAGCAACCCGACCAACCGCCCATTGCGACACACCACATGTCATCACTCCCTCCGGTGACACACTGTATCTCAGTACGATTTAATCGAGCATTTGCTCCGTCCCCGTCCCGTCTCCGACTCCGATCTTCCCGATGCAGACACGACAACTTCGCTCCGAGCCCTGCGGATTCGACAGAATGGAGCCTACAGCACCCCGGGACCAGGTTCGTAGACGCCACCGTTGCCACTTGGCACCGTTAAGCTTTGACTGGATACGAACCACCGGAGAGTCCACCCGGCAGGCTGTCTCTGCTCTGGACTTGGGCTGCGATCAGGCAACGGGGAGTGTTGTCTGCGGGGTGAACGAGAAGGCTTATACAACGGAAGTATGTCACTGGGGACGCTCCAAGAACCTGAATCATGCTCAGCTCTGATGTGCAATGCAGTTACCAGAGACTGCAATTGTCGGGATTGCGCATACAGCTGGCGATCACTCATTCATCTATAGTTGTAACTCACAGAAAAGACATGACAGGACTATGACTCTTGTCTATAAACCCTCAAATATTGGCTCCACATCCTGCCACCATTAGCTCACTAACTCATCACTACGCAAATACTCATACCAACCCAGAACAACACCAGAGACTAAACCAAAGTATACACCGATTTCCCGAAGCAAACATCCACCCAATACATACCCCTGCTCATATCCCATTCTTACCCACCAATCCTAGACACTTAAGACAACGCCAACGCCACAGAACAGTCATACTCCTCTCTTTATCCTCAGTACCAGCGCATAGACTAACGCAGGTTACAGATACAGTACGGGATTCTTGGCACGTCAGACGCGGGGAGCCAGCGCGTCCCGTCTGCTCCACACGAGCATGATCATGCTCATCATCTTCAGTTTCAAGAACTGGTTATCTATGAGTAGGCCAGTGGACGGGGTTATACTATCATTATTGACATCTGCAGTATCGGGACATCAATATCTCTACGCTGTCCTATATTGAAGTATACAGAACTAGCGCTTCAACGAATGAACCCTCCCCCGCTTCACTCCCTCAAGAGAACAAGAAAAAGGAAACAAGAAGCAGTGGCATCCATACTGAAGAAATCCAGCAAAGAAGTCCGTACAACCGGTCCACCTACCAATTAAACACCAAAGTCCACCCTCAGGTCGAGTTAATCCTAATATCCAGATGGAACCAGGTACACCACCATGGACCCGAACCTCACCTGAAGACAAGATACCCAGAGACCACCCCGAATCAAATAAATACTATAACCCAGCGTGAATAGAAACCCCCCCTCAGCGCCGGAATCCGGACCGTTTTCGTCCATCCATCCCTGCCCCAAAGAATTTCAATTTTTAAATTAGAAATGAATTTATCCGTGCACGAGGTAACCTAACGGGGTGTGCTTGGCTGGATTAAATGGAAGTGAGTGTAACCTAAGATTTTCTTCACGCACCCTCCCCTAGAATCCTGGCTTGTCCGGCCGAGTGCAGGGATCGGGCGGAGATTTGTCGGGATTAACTTAGTTTCTTTACTTAGTATATGGCTTTTGTGGAAGGAGGGAGGGGTTGGTTTGCTTCTTGGTGACTAAATAACTATGCGGCAGGATTGTGTGTGTGTGCTTTGAGATTTGAGGTAGATATCTACCTAGAGTTATGCTGGTGGTGTATGCTGCGTCTTTGGGGTAATAGTTAATTACTCGCTACTGCAGGTGGTTCCGGGGGTTGGGATAAGATTTCCTGGGGCATTCTTTATACATGTATACTATACTGCGTGCATTATCATTGTCCTCAGAGCTGGAGCTGAACTGCAACAGCATCATCTTTGAAAAACGAGTAGAATAAAAGGACAAAAACAAAAACAGGTGGATCATGCGATGCATCCCCCTGACCCGGATCGAGGCAACGGAACAACAGCACCAGAGCGCCGGGAGTGCGGGAGTCCGGGTCCTGGAACCCAGCGGCCGGCCAGCCAGCCAGCGGGGCCCGGTGGATCATAACTAGTAATTCATGACTCAGCTCCCTCTTGCTCAACCTCAATATATTCCAGCCTCCAGGACTCAGAGCTGTTATTCCAGCCCCAGTGCCCTGGGCTCGTTTATTGGCTAGAGGATTCTCCTCTTTAACAGGCGGGTCCTGTCACACTCTATTTAGGTTTGATTGCAGCCCCGTGGTTGTGGTTAGACCCTCCGTTCGGTGTGTCTAGTCTTGCTTGGGCTAATGTGCTAATCTGCAGCTCGGTCGTTGCGGATCACCACTGACTCGCCATTTGTATCTACGGGAAATGAGCTGGTCTAGACACCAAAGCCTTGTCTGTAGTAGGTGAGAAATGCAAGGACCTGATTCGTAGCAGGCCGGTGTAACATCGGATCATTTGCAAAAATAACAAAACACCACGATGCAATGAGTAGAGCCACCATGAAACCCGCACAGCAGGTAGTTGATCAAGACGCAGTATGTCAAGCACCGGCGAACTCTGTCTTACAGCCATCTGCAACCCTGGAAGCGTGCGCAATCGCATCTAACCATCCGGCCTTGTAAGGCCAGCCCTACAATTCGCTCAAATCATGTCATTCTCTTCGTCTGGACTCCATCTTCATTATTTCCAAACTCGACGTCGATTTAACTGCAGGCTTCAAGTCTGTGGGTAAATGATGGATCATCCCAGCTACTGCGGGTCATGGTGAGATGAACTGACCATGACCCGGTTCGACGGCTCACTCATACCGTGCTCATAATCTTCACCCGCGCCAATCGTTCTTCGACTCGTTTCGCTATTTCGGGGTCGGGCTTCGGCTTTTCTTTGCGTTTCCTGCAGGAATCAATTAATGTGTCCACAAAGACAAGAAAACTGTCATAACATACGGTTCTCTTATGGTCTCGTCACATTTCTCCTGCCCACAATGAGAGCAAACGGTTTCTCTGGACTGATAGACATTGGAGCAGCGATGACAGAAATATCGCACCCGTTGTCTGGGCTTCTTCCATGTTCGTGCCGGCATCTCAGGGGGTGGATCGGCATCTCCAGGATAGCCATTCGGGTATTTGTCGAGTTTCTCGCTATATATGCAGTTAGCGCAGCTCCGATAGACAGAAGCAACTCAACATACGGCTCACGAGGGCATTGGGTGCAGCGGATGTGCTGGCAGGTACTGCATTCGACGGCATTTGCGGCGAAAACGGTGCTGCAGCGATGGCAGGTTCGTCGGATCCTTTGGCGGGGTGGCCTGTGGACCACATTCTGACCACCGGTACGTGAGGGTAAGGTCAAGCGAGGTTCTTTGGGTCGCGGCGGCGGCGGGGCAGCCTCGCGCAATTTTCGCGATAGGAGGGTTTGGAGCGCAACTTCCGTCTGTGCCTGGGTGTCACTGGGCTTCGTAGCAGGGTGACGCGGACAGCTCGTGCAGCGAACATGCTGACAACTGGCGCAAACTTTGTCGGGTCCGAACGTGGTTTGGCAACGGTGACAGGTGCGGCGGACTCGCATGCGGATTGGTCTGACCACGCGCTGCACGGTGATATCGCTGGACGATTTCCATTCTCCAGGTTCGAGTGCCAATCCGTACTTTGCAGCTAGCGCGCGCGCTTTCTGTTCCTGGATAGCTCCCCAGTTGGACATCACGGTCGCACTGGCAGTAGGTGTCCGCGAAGTAGCTGGGAGGCTGGCCTGAAGTCAGTTTACGGCAATGTTGCAAATCTCATAGAATGTAGAACGTACGTGGTGTTTTGACTGGGTGCGGGTGCTCCAGTGGCCTCCTGTGTAGCTGGTGCTGGAGATGATTTCACGGCAGAACTCCTCCTCATTGCCATCCGCATGCGTTTGACATATTTCGAGAAACCTTCGTGCTTGTCTTCGCCGGAGGGGCCGGAGCCTTGTTGTGTCGACATTTCGCAAGGCGCACACTCAAGGTAGGACCGAGTTGTTGACCGTTATGATGATACAAGTGAGTAAAACCGATCAAATGCTGTAGTTGTCCTTGTAGTATAAGATTCAAACCCTGCGCCACGCCTCAATGCAGACCGGTTTATTCATGTTATTCCTAGTTTTGGACGGAAGAGAGGCGAAGTGGAAACAGGCGGGTTCGAGAAAACCGATACGAGTGATATAAAGCGGTCGTTGGGTGACTAAGAGCAGGGGTGGAGGTGGGCGTAGAGGAGGGATAATGTTGTTGATCGAACCGAGTGGGTGGGTGCAGTGCCAAATAGAGCAGACAAAGCGGGAACCACGATTAAGTATTGGCAGGTCGCACGGGCGTGACCCGAAACCGTAGACTTGGGACTCCCGGCAAGACGGTGAGCTGGTCGTGGTAGGGTCGCAGCCGAGAACCACGACTGATTGGCTGACTGGCGGTCAGATCCTGTGGATCGGGCGTGGTCGAGGCGTATGCAAGGCCAAAGAAAGGGCCCAGAAAGGAGGACTGAAGACGTGGTGGTGGAGGCGGAGGAGAGAGAGAGAAAGAGAGAGAGAGAGAGAGAGAGAGAGAGAGAGAGAGAGAGATAAAAGCAGATGTGAAGGGAGGGAGAAGAGGAGGAAGAGGAGAAGAAGAAGGGAAAGGTGGGTTGGACTGGATTGAGTTGGTGGCCGTGAACAAAAGAGGAAAAGAGTAGGAGATAACCAAACAGGCAGACGACGACGGCCAGCGCGAGCCAAACGATAAATAGAAGTCGAATAAACCTTCCTGGGGAAAAGCGGACGGACGCAGCGAGAGGGGGTGGGTAAGAAAGAGTATGTAAAGTGAAGTCAAGTAATGTGAGTGTAAAAGTAAAAAAAAGTGTAAATGTGGCAGAAGACTAAAAAGGAACAGACATGACAGGGTGTCTGTGGCACATGGCTTATCCGGTGGTGGTATCGTTGATTTCTCCGTCTTGTTATTTTTGGATGCTCATGGGAATATCATGTCGAAAGCTCTTTAGTGCTGAAGTCTTTCAAAGACCAGCATATGATGCTTATGAAATTTGTTTAGAGTCGTCATCTTTGTACATCTCTACATACAGTACTCCGTACATACCAGACTTCCGAACAGCTGTTTCCAGACACCACCAGGCACGGTATCAGAGGTTGAACAGCAGACAGACCCGCGACTGACTCGCATAGTATACTTTCATATACTCGTTCATTCCACCGACAAGGTATTTCGGAGAGTCGGGAGGTGGTTGTCGGTGACCCCAGGAAGAAACACCCAGGATCCGTGCCGAAGGGGAAGACTGCAGTGAACCGACTGACTGACTGACTGACGACTGACTGGTATGTAAGCAAGGTACAGATGGAGACCACACGTCCTGCCAGCCAGGGAATCCAGCAACTAACTAGCTAGTCTAGTCTAGCGGCGGGCGAACCGAGGCGACGGGGCGCTTGGATGTCTAATCATCTAGCCGGGGACGGAGTAATGCCGTGACACCCACTCTGGAACCATGCCCGAAACCCCCGGAGCAACCACCGGCTCTCTTTCCCTAATCCTCTTAAGCTAGACGGGGAATGCTGCTAGCAGTTCCGACGGTCTCAAAAGGTGACAACTGCCCAGTCCTTCGTCATTTAGAGCAAGGTTTGTTGCCTCTTCTCGAGATCCGACAACTGGGATGTGACTGAGTACAGCATAGTTTGTCTGTTGTATGTACCCAGGAGCCTGGATGCTGACCTGTTGAGCGAAGAGGATGATGATATCAGCATAGGGCTTGGTGGTATGATGTGGATGTCTGTATGTATTTGTATGTGATACGTATCTTACACCTGGTCATTTACAGGCTATGCAGGAAGGCAATTGAGACATGCTCTGGTGCTTTCCAGAGTATTTCGTCAAGCTTGATTGACATCAGAAGTACAATCAGACGTCAATGTGAACAGCAATTCGTTCCTCGACACTGATTCCAAGCTTCAAGTTGACTCCACTTGATGGCGTAGACGACCTCACCAACTAGCTAAGCTTCACTCAATTGGTCTCGAAATGACTTCTATAACTTGATCGAAACAGCAGTATGCGGTTGTCGATTACTCGGTTCTCGAACAACAGTGCCTGTAGATCGTGTCTTGTCGTCAGATAGCCATGACTGCACTCTCTACTTGTATAAGCTTCAGCATTGAGGCGTACTTACACCGGTTAACAAACCAACCTCCCAGCTCATCAGCTCAAAGGCTCCAATTAAACAACCTCAGTATCAACACCATCAAATCTAGGTATTACCAACCAACCGTTCTGAATGACAATACCACAATACGATACCGCCCCTCCCCAATTCTGCCCGCGACATTCCCGATTAACGATAGCACATGCATAAGAGCTGCATGACACACCACGCACCATCATACTACAGTCCCAACTTATATTAAAAACGGGCAGACGGTTCCATGCAGAATAGCCGGGAAGGAGAACAGGTAAGGTATTAACCGAACCGTACCTAAGGTATGTAAGTAAGATAGAGGAATGTCGCAAGGACGCAAAACCTTAAGTTGCACCCTCCTTCCTCCCCTTCTCCACTTTTCTCCAAATCGGAGAAATCTGCCACTCCGAATGATGGCTATGATTTCTAGGGGTGGAAATTTTGTTACATTCTACTGCCTCGTGGTCGGCTTCAGCCTTGTTCAGAGATATGCAAGTAGAGTAGAGAAGAATAGATGAAGCAAGCCACATCTGACCCCGTCACAATAAACCCATTCATACAACCTGTAGTAACCCAACCACCATCCGCACAACAAACCCAACAACATCAACAACAAACACCCTCGAACCCTGCACAAACCTACAACAGGAAATAACCCAACAACCACACCACCGGGTACGGAAACTAATCTCATCAATGAACCGAGTCAACTCCTCACTCCTCGCCACCGTCATCACAACACAGCAGGGATGCGATTGAACCTAATGCTGGCCACCACCACCACCCATGCATCTCCGAGACCCAGGAGCCAATCACCACCACCATCCAAACAAAAGGTCCTCAACAACGCCCCGTCACGAGCACCTAGGTGAATGTCAATCCCTGCAGTGTCTTTTGCCTCCTCCACTCCATCACCAGATACTAATTCCAGTATCCGTGTCCGGTATGCTCAAGCAACAAACCAATTGGCATTCACGAATGATCAACACCGGAAGCATGATGAAAACAAGCCTAACCCATCCGCAGGAGCTAAGCGGGCACGCTGGAACTCCTACCCAACCTGGTTTAGTGGTACGTTCGACCCGGGTAAGGTATTCAGGCTATTATACTATGTATCTCCACTGCCAGTGGGGGTAGACTAAGATAAATTACCTAGTGAGCTAAGGTAGATAACTACCTACTTGGGCGCTACTTAGATTTGCTTCCACCGGAGTGGGACTTTTCCGCAGGGACTCTCTCGAATGGGTTGTGTTCGGTAGGTTGATGAGGTGTTAGTTTGTTTGTAGTGACGTGACTGGTTGCTATGGTGGTGGCGGTAATTGGGTAGGGTTTATCTGCTGTTATTCTTAGGTTCTGGAGTGTTGGCACCTGGGGTCTACGGGCTGCGGGAAGAGTGCGGAGGGGAGTGGTGTATATGCACCTACATAGTATTGAACTTGCTTTTCGGTTCGGAGGGTTGATTAATCATCTGTAGGATGCACACACTCTCCAAATTCAGTTGTTTCACAGGAGTCGGATAAGAGACAAGATATCTATGCGTAGATGCATCCTTGGACACCAGCCGTCGATCTTCAGACTCAAGGGTGCGGTACGTTCCATCAAATCTTAAACCTGCAGACGCCATCTCGACTACATAAGTGGAGAAGTTGATGTATCGCATCCCGGAAAAGGGTTCCACTGCAGGACTCCTGAACATTTGAGCAAGAAATGCTGTAGGATGGCATACAAGCACCATCTGCCGGTCATGATATCTCATCTGACGAATCGCTCATCGAGTGCCGGGTCCATCATCAGAGTCTATATTTGCAGCTTGATCTAGACTGCCGTCCAGAGATTACACTCTAGTCTCAACGGTGTAATCAATAGCATCGGAGGGATCAAGCTCTGCTGACCACTCTAGATCCTAAGCCTAAACCTCTCACGAAATATCCAGCCATACCCCAAAAGTACTCACCAACGACCAACAACCCAGAACACGACCGAAGAAACCAAGCATGCACCGCTAAAAATACCATTAAAAGCGCTATATAGGAGTAAAACAACAGCACCAGAAGACCAACAAAGCGACACCCGCATTCCAGAACAGTAATCAATCAATTCTGGCTCTGCAGCTTCGCCTCGATATCAGCGATATCCTCCTCACTCTCCACCTCAATCACGCGGTTCACCTCGGCGGTGTTGCGCATCAGCTCCACGGCGCCCGCGTACATCATCCGCAGCGAAGGGTTGCAGTTCTCGGGGAGGTAGTAAAGCATGACGTAGGGGACGGTGAGACGGCCGGAGGCCTAGTGGAAGCGCCAGAGTCAGCGACTGCTTGATTTCGGTGGGGGGCATCACATACCAAGGTCAAAGGGTAGCTGAGCAGGATGAATCGTGGAGAGGTCTCTGGGAGCTCGTCGGCTAGATCCTCCATCTTTGTGTAGACTTCGCCATCCTCTGGGCGGATCTCTTGGCTTTTGCTGTCGATTAGATCTGTTGGACGGACAGTCAGTCAACTAGGATTGATTGTGACGGTGTGATGCTGTTTGCTTCCGCGGATGGGTATATTGAGTTCATCGGGGATTCAGGAGCGGATGGATGACCAGAGGGGGTAGGGCGGGATCGTACAGATGACGGCTTGTGGGTCTTTGGCGCGAGAGGTCCCCAGGCGGAACTTGCGAAGCTTTTCTTTCGTCTCCGGCGAGAAGGAGTATAGACGTGATTCAGACTGGGGTGTTCGTTCAGGTCATGTTAGCAAAGAGACGGAACAGATCATCGATGACGGGATGCGGGGCAGCGTGTACTCACCATCTTGTCAGTATGTATGGCCCACGACTTCGCTGTATGAGAGCAGGTAAGAATCAAGTCAAACGAGTTACGCCAGCAACAACCAGCGGTGCAGGCGTTTGTTCACAAAATGGTATGGGAGGGGAAGATCAGAAAGGGCGTGTGGTGGCAGCGGAGCTCCGCGCTGGCGACCAAGTGGGATGAACGGATGGGACGCCCCCACCCGCTCTCACTCCCGTCTCACTCATCCTCTCGCTCGCTCTGTTTGCCCTCCCAACAACCTCTCTTTCTCCCCGCTCGCGCTTGATACTTAGTCCGCTCCAAACCCACCACCAGCTTTCTCTCTCCTCCTCATGTTCGGTCGTCTCAGTCAACTCACCCGCCAACTATCACGACCAGCGCTCAATTCCTCAGCCTTCCAATCAATCCCTCCTGCAACCTCGGTCTCACCTCTGACTCGTGGACCGTCCTTCAAAATGACATCATCCGTACTCCCCAAGAACAAGCGGACCATTCACACAGCAGCATGTCTGATCATTGGTGACGAGGTGCTCGGAGGAAAGGTAAGATTCACAGATGTGCTTCAATTTCCTTTCTCATTGCTGCCAACATGACCTCAGCGAGATGGCATCTCTCCATATGCGCCGCTGCGCAGCAACCCCGAGCATGAAACCAAACTAACCGAACCAACGCAATGACACCAGACCATCGACACTAACTCCGCATTCTTCGCCAAATACTGCTTCTCGCTGGGCATCCAACTGAAACGGGTGGAAGTGATCGCGGACGACGAGAGCGAGATCATCGAGGCGGTGCGGCGCATGAGTGACCGATACGATTTCGTGGTAACGAGCGGCGGCATCGGACCAACGTACGTGTAGCTTTCCCTCTCCCCTCGCCCCAATTCTCACTAACAAAATACACCCCCCGCGGGGAAAACCAGTCACGACGACATAACCTACGCGTCCATCGCAAAAGCCTTCTCACTGCCACTCAAACTGCACGAAGCGGCATTCGAGCGGATGAAGCGACTCTCGAAGCCGCACCCAATGCAACCGAAGTTCGACTGGGAGACGCCGTCGCCAAGCCTGACAGCGAAGCTGCGGATGGTGGAGCTGCCGCACGACGCGACGGTGGCGGAGGAGGAGCAGGCGGTGTTTGTGGCGGACGACATGTGGGTGCCGATCGCGATTGTGAACGGCAACGTGCACATCCTGCCGGGGGTGCCGCGGCTGTTCGAGCGGTTGCTGGAGCACCTCAAGCCGTCGCTGCTGCCGCGCCTGCTAAACCCCGAGGGCAAGGGCATCTACCGCTACCTGTTCAGCACGCCGCTGGCCGAGAGCGACGTCGCGCCGTACCTGACCGAGCTGGCCGCGCGCGTCGCCGACCGTGGCGTCAAGGTCGGTAGCTACCCGCGCTGGGGCAACAAGCGCAACACCGTCACCCTCGTCGGTACGGATAAGGCGCTGATGGACGAGCTCATCCCTGAGGTTGAGGCCAACGTCGACGGGAAGAAGGTCGTCCGCGAGGATGAGCTCGATCCGCCGTCTGATGCTGAGGAGGAGGCGGCGGCGGCGGTGGCGGCGGCGCCGCAGGCCGTGAAGGCGAAAGCAAAGTAGATTGCTGTCGCTGTTTCTCTTCTCTGCGCGTCTCGGTTTCCCTCCACCCCTTTTTCAGATCTTCTTCACGGGCACACGAACTTTTACTTTACCCTTGTGCATAGCTACAAGTGCTGGTCACATAGACAAGACAATTAAATACTGCCGATCGATTGGATCCTACCTAGCATGGCGTAGAGACTGCGCACTCTGCCTGTACTACATCCCAATCCAATACAATGTAGCCAAAGACTGGGCAACAAACCCAAACAAAACAGATAGTACAACCGCTCCAAACGCAGACAATATCCCAACACCAGCGACGCTAGTCTTGTCAAATAGAAAAAATCCCACACGTCTACGACGAACATTAGATAGAGAGTACAATCAAGCAATCCATTCTCTGCCGACTCCGACTCCGGAGTCAGTCAGCCCTCAACCGCGACCTCATCTCCAAGAAAGATGTATACACAGTAACAAAAAATAACCCAAAAAAGTGAGTAGATGCAGGAAACATGGTCAACACAGAAAGAAAGTCAGGAGCAGACTAAGCATTAGGTAAAAATGAGGGTTGACAATGAGTCAGTCCCACGCAGAAACACCGCCTGGAGAAGAGATGAAGATATGGCGAAAGAAGACAGATCACCCAACGAGGAAAAAATGCGAGCCACAGCGATAGCGATAGCATATACCTATATCAAATGCACAAGATCTAGCAACAGGCACCACCAACCCCCTTTACCCCTCCAGCCCCCATCCTTTTTTTCCAAGATCGAGATATCGTTAGGAAAAACAAAAAGTTTGAGATAGATGGCCAATCTTCCAAGTGAGATAAATGAATAAAGAAGAAAAAAAATAAGTCAAATAATAATAATAGAAGAAATAAAAAAAAAAGAGGAAAAAACAGAGAAACAGAGGGGGAATCGAACGTTCATGGAGACGATGGGCGGCATGAGGGGGCGAGAGCAGTTCATCATCGGCGGGCGCGGGCGAGCCTCATCTGGTATAATAATAGCACGATCCAAAACCTGCTGCTGACAGCCCACATTCCGCCATGACGAGATTGATGTGTGTGTGTGTGTGTGCGTGTGTGCGTGAGTATGTGTGTCGCTGATCTCACTTCCAGCCGAGGGAGTGTTTGGTTTTTTTCCTTCCGTATCTCGACATGTGTGTATCCTTTTCAATCCAACGCCTGTTCATTACATTATAATACATTTACAGCAACCTTCGCTCTCGCCAGGCTCGCTGACGTCCATCTTGCCTTCGGGAGCGCGGGAGCCGAATCCGCCTGACCCAGATGGGTACGATGACATCTCCTTGTTGTACCGACGGATTTCGCGCACGAGGTCGTAGAAGGCGTTTTCGACATTGATACGGGACTTGGCCGAGGTTTCGATGAATTTGCAGCCGAACTGTCGTGCTAGAGCCTCTCCCTCTGGAAATGACACTCGTCAGCTTGTTATCGCAAGAAACGACCCAGGACTGGAAACCCACCTTCTTCTGAGACAGCCCTCTCCTTCTCTAAATCGCACTTGTTTCCGACGACGATGATGGGGAAGTAGTCCTTGTCCTTAACTCGTAGGATCTGTTGCTGGAATGTCATGATTTCTTCGAAAGACTGACGCGACGTTATCGAATAGACGAGAAGAAAGCCCTCGCCGGTCCGCATGTATTGTTCGCGCATCGCCGAGTATTCCTCCTGTCCGGCGGTATCTAGGACATCCAACAAAGCGACCTCATCGTCAATGACGCACTGCTTGCGATATGAATCTGTTGGATGGAGAGGGTCGGGTTAGCTGCGCGATCGGTCGGCGACGGCAAAGCAATAGTTGCTGCTCACCCTCAATCGTCGGGTCATATTCATCGACGAAGTGGCTCTGGATCAATTGAATGGTCAAGCAAGACTTTCCGACACCACCACCACCGACAACGACTAGCTTATACTCTCTGAGGAACTAGAAGCAATTGGAAGTGTAAGTGATAGGTCGTGATGGCTTTGCTGCAGGTTCGACAGCAAGGTAGTAGTGAATCGGGAAATAGGAGGCGGGAAGGAAAGGGAGACCAGCGACGGGAGACTCAGGGTGCGGGAAAGAAGCGTACCTTCGAAGCCATCCTGGTAGGCTTTGTTCTGTATTATGCTGGGATGGGGGAAGGAAGGGGGAAAGAGAAGCGGTGATCGTAGCTATCCCAACAGGAGCTGTGACGAGCGGGTCGAAGGAGCAACAACACAATTTTCTTTGCCAAAGGGTCAAGAGGTCGGGCCCAGGTCGTCGGGAGTTTCGCGCAGAGTAGAGCAAAGGCGCCTAAAGGGCAGTCCACAGCAACGGCGGGTCTAGTGAACAGGCCAAGCTTAAAGAAGCAGACTGGGGGGGGGAGGAAGAAGGGTGGTTGCGGTGGGTGGGAGTGGGAGGGAGGATCAGGGGGGAGGGGGAGTGCGGGTTCGTGGAACTTTGCAGCGGGCGGAGTTGAAGATGAGCCAGCAGTTTGATTTCTTAGAGAAGCTGCAATTCGTCTGGTTCTAAACCGCGTATGGAAATAAAAGTCAATATGAAGACCTTCGAGAACTTCAAGTGGATTCAAGGAGGTCAAAGGAAAGGGAGGGAGAGAGATTGAGAGGGGAAAGGGGATGAGGGAAAGCGATGATTAAGGAGCGGTTAGTTTGACTTGGAGGAACGGAGAGGTGGGGATCGCAGGGAAAGGAAAGGGAAAAAAGCCCAGACAGAAGCAGTCTAGATAACTAACTGAATGACTACAGTAACTACAACTAGTATAGCAGGTTATGAGTTAGCGGTTGTATGGAGTGAAGAGGGAAAAAATAAATGATTATCATCGTCGTCATTAACAGCATCAGCATCAGCATCAGCATCAGCATCAGCACATAAGATTATCTTGAGAACTGCGAATAATATCTTTAGCGACCGTAGACCCAGGTGGTCGACCCTATTCCAGGTTCAATGCTAGGGCATCGCCTACACTAAAGAAAATGGAGATGATGATGATGTTGCTGAGGCTGGTGCTGCTGATTGGGGTAACCCGTAGAATATTAATTATCACACTTTCCATTCAATAATCACAATCCTTCTAGTCAAAGAAAGGGGGGAGAAGAGAGGGTGTGGCATTAACCGGCGACGCGGGTGGTTCAACCATCCTCCAGCCAAGACGGGTCTTTAATTATCATTCAATCGGCTGGTTGGTCCACTGGTAAGAATTACTATCTATCAGCATCATCGCATCGAGAGTGCCCTGTCGTCATTGTCCGTTCTTGACAATGGGAGAACAAAAAAAATTAGAAATTCAATACAATTCAAGGCTTCTTGCCAACTGCAGTTCAAACCCTCATTATCACTCTAACCCCCCAGTCGTCATTAGATTGGTCAAAGACAATCTCGAAATCACAGTCCTTGATTGGAAAGCAGAGAAACAGGACAGATGATCGCGAGTGGAGGCGAGAGGCAAGGCAGAAAATTTAGAGCAGTGGGCAGCATTTGCAGAGGACATCAATTGGTGGCATGGTACGGAGTACTGGAGAAAGTCTCGTCTGGGTCAAAAAGGGGTCAGCAATCAACTCCATCACATATCACCTCCAGTACATAATCCGAACGATCCATTGGATTGAAGCTAGCTCCTTCTCCTCGCCTTACTGAACTAGTTACTAGTCACTCGACTAACTACGGAGTACTACCTCACTACCTCATTCTCACTGCTGCCACCCTTCTGATGATGCCACCCAGCCATTCCCATTAATCACTGTGTCGGTTGTCTTGTTCATCTCCGAAGACTGCGGCTGCCCATAGATTAATCTCACCAGTTCCACCTCTTAGCGCCGGTCGATAAAGGTTCTAACTTTCTAAATCGTCCAAAGGCCCCATCGGGTCTCCTCTGAGGGTCCTCCACCACTCTACCTTCAGCACTCGCCATACGCAACTCGGAAAGCAAACGGACAGCTTTCAGTCTCCACGGCCAATCACGCTGTGGTGTGCGCGATGGGTGTGACCCTCATGGTGTCTGCGTCCCGCTCCGACTCCTGGAGCTTCTCCGGTGCAGGGTGCAAGGCTGCAAGTCATTCCCGACGCCAATAGCAAAGCAGTAGACTACACCGTACGGGCTCGGATATTCTCCGTTCAGACTGAGTCAGTCAGATACGCTGGGCTCGGTGGTCGAACCAATTTAGTGATGACACCATAATCTATTTCTGCTGTGCGCAGGAAGTCCAGGATCAAGGGACCACAGGGCACCGTCATCGGAGAAAGACATCAGCCTCGGGAGCAGCGACCGTTACCTTGACCCTTCTAGAAGCATTGTCGGCTCGACGGAATGGCAGGCCATTGGGTTGACAGCTCCATCCAGACGCGTAGGCTTACATCATAAGCATGGATGTTGAGTTTGACGGCTTCTCGAGAGCTCTTGGCACTATCTTCGATACTACTCTGTCAGACTGTCTGTCAGTGTGTGTGTGTCTGCGTAGGTGTGTGGATAGAGCCTTAGGCAGACCTCTCTGTTTCAATCTTCTCCACACCTCTACTTGCCAAGTCAACTCCGCACAGTGGTCTTGGGAGGGGAATTTTTCCGTCACTGGGGACTCTATATTGTTCATTTTATGAGTATCGGTAGAGATGTAATGGATAGGTAGTAAGTCCCAATTGACTTCTGGCAATCTCGGAACCTACTCCCTCATCCCTTGGAAACCGGAACAACCAACCCTGTTTCCCATGAAAATCGACCCAGATCCAAGCGACCTGAGTACTCCGTCATCAAAGAACATCTAGAGGCATTCAAGCGGATGCCTGCCCAAGACTGGAGTCAACATATCAACTCCAGGTCTCCAACCTGATAGCAATGTATTGGCTCCACCAACTTTTCCCCGGTTTATCCGGCTTTCCTCCGCCGTTGCCCCGGGCCCACGATTTATATATATCAACTCACAATCCCATATGCATTATCTTAGAATGACCAGTCACAAACTTCCTGCCCATCAACCATGTGCCGAGACGTCAGAGGGCGCCCAAATTAGCTTTCTGAAGGCACTGAGTCGAAGATGATCCTCCTGTGATCACCCAGCTTGGCATTGATGTGCGTGGCTATAGACAGCACCACCAGCCCATTGGAATGCAGCCCGAAATTGCCGACCACAGACTTTCGCTGCTTACTTCCATTCACCCCCAAAGGAGTACTGTGCCTACCGGCGCTTAGCAGATCCTTCCAAGCGAATCATTCAATGCGGGGTGTTCTCACGCCAGCGCTTTGAACAAACACAAACACTACTACCCCAACATCTACCCCGTACATCCGCAGCGGCATACTTACATACATATCCACAGTACCACGGTCGCGACGTCCTGATCCCAGGGGAGCGAGCGGGCGAGAGGCACAAACATGTATGTGACGAGTCAATCGAGAGCAATCGGGCTTGAACCTCTGTTCTTACTTCGGCCATCGAAGTCTAACGCTTGAGGCGGAGATCATGTCAATCAGGGCCATTGCGCGAGCGCCAACAATCACCTTGTTCCCCCCCCAAGCAGTATCTGGTGCATATCTCAATAACCTACAGAGTACGTACCGCAGGTACTGTATCACAGCACACAGTTCCCTCTCGACCCACGCCGGGGCCCGTGCCATTCAAGCTACGCAATCTCCTTAGAACCATACTCAGCTGCCCAGTGAACTCACACCTTATTTAAATGACCATCGTCCATCCAAGCTGGAGCCGAAGGCTCACCAGCGCAACAAGCAAGAGAGACCGACCGTATGGACCCCGCTATCGAACATCCATCTAATATGGACTATGACCCCGTCTGGCTCGCAGTCTAGACCGCTATTTCCCACCCGTTTTAGATACGGAATTGCTTTTTTGGCCGTCTTGGCTCCGTGCTTTATGCAGGGGAAGCTGTGGATGTTGGTTGCGTCTTGATGAAAGCTTGAGGGGCGGTGGTGGTCCGGGCTTGGACTGATCCTTGAGGTTTATCTGTTTGGTGACTGTGTGGGGTTGGATGTATGTTCTGGGTGTACTGTACTGTACAGTAGTGAAGCTTTTGTGGTGTTGTTTGGTGGGTTTGTGGTGGGGTTTCTTGGGATAGGTGTGACGTGGGTTGTAGGAAAGGTGATTGGGGTGGATTTGAGGGGTGCGTTGTTTGGGTTATGGGGTTTACTTCGATGTAGAGCGTCTGGGAGTAGTTGTGGAGCGCTGTTGGGGATTCGGTGTTGTGGATTTCACTAGTCATTGCGCTTGGTGGTGAGCATCAAAGGCTTGGGTTCTTTGACGTGTTGGGATCAGAATTAGAGACCATGTGTATACGTCATTCACCGGCGCATACTGGTCAAGCCTGTCGGAGACTGCTCAAGCAGGTGGGAAGAGGAACGGCGTTTCTGCTTAATTGACCTGGGTTGAGGTTCTGCAGAGAGTGCCTTAGGAAAGTAAGTTGATCGCTGAGTGAGACTAATGTGAGCATTGCTGTTGTCAACATGCGCTATCGGATATCGAGTTCTGCTTGGGTCTGTTACAACTATGCGCATTGATTGATGGTCATGCGCTGATGTAGGCGTTGCTTTCATGCGCATATTGTGGTTCAATGCTTGGAGACAACTACACATGCCCCTAGAGCAAGCAGGACAGCAGCCACGAGACAGATCTCAACAGCACAAGACTGAGGATGTGTAGTGCAGTTATATTCATTGGGCCATTATCTATCATGTCTAGCTTGTGCCAATTATTTATCCATCATAACTTGGCGGTTGCCCTGCCTTTATGTACTTCGTGTTCCATCGGCCGCTCATGTAGCTAGGCCTTGCGGTGCATGATACCGGGGGAAGCCTGGTAAGGTATGCATCAGCACCTGTCACTCGGTTACGTGAATGTCTTGGACTCACCTGGTGGCTAGGGAAGATCAGAGTGTCGGCGATGACGACGTTCTCGCGCCGGCCAGCAGCAAATACAACAACTTCGGCGATGTCATCGGGGGTAAGGGGTTCGCAACCACTGCAGCGAGCACATCAGTATTTATTGGTGATCATCATGCAAGCAATTCAACCGGGATGTCATACGCGTAAACGGCATCGGCCTTCTCCTTGTCACCGTAGAACCGCACCACGGAGAACTCCTGTATAGCACAAACAATGATCAGTGAGATTCGGATAGACGTCTGAAGCTAGCAACTTACGGTCTCGACCTGACCAGGGTCAATCTCGATGATCCGGATTCTCGACGCAATCAGCTCTTTTCTCAGCGCATCGGTGAAGGACCGAACGGCCGCCTTCGTGGCACAGTAGATGCTTCCACCGGGGTAGGACTCGCGACCGGCAATGCTACCGATATTGATGATATCTCCGCGGCCGCCGTCGGATCTCTTCTGGAAGATGGGGAGAATAGCCTGGGTCATGTTGATCAAGCCGGTGACGTTGGTCGAGAACATGACGTCGATATCCTGGGTATCGATCTCGGGGGCCTTAGCGACGCCCTTAACGAGGCCGCTGAATGATTTGTTGGTCAGCCCTTCTCTTCGCGTGTTTGCCAACCGAGTCATGGATAGGCCGTCTCCACTCACGCATTGTTCACCAGCACATCGATCTCCTGGAACCCGGCGGGCAGGGACGGCACAAAGTTCCTGATCTCCTCGGGGTTACTGACGTCCAGCTGCACGGGCAGAACCTTGACGCCCTCCCCGACCTCCTCCTTGATCTCCTGAGCCAGCTGCTTCAGGGAGTCGATCCGCCGCGCCGTCACGATCAGCTTCAGGTCCTTGGGCGCGGTGCGCGCGAACTCCTTGGCCGTGCTGCGGCCGATGCCGGACGAGGCGCCCGTGACTACGATGGTCTTGCCCTCGAGGCGCTTTGCCATTGCGGTGGCCATTGTGCGTCTGATGAAAGCGGGCTGGATGGCGGATTGAAACGGGCTGGCTCGGGTAAGTGGGGTGAGGGCGGAGATGTTCCCGGGGGAGGGGGAGGGGAGCTGGCGTAGGGATCGGGCTGAAGCGAGGAGAGCTCGAAACAGGCGCATAAGGCGGCTTAAGAATGAAGCTCCAAGTTGAGTGAGTCAGAGAGAGAGAGATTACAAAAGATAAGGCGAGGAAGGGGCTCAATGGCTTAAATGGAATCGAAGACGGCCGAACGTCGGCATTGCGTGCGGGGAATGCGCTTGTCGTGGTTTTGGCGGGACCTTCACCGGCTCAAGGTTGCGCCGATACATCGGAGTTCCTTCCCCGATGGCCAGTCGCCTTCGTCGCTGCAACTCTACAGACTGTGTATGAACTCGCTGCAGAAACACCGGAGATCGCAAGACGAACGATATCTGTCTGGTTGATGAGACCTGATGGCTTCTTTGTCTTCTTCCGAATTCACCCTATACATGTGAACGTCGCACAAAGGCATGTTTTGAACCCCGGACTTGTCTAACTCCGGAGTTCTTCAGCAGTTCTTGCATGATATCATAAACAAGCACTACCCACGGTGAACCATGGCCCTCCAACCAGTCTAACCCAGTGCAAGACAGTTCGTGGGCTGGTCAAGCTTTCATCGTGTACTGCCAGATCTCAAGGTGATTCTTTTCACCCCCAGATCGCTGCATATCAGGATTGACAATTAGGAACATGCTGATATTTAATGATGCTCGGATGAGCTTCTAGCCTTGACTTCTGGAACACTGAGCCCTGAGAATTTCGTGCAGATAGTTATCAACATGGGCTGAAAGACAAGCTAGCGTGTACACTCGATCCTTTTGCTGACAGGTCAGTGCTTTCATGCTACAGGCAAGAGAAACGAAAGCTGTGATTGTTGCCTCGGTTTAGCAGTGACATGCTCCATGTCATTTTCCTCTAGACTTCTTGGTTCAACGCTGCCCTTGTCTTTGTCTGGTTAGAAATCGGGACTCGATGTGGATGTATAAATAATGCAGGGGTGAACACTTACGCAGCCTGCGAGGAAGAAGACAACTTAGCGTCCTCATTCTAACATGAATCTACCAAGTGACGGTCACATTATCAGGAACGTGTGTGCGATAATGTCCGAGAATTGCTTTTCGAGCTTTAGTGACTTGGATAAGAGTTACAATGAGTATCTCAAACCCGACTGGTCATTCAATTGGGCAGACGAAGGAGACTCGGAAATGGACATATCCTTCGAGGACGAGACGCACTCTGATAGCTCAGTATCCGTGTCAGACGAGGCACTAATGACAGACGACTTCGACCCCAACGAGGCAGTAATGTCAGACGACTTCGACCCCGATGCGGCAGAGTATGAGTATATCTTTGATTGGGAAGATGAGGAAACCGAGGACTCGACTCTAGCTGGGCCACGCATTGATAGCCACGCTATTCGGAATGCCTACGAGCGATTCGGCTACGTTTTTGACAAACCTCGTCCATATATGGGACTGGGTTATTATGGCTGCGACAATGAAATCCCTCCATCATCCCACAGCAAGGCAACCGAGTCTGAAAAGGTACAGCTCCTCACGAGGCTCATCAGCGAAGAATTCGAAGCGCGCCAGCTCTACATCACAGAGGTAGGCGAACCCGAGTCGGTCCACCACTTCAACTGGTTTGGGAAGCCCGTGCCTCTACGGAGCAAGACGCCGCCTGAAGTCTCACTGTTTTTCCAGCTTACGTGCCCGAAAACACTCAGAGCCGGAGAGGAGCTCCGGACGGAAGTCCTGCTGAAGAATGCGATGGTCTACGTAGATCCGGTAGTTCTTTGTGTCAAAAGGCAAGCACGAGGGCGTCCGAAGAATAACGGCGAGTTTCTTGAATGGCTAAGTGTGAATACCTCGAAATTCTATAGCCCACACGGCCGGTGGCAGAATGACCGCGCTGAGATTGAGGAAAGGAGATATGTGGATGACATTGGGGACCCCCTGGACTATCTGATGGACGAAATCGCCATAGGTTCCGGTTTCATAGAGGCGTTCAACAAACTCCCGTCCGTCAAGGACTGGCTCGAGGAGCTAGATGCGCGGCTCTACCTGTCCGGAAAGACGCGGCCGGACCGACCGAGGAAGAGAAAGGTAAGAGAGAAAGGCAGCAAGTGTTTCAAGCCATCGCCTCTCAGGGAGACGATGACATGCGAGACTGATGGAGCTCTGCCAGGGCTTGCCAACTCAACTGCCGACAGTGCACGAGATGCAGCACGGCGGTTCCTAGATCTATTCGTGCGACAAGGTTCGCATGACCCGGATACTTGAGCCCCAGAGTTGCAGACAGAGTCATTGCTGCTGACGCAGACAGGATCTTTTGAGGAGTGCTAAGCTCAGGGGAGACTGGTGGGATATCAGCTTCTGGGCCTGTACATGATTTCGATTAGGTGAATATAAAGAGTGTATCGTGTGCTATATCATAGAACCACGTGCCACTTCGTAGGTGTAAGAAGCAAGGCAAATTGCCGAACCTAGACTATATATGTCGATCATTTCCGTAGATCATTGAAGTTTGGCAGAGAGAGAGTCTCTTGTTCCTGTTCCACAGCTCGCGGGATCGTCAGGGATGACTGAAGATTGCGTTGCGTTGTCCGTCGTCGGCAGGCCAACAAACTCAAGATTGACTGACCGCTTCCCTTCCTTTCCCCCGATCAACGATCATCGCCCACTTTTGACAGCAGCCCCAGAACCTGATTATCTTCTGCCAATAACAGATGGTCCATGGAGAGAACGGTTCGGTGAGCTCAGCGGCTTAATTGCGGAGACATAATTGACACTGGGCCGTCACAGACTCCCCACGCGACGAACCTCGAGTCGAGTTTCCTTGAACGTTGTGCAAGGCTGTCAACTTTGCCCTGTCTCTCCTGACAGTAACAATTGCCCTTACCATGGAATCAATTCAGCCAAGGTATCAGAAGAGTTTGAGACTGCGAGCTAGGCACTCTCCGCCAGCCGTTCGCTGATCACCGAACAAAACCCCCAGGTCCCGAGTCAGGAATGGGAGCTTACGCTTATCTATCCAATGGAGTCAAAAATATGCAGAGTCATTGCTATCGCGATTGACCAGACTAGGCTAGAACTCTCGCTCGGAAGGTGATCCTCGAGCCATGTGCATCATCTGCCAAGTCTCGACAATGGCGTTCATACCGGCTGAATGGGTAGTGCATCCTTCGCCGTCTCTAGCGATGATAGCGCCGCGCTATCGACGCCCCTCCCCTCTTCTCTCCTTGGACCTGCATAAGATGCCCCATTGTTAATTGGTGATCACCACCCAATCCTTACATCCCAATGTTCCGGGAAACCTCAAGCACCCAAAAACAGGATAAATGAACCCCGACAGCTGATCCCAAGTGGTTCCCCAGGATCATGTATGTCATTCTGGATCCGACCAGGAGGAGCAATATGGATTCCCACGAGCATGGTAGATATGCTGAGGCTGCGGGAGATCCTGCTACCACGTGTGAGTGGCGCACCCTCAAGAGTCGAGATGCCCAAAGGATTATTTGCACCTACTATTTGGGAATCGCTCAAATGTCTCGCGAACAACGAAGACTGGCGCAAATGGTCCTGACTTTCTAACTACGGCATTCACAGCGGTTTACACTTCCCCTTAAGCCGAGATAAGTCCTCCAGCTCAGCCTGAAAGCACAAAAAAGTTGATCAAGTCTCAAAGCCCCAGACGAATCAGGAAACACTAGACCCCCATATGATCGACGATTATGACTGGCTGGCGATCCACAGTTCTAACGCCCGAGAAACACCCATTCCCTTCCCCTTCTTCCGAGACAACGTAGACACCGGGTCTAGCTGTGGCTGGGTCGCCAGACACTGGGACCGAGTGAGGACCTGCAGAGTAGATCGCGCGCGGACACAAAGTCTATCGAGTTTGCAGACGAAGGCTTATACCATCCTGCCGATCAGCCACTAGACAGAGAATGGTCTCTTGCCATGGCGAAATTCCCCGGACGGCCGAAAGCCACGGAAAAGAAAACCATGCTTTATCGACGTTGTGAACAGTATTGTCCTAAAAAGGCTATTGCTATCGAAGATCACGGCCACTTCGGACACTAGCAGCGACCCGCTCCACTGCGTGACGCTTGGTTGCCTATCATGGTCCAAATGCGTACAAAGGACAATCCCTATCGAAGTGCAAAACCTGCCGGCATATTCGACAATCGTTCGCTATCTTCTCGGTCGGCTTTTCTCTCCAACTCGTTGCATGCATAGCGTTGCCGCTGATGAGCAACTGTTACAAACATGTTAGATGGATTGATTGGCTCACCTTAGGGTTGGGGTTCAAGCAGAGTTCTGGGCATCTCGTATTAAAGAGTTGCCACTCGTCAAACACTCCACCGCGAGCTTGATTGACTGGTCAGATTGTGGCAGACAAATTCTGACCACGAGCAAGTCAAGACGCACGATCATACCACTTTAGCCCGCCGCCGGCGAAAACTCTCTTTCCAGGCGTGCTAAATCCACAGCAGCCCGATCGGATATTATGATTCGTGCTGCGATCAGAAATCATGCACCTGAATCATGCATCACCCCCGGAGCGATTCGCTCAAGATGGCACAGAGGATGTATCGGATATTAATCACTCTCAAGATTGCGACGGTAGAACCTATCAGCCTGTGACTTGTTTATCTCTCGAGGGTTCATATAATCTGCATTCAACTTAAAACAGGCCTAATCATCAGATTCTTTTCTCGCAGTGGAGCAGAATGTGTGCTTTTAGGTACACTTTCTGTTGACCGCACAGCACTTGCCGAGCAGCACTAAACCGCACAGGGTAGTTATAGAAGAGCGCGTGGTGGCGTTCCATGGATCGAAACCCGGAACAAGGCACCAGTTGACATCTATTCTGGGTCTGCTGCTAATGCGCACCATCATTGACTAATTCTTTCCTCGAACCTCCTCCACCCTGCCCACGACACCAGTGGAGCCCGGAGGGCCTAGTGCATAAATCATTACTGCAAGCTGAATGGCAACCTGCTCATCTCCTGGCCAGCCCGGACAAGGGCGAGCTCAGGTCGTCCACTCCACCAGACACCATGCTGCCCATCAGCTCTCCTTCAGCTTCTCTTACGCTATTGAGCACTATCAAACCTTGAGCCGTTGCGGGGATCGTCCCAATGAACGTGGTGAACAAATAAAAGCCATGCCGCTACCGTTTTTTCGCTACCAGCTAAACTCTACTACAGACGCTCCGACCAAACCACCCACACTCTTTTAACCCCAGCGATCTTCAATCGAACCCATGTGGTATATCTCATCTTGATCCCTAGGTTGTGAAACCTGGAGAGTACATCCTATCTGGGCGGACATATAGTAGGCGGGGGCTACAGCCGTCTAGACCTTGAGGCACGCTCTTTTCTCGAAACCCAACCCTCCGGCCCTACCTACTCGATTCGCTCTTTACGATAACAATAAACCATGAACACAATGGACGACATCAGAGAGAATATTTTGCTTTCCAGAAGCACAGGAGATGGTGCAGGACGTGGTCAGCGAGCACTGGTGGTGACAGCCGTGCTCACCGGCTTTTCGGTCCTTACTGTCGCTATGCGGATGTATGCGCGTGTCGGCTTGATGAAGCTGAAGGGTCGCGAAGATTACATGATCCTCATTTCTTTGGTGGGTCTTATGAATGTCGATATAAGACCAGGATCAGTTAACTGACCTATGCTTGGCAGGTCCTGTCGTGTACTTACCTTGGCCTGGTCGGTGCTGGTATGACAAGTTCCTTTCTCACCGCGCAAGTCGCGACTAACACACTATAGAGGTACATTTCGGTCTTGGAAGACATTCATCCGCGCTTCCCGACCACGTTCTGAAGGACCAACTTAAGGTAAGAATATTCGGGATAGTAATGTGGTTCAGATGGAACTAACAACTGGCATTATAGCGACTATGGGCTTCGATTCCATTCTACAACGCCAGCCTGGTCTTCACCAAATTCTCCATTCTCTTTCAATACTTGCGCATCTTCCCCGACCGCCGTTTCCGACTGGCCTGTTACGTTGTGTTGGGCATAGTTGCAGCCTATGGCACTTGGGCGGTCGTCAGTGGCTTCTTGAATTGCGTCCCCGTCGCTAGGTTCTGGGACCGGACCGTCTCAGGCTACTGTCTCAGCTTCGAAGCGGTCTGGTTCTTCAACGCTTCCATGAACATTGTAACCGACGTGACCTTACTGGTGATGCCGATGCCTCTTCTATCCAGACTGCAGCTTCCACGCGCGCAGAAGTTTGCCCTTATGGGTGTTTTCGCTATTGGTGGATTGTACGATCCCTCAAACTTGCTGATTCTACGTCTCTCGCTAATCCATCGCTATAGAGTTGTTATCACCAGTATTCTGCGTTTGTCCTCCTTGCACGCCGTTTCGCTGAGCAAGGATACATCTTGTGGGTATTTTCCTGCCCGCTTCGCTTTGGCTGCATACTGATTATCAACCAGGGAGCAACGTCGGCGCTGCCTACTGGACCGCCGCAGAATGCAATGTCGCCATCATCTGCGCGTGCCTACCCTTCCTGCGCCCGCTGGTCAGCCGCCTCTTCCCCAAGTTCCTGTCTACCGACAGCTACAACCGCTACACGCGCAATCCAACCATGTCCGCCAGTCGCATAACCGCCACCCGCATGACGGCGCAATCCCACCGCCGCAAGGTCGAGCTCTACTCCCAGGACCGCGACTACGACATGTACACCATTGACGTCAAGTCCGGCGAGGCCAGCCACGGTGGCGCCGGCGGCGCCTTTGGCGGGATTGAAGTCACCACGGAGATGATCCAGGAGTCGTCGCAGCACGGGGAGTCGACGAGCCAGCGACGGTTGGTGGTGGATGTATGACGATGATGTTCACTCCTTTAACGATTTCTTTACATTTTTGTCGCATTTGAACCACCATGACGCTTGATATACGGCTGCTTACCCTGTTGTCTAACTTATACCCCCTTTTTGTCTTGTAAACTCGATCTCACTTCATGTACAATAGCGATAGCGGCAGAAAGCTAATTGTTAATGAACTATCATGATCAATCAGTGCTTGGTTTCGTGTAAGCGAGGACGTTTACGGCTGCGATTCGGCCCTAGACTATACCTACTCTTTCTAGGAGGGGCAGCATACATATAACTTGAAGCATGTATATACCTTGCAAGGCCACAATCCTCCGCAGCGATAGATTTCAGCACATTGCAGATTCAACTACCAGTTCCATTCTAGCATGATAGACAGGTATGTCTTATTTACTGAATATAAACACTAGCTCTTAAGCCCCAGATCCAGAACTCCTTTTCTTCTTACCTAGTTTGATTCATATATTACACTTCCGACATCTAATGACACCCAATGACACGACCCATCCCCCGCCTGCCGCAAAAAAAAAAAGAAACGATAGGACCAAATGGAATTCCAGACAAGGCCACGAGCCCAAACTCTGCAACTCCCGTCATCTCAAGCAACAGGGACACTATAACATCAACACTATACCCTACGATTCCCCACCCAGCATGTCTCTAGCCAGCCTGTCCGTCTAGCGCAAGAATCGCATGGGCTGGGCCAACATCTAAGACGAAACCTAACCGGGATGCCCGGTCTTGCAGACATACTTCCAGGAAGATACACGTAATATACTAACACCATAGAGCAAATAAGATAAACACTTCAAAACCAATCTCTTCATTAATCACCTTCCCCTTTTCCCCAAACCAAAACAACTTCTTGCCACTCAAGGCACCAGATTAATGGTATGATACTCCCGCTGAGCCCTATCCTAATCTCGTTAAACAGTAGACCCAAGCTCTCGATCTGCAGCGCAGGTAGCTAAGATATCGCCATCTTACCCACTAGCCCCAGCCACGGATTCCTGTCCGGTAGGTACGCGGGTGTCGGGGCCTGATATCTCGATCTAGGGGCATGCGTGGTAGGGTTCTCGTCCTGTTGGTATCTACGTATATACCACTGTATAAGAAGGACGGGTCATGCACTGGTAGTAGAAACAGTTCTGTCTCGATATCCTCTGTGGCGTACTCTCTCACCCTCATCTAGCTATCTCCAGAGATGCAGTAGGTATAGAGGAATGGTAGATGAATAACACATCCCTGTCGGAGGTGGGTAGGTAATCGCCCCTGTAAAAGGCAGGTAGGTAATTATCTCCCCGAGGTAGAAGGTAGGTAGACAGGTAGCCAGACCATGGATTCCTATCTAGCTAATCGAGTTTCCATGCATGCCTTAATCTCAATATCCCAGACCTACGCACGACAGAGAGACCAGATACCCGCTGTTTACCTCGTGGTCGAGCTATTCTATTTCCTATTGTTCTGCGTCTTAGAAGGGGAGGGACAGTCGTGGGTCCAGGATCAATCTTTGCAACTATGGTTCTCATATCAAATGTAGTACAACCCTATATCGCAGTACAATACAAAGAATGTATAGAGGGGAAGCAACGCCGTTTTATGCGCTCTCCTCGACTGTGTGCTAATCGCCTCCGGCCACAACAATTAGTACGATAGATGTATTCAGCTGGTTTTCTTCTCTTTACTTCTGCCGAGTTTACAGAATCCAGGAAAGTGCTGATCATACTGCGGAAGTGAATTATGGTTTCCACGGTGTAGATACCGGATCAGATTGATGGAATGATAAGTCCTACTTAGGTTTTATGCAGTTGCAGGAGCAAATTCCGAGTAACTTCGAATACTCAATCCCACTTATTCATATGTGGGTGTATGTATCAGTGACTCAAGATAATAAGTCCCAGTTCCTTATATACAGTCCAGGTGTATACCAGTCGCTCACGGTGGTGATATTATCGCTATCTAGGAGCCGGGGGTCGAGATCTCATCTACCACCTATGTAGACCAACAAAGTCTAGCTGGACTAGCTGGAACGAGACTAGGCCACTTGGCTGCGAAGCAAAAAAGGAAGAAAGAATATCCCGAGATTAAGAGACAGGTAAACACGAGAGGATGATCTAAGCGGGGATAGTAAGAGGATGGCACCATTGCACCGCCACACGGCACGGCACTGGACAAGACAGCTAGTCAGGCAGACAAACATCTGGACTTCAGAATTTACGAAGCACGCCTGCCCAAAGCAGACAATCAGTTATCTGACGATTGGACATCCGGTGGAATTGTCATGCACTACTGCACAATTACTTCGAGGCAATCACGCCAACTGATACGATGCGGAGTAGAAAAAAAAAGGAAGAAACAACCAGAAGAATACACTCCTGATAATCAAGATTGAAGAAGTACTGAGCACTGAACTGCTACTTCAATGGAACAGGAAAGAAAAGAAATCGCTATTTCCCGCCGGCGCTTCAAGCAAATTAAAACCCTCCAACCACAACCCCAACCCCACAGAAGACAAGACAGAAGGAAAAACTTTTAGTTTTCTCTTCCAGTAAGGCAAAAAGTAAACAAACAAGATCCCGTACGAACACGTAAACGAACAGTTGTGGTATCTTCGTCAGAAAAGTCCGGCGCGCCAAGTTGTATGATTGGTAGAAAACAAGGTAAGGTAAGGTAAACGCAAGTAAGATAAGATCGATTGGAGGGACAGCTCCGACACCCGAGACCCAAGGCTAAAATCGATTGATAAGATTATCAGCTCATTGCCCCAGTTCCGCGAGTTCACGCTCCTTGGCACGTAGCATCTCCCGCATTTCTTCCGCCTCACGCTGCAGCTTGAGCCGCCGCTCTTCGCGAAGCCCGTCCAGCTCAGAGACACTAGGCAAGGGCTGCGAAGGGGGAGGAGGAGCAAGGGTAGGGGGAGCCTGATGGTGGTGAAGGTGCTGCTGGCGGCCCATCGCAGCTAGGGATGGATCTAACCGCGATTCGTCGCGATGGTGATTGCCCGGGTTGAGGAGAGAAGAAATCGAACTGAGGCGTGCGGGGGGTGACGGATTGAGGGATGACATGATCGGAGGGAGCTGGTTGGATCCATTTTCCAAGGTGGTTGGGATGGAAATCGCTTCTGCAGATGAGGCTGTCTCGGCAAGCGTCCGTTTCTTGGGATTACTGGGATTTGGCGAAAGGGACCGTCGGCCGAACTGCGACACCGGAGAGTGGCTGGGGGCGCTGATGCGTTCTGGCTCCAGCAATCTAGGAGGTGGGGGATGATGCGGCAAGGAGACCGCGCCGGACCCGAAACCCGTGAAGTCAACTGGCGGCGGCGCAAAGCCATACTGTCTTGGGGCGGCCGGTGAGAGCCTCTCCGCAGGCATGTTGGCAAAGTGGTCCATGGGCTCCGAGCTGTAATATCTGTAATGATCGTCGTGGGCATGGGCCAAAGTCGCAGGGGATGCCTCTGGCGACGCGGAAGAGCCGTTCGATGAGTGTGTTGCTGCGGTCGGAGAGTGTTCCCGCAAGGCAGGCACGACGCGTTTCCGGCGTTTGATGATCGTCTTTTTCATTGTGGTGGGGCGATAACAACCGTGCAGCTTGTAATACAGACCTGCAAAGATTCCCGGTTAACATCGCGATTACATCAGCCTTTCTGATAAGAGAAAACGTACCACATGCGTTGCAAATCGGATGGCCATTCTCATCGCGTCGCCAAAGCGGGGTTACCGTGGTTCCACAGTTCTGACACGACACCAGCATGTTTCCTTCCCCCGTTGTCGTGGGCTTTCCGGGTGTGTCCAAAGGTTCCTGTAGCGGGGGAGGCTTCTCGCTCTCAACAGTTGGCGCCCGATTCCAAGCGTGGACTGGGACTGTCCCCCTGGCCGTGGATTTGTAAACCCGATTGTTATAGGCAGGGCACCCATCGCACCCTTCCGCACCGCCCGTACCGTTACAACTTCCCCCACCCGGGCATGACCCTTTAGACCCGTGACAGCCACCCTCGGCATGTGGTGCATGCGTCTCATGTTGGTGAGCAATTGGCAATTGCTGTTGTTGATGCGGCTGAGGAGGCTGACCGGGCTCAGCGCTGGTTTGTACCCGGTTTCGCTTGGTTGGTCGAGCAACATTCCGAGCCTTCAAGTACAACCCACACGCATTGCAAATCATCGCCCCAGTCGGTGATCGTCGCCATAATGGGGTACTTTTGGTTCCGCAATTACTGGGGAAGGACACCAGCGTTAGTAAGACCGAGAAATAATCGCGCAGGGAATCATGCTGCACCTACCTGCAGGAATGACCGTATATAGTGGCGTCTTTCTGGGATTTTGGCGACTGCTTCTCCAACGGGAGGTGACTGGGAGCAGCCTCGGAAAGGGGCTTGACGGAAGGGAGGGAGCGTTCTGGGTCGTAAGAGGGTTGAGTAACGTTTCCCTCGGGTCTCCTCGACGGCTCATCGTCACGAGTACGATCGGCAAGGTGTTCTCGACCAGCCTGCGCAGATGAAACCAACTGTTGCGCCGCGTCCAAATCCTCAGCTGATGGATGCCGCGTAACCATGTCGGGATTCCGAGGCAGCGATCGTACCGACTCCATCTGCGGGATTGAAGCTAACATGATCGATAGATGATGTAGCTATTCTGTCGCCTTCCTGTCCCCCTGCGATAAGAGTGCCGAGAATATCAAGAAGCGGAGCCAGTCACTCAAGGCGGGATCGTAATCGAGTTGTAGAGAAAGGGCTTGTCGTAGTGTATGTCGCACCACCGTCGGGGATAGTAATGTACTGTACCACCAGGCCAAAAGTCGGTCAAGATGACGGTGCAGACGAAAAAGAAAAGAAAAGTCAAAAAGGCAGGCCGACTGGAAACGTGAGCCGGTAGGAACTGCAGCTAGGAGCGAGTCTCCAAAACCAACCAGGCGGAGCCGAGAAAGTCGAGGGACACGAAGATCCTGGACAGCAGGAGGAAGAATGCTGAGGGAGAAAATAAGGCGAGCGATCAGATGTCGAACCACGACAGGGCGATCAGTGGAAAATGGAAAACCGAAGAGCAAGAGTTTGGCCACGCAACGTCCGGTTGTTGGTCCTAATCGACGAACGATGGGGTGAGTGGCGATGTAGGCGTGGCGTCGGATGGTATGTGTGTGGCTCGACGTGCGTCTTTCTGAAGAAGAGGAGCAGGTAAGAAGGAGTCACGAGGTTTGAGGTTGAAAGGGCGAGGATCGATCAGATGTAGAGGGGGAGATGGAAGGGACGATTAGGCAGATGAGAATGAGGAGGCTAAAGGAAGGGTCCAAGACAAGAGATGAGAAGGATAGATCGATCGTTTAGGGGACAGCGCGGAGACAGAGGTAAAGATCGGCAGGAAAACGGCGATCAATACAAGGCGATGGAATGTCGGATCAGATATGATGGAGGGGGGCGAAGACAGAGAGAGAGAGGCAGGCGAAGAAGGGAAGGGAAGGGAGAGGGGGGGAGGTATGGGAAAGAATTCCAGGGGAAAGGGAAGAAGGAATCAGGAGAGGTATGAGTTGATCCGAGGAGAAAGATTGATAAAAAGAGGCAGAAGGGGAGAAGGGGGAGGAAAAGTGGGTAAATGGTGGTTTGAAGAGAAGGAGGTTGTGAGGTTGTTTGGGGCCGAAGGAGGATGATGCTGATGATGCTGATGATGCTGCTGATGGCCGGAGACTGATAACCCCCGGAGGGAGCGTGAGAGAGAGAGACAGAGAGAGAGGGCCCAGACTGCTCGGGAAACGATTACCATGTATGATACTTACCAGGATGGAAATTTTCCTTTTTGTGTCTTCTTTTTTCGGTCCTTTTTTCTCTTTCTTGCCTGCTTTGCTTTCTTTGTTTTTGGGAAGGAAGAAGTTCCGAATGCTGTGTAAATAGCTCGTTTTGGGGATGTCGGAGCGCGCTGTCAAGTCTGTCACTCACACCCAGCAGAGCGGTCTTATCACAACTAGTCGCCGCCCTTTCGTTATCGATCTCCCAGGGGGATCTACGACCGGGGGGGTAGTTCCCTTTCTGTACTAAGTCCGTTCTTTTGCTTTTCAGATCAAATAGTTTTTGTTTCTGTTGTTCGGGCCCCTGCAGAGGTAGTGGATAAATCCGACAGGATGGGAGATGGGAGAATCAGATAGAGGCTGGCTGGCTCTAGTCAGCACCGTGGCATTTCCGACTGATCTGAATTCTGAAAGAAAAAGTGTTGATTTCCAAGCAGTGCGTGAGTGGGTGAAGTTGGCTCCCTTTTTTTTTTACCCTGAAGGCCGTTTTCTTCCATTCCAGCCAGTCCATCTCGCAAGCTTGTCCCCAGATCGAATCATTCGGCTCCACACTGGCTTCATCGGGCTTAGTGCCCTGGGCCAGCGGGGCTGTTGCCTGCCTAATTTGTCACTAGCGCCGAGACTGTGGAATAAGCCTTATTCCACAAGTGGCGATTGGCTTCGTCGGATTTCACCTTCAAGTCAGCCGGTTTCTCATCGCCCTCATTGGCCCCATCGGGGATTACATCTCAGTCTTCCGAACTTCCATGCTCCGCTGCAGTGCTGACTTGCCAGGAGGTGCTTTTGCGCTATTTACCCTCTCGGCAGTGGCTATTTCCTTTTTTTTATGGTGGATTTTAAATCTGTTGGAGAGTCTAGATTGGAAACAAACGTACCAAACAGACAGACGACTAGCGACAACTAGGTTGGTTGCATAAGAGGCTACCTAGCAAGCAATCCCGACGTTTCTCCTTTAAACCCACCGAAATTGGCGTTATCTCTGCCGACGCGGCTGACGCAAAGAAGGACGCCGCGGGCGGGGGATCTAACCTATTCAGCTTAGACTATCTCCAGGCTAACTACTCCGTACGGTGCCTTTCTTTCTTCTCAGTTGTCCTCTGACAGATTCCGATTCGCCCGGACGGAAAGATGATCAATCCCGTTCCAGCCCAGCGATCGTCGACGGCAATTCTATCAATCGCATTTCCATCCCAGAGAACCATCCTGAAAGTCCGCGATGTTGGTCCGGAAAGGAAGAAGGAGTGGTCGGTGTTCAAAAGATGAACTCCCCTGTTTTGGATGTGATAGGTATGAAAATCTGAATAGTATCAGGCAGAGGAGGTGGTACGTAGCGGTCCGCCCGTGGTTTCGATCTACTCCGTATTTCGTACTATCTTCCGATTTGGGTGTGTCTGCTCCTGCTGATCTAGGCAACTGACTATCTTGTCAGATAGATAGATAGATAGATAGTTCGAGACGACTCATCTGATCAAACAAGCAGGCATGAAAAAGGCCGTTTCAATCCGGATTGATTGATCTGATTTGTTTTGTGGTCGATCCCGCCAGTGCATGGCGTGATTTGAGATCAACCAAAAAAGAAAGCAGCCCACACTCACCCTGTATGACCTGGCGTGATTGATATCATGATGCGATATGATATGATCTGATTGATCTCTGATCTGATACGGTTACGTGACCGATACCGAGATCCCAACCCTGATCTTGGAAACACTACCGTAAGTCGACGGACGTTACCTAAAATTAGGTTACGGTGTAATTCTCAACCTACTAAGTCTTAGGTGACTTAGTCTAGCATCATCATCTTTATTAGCATTATTAATTTGGGCTCGGCTTTTGTTGCTCGGTCCATAACTGCCGTTCTTTGCACTGCACTGCACTTTTCGAGCAGGGGGCCTTTAGTAGGGGGCGCGGAAGAACAGGAAGGGAGCGTGGCAGGAGGGAAAATCCTTCCGAATCGCAAAGTTGCCACCACCCCAGCGTGCGTGCCAAACACTCACTCCCCCCCCCCCCCCCCCCACCTCCCCTGCAGTTGCAGTTGCCTGCGTCGGTTCCCGGGGATAAGACGGCCGGCTTTTTCTCCTAGAATAATATCCCGACTTCCCATCCATGGCTTGACCGTTCGGAGAAAGCGCAAAGACCAATCACGCAGACAGACAGCATCATTCAGACCAAGTGAGTAGGATCCAGCCAAGGTGGGTAATAGGGCCATACTTGACCGCGATTGATCACCGTCTGCTCGCCTCATAATCAGCCATCGCCAGTATCGTCCTTGGCTATGCGGGGGAGGCGTGATGGTCACAAACCCTGGGAAACAAGAATGCGATCCGGAAGCGATACGCCAGCTAGTAGTTGCTGCCTGCTAACCCTGCAGATAGTACAGTAGACTACAGTACCACCGATCTAATCGCAGGTAAGGAATAAAAACGCCGTGATTACGTAGTGGCCATGTGGTGCTGGGTTGCGACCGCTGGCTGCAAGGCTGTTCTGTTCAAGCGATCTGAAGGCAGCAATCAATTAAGGGTTCCCGTAAGCGATTAGATCAACAGTTCAGCTCAACCCAATACACACCAATACACTTCTACTTGGTGGTGGCTTGGAGCGTTCCAAGTTTCTTTGGGGCGCATCGGTTCTAGTGATTCGATGGGCGTTGGATACTTATGCTGGTCACGGCAAGGCGTGTCGCTTGAGGGTTGCGGCCATCCTCATGCAGCCAACGTCCGATCATTTCTGGTTCCAGACAAAGGAAGAGTCGTCAAGGCGGGCAGCTTTGCGGTGGATACGAACGGGCTGTCTGAAACACATCGCGATTGGGAAAGTACGAGTACTTGTAAATTTGTTCGGATCTGTCCATGTAGTGAGACTGATACAGACCGACTTTCCGACGTACAGGTAGATGATCTGGTCGACTTATCTCCGGACAAAAGTACCGTTCGCTAATCAGTACATGTCGATCGACACTAGTCATCTAGAACACTCACTGGGGGGCCTAAAAGACGAGGAAGAGGATGGGACTCCGTATGACCGACCGCAACAGCTAATTAATCCAGAAGCCTCAGCTTCGCAGAAGCTGGATTTCCTCTTTCCATCGACCAAAGCAACCTTCTTAGGTGATGAAGTGTAAGATCACTGCAACTCGGACATAAAACTCCAATTCTCACAAGCAATAGCCAGGTCGTGTATCCCCCTGGTTATCCGCCATAAGACCTTTATCGATCAAATCCAGCCTGCCATCCACGCCTGAGGTATGCTGTCCACGTACAACATTGATTAAGCCCACCAACGATGAACCTCATCGAGCAACAAGTAACTGCAGCCGGATCCTCCGGCTGTATGTTCTACTCTCAATGCCATCCATCAGAGATCAGCCATATCTATATCTGTACCTCACGGAGCCCAACCGCCTGCATAGCCCATGAGAGAAAGGCATTGTCTCCAGACCGCAGCCCAAACTAACCATCATGATCGTACTTGGTGGTAGATCCTGACTATAGGTAGAGTCTAGCGTGGGGTCATCATTTGTTCCATGATCCTTTGCGGACCGTGAACAACAACGATGACAGGTTCGAGAACACAATGTTTCATGCAGATATTGTGTATAGCATGAGAGCCAGGAAAGTCAGCAACGCTTGACAGGCCGCAATAGTACAGTATCAATCTTATCACGATTAGGAGGCAGCACAAGTATAGTGCCCGCTACTAGTCACTTCCCATTATCAAATCAGACCAATCCTACTGGCCACACATTTCACCAAGTGGCATATATGTACACCTGCACCGACTCCAAGAAAATTCAATTGGAAATTTTCGAAATGCATTCGATGATGAAACATACACATAATTAACGAATTATCCGGGGTAGACGAATGCTACCTACCCCATCCAAGAGAAAGGCCCGCTCACATGGTCTCGGAATTGCCGGGGTCTTTCCAGTTGTCTCGCCAGTCCCCCAATATAGACCCGTCACATGAGAGCCCGAAGGATAGCAAACAACCCACGATCTAGCGAGTGATATGTAGTGCCCGTATGGCGCGGCGCGCGCTCAGGCCTCGACCAAGAATTCATCAACTGATGATGACTTTTCATGTATTTCCTTACTGTATAATACAAGAGCTAGTAAAGCGTAATAAGAGGCATGACAGAAACCAAAGAATAGAGCCTTTCCATGCTGGTGGTATAAATCACTGGGGGCCCAAACCTAAAAGAGATATCCCAGGTACAGTACACACATACATACATGCACACACACATGTCCGACACCACTCGGGACCGGAAGGAAATACCATATATCTAAAAGATCCATGACGCAGTGCGCTTTGTGCGGCGGATTGAAGCACTCCGTTTGCACTCACTGAGCCTCGTTTCACACCCCCCGACCCTTTTACGCAATCAATTCGCATACCCATATTCATTTCATCGCAACTCGTCCGATCATCAAGCGTCGCATAAGAGAGAGAAATTTATCAGTTTACCACCGGTCTTGACGTCCACACTCCATGCAGTCTAGGATGGAGCCACCTGACGCTTTGCCCGCTCGTGAAGACCGACTGAAGATTAGCTAACCACCTTTGTCGAACGACAATCACGGACAACATCAGATGGCCCTACTGTCCTGGAGCGCGCACGTGCACGCAATACGGCGTCTAGACCTGCTCGGCGCCCCAGCCCTGGTCGGTCTCGCGCATGTTGGACGGAGGCTCGATGGAGGGGATGAACTCCAGGGCAATGTAGCCCAGGCCGATGAAACCGACGACGGAGCCCGCGATGATCCGCAGGGCGCCATCGTGCAACAGGATCGATCCGACGAAGATGTAGACTGGTCATGGTCAGAACAGTATCGCCCAACTTCTGGCGCCACGCAACTTACAAGCACCCCGTCCGAGGAAGGAGAAGAGGAAGGAAGCATAGCGGTACACGTAGTCGGGGATGTTGGGCAGGAATTCCAATCCACCAACGACTGTGTTGTGTCAGTATTTCGCAGTGAGCAGGCTAAGGTGGTGTTGGCGAGAACTTACTGAGACCGAAGATGATCACGTAGATGCCAACAATGATGGAGCTCATGGACATAGGGAAGAACTGGGAGATACCGCCCAGGACCATGAGCACGCCAACAACGAGGTTGACAATCCGGCTGAGAGTGGGTATCTGGTTAGAGATTGTGCTTGCAATGGTGGTGAATCGGTGGATCGGTATCGTCCAACGTACAAGATGTTAGAGAGATCCATTGTCGCGATTGGGCCGATAGAGCTGTGTATACACTCGGCAGTTGAGAAAAGTTCGTGCTAGTGATAAGCGTGGCGGAGGAAAATGAGATGAGGGGAGATTCGTCTATGAAGCAATCACGTAAGTTGGGATCCCACGGTGAAGGAAACCGGGCACCGGCGGAGACGACTGTCGCCTATCGGCCATACCTGAGTAGCTAGACGATAGATAGTCGCGTTAGTAAGACCAATTCTTGACTGCACTCATCAGAGCTACAGGGGCTCACCTTGGCAGCTAGACGTGCTGAGCAAGTAGCAGTGCGCAAATGAAAGGGAGAGTGCGGAAGGAAGATCAGGGAGAAGGTGAGTGAGGCTTAAGCTCTCGAGTTGTCGCGCTGTCGCAAGCTGCGGGTCTGCCAAGACCTCTGCCTGCGAATGACTCAGCAATCGCCGGATGGGGATCGCACCCATGCTTGAGATTACGGTCCATGTTCAATCGCCAATCATGAATTCCTACGGAGTACGGAGTACAGCTCAAATTGAAGCTCCCTATTGAGACGAACAGCATGCGTGACACATTGAATCTTTACTTGCATACGTACATCGTCGCTGAATGCCTAAGAGTCTCGCTATACTGGGATTTGGGTGCTGCTACAGCCGTCGACGTCATACCTCACGCTAGGTCGCCAAGTATCCGCTTTGTGAGATGATGGCATGAACTCCATATCTGATAACACCTCTCCGTTCGCTGTACAACCCGACAGTTGCAGGATCTGTGATACATGATAAACTAGACCCTTGGATACTGGCATAACGGCCATAGCGTGTCGCACGCTACTCCCCATCCACTAGATGGAGGTAGACGTTCACGACGCCATGAGATCACCCTGTCTCTTTTCCAGCCTTACAGCGGAGAGACCATTGGCCAGGCGGCTCATGGTCATAGAGTCGCGTCCCAGCTCAGCATAGATCGCATCCAAGTCCGTGCCCAGTCCGACCTTGTCAGCCGTCTCCAGACTGCGCCCGTCGATGAACGGGGCCATCGAAGGCCAGACGCTCTGGACATTGTTGAGGAAGAGATCCGCTCCCAGATCCCCGAGCCCCTTGATCTCCTTGATCAGCTGTCTGGTCTTGTTGCGGTCGTTGTTCGCTTTCTTCAATAGATTGTTGAGATCTCCCTCTGGTCATCACTTAGTGAGAGGACATAGCAGAAAGTCAACCAATCGGGCAAAACATACCATACTTCTCGCTGACCAAATCGACCATCTCCCCCAGATTCGTCGCCCCTTGCTCCCGGTAGCGATTGTAACCCCCATCCTTGAGAGCCATCGCCTTCTCCTCCCAGCTACTCTTACTCAGCTTCCGGATATCGTGAAACCCAATCTCAATAAGGTGATTGACCGCGCGCTGCGACAGGTCATGCGAGATGGGCCGCGACTTCAGCATCGCATCGATGACCATCGCGAGCAGTGTCTCGGGCGAGCCTTCCAGTGTTCCTTCCGCAAGCGCTGTCCCGTAGAGCGGCGGACGCCCGAAGTCCTGCACGGCTTTGTGCAGTTTCGGTTTGCTTATCGTGGTTTCATCTCCGGATGGCTGTTTCAGCTCGTCGGGCCCTTCTTCATCCAGCTCATCCTCCCCATACTCATCCTCGTCCTCGTCCTCATCCTCCTCTTGCTCTACATCCTCATCCTCATCTGCACCTTCCAGCTCCTGCACCTCCTCATCATCGGCACTCTCAATCTGCCCATCATACCCATCATCCTCCTCAATCACCTCCTCCTGTTCCTCGAAATCATCAGCAGCAGCGCCCTTCCTCGCCACTTTACTAGGAGGTTGTTCACCCCCGGCGCCGGCGCTAGCCTCGCCCGTCGACTCGGCCCGTAGATCTCGCTGATCGGGTTTGCGCTTCCGGGGGATCGGCGTACCGTCTGTTTCGGAGTAGTCTTCTACCTGCGGGGACTTGTACTTCATTCTGTCTGAGAGCGGGTGGGTGGGTAGGAGGTTGTTTGGGAGTTGTTTCGCTCGTCTTAGTAAAGGGTGTGCGTGGAGACTGTCTTAGTAGGGGATGTGAGGGTGGAGGGTAGCTTGGGTAGGGAATGTGAGTGCGTAGGTTGTCTTAGAACGCGGTAGGCAGTGTGATTGTATGAAAAGTGATGGATGTGATCTTGTATAGATATGATGGGTTTCGAGGGGTGGTCTCGCGAAATCTGGGGTAGTATGAAGTATAAGTCCTCCGCGGAACTGTTATGTCGTCATCATGAATCAAGAACACCACTCTCCCCACCTGTCATCCAATGGCTGTCGGACTCTTTTCTGAGCTTGGCATCATTACCTTAATATTGGCCGTTGAGTCAAGCTGGAGGAATTCTATATACGATATGTCCGAAGGTCATGCTGATGCTGGATATCCCAGGCAGGGTAAACTGCGTTTACACAGCTCAACCCCAACCCGAAACCAGTTCAAAGCTTCGCGCGACCCTTCCGCTCCAAAACCCCATAAACCAGCCTGACCGCATCATCCGCGCACCCAAATGAAGCCTGGTACCCGAAGCCGCCATGGCCGTAATTATGCACGACGGCGAGGCTCTCGACGTGATCCGCCTCGACGCGCGGGCCGCCCTCACGGAGGGGCCGCAAGCCCACGCCATGGCGGATCACATCCAACCCCTCAACCCCCTGGCCCTCGGACACCAGCTCCGGGCAGAGCACGACCGCGCGCTTCATGATGCGCACTGCGAGGTTGGGATCAGGTAGCGGATCCCACTGGTGCTTCTGGTAGGTGCCGCCGAGGATGGTGCCGCCGCCGGCGGCGCGCGTCATCACGTAGACAACCTCGTCGTCGCCGTCGTCGCTGCCTGAGATCGAGACCATCTTGCCTGGGTCGTTGCGCACAACCACGATCTGTCCCCGCGCCGGGTAGAGCTTGGCGTCTCGCACGCCGCCTAGGGTTCGGGAGGCCAGGCCTGTGCAGTTGACTACCACGTCCGCGGTTTGGCCGTTGGCCGTGGCTGTGGCGGCGTCGGCGATGTGCTTGAGGACCGCGCGGCGGAAGGTCACGCCGTTGCGCCGGCATTGGCCGACCAGCCACGGGAGGTAGATCGCTGTGTTGATGCAGACGGAGGTGAACTTCGAGGCATTGTCGATGCCTTCGGCTAGTTGGCTTGCTGGGATGTCTTGGAACTGGTGGTTGTGTTAGACTGGACTTGAATGATAGTCGTTTATGGTAGAGGATAAGCGCTGGGTTCACGCACGTCCGGTACAACATCTTTATACCAGGGGTTCCTTTGCACCAATTCAGAGAACCATTCTCCGGTTGCGGATCCTTGGTCTTTGGCCCGGTTGTAGACGATTGTTTCTTGATGCGCATAGAGTCAGTGGCTATCGGCAATGTGGTCGGGGTCATTCATACCTTGGAAGTGAATGCCTGCTTCTGGATGTTTCTCGGTAAGGTCTTTCAATGCTGGCCAGGTGTTGCGTTCCCACTTTTCATGGTCGCTGCCGCGCTTTCCCACCCTTGGATACGCAGACAGATCAGTCTCAAGCCAGGCCAGGCGGCTTCTACTTCTAGGGGACGTACGGGAGATAGTTGGCTCCAGCCCATGGAGAGGCATATTCGATGTCATAGTCGCCAGGCATATGCTTAGCGAGAACGGTGATGCTATTCGAAGGGTCCTTCGAGAGGAGATATGCAGTGGTAAGACCAGACACGCCGGCTCTGAGACCAGGGATTAGTATGAATACTCGAGACAGGACAGCATGAGCGGGGTCAGACATACCCCAGAACCACAATGTTATTTATCGCCATTGATGCTGTTGCTTTCCAGGGACGATTCTATGAATGCTGTAAAATATCAAATGCCCCGAAGAAGAGGTGGATGTCCGGAAGTGGAAGATGGATAGACAGATACACGCCGTGAGTCAAGCAAGCAGCGAATGGTGACCGTGCCCAGTACAGTAACTACAGCTTATCGCGATGGAAGCCATGCGGGATGATAAGAGATCCCCGCTCGGGGCTCGGGGTCTCTCGCCAAGCCGGAATGGAGAAACCGTCCTCAGGCACCCAGGCAGGAGGATGTCTTCCCACCCCGGCCACAGGTGCGGTTAGTAGAACCTTCCTGCAGTGGTCTTTGGGACTATCTACATTGTCAATGGATAACTTTCAATGACAGCGATTCAGCAGATTCGAAGTCACATTCTTCTGACATCAATTGACAGATGACATGCCAGTCGCGTTGACGGGACATAATCAAGCACAGGGTCCATAGTCCAGTCTCCGGGCTCCACTAAATCAATTGGCCGCATTACCATTGGCCATAAGCGCGTTCTTGTCAGGGCGCAGTGAATGAGGTCAATCACAGCGACAAAGCAGCGCGTCTCGCAGCCAGCGTACCGAGTATGCCTGGCAAGTGACTCGCTGACAGCTCACATCCATGTTATGCAGTTATGCCCGTGTTCTGCAGCCTTGCTACATCCGCATCATTGCCAATCGACCGGCCGACAGGTCACTTCATGCACAAACAACGCAGAGGAATCTAATAGTGGATTCGGGTTGGGGAGAATCGCAGTCCAACCGTTGTATTCCGACAGGGCGGTGTGTGCTTGGGTGCTTGTTCTCTTCATCCTTTCCCCTCCGTCCAGTGCAGTACAATCTACTTAGTACTTGTACTAAGTATCATCGATTGTGGATTGTGGGATCTGGTTGAGGATGAGGCGCGAATCCATGGATGAAAGTGGTAAGTTACATACAGTCAGGAACGCGTCCTCATTGATGGACTCGAAGGGTTGTGGGGATGACCAAGGATACAATACCGATCTGCAAACCCCGATACAATAGGGTCTGCACCTGTCAAGTCAGGCTCCTGAGCAGACATTGAAGTAAATAAAGTGGCCTTGGCGAATTGACAATGGCAATCTCTATCGAACAATGGCTCTAATTGAGTGAATCAATTTGAGGTAGTAGAATGTACTGAAGTACTCGATGGCTTCCTCGAGTCCATTTCTTTCGTCATCAACCATCACCGCCCTCGTCTATGACCCAATCATCAGCTCAGTATTACCTCACCGCCCCTGTTTTCGGACAAGAAGCAGGAAAAAAAAAAAGTTCAAAGCGTGGCTGTAAGACTCCGTACGGAGTCAGTAAGACTGCAGTTCGCCTGTCTTGAAAAGAAAAGTCTCGCGTGTAGATCGTGTGTTGCTTTTCCTTCCGCCCGCCTTTTCTTCCTTCCCATTTACTTACTTACTCTTACTACTACTACCTTAACACCACCCATTCACCTGCCAGAATAAACCACTTTCTTCTTTCCATTCCCCCCCCTCTTCCCCCCCCTTCTCCCCATTTTATCCACTTTTACTATTGTTCTTTTTCTCTTTCTTTTCTTTATTCTTCCTCTCCTCTCTTTCTTCTGCTCGACGAAAGCTTTCTACAACTCTTTGTTCCGCAAATGAGTGCGTCTCGTCGAGCAGACACTATAACCACTAACTATGGCGGACGTTCCGAACGGTGGCAGAATTGTGCCTATAATCGCGGCTCCCCGTCAGCATTACTCCAGTTCGCCCGCCGATGAGCTTGTGAACACTCAACCCCTCCCACAATCAAAAACCTCCAAATCTTCCCGAAGTACGCGCATCAAGACTGCCGAGGCCGAATGCCTCGAGATTCCCTGTCTCAATGAGCTAGGGCTGTATGCTCTTCCTACCGAGGGCGACGGTACGTTGCTCCTCCTCACCCGCCATTGCGCTACTAGCTTGAATCTTGGCGCTGTGAATCTGCTGTACCTTGCTTTCTAACCGTTGTACGTAGGCAATTGTCTGTACTATGCCCTCTCCGACCAGATGTACGGTGACTTTGCCCACGCCGATCAGATCCGGGTACGACTTGCCGATCACATCTTAGCCAATAAGGACTACTTCATGAGCTTCATAGCTGCCGCCGGTGGAGAACGCAGGGCGCCTCGCCGCGCAGCAGCCAGGGCAGCCAGGCAATCGTATTACTCTTCTTCATCCGCCAGTCCTGCGCCTCCCTCGGCCCAGGACAAGGAGCGTAGCTTTGACACCAAGGTCGCCGAATCGAGGAAGCGAGGCGTCTGGGGCGGCGCAGAAGAGATTCAGGCCTTCTGTCAATCTTTCAAGCGGGACGTGAACGTCTACACGATGTATGGAATTCAAAATTTCCGTGACGTCCACGCCCCCGCCGACGAGGCAAGAGAGAAAGTGCATATCGCATTTCACGTAAGTAAATCACCAATGCTATGTCGTAGTCAAAGACCTAACCCCCCGGCGTAGGACTTCCATCATTACTCGTCTGTTCGACATACTAGTGGGCCGCATACAGGGCCACCTTCTATATCTCCCGTCGACAAGGCGCGTCAGCAGGAAGCTTCCTCTACCGTCGTGGACGTGGCGACCCCGTGGAAGATCTCGGCCATTCAGGAGGGTCTCGGAGGTAAATACGACCGGGAAACCATTGTGGGCATGCTGCAACAGTGCCGGGGTAACATCGACCGGGCGTTCATTAATCTGATTGGCGAAGACGCGAACCATAGCGCAGCAGATGCGCCTACCTCTAAGGCTATCATGAAGTCGCATCTCCAGCCCTCCTCGCGGTCTTCGTCTCCGTTCAGTACGGGCAGCAAACGATCTGCGGATGAAAGTGAAGCTGATGAGAACCCCCGGCCGGCTGTGCGGCGCACACGGGCCCGGGAGACTAAACGACGGATCCTTCCCGACGTGACCGTTGGAATCGCATTTCGAGACGATCAGAACGATCTTGTCTCTTTGCGACTGCGGGTCAGTCCTGACACGGTGGTCCCCAAAAAGCAGCCCACAGGTCACTCGACCGCCGGGCAAACTGAAACAAGTTCTCTGGGTTCTGCTACCGACAGCACCGATCAGTCGAAAAAGGACCCAAAGCTCAAGATCAAGTTCAAAGCGGCGGCACCTCCACCTTCAACCGAAACCGCCAGTCGGCAGCAGACTGAGTCCAGTGAAGAGCCAAAGGCACCGCCGCCGCGACGGAGCAAGCGTCTGTCAAAAAGCCGCAACACCCCCAGGACGGGTTGATTCATTCATACCACGCATCTCAGATCACACTCTCCGAACCTCATCTAAAACAGCAGAGTGTCACCCCCCCACTCACGCATACGACGCTAACGACCACCATCTATTTCTTCGATACATGGCAACATTTTCTGGCTATTGCATTAACAAGCGCGTTGGGTGTTTCTTTTCTCCCGAGCTTTCTTCCATTAGAGCGTTTAGCCCGCTTGCTTCACTTTACTTTACTTTACCTTTCTTTCTTTCTTTCTTTCTTCATACCCTCCTGCATATACTTGCTACATGCATGCATGCTTCCAGCGAACTAGACCTTGCTCACGATTCACACCATTTCAACTTCTTTCTCATATCAGACAAGATCTTTGGGAGGAATTTGCCTTCCCCAAACCATTTATGATACCACTACCACCACGACGCGATACATCTTTGTTTCCGGGGGCTTCTGTATCGGTTCCGCAGTTACCCGAACTGAACATAACTTTTCATCATCATCAGGCGTTTGCACTCCACTGGACGGGCATTTCCTTCATGATATCCCCATCACCATAGGATGGATGAATCTTGCATATTTCCTTCGTTTCAAGAATCAAAACGAGCCGATGCTCTGCATTGAACCAATAATTTCAAAACTAGCTTGACTTGGAACCTGTCTGTAGGGAGACAGTAAAACCAGAAGAAGAAGACATAGGCCCCCCCGGCCCTTTCCCCTTCGGGTACGTACTTAAAACCAGAACACAAGATGCGTGCACCCTGTTACCTCCCCGGTTATTTACCCATGACACCCAATAAAAGTGTAATGTTCCCATCCTCCCTCGATTCCGTACTATCTAAGCATAGACCAACAAGCTGGCTGTCTAGAGCAGCATCAGCCTTTACTAATCCAAGCTCAAACTCAACTCAACTCAACTCTACTTACTTGTTACCCTGCTAGCTACAATTCCTACCAACTGCAGTGGTATTCGCATGGAGTGCAAGAGTCCAAGTTGAGCTATGGGACTTGAAGGTATGCACGGGCTTGGTGGGAGGCTGTGGTTCTTGTGTATGGATGAGTGGAGTTTGTTTAGGTGTTAGGCTGTGTTTATGGTTCGTTGAGTAGCATACTTCGATTGGAAATAGGTTCCACGTGCTTGGTGTGTGGATTACTTATTTGGTAGTGTTTATTTCTTTCATACCTAAGTGTGGATTACTTGCTTGATAGTGTGGATTGATTGATTGATTGATTGATTGATTGCTCGATTGATTATTCTAGCGGGTTTAATGAATAGTATTGTTTGGATTAATCTCTATCGTGGATGTATAGTGCCCGAGACCTCTCTGGTTCGCTCGAGCTAATCGCGGCTTCAAAGTGAGTGGTTGAAGTCAGGAACGGTTCGCGAGGCGAAGGAGTGAGAATGTAAGGTTGAGTTGGATGGAGACTCCATCATGTTGTGTCGATGGTGTCGTATGCTGGGAAGCTGAAAGGAAAGGGGGGTCCGGGGATTCTCCCCCGGGACGTCATCTCATGTGAGAAATGGCAAGGGCCGATGTCAGCAAGCTGTTTTGTTGTTGACGATTGGGATTTTGATTGCATCGGTAGGAACGCTGTAATGTTCGGGAGCAGCTTGACTTTCTGCGAGCTTTGTGCAGTACTGCTCAAGGCGGGCTGGTCGTGGTTGCCCTGCAGGCATCAACGGATCAGGTTGTGGTTGTGGTTGTCAGTTCGTGTCTTCTGACTGATTGGTTCGAGTATGAGGTGTTCATCCATCGATACTCAAATGTACCTCAACCCGTCATCGCGACTGGGTGGAGATCAGTGTCCGGTCGCAAGCGGATACCCGAGGAGTAGCAGAGGTTGTACAGGTCGTCCACGTAGGTGCTGTAGGCCATGTCGCCGGCGACGACAGTGGTGCGAGAAGCGTGTCTGGGCGAATTGAGCATCTGCTCCGACAGCTTTGCCACATCAACCTTGACCTCCTTTCGAACCATGATATCGCCCAGCGGGGAGACGTCCGTCCAGCTATCCGGCGACCGCTCCTGCACCACGGTGATGGCCTGCTTGCGCGGCCAGAATTTGAAAACGGATTTGACGGAGGGAGCGAGCTCGGAGTCGGTGGCCGAGCTGGTGCGTGTGTCGGAGTAGTACAGCTCTTTGCCGAGCTCCTTTGCGAAGCCCTCTCCTCCATCGGGGGCCTCGTTCAGTTGCTGCTGGACCCGGAAGAGACGCAGCGGCGCAAAGGTGTAGTTCGGGTTCGAGACTCGCGTGTCCAGGTTGCCCACCACGCAGAAGGACAAGAGGGTGCAGCTTGAGGTCTCCATGGTATTCGGCGTGCGACAGGGAGCGATGAGCGGTCGAGCGGAGAAACGGGCTACCTGGTTGATATCAGGAGGGAGCGTGGCGGCGAGGGTGGCCATTGCATGGATCAACTGTTCTCGGAACTCATCCGCATCCTCATTGGCTTGGGCCGCCTCCGATCTAAGCCAGGTCATGCAGGTCGATATGGTCCATCCCTCCATGTGTGATAGCAAGTCTAGATGCTGGAACTGAAGCCGCTTGATGGGTAGAGTCGCCGACGGTAAGGGGTTGCCGGTTCCCTTGGCTGTGAGCACCTCGAAGTGGTCGTAGATAGTTGGCCGCATGACGAAAGAGACCAAGTGAACGCCGGGCAGGTAACTGTGGCCGGAGGTAGCGTAGTCGCGCATGTCTCGGAGATGAACGCCCAGGGTCGGTGCGGGTATGTGCATGCGGCTGGACAGGGCGGATGTAACGTTCTCGATCGTGGTGAATCGGTATCCGGCAGCGGCCATGCGGCTCGCTTCTTGTTTGTTCAAGTGGCGAACAGTAAACATCATCTGACCTCTGCTTCCACCAAGTCTAGCGTATCCCATTGCCCTACCAAAGCATGAGGCCGGGGCACTTGTGGTCAGAACGTCGTCGTACAACATGCCAAGGTTCGGTAACGGCTGTCGCAATTCGTCGGCAAGGTCCTGAGCGGCCACGCAGAAGTGGCGTTTGAAAAGCTCGTCGAAGTCGGTCTGGAGCTCGTTCTCCTCGTCCAGCCCATCTCCCTTGGCGAAGTAATCGTCCGACTCCAGTCGAACTCTCATGAAAGGCACGACATCCTTGACGATATTCCAGTTTCTGCTGGCTCGGAAGGCCCAGAGGAAAGCCGAATGAGATCGGGTCAGATCGTCATCATTGAAGGTCTAAAAGGTTGCAGAGTAGAAGTCAGCCTCCATCTATGAGTATAGCGTTGTAGCCTGACGTACCTTGCCCAGGTAGCGGTCGACGATCTTTCGACTAGGGAGCAATGCATGGGGCGTCACCATGATGCGTCCTTCTTGATCGAAGTAGACGCCGCTCAACACCAGCTGCCGAGCTTGTGTATGCAGCCGTCTCCGACTTCCACCGGCCGCCACCGCACATATAGTCAAGATTCCGCAGGCAGCGCATGCCTATGTTCCATTAGCATCTTAACCCCAGCTATGATTGGGGTCAACCTACTAGAACAGCGCAGATGATGACAGTTTGGCTTCTGGAAAGCTGGCTGCTGTGCCGAATACTGTCATCGTGTTCCCAGTAGGAAGTGCCGACGGCAGCAGTCCAGTGCATTCCGGAAACAGCACAGGCCAGAAAACAGCCACAGATGCCTCGCCTCCACCAGCTGTCCGTCCAAGTCGCTCTCCACCGGAAGAACACCGCCAGTGCAGTTGTGCTCGCGAAAACAGCGATGATGGTGGCCCCCACGACATTCGCGACTTTATAAGAACATCGGTAATTGCTGATGCCAAGTTGGCCGATATAGTGCATCCCGCAAGCCGCGCCGCCAGCAAGTACACCACCCATTGTAATGCGAATGAAACTCGTCTCTTCGCTGGCTCCAATCGAATAGAAGGCAACAAGTAGAACAACGACCGGCAGAACGAAAGAGACACCGGTGAAAGTCATGCTGTAAACGATCTGAATCTGCTTGCTTCCATCTCCGAGAACGATGGCGCGATTCCCAATAAAGTGCATACACCAGATGCCAATGCCTCCCATAACGATTGAGGAGGTAAGGAGGAGATACCTACTTGGGCGGTTAGAGGGACTTGAATCCACACGCAGATGGGGCCAGCAAATTCTCATACCAGTTGTACAAACCAGCCCTGGAGGTCCGTCTATGTAGCAGCTCCAGGGTGGTGGTACATCCCATCATGCTCACGACATATGAAAGAAAGATATAGCCCCCGAGGTATGAGACAGGGATCGACTCCCCATTGTATCTGTCTGCGAGCCACATTCTCTCAACGAGAGGCTCTGACGAGAGCAAGGTTAGAACCACAAGAGAAGGCTGTCTGTTGGTCACTGCATCTAGGACATCGAGCCTATAATCTTACAAGGGAGTGGAAGGTGGGTGGCGCATCAGGGAGCGAGAAAGAGTGAGGAATAAGCCTGATATGGGGGGGATGCCAGCTGCTGACAAGGGAGATCTCCGATAATATACCAGAAGGATCGAGCTGGTGGTATCTGGACCGCGTATTCACTTCGGCGGGACTGGCCGAATTCCTCCAGGAACCAGGATCTCGGAGCATGCTGCAATTAAGGGCAAATAATATAATAAAATTCAGCCAGGCCCAACGAGTACACGGCGAGTGGAAAATAGATTAGCGACGGCGGAAAGCCACGGATACATTACAGGCTCCTACGAGGACTGATAATGGACGTTAAATTTGCGCATGCGGAGCAGTAGGAGAGCAGGTCCCGCTTTCTGGTGGCCATCCGGGTCTAGCAGGCACAAGAATGACGGGAGGAGAGAAAGACTAGAGGCCATCGCGATTGTTTTCCAGAGCCAAGACTGGGTCCGATTGCATCAGTGAATCGGTTCCGGAAATCCTGTAATCAGGAACGATGGAGTGGACACAGGCGTTGGCGAGTCACGATCCAGCCCTGTCAAACAACCACGGCCTGTGATTTCAACCCAGTCAGCCACAGCAGCTGAAAGTTAATCAGCGGAACTGGGTCCAGGCTTTGGCTGCTGGCGTATCAGGATGAATGATCTGGTCAAATCTCGGAGATATAGGCTAGAGAAACTCTGGTCGGCTGCGCCGCTTAGGTGGTAGATTGCGCCTTCGCTCTTCTCCGAGGGACACTTACTTTATCCGCTTGCCGCGGGCAGATAGGGACGCAATATGGACGCGAGTCAAGGGAAGCATCTTGTTTCTTTGTATTTGGGAGCCCCTTGCAGGTTTCTTGCCAATTTCAAGCGGATTTAGGCCCCGCGCCGAAGGATGTCAGCACTAAATCAGTGTCTTGAGTCGTCATCCACACCTGAGACTAGTGAAGGCTCCGGAGGAAGAGACTGAGAAACAGGCATTCCAAGGATCTCAGCCGGAGAAATCGACCAAATGGATTGGAATAGGGCTACATCGAAGGGGAAGATGATGGCAAGCGAGACAAGACATCGGGGAAATCACCACATGGGAGAAAGGGCACAGCCGCACAACAGCAGGACCCTGGGTGATTAGTGCGCACATCCAGAGGACCTGACGCCGAGGCGAACCCACTCTCTGGGAGATCATGCGCGTCTTGGACTCCAGGCACTGGGTAGCTTGGCACCGGTGAGACACACCGAGCAGAGATTGTGAGCAGTGGAGCAAGCGATTGCAAAGAAGGGTGGTTGACAACTTGACGAGCTGAACGAGGCCCAAGACGGTTTAGCGGCAACAGACTCCGATCGATAGATGGCGTTAGTCCCGATCTGGCTAGTCCACTCGAACCGCTCTCGTTCTAAGCGATGACCGGCCATGCGACGATTCATCCTTGCTGTCACCAATTACTTAGTTAGTACGAGTATTGCGGAGGCATGAAAGCATAAGCGATGGACAGAGTCAAGCTTTGCTGTCACCTCTCCCCTACGGTTCTGACTCGTTTGGCAGCGATGCGAGTCTGAAACATGCCTGTTGAGTGTTGACGAAAACCTGCCCACCGGCCAGGCCAGTTCAGCTTATCAACCAGAGCCGTGGCACCCACGCGGTAGAGCAAGGTTTTCTATTCTAGTGCCACGCACTGGCCCGGCTCTAGATCCGGATGGGAGAAACAACACTGGACACACTGGGCTATACCAAGGTCAAACCTCCATGAGCGCGCCCCTGCCAGCATTTTGATCTGGGATTCCTACTTTCCCAGCTCCTCCGGGATCTCCTCCGTCGGTTTTCAACCACTTTCGGGCCTAGTATCAATAACTGCCTTGCCTTCTCCGGTTACGGCTGGTACTACTTTCAATAATTAGAGGCTTTCCACAAACCGAAACTTTCTCGGGTCTTAGTGTCTTGGTCCTGAACGCAACGATCACCATGTGACCGAGCCTCGATCACGCTCAAATCTGCGGTGGCGGAAACATGGATGTGGCAAACGTGGTGTGGGTTGGACAATCTTCCAACCCAATCCAATCCGTCTGTATCTATCCTAAGCCATCTGTGATCTGTCCATGACAGATCTCTGTCCTCGTTGTGCCGGAGATTGATAAGAATCGTGCTTCGTGGCATCTGAAAGCGGTTTAGCGTGTGAGGTCAGGTCAGATACTGACGCCACGAAACCTACCGTGAATCTGAACTTTGGGGCAAGAGGGGGGCGGAGGACGCCTCAATAATGAAGTTTTATGGTTGTGAAGAACAATAGACTTTATTTAGGTCGAGACTGCACGAATAAGGTTATCATCATCTCGTAGATTTAGTCGAGATTCGGAATTCTTAGCACGGATTGAGTTCTGTGTGAATCAGCTCGTCCTCGACTCGGGGAGATGCTCGTCGGTAAAGTTCTGCAGCGCTGCTTTCGACTCGTAGACAGGCAGATACCGTATTCGAAGTTCGGCAGTGAATTCTGCACGAGATGGAGGGGTATTTAACGCGGGGAGTATCACGACTCAGGACCTTGATCTAGACCGGTTGATGCTATCGACGTAGGATAGGGATCATGTGAGCATCAAGCCAACTGGCGATATCATTATGCTTGTCAACCCGATTCAGTGCGAACTACACAAGCTAGGAGTATCTCAGAATCGAGACCTTCAAGCTTGACGAACCGAATCGCACGAGCAGGACAGCATTTCGCCGGGATACCTGCCGATCAGCGAAAGCCAACTCTAATCGCTGAATAGCTACCACATGGCTTTCTCGCAGGCTCTGTTAGCGACTCGCACCCAAATCCAAGAATTAAACGCGCCCCCGAAAGAACAATAAACCAACAAACCACCACAACCCAACCACAAACCCATGAAGGCTGAAGGCGGAAGCAAGCACGCGACCCCGACTTCGGAAAAACACCTCAAACACTACACCCGCCCCATCCGATAATCCATCGCAAATCGTACAGTACTCGATATCGTACTTAGTACAAAATATCTGACCCACCGCTCGGCGGATCAGATCAGATCAGCCCTTATCACGCTCGATATCCGTTCCACCAAACGCACAACTCGCTTGTTCAAATTAATGCTGATCAGCGCAGCTGAAGCGGACACCACTCAGTCAAGAGAAATTCAAACACACAAGCGAAGTCGCTTTCCCCACAAGTAGAACAAAGCTGAAAGAGCTAATGCGATGTTCTCCACCTTCAATATAAGCACTTCATTAGGAGTACACTCACTCGTCCGAGAATTCCGGGTTATCTCCGAGGGTGTATGATCCCTGCGAGCACCAGAGTATAGACACGGTAAACAGATTAGAGGAAGGAATACCCCTAGCATCTACACTATAACAACTAACATTAACCACACCAATATCTCAAGCAACCAGCCTAACTCAATCTCAATCCAAAAGCAAGACCGAAAACCACCCCCTACTCTCAACAGACCACACCGATATAAACAGAAGAAAAAAAAAAGATGCGACAGCTAACCGACCCCCTTCCGCCCAAGACAACCCCAGCCCAAATTGAATTCATTAATCTACACCAAATTAACGCAATCAAAATCAGAAAATACCAATATAATCTACTACCAGCTCAATCCCCCTCCCCTCCCCTCCCCTCCCCCCGAGACGAGACGGGACTCGGGACTCCTCGCTGCACCCGCCGCCAACCGACCGGGGAACGAAACCTCGGCAACCGCCGGGGATGATATCCGGTGCTTGTAGCTCCTATGTTCTTCGGTGGGATCTATTCCTTACTATCTAGGTAGGTTGATACGCTGGGATCATGGGTAGACAGTGTGTTTTGTGTTTTGTGTTTCAGGTTGGATGAATTGGTTGGTGAGGATACTGATCTTTTTCTTTGTGAGTTAGGTTGGGTTGAGTTGCGTTGCGTTGAGTTGCTAGTAGGTAGTAGGGTAAGGGGGTGGTTCTGTAGGCTGGTGAGGAGGGTGGCTGGATGGTACTTATTTCCGAGTCGTAGACTACTGCTTTGTTTCTGTCTCTACACTCCCTAGGATGGAGGCGGGGCTGAAAGATTAAGTAACAGGGGTGACATTTCTTGGGCTTGCATTTGCTTGCCGGATTGGTTGTTCCAAGTGGATAAATATAGGCGTGGAGTATCTCCCAGGGGAAATTAATAGCTGACTCGATAGAGTTCGTCCTCTTGTTGGAAAGCCAGGGCTGAGCTCAATACTGGAATGGATAAGTTCAGTCCACAACCACAGTCAGCAGTTCTAAGGAATTTCTCTTGCCTGCCTAGTCGACTTTGAATGAGAGTCCCAGTCTGATCATCTGCCAAAGAGAAAATCCCATGTGATACTGCGGGATTATGTGATTATCCTGCATGCAACACGCATACGTGCATGCATGCAAGGTAGATCAGATCTCCCTTCTAGAATCCCTATCCCAGTTCTCGACGTCCAGTGCTTGCTTAAACGCATAGTCAGACCAGCAAGTGGTTTCATACCGTCAGCCACTTGTCTCAGTCAACAATCACAGACACCCGTCTAGACCTCACACTCCGCCGTCGAATCCACCACCCATACCGATAGAAAACGATCGGAATCGGAATCAGCGCCACCTCCACCAGCCCCAGCAGCGTGCCCGTCCACGCGATCCCCAAGCTATCGTACAGCCGCTGGCCCGCCAGCGGAAGCGCACCGCCGAAACTATACCGCATCATCGCGTTGCCTGCGACCGCCGAAGCAGCGTAGATCGGGTAGCTCCCTGCCAGGTAGTGCGCCGAGTAGATGAAGATGAGGGTGTTGCCCATGCCGAACGGGACGCCAGCTAGGATCGGAAAGGCCCAGTGCGTCGTCGTGCTGTTCGGTGGTTGGCCTGCTGCTGCTGCTGTTGTCCAGGAGAACCAGAATTCGCCGATGGGGCTGAGGATGGCTCCGAGGCAGACGGCGCTGACACAGGCCTCGGGCGGGAGTTGGCCAGTGCAGGGGTCGCGCGGGTGGCTGGTGATCATGCGGCGGATGATGAGCGGGTCGCTCAGGACGGCGAGGATGACCCCCGCGCCGATGCCGCAGTAGCCTAGTCCTGCGATGCCTGGGGACCAGCCGCGAGAATCGCGGAAGGCGAGCGGGTAGCCGACGAAGCAGAGGAATAGCGTGGCGTACACGACACCGACGTAGAGGTTCCAGAACAGGCTGGTTGAAAAGGAGCATGGAGGGTTAGCATCTCTTGAGGGCGGATGTTGGGCAGCGCTGGGCCAGGGCGTACTTACCATATGGGCTCACAGATGGTCATGACGACAGGCCGGACCAGATGGCTTCGCATGAGATCCATCCCACCTTGGTGCTATCGTATCGACACCACCACCGGAAGTCCCCAGTGCGCTCGCGCCTCTTTCTGGTTCTTGTTCGCAGGATCGCAGGCTCGTATGTCTCTCGGGAGAAGAACAGGACCACGGCTGATATACCTGCCCAGCAGAGTACGATCCAGTTGATCCAGCGCCAGCCGAGATGCTGGTAGACGAATCCGCCGACTATGGGGCCTGCATCTTCATCAGCCATGTCAAATCAGTCAATGCACCGAGAGATCCATTCTGTACCAATGACAGGACCATTCATCGCCCCGAGACTATAAAGACTGAAAGCCAACGCTCGATACTTCCTGTTGGTCACATCATTAATCGTGCCCGGCCCACCCGCAATAGTGGCACTACCAAAGAAGCCCCCGAGTGCCTTGCCGACGAGGATGGTCTGTATATCCCGAGCGAGAGCCACGGGTATCACCGAGCAGGCGAAGGCGACGATAGTCACCAAGTACACCGGCCGACGACCATACAGCTCCGACAAGGAGGCAAACACAAGACACTCAAGCGCCAGACCGAGCATATAGGTAGTCAATCCAAGCGATACAAGCGTATCCGACGAGATGCCGAAGGATTTCTTAATTCCTGGGATCCCGGGGGTATATGATGTGGAATAGGAGATTCTGCAGGAAGTCAGTAATCCGAGGCTTCATGTTTCAAGTTACTGTTGATATCTTGATTCAGTCAGAGGGAAGAGCACTTACACGCAGGCACTCGATATCGACATCGCCCCAACCATGAAGCTTCTGTATGCGACTGACCAGTTGCGCGGGTTATCGTGATCGCTCCGTTCCCAACAGACTTCGAATCTGCCATCGTCGATAGAGTGGCTTGCGGTGGGTGCTGTCTCTATCCCAGTATACGGCTTTCTGAAGGGTTTTTGTGATTATATGTTTGTATGCTGGGCAAAGTAGGCCTCTTGTACTTCGCCGCCGTCAAATGTCGCATTGTCAGCAGTCCAGAGACTGTGACGAGTTCGGTGCAGGGTCAGGTTAGGTAAGAAATCGCGATAGCAGCCTTGTCCAGCAGCCCTAAGCTTGCTCCTGTAGAATCATCTAAACATGGGAGAAGTCAACCGAAGAACCATCATCTCGTAGCGACTCGACCAAAATAGCATATTCGTGAGGGTGGCATATTTGTGTCCACCCCAGTGGGCCATTTGCCAGTGCACACATGTCAAAACCTGGCCCGACCTTGTTGATATTATACTTTGTCCGACGATGACATCTTCGACTTTCTCATAGTGAGTTCCCAAGCGAGAGATAATGCACTTGACATCAATGCTGTGAAGACAGCAGTGCTCGACACACAGACGCCAGAGGATTCGCCTGAATGCATTATGCAGATGGATGTGGAGAAGATCGGGCAGTTCAAGATTGTCATCTGCAGCCCTGGGGAGTCACTATTCCCGATTAGGTTTTATGCTCTCATCTGCAGGGTGATATTGGTTGAGGTTCTCCCTTCGAGTATATTTCTTAGCTTTTTTAGATGCGCTTTGGTAATGAAGCATTTATTGGCACAGCTATTCTTTTCACCAGTCGGATGCTTATGGGCAAAGCGAGACGGACATCAAACATAGTCTCGGAGATGCTATTCCCAACTACTATCACTACAACATCAACCCGAATCACCCGCATCAAGCAGAGGGAGCAAAATCACCAGATATCTTGCCCCATCTCTAGACAGATACAGCCAGCCTACTTCAGAAACACACAGATATCAAAGATACAGCCAGGAAAATATTGGAAGCGATTAAAACCGAATTGTCATTTCAATATTATAAATCATCATCCCTCCACCACGCAATCGCGAATCTATGCGATGAGAGACTTGATGCCAGCCTCGAGGGCGGGAGGGTTGGCACCGACGATGTCCTTGATCTTCTTGCCGTCCTTGAACAGCATGAAGGTGGGCATGGCGCGGACACCGAGCTCAGCGGCAACGTCGGCAAGCTCGTCGACGTCGATCATGTAGAACTTGGCCTCGGGGTATTGCTCGCTGAAGGCAGCGACCTTGGGGGCGATGGCCTTGCAGGGACCGCACCACTCGGCGAAGCAGTCGAGAACGATGGCGTCCTTGGAGTCGGTGACCTTCTCCTTGAACTCAGCAGCACTATTGCGAGCCGTGTCAGTATCCCCCGGAAAAAAAGGAAAAGGTGGATTTGGGGTGGGGGGGGAACTCACGACTTGATAGTGTGAACGTTGCCGTGGCCAGACATGTTGGATGATGTGGGGTTGAAGTAGACGGTGGGAGATTGAGAGAAAGAACGGCGGTTCAAGTTGTTCGCGGCGGGGAAGCGCTGGACGAAGGTGGGACGCAAGAAAGTAGAGGATGGAGTAGTAGAAGAAGTTCTAGCGGAGGAGAGAAGAGAAGAAGAGAGGCGAGTGGATGGTTTAAAACTGCAGTGAGGAAAGGTTAAGACAGAGAAGAGATTAGCTCGGAATGAAGAGGAGGGGCTGACGCCGAAAAGGAGGGGCTTCAATCCGCAGTTTTTATGGGTGGGCGCAAATGACGTTGCACGCAGACACCGCAGCTCGGGGACCTCTGACTAATCACACCGCCGCGGGTCGAAGCCTCTCGGAGGCGGTGGAAGAAAAGGAAGGCCGCAGACAGAGAAGAGAAGGGAATGATGAAAGGATGGGAGTGATGGTTCAGAGCTTACCAAGAGCCCACACCTCGAGAAAGGCGCAGCAGAGTAGATGGATTTGTCAGATTGGCAGCAGACATGATCGTGCAGCTAGTCTATACTAGGTAAACAATTGTTCTATAGTCGGTGTCTGAAGGGAACTGGTTAGCCGGTCGGGAAGCACAAGGGCAGGCAGGTTGGATTGGAAGACAGTTTCAAGAGCAGTGCATTTTGGATGACGTGCTCCGTCGCTTATGAATAGCGACCGGTCTGGACATGGGATGCCATGTTTATGCCTCAGGCATCACACTGCCCCCCCGTCCTTCACCGCCTCGATAAACAACTATCTGTCCCTCAAATCCCTCGATCCTTTGGTCCTGAGCCTCGAGGTGTGTATGACTATACACAGTGGGTACACACAGTAAGTACCTACCTCATGGTCAAATCACGGCTCAAACACTGCTCAGCACCAGTAACCAAGTTACAACCCTCCTGAATGATGATACTGACTACATTTATAAGACGCCCCCGGGAAGGCTCACCCTGGAGCCAAGCCGACTTGAACAATAGTCATTGTAAATAAAAGTCGAAAGAAATACCATTGTGGGGTGACAAGGCACCGACCAAAGAGAGGAACTATCTCATATGCCAATATGTGCATTAAACTAGATTTGGAGAGTGCTTCACTTCTATCGAAAGCGTAAATCCACACCGGAAACAGTAGCTTTGAACCGGCGATCGTGGCAAACTCCTCGAAACTTCCGCTGATGTGGGGTATCAACAAATGCAAGAACAAAACCTGCCAGCAAGTCGAAAACGAAGACCTGGCTTGAGGAAGGCGGCGAAGGAAGAGGAACGAGTATGGCTACTTCAAGTGCCATAAGAACTAGAAACGAATCCATCAACAAGGGGCAAGGAATCGCAGATTAGAAGTCAAGGGAGCGACAAAGGAAAACATCAAAGGAGTGACTAGGGTAAGCATAGGGGAAAGGGATTATTACATGAAATTAGAAAGAGCAAGACTGACCGAAAAGAGATTCGGTACTTTCTTGTCTAAATCTCTTAGGGGTGAAAGGCCGTCGAAATCTGACACTCATTGATCAGGCTGGGCTGAAAGCAGGTCGCTGAAAAGGCAATGCAAATCAAACGCTCAATAGGCGCGTCCGACATCGTACTCGTCGTTGGTGTCAAACTCAAATTCAGCCGAGTGTTCCTCAATAGGACTGAACTCTTCTTCGGCAGATAGAATGGTTTTAAGCAGGCCTTCATTGGACTTGGGACGAACTGTCGGATTCACCAGCACAGGGCGTCTTGCAACTTGGGCGTGCCAGGTTTCCTCCGCTGGATCCTGTGCATGGTCCATAGTCATCGTACTGTCTCGCTGAGCACCTGCGCCATGTCCAGCTCGCAATGGTTCGTCCTGCTCAGTTCCGAATCTCACAAGAGGCTCGTTGAGCGACACTTCATCACCTTTGAGCGAGCCCTCGTGGCCTTCCTCCTCAAGTTTGTTCCTTGATGAACTGAGGCTGGTTCGAAGAGGGTTACTTGGTTTCTTCTGAGAGATGCGGCGAAGAAACTGCCCTGACATCCAGGATCCCTCAGAATCGATCGATGCTAGAGACTGAGATAATGGAACATTATCTGGATTTTCATCCCAGCTATCGCCTCCCCACGAATCGTGCTGGTCATTGCGAGCATCCGGGACGTCTGAAGCAGAGCTTGGGATAGGATACTGAGTAACCATGTTGACATCAGACGTTCCATCATCTCTTTCGAATTCATCGGCCACTTCCGGTATATCAGGGGACTGAAGACGTGAGTCGGGCGGTGATAAAGGTTCATCACCAAAGTGTTCCGTGAACTTTGATTGGGAGCGCTTGATCGTGCCAGTGCCAAGGAATGCCTTGGGGGGAACGTACGGCGCCGGACCGGACGAGGATTGTGTTTGAACTCTGAAAAAGGACTCATGCGACGGATTCGAAGGCTCGGGGCTTCGTTCTTGGAAACGTTCACGGTAGCTCCTCTTAAGGCGTGAGCTTCCCCGGCGGAAGATCGATGTCAAGGTGTTCACGCGTCCGCTACTGTGGTCCGATAGACGACGGTCGGAATCGATAGTCCTTGAAACATCTGATGTCGATTCTCGGCCTAGACCATAGAGGTGCGAAGACGTGGGACTGTAGACGTTACGCCTCGACGGTGAATGAGAGGGAGTAAGACTGCTGCGGGACATGCCGATTTCTGCGGATGGAGCAAAACTACGTCGAGGCACAACTCTGCGCCCACGGATCGAGCCATCATCGATGTTACCAATGACATGAACACTCTCCGGAGTTTCGCAACCTTGTCGCTCGGAGTCTTTGGAAGCACCACGCAGCCATGACCCTGAGGGAGTACCCCTCAAGAAAGTCTTGGCATCGTCAGATCTGGGGACACGGTCGAAACGATCCGATGTAGCCCGGCTGCCAGCACCAGGCCGACCTCTCTGGGTTGAAGGGGTCCCTTCGAGCTCAGCCTCATGCTTTTGAGGGGCGACGTCGGCAGCGTCCTTGTCCGGGTGCTGCTGCTGGTCAGCAGCTTGTTGCAACTTGCGTTGCAATTTCTCCTGATCTTCAGCCTGCTTCCTCTCCCTGCGCCGACGGTCTCTTTCCAATAACTCCCGTAGAGCACCCGCGTCCAGAGCATCGGCCAGATCATTTACCTTTTTGTTCGAACGGACATTTTCATCATACCCAGCAAATGTCGGCCCTTTGTCCTTCTTATTGGCTGGCTCGGGCGACTTTAGACCTCTCGCGCCGGAAACCTTCGGAGTTTCAACGTAACGAATAATCGGACGGGGGGTCCAGGCAGCGAAAGTGTTGACCTTGAAGGTGTAAGACTCGAAGATGTCCGATAGTGACGACTCAGTCGAGTCACGAACGGACAGACTAAGATCAGACATGTGGCGGTCTGACCGACGGCTTGGTGCCCTGGGGCCTTTGCGTGTTTCGATAGATAAGTGCTCACTAGGAAGCGGCGACGGACGACGGGGAATATCGATCGGAGCGGAAGCCATCAGTCTTATCTCCTGTTCTCTAGCAATCTCGTATGCCTTGCGCTTGCTCAATTTCTTCTTCAAAACTGCTGGTCCGCTTGCACTTCGCCTCGTCTTCAATAGTGAACCAGATCGAGTCAACGAAGGCTGATCATGGCTTGCATTGGAGTGAGAGGTGTAGCCATCGGCCTGCTGACCGAAGCGGGAGGACAATTGCCTGTGTCCTCTCATCGAAGCCGGTTGCTCACTGTGTGACGTAGGCGGGGGATACTGGCCAGGCTGGAAGGTCGAAGCGACATCGTGCAACGAACTCGGGCAGTCTTCATTAGGTGGAATGTGTCGGTTCTTCTGACGTTTCGAGTGTTTGCGGGAGGGTTTGCTGCCTAGCCTGCTGCCATCGCAGCTGTGGCGAGGGTCCTGCGGCGGAACCTCGGCCACTGCAGGTGCATCCAGCTGGATCGTGTGCCGCTTGCTCTTACGACCAAAGGGCCATATCGCCATGGCGTCTGATCAATTCAAACTTCGTGCCGCTCACGAGTCAAAGTGGACACTGAAGTAGTCGGAGGCGAAGTTGTAGCGGATGACGGGACTCATGAGGAATGACGAAATGAACTAGACACGCGACCACGGAGCGAAGTCTGAAGCTAGAGGCTTAGGCAAGAGTCGGAGCCAAAAATAACCGGATGACGGAGAAATTGGTTAAGATGGGCGAAAGAAGGGAGGAAGAAGATTTGCAGAAGGAAAAGAGAAAGAGAGAGAAAATAGTTGAGATTTCACGATTGGGGGTTGTTGACTGGTAACGGAGGCAAACCGAGACATCCAGAGCGATGGGGACAAGCCGGGAGTACAAGGCCGTTCTAGCGTATGTACTGTACCTAACGAAGGATGCCCCAGGTGGTGGATTGATACAGGTAAAGCGGTACGACGTCGAGACCGGGGGGATTAGGAGAGGAGGGGAGAGAGGTGGAGAGAGGAGGGGGCGAAAGGGATGTGACTATTGATTTAGAACGAGCGGGTAAATCGGAGGACTCAACAGAGGTATGAGGAATGATGGCAGTAAGGTAAATAGTGTAAGTATTGAGTATTGGACGTCGTTGTAGTAGTAGTAGAATTAACTCAGGTAGTGAGACCCGGGGGAGCCACGCCACATGGAGTGGCGGAAAACAACCTCCGTGATCGCCCAGAAGGAGGAGGAGAAGAGAATAGAAAGGACTCAAGGAGGAGGACTGCAAACCTGGAAGAGAGCGAGGGGAAAGGAAGGCAGTCCGGAGAAAGTAGGTAGTGAGGAGGAAGCAAGTTCGAAAAGAAAGGAGAGAAGGAGAAAAAGAGGAAGAGGGAGAAGGAGGAAGGAGGAAGGGGGAGAGGAAGAGAAGATGAAGAAGACGAAGAAAAAGAAGAACAAAAAGAAAAAGAAGCTGCTGCAAAATAGTAGTTTAGTAGCTTTGAGCCCGACTGGGGAAGAGAGAGAAAACAAGAGCCCAAAAGAGTCGATGTCCGATGGTCGATGGTCGATGGTCGATGAGAGTCGGCGAGGGACTGTGAGGGCCGAGACAAACAAGCCGCCCGTTTCTGAACCAGGGGAACTGCTCGGTCACGGGTTGGTTACACACTTTCTCTTCCCTCTGGGGCAGTCACAATAGCTGCTACTGCTACTACTACGAGGACTTGCTGCTGCTGCTGCTGCTGCTGCTGTAGGTTATGGAGTCGCATGGTAACAATGTAATATTGGAATCCCTCTCTCGCCCCCTCTTCTCCTCTTCCCCCCCCTGCCCTTGATTGATGGATTGGATTGCTTGATGGATCGATATGATAGGATGTTAATTCATTATCTGCATCATCCCGAATGTTTTCTCTCTTTCCCCCTCTCTCTCTTGGGTACAGCACATACATACATACATACTACATGCACGTCTGTTGTCTGTCTGCCTTCTGATCGTTCTGTCCTGTGCTCCATACCTGGTGGGCAAGGTGTCATGCGGGAACTAATGAAAATCAACACAACGACGGAAAGGGGGAAAAATTCATAGATGATCATGAAGAAAATCTCTTCAATTGTGGAGAAGAGCCCACTGCGTCGAAAGTCCGATAGAAGCCCAATCCGATTCATTATTATCGGTATGGCTTCGGATGCGAATCGACAATGAAAGGGAGGAGAACATCATTGGTACCTGCCTTAGAGTAACCGCGCAGTGCGTACTCATGTATCTGCCGTACTCCACACAAATCCACCCGCCCAGCGTCGAGACTTTAGAACAGAACAAGCTAGCCAGGTAACGCGCTGGGCGAAAGATGGGTAATTCATTTACATACATTATCCCCATGAATCACTCTCGATTTGTTACTATACCACACAACACAGCACTCTAGATGGCCGCCCTACGATGCAGCAGCAGTTTACTTCGCGACCTGGGTCGATAATCAATTGGGGTTGGGATCAAGGCAAGGCGCTTTTCCGGGTTATCATCAAGCGGGACAATGGGGCCATATCACAATCCTCTATGTAAGAGCACAATGAAACGACTTTCAGGGAGACCGCGTTGAGTTACCATGAGCCACAGTTGAGGCCCGAATATGCTCAGCAAAGCCTCCTTGTCATACTGTACTGATGGCATCCCCGCCTGGACTCGAGCTTAATCGAGACTCGAGGGCATTACTCGTGGTCACTCAAGGGTCCTGAATCATGCAATGACGTTGAACCCTTTTCGATCTTAGCCAAATGATATCTGAGAGCGCGGCAAACCCCCCTTGTTACGGGCCGGGCGGGATTGCGAGGCGCTGGGCAACCTATACAACCTCAACGCCCATCATCAACATCATCATCATCATCATCATCATCATCATCATCATCACCATCACTCACTGCTAATGTGATGCATAACTCAAGACGGTAATACGGGCGCGCACTCTCGGGACCCAAAAATCGTTCCGCCCACCCTTGGTGGATCCTGTGACAAAAACGCAGCCCCAGAGGTTCTAATAGTCTAAGACTACAGAACTCTTCGGGAGGGGCCAAATGACGATGCCGTTGGGCTTCTGGGGTGGAGACATCTGAACCATAAATGCGGCGCTAATTCTTAGCTCGCTGCCGAGTCACTGGAGTCACGCCCAAGAAAATTCGTTCAAAAAACAGCACAAGGGAAATACCGGCCGGTACAGAAAGAGTCGAACCGGACATGACGGCATGCATGAGATTCTTACTGATGCGGTATACATGTACTGCGACCTTACAAGTGACTAGAAGCACCAACTAATATTCCTTGCAAAGCGCGGGACGAAGATGCCGTTATCTCTTGGCGACAAGTGTCCAGGACATGACACCTTTTCCGCCGACAGTACTTACTTGAAGCTAGCAGCAGCCTCGGTGTAGATACCTCGCGGGAGCTCATTTCCCGCTGGCTACTGAGTCGTTGATATCCCGCCTGTCGGCCATGACAGCCTAATGACAGGTCGAGTGAGCTGTGGTCCAAGCGTGCAGAACCGTGACGAGAACATACATACACTACACCAGAAATTGTAACGACCAGCAATCTAGGCGAGCACAAGAGGTACTGAGTGTGGGTCGATAGGTGCTGACGGCTCTGGCTACTTATCTACATGTATAATTCTTTGGAAACACCAGGCATTTTTTTCTGCTGCACGGCGGTCCGTCGAATGTCGATCAAGGTGGGAGTGCCCATACTAACTTCCTTAACGCCCTTAGAACCTTTCCCTAGATTGAGCCCTCGGCAGCATCAATGTCGGCTTGCGTCAGTGGCTCACTCGATTCATCTGCAAGTCCCTTCGCGAGGGTTGAAGGGGGGCTCGATGCCTACTTACAGCTTATTACTTTTTTTCCGACTGGTGACGGAATCAATATCCAACCGCAATCTATTTTACTTCACGTCCTTGGCCCTTGCAGAGTTTGGGTCTATACGCCCGACCGGCCCGTGATCAAACCCAGTATAGCGGAGTTGCTGCAGTAGGCAACATCGTCATCGCTTGATGCCCAGACTACTCTTGCCAAAAGTCCCCGAGTCAGATCGCGGTTGAGGGGCGGCAAGGTTGAAGGTTCGTCCGTTTGTTGGAGAGGCGCGAGCCATGACCGCTTCAAGGATGTTGGTATCGGCGTTTTCGGAGTTTCCGCGGCTTCGGTCTCTTCTGAGATCTCCTGGTGCTTTATTGGCAAGATCCGATCATACATAGATTGAGTTGCTCAACTGAATCACCAATATTTGTACCCGCACCAGGTCTTCTGCTTCTGCAATCATGTGCGGTGAGAAGAAGCCATTTCTCCCGAGAGGGGACTTCCTCAACACATTCCTGACAAAAGATCGTACTTGAAAGTAGTCTCCCACTTACCCAATGATCGATGCAAATCAGTAGATCACCCTGTTCCTGCATCTGAACCAACCCCCCTCAAAAAGACCCGGCCAGATCCCAAACCGATGGAAGGAACCGGTGAGACATTCCGTCTGACTAATCCCTATTACCCACCATTGAGAGGGGAAAGAGAGGGGAGAAGAGGAGATGCAGAGAAGAAGCAAGCCGCAAATCCGCCGAGACGGTGTACTCTGTCAGTCTCTCACTTCTTTCTCACTTTTCACTCGCACCTTGCATACGGGGGAGAGACAGGCGGAAATTAACCCATCAGCCACAACCCATGGGTCGGGTAATTTCTCGAAGATGCCAAATTAACATTCAGGAACGACACGCGGGAAAGTCTCCCAGGACCATGGTACGGAGACTTTCCTATTGATCAATCGAATAAACATTCGCATCCGAGCTCTATTTGGTCTTCCCTGGACTCATGCATGTCATCCATTGTTTTCGATGAGAAGATTGATGATGAACAATAATCCTCCGTACGGGACAAGATGGGGTACATACATCGGCCGCTAGTAAAATTCAATCCGAAGGACTTCTTCCACAGTCACATCCGCTGAAACAATCTTCAATGATAGGCGGAGTAATTTCTTTTTTGCACATTTTCCATCACCAACCTGAAAGTGTGGGTCATTCCTACAGATGGGAGGGACTCTCTCGGTCGAGAAGGACAGAAGGGCAGCAGAATTTGTTGTTGTGTTTATCCCTATTTTATACCAGATCTGCTCGCTTGTGCTACAGACGTCGGCAAGGGTACTCCGTACTCTCCACCTCTATAAGGTACTTTGGCTTGGCGAGCCGACCGTGATCAACGATCGACCAAATCCCCAGCTGTTGCACGGAGAAGAGTCGTTCATACGCATTGTATGTAACTGTGCCTACTAGCCGCCCTTCGGATTTCATGCCTACGCATTAACGTACACTTGTCTGTCCTCCCCCAGGTCCCTCGGCTGCAGCCTAATGTGCGGGACAGCGATGAGAATGCCGTTGGTATGTGCCCTGTGGCGAAAATGTGTCTATCATCCATGGTGAGACGAGGGGCTCCATCTCCGTTTTGAAGTATGGGGGTTAGATCGCTTTGTTATTATAGTAGGGGAATTGTATGCCTTACTTCCTGGTACTCGTGACTACAATCAACAACCTGATCTTCGTAGTGGGCTTGCCCTATCCCGTCCAAGGGTAAGGGACCTTAGAGGCTATCGAGGGTGCCCAAGTGATAAATTGTAGTTTCTACGAGTAAGCCAGAGATGATGTATCGTTGCTAGGAAGCATACAGGCGCAGATCACTCGCTTAGCACAGTGTTTTCCATTCCAAGAAAAACTTCTAGACAATCGATACAGCGTAGATCACTGAGACTCGATAGAGTAATGCTGCTCAAGAACACAACAGCCATTCCCTCCGCAACACTACAACATCGCACCGAAAACCAACACTAACTCCTCTGCACTGCCCACGGATGCCCACAACCTCCGAGACACTTCAACGGCCGATCAACAGATCAACACTAACCCAAACTTTAAGACCGATCACGTCTCCATCCTCTTGTGGCGATACGCCAGGTTTCCAACCGTAGTGGGCTGAGCACACACATCCACACCCCAACAATACGATGACAGGCAAGGCAACAGCCAAACCCATTCGCCGCCCGCTCGAAATGCATCAACCTGATAGCCTTTTCAAAACACAGCGTTCGTACTCAGCCTTCAGAAAACTTGAAAACTCATCATACTCGTTTCCTTAGTACAGTACATAGTAGGTAAGAGTGCAGATCATGCATCGCCCCGTTAGAATGAAGGATAGTATACCCTCCACCACTGAAGGATAGATTCCCCAAAACCCCTCCACGTGAGCTATCACCACCCCACATAACAGGTGTCAACAGGGATTTACATGTATTTCCATCCCACAACCTGGCCATCACCACCACCGGGCACCGCAACGCAAATCTGGTTTTACCTGCTGATCGACACTGGGTTGTATTGGCAGTCCCGGCTACCTTAATCACATGTCCGAAATTACAGATCATGTAGTTATAGCAGCTGGTCATACCTACAGATGACGCATTCAATGTAGACTGCATCCGTAGAGCGAGTGAAAGGGCGTCCGTCGGAGCTAAGCTTAAATATGGGGGTGATTGTAAGGAACCACGTTGGCGGGATGCGCTGGCATGGCGCTCTCCCTCTCTCCAGCGATACAGGCATGATGTGGTTGGTGCTTGAGGTTTATATAAGATGCTTTTCTGAGCGACCGGCCGGCTTGGTCGCTTGCTTTATGTGCGTGTGGCCATTGAGCTTGTGAGCTATTTGTTTGGGTATATTCTTACCAATGTCAAAAAGCAGGCTACCAAGACGCTAATATTATTCACGCCTTATCCCACGCCACGTCTTGAGTCGACCCCCTTTCCCGACAGCCATGCATATCTTTGCAAGCGCTAATGAAGCCACTTGACAGTCAAATGATTCGACCCTCATTCCCCCAAGCTATAGTTAGGTAGACAGTAAACGAACCGAATCCCCAATGCGCCAGCATAGAGACAAAATATGAGCAAAGGAACTAGGACACAATGCCTACATCCTCAAGGCCGATAGATAAGAAACAACCCGGATGCCCAACCACAAACGCCAACATCAGAGCCCAAGGCATGAAACCCCAGGATAAAAGTCCTCTATAGAAGCTAAAGACTCCAAAACGCACTACACCACCACCCTTATTTAACCACATCCACAATTTATCACATTATCGGGTACATCGCTTGCGCAACCGATTCGGCTCCCCTTCCAGAACACGATAACGACGACTCACGTAGCGGCTCAGGAACCGTTTTATGGACCAGGAATTATCGTGTGTTGCGCTCTTCTTAGTCGTATTCATAGCAGCAGTAGCAGTACTGGTGGTAGTAGTAGAACCTCTAGTAGTATCCCCGGATTGAGAACCCAAGAACCCCTCATGTTGCCATCTGGCGTGGTCTCCCGGCTCCGGATGTTGTCGGAGAGGCGCCGTGCTAAACGTAGTCATTGACTCTGCGCTCATTTGTTGGACGAGCTGGACACACGTAGCCGGGCTTCGGAAGCAAGCTGAGATTTGGGACCGAACAAGAATAGATATAAAAAGATACAGCCTGCTTCTAAACGATAATAAGAAACCGGGTGGCTTTTTTCTTATGACGGCGGCGGATTGCGCCACTGGTCTGAGTGACAAGACAGGTTTTGTTTTCTTTGGCTGGACTAGATGTCGAGATGGATCCCAGGATGTGTTGTTAAGTCCGATATGTGTTGCGCGGGCGTGCGGGCTGTGGTTCTTGTTTCGGTGAATCTGGGCCGAGAGGGTAGGTAATAGGTGGCAATGAGCATTCGGGGCCTAGGCGTGGTGGGAATGGGGGATTGGAGGGATGGCCGGTCAGGTGCGCAACTGTGGTGGGTGTATAGCTTTTTGAGGGCGAGTGAGGTGTTGGTTTGAAATGAGGTGGATAGCAAGCCGGTTATGCGTGGTTGCTGGGATCCAGTATCGACTTTCCACGGAGCTCCGCATAAAGCCGCGATACAGCCGAGTCGCTGTTGCGGTAGGATGCTTACAGTAATATCTGGTAAGTCTCGACTATGGATATCTCCGATTTGCTCGTTTCCAGGTAAAGATGTAAGCGTAGTATGTATTGTATGTATCTCGCCGCCGCTCGGAGGTCTCCATTGAGGATTATTCTATTTAGATCGCTATTGTAAACGTCGGAGCTCTCGGGAAGGGCAACAGTCGGGACAAACAGAAACAAAGAACCACGGTTCGGAGATGGCGCCCTTCGCCCACTGGGCATGGTTTAATGACTTCCCGTAAGAGGGGCCCCTCTTTACTCACTGATGGAGATATGGTCGATGCCTATTCCAGAAAATTGACCAACTTTCAAAAGGTTTGAGCAGGATGATACTTAGGCCCGGTAGCTACTAAATCATATGATGTGTCAATGTGACTCCGAGTCATTCCTCCTTTCACCTCGGGTGCTCTTTCTTTTGGTCAACGACAGCTGGTAGTTTCGATGTACGGGTTCAATACACTGACTGGCAATCAAACTCACTGGGTATGTTATCGGCTGACGGGCACAAGCCCAGCCAGCTAGCCGGGCGTGCGTGTAGTGAAGACTTCCGAGTCTTGCCAACTGCCACCAAGCACGATCATTATCAAGCATAACCAGCCAACACAAGCTGATTACGACGTAGCTCTCTGGCCCAATTTGTTGATTAGATCCGATTGGACCTTACTGGTAAGGATAAGCGGTTGAAGATCCAGCCGTCGTCTCCAGGCTCTCATGCTTTATAGATCATCAAGATCAGATAAGATCAGCTATATCTTGAAGCCTCCTAATCATGGTTAGACATACAAGATCTCACTGTGAGTCAGAGGGCTGTCATTCTTGGCCCTCTGTCATTCATCTTGAGAATCTACACTCAATCGCAAGATTTTCTCAGAGTCTGTTGAGAGACATTGCTCGTCTGATCGATCGACAAGCCAATCCAACCTCAAGGTAACAGGATTGCAGGCGGATGCGGTATTCCTGTTCACTCCATGCACCTATCAGGGAGCCTTGAGTTTAGGCAAGATTGAAGTAAAGGAGAGCTCGGTTATCGACTAGCATAACCCAGAAAACTTCCCTTCTGCCCTCATCTCCCAGATGCGAATCTCCAGCCCGCCTCTTCCACCACATACATAAGATGCTACCAACAGCTACAGACAGCGCCCCTGTGCGCAGAAGCAAGAACACTCCAAAAACCACCTTACAGCCATGATTCACAACCCGCAGATATACCACCAGAGCAGTCCGTATCTATCCTACCGACGTATCGCATCCATCGGCCATCGCATTACCCGAATCCCTCCCTCCAACTACCGACATTCATGCATTACCAACCGATCACAGCAGCCAGCCCAAGCAATCAACAACCTCCCAAAAGCAAGAACCCAAGACATCCATCCAGACCGCACAAACAAATCCCATATTCATCACAGCCCGCGCCTCCCCGCCGCCCTACTCTCCCTTCGACCTCAGAACCACAATACCATTGTTCTCCCCAAATGTAGCCACATTTCAAACTGACCCAAGACATACCCGCCTTGTGCCCAACAAAATCATAGCCATAGCCAGCAAAGCAAAGGAAACAGAGATAAGACCCCTCCTCCCTCTCCGAGGTGAGCATCAAATTGAGGGGTTGAGCAACCATTGCCCCTCATTCCAGGCCGGAATCTTCTTCGCCCCTCTGTCTTTTTATCTATCTCGCTCGATACGGATAGAGATGCTGTGTATGTATGTGGTGTTGCGGTACAGTACAGCGTATATTGGGACCAACTTGTCGCGTTAGGTTGGGAACTTGCTTGGTGGGTTTGGGAAGGGGTCTGGTCTGGGCTGTGTGTCTTGGTTGGGCTGGGGGATACTGGATAATTACGGCTCTGGCGGGTGTAAGGAAAGAGTGGTTTTCTATTTGGCTTTTGATATAACCCTTCTTGATATTTGGGGTTGGGTTTTGGGAGGAGGGGGAGTAGAGGAAAAGGTTTGCTTGGGCCTCGTGGTATTGTTCTGGAGAGTCTGCCGGGTTGAGTGAGAGGGGGATTGTTGTTGATGTTGGGAAGCGGACTAATCTGTGGATGAGATGGTGGGGACCGGTGATTTGGTGGGATGGGTGTTCTTGCATATGGGATGAGAGCTTAAGGGTTGAATGTGTGTGCCCTTCTCTTTTGGTATGCCGGGTTTGGTGGAATGGGATCAAGCTGTCGTAAGGAGGGTCTGATTATAGGCTGGCAGGCTTGCTGTTGGGGTGCATGTCGTCTTGATTTCCGCAATGTCAGGACGATGGTAGGATATGGCCTGAGAGCTGTAGCACCAGGTATCTTGGGTTTATCTCTGATGCGCTCTTCGTGCTGCTTCTGAAGATCTCATGGCCGAGGGATTTCTCCGGGCAAGAGGGGGACGTCCATGTCTACTGCAAAGATTGTACGATAGCAGCTCATAGTACAGGCAGAGCGGGCAATAACGACCGCTCCACCTACCCTACAGAAGAAGCCATAGGCCACGGCATCTGATAGAGTCATAAATCTATTGTACTTTTGTCTTAGTAGAAACAACAAGGCACACCATCTTTCCAAGCCGACAAACGCCTTGAGCGGTGGGATATATCATGACCTTTGAACGCCAAATCCGCTTCATTCAACTGATACCACAAGCTGCAACTCCCAATCCTTTCCCTTTACAGGGCACGGGTAGAGAGAAGCATAAACTAGAACCAGATCTTAATCAACTCCTCACTGACCGCACTCGGCGTCAAGACGCCGCTGTCCGTAATCAACGCGGATATCAGATGGGGCGGTGTATAGTCAACCACATCATGACTATCCGGCGACTTGACGCCGGGTGTCGACTGTGTTTGTTGCTGCTGCTGCTGCTGCTGCTGCTTGGCTTCATCGGCGACGTCCTCCTCCGTCTTGAAATCGATCACGCGCTGCTCGATGGGCAGGTCATACTGTCCGAGCGGGTAGAGACGGACGAACTTGTGGCTCTCCGCCACGACGTAGAAAGGCTTGCTCATGGCCTTGGCCAGCAGACCAATCTGATATGTACCCATTCTCGACACGATGCCGCCGTTCTCCACCACACCCTCCGCACCGACAATCACCACGTCAGCCTTGCCGAGCGAATAGGCGACGGCAGATTCGGGGATCGTAGCGACCGGGACGCCCTTCTCGCGCAGCGCGCGCACCATCTCCATACCCTCTGGCTCTGCAGACGAGCCCTCGACATCGCCCTTCGCCGGAGACAGGACGTAGATCACGCGAAACCGGACCGCGGACGGGCCGCCCTTCTCACCGGCGGCCTGCTGTAGCAGTGAGGCGACGACTCTGGAGCCGCCGTTGGTGAGGACTGTGCTTCCGTCCCGGACGAAGCCTCTTCCGAACGCCGCGATCTTGTCTCGACTTTCCTTCGCACGTCTGATGAACAACCGACCGTTGGAGAGCAAGTGCGCCCGGATGGCGTTGAAGTCTCCGGCGGGTCCAAGCTGACCGGGTCTCTGTAGCGTAGTGATCAAGTATCGCTGGAAGAGATCGGTTCCAGCAGAAAGGCCAATGGGGTTCGGGATGGACTGTTTCAAGTGTGCGGTGGACTTTTCCAGCAGATCGAGCGTCTCTGATATCGTCGAGGAGGGGGAGTGTGTGAGGAGGAGCACCAAGGCTTCGATAGCGGCAATGGGCATGGTCAGGTCGGGATCAGAGCGGAGCAGGTCATTGTACGTCGCGACGATGCTGGCGTCTGTTAGCAGCTGCCAGGCCGCATGGGCTTCCACGGCTTCAGGTTGACGACTTACTCGAACGGCTTCGCGACATCCGACGAGGTGGAGATGGCGGCTGCCATAATGACTGATGATGCGTTGTATAGCTCTGGGAGCGTTGAATTGACTCGAAAAGTCCGTGGGAGCTATCGTGCAGCAATCCGTAATAATTGTCTCATGCCGGTCGCCGCAGAGTCATTCATCGAAAAAGGGAAGCGTGGAGTAAGTTTGCACTGTTTGTATACCGTGCCCCTCTTCTGGTGCGCTAGTCCCTTTCCGGTTGCCATGCGAGGCCTTCGCAGTAAACAATCATCATAACATCCATCGAACAACGACAACCACTGTCGCACCACATCTTCTTCAGATAAGATTAAGGCGTTGTCTCGTAAAGGCGGCTCACCTGAAATATGTCGTATGGTCACCGAATGAGCCAACAGTTCCATGGCTCTCAGCAGCACCACAATAGAGGCGGCCGCAAGAAAGAAGATGAGAATGATGCGTTAATGCGCCTGGTGAGTTCATCCTACGATTCTGCCCGCTCGTGTGCGATATTGTACGCTAACACTTTCAGTAGCCAGACAAGGAGATCGCAGGATGTATCAACGACATCGGCATCCCGTTCACTGCCGCCGACCTCATCAAGCCAAACCCGCAGCAGATTCAGATGGTCTTCGAATGGTTTGCCGAACTCCTTATGAACAACACCCGCGAGACGGTGGAACCAGCAATGCGCGCAGCGGCGGACGATGTATGCGGCGACTATCCGGACATTGTGCCAACCGACACTCGCAACTTGATGGGATTCTTTACCGGGCTGCGGCGATTGATGATGGAGGTAATCCGCGACTGTCCTGCACCAAATCGCTAACTTGTGACGCGTGCGTAGGCAGCAGCTTTTGACTGACAGTATAACTAAAATAGTGCGGTGTCAACGATTTCACTTTTACCGACCTGACGAAACCTACGCACGACCGTCTCATCAAGATCTTCTCTTATCTCATCAACTTTGTTCGTTTCCGTGAATCACAAACCCCCGTCATAGACGAGCATTTCAACAAGGCAGAAAAGACGAAATCACGCATCGATACTCTTTACGCCGAGAATCAGGAGATGGAACAGCGTTTGGAGGAGATGCGCCGGACGCTGAAGGCCAACGAGGCCCAAGTCAAGGACAAAGTCCGGAGAAACGATGAATTGAAGGCGCGGCTCCTGGAACTGAGGCGGAACCAGGAACGAGTGGCGGAGACATTGGAGCGAGTCAAGGCGGATAAGGCTCGACGACAGGCGCAACTCGAAGAGAGGACGGAGAGTGTGGTGCGCACCCGACAAGAGGTCGAAAAGCTACGGCCTTACGTGATGGAGAGTCCCGCCTCTCTTAGGTCATCCCTGGCTGAACTTCAGGAGAGTCTAAACCGCGAGAGGGCCCAGATTGATGCGATGGAAAAGCGGGCAAGAGCCTTGCAAACCTCGTCAGATACGTTTACTGTCGTCAGCAACGATGTACAGGCCTGTGTGAAGCTTCTTGAGGATATTTCCGTCGAGCTCCAAAAGGAAGAGGAAGAAGAGTCGAGAGCTTCTAGAAACAGAGAGGCTATTTCCGAACGAGGTAATAATGTCAGGGAGGTGGAACAGACAGAGAAATTGCTGCAACGGCAATTGACGCGGTGGAATGAACGAATCGAGGCCTTAAGAAAGAACGCGCAAGAGAAGGCTGAAGCAGCGCAGGCCCGCATGGAAGAGCTTCGGGAGGTCCAGAAACAGCTTCGTGAGGAGCGAGGTGAGAAGCAGCGCGATATGGAGCGTCGGAGAATTAGAATCGAGCAGACCGAGAAAAAGGTTTGTTAGTCTCTTCAGAGTTCAACGGGCTCAACTAACCGATCATGATCTAGATGGCCGACTTGAAAGAGAACATCGAAAGCGAGATTCAAAGTGCCCACGACGAGTACTTGAAGCTGGAGTCACACATCAAACTTTACATCACTGACATGGAAAAATGCTTATGATTTGAGGCAATCTACAAGGGGCCAACTTCGGGAGTTTATGGATCGGTTCTAGGATACCCGTACGATTAAGCTATTGCATTGTGGGAGTCTTTCATTAATGTTATCGAGTTCATTTGTCCATTCTTTTATGTCGCTACATGCGTTCGAACATTATCCCGTAGATCATTCATTTGTGCCTGCAGCAGCATAGGCTCTTCCAGAGAACTCGAACCAACGTTCTACAACCCTTTTCACCGGCACAGTGCGTCGGAAGAGGGCGGTTTCTTCTGACCCACGTACAGTACTGTTCAACAAGGGTACCTGTGTATTCCATGGTGATTCTTCTGGGCGTATGGACTCGTGGCATTCACAAACAATGAGGTCCATGTTTGCTTTGAAGGAGGTCTCCGCTAAAGCAGCAAATGTTCTGGACAGACCTTGGGCGGAGAATTCCGTGGTTGGGAGATGGAGGGATAGAGGGTCGACGACTGCTAATAGAGGTCGTGCTTTGTCGCGCCCCTCCACCTCATCCCTCCCCTGGGTGCTAGATTGAGACGGTATCACGGACAGACAAGCGCGTAGATTCTCCAAAGTCGGGCAAAATAATACCCTGACTCGGCTGGATTTAGACAGCAGTCCGATGGTTTTGTCATAGATCCGATGGCGTCCGGCGACTGCTTCCCTTGCTGGGTGCACAGAAGCGAACAATCGGGTCAAGAATTGGTCCCTGGTCGAGCATACGATCAAAGTGGTGTAGGGTGGATCATGTTTAAGGATTGATTGCAGGAACTCGGAGATAGAGCCGGTAGATTGAATGTGTCTGGTTGAGTCCATGGTCGGATTGTATATTTTGGTGGTGCCAGCAGCCGCTCAGCCAGAGGCCTTCTCTGTTTTGCTAGCACGCACAAGCTGAAATAGTTGCTTCCAGTGCCATTCTATCTCATAAACTGGCAATCTAGGCACCGATAGAGGTAATTTTAGGGTGCCGAGGGGAGATCGGAATGAGGTCTTGCGGGGGTAGGTCTTGAGGTCGGCCCAATCGATAAATAAAGCACGTTACCTCAAATCGTCATTTCGGCTGCCCGCCGGCCGTCGCCGAACACGCAACTTCTCTTTCCAGCTCGGCGTCAAAGGAGGCTTCTCTTTCCCCTCCAAGCCCCGTCTGTTCTTGCGCACTCGTGACGGGCTTCCGAGGCAATCATGGAGACCATTTCACGGATCTCTTCCATGCTGGAAACAGGTACTGTCTACCCGAGCGTTCTCCCTCGTCGATTGTCCTCGCTGCCTACCCAAGCTGACCGAATCTCGTGCAAACAGCTCGGGAGCTCACCCTCGAAGCAGCCCAGTCCGCAGCCCTGAATAGAGGACCGAGCACGGGATTATCCTCTCGCAATATGACAGCTTCGCACATCAAGAAATTATTGGATAGTCGGAGTGATCGCGAGGTGCTCGATGGCATGCGACGTGTGATTACAGTATGGGACCCCGACACCAACAACCGCAATGGCCGAAAGTGACTTATGACTGACCTGACCTTCTTACACACGATAAAAGCTGATGTACCGATCCGAGTCCTCACTTCCTTTCTTCTCCGCGGTCGTGAAAAATGTGGCAAGTGCCAATCTCGAGGTCAAGAAGCTGGTCTACATCTATTTGGTCCACCATGCGGAGACGGAGCCGGACCTTGTGCTCTTGTCTATCAACGCCATTCAGAAGTCGCTTACGGACCAGAACCCGCATGCGCGCGCCATGGCGCTCCGCACAATGTCTGGAATCAGAGTTCCGGTCATCAGCCAGATTGTTTCCCTTGCCATCAAGAGAGGATGCGGAGATATGAGCCCTCATGTGCGCAAAGCGGCAGCATTGGCTATTCCGAAATGCTATCGCCTGGACCCGAACACTCTGCCGCAGCTGGTTGGATATATCTCTACTCTGCTTGGTGATACCCAATACTTCGTTATCGGGCCCACTGTGGCCGCGTTCTTGGAAGTCTGTCCCGACCGGATTGATCTGGTTCACAAGCACTACCGGACTCTTGTCAAAAAGCTCGTTGATATGGACGAGTGGAGTCAGCTTGCGACGCTGCGCCTCTTGACCTTCTACGCCAGGCAGTGCTTTCCTCGCAAAACGAAGAAGGTCAAGCGAGCGACAGCAAATGAAGGGTTCTATGAGGATGACGACAACGGCGAGGATGTGAGTGGGGACAACGAGGCCGAACAGGAAGAGGTACCGGTCTTGGACCCGGACTTGGAGCTGTTTTTGCGCTCGTGTCTCCTGCTGTTACAGAATCGCAATTCCGCTGTCATTGTTAGTATTGTGCGGTGTTTCCTCAACCTCGGCACGCCAGAGTACCTTGAAGCCGCTGTTGGTCCCCTTATCGCTCTTCTGCGAAGTCCCCAGGATGTGCAGCACGTTGCGCTCTATAACATTGTGGTTGTGGCTTTGAGACATCCAAAGCCATTCACTAAATACACCACACATTTCTTGGTACATGCTATCGACCCGCCTCACATATGGCGTCTCAAGCTCGAAGTGCTCACTATACTCTTCCCTTACTGTGGAAAACATCTCAAGGGAGTGATCCTCAACGAACTTCAGCATTTCTCGCAAAGTACAGACCCAGAGATGGTTCGGGAAAGTGTACGCGCTATAGGACGTTGCGCGCAGGGTGATACCAGCGCAGCAGACCACTGTCTGCGAGTCCTGCTCAACCAGATCACGAGCCAAGACGATAATCTGGTATCAGAGTCGCTGACCGTCATTCGCCACCTCATTCAACAGGACCCGCCCGCGCACGAGAAGACTGTTATCCAGTTGGTTAAGCATTTGGGACTGACCACCAATCCCGACGCAAGGGCTACGATTGTCTGGCTTGTCGGAGAATTCGCTGGCGCCGAACCCGAAAGGAATATCGCCCCCGATGTCCTTCGAATCCTCGTGCAGGATTTCGCCAATGAGGCCGAGCCCGTGAAGCAGCAGATTGTTCTTCTTGGCGCAAAAGTGTATCTACATCATCTGCTACGAAATCCCAAGAAAGAAGAACCGGAGCCGCAAGCGCAACCGTCAGTCAAGACTGAGGAGCCAATCGTCAACGAATGGGCCGACACTCCGACCGAGCAGAAGCCTGAGACCAATGGCCAGGAAGAGCAAGAGAGCGAGCCTGAGGAGGATCAGATCGAATTGCTTTGGCGATACATCCTTCTTTTGGCCAGATACGACCCCTCTTACGATCTTCGCGATCGCGCGCGACTTTACAAGGCTCTTCTCGCGTCACCCTCCATGACGCAGTTGGCCAATCTACTTCTCCTCGCACCCAAACCTGTTCCGCATGCTCCAAGCCCATCTGAGACACGAAAGGATCTTTTGATAGGCTCTTCTACCCTTGTGATCGGGCCGGATGCGGGAATGCTTGGTCTCAAGGGCTACGAGAATCTTCCCGATTGGGTTGAAGCAGGGCAAGAGCCCGACCCGCGTCTCCGAGAATCTGAGGTGAAGCCTGATCTCACAGGACGGACATCAATGACGGCGGGTGAGCGGCTTGACCAGGCCCTTAAGGAGCATGAGCAGAGTGCTTCAACTTCAAGGCAGTCACAATCCGGGCGCCCCGGGGTAGGGGCGTCTTCGTCGAAGGGAAAGACGCTCGATGAGTGGCTAGAAGAACCGGAGTCTGAGAGCGAGGAGGAAACGGACTCGGAAGAGGAGGTGACTGATTCAGAGTACGAGACAGACGAGGAGGAAACGGAAGAAGATGAGACAGATGAGGAAGAGGAAGACACCGACTCTGAAGACCGGGCACAGGCGACTGGACTTCTGAAACGGTGAAGCAACTGACCTGATATGACGAGTATATACCAAATTCAAACCTGGCTTTCACTTTCCAGTGTTCTTGCATTATGAGGATTAGCATAATTGAGAAGAAATACAATAGAGATACATCCTGAAGTACGATGACAACAAAGCAGGCGGTGCCTGGCGGCAGAACGGCGGAGGCTTGAATCGGCCGTCCCTCACAGCGCGGCTGAATGGCGTCCAGAAATCACGCCCAGCATCGGACCATTCATTATCTTCTACCCGGACTTCGTCTGACCATGGCTAGATCAAAGTGCGAGTGAGCTGATCGACCATCCCTACCATATTCCGCCTATCCGCGTTCAATCTAGGCCACCACCAAGTGTGACGCGCGCGCGCTCCGTCCCCCTGCTCCTCCTGCGGACTCTGCTGTCGGCCACGATGCGAGCTACTGCAGGAACCTCCCTCCCAGATAAACAAATCCCTTCTCGAATTGACCTACCCATCTCTCAGTATATGCGCGCTGCGATTTGTCTTCGTCACTGAAAAAGCTCCCCATAACCTCTATACGCCTGCTCCGAGACCGACGATCCTCATACCCTCGGTCCTCCCACCATTTACTTCCAATCTCACCCTTACTCACCCGCCTTATAACCAGCCAAAGAAGAGCCCACTCAACCCTCATATCGGCCTGACCTACTAGGGGCTATTGCTGTGTGCGAAAATGCCTGGATTACCAGGTAAGTCTTTTCCGCTACTGCTGCTGCTACTGCTGCCGCCGCCGCCGCCGCCGCCGTTGTGCCTCGGCATCTCCCTCTTCCACTACAAACGGTCTAACCCGCTCCTCCTCTGTACAGCGAGCATAGATCTGGACGAGTGCATCGAGAGACTCTATCGCAAAGAGTTGCTGGCGGACTCAGTCATTGAAGCGATATGCGCCAAAGCCAAGGAACTGTTGATGAAGGAGAGTAATGTGGTCCACATTGCGGCTCCAGTCACGGTGGTTGGAGACATCCACGGACAGTTCTTCGACATGATTGAGATCTTTAAGATCGGCGGGTTTTGTCCGAATACGAATTATTTGTTTCTAGGTTAGTTGCTGTCCACCGAAATCCGTGCGCGGGGCGGAATACATAAGGCAGGATGTGGGTTGGGGATTATGGAGGTCTTTCCTTTTTGTTCGGGTTGGGGGTTACAAAAACGAGAGGATCAGAAAGCTGACCAGATGGTGAAACTTTCCGTACAGGCGACTACGTTGATCGCGGGCTGTTCAGCGTGGAGACGATCTCGCTCCTGGTGTGCCTGAAGCTGCGGTACCCGCAGCGGGTGCATCTGATCCGGGGCAACCACGAATCGCGCGGGGTGACGCAGTCGTACGGGTTCTACACGGAGTGCGCGCGCAAGTACGGCAACGCGAACGTGTGGCACTACTTCACGGACATGTTCGACTTCCTGACGCTGAGCGTGGTGATCAACGACCAGATTTTCTGCGTGCACGGGGGGCTGTCGCCGTCGATCCACTCGATCGACCAGATCAAGATCATCGACCGGTTCCGCGAGATCCCGCACGAGGGGCCCATGGCCGACCTGGTCTGGTCCGACCCGGACACCGAGCGCGACGAGTTCTCGCTCTCCCCGCGCGGCGCCGGCTACACCTTCGGCGCCCAGGTCGTCCGCAAGTTCCTCGAGGTCAACAGCATGTCGCACATCCTGCGCGCCCACCAGCTCTGCCAGGAGGGCTACCAGGTGCTCTACGATGACCGCCTCAGCACCGTCTGGAGCGCCCCCAACTACTGCTACCGCTGCGGCAATCTCGCCAGCGTCCTCGAGGTCAGCGACTCCGGCGAGCGCTACTTCAATATCTTCGACGCTGCCCCCGAGAACGATATCCATCGCGGCGAGCAGCAGGCCCAGCAGAATAAGGACGGCCAGAGCCCTGTGATTGACTACTTTCTGTGATACCCAATCTTTTTTTCTTTGTCTGTGTGTATGTCTAAGACCATTTTGTCGTTTTCTGTGGTGGAAATCTTCTATTCTATTCGATATTATTATTTATTCTCTTCGATTGGGCTGTGTCCCCTCCCCCCGTCTTCCCCCACTTCTTCCTATTTGTTTATGATTGTTGGGAGCTTGGTAAATAACAAACGCATCTATAGATCGCAGTCGGGTGCCATGTAAGAGGAAGAGAGCGGATGTTGGGAAATATCAGATGAATTGATACCAGATTAGATTCGATACCGATTGGAGAAGAACTTGAGAACATGCATCAGTCCGCGGGTTTAGATAGAACCAACTACATGTATATATATATCATATTTATATAGTTCCAATCTTTATATCTCAGCATATCAAGGATGAGATAAGGAACGCAGGATACGGGCCAGTTGCTTCCAAGCCCGGGAGAGTAAAAGGATAGGGTGTTTTAACACAAAAATAAATTCAGAGTTCAATGGTAATGCGTCCCAACGCTGGTAAATACTGGCAAAGGAAGTATGATGCTGCTGCTCAAGGAAATGTGGGAGATTTAGTCATAGTTTCATAGGAGGAGCCATGAAGGAGCAGGGGGAAAGAAGAGATAAACGAAATAACGAAAACCGAGAAAAACATCTACCAGTCCTTGGCGATGTCGAAGGCCCATTCGAATTGGAGGTGAGTGTGGTCGTCGTCGTCGATGAACTTGGAGATGGCGTTGTAGTGGCCACGGTACATGAAGCCCGAGGGAGCCTCTTCAGGGTTGACTGCGGGAGATAATCAGTTTGATGCATTTTGAAGGGATTGATCACTTGGGGTAAAAATGACTTACACTTCTTCTCGTAGAATGGCTTGTCGGTGGTGCTGGGGGCGTAGCTTCCCTGTTGGTTTGTTTAGTAAAGTGGATGCAGTGGGAGAATTGCCGTTCCATAGACAAAACTCACCAGCATCTCCTCGTCCTTGCTGACGCGGACACCCTTGCGCTTGACGACCTGCAGGTACTTGAGGCCGCTGAGAACCTCGTGGTGCACTTGGAAGACGACCTTGATGTGGAAGGTGGCGCCCTCTTTGATGGTGAAGGGCTTGTCCTTGAGACCCTCAAGTGCGCCGGGGGCCGAGAGGTCGATCACCACATCCGGGCGACCCTCGACCTCCAGGGCCAGGGACTTGATGATGCACTTGCGGGGATCGCTGGGGTCGCCAATCGGGGTGCCGGAGTTGAGGCCGAGTGAGGCCTTCCAGCGGTTCAAGGCCTCGTCTTCCTTATCTATAGGGGTAATCGAGGGGAGAGGTTAGTTGGTGGTTCAGAGGAAGATAGGGCAATTGGGGATTGTGGTGTTTGCCAATTTTGGTATAGATGCTGAAGAACTGAAGCTCTATAGTTGGAACTATATGGCGGCCAGCAGCAGACAGCTTGTCCTTGCCTGCATGGGGCAAACACGCAAGGGGGGCAGGGGGCCCGAGAGGGCGTCAATGGCCACGAGGCACAGAGAGGAGGGGGCGGAATGTTCGTGACAGCGACATAAGAGGGGCAGCATCAAATCAATGGCGACATACCCAATTCTGCATATTCATTGATGGACTTCTTCTCGCCGACCTTGAAGCCCTCAGTCTTGGAGGCGACAAGATCTTCCTCGTGCTCAGGCATGGTTGTTTTGGTGGCTCTGGTGGGGTATTTGGATAACGGCTATTTAGGTGCAAGAGGCTATTGCTGGGGGGGAGTTCTCGTCACCGATGGAGGGTTTATTGACAAGCTGGAAGATCAGTATTGAACGGGGGATAGAAGAGATTTCAACCAGGCACTCACCGAAGAGAACCAATTCGAGAAATTGCTGGAGGAGGGAATTGTTTTGAGATGTTTTGGAGTGGAAGGCCAGTCGAACTAGAGGCCAAGTGGGGGTGGGAAAGGCGGTGGACGATTGCCTTAAAACAGCGGGCTGAATGAGGGGGGTTTATTATTATTATTATGGGCCAGACTCACTCACTGCATCTCTGGCTGCCTTTCTACGCTTTGCTTTTGAGAGGCGGAGCGGGTTGTGCAAAGGGATACTGTCTGACATGTTGACTGCTGGACTAGAATCCCAGACATTCTCTCGAAATCATGCCGATTGCTTTGCTTCTGGAACGCGCAGCAGCAGGCGCATCAACAGGGGGAGTGCCCGGTGTTTAGTCGACGTTCCAGGAGTTCAGGTGAAATCCTAAGCAAGACTATCCACGCAATCACTGGTTCATACATAGAAAGGGGTCCAATGCAGTTCTTGTTTACGGGGAAAGCGCTTTTGTATTCTGTCATAGACTTGTCAGCACCTGTCAGACGTTGGGGACTGAGTCAGATACATCTACAAGTCAATCCCTTCTCAATTTAGGAGGAGTGAGTGGAAGTCGAAGCGGTGAGCATCACCGATCAGCAAGATCAAAACAATACTCAGGATAATGCTCTATTTACTGCTCAACGTCAGACAAACTTGGGGTTTGATGGGGGACAGAGTATCTCAATGGCCATCCCAAGCCGTGTCAAGGGTTATCTACATGTTATAATGCCTCCTGTGCGCATGATTGTTGGGCTGTTGCAAGCAATTGATATGGACATGGACCTTGCCCATGCAAAACATGTGTGTCAGCCCTGACTCGATGCATGGCTTTATGCATGCACCTATGCCCGGATTTCGCGCGAGGGTTTTCCTCTTTAGCCGAGCTATCAGTCTGGGAGGCCCCTTCGGGTTACTGGGTATATCTACTCGCGGTACGAACCTGCAGTAAACAAGACAGAGTGGGTTGTATGACGAGTAGAGTAGAACAAGACAAGCACCGACAAGGCGAGGCCCAACACAACCAAAACAAGCGAAAGCGCGTCACGGGGACAACCGCGCTCTGTCAGGCGCCAAGGCAGAAATACCGTGCGCGTTCCGATGTAAATCTTGATACCGGGGGATGAGCCGTCGACGCTGGAACTTACCGATCAGGATAAATGGCGGGGCAATTGGGAAATCCATTTGGTGGAGACGGCGGTAGCTCTGCAGTAGCGCAGTAGCTCATACCACGCAAAACGGTCTTGTAACAAGTCCAACGGTGGGAAGCCATTCGCCCACCGCCGCCCCGGGTATTCGCTCGACTTTCATTCTTTGATTATTTTCCCTCCCCTAGAGACAGAAACCTAACCTAACCTTAGCCGACTTGCTGCTGTTGCTGCTGCTGCTACTGCTGCTTATCGACCGAGCGCCAGCCTGGACTCCCACCCCATTCCTGCCTTTATCATCTGGCTCGTCGCGTATTGCCGTTCAAGCTTCACCACCCCCCCAATTCACCGTCCGCCCGGTTTGAAACCGTCTTCTCTGTCACCTCTGCGCTTTCGTGTTGGTGACGTCTTCTCTTCTCGCGATCTGTAGACACAGAGCGGCGACAGACGCGCCTGCAACGTGGCCGCCGCTTGGGTGTCGCATCCCCAATCCCAATTCTCCTCCTCAGCACCGCCCTTGGTCTAGGCTTTTCGAGTTTTTAATTTATCCTTCTACATTCATCCAAATCGTTCATCATGGTGCGCACGTTGCCGAAAAGGAACAACCCGCTCATCCTCACCGATGAAGCTCCTGCTTGTAAGTCATGCTTTTCATCGGAGCGATCGATTGCAATCTCGGCCATCAACATATCCATTTGCATCTGATCGAGGGGTCGCGCCAGGCTAACACGCATCCTGCTTCGTGCTTGTGCGATCACAGATGAAGAACTTCTCGCGCGCCGTCGCTTGGGAAAGACAAACCTCGCGGTGAAGCCCACCCAGATCGGGACCTCCAATGCGACCAAACCAGAGAACCTCGGTCCTTTTGAATACGCCCACTTGCGCGCCCCCTTGCCAAAGGACCTCAAAGGATCTGAGATCTTCCCTTCTCACGCTCCTCAGCAACACCCTGAGACGTATTTCTTGATGGTGAGTCGTCCCTTCGAGGTCCTTAGCCTTTCGGATTCGCGGAACGTCACGGAACCATGGTTAATGCAGTGGATTCCTTTGTCCCTTCCAGCGACGTAGCAGAGACGGATATGTTAGCGCCACTGGCATGTTTAAGATCGCCTTCCCTTGGGCTAAGCTTGACGAAGAACGATCTGAGCGCGAGTACTTGAAAGCTCGCTCCGAAACCAGTGAGGACGAGATTGCCGGCAACGTTTGGATCTCTCCTATTCTCGGTAAGTGCTTTGGACTACATCATCATGACGCTACAGCTCTGATGCCTGTTACTCTCAGCCCTTGAGCTCGCCAAAGAGTACCAGATGTACGACTGGGTGCGAGCCTTGCTTGACCCTACCGACATTATTCAAAGCCCTTCATCTGCGAAGAAACAGATCACGCCTCCTCCCAGATTCGACCTGCCGCCTATTGAGGCCCCGACCCTACTCACTTCTTCGTCGACCCGTCTCCGACGAGGACGGTCGGCCTCTCCTAGCAAGAGACCTAGTTCTCCCCGCAAACCCAGACAAACGAGAGCCATGAAGGAGGCCAACGCTGCCGCCACCAGCGCAGCAAACGCTACCCTACAGTCCTCTCTCGACTTGACCGCCTCGACCGTGGAAAGCGAATCAGTGATCAGGGCCATCCAGCCCAGTGTGGAGTTGGACAGCGACGAGAAGCCGGCTCCTTCCCCCAAGAAGGCTGCAGCGACGCCTAAACCTAAGAAAACCAGCCGTCTGGCCCGTACGGACGATGTTGAAGAAGAGAGCAAGGAGGAAGAGAAGGAGCAGAACGTCAAGGTTGATGTTGAGACCACCGCCAGCACCGTCGAAGATGTCAAAACTACCCAGACTACTGTTTCCGTCGAGCTGCCCGTGACACTTCCGGAGGCACCCTCTGCAGCGGACACCGAGCAAATGATCGCCAAGGCCAAGGAAATGGTGGAAGAAGCCGTCAAGCTCCAGGCCGAGACCGCGGAGCCATCGTCAGCCAAGGCAGCCCTGAAACGCAAGACTGATGTGCTTAGTGATGATGAAGACGAAGAGGATGAGGAAGCCCGTACTCTCCGGACGAAGCGTGCCAAGGTTCTGGAAGAGAAGCTCAAGCAGGAACGTGTGCGGAATCGTGCTCTTGTTGGCGTTACAGCTGCCTTCGCTCTTGCGTGAGTGTCCCATTAACCCTACCCGTCTATTGCAGCACAACTAACCTTACAACGCAGCGCCTCGATTCCTTACTTCTTCATCTAAAGAATTTAATAAATTTCGCACTTATGAGTGGAGCCCAAGACGCATGAACATAGGTGTCACAGCCTCTATTACCCCTTCCAACCGACTGTCATGGTATCAGGCGACCTTTCTCATGCATGGACAGCGAGAAACCGTCTCTTTTCATGGCCACTTTGCTACCCTCCATCAAATCCGAGTGCAGGCTTTGGCCAATTAACCCCCTTGCGCATCACGATTTCCCCCCAACAGCCATGGTCATTTTGATGTGTATCGTATTTGAAACTGCTATTCCATTACTAATGCTGCTGTGCCTTTTGGTTGCGAGTGACGTGCGTCCAGATGGGGAAGGTTGGCCTGCCCAGGTCCTGGAGATCAGAGAAGAAAGCCTTGGGTTCGGTACGTTCTTTTTCTGCACCTTTTCATTAGTCGCGCTTTTTCCTGGATACCTGATATATGCCCCTATAATGTGGTTCTCTTTGTTTCTACACCATCTGCGCCGGGGATGAAGCCCTGGTGTCGTGATGCCATCGGATTGCTGTGACCGGACCGTACTTGGGCGTTGTGCTATTGTTAAGGTAGATTTGACAGACGACGCTACATGCAGGAATTTGAATGTTGATAACTAGAGGAGCGCGTTGTAAAGTGATTGTGTTTAATGTTCTGCGGGGGGAACTACTAAGTAGAGGGCGGCATTCCGCTGCAAACAAGCAAAACATCGTCATCGGCGGATGGTTCTCTCCGCCCACCACCATCTGCAAAGCTACTTTCTTTCAGTCTTTGTTCGTTCTTCCAGACTTTAGTTATCTTTTGATGCGTTAATAAAACTACTGAATTCCACTCATTCGTTTTCTCATTCTCACTGTCAGCAAAGTAATGCCATGTCTCTCCCTGGTTTAGATCTTACAACACCCTCAGGGGACAAGGAGTTTGTCCCCGCACCGCCGACGCAAATCAGTCTCTCCAAAGGTTCGGAATGGCGATTTGAGGTCGCGTTCGGCACGATTGTGCGCGTGAAGGTGAGTACTCACCTCGATTTGCGCATCTGCACCTTTCTTGCACTATCTACTTTCTCCGATCATCAAATTGACCCTACAAACTGACTGACCCTGCCTCAATGGAGAACTAGCTGCTAGCAGGCACCGCCGAACTCTTCGGCACGGAACTCGCCCCGTCGCAGACGTATACCTTCTCCGGCACCAAGGCAGCAATTTACACATGGCACGGATGCACGCTGGAGGTGAGCGCAGGCGAGAGCTATTCGACGGTGGACAGTCTCGCGCCGGGGGGCAGCAACGGATCGACGACGACAGCGACGACGACGGGGCGCGGGCTGGGCGCCGGCGGCTGCCAAAGCGAGTACACGGCGGAGGAGACGCCGATGGTGGAATACGCGAATGTGCACTTCGCGCTGGAGACGATGCGCCAGCAGGCCAAGGCGCAGGGCAGGGATGGCCCGCGGGTGCTGATCCTGGGGCCCGAGGACGCCGGCAAGACCAGTCTCACGAAGATCCTGACGGCCTACGCCACCAAGACCGGTCGCCAGCCCATCGTCGTCAACCTCGACCCCACGGAGGGCATGCTGAGCGTGCCCGGCACCCTGACCGCCACCGCCTTCCGTACCATGATCGACATCGAGGAGGGCTGGGGCAGCAGTCCCATGTCCGGCCCCAGTGCCGTCCCCGTTAAGCTCCCGCTGGTGTATTTCTATCCTATGCCGAATCCGCTCGAGGCCGAGGGGTCCGTCTACAAGGGTATCGTGTCGCGCCTCGCGTTGTCCGTCATGGGCCGCATGGCCGAGGATGAGGATTCGCGCGAGACGGGCATCATTGTCGATACCCCGGGCATTCTTAGTCAGAGTAAGGCGGGGAATGTGGAGTTGATCAAACATATTGTGACCGAGTTTGCTAGTAAGTCTTTTTATGCCTTCTGGGTCATGCTGGACCTATGCTAATGTGACGGGTGGGGAATTTGCAGTTACCACGATTCTGGTGATCGGCTCCGAACGACTCTACAGTACGATGATGAAGAACTTTGATAACAAGCCTACGGCGAGTGCGTCCGCCGTGGCGTCGGATGAGCGCATCTCTGTGGTCAAGCTGTCCAAGTCGGGTGGCTGTGTTGATCGCGACGCAGCGTTCATGAAGGCCGTCCGCGAGTCGCAGATCCGCACATACTTCTTCGGCAACCCGATTCCTTCCACGGCATCGGCGGCGCTGTCGCTGTCGGCGGCTTCAACTACGAACGTCACCCTGTCGCCGCACGCGCAGCAGCTGGATTTCAATTCGCTGGCGATATACAATTACACTGTGGCAACGCTGGAGGAGGACGAGGATGAATACGACCCGGCGCAGTTTGGGACAGATTCGTTCCTCCCTGGAGGGGGCAACGAGGCGGAATTGAGCCAGAATTACCAGCACGAGGAGAGCAGTGCAACTCCCGTCCTGCCCGGATTGCCGGGGGGTAGCAGTAGTATGTCCACGGCGGAGACGGCAAACAGCGCCAGCGTGCCGTTGAAGAAGTTGCTTCCGCCTGCGCCGACGGGGCTGGCCAATTCGCTGCTGGCGATCACGCATGCGGCGCCCACGGCCAGTGCGACCGATGTGCGCGATGCGAGTATCATGGGGTTTTTGTATGTAGCGGACGTGAACAGCGAGAGGGGCAAGATCCAGGTGTTGGCGCCGGTGGGAGGCCGAGTGCCTCCGCGGGCGTTGGTGTGGGGGAAGAAATGGCCTGGAGAAGTGGTGGGATTAGTTGGGTAGGGGTAGATACTAGATAGCGGTAGACTAGCGGCGGTTAGTTAATGTAGTGCTGATTGATAACGGAATGCCAACACCTTCCTTCTTACGCCTCCTTGTCATTCAGCTGTCTAGACCAGCATCTTCTTCGCCATCGACACTCTTTTTCTGGGCAGGACTATCATGGACTGAGTCTTGTATAGTGCTGTCAGCCAGCCTTTCATTTAGATTCCTTGTTTATTCTACAGTGCTGCACACCACCACTCCTTGAACTACCACCACCATAACTCGAACTCCAACCTCAACTTCAACCTCACTCAACCACCACCACCACCACCACCAGGACCTCAATTCAACAACAACAACAACAACAACAACAACAACAAGACAACCAGAAAGAAATGCCCCGCCTGCACCTAACAACGCACCTAACCCGCCTCCTAACCTACACCCTTCACGCCCTCCCGCAACCACTAATATCCCTCCTCCCGACGCGCCTCCGCCGAGGCACAACCCGAACCCGCGCGCTCTCACGCCCCTACCTCCCTTACCCTCCATACAACAAAGACCGCAGCAGCCGCTCTCCCTCCCCGGTCTCAAACGAATACCACCACCACCGACACCACCACCACCACAAACCCTCCCCAAAAGAATACCACCACCACCACCACCACCTCCGAAAGCGCACCCGCAACTCAACCCTAAAAATGCTCCTCCTAACCACGCTCCTCCTCCTCACCCTCCTAATCGCCCTCCCCGCATACACAATCTACCGCCCGCCGCACCTCCTAATCCGATACTTCCAGCACCGGTGGCCCGACACGCTCTGGCACGTCGCAGTGCCAGCAGGCCCAGGCACAAGACCGACAATCGCGCTGACGATCGACGATGCCCCGTCAGCGTATACGGGCGAGATACTGCAGGTGCTGAAGGCCAATGACGCGAAGGCTACGTTCTTTGTTATCGGGGCGCAGATTGCTGCTGCTGCTGCTGCTGGCCCAGGAGGTGGACAGGGGATGCTGGAGAATCTGGTGAGGGAAGGCATGGAGTTGGGGAATCATGCGATGTCGGATCGGCCATCCCGCGATCTGAGTGATGCCGTGCTGGAGGCGGAGGTTTTGGGGGTGCAGGGGTGGATTGAGAGGGTTTATGATAGAGTCTTTCAGGATCAGGATCATGGGGATGGGAATGGGGTGCGAAGGCATCATTTCTTTCGGCCTGGGTCCGGGTTCTTTTCTGAGAGGATGCGTACCCTAATTCATAGACTCGGGTTGAGGATCGCCCTCGGGAGTGTGTATCCGCATGATGCGCAGATTAGTTGGCCCCGGGTTAATGCGTGGCATATTCTGAGTATGGTGCGGTCTGGGGATATTATCGTCTGTCATGATCGGAGGGGCTGGACAGTGCCGATGCTGAAGCGCGTGTTGCCTGAGTTGAAGAGACGGGGGTTCCGTGTGGTCACCCTAAGTGAGTTGGTGGAGTTGGGAGAACAGACTGCCGCAAGGAAGTCGTGACTGAGACTGAGTCTACCTACACATACAAGTCAGAAGAACGAGGGGAAGTGGTACAAAAGTGTACAAAAGTGGTACATGTATAGTCTAAATGTCTACCGTACAGGCTGGTCCTGAAAACACAAGCAACAGAAATATACAGACACACTCAAAGCTATTCCCATCGCTTCCACTCTTCCACGTTCTTTCGCATCTCCCCCTCCACATCATACCCCCGACTGGCATCCTCCAGCAGCTCCGCTTGGCGCTCGCGGTACCGCTGCTCGGCCTCCCGACGGCGCAGCGCCACCAGCTTCAGGTACGTCAGGTCATCCAGCTGCACCGCCTCCTGAAACTTCAATCGCATGCGCGGCGAGTACAGCTGGCAGCTCGCCTCGCGACACCGCGACGGGCCTTCCCCGGGAAGCAGCCGCATCGTGGTCGAGAACTTGCGCGCAATCGGCTGCTTGGCTTTGACCAGCGGCCACACCACATCATCGTAACAATCCTCACACACCGTGAGCTCGGGCAGCTGCGGCATGTAGTGCCACGTGCTGAGAACCTGCCGGTCCCGCCGGCAGTCTCGCAGCACTACCTTGCGCCGTGCATACGACAGGAACTCGCTCACGTCCGGGCGCATGGTATGCTCCAGTTCCGCTCGGTTGGCTGCCATATCTAGGCAGTCAATATAGCGAACGAACCGGGCACTGTCAGTCACAAAGTCACACGCTCGCTCCTGCTTGGTGGCGCTGCGTTTGAAAGTCTCCCGGTGTCGAGGCATGAGGACTCGCAGGTTCCGGACACAGGCGGAGCACACATTGAACTGTGGAAGAAACATGTTGGTGTCTGGGTCCACAACGCGGTACCAGTGTTGATCACTGATGATGCGTCCCGGACACGGCTTGCTGCCGGGTGGTGGCCGAGTGATTTGCAGGAGCAGATCCAAGTGATCCAAGTGTTTCTTGAGTGTCTGCATCCATGCCAGGCGTGTCCATGGTTCACTCATGGAACAGCGGACCTTCTCGTCGCGGGGTCGAGGGCTCGCCAGGACGAAGAAATCCCGGAATCTTGACTTGCGCATCTGTTTCATGCAGGAAGGACAGATGTCTAGGTGGGGGGTCCCCTTGACCGTGTGCCAGTCCTGGTAACCTGCCACGGGAACTGACCTAGGACAAGGCGACAGGTAGAATTGGGGCTTGGGTGAACTCCTGCGCACCGCACCCTGCGAGGAACTTCTCCGACTGACCTGCTTTGCAGTCTGGAAAACATCTTCGGGGTCCTCGTCGGGTGACACAGGCCTCTGCAATGTGTCATCCAGGAAAGACACGGCACGTCTGTTAGGTAGTTGGGAGGACACTGACTGCGCCCTGTCAGAAGAAAGAGATCGACCAACCGGCTTATTGCCAATCGGTGGGCGTGCCGAGGCTTCAGGTGCCAGAGCTGCAGTGAAGGAGGCCGAGAAAGGGTCCTCCTCACTCTTCTCATGCTCAACAGACGACTCCTTCGTCGTTGATGCAGACTTGGGAGGGGTTGGCTGCATGGGTGGTTGCGCAGTGCAGCCATTGGGGCACGTCACGGCAGGCTTGATGTCAGATTGCTCAACGGTGGCGATGGGTTGGGCAGCAGCAGCAGGTGGCGGACTCTTCTGGTCGTTATTCTGTGAAGCCTCCTGGGATGCGCGAAGCTCTTGCCTCTGGCGCAGTTTCTCCTCTATCCTCTCAGCCAAAGAAGGTCCTGTAGCACTTTTGTCTGTGGGGGAGGATGGAGGCTTGGCCGAGGAGTTTTGGAGTCCCATGGCAGCCGAATCAGACACATGCCCCGGCTTTGGCATGGGAGGCCTCGTCACTGGCTCTGCAGATGGAGTAGGCTTTGCGCTGCCCGCTCGCTTCAACTTAGGTGGTGATGTTGTGGACGTGGGTTTGGGTGCTTCCGTGCTGGGCCTCTTGGATGCCACAGAGCCATTCCGGGAGCTTGGTGCCGTGTACTTCTTGGGAAGACTGTCCTTTTGGAGATTGAATTTGGCTCCGCTAGGGCGGCCATTGAGGGTCTTGCTCGTATTCTGGACTGGCTGAGAACGCTCCGGCGAAGTCAAGGGTTTGCGAGTCTTATCTGAGGAAGCCCATGGGGGTAACAAAGGCACAGCTTGATCGTCTTCGACGATGTAGAGCATTGGGTCGTGTTCGATGTCCGCCGACGGCGTTAGTGGTTCTGCGTTGTCGTCAGAGCCGCTCTCACGGACCGAGTCGTCATAGATCGTCGTCGTGTGAACAACCGAGGAGAAGGATAGCACATCCACAAGCACTGGAAGTTGGTCAATGGTGCCGCGGGAGCAGACACCCTCTACCCCGGGCTTCTCGCCAACATTGGTCATTCCGTGCAGTTCACGGGAGAGGGATACCGTCTCATCTTCCACGGAAGGTGCCGGGGGCCAATTAGTCTGCTTGCGCCAGCGCAAGTGCACCTTGGTCCTGAGATACATGGCGGTGGGAGAAAAATCAAAAACAACGACAGAGAATAACTTTTATCCAGTCGAATAGAGGGCTCCAATCGGTGTGGGATCGTTTTCCTGGGGATTTATCCTGCGGTGGCACGTCGGATCAGAATCACCTTCCTGGCTGTTGGCATTATAAATCCGTCGTGCGTCGGACTCACGAGAGAAACGTTCTCGAGGAAAGAGCAAGTGATCCAGCGGACAAACAAAACAAAACAAAACAAAACCAAAATGACCAAGCGGACTCAGGAAATCTGCAATTGAGTTGGAATGGGGCCAGCTGGAGCAGTAAAAACGGAGCAACCGATGAGCAGGAGACTGGGGCAGTCTCTGATAACCTTCCGGGGGCGGTTAGAATTAAGTATTAGGCGAAAAGTATGGTTAGTAGTTCTGATGGACTCTTCCAAGGATGGAGAAAAAGTGCAGAGAATACGGAGAGACTATATAAAGTAAATAGACCCCAACAGGAACCCGGTTGGGCAGCGCCTCTGGCCGGGGGATCGGCCCTATCAGAATCTAGCCCCAGAGATTGGGCGTTAACAGCGAGCGAATCAATCCCCCAAACACTGAAACACGACGATCGTGGCCAGATGTCAAGCGTTGGGAATGAATGGTCCTGCCTGAGCCATGTCAACAGGAGCCGTCGAAGATGAAACCATTCTGACCCTAGGCAGGAGAAGGGCTTGATCGTGCATGCGTAGATGGGCTAAGCGGGCAGTTGATTTGTCCCACCCCTCCTTTGTCGTCGATTCAGGTGCCAATTGTTCGACCAGGGGCAAGTAAGCAGGCGCAATCAACCTGCGGGAAAGGCGTCATCCTCGAGGCACAGGCGGCGATCTGAAGGAGTAGTTATTGGTCTGGCAGGCATGACAGACAGCTAGCAGAGCAGGGCTCAAGCAAAGACACACGATCATGGTCTGTATTGGGCGCCTCTGGCTACATATGCCACCATTGGGGGCGCGTTGCATCAAATCTCAACCTGTAGATGCTGGTCGTATGGTGTGCAGCGGCCAATGATGCATCCCATCTGCGGGGAGCGATGCGATGATATCAGCTGGAAAGACGGTGAGAAGAGGCAGCGGGTGGCAAGCTGCATCGAAAAGGAAGGCGAAGGCATTGAGTGGGCTGTGTTGGCTGGTCGGGTTGGGATATACGTCTGACAGTCATGCAAGGCTTTTGTCAGAAGGAGTGCGATGATTCCATCGTTGGATTGTGGGAGGAGGGAAAAGCATCATCGATCCATAGCCTGTCCAGTAGGAGGATACACCTATAGTAACGCACGGGGTTTTCCCGAACGGGCAAGAGTGTCAGGCGAGTTATGCTCTACGAGATGCATAGCTGACTCAATTATGTGTAAGCATTCCGCCGGTATATCGGAGCGATGATCGCGCGGATATCCGACGGTTCGGCAACAAACCCGATGGCGTCACTCCGTCGGATAAGGAGGAATAATGGTAGACAGTAAACAGAGGGTATGGGATGGAGTGAGGAAGAGAGAGTCAAGGTGATATCAGAATCTCCAGATAGCATTACTCATTAGAAGCAGATTGGACATACCGAATTCATGAAACCACCTCGCAAAGCCTAGATATAGACACAGGTTGATGTGAACGGTGTGGGGTAGTCAACACCAGAATTATTATTAATGACAGTAAACACGAGCATTCGAGATCACGACAGAATCCAACATCCCCGGAATTGAGCCGCGACCCACTGCCTAGAAGCTTAGCGATAGAATTCTTTCCCCAGCTCATCTTTCCCACCTTCAAAACAGGCAAAGACTTTCTCCGCCTCCACCACAGGGATTGGATATAACCGACTGCATCCCACCCCCTCATCCTCAATTCCTCCCCCCCAATGCCCCTCAGTCGCATCGTCCCTCGTCTGCTCCGTACATCCACGCCTCTAACTACTTCGGCGCTACGTCTCGCAGCTGTGAACGCTCACCTCCGATCCTTCCCCACCATCATCAGCCCTGCCACAATCCGCCCCAACACCACGATGTCAGTTCCCCAAACCATGAAGGCCGTCCAGGTCGAGAAGCTCGGCGGTCCGGAAGTCCTCGAGTTCAAGCGCAACCACCCGGTGCCGAGTCCCAAGGAGGGTCAGGTGCTGGTCAAGAACAACATCTCCGGCGTCAACTACATCGACACGTATTTCCGCACGGGTCTATATCCCTCCGCGAAGCCCGAGATCCTCGGCCGGGAGGGCGCCGGCACCGTCGTGGCGCTGGGCCCGGGCCCCAACCCGTACGGCTTCCAGGTTGGAGACCGGGTCGCATGGCTCAGTACCAGCGGCTATGCGGAATATACGGCCGTACCCATGGCCAAGACGGTCAAGATCCCCGAGGGGATCAGCGACGAAGAGGTGATGGCTGCGTTCCTGAGCGGACTGACCGTCATCACCCTGGCGAAGGAGACCTACCCCGTCAAGCAGGGCGAGTGGGTGCTGCTGCACGCGGCAGCTGGAGGGGCGGGGACCCTTATGACTCAGGTGCTCAAGTCGATCGGCGCGAAGGTGATCGGTACGGCCGGGGGTCCCGAGAAGTGCGAGCTGGCCAAGAGTCTCGGCGCGGATGTGGTGATCGATTACCGCAGTGAGGAGGGCAAGGACTGGCCCCAGAAGGTGAAGGAGATCACGGGCGGTCACGGTGTTGATGTGGTCTTCGACTCCGTTGGTAAGGATACCTGGGAAGGAAGCCTCGAGGCCGTCAAGCGCAAGGGTACGATCGTCTGGTTCGGCAACGCCAGTGGCCCCGTGCCTCCTCTGCCTCTACAGTAAGTCTTGAGGACTCTTTGTGGGTATGTCAGCCGAAGCTAATATGTGTCTACTCACAGGAAACTCTCTCCCAAGTGTGTCAAGATCGCCCGACCCCAACTCTTCGGCTACATCGAGACTCGGGAGGAGTTTGAATTCTATGTCAACGAGCTCTTCTCGCTTCTCCAATCCAAGAAACTCAAGGCTAGAGTCCACAAGGTCTACCCCTTGGAGGATGTTGCCGAGGCTCATCGTGACCTGGAGGGTCGCAAGACCACCGGAAAGCTCCTTCTGAAGCCCTGAGCTGGGCTTCTCGCACTAATGGTTATAGGTTCGACGATTAGCTAATGCTGGGTTCCGATTTGTAACATAAGAAGATCAAATCGGCCGGCCTATCATTCTTGGATTAGTTAGCTAGGTACAGTCCATGCTTCGGCATTATACCGGCTGTCGTAAAGCTCATAAATTACACCTGCGCTCATAAATTGCTTAGAGTATATCCTCCAAGTCTGCAATCTCACCGTCCTGCCCAGCTGCATCAATCTCGTCCGCCTCCATTTCATCCCCATCCGCGGTGTCCTTGATCGGCTTTGGCTTCTTCCAACCCATCATCAGATCATTAGCAAGGACCGTGTAAATGGTGCCATAGGCATTGAAGGTTTCTTCGAAGTAGTGAAAGCCAACGTTTGTTTTCCACACCGGTGTGATCACCTTCATGCCTGGGTAGCAGAGCTGCAGCAGGGTTTGCTCCAAGAAGAACTTGAAGATCGGAGGCGAGTCTCGCTCACGTGCTTTGCTCTCCTCCGCAGTCATATCATAGGAAGCCTTCGCTGGGTCCCAGTATGCTTTGGCAGTGATTTTGCCGGCAGGAATGAGATCGAAGGCATATTCCTTGTAGAAATCGAGAGCATCATCATTCGGGGGTCCAACCGTCATGATCTCAAAACCGTCGATGTCCTCTACACGCTTTGCGCGTACATCACCCTGGAGGTCTATGTCTCGAAACTTGCGCGCCACTTCGTCGGATGCGGCCCCAACGAGGGCGAGTTTGACCACTCTGTATGCCATGCTCCTAGTCATCGGAGGACCGTCCGCCCATGGGCCTTCTAAATCCCCCTCCAGGTTGAAGTCATAGAGATAGCCCCCGAAGAGCGTCGAACAGGCTTTGTTGAATTGACCGGGCCCTTTGGCCATGAATTGCTGGTTCTTCCAAAGCTCCGTAGTGGCAATGTCGCACGACTTTCGAGCCTGGTCGATGTTATCCTTGTGTTCTGGGCAGACATCGTGGTAGAGTAGGTAGGACAGAAAGTTGCGAATGGTGACCGTACCCAGCTTGACCATGTCCTCGGTTTCCGGGTTGAAGTAAGAGGGGAAGTAAGAAGTCCTGCTAGCCGTGAGTGGGAGCTTACTGTAAGATATGCTAGGACTTACAGGTAGCCGCGAACTACAGCATCAAAGTCGATAGTGAGCTCTGCGGTGTCATTCTCAATGGTAGACTGAGTTTTAGCCTGAAGGACCTGCTCGCTGTCCAGCTCCTGAAGATCTTTCTGGTCTGAGCCCACGAACATTCGGGGAGAGACATCCACGCCCCCGTAAGCCAGGTATTTTAAGAATATAGCCCTCCGATTGTTCTCAAGGCGACGCTTGCCCTGGTAGCGCTGAAGAGCATCTTCGATCCGACTAACACCGATTTAGCATCACGAGTCAGTCGTCATGTTGTGAGACTTACTGTCTGATGGGCCGCGACCTGTAAAGAGTGGTTAGCTGAGACTGACCTGATAGAGAGATATGGTCACATACGGATCATATAGAACCTGCTCTGCTTCGTGCTCAGCAGGTGTCATGGGAGCGTCACCATAGTACTCCTCAAACCCTGTGGGCTTGCCCTGTGACAATCAACTCAGGCCTCATATACCTTATTCTCTCAGAAACTAACCAGACCACGCTTGCTCTTGGGCTTTTTGCTATTCTTCTTCTTTTTCTTGGGCTTGATGCTGTCGGAGATCTCCGGCGTAACTTGTTCCTCAAAAGTGACAGTCTGTGGCTGTGCCGCGGCCGAGCCGATTGATCGGACGTTGAGGACGCTGCCTATGTTAGAGCACAGCTGAGCTGAAGCATTGCCTGTCTGAGTCACTGGGCTCGAAGCAGGGAGCAGGATGGAAGGGGGAATCACTTCGACGTCCCCCATCCTGTTTACTAGTTAGCAAGTGTCTGATTTCTGAATAGAATTGGCACTGAACGGAAAGAGGGACAATGTATGAAGGGACAGGAAGGAATGGGAAGGAATTGGAAGGAACTTGGAAGAGGAAGGGAAGGAAGAGAGAGAGGTTGATCTGAGGCAAGACTAAAGTGAATTTGAAATTCTTCATCCTGGCGTTAGTTAATATGGGCAAGGTATAGGGTCCTTGAGAGTATCTCGGTATATTGAATGCTATGGTCACGAATCTGCAGCCGGCCCTCGGACGTTTGTCAGAATGGCAGCATGTGGTACGGCATTAGCCGGAGGACTGGTAATATCATTGATATAGCCATAGTTCTAAGAAGAAGGTTTCAACTCAGACAGCTGAGGTGACAGAAGCCTGGATTACGGAAACAGCCTCTCTGTAACCTATATCTAAAGCATGAGCAAGGATCCAAGCCAAGCATAGCGAAAAGAAATTGAACCAAGATGCTGGTGGAGAGACTAATCCAAGTGAAAGGGTCTTACCATTGGGAAGTATAGAGAATGCCGCCGAAGGACAAGCCGATCGAGCAATGAGATTCACAGCTTCTTGCCTCGTGCTACGATTCAAGACCCAGTCAGCAAAATTATAACAGACGATCTTATTCATTTCAGTCAGGCTGTGGACTATTATCTATTTCTGGTTAATCGATCAACTAGTATTGTCATCTGCCCCTCAGCCTTGTTTAGCTTGTAACGGAGTAATCCACCAGTGTCTACACTCTAAGTTCCTTCCCCGACATTTTTTCCCTACCCTTCCTTTCCTTGTAAAGTCCAAACACCGACCACTAAACACACAACCAACAACCCGCCTTTTTGTGGCTTGTCTCTCCTTTTCTCCCCCTGCTGCGCATTTGTTTGCTTACCAGGACTATCCCCCCCTTTCTCTCCTTTATTCACTGGTAGAGAACGCTCTCTCCTTCGTCACCGACAACTTCCCGTTTGCTGAATCTCCGTCTCTTTCCGTAACCCATGCGGCATGCCGTCTAACCTCCAGCAGTCTCTGTTGGACAGTGATTGACTTTTTACTGTGTTCTAAAACCCCCTCAATATGCAATCATCCTCACGATCAGAAGGCGCGATGACCGCCAAGCTGGACAACGACAGCTTCGTTGCCTTTGACCATGCCGCTGCCGGACAGTAAGTATCGCAACCCCTTGTCGCATGCCCCCTGTCGCAACCACCACGAGATGAAATTGTTCAACGATAGAACCTGCTCTCATGCAGCATGCCTGTTTGCGCCTAGGCAATGAAGACCAGAGTCATTCGCTAATGAAACCCTCACCGTAGTGAAGGTGTCCAGTGTACTGTATCCGGTTCCTTTATCGCAAAGCCATGCACCCCCCAAGAAGTGGCGTTCTACGAATCCAGCGCCCTCCACCCGGCATTCCAAGAGTTCCTACCCACCTTCATCGGCACGTTGACCTCCGCGGATGAGCAGCAGTCTCTGGCTCTCGCCGCGGCCCAACAAGCCGGCGCCATCGTGCTGCCGGACTCGGAATATTCTTCTATGTCGGACGCTCCCACGGCACCTCCCCCATCCCAAACTACCGCGGCGGCGGCGGCGGCGACTACGAAGACTGAGACGACCGGCTCAACCAGTGCTGCACCTGCAGAGTCGCCTTGGGTTCCCTCCGGCGGGAAGAAGCTCGAGACGGGCCTGTCGATTGTGCTGGAGAATGTGGCTGCAGGCTTCAAGCGACCCAACGTGCTGGATGTGAAGCTGGGGGTTAGGCTCTGGGCGGACGACGCGCCGCCCCTGAAGCGCGCAAAGTTGGATGCCGTGTCCAAGGAAACGACAAGCTCGACGCTGGGGTTCCGGATAGCCGGAATGAAGGTCTGGACCGGCGTGAGCGGAGAGACCGACGCAGGCGGTCGCACCGATCCCTACGCGACGAAATACGAGGGCTCCGAGGGGGCCAAGGGACAGGTCATCGAGAAGGACGGCTACAAGCGCTACGACAAATGGTATGGCCGGTCGCTCACAGAGAGCAACATCAAAGACGGGTTCAGGACGTTCCTGGCGGGCGCCAAAGCCGGGGCTGTGGATCGGTCCCAGCTGGTCGCGAGACGGCTGGCCGAGGAACTGAAACATGTGCAGGAAGTTCTGGAGTCGGAGGAAAGTCGGATGTACTCGTCGAGTGTGTTGATTGTCTACGAAGGCGATCCAGACGCCATGGAACAGGCATTGGAAGAAGAGCAGAGGCCCAGACCGGAGCGGGCCGAGGAGGAAGACGAGGATGAGGACGAGGAGGTGGAGTTTGCAATCCCGTCGGACGGCTCTTTCCAGGTGGTTGACATTCCGCTCGGCCAAGGGAGCGTGTCTCACCAGGCCATCAACATTAATCTCGGACCTGAGGTCGCAGAACTGGGGGAGCTAGATCTGGATGAGGACGAAGAGGATCCTCCGAAGGTGCATGACCTCCGTCTGATCGACTTTGCGCATGCGAGCTGGACCCCCGACCAGGGGCCGGACGAGAACGTCCTGAAGGGGATCCGGAGCCTGACTCAGATCCTGGACGAGCTTGCATTGGAATAATTGTACGAATTTTTAAGTCGAAAATCACTACAGTCGCTGGCGGCTCTAGGATCAGAGCGATGACAGGGCGATTCTGTCATCGCCCACTGTAAGCGTTATACAACACACGAGAATCTAGCTTAGCTAAAATGAAACAACCTAGCAATTAAAGCAGATTGGCATTTTTGAGTAATTCATCCATTTTCTAGTCAAAATCCCCTGTATCAAGCGCAACCTACAGAGCTGCCATAATATATGCGGATGGAACACGCACTCCAGAGAATCTTACATAATCGCCGCCCGAACCTCCGACAATTTGCAACTATCCAAAGAATCACAATCCATCTTTCCAGCCTGCAGCCAGGAAGGATCCCACACCACCCACGAAGGCCAAGATGTTTCCCACACGAGCCCTGCTCGCCCGCTCCGTCTGGAAAGGTAAGCCCACATCCAGCTTTCCCGCAACCTTCACACCCTTTGGATCTGGAATAATCACCTAACGCGCAAATCACCAGGCCCGAACATCGTCCCGTACGTATTCTGCCTTCAGCATTTACACACGAACCAAGCCCATTCCCAACTTCTTACCGAAATCTCAATCCCCTCCAAAGACCCGAACCGCATACGATTCAAGCACAAGTTACTGACACCGTGATCAAAACAGCCTCCCCCTCCCGCGCAAACTCCCCGCTCCCCCCGGCACGCCCCCGATCCGGACGCAGAAGCGCAGCGCAACCATCCTGCCGAACTTCGTCGGGCTGAAGTTCTCGATTCATAATGGCAAGACTTATCATGATCTGCTGATTACTGAGGAGATGGTTGGTCGGAAGTTGGGGGAGTTTGTTCCGTATGTTTTCCTTTCTTTCCTTCCTTTGCTTGTCTCTGGGGCTTTTGGATGTGCTTCTGGCATTGGAATGGGAATGGGATGGGTCGATGTACTAGTCGAACGGAGGAGATGGGGATGAGTGAGGGAAGCAGAGCATAGCAACCAGTTGGTTAAGCGCTGTGAGTGCGAGCTGTGTGCTAACGATCCAACCATCCTCTAGGACCCGCAAGCGTTTCACCTATAAGATGTCGAAGAACAAATAGATCTGTTCTTGTTTGGGTTGGTTGGTGCTGGTGGTATATCTTACGCTCTATGCTCTACACTTTGTGAAGTAAGGAGGAGGTACCCAGGACCAGCTGTTTGCATTTCTGTTATGTTGGCGTTGCGTCTTTACACATGATGTTTCTTTTATGGCTTGATAGCTTGGATCCTGGGGTTCCCGGTCTGAGGTTGACTTTCTCGGTAAAAGAGATTAAAGGGAGTGGGCTGTGTATATTATGTATTATCTATCTATCCATCTATCCACCTATCCATCCATGATACCCGGGGAGAGTAAGAGCGACTAGAAGGGGTTCACACGTCAGGTATACTATTATTGCAGATTAGTTTCAAACGCCATACTCCGATTTGTGCGGATTTAAAGGCGCCCGCATGCAGGATATCTATCGTTCAGCCACGCCCCAAGTATACGCCAGCAAAGGGACAAAAGACAACCGAGTCCCATCCAGGGACTCATGAAAACAAAACAAGCCCTCCTCCGACTTACAATCTTGCCCGCATACAACCGGCAGCCTCAGCATCCAGACCACCGGATTTGACCAAAGCACAAGCCCAGCAAATACCACCTCAACAAACATGCAGCAACGCACGCCACTACCAACCACACCCCATCCCCAGCCCCCAACAAACCCATGTTCCCCCCGCAACCTCAGCGATAAAACTCCCCCCGCTTAACACTAACCCCATACTCCGCAACCGCCATCCCCAAATCCTCCATAGTAAGCACCGTGCGACCCTGACCGGAGCCACCAGACCCTCCACCGCCGAACCCAGGCCTCTGGATCCCCAAATGCGTACCGGCCTTCCCCTTGCCAGCGTCTCCGCCGGACATACCGGCCGCCGCGCCCGTAGACCCCACCCCCCCAGCGCCACCGGGCATGCCCAGCCCCGACGCGGCATTCAAACTGCCCATCGGGTTGTTGGCGGACGAGCTGTTGGACGCGCGGATGCGAGCGTACTGGTACGAGTCGGCCGCGATGTCGGCGATGAACTTCTGGGTCGCGAGGGCGAGGAGCCGCGCTAGGTGCGGGGGTGTTTGGTTGGGTCCTGTGCCTGGGGGTGGGAGGCCGGCGAGGGTTAGGTAGTGGGCTGTTACTGCGTCCGGGATCTATTGCCGTGGTGTGTGTTAGTTGATTGCGACGTTGATTTGGTTTGGGTTGGGTGCGCTGGTGGGTGAATGGATGAGGATGCGGGAGGGGTTTGGGGGTTGGAACTGATGAGGATAGGCTGCGTGAGGTTGGGGCAACGTACGATCGGTGCATATTCGTCCATCTTCCCTAGGAATTCGCGTAAACTGGTTTCTTTCTTTGACGGCGCTGACGCCGCTGCCAGCGCGTCGACGGAGGTAGGCGCCGGGACCGAGTTGCCGGCTTCTTCGTTGCCGCCGCTCGTCGGGTTGGCGGCGGTGGCGCTGGGGCCCGTGTTGGCCATCTCGACGTCTTCTTGTGAGATCGAGTTGTCTAGCGCGTTGGTGTCTGCGATGTCTGGCTCTTGTTTAGGCACGATCGTGCCGGGTGAGGTTGCGGCGGGTTGGCTGGATGGCGGGACCGGGGTGGATGAAGCTGCGGCAGCTGCAGTTGCTGCTGCTGGAGGAGGAGGAGGAGGTTGCGATGATGAAGGCGGAACAGAAGGCTGTGATGACGATGATTCGGCCATGGTTGGCTGACCACAAAGGCGCAAGGGATCGCAGCGGACGCAAAGAAACAGTCCAATGGTTGGCAGGGGTCGCGGTCGGCGGTGAATGCAAGGGCAGCAAGCAGTTTATAGGTAGGTATACAATCAATGCGAAATCCCTGCAATTTGTGAGATGGCAGTGCCGCGTGTGGGTTGGGGTGAATGGGAAGTGATTGACTGGTTGGAATTGGAGCGGAGAGAGAGCTCTGATCTGAACTGTCGGACTTGATAAGTTCTCTTGGCCGCGTTCGGCCCGACTACGAAACATGAACACGCTCACTAATTGGCGGGCTTCTCAAGCATCGCGTTGCAGCAGCATAGGCTAGACATATTCATTGGTATTCAGATTTGAATGTGATGATTGGGAAAGACAGAAGAAACATGATTATCAGTTATTGTTGTATGGTACAATCCGCAAATTACTCCTACAGTTTCGGCTACCATTCGCAATTTATGCATCAAACCCCATATGCACCCACCAAGAGATTCACAAGTAAATAGACTGTTGTAGGCTGTGGAACCGCTCAAAGCCACCGACGCAGGACGAAGACGAAGAATACAATACGTGAAAAGTGAGGAAGAGGCGAAGTGGAGACGTGAAGAACACCTGCCAGTTGAAGCATGAAGCCCATCACTGACCCAGATGCATGTTGGGATCGACGTGATCCTGATGGTGCGCATGAGGGTGATGCTGATGCTGGTGATGATGATGCTGAGGTTGCCCAAAGGACTCTCCATGCACTTCTTGACCAAGGGTCTGCATCAGGTTCTGTTCGGCCGTCTGGTCGAATGTTGAATGAGCATTGGGGTCATGTGGCAGTCCAGGGGAAGCAGACATGGCATCGTGACCGTGACCCATAGGAACTGGCTGAGCATGGGCGCCAGCAAGTGCCATCATACCCTTGATACCTTCCACATGGGCCTTGTCTTCCTCGCCCTGCTTCTTCTGCCGCTCGCGGGCTTCCCGCTTGGCGGCCTGGGCCGGGGCACGAGTCTTCAGCTCACCCGTGACAAACTTCAGATAGTAGGGGACCTCGATGCCACTCTTGAGGAAGAAAAGCTTCAAGTTACGCGCCTTATCCTTGAGTTGCACCTGGTTGCGATCCTTCAAGGCCTCACTTATGGTACCTCCAGGGCCAAACATGGCGAGAATCTGACTCCAGTGGGGTCCCTTAACACGATCCAAGCCTGCCATCAAAGCATTCTCCTCCTCAGTTGTCCAGGGACGACGCTGACTCGGCAAGCCGGATTTGCGGCTGCTCGGAGATGACTTGGCCGAGGCCGCCATGCGAGCCCGCTCATATAGCACCTGAGTGGGTTGCGACTGAGAATAGTGTGGTATTCCCGGCATGTACCCATGATTGGCCGCAGCCGAGTTCGGTCGCGGAATCGATGCAGGTGTCACATGGCTGTACTGCTGGAAATTAGCCTGCAGAGGGCTCGGCTGGAATGTAAGCTGGCTGGGTGGGTGTTGATAGCCAGACGGCGCTGGACTGTGATGATAAGGTTGCTGGTGAGTCTGCTGATGAGGCATCTGACCCGTCGGCTGGGCGGCAGAGTACCCATGCAAGATTTGGCCACCCTGTGGCTGTGCGTGCTGAGGAGGCGGCTGCTGCTGCTGCATCTGCTGGGGTTGGTGAATTGTGTGTTGCTGGTGGTGCTGCTGCGGCTGGTGCTGCTGCGGTTGGTGTATTTGATGTGACTGCTGTTGATTTTGCTGGGGATGCGGTTGCTGGTACTGTTGCTGCTGCTGCTGTTGCTGCTGCTGCTGTTGTGAACGCCTTAAGCCATGGCCCTGGAGAGCAATCTGCGCCGCGCGCGCTGCACGAGCAACAAGATCGCCGTGCATGTTTCGGTCAACTGGAACATCCGGTGGCTGCGATGAGACCGGAAACTGGCCCTGAAGGGGTGCACTGGGTGGTTCCTGGGAATCTCCATTCGACGAGGATGGTTGGCGACCCTTTGCGATCTTTTTCGTCTGGCTCACCGTTAGCACACTGATTCCATAGTATAGTAAGAGCACTGGGTATTCAGACCTGTTGGTTGCTGATCGTATCAAAATTCTTGGTGATGTAGGAGCTCAGATCGCGAAGAAAGTCCTCCCAGTGGTATTTGTCCGGCAAGGCCTTCATGGCTTCCTCGTTGTTGACGTCGCTAAGGAGAATCTCACGGCGCGATCCGGCGCGCTTAACAAAGTCTGCCTCGCTGGGAGCCAGCTGCCTCGTTCCCGGGCGCCGGTCCAAGAGCTGTTGCTCCAGGTCATCTGGGAAGAGGTCGAACAGCAACTCTGTCCGGGTCCGCTCTGAATTGTTCATGGACGCGATGAACGCCTGGGTCTTGAGCTCCAGAAACAAGGCGCCTTGCACCTTGAGTAGACGCCCCCCTTCGGGGACAAATACATCAAGGAAGTTGTCGTTGAGCTCAGAGAATCCAATCTCCTGAGTGCCGAAGATGCTCGAGACGAAGGACGCCAGATTAGCCTTCCGAATGATGTCGATTTGCGACGGCTCAGTAAGCTCCAATTCGGTCGGGGACAAGAAAGACTTCTTGGTCGAATAAACCTTTTTCGTGTGGTCGAACAACGATCGCATGGTAGCGTAGGCTTGACCACTTTCAGTTTCCGGTTCGGAAACGAACGAGGTGATTTCTTGGTACGAAGACTTGGCAAGCAACGATAAAATCTGCGTCGACTAGAGAGAATTGACATGTCAGTATCCTTTTCGATGCTTTTCAAGCATCCTTTGGCCTACCAGATTGTCTAGAATCGGCAGACTCTGAATCTTTAGATGTGAGTTGGCCTTGACAAACACCATGCCTTTCGGAGCCGGACTTGCGGTATCCGCTAGCTGCTGTTGACCGATCACGACTTGTTCCTCCACACGTTCGGCATGGTTCATGATGCTCGAGATCACGGTGGCCATGTCGGGATCGATGTCAGCCGTTGTCTCGGGCGCAACTGTGGTTTCCGCTGCCGTCCCATCAATTTGACTCGGGGTGCCCTCGGGATGTTCAACTGTGTCCACGATACTGGGTCCCAGCGCAGATGCCAATTCCTGCTCAATCTGATTTCCGGGGACTTGATCTGCTGTTAATTCACTGGGGTGTGGCGGCAAGATGAGGTCGGCGGGTTCGGACTCGAGACGGCGCTTTTTGGATGCCCGCGGCGACACAGTGCCGTCCTCTTCTTCGAGGGGATGCGACAGTTTGGGGACCACTGTGAGTAACAGCAACTTAGCATCATGATTGACAAGTGACAAGTGACATTGGATAGTTTTTGACAGGGTCATAAGTCATGCAGGGATTATCGGGGCTGGGTCAGAGGAGGCAGGATACGGAAGCATCGCCTCTTGCCAGATCGCCCCCCCAGAACGACTCACCATGACTATCATCCTCGGTCGCGAGCACGGGGAGGTCAGAGGAGATAGACTCCTCAACTTTCGGGCCTGTCACAGTAATGTCGGCCATGATAGGGACGATTCCCGATGGGAGGGAGATGGCTTGTCCTTCCAAGAGCAGAAATGAGGGCTTAGGGGTAGGGCGCAAGCGTAGGGCTTTGGAAGTGGTTTAGTTAAGTTGAGACGGGCGGAGTTGAACTGGCCTTGACAGATTTTTCCCAACTCGGCCGGAATTCGGCTCTGGGCAGTGTCTCTTTTGGGTCAACAACTTTTTAAGGTGGACGACGGTGAGGTGTTTTACAGTATAGTTTGAATTTGTTCACTGAGCTACATGGTTTTTTTTTGTACTGTGTTAGTCACTATCACTATTACTTCCATATTCACTCAACCTGAGGAAAGATGCTTCTTAGTCGCCAGGCTAGTTTTCAATCCCTTTCACTTAAAGATCCAAACAGTCACTCAAGCAACGAATCACATCCCGCCCGCTTTGGGACTTGGCGCGTCCGCCTGGCTGCCTCGCTGCCTGAGTGCCTGAATTCGTCCACATGGACATGGACACGACTTGTCAGCAATTCATAATTCAGCTACTAGTTATCCTCTCGAACTGAATCAAACATGCTGTCTTTCTGTCAAAGCCATGGCTTGTTCAATCTAATACTCTGTCTCTGCTACGGCGGGGTTGTCGACATCCATGGTTGCGTCCGCCTGGATGCTACCTCCCATCTAAGCGTCATCGATTCATCAAGTATTTTATCCCTTCTGTTGAGCAGTACCAAGACGACTTCCTATCGAATTGGACTTTTCTTTCATCACTATCGACATAACTGTTTCCTTGGTTCTCTGTTACCGCACTATTGCAATGCTGCGATAGACACGGTCACTCTTAGGATCGCATTCTCCGAACTGAACACAAGGGCCGAACGAGCAATGAACTCGCGAGACAGCAAACAATATAAGGCATCATGGAGAGAGTGTCAGGGCCGAATGCGGCAAGCTCAAGGCAGATGAGATCCAATGGCTGGACTCTTGCAATGGTTGACATGACTTCTCGAGAAGTCTAGAACAAGGTAATGAACGGAGTATTATTGCATCAACACCAGAACCATGGAAATGAGGCCCGAAAGTCAAGCTGAAATGAAAGCCAGGTAGACATGTAGGGGTAAGCAGTACACTGAAAGGTACAGTACCATCAAGACAACTGTATATGTTGGAGTCCAGTCCTGCCTCGTTTCGTTCTCTCCTGTTGGTCAAAGTCTTAGCGTCCGAAGCATCAGTTCCATAACAGCAACAGTATTCGAAATTCGTCGGTGTCAAAACAGCCTGGAAAATGCGGTCTTCACGCGATGTCCTTCTAGCGCTCGCCGCTACAGTGCTGCAGACCACCACTCCAGTATCAGCACAAACGCTGAAAGAACAGGTTTGGGCGGTCTTTGCCTATACATTGCACGGAGATAGCATACCGACAGCTCTTCCCCGCGAGAGTGTCGTGACACCTTATGGCGCCAGTGAGCTGTACGCTGCTGGATCTGCCTTCCGTGATCGCTATATCGCCATCAATTCGGCGGACGTGAGTCCCAGTACAAGAATCGAACGGATTTCCTCCTATGTACTCGCGGACGAGGATATCGATATCTTGACCACCACGGATGCCTCCGTGATTGCCTCTGCCCAAGCCTTCATGCAGGGACTCTATCCGAATTTGAATGAGACCTATGATTCCCAGTTCTTTGACCCAATTTTCCACATGTCGAATGGCTCCGTGACCACTGGACCCTTGGGCGGTTATCAGTATCCTCGCATCATCAGCGCCAGCCTCGATGACCCTCAATCAGTGACCGTGGCAGGCCACCAGAACTGCATGTTGCATCAAACTGCCGACTCAGAGTACCAGAACAGCCCGGAGACTCAAGAATTGATACAGACTTCGGGGCCATTCTTCAACCGTCTATATGAGTTCTCGTTGAGAGACACATTCGACCGCTCATCGGCCAACTACCTCAATGCTGTTTCCATCTCCGAATTTCTGCAATACCAACTTCTGCACAATGAAACCCTTCTGCACAGCTTGAACGAGGACGACATCAAGCTCGCCAAATGGTATGCAGACAAGTACACCTTTGCTACGAATGGCAACACAACATCATCCAGTCCTATCCAGAGCGGTAATGTCCGCGCTATTGCGGGCCGTACTATGGCATCTCGCGTCTTGGATGTCTTCAACACCAACATTCTCAATCGGGGCGATAGCAGCAAACTGACCTTCCTTTTTGGCAACCCCGAGCCAGCCGTGGCTCTTACCTCCCTTCTGCGGCTGGCATCACCGCAGCAGTCAAACTTCTACTCGCGCCCCGCGCTTGGCGCATCCATCATTCTCGAGCTCTTTAGTCTCGAAAGCGACGCCTATCCCACCTATCCCGACCCAACCAAGCTCTACGTGCGGTTTCTCCTACGCAACGGCACTGACGAGGGGGCTGAATTCCGCCCCTACCCGCTCTTCGGCCTCAGCCCCAGCAACACTGATGTCTCCTACTCGGAGTTTCAGGCAGAGTTGACCAAGTTTGCCCTCAACTCCACCGAAGCGTGGTGTCTCCAGTGCAGCTCTAGTTCGGCGGTGTTCTGCCCTGGGGTTCTGGAGGCTGATGGAGTGAGCTCAACTCAGAAGAGCAGCAGCGGAGACAACAATATCACCCCAGCTGTGGCAGGTGTTATCGGCGCAATCGTTACCCTTGTTGTCATTGGTATGTTTGCTGCTGCGGGGTTCTTGTTCTTTGGCGTTCGGATGAACCGGCAGTATAAGTCGAATCTCACCGATGTCAAGGGAGGTATCAAGCTGGCTAGCGACTCGAATCTTCCTTTGCGGGAGAATATGTGAGTCAGGTGGTGCTTTGAGCTTGGGTTGTGTTCTAATTGCCATTTATTGTTATTGAGCTGTCTTTCCCAGGTCGGGCGTTGTGGTATGGAAAAGGGAGTAATCTGATACTAAAAGAAATTCATAAATGTCTTAGTTCATAAAGCTCATTAACTACCAGTAACAGGGTCAAGTACATAGTAAGGCAACTGACTGTGTTTCGTACGACCTGGGGACTTCGAAGTTCTCTCCGGCCTCGTTTTCTTGACTTGGCTTGTTGCCATAGCTGCAGTAAACAACGAATGACATTCCCGAGACTATAAGATTGATATTCACAATTTCTATATCTGAGGTTTCATCCTCGACTATCCAGTGATAGCTGTAAAACAGTTTGGGAGAAATAACATCAACCAGGCTGCATGAAGGGAGAAATTAATCTGGATATCATTCTCGTTGCAAAGTGAAAGCCACTGCTTTATGCTGCTTTGGTGTGCCAACCTGTATCAGGTATCACTCCAAAAGGTTAAATATAGTACTGTCGCTCTTTATTATTCCATGCATGGGGAAAATTGTCCAGAACATTGAATGGTATAACTTTAGTCAAATAAATGACCATTTTACCCTCATAGATATCTCATCTCATATTTCTCTGCTATGGGCATATGGCACCAATGGCCATGTCAAGGATTCCTCCCTGAATGCAAAGTGAAGTTCAAGTTCCCGTCTTTTGTGGGAGGCAGTTCACATTTCCCACCCCAGGCCATCAGCTATAACCGAATCAGCAAATACTGGTGTCAACGCGTCGACTGACATCTTCCTGAAACCAAACCCCCCGACGTGACTCATTCCCTGTTGTAAAGCGGATGGGCGTGCTTTCCATTTGAGAAGAAGAAGGCTTTCGGCAGGTGCGTATTTCCTGGAGAGAACCCAGTCAGTGTCTTGTCAACATCAACCTCAACGCCCCAAGGCTCTTGCCCCAGTTCGCTTCTTCGAACCCATTCCATTCATCTTTCAAACGAGGCACGCCCCATTTGTTGCTGAGACCAGACTCCACTGCTTTCCTTGATTTCCATTGCATTTCTCTCCTGTACTCTTACCCCAATCATCATGGCCCGATATGATATTTCAGCCCTCATGGGTATGCGCCCCAACGCACGGATCGATGTCAACAGGTTCAGTGAAGTTGGCAGTATGTCCTTCTCGCGTGCCGAAGCAGGAGAGCTATCTCAGGGGCCAGAGCCACCAATGACTCGCGCTGACCATGGTCGACCCCATGTAGGCAACTTGCTCCGCCAGCACAGCACAAGCGTGTTATCCGAACAACCCACCAACCGGTCGAGGAACGTGTCGAATTTCTCCCGTCAAAGCGAAAGGAACACCGCAGCTCCTGAGGCCGCTTCGCGGTCTACTACGCGACAACCAAGCGATCCACCGTGCGGACATCGTGCACAGGACGACTCCGGCTTTGCCAGATTCCTCAAGGAACACACGTCCCCCAAGCATCAACGCGTCACTGCTGGTGGTCGAATCGTACCCATGGAGGCACCTCCAAAGATGAAACTGCCTACATTTGTTCCGCAGCATAAAGTCAGCGGTGACAAGAAAGGCTCTGTTACATCGACAGAGGAGAACGAAAGTAACAAAATCGAGCAAGGAAATGTGCGAGCCAAAGACACACTCCTTGGCATCGAGACTTCCAAACATGGCTCTCAATCTGCTGGTGTGCCTATCAATTACGCATTTCCAGCATATGGGAGCTTTGATCCGTACTCGCAAAGCTTGGGGCAAACACCCAACCTTCTCTCTGCTGCAGGAGCTTCGGGTTTGATGTCTCAGCTTGGGGTACCATGGCCTCCCGATAGCCAGCAGCTTCTAGAATCTGAGCTACAGTCCCCAGAGTATCACATTCCTGCTGCGCCTGAGTATTCAATGCTCAACTTTACGAACCCATGCGTCTGGCATCCGAGTTTGTATGATGCTTTGAATACACCAAGCGCGTTAACCCCTTTCATGCCCCCGATCCAGCCGCATGCGACCATCTCAACACCGTCGGACTTCTCAGCAGGCAGCATTGCCAGTAGCGGAGGGGCTACGCCTTTACTGAGCCCGTTCTATTCAGGATATGGCATGCCTTATACCCCTGCGGGACTCCAGTGGCATCAACTTATCAACGGACAGGCGCCAGTTCAAGCCCAGCCAATAATGCCTGCCGTGATGCCCACTCCGTTGTATCAGAAGTCTCTCGATGATGCTGCCAAAGAGTACGACAATCTATCGGCTCAACTCTCACGCCTGGACAGATACATGGCAATGCATACCTGGGATCTAGATCCTCAAACCAAGAAACTGTTGGTCGAACAACGCGTTGGTTTGGTGAAAGAGTTAGATACCGTCCGGATCTACAGGGAACATCTCGAATGGGCCTCTGCGAAGATCAGGATGAATGCCTTGAGCACCCATGTTGGCATGTCTGAGCCGGCACTGTCGACAGGAATGTATCTTGCTGGTAACCTGGCGAATAGCCAAGCATTGTTTGGACAAGCCGCATGCAATTCCAGCTCAGAAAGCGCTGTGCCAACGTTCGCTATGCCGTCGGTTACAGGCGCATTTCCGTCACAACTTTCCAGTAATGAATCAGGAAGCTCAACAGCAATTCCGTCGATGCCATGGCAAAGTTCGACTGACTACTTTGGTCCTTATCAGGTTCCAGCATTGCAAGAGGCAAACACAAGCATCAAAGCACCCACGCAGTCGCAGCGACTGAAATCAAAGCGGCCGATCGCTATCAAAGTACCGCCCGTGGAACCCAAGAAAGATATCGCATCCGATAGAAAGGTGAAGGTAGCGAAGGACAGCGAGGCAGACTGGACATCACGCAACAAGGATCTGCCTTCAAACGTTCTACAGGTGTACCGCCAGATTGAAGAGATTGCCCGACAAGGCGATTCCCTCAGCGGTCTGCTTCAGGACTTGGATTCAGCTGGGCCAACCATCAAGCCGACCTCAGACTGTTACTATCCACCGAAGCTTCCAGCCACCAGAGCAACTGGAGAGCGGATAATGGGGACCCAGCCGATTGGAAATGCCGGTACAGTGAAGCTCAAGTCCGCTGACCACTCAGGACAGGAGTTTTCGAGGCTGCGCTCTAGTCGAGATCCCCGCAAGCCCCGCAATCGGCCTCGGAGTCACGAAGACGTGGTTAAGAGCCCTTTTGTGGTAGTGGAGGAAGATGATGCCCGGTCCATTCTCTCCTATGTCTCGACCACAGACTCGTGGGCCACCGTGCATGAAAAAGAGTAAGCTTTTGATTTGGCTCCTATGATCAATCTCGAGTCTAAACTAACGCATACTTACAGTTTTGGCAAGAAGGAGCTTGGTTGTCAAAAGAGCACACTGAGACGAGGATTGTCTCATGAAAGGTATGGGCCAGCTTCTTGATCCACGGGTAGAGCGCTGATTGAACATGTTGCACAGCACCGACTCCGTCAAGCGTCCTACTACTCCGTTTTTTGATATCCCCAACACCATGACCAAGCACGCTCTTATATCCGGCAATGGTGGTATATGCAGCCCCAGGGCCGCGCACCGACGAAGCGGCCCTGCCCTTACAGATGACCCTATCCCATCGAGACAACGGAGTAATGCGGAGAGTATGAAGCTTCCCTGCTCGCCGCTCCTTGCGTCGTACTTGATCAAGGATCGCAGCCTAGCTGGACAGAAGACCATGGCCTTGGCAGTTCCCCAAAACGTTCATGCCCATGGCATCGTGCCTCATATTGACCGCATAGGAGATGTAACTAGGAAGTGCAGGGCTGCTCCGATGACTGGGCATGGAGTGAGCCACGAGTGGCAGACGCGCCAACTGCATAACATTAAACAGATAGGCACCATGTGGTACAAGCCAGAAAGAGGTGTTGGAACCTAGCGCCTTTGTTTGAAAATTGTTGCTTCATCGGAGGCCGGGACCAGACACTTCCTAATTCATCATTTCTGAAGAACACAATGCCGGTTTGGGCGAGATTGTTACTTTATTCTGGTCCAGTGAGACATGGCGGATGGCAGTGGCTGGGGACGGATTGGCGGAGAGTGTGAGACTATTCATGCTCACAGCCGGCGTTGGAGTTTGCGGTTTGGAGTTTGCTTCTGTATGATGTTATCATTGTATGACTGGTATTTGCGAAATCCCCGATCACGTATTATATGCTTAGGCCCAACCCGATTTGAACAATCCTGTTTTATGAAGTATGATAGATTTGGACATTGTTAGGTGTGCTGCGCATCGCATCTAATTGAACAGCCGAGTCTGCCTTGCTCGTGGTATGAGGGTGACTGGAACAAGAACACCTAGGTTAATGCTAAGACCTGGCCAATTCATGATAAACGGATAGCAGCTAGCTATAATAGAATGATATCGTTTTCACACAAAGGATAATAGATGGAAATAACTTATTGACACATGTACGCCAAGCCAAGCCTAAACCTCAAGTAGGAGTTCAAGCCTCTATGACTGAATATTCGTCTATGTGCTGCAAATCATCGTTTAGTTTTCGTGGATTATCCTATAAAAGCTCATTGGCACCAAACATGGCCCTGACACACAAGGAGGGATGCGATCTAAAGGCATCGAAATAATCGAATATCACTGAAGACTTCTGCGGGCAAGGAATATCTACAATGGAACGAGACAGAATATTTGCCGATGATGCTGGACTATATCGCCACGAATTTCACGATTGTCTTGATGCAACATTGTGCGCGAAGCCTCTTTTTATTGAAAAGCGCAGACAAGGAAAAATCGACGACATCAAGTCAAACCATCGTGCCGCACTGCCATGCGCGTGCAGCCACGCTAAACCGTAGTTGGGTATAGACGCTAATCACCATGGAAGATTACTCAAATAATAGCGAGTTCACATTTGGTCCTCAACCTCGCCCAGATTCTTACTCAGATCTCATCATCCAGGAACGTCTCGGGACTCTTTTCGGTTCGAAGCTGGCCTTCGTATAGTAACCATGTATCAGTTTAAGAGAGAGTAAGTGCTCTTCTACTAGTAGATGACATTTATTCTGACTATTGAATATATGATCATTCCCCCTCTATCTGTAACACTCGGCAGCTAACGAAGACTGTTATCAGCTTGCCTGCAATCCGTGCCTGCATCTTTGACATGGATGGCCTGCTCATCAACTCCGAAGACATAATCACTGAATGTACGAACCGAGTTCTAGCCAAGTATCATAGGCCTGCCTTTACACGATCGATCCGAGCTCAACTTATGGGTGTCCCCGACTCGACCAACAGTGATGTATTTCATGATTGGGCAAAACTACCCATCCCCCGAGAGCAATTCGCCCGCGAGTTGCGTGAGCAAATGCGGCTGCATTTCCCTTCCTGTACCCCACTACCTGGCTCCGAAAAGCTTTTGTCCAACCTCTGCTGTGCACGGAGTGCTTCCTCGGGGGACGGAATTAAACTGGCTTTGGCATCCAGCACCAAAACCCATACCTACGAACTCAAGATATCGAGACCAGAGACGAGGCGGCTGCTGAGCTTTTTCCAGCCTGAATGTCGGATTCTGGGCGACGACCCACGAGTGCGCAAGGGTCGGGGAAAGCCAGCGCCCGATATTTACTTGGTTGCCTTGCAGTCATTGAACTCTACGGCGGCGAACGAGGGCGGGAAGGCGATTTCGCCCGCAGAATGCTTGGTCTTCGAGGATAGCCTAGCTGGGGTGGAGGCTGGAAGACGAGCGGGAATGAGAGTGGTTTGGGTACCGCATCCAGATGTGGCGGTCGAGTATCAAGCGAGGCACAAGGATGTGCTGGCTGGGAGGTCGGGTATGTTCCAAATTGGGGACGATTGGCAGCTAGGAGAGATCGATGATGGCTGGGCGGAAAGCATACCCACTTTGGAACACTTCGACTATGGGAAATATGCCATCGATATACCGTCTTGAGCGAGTTTTGTCGCGATACGTGACTCTCTCATAGACGAACCGTGGACTGTACTCGCACCGTAGGATATAAGAAGTATAGTTGTGTATAGTCCAACCCAGTATCTATTTGTAATGATCTCCTGTTATACATCGCCCTATTTACTGCATTTGTTCGTATAGTAAATCTTATTCGGGCGGAAACGGCACAAGCAGAATATAGGATCCCCTTATACATGAGGAAATGGTCTAGATTGATAGTTTTGATATGTTTCGAGACTAGAACAATCGTTGAGCGCTGATACGAGAAGGGATAGCCACGGTTTTGCGACTGACCGTGGTGAAAAAGGGTACGGGTTTTGAGTAAATGCCACGCGAGATTGGTTCAATTCCATTCGGTCATTTAGACTTACTTCACATAGCTTCTTCCCAGGTAATAGGACTCCTAGGCCATTGAAAACTCATTGGTAAGCGCCGGGATGCTTGAAAGGCAGCAATGATACCTTAGTAAGGTGTGCTACTTCAATAAAGGCTAGCGTCTTCTATAAATCCATCTATTCAGCAAATCAGTACGTATGGCGCTCGCGCTAATTGCAGCCCTTCAGTAACAATATGCAAGGACAACCCGATAAGGCAAGAGGAGGGGATTGCAAGTGTCCTGCCGCGGGTGTGCCGGCGGCAATGGCTCTCATCCTTGACATGCACGAGGGGCATCGCCTCCAACTTTTGACAGATATAAATAGAAGCCAATATTCGACCGTTGGACTGTGTTGCCAGTTTCTAGTCCGTCGATATCTCAGTCCATCTGCTTGAGAGTCAGCGCGCAAACACATTTAGATCATACTACACTAACAGTCTGCTCGCGGGACATGAAGCTGAGGAAATCTGCACGTGGGTTTTAAGTCGCATATCCAACTGCATCTATGAGCTAATCTTTCCCTTGATAGTCACACCAGAGAATTACACCCGAGCAATTATCTCGCTCTCAAGGAGGTTTTCGAGCACCTCTGCTTTTCCAGGGAGCAACTATGTAGACATCGCAGAATGGATGCTACTTGACCGTGGTTTCAACTCCGGGAAATCTGACGACGATGTCACTAATCTCGCATCCACTGCCGAACAGGCTCACGATTTGGTCGTAGTATACAACAGCGATGACAGCAAGTGGAATGTACGGCAATATAGCTGTGAGCAACATAAGGCCTTCTCCGCTGACACGTCTGTACCAACGGAAGACTCGGGACAAATTGTTTTCATTCGAGGCTTCATATCTCCAACATGGGTGTCTGCCGTAGGAAGCAAGTACAATATTGAGCCGGAATTCTTCAGACGGCATCTGGATTTCCTTTCAGCAAGTATAGATCGGCATTCATACAGTTTTCCATCCCTCGGGAGCTCCTCGGATAACATCTATCGACTTCGTGTGAGCACTCTCCTTCATCGCGATGATTTTGGCGGACAAGACCTTCGGTCACAGCGGTCTCAGGAATCCAAGGAGCTCGGTATATACAGGATACAGCAGCTGGGATCTGGTAAAGTACGTTGCGGAGACTCCTTGGTGCGAGAATACTCTACTCTTTGCCCGCGCTTTTCGGTGATTGAACAGTGGATCTCGCTCTGTATCACGAAAACAGATGGAGGCTGGGCTGGTACGTGTTGAATGCCACATTACACGAGAAGAATGTTTGCTGATGAGGGCATTTAGCGATTGTCTGGATGGACCAAGGTATACCGTTAGAAAAATCACCTCCAGGACCTTGGACGAGACATATTGAAGCCAAGGCTACACCACTGCCAATCATACAATATCATCCAAAAATGGCATTTCGAACGACTACCAATCGTCTAAACACAGACACAAATGCTTCAGCAGAGGTCCAGCAAAGCACAGCCATTCTTCCCTTGCAGTACGATTCATTGATTGCGATGGTCAATTTGGCGCGTCGTGCACCTCAGGATCCACTTTCCATGTGCATTCCGCTGTTTGCGCACGCGGCTTTCTCCGAAGTACAGTTTCTAAATCTTCTAGAATCAAGAATCCACGTTCAGATAAACGCCATCGCTGAAGGAGTCGTATCAGACGCACTTGGAGTTCTTCATTTCTTCTCCAATATCCTCAATCGACATGCCGAACAGCTTAGAGATAGTACTCGTGCCCTCTACAAATTGGCCGAGCGAAGCACTCAAGATCTGAATGGAGCCAGATCGATGAGCCCACTGTCCAAAAATTCTACGTCATCGACTCACGGCGGCATGAGAACGCGCCGGCAGCTCTCCGAAACCGAGACGGCCAAGAATGCTGGTGGTCATGTTTCTAACGGTGCTTTCACAGCTAGCAACCTGCTGGAGGATTATGAGGGACTCCATGTTCGTTGTACCGATCTGTCAAAAATGTGCACCCAAGGTATAAATCTGGCAATGAACAAGGCCATGATAGAGGAATCTCGCAAAGCTATTGAGCAGTCTGAGCGACTGAAAAAGTTGACTCTTCTTGCGACGCTCTTCATCCCTCTCAGCTTCAGCTCTAGTTTACTGGGTATGAACATTGATCTACTGGGTCAGAACGCGGTAAAATTTTGGTGGTTCTTTGTCTTATGCGTTCCAATTACTCTCTTTGCATATATCTTTTATCTGTGGGATTTTCGAGCTCTAATGCGCTGTTGGGCAAAGCTCTGGAACGGATTTCGGGGCCTTGTGCGAGACGGGAACGGCGAGAGGTCCAAGAAAGAACAGACTTATATGGTATGAACCTGTCATTGGAGAGATATCATAGGGCCATTGATACCAGTTTCTTGGTATGGCAGTCCTCATGTCGAACTCTGAGCACCGGAATTTACAAATTTGGGAATTACTGCTGAACATCCTGCACTTTCGAGGACGGAATCAGCATTCTCTAATTGGATGGGATGCAATCATCAGAGTGGTCGATATTGAATCTTGAGCTCTGTAGCAGCCGAGGGCTGATGCCTATGGTTTTGGGGTTGGCGTTTTGGCTACTGCATTACAGTCGCAGGCCGGCTACCGATGTTGAGCGGTTTGTTTTTTGAGAGATAAGTTAAACATCTTAACTAAACTACCGCGTTTGCGGATGCGTGAGCTGTACGGTCCGCATCTAACCAAGGAATCTCGCCCTGAGCGAGTACAACGTACGGAGTAGGTACTTTTCCATTTCGGAGAAGTATTTTGTTGCGTGACAGGGGTGGAGGTACCCCGCTTCCCCGACCCCGTCCGTGCGAAAAGATGGAATGTTTCAGCGACTTCATCATCTTCTTGCAGCAGTGGACTCAGTGGACTCACTGGACTCATTCATCAGAGACTTCTCACAGTCTGAGGTGTCTCAATATTCAGTAAGCTACCAACCATAGCTACAATGGCGAGCCCTCCGAATGGCCACCTTCGAACACTACGGGATCCTCTTGATGATTCTCAGTATGGCATTGAGTAAGCAAAGCCCACCACCAGGATTACCATCGGTACTGTCCCTCACCACCGATATAGCATTGCCCTCATTCCTGGCATTGGGACATCTCCACCAGAAGACTGGCCGTTCGCAAAACCAGAATGGCTCGCTACCCTCCCCGGCTCCGGTACTGGGGCACGCGTCCTCGCGTACGAATATGCTTCGCCTTTTACCGGAAGCAAGCCTTCATGGGAGTCCATGCTGATGCTAGCTTATGATCTTCTGCAGCATTTAAGTGACTCAAGGTCACGATTACACCCCGATCTGGTAGGTGGAGTCATCAGCATCCGTTACCTGTGAGCCGTATGCATGCTTGCTAATGTACCTTTTGCAGATATTGAACAGGCCTATTCTGATCGTCTGCCACAGCCTGGGTGGCATTATCGTCAAACAAGCTTTGTGCATCGCCAATAAGCAGTTTTTCCGATTTGGGTCAATCGTTAACGCCATAGCTGGGGTTATATTCCTAAGCACTCCACATCGCTATCATGACAAGACCACGAGCTGGAATAGGTTTCGAGATATCCTAGAAACAACGACTGGGAAGAACCTCAAGATTCCAAGCTCTCATATCGAACAAGAAGGCTCTATTCTACTAGATCTCGCAGATAGATTTGAAGGGATCTCGTTCCGTACCCCTATATTATCCGTCTATGAATTGAGAGAATCGAAGAACAGCTCGGCGCCATTACTCCCTAAGTACCAACAAGTCAGTCTCAGGCTTAAGATGGCGCTGAGATAGAAACACTAATCCGAATCATAGTTGGTCAACCGTGAGGCCTGTTCGACTCATGCGCCGATGGAAACAGTCATTGGACTCAATCTCAATCATCATGATACCTGTCTTTTTACGAGGAGTATTGGCGGCGAAGGCTTACCTGAATTAAACAAGTTCATGCGCGATACACTGGACAGCGCCGCGCATCTTGTTGCGCTTCGACTTGAGGATCGTACGTTATCCCGGGATTCTAAGACTGTAGGTTCGTGCTAATGTTCCTAGAGGAGTATCAATATGCAACAATGAGTGCTTACTCGCCCACGATGAGCGAAGCACCACTAAAAGGTGAGCGTTCGAATCGAGGTCACTCGCAGGGGGTCATTCTGTTAAGATCTCTCCAGGCCAGCAATTGGAGCCGAGCGAATGGCCTTCTAATCAAGCAACCGAATGGCCATCGAATAAAGCGACGGAAGGAACGTCTCTTTCAGGATTTGAGTTGATACATCCTATTACACCAAAGAACGAGGTTCAAAAGACCCTCCATATACCCTGTTACCTTCTCAACACGCATTCTGCCAACATAGACTTCTGTGGCCGCGAAGACGTCTTGGATCGCCTTGCAGCTGAGCTCTTACCTTCGAAGAATGTAGTTGCAGCATCGAGCACCGGTTTACGACAGTTTGCGCTCTGCGGGTTTGGAGGGATAGGTAAGACAGAGATAGCCCGTGAGTTCTCCCGACGCTACAAAGATCGCTTTGATGCAGTATTTTGGGTTGTGGCAGATGAGATTGCGAAGCTTGATCACCATTACCAGCAGATATCGTTGGCACTTGGACTTGAAGATGCATCAGATTGTAAGAGTCAAGTTGTCAGCAGGGAACTTGTGAAAGGCTGGCTATCAAATCCCCAGAAGCATTTATCAGGATCAGATGAGCCATTTCAACTTGATCGGGCTGGCTCAGAAGCGACTTGGCTACTAATATTCGACAATGCAGACGACCCAATGGTTCTGGCTGACTACTGGCCACAGGGCAGCGGTTCAGTCCTTATCACTAGCCGTGATCCGTTGGCCATAAGCATGTTTACGAGAAGACCTTCAGGTCTTAGTCTCGGCCCACTTTCACAAGAAGACAGTCTAGCGCTCTTTAACCATCTCACTGCTACCTTCAATGAACCGGAAGACATTACAGCGCGGCAGATCTCTGATGCGCTTGGTGGGATCCCTCTGGCTATCTCACAGATGGCCGGTATCATACGTCGCCAGGACCTCACTTTGTCAGAGTTTCTCGAGCTTTATACAGATCATGAGGAGCACGCTAGTCTCTATGAGACTAAGTTTGATACCAATATGGTCACATATCGTCATTCTCTTGCCACTGTGTGGACATTTGAAAAATTGAAACCTCAGGCTCGGCAATTGCTGGAACTACTTGCATTTCTAGATCCAGATATCATTCGAGAAGACTTGTTAATGCAACTATCGGCAGAAATGGCTTGCGAGAGTGCACACTACAAGAAAAGTGCATTTATCGAGGCTCGTTCTGATCTACTGCAATTGTCTCTGATCCAGAGAGATAAGTCAAAGCAGCAAATATCGGTTCACCGGATTGTCCAAGATGTAATCTTGGCAACAATGGAGTCTGCGAAGAAACATTATATTTTCGACGAAATCGTACAAATTCTCTGGGCGAATTGGCCGGCGGCCATGCCCAAGCCGTCTAAGGAGCCAGAGCTACCCCAGCCTAAATCGAGCGGTGGCAGGCTATATGTTGGAAGATGGCCTGCTTGTGCGGCTCTTTATCCTCATGTGCTAAAATTGCATCAGCTCTGGTCAGATATCGCGTGTCCTTCCGAGACCACGAGAATGCTGTTCGCAAAGCTCCTCAATGAAGCTGCATGGTGCGTATACAAGATCTACGCTCCTTCGTTGGTTTAGTCGTCTAATGAGAATCAGGTACCAAAAGGAACGTGGGCGGACAAAGCATTTTGACGGTTTCTTCGAAACTGCCCGCAGTATCTGCGACTCCTCGACACATCCGGACCGAGAATCTCTGCTTGCAGACATCCACTTCTGCCTAGGGGCTATTGCGATGGATGCGAGCGACTTCAATGCAAGCCGCATTCACAAGGAGCAGTCTCTAGATTATGTCGCTGGCATTTGCAAGAGATTGGGTACCGAGGACGAGCGGCTATACCTCGCGTACGCAGAGCGAGGAATCTCGCGCATCCAGGATAGGCGATACGAGGAAGGTGAATCCGATCTCAAGGAGGCACTGCGGATGCGGAAGGCTCTTGGAAACTACATCCCCCGATCTGGGGAAGCCAATCTGAGCTGGGCTCTTCTCGCGCAGGGCAAGCTTGAAGAGTGCAACACCCTTCTTCTGGATAGTCTGGCCGGTCGAGAAAAGGCCCTGGGCAAGGATGATCGGGAATCGGTCCGGACCGGGCTAATTCTCTATGCACTTGGCAACCTCCGTGCTGAACAAAACGAGTGGGAGGAAAGTTTCACATACCATCAGCGAGCGTGGCAGCACATGCGTGCTACAGTGGGCGATCGGGATTTCTACACCGCAAATGTTGCGCACAAGATTGCCGAGCATCTAATTCGGTCCGGTCAGAGCGAAAGGGCGATGTAAGTGTTGAAACCCACCGAGTGCCCCCCTAGTAGTAAATCTGATATATATTCTGATCTTCTTTTCTTAGTGCTATGATCAATGCAGCGTTGGAGATCTGGTCAGTCGATCCGAACGCACACAAGAACGAGATTGCCCGCACCACTTTCCTCAAGGGTAAATTGTTCGAGGCGACTGGCAAGCCCCAGAAGGCTTCCATTGCTCTTCGGGTTGCCTGTCGTCTTCGGAAGGAGATAACGAAGGAGGATCGAGATGTCAAGAGCTTGACGACAGAAGACTTTAACAGAATTGTTGCCTTTTGGGCTCGCTGATGGGCTCTTCTTGACTTTTCTTCTTCACTACTTTGTTTATTATCTTTCTCTCTCTTATCTGTGGGGGTTAATCTATGGCATTCAAGTGGCCAAAATGACGTGGCTCCAATTCTTTTTTTTTTAGTCAAATGGACGTCTATCAGTCTTTACGACTACCCAGAGTCCGATAGACTTGGTAGGCACTGAAAACTTTCACTTCTAAAGATTAGTAGTCTATAGTCATACGAAAGAGTTGGTATCATATATCAAGAATCAAGGCTTCAAGCGATAGAGAATACCCGGGAAGCGACTCCCAAATACATGATGTGGAAATGCATGAGCAAGTGTTTGTATCCGTCGCGGTCACACTTCCCTCAAAAGCAGAAGTCGACTAAGAAGTCGATAGTAGAATCTTGATGGCTTAAGCTCGACCACGGCGGAGTCAGAGTATGTAGGATATGTCAAATCCGCGGGTCCATTTCGAGTCGACACGATGAATCCGGAATTTACTACGAGTAACTTCTTTCAACCCTCAATGGTGCCGTAAGTTGCCAGAGGTGTCTGTTTTTTTCCCCAAAAATGAAAAATAAAAAGGTGTGATGTCGAGACCAACAACCTCAAATTCCCATCGCCATGGCGTCGATGATAGACTATGGGCTGGGCAGGCCGAGAAGTTCTCCTTGCGTGGTTGCGAACCCCACACGTTAAGACCCCCGCAACCAAAGGACGAACCGGATTTACGGATCTCGAGTCGGAGTCTCTCGTACCGTACCTTACTGTTACAATGATTGGAACAGAACGCAGGGCTTGTGGGCGAGACCAGGCGAGGAGGGTTGAAACAGCGCCCCGGGATGGGGGGTCGAGGCGTGTTTCGGTATTTATCTGTGCTTTGTCTATTTTGTTTTGTTGTGGAATGGATGCAGATGTGAAAGGTATTGCTTGGATGATCAATCCGACAAGCGAATGGTCGTGTCGTGACTTGGCCAAGACATGAGACCGGTGGAAGGAGAGTCGGAGGTGGGGAGGGGAGAAACTACTACTGGCAGTGGTAGTATGGTACTAGGGAGGAGGGGCGTGTCTGGGTGTTCCTGGCTGGGATGGATTCTTGTGTCTGGTTCGAACCCGCGAGGACCAAATCTTATTCATGGGCATGGAAAAGTCCAGAAGAGGTGTCCGGTGTCTTGGTGGTGGTGGTGGTGGTGGTGGGTGATCTATTATTGTAGGGTCGAGCAAAAGAGAGACAGCGAGTGGCAAGCATAGCCACTTTGAGACTGGTTCGAGGTTCCGACCCGTACGAGTTCAGTATGTGCGATGTATGCCGGTGGGCGTCCTCAATCAGATCAGCAGAATCAGTATGGATCCAACCATCCAGGATTAGACTATTTGGGCTAGTTCTTTTTCTCCATCTCTCTTTCAATTCAACGAAATCGTAACATAATGACTGGTGTTAAGGATGGTTCCTGTTTGGTGGTGGATGAGTTTCTAAAGAAGGCTAAGATAGTGGCGGTCCACCCGCTGTACGGTTCAAGGTTACGTATCGCCTCCTCTCTTTTCTCCTCCTCCAGCCCCGGGGCTGACCTCAACTTAGGTAAGCTCTCTGTTGCTACTTGCTAGTAAACTATTCTTTTCCCTCCACCTTCTTCCGTCTCCACTTTACTACTACTAAGTACTACGATTCCATTCCAATTCCCAACTGCTGTCAGTCTGTCAGTCTGTCTGCTTGTCAGTCTCTCTGTCTATCTGCCTGTTGTCGTCGTCCCTCCGCCCGGGCTTTCCTCTGGCTTTTCCCATTATTTCCCTCTGTTCTTGTTCGCCTCTTCCATTCTACCTGTCTATCTGTCTGTCTGCCTGTCTATCATTTCTATCCCCTCCCCTCCCCCTCCTCCTCTCATTCGATTCTTCCTAGTGATACCTTTCTCCTTGCCAATATTGTTCCTCATCCTGTCCACAGTTCGTGGCTAATTCCATTTCCTATTCACATTCTTCGCCGCGCGGTCGGACTGTTGTCGACCGTGTTGTCGGGTCAAGGTGCCCCCGTCATTCCCGGGCTGGAACTGGAACTGCGTCTCCAATCCAGGTTTCTGGTGCGAAACCGTTACCACTCTAGTCCCTAGCACCGCCTTCCTGTCCTCCCCGCGGCTTCTGGCCCATCCGTCATTGGGGTTCACTCTCCTTCCGTCGCAACTCTTCTCCCCCATTTTCGTTCCTGTCCATATCCTCTCCGATCAATTCATCCCACACCACCGCTCTCATTTGGGCTCCCTGGACCATTTGGTCAAGTCCCTGGTCCTCTCCAGGCACTAGTCTTCGGCCATGACGCAACTATTCGCTTCCAGTCCGTCCTCGGTGACAAACGAGAAACGCGGCAATTTCCCGAGCCTTTCGCTGGCGTCCAAGAAACATTCGAACGACTCCAGCCATTTTCCCACCAAGATCCGCAACTTCTTCCGTATCAATAGCTCCAGCAGCAATGTCTCTCATGCCAGCCATCACAGTGGAAGCGACCGGGATCGTGAAAACAGCAACCTCTCATCGTCACCCGCCAAACATGAATCCAAATCCACCTTCAGACAGTCCCGATTTCTACCTACCATTGGTCGCAACCGCTCGACCACCGTTGCCAGCGAGGGAAACCCGCTGGACGAGGGCGTGTCGCCGACCGCCACGGCAAACCCATATTTCCAGCACCAAGGACAGCCTGCCTTGCAGCACCGGAATGACGGCTCCATTCCCTCCTCTCCCCCAGATACCCCCGAGTTACAGGTCGAAGGCGTCTCCGCAGCCGAGCAAGCGAATACTGCCAACAAGGAAGAGTTGGCCCGCAAACTCCGCCGTGTCGCTTCCGCCCCGAATGCTCAGGGTCTGTTTGCCCGCGGCCAGGCAGATGAACGGCCGCAGACGGCCGAACAGGACAAGGAGCCCCTGCCAGAGGGGTCAAGTGGCTTCGTGCCTCAGGTGACGACAGTCGAGATCTCTGAAGAGCAGGAAATCAACCTTGCTGTGCCGCAACTCGGTGCCGACGGCAAGATCCCCACACCTGGGCAGATTCGAAACTCGGTCGCTTTCCGCCGAACGTACAGCTCCAACTCGATCAAGGTGCGCAATGTCGAGGTTGGTCCGGGCAGCTTTGATAAGATCAAGTTAATTGGCAAGGGTGACGTGGGCAAGGTATACTTGGTCAGGGAGAAGAAGACTAGCCGGCTCTATGCTATGAAAGGTGCGCTTGCAGCAGGAACAAACCGCGGAAAATCGGTAGCTGACTTGACTAGTGTTGAGCAAACAGGAGATGATCAAGCGCAACAAGATCAAGCGGGCGTTGGCTGAGCAGGAAATTTTGGCCACCAGCAACCACCCGTTCATCGTCACGCTTTACCACTCATTCCAGTCTGAAGACTACCTATATCTGTGTATGGAGTATTGCAGTGGTGGTGAATTCTTCAGAGGTATTTCCGATTTACATGGTCGTGCCTGGTGGCCAGATGCTGACTTATGCTCTAGCCCTACAAACCCGGCCAGGGAAATGCATTTCAGAAGATGCCGCCCGGTTCTACGCTGCAGAAGTCACGGCGGCTCTCGAGTATCTCCACCTGATGGGATTCATTTACCGCGACTTGAAACCTGAAAGTAGGCAACCTCTAGTGATCCTTGCGTGGACCTGTCTCACAATGACGTATTTAGACATCCTTCTTCACCAGTCAGGCCACATCATGTTGTCTGATTTCGATTTGTCCAAGCAGTCCGGCCCAGGCGGCGCGCCCACCATGATTCCGGCCCGGAGTGGCAACTCGACGACGTCTCTACCGACCATTGATACGAAATCATGTATCGCCGATTTTAGAACGAATTCTTTTGTGGGTACGGAAGAATACATTGCGCCGGAGGTCATCAAGGGTTGCGGACATACTAGTGCCGTCGACTGGTGGACTCTGGGTATCCTGATTTATGAGATGCTTTATGGGACGACACCTTTCAAAGGCAAGAACCGAAACGCCACCTTCGGTAACATCCTGCGGGATGAGGTGCCTTTCCCTGAACACTCCGGAGCTCAGCAGGTTTCCAAGTTAGTCGCCCTGATGTTCTTACTATGGGACCAATGCTAACAGATCCGCAGCCTGTGCAAGTCTCTAATCAGGAAGTTGCTGATTAAGGATGAGACCAAACGTCTTGGAGCTCGGGCCGGCGCCTCAGATGTTAAGACGCATCCTTTCTTCCGGCAGACGCAATGGGCACTCATCCGCCATATGAAGCCCCCCATGATCCCGCACCAAAGCCGTGGAACCGATACTTTGAACTTCCGCAACGTGAAGGAGAGCGCCAGTGTTGACATTGGAGGCAGCCAACCGATGAAGATGAAGGGTGTTCCTATGGACTCCGGTCTGGCGACACCTAATGCGGAAGTGGCAGATCCTTTCGAAGAATTTAATAGCGTTACCCTCCATCATGACGGAGATATCTAGAGCCGAGCTACGACCGTTGCTGGACCGGTTTCTGACTTGTTCAAGCAGACTGCAGCACTGTCACGATCATGACGCATAAAGATGAAGATCTAGTTGGGTTCGACATTCCCGACTTTCATACAGTTACCACCCGGAGTATTGGTGCTTTTTCTCTTCTCGGGGTTTAATTATCGGTGTTACTTGAACCATGCTGATGATAAACAAATGGCATCCACGTATACTCCGTGCATGACCATTTCCGGGGTTCCATTTCCTTTTGCCGAGGCTGCAGCGATGTTATTCCGCCTGCCTTCACTTTTGTTTCGTGGTTTCTTGCGTTGCGATTATATGTCATCATTGCAGAAGACGGCGTTTGCGATTTCGGTTGTATCGTACCAAAACATTTTGTTTTTTTCTGAGCAGGTCGGCGGCGTGCTGAGTTGCCTGGGAAGACCCAGCCGACCTTTCTTTTTGTTGACTGAGAGGCCCGGTGCCTTGAAGAGATACATGCTAGTACTATATGAATGAATCTATCTATGTATCAGTGTGTAGTGGAAGCTGTAGTGGAAGCGTAGGAGAGTGACATGATGTCTGGTTAATTATCAGTCAAACGAATGCTATCAGTATGAGCGTGAGCCTACTTCATACAATGTATTATCTCCAAGCCTTAAAATAAAAGATGGGGGACATGACGGAATTGCATCCGCCCGCGGGAACCCAAACAAAGCAAACGCAACCCGACTCGACCGCAAGACGACAAGATCCATACTCCCATTCAAGATCAATTACAACTCACCTCCGTCGAAGCCTCAGTCTCAAACCATACAAGCAACATAAACAATAATGTCCACCCCCAACGAAACCCCCACCTCCACCACCAGCACCTCCCCCGCAGCCGACAATACCGCAGCGGACAACCCGGCACCAAACTCCCCCCAAACCACCAATCCCCTCCTCGGCGCCTCCAACCCGCTGGTCTCAGACCTAGAACAAGAAGTCCTAGATGAATATGCCCGACTCCTCGGGAACGTGAACACGGTGAGTCCCCGCCATTCCCAAGCTTTCAACCCAAAGCCAGAGCCTGCCCTTCCCGAAGCCTCAACCCAACCCAGCCTCAACCCTCCCGGGGACCTCAAGCGAAGTAACAACTCACTAACAAACGAATGATGGATAATAAAGCTCTCCGAAACCCTCGAAACCCTAGCAGGCTCCCCCTCCTCCCTCACCCTCGACGGCCTCCGCCACCTCGAACGGAAGACCGCTACCGTGTGCACGTTGCTCAAGGCTAGTGTGTATAGTATTGTGTTGCAGCAGCAGATGATTAATGAGAGTGAGGGTCAGGGGCATCAGGGGCATCAGGGGTATGATCAGGAGCAGGAGCAGACTCAGGAGTTTTATCGCGGGGAGCAGGGTCCGGGGTTTGAGGGGACGATGGGGATTGGGTATGGGCATGGGGATGGGGGATTCTATGGGGGGGAGAGTTTTCTTTGATTCTTTTTGATTATTTTTATTATGGGGGAGAGTATCGATGGGGGTTTTGGGGGGTTTGGGCTGGTTGGGTTTTTGTTTATATACCCTTGTTTTCTTCTTCTTTTATTTATGGAGGATGGGTGGGTGGGATTACAGGTCTTTCTGATGATTGGAATTCTGCATATAAATTGATCTCACTTCTATCGTAATCGAACGTAGGGAGGCTGCTGGATACAAATACAAGGGTGGAGGTAAGGTAGTGACACAGACACAAAGAGACACCAAATAAGACACGAAAACATTATATACACCGCCATGGCGCAGAAAAATTAATTCCACTTGCCCGAGTAGTACACCTTGCGCACATCAACCAATTTCTTACCCCGGCCCCGCGCAACATCCTCCGGGTCACGCTGCGACATGAGCGCCTCGTAGGCCGCCTTGACCGTGTTCATCTTGTTGCGGGATCCGTTGACTCGGGCAGCGAGATCGGAGATACCGGCTGCGCGGCACATCTCGTAGATCAGGGACTGGCAGCGGAGTCCGAAGCCTAATAAAGAGGTTCTTGTTTTAGTATTGTGGGTGGGGACGATGGAGGACTGAGAGAACATACCAGGGGGACGGCTCATCAACACCAGATCCATAGCGCCAACCTTGCCCTTCACGTCGCCGAAAATAGTCCGGTTTTCGTACCGCAGGATCGGCTTCATGTTGCGGACCGCACGGTATCGGGCCTGTTTAAGGGCATCCGAGGCTTCGAAGGACTTGGCTTCGCCCAAACCCAACGCCCCGTTCTGATTGCCGGCGATGGCCAGCACGTACCACCGTTGCACCTTACCCAGACGCGTCTGGTTCGTGACCGTGTGCTGAACGAGGGTCTTGACGCTCAGATTCGAGATGTACTTTGATGAGAGGCCTGTGAACTCGATCAGGCGGGCCAGCGGGGGCTCGAATTTCTCTAACGTATCCCTCGGGCGGAGACGCTCTTCGGCGGATGCGCCGGACTCCGTCTTGACCACGGCCTCCTCGTCGCTGAGCTCCACGCCCTCATCGAGACGTTCGTCCGCCTGGAAGAGATCCGGGGCCAGTGCCGAGTGCGGCGCGAGTTCGGCCTCCTCCTTGCCCACGGTCAGCCGGTTGGTCTCGAGGAAGTTGATCCAGTGCACCGAATCTGCGTCCTCCGGCAGCTCGGTGATGTACTTGGCGAAATCGGCCACCAATTCCTCCGTGCTCTTGAGTTGCTGCCGGTAGTCGGAGTTGCTCTGGGGGGCGCGGACGTGCTTGTCGACTCCCGGCTCGATGTGGGAGAAGTCGTCCAGGTACTTCAGCCGCATCGGGTCGGAGCGGACCCCAAACTGGTCGGCCAGGTCTTTAGGGTCGATGGCCTCCTCGCCCGCCAGGATCGCTTCCATCTGCTTCGCGCTGTAAACTTCCTGCAGCGCCGCCTTTTCCTCCTCCGTGTACCGCTTGACGAACTCGGGACGCATCGTCCGCGTGATATCGTTCAACGTCATCTGGCGGCCCTCCTTCGCAGACTTCTTGGCGTTGGGCGCAGCGGGAGCTTCAGAGTCTTTCGGCTTGGGGGCGTCGTTCAGTCGGAAGGGAGAAGGATGGAATTGGCGACGAGCCACGCGAGGAGCCGCCGAGGCTGGTCGCGAGAAGTTGCAGAACACGCATCGGGCGGGGCGGGAGAGACTCATGGTGATGGTTGGAGTATGCTCTCTGGCCGGCAGAGGCCGATTGAGAGCTATACGGAGAAGGAGAGAAGGAGGGGGAGGGTAGTGGGTGGTAGGTGGTGGGTGGTGAATTGGTTGGAGAAGGAAGTTTGATGAAGGGATTCCCGATTGGAAAGAAACTACGGCGAAATTCTCAGCGGGCCGATCCAGCCAATCCGCGCCCGCCTTTTCCTGCTCACTCACTACTTTTTTCCTCTGGCCGGTCTTTTTCCCCAACTTTCTACAATTTCCCTCCCACTTTTCTTGGGTTGTTAATTTGACTTCCTGAATCTCGAACTTCCTTGACTATTCGCGGGGGCGGTTCTACGTGGTTGATCACATGTTCGCATTCCGATCCCTGCGTCTACTTTCACGAAAACTCCCGTCCACTCTTCCTCTGCAGACTCGCCGTTCGATCAACGCCGGTGTCTCTGTGCCCATCGATGAACGATTGTCCGACATAGTTCGAATGATGCAGAATCTCCCCAGAAAGCCCGACAACCCGCCCAAGCGGCGCAAGAAGCTCCGCGATGAGAAGCGTCAAGGCTTCGACGAGGTCCTCCAGGCCGATATCGACCAGCTCATCGGCAAACACAAGCCCGCAACCGAGATCGAGTACCTGACTCCCCAAGGACCAAACCTTCCCGAGCCCTTCACCGAGATCGAAGTCGAAATCGCACAGCTGTCATCCACCGGCGATGGTCTGGCCTTGTCCAAGGATCAAGACCATGTCTACGTGGTGCCTTTCACAGTGCCCGGCGACAAGGTGCTGGTCAAGATCGTGCGCCACTTCCACTCACTGCAGTACAGTGTTACGGACTTCATCAAGGTCATTGAGCCCGGTCCCAAGCGCAACGACGCGGCCATCGGCTGCCAATACTTCGGCAAATGCTCCGGCTGCCAGCTGCAGATGATGTCCTACGAGGATCAACTGGCGCACAAGAAGCGCATTGTGGAGAAAGCCTACGCCAACTTCTCCGGCCTCATCCCCGAACTGATCCCCGCCGTTGACGACACATTCCCCTCTCCCCTGCAATACGGCTACCGCACGAAACTCACGCCGCATTTCGCCGCGCCCCCGGGCAGCAGCAGACGTGGCAAGAAATCCGGGGCAACCCACACGGAGGTGCCGCCCATCGGCTTCACCTACAAGAACCGGCGTGCGGACCTCGACATCGAAGACTGCCCGCTGGGCACCGACATCGTCCGCAAGGGTCTCAAGAGCGAGCGGCAGCGGGTGGCCGACAACCTGTCGCAGTACACGCAGGGAGCGACGCTCCTCCTGCGCGAATCGACCTCGCGCATCCCCAAGAACCCCAGCGACGACTTCATGGCGGCGACCGACTTCCCCCGCACCGAGGACCTCAACACCCCGCAAGACTACTCGGCGGACCTCATCCGCACCGAGACGGACACCTACACGGAAGAGAAGCGGTGCGTGACGAACAACAACGCGACGACGGTCGAGTTCGTCGACGACTACGTCTTCACCAACAAAGCGGGCGCCTTCTTCCAGAACAACAACTCCATCCTGTCGGGCTTCACCGAGTACATCCGGCAGCACGCGCTGCTGGCGCCCACCAACGCAGACGACCAACCGATCAAGTACCTCCTGGACGCCTACTCAGGCTCGGGCCTCTTCACCATCACGCTCTCCCCACTCTTCAAATCCAGCCTCGGCGTCGACGTCGCCGGTGACTCCATCCTCTCCGCCCGCCAGAACGCCCGCGCCAACCGCCTCCCCAACACCGGCTTCGCCGCCGCCGACGCAGCCGTCCTCTTCAAGGACGTCCCCTACCCGCCCGACCAGACCCTGCTCGTCATCGACCCGCCCCGCAAAGGCTGCAGCGACGACTTCCTCCGCCAGCTGCTCGCCTACGGCCCCAAGCGCGTCGTCTACGTCTCCTGTAACGTCCACACCCAGGCCCGCGACGTCGCCGTCATGGTCCAGGGCGACGCCGCCCGCAAGATCCGTTACGAGATCGAGAGCATCCGCGGCTTCGACTTCTTCCCCCAGACCGGCCATGTCGAGGGCGTCGCCGTGCTGAACCGCGTCGCTATCCCGGACCCGGCTTAGCGTTTTTCTCCGTCTGGCTGCCGTGCGTCGGATTGTAGATATCAAGGGGTGGTTCGGATAAAAGCGAGCGAGGGGTTGTAATTTCTTTCTTCTTTGTGTGATATACTTATTGGCGTTGCCGGGGTGGGGTCCATCAAAATAGAGTTCGTTCTTACTGTTTTACTATCTGGTTTGTTTTCTGGGTGTATCGTGGAAGGTAGGGAGGTTGTATCCTTTTGGTAAGATTGCATCTACATTTGCATTCATATTATATACATTGGTTGGTGGAGGGCCGGGCCGGAGCCCCGAGCCTGAGCATTGCAGTCTGTGAACATGTGAATGAAGGGCAAGGAAGACGAAACCGAAGATTTACTATGGGCTCTTTTCCTTCCAGAAGAGAAAATGTTCTGAACAATCCGAAGATAGAGAGAAAGAAGACTATGGACAAAAAGCAGAACAAGCACGATATATCTCACACGCCAATCACACACAGCACAGACACGAAAAGCCCATCTATGAACTACCGGGCCCACCCAGCAGAGCGAACCGGCGGACGATGCTAGGGCCGATCTCGTCGTACTCGGCCTTGGTGTGGCAGTAGCTGCGGAACTCAGGCGTCTGGCCAAGCAAGCTACCTCCGAACCACGGACCGTGGCGCTGTCGCTTGTGCGTGACGACGGCCACGTCCAGACCGCCGCTCCGCGCGCCGCCGCTGCGGGCCTCCGAGGCGCGAATGCGAGCGTCTACCAGGTGTCGGATATCACGCTGTAGGCGACGGCCGAAGTCCTTGTACAGAGTGGAGCCGCCGGATAGGACGATGTTCTTGTAGAGACCTCTCCGGACGTCGATCGGGGAGGACTGGATCACGCCGTCGACAACGTTGGGCAGGGGGGTCAGGAAGTCGGACGAATAGATCTCCGGGTTGAAGAAGATCTCGGGGGCCAGGAAGCGCTCGTAGCCGACGTCGATGCTCACGCTCCGGCCGTTCGGGGCGGTCACGGTGTGCTTGAGGAAGCGGTCGGGCTCCCGGTCGTAGCGGGCAAACTCCTTCACAATGTCGGGAGACACGTAGCAGTATTCCTCCTTGACCTTCTCGGCCGTCTTCAAGCTGCTGTCCGGCTCGCCGCGGTCACGAAGCAGACTCTGGACAAAGTAGGTGATATCGCGACCGGCGATGGGAATGCTCTTGATCGATGATCCGATGACGTAGCCCTCTGCGACGGGGATAACATGCGTGACACCATCACCCGAGTCAATGACCGTACCGGTGAGCGATCGGTCGGTAACCTTCGACGAGGTCCAGGAAGCAGCGAGAGCCAGCACGGCTTGGACGGCGATGTAGAGACCGGCGCAGTTGAACGACTCGAACATGATTTCGGCCGTGTTCTCACGGTTCTCGGGAGGGTTCAAGGGCTGGTAGGAACTCAAATGTCAGCAGACCAGTCTTCTTGAGTCGCATTGGCAGGGTGATTATAGCGTACGGGTTCAGTGAGGAGGAAGTAGTGGTCCTCAGGCTCTACGCGCAGGTACTTGAAGATGGAATTGGACCAGAATCGCTCCATGTGATCCCAATTCTCAATCTGACCATGACGGATGGGGTAGTTGATCCCATAGCCGGGACCGTTGGCTGCTGCCAGAGCTTCGTCGCCAATGAAGAAGTCCAGATCCTCCGTACCACGCTTCCCGGACAGGTGAGAGCTCGCCCCAGCACCACCGGCCAGGAAAGAAGGCTTATTTGCGACGGGCGGGCGGCCGGGGCCAGAGCCTGCAGCACTTCCGGCGCCAGCTTTGGTTGCAATTGCGGTGGGAAAGACGAAGGATGGTGAATCGTTACCGGCGAAACCTGGTGACTTGTCAGCCTAGAGCCCCGTGGGGTCGGAGGAGCAGTAGCTGGAATTCGGTGTTGGAGCTTACCAAGCTTGGAGTAACCAGTTCCGCTAAGCAGTAAAAGCACATGGTTAGCTACGGTGAATTGTTTGTAGAATCAAGGGGTTTGTTGGGCGACCTACTTGTCCATGACAACGGCCGGAGTTTGGGAAGCCATGACGGATGATGTGGAGTACACGCACACTCCCCCTTACTATCAGGTCGCGGAACGAAGGTGTCGGGTATGAGGGAATTGGCGGATCAGGTGAAAATATGAGTGAAGAAGAAAAGGTCGATCCTTCAACAGCTACAGCAAGGAGAGAAGGGCGGGGGAGGGGGAGGAACAATAGGAGAATGGGGGGGAGTTGGGGGGGAATTGGAGGGGAGTTGAATGGAGGGGAGGAGGAACGAACGGATCGGAGGAGGCAGGCGGGCAAAACAACTAACTGGGAACTGCGGGTGGCAGAATGACAGAACACGTGCGGCATCTTTTTACTGCTGGGAATTAATGTATGGTACATACCTCAATAGTTTATACTTCTTGTGGAATCAATCAATTGCGACCACTTTGCTTGCCGAGCAAAAGGTGTATGTCTTATGAAAATGAAACCCATTGATGCTTGGACTAATCTGACAAGACAATGGATTAGAAAACCAACGACAGGAGGGAAATTGCCTACTCATACACAGTCCTTTCCTATTGTATGAGGAAGGAGCTCCGCTGCACTGCTTCTTCTTTTCCCCGACTTCTTCTACTATAATAACAAGAACATCTCTCCACCAACTCCACCATGTCTCTATCTATCTTCATCTTCCCTGTCCTAGATGACTCCTAAGCTCCTCTGCACTATCAGTACTGACAAGCTATTCTTTGTCGTGTGGTATGCGTCAATCGTTCATCGTTCCTATTCTTTAACACAGCCTAGTGCGTATCTATAGAGACCGGTCTCTCTTGACTGTTCACAGCTGCATTGAACTGTTTCTGAACCTAAACCTGCTCTTCACTCACTACTGTGGCTGCGTATTCATCGACAGCTGTGTACTGCAATCTCACTGTCACTCGCTTGAATTCTCACCACTGCAGTTATTCTGGCTATAACACCCTCTTGCGCAATACGTACTTGGCTGGCGCAGTGAACAGCAACACCAACCCAGCTCAGCGCAGTCGAGACCAGCACGCGCTTTGGCTTGCTGACGCAACGTGGTGTTCCCTTTTTCTCTTCTCTCTCAATCTTCTTCGAAGCTGAAAAACTGGGGGTCCTGTCAATCGCCCATTGTGAGCCGCTCTCCAACCGTCTAGTCCCATCTGTTTCCACAGTCAGAGTGAGCACCAGAACCACGTCTCTACCAGGTCCTCACTATCCGGTCAAGCTCATTTCGCGCGCACGTCTCGTTCTAGCTTCCTTATCGAAGTATCTTGGCCTGAACATGTCCGCCAATAAGGGAGGTGGAGGCGTGGCCACCATTTACATCCACGCTGGGGCTGGCTTCCACAGTGTCCATAATGAACACTTACACTTGAAGGCATGCGAAGAGTAAGCTCCTGACCCACTCTCCTGCGCGACTCGGCCATGCTTGGTGATTTCCTGACTTTGAACAGCGCTGCAAAGGCTGGAATGGCCATCCTGCGCAACGGCGGAACGGCGGTCCAGGCGGTCGAAATGGCCATCATAACCTTGGAGGATAAAGAAATCACGAATGCTGGCTTTGGCAGTAACTTGACTATCGACGGAGAGGTTGAGTGCGATGCTACCATTGTCAATCATCTTGGACGGAGCGGCGCAGTAGGAGCTGTTTCCAGTAAGTGCTCCTCTGGATTCTGACGAAACTGCTTCACCATCAAACTAACCCTTTACTACAGAGGTCAAGAACCCCATCTCAGCAGCACGCTGCATTCTGAAGACATCGTCAAAGCCATTGACCTTGGCCCGCGTTCCGCCCAATTTTCTGGTCGGGCGAGGTGCAACAGACTTTGCCTACGAGCAGGGACTGGTGGTGCTGCCCCCTGATGCTCTGATCGCTCCCTCTGCGAAGGAGAGGTGGCGCCGCTGGCAACAGGAATTGCAGGTCGCGGAGCACAGAGAGCGGACTAAGCTGGGAAACTATATCCCATACCAGGCTTGTTATCGTCGTCCAGTCACCGCATCCTCCGCCCACTTGGCCCATTCTTCAAGTGCTCATATCCCCTCCCAGCCGGCACCCGCGTTTGTCCCTGCTTACTCGGAGCCTGTGGACCCGCGTCTAACCTGCACCACTTCAAGTCTACCTCCAGCGGAACCAGTGCGCACACTGTCCGATACCTCTGCACTTAGGGATGGCAGATATATGGATGGAATGCTCCCGGTTTCCACTGCCAATGTCAGTGGTTCGTCGCCTGAATCTTCAGGAGAGACCGCCAACAAGGCTGCGGATGCGATAGACTGTGATTATATCAGTGATACTGTGGGAGCCATCGCTGTGGATTGTTGGGGCAATATCGCGGCCGGCTCGTCTTCCGGTGGCATTGGGATGAAACACTCCGGTCGTATCGGACCTGCGGCACTCGTTGGCATTGGCACATGTGTTATCCCCGTTGATCCCAAAGATCCCGAGAAAACCACCGTCGCAACCGTTACTTCGGGAACCGGCGAGCATATCGCGACTACGATGGCAGCTCATACCTGTGCTATGCGCATCTACTACAGCCAAAAGAAACACGCCGACGGCACTTTTGAAGATGTCATGGAGGAGGAAGCTATGAGCTCTATGATTTCCTCCGACTTCATGGGTAACTGATTCCCATCCTCTTTCTGGAAATAGCTGACATCCATGATCTAGGCCATCCCGGTGTGCGTGGAAGTAGGTGCCAGGCTGCAATCGGCATTGTTGCGGTCAAAAAGACAACGCACGGCATTTACCTCTATTTTGGCCACAACACAGACTCATTCGTAAGCCATGACCTTAACTTGACTGATTGTGGACTATGTGTTGAAGATATCAGGTAATCGCGTCGATGAGCAGCGAGGACAAGCAGCCTGTGTGTGTGATGTCCCGCAATAATGGCAACGGCAGTATTGCTCAGGGAGGTCGCGCCACTCGCAGCAAGCCGATGTCGCATGCGAAGTAGTGGGCTTTCGCTCAGCTCGAAGCATGCTTACGCTTATTACTTGGCGCCAATCCGGAGCGTTCTGGAAGACTACCACTTCAAAGAGTAAGTGAATTGGTATTCTTGATCCCTAATGCTAGATACAGGCCTGAAACTCAACGATGCAGGCTGACGTATCTTTACAATTTGAATCCAGCACCTGCGCTTTGCGTCAAGTCTGGGCCAACACGGGTCCAATATCACTAAGAGCCTTTTCAGCCGGAAAGAGATTCTGCAACGCGGTTGTCCTGGCACCAAGCACTGGTTATACCATTGTGTGATTGGGTTCAGGATGTGTTGAGCAGCCAGGTAATCAGGTGGAGAACAGAGTGCATCCGTTTCCTATGTATTTCCTCACGCCTAGTAGGCCACGAATAACACAGTATTTCCCGCGGGATAGGAGCTTTGTAGACCCGGAAGGGTAGCGAGACCAGCACGATTGCCGTTTAGTTAGAGCAAGACATAGTAAGTCCTGCGGAGCCATCTTTCTCCCCCTCACGGACCAGGTGTCGTCGTAGGCGTCGGGGTGGCCGAGGGCCCATTGGCACCACGCGCCTTCTTCTTTTTCTTCTTCCGTGCGACAACGGCGGGCTTGGCCCCGTAGTCCCCCATCTCCAGCACCGACCCACACGTCAAACACTCGCCCTTCTCCAACGGCTCGCAGAAGATACTCAGACAGATAGAGCACACGAACCCGACATCGACGACGCGGCGATGACAGAAGCACGCCGCGCGAAAATCCACATCCACGCGAGTCGGCAGGATGAGATGCCTCCGCGAGCGCTGGTCCGGCAAAAACGCCATCATCAGATACTGCAGCAGCCCACGCGGCTCCGCCAGCGCCATATACACGCCTTTCGTCGCATCGGCTGCCTGCTGCAGGAACACCGCGTCGCCGCTCAGCTTGCACACATCGATAGGGATATGCAGCCGCTGACACGCGAAGATGGCGTTCATAATCGGGATATACTGATGGGCGGCGCCCGTGGCGCTACTGACGCTGACGATCAAAATCCGCGACTGCAATCCTGATTCCGTCCCTGCACTTCGATTTGAACTCTCGCCTGCCGGGCCGGCGCTGCCCCCTCCTCCTCCTCCTCCACCACCTCCTCCACTGGTGGAACTAGGACCATGGGTATTAACCTCCGTCTCCCCACCATGCGCCTCCGCCCACGCCATCGTCCGCCGATTGATATGACTCAGCGCCAGCGTCAACGCCCCAGCCATCAATGTCGATGTCGTCCCGCTTAGGTTCTCGGGTGTTGTGTTGTCGTGAAGCAGTTTGTGTAGGTTCTCGGTGACTTGTTCTTCCACGATCCGGAATGGTCTGTATTTGTTCATTTCTGTGGGTGGTACCGGCCGGTTTTTGTTGGTGCTGCTTGTGCTGGTGGGTGAGGCATGTTGAGAGGCAGACACAGGGTACAGCCAGTTCGCGCTGTGCGTGTGCGCTGCTACGACTGCTACTTCGTTGGCGTAGTTGCAGGCGAGGTGGGCGTTGAGGTATACGAGGATGTTGGCGATTGCGGTGCTGAGCGGGAGGGAGGGTGAGAGTTGTGACCAGGCGTGGGGGTTTGTGTCGAGGATGACGGTTAGGAGGGAGGGGGGGCGGTCTTTTTTTGATTTTGTTAGTGGTTTGGTTTTGTGGCGCTGATGTTTGGGGGGTTGGGGAGGGGGGAAGACTTACCATTCGCACTTGTTGAGTAGTGCTCTGTTGCGTCGATGGTGTTCATTCTGATTGTTGTGGACGGGTGGTGGGTTTGTTGGTTGGAGATGATCAATTGCGGTGCGTAGAAGATTATTCTGTGGGTGCGTTCATTGTGTGTAGAGAGAGAGAGGCTGAACGATATGTTTTCAGATTCAGAAAAGGTGAAGAGTAAGTATGGGGTCGAGTTATAGAGCAGGGCATAAATTGATAAAGATAACGGAGGAGGGTGCTTTCACCGCCTTCATCACCGCATTTCATTCCAGGCTGGATAGTTGTTTGCCCATTCGGGAATAGTGCTGTCTACATAGCAGTTCAATGCAAATAGATACTGTAGACATGGTCACTAGTGATAAGTACACTGATTCCCAAGCACTCCGATGGGACTGATCTTTGCTAATTACGGTGATTGATAACAGCAGACTCCTTGTTTTGACTGCGTTCCCTGGCAAGTCCAGCTATCTGCGGCGCTAACTACCTATCCCTCCGCATTGGTGTCTTAGAGATTCTTGGGTAACCTGAGTGAACCTCGGCCATTCTTGATATCTAGATCTAGTAAACCGCCATCATATGCACTGATCTTGTCTGACTGAGAATCAGGACCAGGTCCTGGAAGCCTAAGTCCGTCCAATTATTTATCTTAGTTAGCTGATACTAGTAACTATAGAGAACTAGGTAGTTGGATATTCAACTTCTTTTTAGGTCATCAGTCTTGTTTTGTTTATCCAGTCAGGGATTGATGCACATAGATATACAATTGCCTTTAACGAACTTGAATGCAGTACCCAATATCTGTGACGGAGTACAGTACACCCCTGATTTACAAGGAAACACTCAGCGGGATTGATGTTGGATATGTAGACTAGTTGCTAGTGACGTCGGGTAATGACGTCCTTGATCTAGCTAGTGCTACTATAGTATGTACTAGCACGGCAAGAATTAGTCTTGGAATACTACACTGTATTTCTGAACTAGTGTTGCTTCCTATCTCTGTTAGTATCTAGCTAGTTATCTTCTCCATCATCATCATCATCATCATCATCATCATCATCATTATCATTGTTTCTGCTATATATTACATAAAGTGTTACTACCAGTACTAAGTACAGGATATACTCTAGTACCTGACTGATATCCCTTGTGAATAGATAAGTTCCTCCCCTCACAGACAGACAAACAGAGAGAACAGAACCATGGCTTTCGCCCGCAGACTGGCGATCCTCCCCGGAGGTCTAGGTAAATTCCCCCCCCCACCAACCCCCACCCTCTATCTCCATATCCAACACAACCAACTCAACCCAACTCACCCACTAATCAACTATATCTGAACCCCATAAAGGCGGCCTAGGCACCAGCATCGCCCAAAAGCTCCACCACGAAGGCGCCCACCTCGCCCTCCTATACGCCCCCTTCGAAGCCTCCCGCGTCGACGCCCTCCTCACGACAAACTACGGATCCAACAGCCACGACCCGACCATCCGTACCTACGAATGCGATATCACCTCGCCGGACTCGGTGCAGGCGGCATTTACCAAATTAGAGGGGGAGCTTGTAGACCCTGCCTCAAGTACGCGAGACTTACCATCACCATCACAATCACAGAACACCGCCGGCGGCGTGTTCCCCAGTATCCTGGTGAATACGGCCGGATATGTATCGTTGAGTGACTTGGAGAGTACCCCGCCTGAGGAGACGGTTAGGCATCTTACTACTAATGTCTTGGGACCCATGCTGTGTGCGCAGGCGTTTGCGAGGCTTTATTTTCAGAGCAGGAAGAGGGCGGAAGCTGATGAGGGCGGGGGTAAGGGTGGAGGTGGAGGGGGACATGGCCATGTATGCCCGCCCGGTAGGATCGTGAACATCGCTTCCCAGGCGGCGCATGTGGCGCTGCCACGGCATGGGGCGTATTGTGCGTCCAAGGCGGCCTTGCTGGGGTTGACGCGGAGTATGGCGTCTGAGTGGGCGGGTGGCGGTATCACGGCCAATTCGGTATCGCCTACCGTGGCATGGACGGAGCTGGGGAAGAAGGCGTGGGGGGAGAGCTCGGTCAGAGAGGCGTTCCTGAAATCTATCCCAACGGGCAAGTTTGCGCTGCCGGAGGAGGTTGCGGATGCGGTGCTGTTTCTCTGTCAGGTAAGTATAGTTATCTGTAAGAACGCGGTTAGTGGCGCGGCTGACGAGTAAAGGACTCGAGCGGGATGATCAATGGCGCGGATATCAGGGTCGATGGGGGCTTCACTATCCGGTAGTACCACCGTATCAAAACTGCTGCTGCTGGACAAGTAATCTACATGCTGGGGCGAATCGCAATAGGGCAGGGCGGTGGGGTCCTATCTCTCTCGTGCCATCTGAGTCGCGGTAGGAGTATCTAACAAGCTATGCGAAGCTTACTACTACCCACTATCCGTCCGCCAAGGACAAACGTAAACGTGATCGAGTTCTAGATGGGGATAATCTCCCGGGTGCAATCTATGTGTAATTAATGGGGCCGAATGTCCAGCTGGCCACTCTCATATCACCACCGAAAGCGGGCTCAGATGATCGCCTCCTGCTTCACGTGAAGGTGACCGTCCTTTTCCTCCGTCTGGTTCAGGACGGGAATCGTGATTGACTCCTGCAGAGCACCTGACGTAGGCTGGGCCAAAGGACTGGGCAGCGGTGAAACTCCCGGCGTCTCGCCCTTGCTCTCGTGTTCGGTAAGTCCTTTCCGAATGGCGAGCACTGAGTCCACAATGACCGCATCAATTCCCTCGGCAACTTGCAACTGTAGGAAGGTGTTAGAGAGGACGGGCTTTTCGTACAACTAGCTACTTACCTTGACGTTGGCCGGCTCATTGTTGATGGCTCCATAAGACACACACACCAACCCGGACTCCTTCACCACTCGAACGAGGCGTGGGCAAAGAACGAGAGCTTCAGCCTGCGAGACAACACCGAGCAGGTTCCATCGGGATGCAAAACGAACTGCTTCCTGCAGACTGCTAGCACGGATGTCGCCGACAGGAGAGGCTCCCGAGTCCGACAGGAAGAGCACGGGGATGGATGGTTGCTTGAAGGACAGCAGCAAGCAAACGTCGGGGTTGAAGCTGGAGAAGATCATGTTGCGCCCCTGGCCCATATCATAGGCCTTGGTGAGAACAGTATCCACAAATGAGTTCAACTCCACTGCATACGTGTCCATCTCCTCCTCCTCGCTCTCGTGGAGCATGGGGTATTCTGGCGACCTTGGTCAGATCCTCGTGCAACTGTTCTTTCAACGGAAGGATACTCACTCAGCTCAATGTTGAACCCAACGGATTTGGGAAGCTTCTTGAACAACTCTTCCAACGTGGCGAAGGGTGCTTGAATGTGGTTGCCGCGACTGTTGCCTTTGAATCCCTTCTTCTTGAAGTCACGGGTATGCTTGATTTTCTCGTTCAGTTCGGATGGGTCATACTCAGAACCACCAACAGACATAGACCGCTGGCGAGGATTGAAGTAGCCTTTCTCTCCTCCAGAACTGTCGGGTGTGCGAGGCGGAGACCCAGGGCGACGGGCCGATTTATTGTCTCCCAACTGAAGAAACTGTTCCAAAGTGAGAGTGTGGACCGGAGCATCAATGCCCGTCTCGCTGACAAGGAAATCATGATAGATGACAGGTACGTGATCTTTGGTGAGCTGAACATCGAATTCAACGTAGGAGGCGCCCAGATTAGCGGCAGCGATAAATGACTGCACTGTATTCTCGCCGAGCTGCAACGAGTTGCGGCTAGCAAAGTTCTTACCCAGACCACGATGCCCGATCACCATGGTCGAGCTCATACTCTTCCAGTACGTTCGGTCCCCGGTGATTGTCATGTTGGGGTGCTTGAACGGCGTGATTATCAAAAAGTTGAAGGTGACCGAGCCAATCACCTCCAATGTGTTCGCTGCCACAATGGGAACAGTGGAGTCACCTTTGAGATTGATGCGGTGAGATCCGAGCGTGGGCTTGATACTCGAAAGCAAGGCAACACCCCGTCCGACGATCTTGTCCTTCGAGCCAGCGTAGGTCGGGACCAGGTCGAACAGGAGTCTAACCTTGGAAGCATCTTTAGCGTGGAAAACGATGGGCTCAGTGGAGATGTTATCTTGAACGGGAAGATCAATGATCTCAGGCTCCCCTCGAGCCCCACTGGCGGAAACGACAATTGACAGGGCAGTGTCGAGCTGGGTGGAATGGGCGCTTTGCATAGGGATTCGGTCAAGATTGACAGCCTCGGCGGAGCTGCGCATGTCCATAGTGCCCAGGCTGACTAGTACCATAGACTCATCGGTGAGATACCGATGGCCAAAAGTCTTGATAGGCTCCGCGTTACGCAGCGAGGAGTTGCTGGAAGGTAAATTGGACCGTCTATCAGCCAAGGAAGAGAGTGGAGGAGATGGCGGAGCGGACGTGGCAGTTGGAACAGGAATGACAGGCTCCGCCTCACTGATCTCTGGCGGCGGCGTCACCTTTGCAAGGCATCGAGCAATATCCAGATGACCTCTCAAAGCCGCATGCTCCTTTGCTGTCCACCCAGAGGAGTCAAGTCTTTCGAGCTTGGCGCCTGCTTCGATCAGCAATTCCACTACACTCAAAGCTCCATCCACGCATGCGACAAACAGAGGCGTCCATCCATACGTCTTCTCGGCGAGCTCGGGATCGGCCTTCTGTTCCGCATTCCCCTGTAGCAGGATTTCCGCACATAGATGATGCCCAAAGCGAGCAGCGACATGCAGTGCAGTTTCGCCTTGGTCATCCTGGTAATTGATATCCACTCCCGCCTCAACCAAGAGCCGCACAATATCGACAAAGTTGGCTTTCGTTGCCAAAGCTAACACAGCACTCGAGCGCGAGACCTGTTTGCGGATCCTCGCCTTGTCTTTGTTAGCTCCGTGCCAATTTTCTGACTCGAGGAGACATTTGGTAGTCAAGGGGTGACCACCAACGACACTCAAGTGCAACGGAGCCCAACCATCATTGTCTTGCCAATTTGGGCCATCAATTCCCTCGTTGACATCAAACATATCCCACGCCTGCAAGTGCTCGATGATCACCTCACACACAACCTTGAACCCATATTGTGCTGCATAGTGAAGCGGGGTACGCCCGGATATATCCTTCGCAAGCAAAGCACTGCGTTGCTCCGGACGAAGTTGATCCAGTATATGTTGCAACAGGGACACCGGCGGATCGGATCTTTCCAGGTGTTGGGGGAAATCTTCCTCTTTCAATACCGAACGAGGGGCTTGCAGAGTCGGCATCGCGGCGGGAGTGATGTAATTCGACGTTTCCAAAGGAAAGTCCAGGACCATAGACGCAGACTGCTCCGAGTCGGTGGAGGACTGTGCTCGACCGATCGAGATCACAAGCCGATGAATACAGTTGCGCTTGTTGATATCATCCTCCTCGTCCAGGGTATCCATGCGATTCAGCAACACTGTAATGCAAGCGTTTGCGCGATAATAGATGGATCTCTGGAGAAGGCTCTGAAGAACTTTGGGAAAAATGTGCTCCCCCGAATCGTCAGCAGCCGCCTTCAGTGTCTCGAGTAGCTCGAGCAGGACATGCGTGTCATTTTTGCGCAACGCTTCATCGACAGCCTGTAGCATACTAGGTGGCAGGTTCAGATGCGGACGAGATCGGCCGGTCTTAAATGACAGGGACGAATGCGTGGAGCTGGCATCATCGTTGATCTTCTGTTCCCCAAGGACTGATAAACGGTCGTTGATCTTCTTCAAAGCCTGGGTGATATACGGGTTCGACGCAAAGAGAGTTGGATCAACTTTGGTCTCCAGATATTTCTGCTGTGACTGGACCCCGACTTTTTTGTCCAACTTCTTGGTGATTTTGATGAAGCCCCGACGGTTGACTTCGCCATACCACTGTAGTTTGCGCCATTGGCCACGTAGCTCGAGCAATGCCGCCAACAAATCCTCCACTTCCTCTGCATCGAGGCGCTGGCGGCCGTCCAGTGACGGGCCATACCGTTCTTCCAGTATTTTCATGCGGCGCGCAAAATCGGCGTATTTCTTATTATAGAAGTAGTCGACATCCTCGAGGTTTCGATCGAGAGCGTAGAAGAATCCTAAAACCTGGGTTAGCAATGGCACTCTACAGCGCAGGTAAGCAATTTAGGGTAAAGACTTACCTGCAAGGTCAGCCTCATGGCCAGCCTTCACATTCTCCGCCGCAGCTTTGATGAGCTTTTTCAAATCCTTGTAATGAATATAGTTTGCGCTCCATTCGGGAACCACATTGCGAGGTAAGTTGCGTCCAAACTTCATTTTCGGAGGGATTGTTGGGGTCGCTTCGGACTATTAGGGATTGGGGGGCGGAAGGTGGAATATGAGGCTTCTAGAGATCTTCTAGGAGCCAGCTGCCTTCAACCAAGGAAGTGAACAGGGCTGACGAAACGATGATCAAATGGAGAACAAGTGGATCTAGGACAGACAAAAGGAAAAGGACAGATCAGACTTCGAACACAACGCCATATGTTAGTTTACCGCGAAGTCATTGTCAGAAGGGGGCAGTGGGAAAAACCTGAAGGGTCGAAGTAGAGTGAGATCCGGGGGTATTTGAAGATTGAAGGAAAAAAAAGAGAGGGAGCCACGGATCGGTGATATACAGTTTGAAATCCTTGGGACTGAAGGACCAAGCGACAAAGGAAAGGACCGAGCTATCAGCACGTGCTACAGTCAGCCAAGACATATGATCGAAGGGATCCGACAAAAAAGAAGGCAATGCTAACCCAAGAGGGAATGAGGGGACCCACCCCGACGTAAGTAGAAGAGGAATTCCGGGGCGGAATGACCATTGAACGCGGGCGGCTGGATCTCCTGCACGCCGGGCGCTCCCTGATTTGTCCGCGTCCCTCTCCGCAGAGGAGTGGTTCAGCCCAGCAATGATGATGAAGAGTGAACTTTTTGAGCTGGAGCTTAAGAAACAGGTCAAATAGCGGTGGCCTGCTGCTGATCGTGAGCAATTCGGAGTATTCGATAAAGGGGGTTTCCCTTCTCCTACCTATCTTCAATTTATTTTCTCACCAGGATGTTCTCGCGCAAGCCCGACGGTGCTAGTCTGCCAATAGCGTTGAATTCCCCCCCATCCGCAGATTAAGCCTTTAGATTGTCAACCGTCGGTGTTTAGCCGTCCATAGGCGACGAGTCCGGTGACCCGCTGCTTCCTCGGCCGGACAATGGCGGATTCGAGAAGCAGAGGCCCTTCGGGTGGGGATATTCCCTCGCAGCGATGATCATCGTTCCCCTCACTGTCACTCCATCCTGATTTGTGGCTAGATGCGTTTGGAGGGGAGGGGAGGTGCGAGTCGTGGCTGGGCATTATCCATTCGAAGTTCGAAGAGCTCGATAAACTATTTTAGCGTGAAGCCTGTGACCGCGAGGTTCTGGAAGGACGGTGTTGCAATCTCCCACCCAGACGGTATTGTGGATAACTCAATATAAGATTGATTGTTGCAGGGCAGGAGTTATCGAACGCTGTACGCCTGTACCCTTTTCCTCAAAGGCGGGGTCTCGGCGTCAAGTCAGATGACCCTCCTTCCAGCGTGATCGGCTCCTGCACATTCTATTGACTCCAGGAAACATCCTTTCTTCTTCAGTGCATTATCACAGTACCAGCATCCTTCCTATACCTTGAAACTTGAGCATTGGTGGTGTGATTGAAACCAGTATCATGTGATATCTATGGGTCTTCTGATGCCGCTTACTACCTCTACAGAGTCAAGCACTACTGTTTGTACGAGGTTTATACCCCTTGAAGTAACATATCGATTGCCTGATCTCCAAATAGCCTCACTGCCCGCGATGCTGAGTATTGTATAATTCCTGCGGTCACGGGGCTCCTTCTTATCAACTATGCAACGAATAGGGCGACGTCTTATAGCTGACTCAGGTTCATTCAGCCCGCGGCGCCTTATGCTCTTTCCCTCCACAACGTATTGCCAATCAACGAGGCTTATACTTTAGTAGAAGTTCAAGGGCCATATGCCCTAAGCATTTGCATACTTCCTTGAAGGGAGCCCTCTGTGCTTTGTCCAAATGTTAGCTCGTGATTGTTCTGTCCCTCCATACAGCCGGTACTTAGTACCATAGCTTCCCCTGCTCCCGTGGCTTCCTCCTCCCATAACCCCTTCCTACCGATGACCACCCGTCTACCTGACCGTGACATCGCAATGACACCATTCCTTCTCTCAACAGCGCAAAAAAGGATGCCGCGACTGGGACTCGAACCCAGAATCTGCACTCCACCCGCTTAGGTACCAGACCCCGGGGGCTCTGCAATGTTAATACCACTACACCACCGCGGCTATGTTGTTGAATATGTGAGCGTTGAACGTTCCTATAGACCCACTTTCGTTAGTGCCTCAGGCCACCGCAAGGCCTCCATGTACAGCAAAATTCAGAGGTATATTGCGTGCAATGGTCGCTTCACAAGAGTATCCTGGACAAATCCGCCCTGCTAGACTAATCCTTCGGGTGTTGAAGAATAGCCTTTCGATCATGATAGCACAGCTTGTTGGACGAGATCGTCGATTGAATGATGCGTGGTGGCAGCCAGACCGGCTATGTTGAAGCAGTATCGTTGGTCGAGACGAGTATTTATCCACACATTCTCTTGAGAATGGAGTCCACGAATCAGCACAGCAATTGCGTATCCATTTATCCTGGTATATGAGACCGCAGTTCCCACTCTCGACGACTACCTTCTCTTGGTGGTGCCTTGTGTCACGAACTCAAGATGCATGGTCACTATCTTATCGAGGGAGGATTTCATCGTACCATGAAGGATCCGACCACAGGCAAGCACCGACTCCTCTACTGAGGCAAACGACGTCTTGCTCAACGATGGCGCAACTATGCATTCTCAATATGACCCGAGTGAGCATAGTCTGTTTGGGCATGATACCTTGGCCGAATGATTGTCTTCGTAATGACGATCATGTTGCAGGTGGGCACAATCTGTTTCCGAAGACAGCTCGCACGGTGTCACCTTGCAGAAGCTTGCGAAAACTGGCCCTCAGGTCGCGAGGCTGGTGTATTGAGTGGCCGTATCTCAACTCATTCGTGACATTCAAGCCTGATGTTCTAATGGAGTCGATCAAAGGAATGGTTTCCCTGGCGATGCGAAGACTGCACTGCTTCAGCAGTAGTGTATAGTGTAGCCTCAATGTTCTCAGTTAAGCTTCTCCTCCCCTGATATGCGGCTGGCGTAGAAGCATACCAGTTCACGTTTTGCAGACGACGAAGCGCACGCGGTACTCAGAATTTGCTCAACGACAAATAGAAGTCGAACCATCTTAGTTCGCAAGCTCCATCATCGATTGCGAGCTAGCAGGCCGTCGCTTGTGTTTTGTGGTATCGACCCAACCTCGGAGAACATCCCAGGTTTGATCACCGTATCGAGTCGATTTGCAAAGTGTTTTTCGCTGTCTTAAGTGCATACACAAGAAGGCGGGCGGCAGGACAGATCCAACGGCCCTGATTTCGCACTGGCTTTGTATAGCTTAGTCAAGGTAGTTTGGTCATTATAACACATTGACAAATGATTTGCGATAGTCAAGCTGTGGAGGTGGTGCATATCACATACAGCGTTACGCTGGTGTTCTAGCCGCATCGATAAGGCTCCATGGCGCAGCAGAGTCCGGCGGCAAACCGAGCTAACAGATTAGCCTCATATTATCGATTGAGCTTGCAGTGTATTATAAAGGGTTAGGGATCGATTATCCAAGTGCAAGTCAGTCGTTATGTGGGCATCCTTCGCTGCGGACGTAACTCAACTTTCTGTGCTTACTGTTGCCGAGATGGCAAGGAATGAGCTTGAGAGAGTCAATCTAATGAGGAAAACTCCGCAGAGAATCGATGAATCGAAGATCCAAATACTGTTCCTTTGCTATTCCGCCCAGGGTGACAGGGCCATGGTGTTCCGTCCGAATCCTGAGGAGACTTTTGCAACCAGTTTTCTGTGAAAATTCTAGAACAGCAGCAAGAAACTGAGTCTGGCACGTTGCCCCACTGGTATGCGGGGTAATTTTGATTGAAATCAACTCTGTTGACCGCCTTCAGAGCTCGTCAAGCATCGTCTCTCGCTTCCCATCTCTTCAACATGCAAACATCGGCCACTTCGCTGCAGTGGTGTATGAAGATATTTCAAACGAGAGCGATAGCAACTGCTAACTTTCCTGCTCTGATACCTCGCTGATACAATCGCAGAGTGGCTAATTCCCTGATCATTAGTTTGCATTTCGTCTCATCTACAATGACGGCTCATGTGGGAATACTACCATCTCGAACACGAGCAATATGGCGAAATCGCGCTGAAACATTCCTCAACGAGGAGGGTCGACGATACCGGAGCACACGGAACCACAATCTCACCCTGCAATATGCTTCTCAGGCTTGATTGTCTGATTACTAGCTGGAGTTGATTCTCAATTTCCCGGGTTGTGTTCTGGTCAGGCTGGTCCGATCCCATTGCATCGCCGAGATAGTCTATAGGCCTGCTAGCAAGACCATGCCTGGTAATTGGTCTCGTTGCTCTCCCGACACCTGAGTTTGGCTCAGTCTCTACCACACACCATGCTGAGGATACCATCGACGGCACCACCGATTGGAAGGAACACGAAACTACCGACAAGAAACGCAGCGACTATAACCTCGACACCACTCTCTAGACACCAAGTGTATAACTAAAACCAGCCAAGCATGGCTGAAGGTACATTTATCTTATGAAATCACAAGCTAGTCATCACCCATACTCAAAATCCCTTTAAAAACCAAAGAGCCACTACACGAGAACCGGAACCAGAGGGACACCGCAATCACAATGATTGCATTCATCAACAAGCAAGAAACCAAAAAGCTAGAGTAAAACCCAATAGCGCCATGAAACACACAAAACAGTTGAAATGGAATCCGCACCCCTAATCCAAGCACCATAAGCCCCAAGGACCGTAACCTCTCCTCATAGGAGAAATATCCCACAAATATAGGACATCAAGCATCCACAAACACACCTAAAATAAACCAATCTGAAAGAAAGCCCGGAAACCAAATCAGCGAAACAAGATAAAAAAAAAAGAATTACACAAATCACATCCATGAGATCCAAAGCAGCCGGGCAAGGGTCCAGGTTGCAGTGCCAGTGAGTTAAGTATGTGTGGTGTGTGTGTGTGGTGTCTGGCCTGCCAGGTCTATGTTTGCATGCGCGATTTTTCGACCACCAGGGGCACTGAGAAAGGATACCTCTCCTACCTCCAGGTTGGTTGTTTCTCCCCCTTTCTTTCGTCAATTCATCCTTTCTTCAATGAATTTTCCTTTCTCTTCTTCCACTATCTTACTCTTTTTCCAAAAAGGATTCTTGTCTATCGTCAATTTGGTCCCCAATCACACAGGCTGTTTACTCAGGACACCAGGAGCGCGCCTACAATGCATTGGAAAAGACCCAAGGCTCAACGGATCCATTACGATTATGATATGGCCCATGAGGGAATTCTGGCAGCAGGTAGCATGGCAGAACACTTGGGAAATGGTATTGTATCCTTCGCTGGAGAGAAATATCCCAAACATCCCTTCTTAGGCATCAGAATTCATACGGGAAAGACAGACAGATCCAAGGGGCTGGATCCCTCGAAATTCCCTCTCGCTCGTCCCCGTCTCCACTTGGTGAGTGACCCCGCACTTTACTTCCCTGAGACTGGGCCCCGGGGTTACTCCGCATTCCCCCATTTCGACTCCCTCGGCAATCGAACCTGGAAGCCCATTTATCACCTACACCACGCTTGATCCTCTGACTTGGATATTACGAGACAAACGCTACTGAAGCACATTTCGTGGAAAAATTTTTCATTCAAGATAGAAAAGCTATCAAGATAAAAGGCTATCAAGGTCGTCTTGACTTGAGATGAAGAGAAAAGCACATCATTCTGGTCTATGGCGGACTCAAAAAGGGACAAATACACACAAATTTCCCCGATGCGTCGAGAAATCCGGCCACCGTTCCCCACGCTCATTAGACCAGTTATATTCGTTAAGAAAGATCACACAACACGTCATAACACCAGAGGTCAGGCAGGCAGGTGATAAACGCCATGAAAAACCAGACAACCCCACAGAACACCAAACCCTTGACGCGAGCCTTGAAATCACAAACTCACAACGCTTTATCGAACAAATCACGAAGAAAGAAAGGTAGGAAACACCGAAAACAAGCTAAGGTCAACATGATAAACTCCCCATGCAGCAGGAAGATTATGCCACCAAAGGCTTGAGAGCTTCGACACCGACTTGGAGCACTGCGGGATCCTTGGTCTTCTTCAGCACATTCGTCAAGATGTCGATGCCACCGTTCGACTTGACCGCTTCCAGAGCCCGACGACCAACGTCTCCGGTGGCAAGACAGGTCAAGTTCCTGACACAGGCCACTCCGCGATGTACAAGCCCGTTGTCGTCTTCCTGGCATAGCCCAAGCAACAACTGAACGCCACGAGGTCGTTCCAGAATCCCCGCGATAGCTGCATCAAACTCAGTTAACATGGCAAGGGCCCCACCGGCGGCACTTTGGGTGGCGAGATCATCCGTATCGGTGAGTGCCAACAAGATATGTAGACGTTGAGCAGCACGTTTCGAGCCGTCCGCAAACTTCACCACCCCGGATTCGCAGGTCATCAAGTTACAGACTAGCTCACAGGCTGCGCGCTGCACCAGTGGACTGTTGGAGAGAAGGAGATCCTCGATGACTGGCCAGGCCTGACGAACAATAGCATCAGGGGCGGTCTCGTCGGGGTGGGACGCCAAGTTGGTCAGAGCCAACATGCTTTCGAAGACTGGGAGCAAGTCCCGCGGCTGCTCCGTGGAAAGACTGATTGTCTCTGGGGCGGAAAGAAGTGCGGTCAAAGGTCGAATGGCAGAGGTAATTTGAGGGAATCCAGAGCTCGGGAAAACAAGCGCGGGATTGACAGAGATCAGAATCCGCGCCAGTGCATGAGAAGCATTCCCAACGGTTTCGTTGGGAGTTGAGCCCTGCTTCACAGTCGACATACTAATCAACAACTTCACAGCACCCTGTTGCGCTAGGGTCCCACGAGACTTCCGATCGCGAGACAAGGAGAGGAGAATTTTGCTCATGAGAACTTGCACAGACGGCAGACTTGTTTTAAAGCAGTCAACAAGGAGATTGACAAGTCCCGCTTCGACGAGTGCGGTGCAACGAGCGATGACGTGTTGCTCATCGTCGAGAGGATCGGGGCCATTGCGGGCCTTTGGGGATGCTTCAGCATATGACTTGAGCTGTGATACTTTCTTCTGCTCCTCTGTCAGGTTGGGAAGGAATTGGGTGAGGTTTGCAATGATCATGAAGCCACCATAGAGGACTGACGGAACGGTAGAATTTTCGTGCAATACTCGAATGAGGTTCTGAAGGAAAGCTGGATCCTTGGCAAGCTGCTCTTTCACGGCAGGCTTGACGGAGGCAAACGCCAACCCCTCAAAGACATTAGCCATGTTCTCACCCTTACGCTTCGACATCGATTCCTTGAATCGATCAACTAGCTCGTTGACCCGGATGTCGTCATCCTGGACCTTGCCGTTGTTTTCAGAGGGCGCGACCTGCGCGGAAGTCCGAACCTTAGCAAGGATGACCGCTGCTAACTCAGAGCTCTGATCACTACCATTGGTAAGCAGATGAGAGAGCCAGGTGGACAGATGTTTGAAAATGGCCTCGCGACAAGCTTTGTTGACGCAGGCAGCATTCAGAAGTTCCAAGAACGGTGTCTCAACCTTTCGGCTTTTCGCATCTCTGGAAGTCAAGGGCGCGAGAGCAGCCAGGAAACTCTCCGAAAGGAAAAGAGCCGCGGCAGCCTCCGGGATGACAGGGAACACGGCGGCTGTTGCCGAGAAGGCCTCGATCAAGCCGTCACTGCGGCCCTTGATCACCTTGGTGGTAACTAGGTTGGAGAATCGGCTCTGGCCCACTTCTCTCGAGACCTCCAAATATCTCACTGTCGCCAGCGTGGCCTGACTCCTCCATTCGAGAGGTAGGCGAGAATCCAGAGACGACAGAATCACGTCGAGACTTTCGTCATCCACCAAGTCCTGCAGTTTGACCGCATCGACAGCCAGCAGACGCGCGATTCCTTTGAGAGAGCGACCATCCATATCGTGACCAGACTCCATGAGCTTGGCGATGAACAACTGGAAAAGCTCACGCTCACAGTGCAAGCGAGCGTCCTGCGATGGCCATACGGATGGATCTAGGACAACAGTATCAAGGCAAACTGCAGCGGCATCGCCTCTTTCGTAAATCTCGTCGAAGAAGGTGGTGACGGAGACCTGGAGCTGGTTGGAGAAGTGCTGGCGCACGCTTGTGCTCTGGCGGACTAGACCGGAGATAATGTCGTCCTGCAGCGAAGACAAGGCATGTGGGTGTTGTGCCAAGATAAACTTGACACATTCCAGTGCGACCTCCTCGGGCGGTTTGAGGCCGTCGGTGCGCAAGTAGAGGGCGGCATCTTTGCCCGCGAGTTCGTCCTTCCCTGAAGTATAGCGACGGCAAAGGTCTAGGAGGTGGTGACCATTTCCCTCCTCTTCCTGGATTTTCAGGAAAGCTTCTTTGACTGCTGGGTGCTCAGGCGCTAGGGCGAGAGCTTCTCGAAGGTTCCGCGAAGCGGCCTGCGATAGATGAAGAAAAGAACATTAGCCAACTGAACCGGTCGCAAGTGACGCAGCGACACGAGTGGCTTCCAAACATCGAGTTTCCATGGAAAGACAAGAACGGGAAGGGGCAAAAACAAAAAACAAATGAGTCAGACATACCTCACGGTGGCCAGCATCTACCAATTCAACAGCCTCTCGAGTCAGATGTACAGCACGTTCTTCGCTCGTTGAGTGAACCATGTCAGGCCTGGAAAGTAGGTAGGCGGGAGCGGGCGGATTGGTCTCAAGAAAGAACCGGTCGGGAGAGGAGATGGGAATAAAAAAGAGAAAGAGAAGAGAGTAGCAGAAAGCGATAAAGAGGAAAAAGGCACGGTAGGTCGGACGGGAGGGGAGGAGAGAAGAGAAGAGAAGAGAGAAAGAGAGAAGGCGCGAGTTAAGCCAGGGGAAGTACAGAAGTGGTGGTGGAAAGTGGAGGAGTGGAGCTTGTTTTGCAGTAGTCGCAAGAAGGTGGAAGTAATGACCTCGGAGGGTTGAATAGCTGTCGGTGTCAACCCGCAGTAGTAGAAGTAGTAGTAATGGTGATGATGGTCGAGCGACGCGACGGTCGGATAATCATCGGCGGGGGGAGGAACTTAGAAGATAAGAAAGAGAACGGAGTTGCAAGTGGTAAGTCGAGTAGTTAGTATTCTTGTTGACTCGATCTCAATAAGAACGAGAAAAGATGAAGTGAAGAAGAAGATGGTGTGGTGGTCGAGTCGAGGTGGTTGTAAGAAAACGAGTTGGGCTTATCTTTTTTTTACCTTTTCTCTTTTGTTTGACTTTTTTGCCTCCAAGGCGTGGAGGGAAAAGCAGAAAGAGTGGATTCAACTTAGGTTCAACAGCCAGTTTGAAACTGGAGAGGATAAGAAAAGGTGGTCCGTGTGACTAGCTTTCCTCTTTGGGTTTTCTCTATCTTCTTCCAGGAGTCTCATCAAGGTCTCTGCTTCTCTTCTTCTCTTCTTCTGCCTCGGACCTCCGACGCCCGTTTCCTGCAACCATGAGACATTCTCCCCTCTCACCCCATCCTCCCCCCCATTCTTCTTCTTCGGGGCTCTATTCCCAGACTTCCATGCATTATCCGACCTGTATTATGACCCTTCCTTACATGACTTCAACAGATCTCTCTAATAACTACTTCCGCCAATCCGCCTATCCGTCCGACTGTCGGAGCTTCCCCTCGTTTCAGCTGCCGCCCTTCGGAATGCGGCTTAACTCCGAGCACGCTCGCCTATCGATACGCTATCGTTATCATCTGTGATTGTTATTAGAAACAAACACTGCCGACTGCCAATTGCGGGATTCCAGCCCCGAACCCCCCGTCAGACTGTCACAGAAACTGGAACTCGACTCAGCCTGCAGCAGGCATCTCCTAGTGACTGGCTATTTCCCCCGGAGCAAGTTGGCTACCGCGGGGAACACATCCGTACGCCCCTCCTTCCTCGGCCGTGGACGATAAGATGAGCCCGGATGAGATGGGACAGCTTGCGACAGCGACTCATAAGCAAACCAGCTCATCGGCCTGGAACCGATTGCCAACTCAAGTCAAACTCACAGCCATGGTCCAGACCCTCTTCATCTCAGCATCAAACCAGGCAGACGCTAACCAACTGGACTATCCATCGGTGGTGCCCCTTCAGGGCCTGCAGTAACTGCACCTGGCAGCGCAGCAAAGATGACGACGATAAGCCGCAGCAGCAGCAGCACCCCGTTGCGAAAGAAAGAAAGGGGGTAATCAACCCCAAAGTATGTGCTGCTTACAGTTTGCTGCACCATAGATTCGGTATCTATCTAATCGGAACCTCGCGCTCGGTCAGGACATGAAACCAACCACGGCAGTCCACGGCAACACGTTTCTCACTCTGACTCTCGTTCTGGTCGAGAGCAACTCACTCGTCATTGTCGGGGACGTGCTTTTTAGGCTGTTCCCAGCTTTTGTGTCTATTCTCTCCCTCACCCTGTTGCCAATAGTCTACCATACCGCCGCACTAGTCCCTGTCTTGGCTACAGACTACAGTTCTCCCGATCTGCAGCTTCAGCAGTTGTTCCACGGTGGTGCGCCCAGTGTGACGACCCGCCAACCGAATCCGGTGTTTGCTTTGCTAGGCTGCGTTGCTTATGCCGACCTTACACCAACAGTGGGTACTTCCAAGTAACTAAGTACCCCGTACATTGTTGTTCTATGTAGTGATCACAGCATAAGATAGCTTCCCCGGGGAAGAGGGGGACGGCGCTGCGGCGAGACCACCACCGCCGTGGACCATCAGTCAACCCTTCCCTTCCGGGCGCGGGACGCGGGCGCTTGGACTCCGTGAGTTGAATCCAACCAAACCACCCTTCACCATTCCCCAAGGAGAGCAACTTGGAAGAGACCCTTGGGTTCTCATCGGGCCAAGGACCATCCCCCATTTCTAAATCCGGGCCGTTTTGTTCCAAATCACAGGAGACAGACAAGCCACATCCAACCCCCTCCCCACCGATTATCCATCGCCAATCGCTCTCGCAGGCGGCGATGCGGACGCTTCTGTGTGGTCCGTGCCAATAACATTTGACTTTCCATTGGAAATCATCATGCCTACAGCCATCGCGCCGGGGAGGGGGGGCAAAATCATTGGGAAATTGTCCGTCCGTCTGGATCCCGTCCAGTCGGTCGTCATCATTCTAGAGAGCGGGCATTAATCCGCGGTCATAATTTCACCAAGTAAATGCTTGGCTGGGTCGACTTCCAACGGGGTGAGTCCATGGATGGATGATTTACCTAAACCGTGTATGAGGGAGGTTTTCAAGCACCGAAAGAGACAATCTTTCTTTCGTTCGACTCAGCCAATACCAACGTCGAAGTAGGTCGTGGCATGCTGTATTATGGCTCCCGCTCGCTCGCTCCCCTTAACTCTGAAGATCTAGACTACGTATATTTTCATCACACATCACACGCAACACATACACGCCTCATAACCAAACTCGCGGGTATCTTCCCACCTCCAATTTTAGCCAGCCACACCCACACCCATCCTGCCCTGCTGTTTTTCGCTGCGTCATAAGCCCCCCCCCCCCTTCATGGAGCCGATCAAGAAGTGTCACGTCGAAATCACATGAGACACCCTTCCTTGATACTGGAGTGTAGATCGCTGGTGCCGACCCGCACGCGCCGGACGCCACGTGACTTGGTCGCGCGCTCCCGATCGGGGCTGTTCAGGGCGGATGAGGAGCCCGCCCGCGCACCGCTCATGACCGGAGCCACCAGCTCGGCCGTGGGAGGCTCGGGGATGCCTTCCAGCGCGAACACCTCCACCATCCACTCGTACCACACCTTGCGGTTATCCGTCTGTCGGTACATGGTCACGACGACTTCTCCGTTATCGGGGACGTTGAGGGGTGTCTGCAATTCTGTGATCAGTTTTCCCGTACTTTTATGCCTGGTACATACAGCTCGTAGTGCAAGGCTCATTGTTCGGAAGGCAAAACATCTCGTAGAACAAGTCTCATTGCTGGGAAAGGGGGAAATGGGGATATGGAAAACTAACCTTTAAAGGGAAGTAGATGGGGAACCAGCTGATCATATCCTGGCTCTTGGTATCCATGGTGACGGGGTTTGTTGATAGTTCGATGTCGCGGTAGAGCACAGTCTCGAAGTAGCCGGCCAGGCCGTGGCAGACGCCGCGGTTCTGGACGGGGAAGGTCAGACGGGTGCGGCGGACGTTGTGGGCGTTGGAGATCGTCGAGGACGAGGGCGACTGCGGCGGGATGTTCAGGTTCGGGTGCTCGAAGGACCAGGTCGTCTGCACGAAGGGAATGGGCGTTTCGCCCGATCCGCCGCCGGGCAGCGTGGCGATCGAATTCCGGGTGTTGGAGCCTCCCGAGCCCCCGAAATTCATGAGCGCGGTCGCGGACGGCTGGTTCGTCGACAGGAAGTCGATGGCGTGCAGCATCACCACGTACGGCGTTTCGGGCGCCGCTGGGTTGGAGATCGACTGGTTCATCACGTCGGCGTGCAGCTTAGGGGCCGCGATCGGGGTGAGGTGCGCCGTGTAGGAGGCCGGGATAGAGATGCCGTGCACCGGGGTGAGGAGGTGCGTGACGCCGTCGAGGCATTCGGGCGACAGCTCATTGTCGCCGAAGGAGCCTAGGAGCTCGGAGACGAGGATGTCGATCGTCGTAGGGACGAGGGCCGCGTTCGTGGTGCCGGAGGTGGCTGCTTGCGTCGGGCTCTGTTTTGTATACCAGATTTAGAGACGAGTCTGTCTTTTGCATGTTGAGGGAAGGGACACTTACCGATGCTGTCTGCGATCCTGGGGTGGCGCCTTTCTCGACTTGCGGGCCTTTCCAGCTTCGCATGTCCGAGTGAATCAACTTGACCTTTCCACCCCAGTGGTTCTTGTTATGGCGCTGGAGAAGGACAAATGCGTTGGGGTTCTTTTCCACTGCCCAGAGGTCGATTTCAACGCCCGTTTCAGCGCTGGCTCGGAGCGCGCGGCCAACGAGTGGCCCTCGACCAGCTCCTACGACAGCGACCACCACTTTGCCGTCGGGCCCGGAGCTTGGTTTCTTCGACCAATCCGTCAGGGCCTTGGCGATGGCTTTCTCATACCAATCGTACTTAATGGGGTCTTTTTCGAAGACCTCGTATGTGATGCTCTCCAGGTTGACGGTCAATGGCTGGAGAGGGGCTTGTAAGTAATCCTGGTAGCCCATCCCGAACCGTTCCATGGCGCTCCGGGAAGGCTGGCGGGACTGGAGGTTTCTGACATAAGATAGGTGAGGAGTAGGGTCATGGTGTTTCTTGTTTGAGACTGCAGCCTGCGCGAGGCTGGGGTATTCAGAGCCTGGAGTATCGGAGTTCTCAAAGGACTCGTCCACCTCCACACCTGGTATGGGGCCAACTTCGCAAAGGAGGATCCATGGGGTGGTTCGAAGGCGCATGAACCGAGCAATCAGAGCTTGATGTGCCTTGGAAAGCACGGGATAGCCTTTTTGATTATTGATGAAGGTATTTCCATCAATTGTAAGCATGTGAACTGGCTCCGAGTACCAGCGGGACTGCACGGACATTGGGGGAAGTTGCTTGGGCAGGGAGAGTGCTGAGGAACTGATCAGCAAAGCGAGGCAAACGGAAAGTTGGGACAGAAAAGCCGGGTTCCCTACCTACGACGAGCCTTGGGTGGTATTTACAGAGCCTCCTGATAATATCCCAGGCATCCCAGGTTCCGAACGGATCAACTCTCAAGACAGGACCCACCAAGTCCCTAACAAACTCCTTGCGAGCCAGACTAGCCAAGTCAGTGATCTTGTTTCCCTGGAGATCCGGGCTATCAACCATATGCGTCCACATATGGAATTGGATATAAGGCGCGACGTTGATAGCATCTTGCACGGCCCGCGCATAGTAGATGATCTGCTCCGAGTGGGCGTCGTTGTGGTGGAGTTTGGGGCCCGGGATCAGCAGGTATCCAACTCCACAGAACGCGGCATAGTTCACTTCCAGCATGAACACCTGGCGGGAGATTTCCGCGATGAGGGGATCCGGCGAGCACAGGTCAATCCACGAGCTGGTGACGCCGACCAGCTGGGTCATTGCCTCGTTGGGGGTCAAGTGCGTGTCAGCCGGTCCCAGCTCGGGGACCACGAGCGGCCGTGTGTTCTCGCTGGTCATCATCGTTCCATTGGGGCCTGGCGCCGAGGGTTGTAAGCTCCCTTGATAAGTCGAGAGAAGAGCGAGCACTCGGGATTGGAAGTGGGAGGTGGTTACCGGGGCTGTTAGCATGTCATACTGGCCAGTCGGGAAGGTTAGCAGATGCTGAATCAGGAATCTGTAGATTCGTACATTACTTTCATGTGCCGCCTGTACCAGTTCATTGGTAATGGGTACCTTCCGGTCCTCTTCATGCTGGCCAATGCAGAAAGTGATGTTGACATTGTCGGGGCTGGTAAAGGGCTCCATCTTGGCAAAAAAGAAAATATCGTCCGGCTATGCGAATACTTTTATAGAGGAAAGATGAGTGAGGTAAATGACGAGTCGCGTGAGTTGCGACTGGAGGTATTGTTCGGCGTCAATGGAGAGGTGAATGAACTATCTCTCTATATCTCGTCGAGAACGGCTGGTTGATCCGCTGAAGATTGTGGTCCCACCTGCGGTCGATCAATTGAGTTTCAACACAATATTCATTTTCAGGCCATTGTAAAGGGGAGCAGTGAGGAGGGAAGTGCAAAAGCAAAGAATACTGACAAGAGCCGGTCACCCCAATACTGTGGAGGAAGAATTATCACCCTGTGCTCACGGACGCTGCGTGGCTGAGTGAATGAAGCTGATCGTCGACGGTGGTTTTGGTCTCTTTTTCCCCTTGCCTGTCCGAATCCGCCGTGGGGTAAACGGCGGCAGAATTCCGGGGCGGTAAACAAAAAATACTATCTAAAAGTATCTGTGGCGAGGCCCCCGGCCGACCTGCCTATCCCGGCCGCCTTTTTTTCTCAAAACTCGCCTCCAGCAAGTCTCGAGCAGTTCCGCGACGGACGAAGAACTCCTTTGCGACTTGTTGTCAACCCCCGCCGTCTGTTCTACCCACCCTCTGTTAGACGCCATGGTTGATCGTCGCTCGGATTCTGACAACGGTTCGCGTGCTAAGCGTCAAAAAATGGACAAGGCCGAGACTGATCCCAAGGACAATCCGTATCTGGCTCACATGTATCCCGACAACAACGGCGATGCTGCGGCCCTTCACCCGGCCTTTGGCAAGATGAAGCGTCACCAGACGACTGCCGCTCTGGCTAAAAAGGTGGAAGATGGCGAGATCAACCCTTTCAACAATCAGCCTTTCTCCAGCAAATATGTCTCCATCTTGCAGACTCGTCGCGATCTCCCCGTCCATGCCCAAAGGTGAGTTCTCGATTTACCGCTTTGTTCTCGGCCAGCGCTGCGCTGGTACTCTCTCGGGTTTTGATTGTCTAACTACTTGCAGAGATGAATTCCTAGAGCTCTATCAGAAGTCGCAGATCCTCGTCTTTGTCGGTGAGACAGGTTCCGGAAAGACGACCCAGATTCCTCAGTTCGTGCTGTTCGATGACATGCCGCAAACCCAACGCAAGATGGTCGCGTGTACCCAACCCCGTCGTGTCGCCGCCATGTCCGTCGCCCAGCGTGTGGCCGCCGAGTTGGATGTCAAGCTTGGAGAGGAAGTCGGTTACAGCATTCGTTTCGAGGATATGACTAGCTCCAAGACCGTGCTCAAGTACATGACGGATGGTATGCTTCTGAGAGAAGCCATGCACGACCACGACCTTACCCGCTACAGCACCATCATTCTGGACGAAGCTCACGAAAGAACCATGGCCACGGATGTTCTGATGGGTCTCCTGAAGGAGGTCGTGGTGCGCCGACCCGACCTCAAGATCATTATCATGTCCGCCACTTTGGATGCGCAAAAGTTCCAGCGTTATTTCAACGATGCTCCTCTCCTTGCCGTTCCCGGTCGTACTCACCCAGTCGAAATCTTTTACACTCCCGAGCCCGAGCAGGACTATGTTGAAGCCGCCATCCGGACGGTTCTCCAGATCCACGCCACTGAAGACGAGGGTGACATTCTGCTGTTCTTGACTGGTGAAGAAGAAATCGAAGACGCCTCGCGCAAGATTTCGCTGGAGGTAGATGAGATGATGCGCGAGGCAGATGCCGGGCCGATCAAGGTTTATCCTCTCTACGGTAGTCTCCCTCCACACATGCAGCAGCGCATCTTCGAGCCGGCGCCGCCTGCGCGTCGCCCGGGTGGCCGCCCCGGTCGCAAGGTCATCGTGTCGACCAACATCGCCGAAACGTCCCTTACCATTGACGGTATCGTCTACGTGGTCGACCCCGGATTCTCGAAACAGAAGATCTACAACCCTCGTATCCGTGTCGAGTCCCTCCTGGTCTCTCCGATCTCCAAGGCTTCCGCGCAACAGAGAGCCGGTCGTGCGGGTCGTACGCGCCCCGGAAAGTGTTTCCGTCTGTACACCGAAGGCGCCTTCAACAAGGAACTGATTGACCAGACCTACCCGGAGATTCTACGGTCTAACCTTTCTTCGACGGTGCTGGAGCTGAAGAAGCTTGGCATCGACGACCTGGTGCACTTCGACCTGATGGACCCGCCGGCGCCCGAGACGCTGATGCGCGCGCTGGAGGAGCTCAACTACCTGGCGTGTCTGGACGACGAGGGCAACCTGACGCAGCTGGGCCGTCTCGCGTCGGAGTTCCCGCTCGACCCAGCGCTGGCGGTCATGCTCATCAGCTCGCCGGAATTCTACTGCTCGAACGAGATCCTGTCGATCACGGCGCTTCTGTCGGTGCCGCAGGTGTTCGTGCGGCCGGCGTCGCAGCGCAAGCGCGCCGACGAGATGAAGGACCTGTTCGCGCACCCGGACGGCGACCACCTGACGCTGCTGAATGTGTATCACGCGTTCAAGAGCCCTGAGGCGCAGGAGAACCTCAAGCAGTGGTGCCACGACCACTTCCTGTCGTTGCGGTCGCTGCAGTCGGCCGACAACGTGCGCATGCAGCTGCTGCGCATCATGGAGCGCGAGGAGCTGGAGATGATCTCCACCTCCTTCGATGACAAGAAGTACTACGAGAACATCCGCCGCGCGCTGTGCGCCGGCTTCTTCATGCAGGTTGCCAAGAAGGAACCCCAGGGTAAGAGCATGTACATGACCATCAAGGACCACCAGAACGTCCTGCTGCACCCGTCCACCGTGCTCGGCCACGACGCCGAGTGGGTCCTGTACAACGAGTTCGTCCTCACCACCAAGAACTACATCCGCACCGTCACCGCCGTCAAGCCTGAATGGCTGATCGTACGTTCCCTCCCCTCCCCTTTCCTAAATTCAATCCACCCGCCCCAACTAACCATATAAAAAATAGGACATCGCCCCAACCTACTACGACATCCCCACCTTCCCGAAAGGCGACATCCGCTCCTCGCTCCTCCGCGCCGCAGAACGCCTCTCGCGTCGCGACAAAATCCGCGCTGAGTCCGGGAAAAGGCGGTAGATGATGCGATGCGATGCATGCACATCCCATTTCTCGTGTGCTCCTTCTGCTTTTTCTCCCCGTTCTTATGAATAATAGACTCTTTTCTTTCTATACGAATGTCATATCCATGCACCCCCTCCCTGCAAGTAAATATGCTTAGCCGAATCAAATAAAATCCTGCTGGTGTCGATAGAATACCAATGTTCACTTCTGCATTTGCACGTTAATTCGTATTGTATTTCTATCTGGGTGGGCATGCGGTACACGCTCCTTAATTTATATCTCTGTCCGGGTGGGCACGCAGCGCGTAAGTCAATGTTTCTCTATACCTTGGTAGTACGCATGCAGGAATCGTGTATAGAGTTAACGCAGACTCAGACTCGCCTGTATGCGAGCAAGTCGCAGAACCAGATTAGCCTGGTCCTTGACGAATACGTACCTAGAAGGGATCACGCGCTATAACCTGACCTACCTCAGAACTCCAAATCAACCTCGAAGACATAGTATATCCGTACGATGGGCATTTAAACACGAGTGATTCTGTATCCGGTACTATACGCATGCACACACAATGAATAAATAAATCCATTACCAAACTCCAGCCCCGGCCCCTGTCCCGGGTCCCAAAGGTAGATAGATAGATAAGTGATTAGCTGCATACATCACTAGCATATATCCGAATGCATGTATCCGAGAGTGAAAAAAATCGAAACATCTCTTCTCTTGCTCTCGCGAGAGTTAGATCCCGGTGAACGCCTGCAATACAAAAGAAAAAGAAAAATCCCCATTAAATCGGTTCAGTTCGTGCCCTCGTGATATATCCGTGTCAACAGTCGTCAAAGTGTGAGTAGGTGAGTAAGTGAGTGGATGGTGAGTGGTGGGTGGTGGGTGTCTCCATCTCTAAAAAATCCATCCCTGTAAGACGGACGTCCTTTGTCCGATCCTGGTCGCATTGCAGATGATGTGCATGATGCGGAGCCAGGCCCCGACAATGTTTGCGCTTGCCTGCGGAGTCACCCTGCAGGAGGTTGTGTGGATGTATGTTATACAGAGTCACACCACTATCGGGAGTAGGGTTTGTTCATAAGCGCAATCTCGCGGGCCACGGTGGGCCATTCTAATTCTCTTCTGGGCGTCCTGTTGCGCTTTTGTACTTGCAGTTCTTCCCATTTGAGAAGTTCGTAACTGGGTAGTAGGTTAGCATGCGAGAAACTGACATACAAAATGATGCAGGGGGTGCAACACGTGGAGGCCTTACACAAAACGGAGATGGGGTTGAATAATAACATTCAGTCTTCTTGCACGGACAAAGCAACTGGCGGAGCTGTTAGCGAAACACCTGATAAAATATCGATTTGCACTTACTAGGCTCTAGGGAAAGACAGGTTGAGAGATGACATCACTTCCGCTATGCAGATGGTCGCTGAGCGTGAGACACCCACTCGGCAATGAACCAAGGTGGCCATTCCGTCGCGTTTACCTTGACCTGACGAAAAGTAAGCATTCTAACCCGGAAGTGTCTGGGACATGAAACGTACGAATGAATTCCAAACACCTTTCGAACTCCTGCGTGAGGGGGTCGATGCCGTTATCCTGGACCTTCGTAATGTGCATCACATTCTTTGGGTCCATCTTCGTGAGTTCGGACGTCGTCCACGTAACCGATTCACCAATGCTAAGAACACGACGAATCCCGAGCTCCCAGAGCATCTCCGGGTTATTCGCATGAGAAAGATTTCCCAAGTACATGTACGGCAAGATCCGACTGGGGAGGGAACCGTCACAATATCTAAACCATTGCGGGTCGGGTAGGCTGGTGATTTTGTGCGACTTCGTGGCCGGACTCCCCTGCAGAAGTCGACCTTGTACGCTGCTCAAGAACGTCACGTCCGACGGATACGCAAAGAAGTTCCGCCTCTTCTCCTTGTGAAGCCGGAGCCAGGCAGTGGGGGCGGAGATGCCTTCGGCGAACATCACATACGCAATTGCCAGGAGTGAACTCTCCGTGTAACCGTCGGGACAATGGATCAATATCTTGTGTGGTCTTTTGGTGAGAGGTGGCATCGAGGTATCTCCATCAGCGTCGACGGTGTGCTCGGGCTCATCTGGGTTTGCCAAATAGTACAACCAACGGACGGTGTTGACCAAATCATCGACTTCCCGAGTCTCAGCCGAGGGTACGAGAATCGACCCAGAGGAAGGGAAATCCAACTTCTGCGGGCCGTCTTCCAGCTGCTTGTTGATTTTCGCCAAGAAGCGAGGGCCGGGGATGCTTGCGAGCTCGCTAGTCTCAATCAAGAGGTCAAAAGGCTCCGCAGACGGGCATCCTCCGGACCCCGAGAGTAATACATAGTCGGAAGTAGGACCCAGCCATACGTTTGCCGAGATCTCCGATGTACGGGACATCTCACACATCTCGAATCGCTCCCATTGGACTGTATGGGATTAGTTGCGTTCATTGGTAGAATGTCATTGTCACTCACAGAAATCCATCACTTGGTTCGTCAGTTGGCCGCTACTGTTGATAGCGACCAACTCTGGAGACTTCGCTTCAACCTCGGAGAAAGGACCTGATCAGGGCTTAGCTTGAAGTCTGCACATGCAGATGGGTCCGACTCACAGGCAAGAATAAATGTGTTGTACGCGGGTAAGCTTTGCTCGGGGTCATTCCTGATTCTCCAATTATACTGTGCCATTGCCAGTCTCCGTGCAATATCCAAAATCTGCTTTTGACTGACATTATCCTCCCCGTAAACGATAATGTCCGATAAGGGAGCCAGTTTGGCAGTTTGTATCTGGAAGTTGCGCACTGAGAAGCCTTCCCGCGGGTCTACAGCAAGGAACTCTTTGCCTGACGGGGCCAGCACCTCATCGGGGGACACTGCGCCTTTGATACGAGCCCGGGTTAAGTCTCCGCCGACCTTCACGATAGTAATGCCTCGCCAGCACTGGGGAAGCCGCCGGAGGGAGCGCCTGCGGTTGGTGAAGAAGCCCACCTGCAGGTGATTGTCGGGATGAAGTCCATGAAGCCACGGAAAGACTTGGGATGGGTCGGGCAATGGTTGGGTAGCCCAGTAGTCCAAAGCGGTAGCCAAACTAGCGCGGCCTATTGAGTAGAGTGCAGGCGACTGCGACAGTCGCAAAAACGCATCGGGTGGGTATAAGAGTGAAGGCGCCTGGAGGCCGGTGTTGCTTCTGGCAGCAGGGGACGGCGTCTGGGAAGAGACCGGGGAAGGGCCCGTTGGACAAACAGGAAGATGCTTGTTTGGAATGGGCGACGAGGTTCTGTTCAGATTCAGCGCGGGGGTGATCCCCGACGGCGGGGGCGTCGAATGTCGCAGCGTGTGCTGCTGCACGACAACTGTCGCCATACTGGTGGTTGCTCCAATGACGGCGGCAGAGCGAAGGTATGCACCCAAGGATCGTTACACCACAAGAAGCCAATCGGTGGTGTGAGAGGATGAAATGGTCTCAGCGTTCAGCCACAGACGAGGTGGTGGTATCTGCGGGAGAGATCTCCTGTTAGCAATATATCCGCGATCGCGACCAAGACAAGCGTATTGTGTTCCGCACGATCAAGTGACAGGTGTGGGGGCATTGTAGGAATGATCAAAGGCGACATGGTGACATACGCCAGACTTTAATAAGAATTGTTAAGGTAAGGTTTCAGAATGATGATCTAATGGAACCAGAGCATATCAGCACGAGAACCAAGGGAAAGATGGAGGCAGAAGTCGAGATAATAGGAAAGGCGTTAACCCGAAGGGAGGGCAGGCGATCAAGGAAGTGGGAAGTGGGCAGGGAAGAATACCCACCGACTAGGAGATAGTAGCAAGCTCCGGACGCGCCCAACCCCACAAATGATAAGGGAAGCTGGCCACGAGTGCTCCGTACCGGCGGGAAAGGGTGGAGCAAGTGGGAAAGATGAGGGAGAAAATGAAGAAGAAAAGAGAAAGGATGGAGGAGAATTGGATGAGCAGAACAGGAAGAGAGAGTAGAAAAAGAGGGAGGAGGCAAATAGAAAGATAAAGCAGGAAGGGAAAAAGATGATAGACGCAGTAATGGCCCAACTGAGAATTAGGCCGGAGTATTTCTGCCCTTTGGTTTTCTTTGGTTGGGGTTTTGTGTTTTCTCCGTTTTTATTTAATTATTTATTTATTTGAATAGTTTGGGCTTCCGCACTGGGAGAGGGAGGAAACAGAAAAAGGAGGAGAGTAGGGAGGAGATAGAGGAGAAGTGTTAATGGGAAGGGAGAAATGAAATGAATGAAATGAAATGAATGAACGCGTATGTAGATGTTGTAGGACAGAACAATACGGGGGTGGGGAGGGGTAAAGAGGGTAAAGAGTGGGACTCGCCGGTTTTCCCCCTCCCGTAGTGCCGCCGCCCGTCATTCCCTCCGATCCGTTTAACCACCACATCTTCGATTTGTATCGAGATACTCGATACTTGGACTTTCCCACCACCCTTCAAATTGGGCAGAGGTCTCCACCAAAGACAGTCCGACCGATAGTCCAGTGCTCACACAGAATCAATTATTCTTACAGACAGACAGACAGACAGACAGACAGACAGATAGACAGACATGCCTCCAGGACAATTCAACATACCGTTTGCGGCCAAGGATTCCTCGGGGCCAGGCCATTCCAGCCCAGAGATTGCCGCGCCTTGCTAACACGTTCACACCACAAATCCTCCCCAGATTATCAACGTTCTCCAATTCCCGGATTCTGATGCCTACCCCTCGCCAAACGAAAGTCTCCAAGCCAAGCACAACAACCACAACATAACAGCAGCAAACAGACGATGGCGAAAAGGATCAAAATAAAACAGCGAATAAAACCCCCAATAAAACCCTTGGCTCAAGCGTCTGACCAAGGCGTGACACGGCAACACAGGGAAAGCTGCAGCCAAAGCCGTGCACACACACCCTCCCTCATCGAATCAGCTGCTTTCCTCTCCCCGCCAACCCATGCAGGACCCCTAGTAAGAAAGCTGTATCGTATTGGAACTAACAAGTAGAACACCCGGGTTCAATAAGACAAGGAAAAAGATTTCCATGGTTTTGCGCAAGTCATGCGTTCTTTCTCCCCACCCTTTTTTCGGGGTGATCCAACCAGCATCCCCATCGATGAAAGGATATAGAATGGCGATGACATCGAGATTACAGAAGCTTTTTGCCTTCGACTGATAAACTGGGGGAAAAGAAGATGCAGTAACCATGGCTAACAGACGTATTATCAATCTGTTCTTAGAGGTTGGTACAGTCCGCTTGGAAATGAATCCGTTGTCCTACCGTACGAGATCATCGACGCGACCCCTTCAATTCTTTCGATAGAGCACCCTCTCTGGCTTCCTCTTTCTCCCAACAAGACAATCCACAATCGCAAACATATCCCCGGTTCGCAGGGCCCTTGCATGGGGCGATTGATTATCTCAGAGCGGGGGTTTGTAGGTAAGCAAAGCAGATTCCCTGTTCCGCCTTTTCCCCCAAGTAAGCACAACCTTGGGCTCGGGCACGCGATCATCATTTACTCCATGTTCATGATTCATGACAATCAGAAGACCGCGTGTCGCTGAGTACGAGCATCCAGATCTATCTCCATCCGAAAGTACCAAGTAATGAATCAGACTAGGCCCCATAAATTCCATCCAATCTTTATCATTGTCTAAAAGACAGAGTACACTACATACGGAATCAACCCCTACCGAGCGTCAATCCACCCTGGTCCTAAATGTAGATATGTAGCCAGCCATATCTTCCCCTAAACTTGAAACCTCACCTGCACCCTCAACGGTGTCTGTATATAATCGGGCATCTGCCTCACATGCATCCGCACCCCAGCACCGGAAGTGAGTGTCACTGTGTGTATATGAATGAGTGGTCCAAGTGTCAGCCCCGGGCGCCGAAGCACAGAAACTCACTAAGCAGAGTGAGTGGGTTCGGGTCTCCACCTCAGGGCTGCCCCATCAAAGTCTGGATGCCTGGCGCTAGTTCCCTCCGTGCTACGAGCCTACCACTAGAAAAGTTTAGGTGGTCTACCTAAGGTAAGCTGTGCAGGTCTGCTGGCGCCAGTTACTGCCCTTACCCTCGGTAACTGATCTAAGGGCTTGCTTGCTAAATTGCGAGTTCATTTACACCACACCACCACGTGCGGCATGCACAGAATCATATACACTTACTTGACTTCGTGTTCGCAGTAGCCTGCATTGCAGTTCAGGAGGGGGGTGGCGGATGGTATACAATTAGGCTCGGGGGTGGACAGGCCACTGCACAACTCGACAATATTATTACAGTACCTAAGGATGCAATCTATGTTGGCATTAGGTATGAGGTTGGAGGTAGATCGTGGCTCAAATCCCTCTACTTCTCCATCCTCCATTCCAATTCTCACTCTTTCATATCAACACACGCATACGCACTCTTTTCTTCTGGCGTGTCGCCAATCAACTGCGTTTGGTAATCAGTAGCCACGGACGCGATTACTGGTCTGTGGTTATTCCTATCCCGTGCTCCACGCAGACCCTCAGCAAGAAAACAACATCTATGATTCATACTAACAACCCTCAGCATGCTCCCCCAACTCCCCCGCCAACCGCAACAAATAAAACCGCGCCATATCACGCGGAACCCCGGCAAACGAGCGGGCGATCTTCTGCACATCGGCCCTAGCCTTCTCATAGGCCTGCAGATCGCGGTTCCCGTAGACATCGCGCCCAGCCGCATAGCCATTCCTCAAATTGCGGAAGAAGACGTTGACGGCGACGCTGACCTGACCGGGCGTGGGGGCGGCCGTGTGCAGCCACAGCGGAGGGAGGAAGAGGATGTCGCCGGGTCGGAGCTGGGCCTCGTGGGGGGTCGTGTGCGGGATCGCGGCGATGGCGCCGTCGGCACCGAAGATCTGCAGCGTTGAGCTGGAGGCGCCGGCGGGGACATGGAGGTGCGGCACGTCGTGGGGCGGGTAGAGGATGAGCTGTTTTGAGCCGCGGATTTGGCAGAGGATGTTGGCCATTACCTTGGATTGGTGAGTGAGTGGTGCGTGAGAGGCTTGGTGTTTGATTGGGTGCGTGGTGCACTTACGTCGTAATGGAGCCACAGCGTGACTGGCCCTGAGATGCGCAGCGGCGAGCTATGTGCGTTCTCCGTCACAGTAGACAAGGCCTCCGGCAGGCGGAAGTCATCCTTCAGCGACGGAAAGTCCTCGGCTAGGCTCGCGGGCACTTTGGTCGGCTGCTCCGCCGAAATACTGCGCAGGTACTGCCGGCCGCCTGCATGCACCTCGTCCAGGAACGTGCCGAACTCTTTCGTCGTGTACGAGAAGTTCTTCGTCTGGAAGCTCATGTGTTCTGACTGGGCCTCGTGCACGACGATCTAAATTCACGTCCAAGCTCTAATTAGCCCCCGGTCTCAATCATACGGAAGGTACATACCTTGCGGTCTCTGCCCACAGCATCCGCCAGATATTCCTTGGTCCAAAGCTCGGTGCACGGCCCGATGTCCGATCCCTCGATGATGACGGGCTTTCCATCGGCTAGGATTTGCTGGAATTGCGCAGCGCTTTGAACCTGCACTCGGGGAATAGGAGTCACGTCCTTCGTAGATGTAGTCTCAATGCTGGCATTTGATGAGCTCGTTGGCAAGGTCTCGATTTTCAGGGGCGGTACTGTTTCGGGGATCAAGACCCAATCGTTGGCGAGGTTCGAGTCCGCGCGCTTCAGTAACCAGGTGCCCTCCGTCCAGAACGTTCCGAAGGAGAAGCAGACCGCTCCACCTCCCAGCAGCAGGACCTGATCGCGGTCAACTGCATAAGAGGCATGGCCGACCAACAAAGGCCTGGGTACTCCGATTTCCCTACCCAGTCCTACGGTAGACAATATGCTCGGGCCCGCAGACGAAGGAGACTTGCTCCGAAGCTGAGTGACTAGTTCTGCAAGGTTCAGGAGTAGAATCTCCTGCTGGCCAGGTACAATTTGACGAGGGATGATGCCTCCAGCGATCACCAATCCCCAAGCCGTCTGACTGACGGTCGCACCAAAGCGGCTGAGACTTCCGGAAAGGTGCGAGAGCTTTCGCAAGTCTTGCGTTCGATCCTCGAACTCTAGACAAAAAGACTTCTCCCCGCGCTGGTGCAATGTCCACGTCCAAAAGTCTTCATAGATGACGCCGTCGCCACCCATTCCACCGAATAGCACACCGGAGGTGTTGTCGATGTTTGCCAGACTAGCACCGAATCGAGCGCCGGGGTTTGCGCCGCTGATCTCAACCGGTAGCCACCCGTCTCCGTTGTCGCGCCACACCAACCAGGTATCCAGCGTAGCGCCGTCGCTCGTCTTCCCACCGTATACGAGGACATGGTCCGCGTCGAACGTCACCCGGGTTGCACTATGCCTAAATCTCGCGGTTGGGAGACTGGCGGTCGGGCGCCACTGATCCCCTTGTCTCACCCAGCAGTCTTGGAACCCTGCGGCTGGTGAAGCACGGCCCCCGACAAGCAAACAATCGCTCCCAGAGAGGTGGGTGATTGTGTGACACATTCGGGCTGAGACGTCACGCGGAGGGAATGGCCAATGAGGTTTATCGGTATCCGTGGCATTGGAGTACAGATCGGTTGTTGCCAATCGCGTCTGTCGTCCCAGCCCAGCGTGGTACCCAATGGAGCTCTGACTGTCTGAAATAAGCGCCCCAAACCTTCTTTGACCGACCCCTGCAGTATACGCCAGCTCAAATTCGCTCGATACATCGGCCGATGTCGCAGAGGCCTCGGCCTGTTGGGTAGTCGATTCCAAAAGTCCATCCTTGGTGGAAGCGATCAAGAGGAAATAATGTGATGAGAAGAGAGCGAACTCCTCCCATTCATCGAACGGTTCGACCTCGTCCAAGGAACAGCGCAGCGGCTGGCTCACAAAATCGTCATCCGACCATATATCCCAGAGGCTCCTTGCGTGTGCATGCTGCCACCCGGCATTCTTGAACCGCTGTTCCTGTTCATCCAACGACGGATATTCGTGGATCGAGTATAGAGGTGCGCCGAGCTTTTTGAAGTGTTTCATCATCGTCGACGCGAAAGGATGGTCGGGTCCGTCGGGGAAGAACTGTTCCAAGATGCAGAATCGGGCATCTTTCAAAACTGGAGTTAGCAACTAGTCGCAGCCTGTACAAAGTGACACTGTCAGGTTGCCTAACCATTGTTCAACTGCGCAGCCCATTTCAGAACTTCATTGGCAGACTTGACATCCATGTACGTCAGGGACACCTCCGCGAGGAAAAGAACCGAGCAATCGGCCGGAAGGATCTCATTTCGGAGGACGTCGTCTAGCTTCTTCAGATTCTTCAAATCACAGCCGATGGCAATATACCGCTCGCTCTGGATCTGAATCGCACTTTCATCGGATAGGAACTCTACATTCTCGAGAAGTCGCGTGATCTCCTCGGTCCTCCTAATGGCCGTTTTCTTATTGATCATGAGCTTCTCATAGTCGATGTCCACGAATCGCGTATCTTTACAAAGGGATTTCTCGGTATTGAGGAGAATGAACGGTAGAGGATCACTACGACAGCCCGACTTAGTACACCGGTTCCAACGCATCGGGCAGTTTTGCCTTCGACTACGACTCACAATCCACATCCCAGGTTCAGGACGAATTTCGGCTTTCCTGACGGTTCTGCCATGAATTTGCGCACCGTTTCTGCCATCGCATGCATACGGAGCCAGTAGCCACGGTTGATCAACGGCGAGCGACGCTGGGGCTTCTTCACGAAGTACCGGAAGTAATGCGGTTTAGGGTAGTAGAGCATTTCGACGCTGCGCTTCGACACGATACTGCTATTGTTGGTCTAAGAGATTCAGACTCGGATTTAGTAGAGTAAAGAAAGGGAATGGGCGAAAACGTGGATTGTGGCCATATACCTGCGCAGGCGCATAGTAACAACCCCGCGGTGGGATGGATAAGACTCACCCCCATGACAAGATCGGCCTCCTTTTCAGCCTTGGAGAGAACTGGCGCCATGACGGGCTTCTTGGTAGAAGCCGTGACAGGGCTTGCATCCTTTTTCGCCGTCATAATGGGCGATTGTGGAGCAGTAAACCCGCAGGGAAAGAAAATCAATCGCAGCAAAAGAAAGCGCGCGCGGGACGGAGGAATCGAATATTTTACATGGTATTGATCGGGGCCGGCGATCAAGATGTGGCCCGAGCGTCAGGTGCTCGCTTGCCGCGCCTGACGCAAACCCGCGGCCGCGGCAAAGGAGAGACGAACTGCTCCTCCGATCACCTCCGCATCCAACCAGACGGGGTTGCATCGTCGCAAACTATTATTGTCAGTCTGTGAACACCCGGATTTCGTGCAGTTCTCGGCCCTGATCGAATACCGAAGTCTATCTTGCATCCTTTACCACCGAGGCCACGAGATATGCAAGGCGAACATCACCGCCTGTGACGAAAGCGGTCCTGGGACGGGATCTGTTTAGCCCCTCCATTCAACAGCACTGAAGCGTGTGTCTAGCCCCCGCAGTCGACTCGGCTCGGCTCTACAGAAAAGTGTCTGGAGTCGCTCGTTAATCCCGGTCGGTTGCCTTACACAGCGAGCCACTTGTACAAACCTTGGATTATTTCGCGTGGAGTGATTGACGCGCGGTCGATCGCGGAGATCGCCCGAGTCAAGATGGCGATGAACTTCGTGACGTTCAACCAGGACTATAGCTATCTGGCTGTCGGTAAGGGTCATCCACATTATTCTCTTGATCTACTCCTGGAATAGCTCTTGACCCCTCTCAGCGACTTCCAAGGGATTTCGGATCTTTACCACGGACCCTTTCGCGAAAAGCTATGAGACCAAGGAAGGGAACATTGCCATTATTGAGATGCTTTTCTCGACATCCTTGGTCGCGCTAATCTTGTCACCTCGTCGTCTTCAAATCACAAATACGAAGGTTCGTAGAAGGTCTTTGTGCACACTTGTTCGAGTCTGCAAGGTTTCTTATACCTTGACGGGCTCTCTGTTTTGTGTGTTACATTGCGCGCTTGATGTATTTGGCTGACGTTTTCTTCCTTCTGTTCCTGAAATAGCGCCAGTCGACGATATGCGAGTTGACATTTCCTACAACGGTGCTGGCGGTGAAGCTGAACCGTAAGCGACTCGTGATAGTTCTGGAGGACCAGATCTATCTCTACGATATCCAGACGATGAAGCTTTTGTATACCATTGAGACTTCCCCAAACCCCAACGGTAAGGCCAAGACCCTCGCTGCGCATTGTGTGTATGCCGACTAATACCCTTCAGCAATTTGCGCTCTATCTCCCTCCTCCGACAATTGCTATCTCGCATATCCTCTTCCTCAGAAGGCGCCCCCCTCGTCATTTACTCCTCCGTCTCATGCGCCTCCCGGAACTACACATGTTTCACCTACGAGTGGTGAGGTCTTGATCTTCGATACTTTGAAGCTAGAGGCTATCAATGTCATCGAAGCGCACCGATCTCCTCTGGCTTGTATCACACTCAACAGCGACGGTACACTGATAGCCACGGCATCCGACAAAGGAACTATCATCCGAGTCTTTTCGGTCCCTGACGGTCATAAGCTATACCAGTTCCGACGCGGTTCGATACCTTCTAGGATTTTTAGCATGTCATTCAACACCACATCGACACTTCTTTGCGTTTCTTCTTCTACCGAGACCATTCATCTGTTCAAATTGAGCCAGCAGTCTCAATCGTCACACACCACACCGTCGTCATCTGCACCGACTGCGGCTGACAGGAGATATAGCCAGAGCTCCTATGGGCAGTCATCGGATCCTGACGATGCCGGTGGCGAGTCAGGGTCCTCTGAGTTAGCTTCCAGAAAACACAACGGGACCCTGATGGGGATAATCCGACGTACTTCACAAAACGTCGGCAGCTCATTCGCCGCGAAAGTTGGAGGATATCTTCCCAAGGGGGTCAGTGAGATGTGGGAGCCCGCTCGGGACTTCGCTTGGATCAAATTGCCCAAGTCGAACCAGGGCCCCGGCGCCAACGGCAGCAATGGTCCACTTCGCAGTGTTGTTGCAATGAGCACCAACACGCCCCAGGTGATGGTGGTGACTAGCGACGGGAACTTTTACGTCTTCAGTATCGATCTGTCGAAAGGTGGTGAGGGGACACTGACCAAGCAATACTCGTAAGAGATCCTCCCGTAGCAACTGTCCATGAGAAGTATACTGACGCAGTCAACAGTGTTCTCGACGCGAACGACCGACTGGGTTACTCGGTGATGGATTATTGAAACCCGCTTAGATACCACTCTCATTCTAATCTCTTCTCCTCTCTGCTGTCCAATCAGCCGCTAACGACCAGTCGCATTTGTCTTTCTTTGAGCGTCTGCATTTCTTGCTGTCATCTCCCATCCAGCTGTGTTCGTGTACAAGTCGCTAGCTTTTCGACCATCTCGCTTTTTCAGGTACTTGATTAGGTTTTGTTTTCGGTCCCGAGGTCTTATATAATTACCTGTGGTTTTGTCTGAAAGCGGCAGCGTAAGCCTCCATTTGTGTCTGGAGTGTATGGTGTGCATGTTCGGTATTCTGTGTTTGTATCTTCTCTGACTAAGTGGATTGCAAGGACTGTTTCTGGACCATATATGTGTGCTGTCTTATGTCTTGTCGTGCCTGTGGTTTGTGGTGCATTTAGACTCGACCATGTTGTAATGCAGTTCGTCCCATACTTAGGAAGGACCCGGGGCATTTATAGTCACATGACCTGACATCTCTGTCCAATGCGGGAAGCCGAAGCCGATGATTTATGCCAGAGCTTAGCTCTCTTCATGGAATAGACCAGCAGTACTTGATCAACCAGGATCTATAGAAAAGAGCATTGATTGCTCTTAGTAGTAAGATAATTCCGTCCCGGAGAAAAGTCCACATCGCTGACCTCAATATTCAGACCACCAACGCGCATCTTCAATTTGAAGTTAACATACCGCGGGCACTACGGCATCAACTATATGATTTGATAACTTGAACAACTTGAAGTTGAACCTCATATCTACCATAGCCACCAACTTGAACGTGGCAAACTGGAAACATGCCACCAGAACCGCAAGGCTCAGCGCACGAGGCCACAAGCTCTCCAGCTCCTGTCTCAAAACCAACATCAACATCAACATCAACATCAACCCCAACCCCAGCCCCAAACCCATCATCTACCCCCCATCATCCCCGCAAACCCAAAAAGCCAACCCTCAACCCCCTCCACCAAGGCATCCAAACCTTCATGACCCAGCACATGCCCCATCAGACAGACCTCCTGTCTGAAACCTCACTCCCAAAACGCTTCACAATCCACGAGCCCCTCCTCCTCCTCCCCGTCAACGCCCTAACCACACCCCCAGCCTGGCACGCATTCTACGCAGCCCTCACCGCCCCACAACGCAACACCCTCTTCACCACAATCCTGCAGTCCTTCAGCCGCTACAACCTCACGCACGTAGCGATGAACGCGCCCATCGCGCCCACGGACCCGGTCTCGGGCACCGAGAACCGAATCCGCAGTCCGGGCGGGTTGATCCCGCTGTATGGGGACTTTGGGCCCTTACCTTCTCCTTCCGTTTCATCAAGTCAGGGTGAAGGGGAGGGCGAGGAGGAGACGCTGGTGACGCGCCCATCGCCCGAAGATCTCGAGCAGGCGTTCTGGGTGCGGACCGTGCAGAACCACGGGATCGTGCAGATCTGGGCACCTTTGTACACTATGTTCTCTAGGGGGAATATCACTGAGAAGGCGCGGATTCTTGGGGCTGAGTTTGAGGGGCTGAGTGAGGCTCAGTTGGGTGGGCAGGGGGTCCAGGAGATCAGTGTCGTTGATATGTATGCTGGGATTGGGTATTTTGTTTACTCGTATCTGAGGCGCGGGGTGAAGAGGGTTTGGGGGTTTGAGATTAATGGGTGGTCGGTTGAGGGCCTGCGGAGGGGGTGTATTGAGAATGGATGGGGGTGTAGGGTTTTTCAGGTTGATGGAGATGATGGGTCGTTGCTTGGGGGGTGCACGGTTAGGGATGTGGTTGACGCCTTAAAGGGTCATGATGATGTTCGGGTCGTGGTGTTTCATGGTGATAATCGGTTTGCGGCGCGGATTTTGGGGGAGGTGCGGCGGTGTATGGGGGAGGAGTGGGCGAGGGTTAGGCATGTTAATCTCGGGTTGTTGCCTTCGTCTCAGGCGGCGTATGGGAATGCTTGTGCGATTTTGGATGCAGACATGGGTGGCTGGGCGCATGTTCATGAAAACGTGGATGTGCGGCGGATTGAGGAGAAGAGGGATGAGGTCACTGCTCAACTGGGCAGGTTGCGGGCTGATGTGCTTGGGGTAGGGTCTGCCTCGGTGGCTGCTGTTGCGGCGGAGTGTCACCATGTTGAGCAGGTCAAGACCTATGCGCCGGGTGTGATGCATTGCGTGTTTGATGTGCGATTGGCGTCGAGAGGTGAGATGACAGCCTCAAACCCTTCTTGAGATTGACCCAACGTTGGCACATCACACCAATGCTTCTCGAACTTCAATCTTCAGGCAGCGTAACCGACGCTCAAACTCATATCATGAATCATATGTACAGTACAGGGCCAACGGCGTAAGGATTCTAGTTTACACATCTCTAGCTCCGTTTGAGAAACTTCTGCGGTATGTTCGCCTCCACGATCTGCATGCTCTCGAGCTGTTCGAGGCGCTCCATGGCGAGGTCCTCCTCGTCATGTCTTCGGAAGTGCTCGATATCTTCGGGGTGGGTGAGGTCCTCCTCCTTTGCGTCCTCGCCGTGGAACTTCTCAAAGTGGTGGATCTCATACTCATATTCGATGTCGCCGTGGTGGCCAGGTCCGAACCCGAGATCGGGGAGCCGAGCTCCCTCCGCAACCAGACGCATCCAGCTGTCGCGACTGATAACTCCCGTGTTGGTGGGATCGAAGAGGCCGAAGACTTCGCGGAGTCCTTGCGATTTGCGGTCCTCCGTTAAGCCCGCATTGGTCTCGTCGTCCATGCCGTATGTCTTGCGCACTTCCTCAGGGGTCCATACTCCCGAGGCATCGTAGTCGTGGAGGGCGAAGAAGGAGGCGGGATCGAAGGCGTCGATGTGATGTTCCTCTATCCACGCAAAACAAACAGTCAGTAACACTGCATTGAGAACTCCTGCCACCCCCTATGCTTCCACAAGGTCCTTACCCTGCATATGCCGTGTTGCCCAGTCGGACGAGGGTGGCTGGTCGTTCGAGTGCGAACCGTGGGCGCTGACCAGACTGCCGCTTAGGGCCAAAAGAGCAGTGGCTACCGTGACGAGCATTGTCAACTGCGGCGATGATCACACGGGTATATCAGATAACGTTGATTAAGCGGCAGCGGTGATCAGACGAGAATTTCCACAAAGGTGCCTGCAAATCTGACAGATCCTCGATTGTTGTTTGGAGCAGTCTTCCCCGACGCAGCTGTAGGTTGTAACGACGTAACCGTATGTATCGCTGACTTGTCGGGGAAAGGAGAGGGGGGGCCGAAAGAGTGGTTTGCACCGTTTGCATGTGGTGTGTGGTGCGACTTTTGCCGACGGCATCCCAAGCAAAAGTTCCCAAAGTCCAACATCGTCCATCCCACCGCTCTTCCGAACGACGCACGTTCACTTGCCATTGGCTTTGTTGGTCTGAGAGCCCGGACGGTTGGAGTTCCGGCACATCACAACTACAACTTGTTTGTCTCATTCCAGGGCGCAGAAATGACCGGAGAATGAATGGTCTTTGGTCCCGCGTCCCCCCGGCGCAGTCAACCTGCCGATGCGTCTCCTGCCTCAGCACCGTCTCCAATGGCGTAACGTCGCGAGGGGCTACCACCGCAAGTAAGAGACGCCTCCGGCTGGGCAACTCGATCACCGCCCTGTACACGAGTATCTTCGCCGCGGCAGCATTAGCAGACGCCCAGGCCAAAGGACAGCGCCGCAATGAGTGGGAGGAGAAGATTGCGGCCGCGAAGGGCGAGGTCAGTGAGCTGCTCGATGAGGAGGAACGATTGGTCGAGGCTATCTTCGCCCGCCGCAGCCCGACAGTGGACGCAACATCTCCGACCCGACGCGCCGGCACGCAGACAAGACCGACATCGCTTCGATACCAATGGCCCGCGACGACTGTCCCCGCGCGCTCGCTCCATACGACTCGGAGCGCCGCCCTCAGCAAGAGCGGTCAACAAAGAGATGAAAATAGCATAGACCAGCTCCATAAAATCAGCGAAGACCCATTGCTGGAATCCACGGAAGAGGATAATATGTGGCGCATCGAAGAATTCGACACCGCCCAATGGCTCAAAGAGGACGTCATGCGTCAAAAGGCCATTCGCAAGATGGCGCTGAAACAATTGGCCATCCGGTTACTACTCCGACGGGGAGTCGCCCATACGTACCAGGGCCTGCATATGAAATACGCCGTCGACTATTCGATACCGGCGCCCAACGTTTCGGAGCTTCTCACGCACTTGGACGCCCTCCGGAACCGGATGAAGGATGTGAAGAGCAACAAGCGCTCTAGCACAGCTGACCTGGAAGCAGAGATGACCTCGATTCCCGCTCATGCTCAACTCGAGGAGCGTGCAAAACTCGATTCGGAAATCTATCGGGATACTAACCTATATCTGACGAACCGCATGTCTCTACAAGAACTTCTTCTTAGACTAGCGAACAATCTCACGAAATCCACCGATCCTGACCGGAGTCTGGGCCTGAAGTATATGCTGTTGGCCTTCAGCAAAACCAGAGAGAACGACATTTGTGACTTGATTCTACAAGCCATTATCCCCCACAAGTTCCCGCTCAGCTCCTCCCTCATCATCACCATCCTGAGTTACTTCCGCAAATCCAAGAATCTCAAGGCTTTCGACTTGTTTCTTCGCCAATTATCCGGGGAAGGCCATCCGGTGGATATGGGCAATCTAGGCTACTACAAGAGCGTCGTGGTCAATGGGATCGAGATTCAAGTCCCACCAGTCGACAGCGCCAATGCCGTTATCTACGGCACTCTCATTCGTGCTTGCCTGCGGTTCAATCAGCCTGACCGTGCGGACGCCTACCTTCATGTCGCTCGAGCATCCGGATACATGGATGACTATGCGACTTTGAGCTCCTACCTCGGGTTTTACGCCATTCGGGGAGAGTGGGCAAAGGGCATCCAAGCCATGCAACGGACGGTCGCTTTCATCGGATCGACAACGGAACACAGACCGACACGGGTTGAGCGTTTAATCGTGAAGATGGTTTACCTCTGTGACGAATGCAAGCAATACAAAGTCTCCAAGAAGATCATCCGCGCGTTTGTCCAAAGTGGCTTCGATTGGAAGTCTGCAGGCAAACAACTCGACCTGGTCTTCGCGTCCGACCCAGATGGCCGCCGCTGGAAGGCTGCCCTGGCCGGCACCAGTGAAGAAGCCAACGAGGCCTCGGAAAAGACCATGTGGGAGAAATGCTACACCTTTGTCAGCGCAATTGGCGAATACCTGGACAACCTCACCACTGACCGAGCCTCTACCGTCCAATGGCAAGATATGATGAAGACCTACGCTAAGGACGTGCTGTCGGCAGTTCTCTCCGGTCCCGTAGCTAAGCACAAAGCTACGACGGAAGGCGGTACTGGCGACCTCGTCGAAGACGACCGTACCTTGCTTCTCAAGGAAATCAGCAATCAAGCCAGGGATATCCAGCAGCACAATAGCTCTATGGTGGCCGCCCAGAAGAACGAGATCGTCTCCCTCCAGGCGGAAATCGCCCAGCTTAAGCGCATAGTCTTCGATCTGCACCGGACTGTCACCGGCCACCCCCAAACCTCTACTCCCCCGCCTCCTTATCCTGATCCTTCCACTATGACTGCCACTGCAGCTCCACCTACTCAGCCTACGACTATTGCTTCTACCGCCCCACCGCCACCGCCTTCGCCTCCTATCCAATCTGAGCCTCGCCCTCGCGACATACCAGCAGATCTGAAGCATGGAATCGTCTCCTCTCCGCCCAAAGCAAACCCAGAATCTCAAGAATCCTCAAGTGACAAGAAATGGACCCTCTCATTCGGAACGATGCCGTCTGCCAAGCCATGAAGCTGAAGAAGTATCAAACCTTGACCTTTGTCCCATTCAATTGGAGACAACTCTCACAAGCGATTGTGCTGTCTTCAGAAATTGTCGATTTTACCTCTGCAGATGGTATTGCCTTGTTGCCTTGGAAAGAGCCAGGAGGACAAGGGCTAGGGGTAGTAGTATGCTTCCATGTTACTGCCGCGCAGACGCTACATATACTATTTGCTTATCGACGGGGTTCTTTCGAGGGGCCATAGGCTGACTGGGCGCAATGCCTGGCCCTAATTTTGTATATTATACTTCTCTTTCGTGTCTGAGAGACTGATGGAACCAGCATATCAGAATATACCGGATTCTCTCTATCATTTGACTCCTATCCACCGTGCTCCCAATTACACACCACCTTCGTGCTTTCCTCCACCTCAACGAAACAACCAGCGCAATAACCCATATATAAAGCAAACCCATCAAACCCACCCAGCCGAAGCCATCCCGAAGGCATCCATCCATCCTTCCAAGGAATCCATTATCCCTCGCTTAAACCTCCCTCCCGCCTACCCCCAGCTCAACAACAACCCGTCCAACCCCGTTGGAGCCTCCCCATGACATCTTGATGACGCCTCCCTACCCCATCGCGCAAAAAGAAAAAAGAATTGCCGCGACTGGGACTCGAACCCAGAATCTGCACTCCACCCGCTTAGGTACCAGACCCCGGGGGCTCTGCAATGTTAATACCACTACACCACCGCGGCATTGTTGTTGGAGTTAGCAGCGAAGAACCAGCTCATACACCCCGGACCCACTGTTTCTTGTTGCCTTAGGCTGCTACGTCTCTTTTAGCGTGGCAGGGCTGATGCCTTTCTTCCATTGGTTGTGGGTTGATGGGGCTGGGTTTGTAGTGAGTCTTTTGTAGGTGGCCTGGGGGTGTTTGATGGATATCTTGGATGGTTGGGTGGAGGTAGAGAGGTATCTGTGATATGGGCACTGCAGTTTGACTAGAGTTAGGTATGCTTTGCTATTTCGACAATGGATGTATCATCTCTTGATATTGGTTCGGGGCTTTTATAGTATGCTCCCCATCAGCCTGCAATGTAAAGTATTGTACTGTACACCGACCCAGCCCTAGCCCAATGTAATGCAACCAACCCGCCAGGGGTATATGAAACAAACAATCAACAGAACAAAAATCAACACCGCTCGAAAACCCGATACAGCCCCTTCAGATCCGCCACCTCCACCACGCCCCTCAACAGCCGCGTCGTAGCCACCAGCCGGCCCCGCAGCGCCGGGAACACCACGTGCTCCAGCATGCGCGCCATCTGCGCGCGGCGCTGCGCGAGATACGCTGCCTCGTCTTCCTTTCCTCCCTCCTCTTCGCCCTCCTGTCCGTTGCTAGAGTCTAAACCGGCATCCCTTAAGTTCTCTCCCTCAGCCAAACCATCCGGCAACGCCTCCGGCGTATAAAACGCCGCGAGCTCACGCAGAAACGACCGGAAGCACGCCTCCTCACTGGTCCAGTCGACGTAGGGGCCCAACCGTAACAGAAAACGGGGCAGTTTGCCTAGACTCGGGAGGTAGCCTTTCAAGAGCAACGGGATGGAGCGCAGGTGGCCGTCTTCGCTGATGTCTAGTGAGAAGTACTCGTTTAGCATCTCGCGGCGGGCGAGCAGGGTTTCGGCGATGACGGCGGGGGCGGTTTCGTAGATTGCTTGGGACTCTTGGGTGCGTTGTGGGTTCGCTGTAGCGTCGTGTTCGGCTTCTGCTTCTGCTTCGGCGGCGATGCGGAGCAGGTCGATGAGTTTTGGGGCTGGGTCGAGGGTGATGAGACCGAAGTTGCCGAAGTCAGTGAGGCCGATCTGGTAGAAGAATTCTTGGCAGAAAAGGCCGTAGTCGACTAGGTACAGCTTCACGCCGCTTTGGATGGCGGCGATGCGCCGGCGTGAGTCGACTTGGCCGACGTAGGTGAGGGAGGCGATAGTTTCGGTCAGTGTTGTGTGCATGCTGTTGCGCACGGCGGCGCGGAGGGTCTTGATGGAGGTTAGGGCGATGCGGAGGGGTTCGCGGGCGGTGGTTTCGTAGTGCAGGCCTGAGTCGATGGCGGTTTCGGGGGTGGTGGTGGTGGTTTCGGAGGCAAGTGCGGGCGGGAGCATCGAGGTGATCTTGCGGACTTTCGAGTCGGTGCGCACCAGGTTGTGTTCGTAGGGCTTTTTGGTGGTGGTTGCTGGCGTCTTGGGGGTTTTGGGGGCTCCCTCGCTGTCAACTTCGTCCGCTGGTTCGGGTTCGGCCAGCGTTCGCACGCCAGGGAGGAGAGTCTGCGTGAGGAAGGTCCGGCTGGAGTCGACCTGCGCCAGTCGAGAGCGGATGTCGCTGCAGATGCTCTCGATAATCTCGTCTTCGTTCAGGAAGTTGACCTCGCGCTTCGTCGGGTGCACGTTGACGTCCACCCGTTGCGGCTCGATTTCTAGGTCGATGTAGACGAAGGGGTGGCCGCCTTTCGGGAGGAAGGTCGAATAGGTCTGCTCGATCGCGCGCTTGAGGGCTGTCGATTCGACGGAGCGGTGGTTGATGAAGAGTAAGATGGTCGTGCGTTTGACGTGGTAGTTCGCGTTCGTCGCGAGCCCAGACGAGCGGAACCCGAGCTTCTCGTCCTCGACTTCAAACTCCACCAGCTCGTTGGCCACGGCGCTGCCGTGGATCTGTCGGATGCGGTCGATGGTGCTTGCGTTGGCTGGAGTTGAGATGCTGACGCCCGAGTCACCGTGTTTCCGGCACGAGAAGGCCACCCCCGCGCAATGAACGGAGTACCGGCCGACGACATCGAGGATTTTGGCATATTCTTCGCTTGCAGAGCGGAAAGCCCGTCGTCTGGTTGGGACGTTGTAGAATAGGTCCTCGACCTATGCAGGTTAAAAAGTGGTCTGGCACAGGTGGGTGCACTGCTACTCACTGTTATCTGCGTGCCTCCGCGTCCAGCAGTGGCCTTGGGGGCTGCGGTTTGACCTGGCTTGGCAGGAACGAGTTTGCCATCGCTGTAGACAGCTTTCCAGGCACAGCTCGACCCGGCCGTCTTCGTGGTCACGGTAAGGTGGGCGATGTGGCTGATACTTGCCAAGGCTTCGCCTCGGAAGCCGTAGGTGCCTATCGAGGAAAGGTCCTCGAAAGCCTTGAGTTTCGAGGTCGTGAACCGCTCACAGAGAATAGAAAGATCGTCTCGCTTTGTCCAGTCAGTATTGGAATTGGAGACAGTCGGCTCGAAACTCACGTCAATGCCATGGCCGTTATCCGTGATCTGAAGTAGTTTCAGCCCTCCGTCCTTGACCAGAATCTCGATAGACGTGGTTCCGGCGTCCACGGCGTTCTCAATCAGCTCTTTCAAGGCATGCATGGGAGCAACAATGATCTCTCCCGCTGCAATCTTGTTGACTACATCGGGGTCCAGTGCCTATAGTTGTAAGTATGGTGATGTCGGAACTAGCTTTGTATGCCAACTGACTCTGATTCTTTTAGGTTGTTTTGGCTCATCCCTCTGCTCGATCTCTTGCACGGGTCGTTTTGTGCCCCGTGGCTCTGGCAAGTCGATGTCCATATCAGGATCCATAGTGGCTCTGCAATTTACTTGACAAAGCGGGCTGCGGAACAGAGGGCTGAAATGGTCTCCGTCGATGACGCAACCGGATATACCAACACTCGACAGACAGCCTTCCAGTACCAGGGCTCAATCACGTATCTACTAGAAAAGCATTTAAGAAGGGTGGCAACAATGTCAAGTTCAGCAATGCCAATTCTCTCGAATGGTGTCGAGACGAAGAGAAAGCGGTGGAGGAATATGAAAGATAAGTCAGGCAAATCGCGGTCCGCTCGCGTCGCCGCCTTTCTATCGCGTTGAGATCAGGCAGAAATCGCTGCCTGGTACGGAGTACAGCAGCTGAAGCTATACAATCTCTGAGTTCCACTAGCTCATCCTTTCTCTATATCTTGTACAGCCGTTACCTAATAGAGCCGCTCCAAGTCTTAGCCAAGCACATTTATAAGGTATTGTTCTTGATGTTGCCTCACTCTAGGCTTGCTCACCAGCTTCCTATTTACTACGTACTCTACTTCTTTAGCAGAGTCGTCCGTCAGGGTGACTAGGCTTCCACTTCTACCTGGCATTACTATCAATATGTCTTCAAGGCAAACTTGACGATGGCTTGATTGTTGTTACTCTGCCTTAGGTGGGGTCACCCTTGATTATATCTAATCGATTGTCCGACTGGTTTGGTTCTAGAGCGACCTTGAACATGGATCGAGTGAAACAGAATCGGATAGCGCTTTCTTGGTATACCCAAAGAATAAAGCCAAGATTCCCTGAGTATCAAAGGATCAGCTGAGCCGTTTTCAGTCCGGTTGAGCTCAATACCACCATTTACCAAAGTACATAGGACTGTTGTTCCCGCTCTCTGTGCCTGAAGTAGTTACTCTTTCAGTCCCATGTTTTATTCCACAGAAGATCACATCCTCTCAAGGCAATATGTTGATCAGCGTGCCGCTTGCATGGGACAACCCTCTTCTTGAGCAACAGTGGAACGAAGTCGAGGACGTCAACTATCGCGATTCGCAATACGGCCGAACACCGCTGTTCTGGGCCGCAGAGAATAACCAAATCGAGATGATCAAGTTCCTCCTCGAATCGAATGTCGATGTCGACGCTCGGGATGTCGAAGGCCGAATTCCATTGTTCTGGGCCGCCAGGAACAACCACTACCTCGTGGTCAAGATCCTCCTCCAAAGGAATGCACATGTCAATGCTCGTGACCACCATGGTCACACTGCCTTGTTTTGGACCGCCGAAGACAATCAAGTCAATGCGATGCAGCCGCTTTTCAAGTGAAATGCCGGCGTCGATGCCCATGATCTGGAGGGTCAGATTAAGTTGTGAAATGTTGAGACAATGATCTAGCTCACAGGATTCTATCAATTCATGTGTGTAAACCCAGGATTTAGACGAAGACTCGATCTTATGGGGCATCTGTGCCCTCGACACCATTGTTCTGAGGAACGATATACCAACCCAATGAAGAGAATAGAAAACCTGTGGTTCCAGCCTGCGAGTCTTAGTAGCCTCGCAGAGGTTCTCAATGAGGCTCTCTCGGGCCTGGACTAATTGTTTCTTGGTGCGAACCATAGTTGCGAAGCTCAACGGTGGAAGTTGTGAGCAAAAGCCGTGAGTGGGATGTTTGAGTGGGTGGTCTATATGTATCAGCTAACCTCCTCCGTGTAAACTTCTTGTAGAGAAGATCTCTGAAGCTTCCTGCGGTGTAACATGTTTAAATAATCGTATCCGGACCTAAGCCCGCATGACGAGGTGATGACAAGGGCAATGCGCTGGGGGTTCGCAACTCGGAAAACTATACTTTTGACTCCGGACATGGTTTGGAATGCCCCAAAACTGAAGGTTTGGCCCTAAGTTCCTATTCGAAGGGCATTCGTATCCCATGAATGACAACAGATGATCTAGCCTCTGTCGTTCCCGGTGGACGGGATAGCTTTTCCGTGAGCTGAAATATATCATCCCGTAGACAGTGAGAGCGATGCAGTGACTCGACCGGAAGACACGATGAATACAAACGAGGCCATAGCGAGTGTTTAAACAACGTTGACTTCGTTAAGAATATAGGTGTCTAAAGACTATTTTTGAATGACCTAGCATGGGCCTCTTGTGCAATTCCCAGTCTGTCAATGATTTGCGTTAATGATGATGGTGTAGTTGTGTCTCGATCTTAGAAAATGACGCTGGTAGAGCATTGGAGGCAGCGTCGATAGTCATCTACTCTGATCAGTGAGAGTAGACAGAATGAAATATTTCCACAACATCTTTAAATCGACAGATGACAACGACGATGATTACTCTGAGTGTTGCTTATTCTATTGGAGTCGATGTCTTGGCGGAGCGATATTACCTAAGCAATCTAGCTCCAGAGCGCAACGCCCGCCCGAGCGGCGACGAACTGAGAGAGCTTCCCTCTGCTTCTCCATCAACAAGCTTATGATTCACCTTCCTCGCCATCGCCTGCTCCGTGAAGGCCTATTCTGAAAAAGCTCACTACTTCTGATACCTCTGTCAGAGCAATCTTCTACGCTCTATTTCCCCTCCCTCCCGACCCCACACATTCCTACTCGCCATACAATCGTCAGCAATGGCGCAAGATGGCGAGCGGTCAGCTCCCGCCGACAAGGGCAAGGGCAAGGTTGACGATGTGAAAGATCTGGCTGGAGGAAAGAAGGCACAGACTGCGGAGAAGCCTCAAGCCGATGGGAAGAAGAAGGACGAAGAGCCCCAGGAAGGTAGGCGATACATCGAGGCCGTGGCCTGGGCGGAAAGATCCCGACCCGACGCCGCGCCTCGCAATCAGCTCTCCCAGGTTGCTGCGACTGTGCTAACATGATGACACAGAGGAGCTTAACGAAGAAGACCAGCAATTGAAGAACGAGCTGGAGATGCTGGTGGAGAGATTAAAGGTACAGTCACAGCAGCTGTTCCCCCATGCCCCGAGCGATGACGTTAACCCTCCGCCTTACCTGCATAAGGAGCCAGATACTTCCCTCTACAGCCCTGCCTTGGATGCGATCAAGAACTTCATAAAGACTTCGACATCGTCGATGACTGCTGTCCCGAAGCCCCTGAAATTCCTCCGACCTCATTACGATGACCTCACGGCGCTCTATGACAAGTGGCCGGCTAGCCCGGTTAAGGTGCGTCTTTTGCTATACGATGGACCGGATCGGGATGGCATTCTGACTTCCATTCCCTTAGGACTCCTTGGCCGACATGCTATCAGTTCTCGGAATGACATACGGAGACGAAGAGAAGCTGGAGACCTTGAAGTACCGCCTGCTGACCAAGTCGGAGGACCTCGGCTCCTGGGGTCATGAGTACATTAGACATCTGGCGCTGGAGATTGGCCAAGAGTACCAAAACAGGCTGAATGCTGAGAAGGATGTACAAGATCTGATTGACCTCGCCCTTTCCCTTGTTCCCTACTTCTTGAAGCACAACGCTGAAGCCGATGCCGTCGACTTGCTCAGTGAACTCGAGATCATCGAGGAAATCCCTCGCTTCGTGGACGAAAACACATACTCCAGGGTCTGCCTGTATATGGTCAGCATGGTTAACCTCCTCACATACCCAGAAGACCAGCAGTTCCTTCGCACGGCCCACGAGATCTATGTTCGCTACAAGGAGCTCACCAAGGCCATTGTTCTCGCTATCCGCCTGAACGATACCGAGCTAATTAAGAGCGACCTCAACGCCACCTCGGACAACTCGATCAAGAAGCAGATGGCTTTCCTCATTTCCCGGCAACAGATATGGCTCGATCTCCCTGAATATGAAGAAGACCAGTCGTTCATGGACTGCCTTAACAACACTTCGATTCCCGATCACTTCAAGTCCCTTGGCAAGGAGCTCAACATTCTTGATCCCAAGATGCCAGAAGACATTTACAAGACTCACTTGGAAAGCTCTCGTGGCGCGGGTCTTACCAACGTGGATTCCGCAAGACACAACCTCGCCAGCGCTTTTGTTAACTCTTTCGCCAATGCCGGATTCGGAAACGATAAGATGATGCTGGTCGAAGGTGATAAGGGTCCCTGGGTTTGGAAGACTAAGGACGATGGCATGCTCTCGACTACGGCTTCTCTGGGCATGCTTATGCACAGAGATGTTGAGGTCGGCCTGGACAAGATTGACAAGTACACTTACGCTTCGGAAGACCAGATTAAGGCTGGTGCATTGCTGTCCATTGGTATTCTCAACTCCGGTGTGCGGATCGATTCCGACCCTGCCTTGGCTCTCTTGAGTGACCCCGAGAACTTGGAAGCCAAGAGCGTGCCCATGCGGGTAGCATCTATCATGGGTCTTGGACTGGCCTATGCTGGTTCCAACAAGGAGGAGTTGCTGGAGGTTCTTCTCCCGATCGTCGAAGACAGTGCTTTGGACATGCAGCTGTCTGCCATGGCGGCTGTCTCTCTGGGTCTTATCTTCGTTGGTTCCTCGAACCACCAGGTCAGTGAAGCGATTGCTTCCACCCTGATGGATGAGGAGAGACAGAAGCATTTGAAGGACAAGTGGACCCGCTTCATGGCCCTTGGTCTGGCCCTCCTATACTTCGGTCGCCAGGAAGAGGTTGATGTCATCCTTGACATCCTCAAGGCAGTCGACCACCCCATGGCTAAGCCTACCTCTGTGCTTGCCTCGGTTTGCGCCTGGGCGGGCACTGGCACTGTACTGAAGCTCCAGGAGCTTCTTCACATCTGCAACGACATCATTGAAGAGAACGACGAGAAGAAAGGTGACGAGCTTGTTCAGTCATATGCTGTTCTTGGCTTGTCACTCATCGCTATGGGTGAGGAAGTTGGACAGGACATGATTCTTCGACAGTTCGGTCATCTCATGCACTACGGTGCCAGCAATATTCGGAAGGCTGTACCTCTCGCTATGGGTCTGATCACCCCTAGCAACCCTCAGATGAAGGTCTACGATACCCTTTCGAGATACAGTCACGATACTGATAACGACGTTGCTATCAACGCCATCTTCGCCATGGGTCTTTGCGGTGCCGGTACCAACAATGCTCGCTTGGCCCAGTTGCTCCGCCAGCTGGCCAGCTACTACCACCGGGACCAGAACTCTTTGTTCATGGTTCGCATTGCACAGGGTCTTTTGCACATGGGCAAGGGTACCATGACCCTGAACCCTTTCCACACTGATCGACAGGTCTTGTCGCGTGTATCAGCCGCCGGTCTGCTCACTGTCCTTGTGTCTTTGATCGACGCCAAGCAATTCATCCTCGCCGAACACCACTACCTTCTCTACTTCCTTATCACTGCCATGTACCCTCGCTTCCTTGTCACGCTCGATGAAGATTTGCAGCCTCTCACCGTGAATGTCCGGGTTGGTCAGGCTGTTGATGTCGTCGGACAGGCCGGTCGCCCGAAGACGATCACTGGCTGGCAGACGCAAAGCACGCCGGTGCTCTTGGCCTACGGTGAGCGGGCCGAACTTGAAGACGAGCAATACATCCCTCTGAGCAGCACTCTGGAGGGTCTGGTAATTCTGCGCAAGGTAAATACATCGCCCCACTGACTAAAGTTATTGTGCTAACCCGGAGTGCAGAACCCCAACTGGGAGGCGGAGGCTTCCGCATAAATGAGATGAATATGAAACCTTACAAGCTTGAGTGAGCGCCGGGAAGTCACAGCCTTTGGGATTCTTGGACTTAATGTATTCAGAACGAACCGGAAATACCTTATATCAAATTAGACCAATGGATATAGGCAGGGGCAGTTCAATGTTACGGAGAGTTACTCCTAAGCTGTATTTTCAGATTAAGATTGAGCAGATACTTCTTCAATATTAGTAGAGTATATTTCAATTGTCCTCTAGCTTTTCTGCCGCGAAGCGTTCACCTTGTCAGATGGAAGGACGCAGAGAGCGAGGGAGGGAGACAAGAACGATCCCGAACAGGAAACTAGGGCATAGGGCAGTGGAGACAGCGCAGCCTAAGGTATGGGACTTTCTTTTCCGGGTACCTTCAGAGCAACGCCGCACCGCCGCAAACCCAACTCGGAGCGCAAATCGGACGAAGCGGTCGTCGCTACATACATATATTTCGTTTCATTACCCGGGACTCATTCAGAAAGCTTGCGCCATGAAGCTCGACCCCAAATCGATTCGGTACCTCACGGTGGAGGACTTTCGCGTTCTCTCGGCGGTACGTTACGCTATGCCCTTCTATCTTGCCTCACAATCGTCCCCGCTCCGTCTGCTCAGCTTCGCCCCGGCTTTGTTTCATTCTGTCTTGATATCTGGTGTCTTGGGTCTCGAGCGCGTGGTGTTCTGACGAAGCTAACAGAACTGTTGGACCGAAGGTTGAACAAGGTAGTCGCAACCATGAGATCGTGCCGACGCCTTTGATTGCGCAGATCTCCCGGCTGCGCGGGGGTAGCGGCGTGCAGCGGTCGATTTCGAACCTGGCGAAGACGAATCTGATCGCTAAGGTGAAGAATGCTAAGTGTATGTTCCCTTTCGCTTTCCTCCTCTGCTTTTTTTTTGGAGATGGTATCTACATTTGGTTGCGGAGGGCGCTGGTTGAACCCGGGCTTACACTTTTTCTTGTGTGGCAGATGACGGCTACCGCCTCACCTACGGCGGCCTGGACTACCTGGCGCTGCACGCACACCAGAAACAGAAGGTGATCTACTCGGTCGGCAATCAGATCGGCGTCGGCAAGGAATCGGACATCAACGTGGTGGCCAACCACGAGAAGCAGCAGTGCATCCTGAAAATCCACCGGCTGGGCCGCATCTCGTTCCGCACCGTCAAGACCAACCGCGACTACCTGCGCCACCGCACCTCGGCCTCGTGGATGTACATGTCGCGGCTGGCGGCCATGAAGGAATTCGCCTTCATGAAGGCTCTCCGTGAGAACGGCTTCTCCGTCCCCGAGCCCATCGCCCAGAACCGCCATACCATCGTCATGAGTCTGATCGATGCGTTTCCCTTGCGCCAGATCTCCCGGGTGGCGGATCCTGCCGGTCTGTATGCCGAGTTGATGGAGATGATCGTGCGGTTTGCGCGGTTTGGGTTGATTCATGGTGATTTTAATGAGTTTAATATTTTGGTGAAGGAGGTTGTTGAGGGGGAGAGCGAGGGGAAGGGGAAGGGGCGTGAGGGTGACGAAGAGGACGAAGAGAATATCACGCTGGTGCCGGTCGTCATTGATTTCCCTCAGATGGTCTCGATCGACCACCCCAATGCCGAGATGTACTTCGATCGCGATGTTAACTGCATCAAGCGGTATTTCTCGCGCAAGTTTCACTTCGTCAGTGATGTGCCGGGCCCGTTCTTCGCCGACGCGAAGAAGCAGATGATGCTCAATCCCGGGAAGCGGTTGGATGTTGAGGTCGAGGCGTCTGGGTTCTCGCGGAAGATGGCCCGTGAGCTGGAGAGTTATATGCAGGAGGTGGGGGCGACGGGCGATGGTGGTAGTGATCGGGAGGATGGCGATGAGGATGGGGAGGATGAGGAGGAAGAAGAAGAGGAGGAGGAGGAGGAGAAGGAGGAGGAGAAGGAGGATCGGGAGTCACAGTCGGATGAGATTGATGAGAGTTCTCGACGGCTGGGCAACATGAAGGTGTCGGAGGGAGGACAGTAGGAAGGATACCCGCTGTGAAGGATAAAACAGATATGAGATGATCATGACCATAATGAATAGACTTTCTTCTGCGATTCAGGGCTATCTGTGTCTGATGAGCTGTACGAATTCGACTACGCAACCTTTCGTGGGCTGGGCTCAATGTGAACCATAGCATGCGGTCAACAGGCCCATACTATCAATACCTTGCTGGCTGCCGTCTCGATCGTGGGATTGTGGCGTCACGGATGCAATTCTTTGGGGGCTGCAGGAATACAGCTGTAGACTTTTGCTTCTAGGCATTTTGGGATCTCACCTAAAAGAAACAACTTCAGGTTAGGTTTGAACGAAAGTATCCGTGGCAATTGAACCAACACAGCACAATGCAGTGCAGGGGATGGAAGCATCTCCGCATCGGAGTAAGTGGTGGAGGCCGCAGCAGTACGGGCGACGAAGCGGCCAACCACGCAAGAAACGATTTGCAGATTCCCAGCAAGAAAGTTCCGCTCCGCAAAAGATAACCAACCAACCCAAGTTTATCAAGAAATACATACAACACCAACCCTCATCCCCCTCCCTCTCTCTCTCCCCCCCTCCCTCTTCCTCCCTTTCTCTTCCTCCTCCTATCCCCAGACCGGAAACAAGCCACCGCAAAAATGGTCCGCAAATTCTCGAAATTCCCCAAGAAGCCCTTGGACCTAGTCGGTCCAGCCGCGCCTCTCTCCGAACGCAAACAGATCTTTCTGTACGTCTTGCCCTGTTCCTCCTAGAGCAATTGCCTCGCTCTGCTCCTTTCCTCCAACAATACTGATTGACCGAACAAGTCCGGACTTCACGATCGCCCTCATCCGCACGCCCTTCCTCCCGCCCCGCTACGCCTCCTTCTACGTGCCCCTCAACTTCAACAAGCTCGACATCCGCGACTACCTGCAGCGCGTCTACGGCGTCGGCGTGCTAGCCGTCCGCAGCTTCGTCGAGCAGCAGCCCGTGACCCGCGAGAAGTCTCTCGGCCGCTTCGGCTACGGGCCCTGGCGCCGCCCCATCAGCAAGAAGCGCATGACGGTTGAGATGACCGAGCCGTTTGTGTGGCCTGAGCCGCCGAAGGAGATGGATAAGTGCGTTTCCCTCTCCCTTTCTTCTTTCCTTTATATACTGCTTGGTGTTTTCTTGGTCTGGACCGAATCCCTTTTACACGCAAACGCTAACAAACCACATTTTGGCACAAAACAGATGGGAGAAAGACCAATACTTCAAGGCGGCCAAATACCAGGAGGAAATGCGCGACTCCCGTAGCCCCGAAGCTATGACTAAACCCCCGACCCAGGAGCGTGAGTCGTACGCCGAGGAGGCGAAGAAGATCCTCAGCGGCGAGAAGCCCTGGCGCCCTACTTGGCAGGCTCTGGGGTTGAATTACGATCGCTCTGCGCTGCGGAAGCCTCAACAGGGGTCTCGGTCCTCGAGGTCGTGAGGGTTCGTGGCGTGGTTTAGATGATATGGGTTGAAGGTTGTGGATCGGGGGGTCTTGCTTTTTGGGTCGCGATGTACTACTGTATTATATCTATGGCTTTGTTTTTATAAATACACCTTTGTCTTTTTTTCTTTTTTCTTTTTTTTTTCTTGGATGGGGTTTTTAGTGGGAGGGGGACGGGGGTTTGATGGATTTGGCGATGGATGTACGGGCTAGTAGTCGTTGAAGGATCAAGTTGATTGTTTGGTCATAGATTGAGTGGAATTATTAACAAGAATCGCTGTAGGAGACAATCTCGCTGGCTGTATAAGTCACGCAAAAAGCAATATCTACACTCGTCGATGGGGTAAAAGTGTACTGCGAATGGTCGGTTTAGTATAACACGGAACGTCGTCTCTACAGCCGGCTCTCAATGAAATTGGCCTGGTGCTGACCCGGCCAGTGAGCGTCGGGCCACACATGTCGGATGGCTTCCCAGATGTGTCTGGTGGTATGGTTAGTCGACCGAACAGTATCTCGAAAGGGAAAGAAACTTACTTGACATAGATGATCTCCAATCCCTCGTTGACCTCTTGCGGCACATCCTTGACGTCCTTCCGGTTGTGGTGCGGCAGAAGCACGGTCTTCACGCCCGCGCGCAGCGCCCCGATCAGCTTCTCCTTGATCCCGCCCACGGGCATCACCTTCCCTCGCAGCGAGATCTCGCCGGTCATGGCCAGGCTCGGAGGCACGGGCTTGCCACTGAACAGCGAGAGCAGGCCGATTGTATGTGCCAGCCCGGCCGAGGGGCCGTCCTTCGGAACTGCGCCGGACGGGCAGTGCACATGCAGGCTGCGGTTCTTCATGATGTCCTCGTTGGGGTCCGCCGACAGGCCCAGCTCATACGCATGGGCCTTAACCCAGGTGAGAGCAACCTCGACACTCTCCCGGAGAACCCCGCCCAGATTGCCGGTCAGCTGGATGTTACCATTGCCCGGCATATCGGCTACTTCGATGAACAGGATACTGCCTTGGCCGCCGGTGGAGAAGGCCACGAGACCCGTGACCACACCTGGTCGGCCGGTCTTCTCCGCTAGCTCTTCGTAGAACCGCTCGATGCCGAGTATGTCTTCCAGATCCTCGAGGCTCACCACGGGATTGTACGCTTCCAGCCGCCCTGTGTCACCCGCGTCTGCGAACTGCACGGCCTTCGACCGGCAGATCGAGCCGACTTCACGCTCCAGGTTACGCACTCCAGATTCCATGGTATACGACGTAATGACCTTGTCGAGGACCTCATCCGAGAGAATGACCTGACCGTCTGAGAGTCCGTTGGCCCGGACCTGCTTGGGAATAAGGTGTCGCTTGGCAATGTGCCGCTTCTCGATGTTCGTGTAGCCGGACAGGGAGATCGTCTCCATGCGGTCAAGGAGCGGGGCAGGAATAGTATCCAGGGAGTTGGCCGTGGCAATGAAGAGGATCTTGCTTAGGTCGATTGGAATGCCGATGTAGTGGTCGGTGAAGGTGTGGTTCTGCTCGGGGTCCAACACTTCGAGCATAGCTGCCGAAGGGTCGCCCTGGAAGTTGGCTCCGCCCACCTTATCGATCTCGTCCAGCAAGAACACCGGGTTCGCGACACCAACCTTCTTCAGGCCATTGACAATTAAGCCGGGCATGGCAGCGACATATGTTCTACGATGACCTCTGACCTCTGCTTCGTCCCGGACACCACCCAGGGAAATCCGATGGAATTTGCGACCCAAGGACGCTGCCACGGACCGTGCCAGACTCGTCTTTCCAACACCGGGGGGGCCCACAAGCAGCAGAATTGGCGACTTGTCGCCAATGCGCTTGGACTCCAGTAGGTGCAGCTTGGTCTCAAGAGTAACTCTGTCGGCTTCCGATAGCATCGGAATATCCTTCTCAATGTCACCTGCATCGGAAGCATCCAGCTCCTTAGTGAGCCCCTCGATCTGCCGCTGGACATCCTTGTTAGACGTTTGCTTCAGACGCAGCACCGCCAAGTACTCAAGTAGCCGCTTCTTGATCTTCTCCAGGCCATAGTGGTCGTCATCCAGTTGCTTCCGGGCATTCTTCAGAGTTTCCGGTCCAAGCTGATCTTCAGTGACCTTGGTCCACGGGATGTCGGCGATGTTTTCGAGATAGCTCCTGCAGACGCCATACTCTGCATTGGCAGGGTTCATCTTCCGAAGGCGACGCAGCTCCTTGTCCGCGACTTTCCTGGCTTCAGGGCTAAGCTCAGCATCGTTCAGCCTTTGTTGAAGCTCGTCCACTTCGTTCGCTTCCTTGTCGTCCCCGTCATTGTTCCGGCCACTTGCCATACCGGGCGGCGTCAGACCCGTCAAGCCTGCCATTGCTCGTTTGGCCAGCATCTCACGGTCGCGCGGGTCGATTTGACTGATGTCGAACGAAGAGCCAGGGAATGTATTCGTAGGGATAACCGTGACTTTGACGTTGCCCTTGATGTTCTGTACCTGTCTGCTCAAGATCTCAATGGCGCCTTCCAGCCTAGCCCGAACATCGAATGAGGCCAGGATCCGTAACTTTTCCTCGAAGGCGGAATCGGCCACATCAGCCATGAAGTCGGCCAGTCTCCCGGCGTGGGAGATATCGGACTTGGTAATGAAGATCTCAAACTTGCGAGCAATGATAGGCGACAGACGGGTGCCCACAGAAGGGACTAGTGAGGACAGCCGCAGTAGAGTCAGTAGCTCTTTCGAGAGTTGTCTTAGCTGCTGGAATAAATCCACCGTCTCAGTGTCGTTAATAACTGCGGATTGAGGTGGACGTGGTTAGCCGGGAAGTCACGCGAATGAATAGAGTCAAGGGCTGTTGGTACGGGCACAAACCTTTCTCGTCATGCATGACAGCCTCTGCCTCGAAGAAAGGCCGTTCCTTCAGAACTCGTTTGAGGGTGAAGCGCTGGATTCCCTGAACCAGGAGAGATGGCTCCGCGTAGGCACGGCGTTGGATGCCGATCACTTTGCCCACGGTGCCGTACCGGAAGAGATCCTCCTTGCGCGCCTGGCCGGCATCGATCATGTCGTATTCTTCCCGCTTGTCATCCTCCAGATTCCCGTCATCGATGACCCGTTGGCCATCTTTGCTCAGATACGGGGAGCTGAGGGGGATGCATCCGAAGGTGACGATGCTCCCATCGCGTTTCGCCGCCGGTGAGCGGTCCAGCACGGTGGCCAGGAGATTAGCGATGTCTGGTCGGTTGGAGACCGGAATACGGAGAGTTCCCCCAGGAAGTAAGACCGAGCCTTTGGGGAGCGGCACCAAGGCGAGCTTGGTGGTTCTGCCGCTGTTGGAACCCATCGCGGAGTGGATACCAGATCAAGAGTGGAAAGCACTGGGCGTGGGTCGCAAAAGCGGACAATGATAAAGCTGTGAGGAGGGATAGGAGGAGACAAGGGTAGTGGTGACGACAGTTGGATCGAGTAGGTTATATATAGGAAGCGGTGGGGAGGTGAGTTTAGTTAGTTAGTTCTTAAGAAGTGGGATGATGAAGAGTAATTAGTGGTTCCAGAACCCCATCGATGGAAGAAAAGCGTGACTCTCTCTCTCTCTTTCTCCAGTTCTGGTCTGGGGTGAAATGAAATGAGGCGGAGAGAGATCGAAAGATAAGCGCCTCCTTCCGATGCCGAGGTTCGCTGGTGGTCAGGCGAGGGAAGACCAAAAGTCCAAAGACCCGGGGAATTCTCCTCTTGTCTTACTTCCTCCTTACTCTTCCAGAGCCTTCTACCCCTCTAGACCCGAGATCAGATAAGGTAGATTACTAGCTGGTCGATCATGATGGTGTCGCAGGGTGATTATGCCCTTGATTGGACATTCAACATGACGAATACTGCTGTCCTCCTTCTCCTCATCCTCCTGGTCTTATCGTGACGTTTCTGACAACAGAGCAAGAGGCGAAAATGGGTCCGATCGTAAGATTACGGTCGTAACATTACTGGTAGTGATCGCCCCGGCCAGTCCAGCCGAGTCGGATGACAAAACAGAAACCGCAAAATTACCAAGCGGGAAAATGTGCTCGAGGCGGAGATCAATTGAATTAATCTTACTTTTTACTCTATTTCTCCTCATTCTCCTTCTTGGTTGCCACTTCTTTACGTCTACTCCAATAAATATACTTGTTTGTCCTTTCGGAGCTAGGCCCTGTCCTCTCTCTACTTCCACCTATCTCCAACCCCTCTCCCCTGCTCTGTCCTCCCACCCACAGTCGGAATGGCCTCTACCCCGCTTGCCAGCGCAAACGCCGCTGATCCCTCCTCCTCCCGCAAGGTCTTCACCATCGGAACACGCAAGTCCAAGCTCGCCCTGCTGCAGACCGACCTCGTCCAGGCCGCCCTCAAGGCCAAATGGCCCCAATACGAATTCAAGATTCACTCGCGCGAAACCGCCGGTGATCAGAACACCACCATCGCGCTACGGGACTTCACCACCAAGAATCTGTGGACCCAAGAATTGGAGGAGCTGTTGATGGCCGGTCATGTGGATCTCATCGTGCATTCGCTCAAGGGTAAGTGCTAGCCCAAGGACAACCCGCCCGGATCTTGGGCTGACGACTGCTATTGTTGTTGCAACATAGATGTCCCCACCCTGCTGCCGCCCTCCTGCACGTTGGGCCCGATGATGGACCGGGAGGATACGCGCGACGTCTTGGTCGTCAAGCAGGGATTGTCATACAAGAGCTTGGCCGACCTGCCTGCGGGCTCGGTGGTGGGCACTTCCTCCATCCGCCGGACCGCTCAATTGGCTCGGCGCTACCCCCATCTCAAGGTCACGGATGTTCGGGGAAACATCGGCACCCGTCTGTCGAAGCTCGATGCAGAGGATGGTGCTTATACCTGTCTGATCCTGGCCGCCGCCGGTCTGCTCCGTTTGGGTCTGCAGGATCGGATCACCGCGTATCTGGATTCCCAAAACGGCGGCATGCTCTATGCCGTCGGACAGGGTGCTCTGGGTATCGAGGTTCGCAAGGATGATCAGCTTGTGCTGGACATGTTGACTGGCATTGGCCACCAGGAGACCACTCTGGCCTGTTTGGCTGAGCGGAGCCTCCTGCGGACTCTGGAGGGTGGCTGCAGTGCCCCTCTGGGTGTTGAGTCGGAATGGGTGCGCGATGCCGATGGGTCATCCAAGTTGAGAATGCGCTCGATTGTTGTCAGCGTGGATGGCAGTGAGAGCTCCGAGGTGGAAGTCGATGGCTCGGTCGATACCCCTCAGTCTGCCGAGGAGTTCGGTGTCACGGTCGCCAAGGCTTTGGTCGCCAAGGGTGCTGGAAAGATCCTTGAAGAGATCCAGCGGAACAAACAGACCTCTCAATGATTTTTAGTGTAAAAGGTGTTGTGGTGGAGATGCTGGTCCTCTCCTTCACGGAAGGTATGAAGGATATGATTAGACGGATACCCATACAAGAAGAAGACCTGCTGTAGGTTTAGGATAGATTATGACATAAAAAGCAAATCACAAGAATATATTTGCGTCGACGACAGATCTAAAAATGTATATATGCATTCATTATATATACTAGTCTCATCTCTGTGCAACTGTAGCGAGACGTGACCACCAAGCCGAGCTTCAGTATCTAAATAGCAGTCGTAACAATCATCCTCTGTTGAGAGTATTTCCAGAGCCTCGGGGGTTCGCTTCCTTGAACTCATCCCAGGCTCGAGCCTTCATGGTCTCTTCGTCGGCGATATTAAAGTCGTCCTCATCGACCTCGGGTTTGATGCCGGATGCTTCGCCACCGCCTTCGATGATGTTGCCTCTCCGTCGCTCCTCCTCGAGATATTCATCGATGGTCATCGTTGGCAGGTTGTGACCAGAGCGGAATACGCCCTGCTGCAACTGTGTGCGGCGATCCAGCAACGTAAAAGGCTGCATCGGCCTTCCTTCCTTGCTCAAGATCGGCCCGAGCCTTCCACCCCTCAGAAGCTCAGCGAGCGGACGATCAAGTCGCTCGGAATATTCCGAGTCGGGATTCGCATTGCGCCTGCGGGGGTCATCCTGCGACAGCTGGCTGGGATTGGGGGGTGCCGCGCGCATAGTCGACAGCATAGTCAGCTCCTGCGACAACAGATCGAGCGACTGAAACGTCTGGTGGGCGTAAAGCGCAAGCTCCGCCAGGTACAATCCGCGCACATCATCCTCGTCGCTCTGCAGGCGGTCCTTGTTTCGGGACAGATACTGCGCAGCTGGTAAGCGGCTTACCTCCTTCCCTCTCCTCTCCGGGTATGGCTTGTCTAACCTCGAGTTTCTGCTTCAATTCCTTCTCCTCCCTGAATCGGTTGATCTTCACCTCGCGCCGCGCCGCCGCATCATTCGTAGATGTGAGGGAGAAGGTGGTCGGGTTGGCTGCGTAACGCTCGTACAGCTTCTTGTCGCTGTCGCTGAGAATGTCGTATTCGTCTAGCCGGGAGAGGAATTTCTCGTACTGGCTCAAGGCGCGACGGAGGGAGGCTTCGCGGTCGGAGGAGTAGGTTCGTTGGAGCAGGTCGGCGAGAAGGTATTCGACGGTGAGGTATCTACCGAGTTGGAAGTGAATGGTTAGCGCAGAGCAATCTGCGAAATGAACGAGAGGAGTACTGTAGATCTCCGGTTGAGATGTCCTCGAGAGCTTCGTTGGAGCTGAACAAGGACAGCAAGCTCACTAATCGTTGGCATTCCTCAAGCTTGGCTATGACTGCGTTGACATCACTGCGATAAGCATCCGTGTTGCTGTCGGTGCGCACTTCCAGCGCGGTCTTTGCGGCCTTTGCCTCGGTGAAAAGGGAGCGTAAATTCTGTGGCTGCTCCATTATGCTGTGGTGTATGGCTAAAGATCGATGCTGGGGGAAATCCTCGGGGTATTGTAGCTGGTCTGGGTCTGCTGGAGAATAAATCTATGCTGATCAACCTGGCGCAGAAATATTTCCTTGGGCCCGCCCCGCGGAAAGCCCCGCAGCCGTCGGTTTTAGGGGTTGATCATTGCGCTTCCGTCCGCTTGGGGGAGGAAGTATATATTGCTGATGTTATAGTAGTAGTAGTAGTTTTACTATAGTCCTGGTAGTACTTCAGATGTGAATACCTAGTAAAGTGACTTATAAGACCACCTACCTACTGATTGCAGTGCTTGAAATATATTTTTTATTGTAGTTCCATCCTGGATTCTGCCTATTCGTGGACCCTGGCCTTCTCCCACAGAACAAACCATGTCGTTTGTCTCCCGGTTCGTATTCACTGCAACTCAAGGTGACACCAGCAACTGCTGTTCCTGGATCTCCCACTCTTCCGGTTCGCACTCACTTCACATCTCACACCTTTCTCGACATGAGCCATCTCTGCCTGGAAATTGATTGTACAGCAGAAGGATGACTGAACCTAACATCGACGAGCTCTTGGTAGAGCAATTCTCGAGTCTTGACTCTAACGGTCGAAGTATTTCAGACACCATTGAATCCAGTAACCCCGCGAGCTTTGTGGAGATCGAGAATGCCTCCAGCTCGTCTGACTCGGATGATGTCGACGAAGAAAGCTTCAACCCAAAAGACGCATCGCAACGCCGGAGACTCCAGAATGCGAAATTCAATGTCCTGTCAGTAACTTCCTTTCTCCGATTTTGGACCGTCATGTCACTAACGTGTACACAGCTTGTCTAAGCGTGCCGATACAGACGCAGCCAACAGTGTCAAAGTCGCCGCTCCTGATTTGCCAGACGCTCAGCTTTCGACGGCTGGCTTATTAGCAAAGCATGATCTCGCGGCCGGTACATTGGATCCTCGAGAGTATCAGGTGGAGCTGTTTGAGCGGGCCAAGATACAGAATACGATTGCCGTGCTTGAAACTGGTACAGTCGAACACTCACCCTCGCTTTCCCTTGGTCCGGAGTGTGTCTGACTTGAATGTGTTATAGGTTCAGGGAAGACTTTGATCGCAGTGCTGCTACTCAGGCACACACTACAGAATGAGCTCAATGATCGTGCGCAAGGAAAGCCGCCCCGCATATCTTTCTTCTTGGTGCGTGTATCCTGTCGTGTTCACGGAAGGGTACTTACAGGTGTACAGGTCGACAGTGTCACCCTAGCATTTCAGCAAGCGGCGGTTCTTCGTCACAATCTTGATCAGAGCGTTGGGCAATTCTTTGGGGCCATGGGAACCGATCTTTGGAACAAGGAGATCTGGGATGAGCATTTCAAGACCAACATGGTCATTGTCTGCACGGCTGAGATCGTGCATCAATGCTTGCTGAATTCCTATATCAAGATGGATCAGATAAATTTATTGATTTTCGACGAAGCTCATCATACAAAGAAAGATCATCCTTACGCACGGTCAGTTTGTTGGTCTACCAAAGCTGAGCATCGTGTCTGACTGGGTTTAGGATTATACGCGACACGTATCTGAAGGAGGTTCCCTCAAAGCGGCCTAGAATATTTGGCATGACGGCTTCTCCCGTGGACACGAAAGGTGATGTAGTCGAGGCTGCAATGTATGTGGCGATGCCTTCCCTTTGTTGCACTTGCTTACGTCGTATAGGAGACTCGAAACTTTGTTAGACAGCACTATCGCTACAACGTCACAGGCTACCCTACTGCGACAATTCGTCAGTCGTCCAGTCGAAGAAACATGGAAATACGATAGACTAGAGCCACCAACAGCCACGACACTCTACAAAGAGCTCGAACAACACTTTGGTGGATTGGAATGTCTCAACGGCATCTTCAAGTTCGCCTGGCAGGCAAGCTCTGAATTAGGCCGATGGTGCTCGGATCGAGCATGGTCGCGAGCTCTAGCTGACGACGTGCTGCCCAGACTCGAAGGGAAGATCAACAAACTCATTGAGTCAAGTAGTCTAGCCAAAGAAGCTCAGGACACGCACACACAGATCTTGCGTATCAGAGAGGCTAGCGACTTTGTCAAGCGTCATGAGCTCAGCAGCCCTCACGGCCCCAGGGAGTTGAGCTCCAAGGTGCAGTTACTTCGCGCCGAACTAGAGAAGCGATTTCTGAATCCAGAACACACGAAGTGCATTGTGTTCACAGAGAAACGATACACCGCATTGATCTTATGTGAACTTTTTCAGAATCTAGCGATTCCCTTCCTACGGCCCGGGGTGCTTATCGGAGTTCGTTCTGGTGAAATCGCAGGAATGGGCATAACCTTCCGTCAGCAGTTCCTTACCTTGCTTAAGTTCAGAGATGGAGAAATAAATTGTCTGGTATGTGATCATGCTGTGTATAATGAACAACAAGGCTAACTAGGCAAGTTCGCTACATCGGTAGCTGAGGAAGGTCTCGACATCCCAGACTGTAACCTCGTTATCAGGTATGTTGGCTCAATGTCTGGCACTGAAGAGCTTGACCTAACTATGTAGGTTCGACCTATACCAAACGCTCATTCAATACGTGCAGAGCCGTGGTCGTGCACGGCATCACAAATCAACGGTATGAGAAAAGACTATAAACCCATGGAACCAGTGCTTACCGGGTTCACAGTATGCAACCATGGTTGAAAGATATAATTCACAGCATGAAGAGCGATTGCTTGAAGTTCGAGATGCTGAGGTAGGGCTACATTCTGTGTATAAAACTCCGACTAATAAATGTAGGGTCTAATGCAAGAATTCTGTGAGACTTTGCCCGAGGATAGATTGTTGCACGGAAACGATGACCTGGAAAGGATTCTCGAGAAAGAAGCAGACAAAAGGACTTACACTACCCCAACGGGTGCCAAGTTGACCTACCACTCGGCCATTGCCATACTTGCTCGCTATGCGAGTTCGCTCGTAAGTGTGGACCCCGTGGTTTTCGCTTTGAATGTATTGACCTAAAGTTCATAGCAATACGAGAAAGAACGAGACGCGAAGGTGCATTATGTGGTGCTCCCCGTCAACAATGCTTTTACCTGCGAGGTTATTCTACCAGAGAAGTCGCCAATCCGAGGACTTACTGGGAGCCCTGCGATCAGGAAATCGACAGCAATGCAGTCTGCGGCATTCGATACATGCATGCTGCTACGCAAGCATAAGTTACTCAACAACTACTTCCATTCAATGTTCCAACGTCGCTTGCCCGCGATGAGAAATGCCAAACTTGCGATTACCTCCAAGCAGACTAGCCAATATGAAATGGTAGTCAAACCGTCATTCTGGGACGCAAAGCGAGGCGAACTTCCAAGTAGCTTCTACGCTACGGTCATCTTGTTGAAACCTTCTTTTCCGCTAACAAGAGAGCACGCAAGTCTTTTGTTGCTAACTCGGGAGCCTCTCCCAGAGTTCCCAGCCTTTCCCATCTACCTCGACGACGACATAGAGACGACAGTACATCTCGTTTCTTTGCAGGAACAGCTAATTGTATCAGAAACGGAGCTGCAATACTTTACGAGCTTCTTCCTTCGAGTATTTCGGGATGTCTTCCACAAGACCTACGACCACCAACCTGAGAAGATGGCATATTGGCTGGGTCCCACAAATGTTCAAGACATACCTAGTCGAGACATAAGCCCTAGAGATTTGGTTGATTGGAAGGCCCTTTTATTCATGCATCAAAACGAGGTTCTACCAGTTCCGAGGAAAGCAAGCCCAGAATATCTGCTGAATCGCTTAGTGTTTGATAACTGGAACGGAACATGCAGGTACTTCACTCTTGCAGTCGAAAAAGCACTACATCCTTCCAGCCCTCCACCATCCTTTGTGGCACGGCGTAGGCACATGAGTGATATTATGAACTACAGCACCAGTCTTTCGAAAAACTCGCGTGCCAGATTCCTTTCAACCTGCGATTGGAACCAACCTGTCTTCAAAGCAGAATTGGTTCGCCTCCGCAGAAACCTTTTGGACAAGATGACGGATACAGAAAGAGAAGTGGAGACGAGGTGCTTCATCTGCGTCGAGGCGTTAAAGATTTCTGCGGTTAGTGACACTGCACCATTTCTTACTAACCGACTTAGGTACTAACGACTGGAAGATTCCTGCTTCTACAGCTGCCTCCTGTTTGGCATTTCCCGCGATCATCACTCGACTGAACTCGTACTTGATATCGCTCGAAGCTTGCGCCAGGTTAGATCTTAAGATTGAACTTAGGTTCGCTCTGGAGGCCATAACAAAGGATTCGGACAACACGGAGGAACATCGAGTTCAGCAAATTCATGTACAGAGGGGCATGGGGAAGAATTACGAGCGCCTTGAGTTCCTTGGGGATTGCTTTCTCAAGATGGCTACCTCGATTGCTCTTTTCTCACAGAATCCAGACGACGATGAGTTTGACTACCATGTCAATCGGATGTGTCTCATCTGCAACAGAAACTTGTTCAACGCAGCGGTGAAGAATGAGCTATACAAATATATCCGGACTCAAGGTTTCTCTAGGTATGAAGAAGCCCGGCGTCTTGGACGCATGCATTTCACTGACAGCGTCATCGAAGGCACTCATGGTATCCTGATGGTTTGAGCCTCTTGCAAGGAAAGGATCACAGTAAGAAGACGAGCTCAGAGAGTAAACATGCACTCGGCGAGAAGACCATCGCAGATGTTTGTGAAGCTCTGATAGGGGCATCCCTGCTTACTGGTGGATCTGATCATCGGTTTGACATGGCGGTCAAGGCAGTGACTGCTCTAGTTGACAGTGCGAACCACAAAGTCACTTGCTGGAGGGATTATCAGGGCCTGTACAACATGCCTAAATATCAACTCCAGAAGTCTGATGGCTTCGAGCTTGATCTGGCCCGACAGGTAGAAGAGAAGCTCGGCTATCATTTCAACTACCCCCGGCTGTTACGGTCAGCCTTTACCCATCCTTCCCTTCCCTCTGCCTGGGCCCAAGTCCCCTGCTACCAGCGTCTGGAATTTCTCGGCGACTCGTTGCTTGATATGGTCTGTGTCGAGGACATATTTCACCGATTTCCCGATCGTGATCCTCAGTGGCTCACCGAGCATAAGGTAGGTGACTGGATCAACACGGTCACTGCATGAATAGTGTTGACCGCTGAGCTGCAGATGGCCATGGTGTCCAATAAATATCTAGGTGCATTGGCGGTCAAACTCAGTCTTCATACACATCTGAAGCATTTCAGCAGCCCATTGCAATCGCAAATCACTCTTTATGCCCAGGCAATCCAGATTGCGGAGAGCGACAGCAAAGGCGCAGTGGATTACTGGGTTGATGCCAACGACCCTCCCAAAGTAAGCAAGCTCCTGAAGTTGTTTTGCACGGGAGCGAGCTAACCTGATTACCTAGTGCTTGCCGGATATGGTGGAGGCCTACCTAGGGGCCATCTTCGTTGACTCCAATTTTAACTTCGAGGTGGTTGAAGTATTCTTCCGTCAGTTCATCAAGCCATACTTTGAGGATATGACCGTCTATGACACATTCGCCAACAAGCATCCAACGGTAAGAACCGTCTCTCCTTGTTGCCTGCAAGTTATGGCTGACACAGGCTAGACCTTCCTCCATAACCGACTAGCAAACGAGTATGGCTGCCTGAACTACTGCCTTAAGGCTGGGGAGTTACCCAGCGCAGATGGATCTCAACCTACCGTGCTGGCAGCAGTCTTTGTGCATGATGCTGTGATTGCAGAAGGCGTGTCATCGTCCACTCGCTATGCCAAAGTCAAGGCCAGTGAGAGGGCCTTGGCAGCTCTGGAGGGGATGACACGTCTGAATTTCCGCGAAAAGTACAATTGCAATTGTCGGGAAGTGGGTGAGACGGCTGATCAGGAGATTGTTGGGACGGCTATTTGAGAGATGGTGTATTCTATCAAGTTGAACCTATGAAATAGAGAGAGTAGGAGCTGCAGCAATGAACAACAACTTCATAGCTTTATGGTCCAAGTCTAGAACTGTAGCTGCAGATCCGTGGTAAGAAAGACAACGGGCACGCTGCGGCTAGTCCTATAAGGGGAAGGTGGCAGGCGTGCCCCCTGATTGAACTTCGGTGCTAAACAGCCTTCCCGCGGGCGCTGGGCTGTTGTTCTCCAACCGCGTCCACTGGTTGGGAAAATTGAAAGCGACAAGACAGACTGAGGCCCGATCGGGAGATCTCTTTATTACTCCACCACCAAACACTTAGATATGAGCCCCTGAACAGTTGCTCCTTCACTCACTTCTCCGACACATCTCATACCGCTGTCCCTCACCTTATCGACCTTTCCCCACCCTGCTCTTCCTTAGTTCCGACTGTACTCGGAGCTTGGTTCAAATTCCGCGCACCCGCACCGATACCGCGACTTGCGTGCTGTCAACAAATCCCCAGCTTCTCCCGCTATTCCCTCCTCTTTCCCCGAACCCAACAGCACAAACGAAAACACCGAAAATCATCCTACGACCTCTATGGTTCTCGCGCGTGTTTGTACATAAGGAATTACAGCTATGGAGGTTGCCAGTGCGGAGGCCTCCAACGGGGTCCCGCCATCGGCGCAGACCACTGCCTTGGTCGACCCAAGTACTGTTATTCAGTACTTGATCGAGGTGCTGCAGGTGACTTTGGGCGCTCTGAGAACCGAGCTAGAAAGTACCGGAAGCTTGCTATCCAAGGCCAAATACAATGAAACCGTGCAGCGGTGTACCCGGTTTGCCTCAGAGTCGCAGGTCGCTCTCTATGTGCAGAAAGACCTGGTGACCGCTGAGGAGACAAACGAGACCGACGATGAGGAGGGTATGTGCTCTCCATGCGCAACTGCATCAATAATCACTAGCTAACCAATAATGATCCATGCGCAGAATCGTCAAGCCAGTACGTTTACAGCCTCTCTGCCGAAATCTCGTCCTCCCCCACGACCGTTGCGTCTGTCGCCTTCATCAAGCGGCCCGCCGCCATCGATTCGTCGCTTCCCATCTCGTCGCAAATTCAAGTCCTAAACCTGCCGGGTGTGGCATCCTCGAGTGCTGCCCCGGCCCAGCAGAGCAACTCCCTTTCACCCTACGAGATCCTGCACCTGCTGCTCCACCATGCGCTGAGTCCTTACTTCGAAGCCTATACCCGCACCCAGGAGGTCGCTGGTGCAGCGAAGCCTCGGACGGATACGGAGGTGAAGACTGGTGTTCCTGGCACCAAGAAGAAATTCGCGGAGCTGGAACTTGGACTTCTGCATCTGCAGCAGAATGTCGAGATCCCCGCCTTGAACCTGCCGCTTCATGAGGTGGTTCAGGGGGCGCTCATCGAGGCGGAGAAGCGAGGAGTCAGGCCTTCCGTGGAGTTGATCAGCCCGGCGATACTGGAAAGCAGCGCCTTCATAAACAGTATTCAGAGCAACGTCAATGGCTGGATTCGATCTATTCAAACGATCACCAAGATGTCCCGCGATGCCGATAGTGGTTCCGCAGCTCAAGAGATCAGCTTTTGGCTGTCGATGGAAACGGCTCTCGAAGGTATTGAGGCTCAGTTGCGCGGCGACGGCGTCCAGCTGACGATGGACATTCTACTTCACGCGAAACGTTACCAAGCTACTACCAGTTTCAACACCGATACGGGCCTGCGCGAAGCGACCGATCTGGTCCAGAAATACAACCAGCTCATGCGGGACTTCCCTTTGGATGAGCTGCTGTCGGCGACCACCTTGCAGAAGGTTCAGGAATCTCTGAACCTGATCTTCAACCACCTGAACAAGAAGCTGAAGATCTGTCCGTATCCCATCAAGCGCGCACTTTCACTGGTGGAAGCCATTTCTGGAGATCTCGATGGAGTCATCCATAAATTGCTTCACGGGCGCACTATTCTCCATCTCGATTATCGCGAGTTCCGGTCTTTGATGAAGACTGCTGGAGCCATCTGGAGAACCTGGGATGAAAATCTGAAGGAGTTCACCAACGTCGCTCGTGAAGCGACCAGACGCCGCAACGAGAAGTTCATTCCCATCAAGATCATTGCACGTCATGAAAAGACTAAAGAACGACTGAAGTATATCAACACGTTCCGGGTCAACCATGAACAGCTTCAACGCACCATCGTGAACGTCCTCAGCTCGAAGACATCCTCTGCGGGGGATGCGGCTGCCGGAGCCGCTGCCGAAGGTGCTGTCATTGTCGAGGAGATTGGCGACGTTGACGCGGTCGAAGAAGTTGCACAAGCCTACGCAGCTTTGAGAAACGTGGACGTGTTGGACGTCTCTCCTTATGGCACTCAGCAGTGGATTAAGGAGGAAATCGCCTACAACGAGCGTACCTCTCGTGTGGAGAATTCCATCATCGCCCGTCTCCGTGACCGTCTCGCCACAGCGAAGAATGCTAATGAGATGTTCCGTGTCTTCTCGAAATTCAATGCTCTTCTTGTTCGCCCGAAGATTCGAGGTGCGATCGGCGAATACCAGACGCAACTCATCGAAAATGTCAAGCAGGACATCTCTGCCTTACATGAGCGTTTCAAGCAACAGTATGGCCATTCCGAAGCACATGCTATGGCTCAATTGCGCGATATGCCCCCTGTCTCCGGTGCCATCATTTGGGCACGTCAAATCGAGCGTCAATTAGACGGATACATGCGCAAGGTTGAGAATGTGCTTGGCGAGGACTGGCACCTTCATTCCGAGGGTCAGAAGCTTCAGGCCGAGAGTAATCTGTTCCGCAAGAAGCTGGATACGCGCCCAGTCTTCGAGTCTTGGCTCCATGATGTACAACGGCGGCATATTACCATCTCGGGCCGGCTTTTCAACATCGTCCGCAATCGCGCAGCTGGGAACACGCTGGAGCTAACTGTCAACTTTGATGCCCAGATCATTGCTCTGTTCAAGGAAGTCAGAAACCTCATCTGGCTTAATTTTCAGGTTCCACATGCAGTGAGCAACATTTCCAAAGAAGCGAAGCGCGTCTATCCCTATGCGATTAGTCTGATGGAGAGTGTGCGCACATTGTTGCAAACAAATCGCTCGATCATGGCAATGACTGAGGTCGCTATCTTGTTGAATGGATACGTGAACGATGCTCAAACCATGATTATCAAGGGTGTTCCCCTGAGATGGGAGTCATTCGTCCACTCGTACGAACTTCATGTGAAGCAATCAGCATTGGCTAACGGTGCTATTGAAGCGGCCATTCCGACTAGAGGAGAGAGCAAGCATGTTCAATTCGTGCGTGAATTCGGTGGAGCAGCATCCGTACTTCAGTCCAAGACAGCGGTTCTGGCTTCCATCAACGAAAATATCCAAAAAGCGATTCACGAGCTGAAGACTTGTCCCTATGATGCTACTGCATTTAGACAACGCCTAGATGTTATTCAGGTTTCAGTTGATAAGCTGAATTTGGAGAACTATGTGAATCTTGGCTACTGGGTCGCTAATCTGAATCAAAAAATTGAGTTGATTTTGCGTGAGCGGCTTCACCGTGCCATTCGTGAATGGATCCTGTCGTTTCAGGAAGCAACGGATAGCCACCACACCATGCAAGTTTCGAGTGGAGTACAAACCGGTGAGACCGAAGCCTCATTGTACAGTATTGAGTTCCCTGGCTTGGTTCACGAGATTTCTATGCGTAACCAGGTGCTTCACTTGGATCCACCTCTTCAGTATGCCCGCGCGAGTTGGTTCTCGCATTTTGATAACTGGCTTGGCGTTATCTGCAACCTTGAAAAGATCAAGTCGTCTAGATACCAGATCTCGATTGATGTGCAGAAAGTTCAGCTCTCTGAAGCATGCTTTGCTACTCTTCCCCAATATTGCACCCATGAACTGAACCAGGTTTACAACACGATCGAGTTGAGAGTGAAGGAGGTTTCGGCGTATGTGGACAAGTGGTTGCAATTCCAGTCCCTTTGGGACTTGCAGTCGGAACAAGTCTATGACATCCTCGGTGATGACCTTTCTCAATGGTTGCAATTACTTCAGGAAATCCGAAAGAGCAGGGCTACCTTCGACACCTCGGAAGTGAGCCGGTCATTTGGTAACATCAAGATCGATTACGAACAAGTCCAGACACGTGTCAATGCCAAGTACGACCAGTGGCAGCACGAGATTCTACTCAAGTTTGGATCGAAGCTCGGAGGCCGCATGAGGGAGATCCATTCTGAGATCGCTACTGCTCGCAGGGATCTGGAAGGACAAACCCTGGAGGCAGCCTCTACAGCACACGCTGTCTCTTTCATCACGATTGTCCAGCAGTGCAAGCGCAAGGCCAAGGTCTGGGAACCTGAGGTTGATCTTTTCCGTCAGGGGCAGGCTACCCTTGCTCGCCAGCGCTATCAGTTCCCCAGCGATTGGCTCCATGTTGAGAACGTCGATGGGGAATGGGCAGCCTTGAATGAACTTCTTGCCCGGAAGAGCAAGATTGTCCAAGATCAGACTGAAGGACTTCGTGCGAAGATTGCGGCCGAAGACAAGGTTATTGGTGACAAGATCACCGAGGTCATCAGCCAATGGAACGAAGAGAAGCCCGTGTCTGGAACAATCCCGCCGGATGAAGCATCTCGCACTCTGAGCTCGTTCCAGTCTCGTCTTGAGTCTCTCCAGTCCGAGTATGAGATGGTATCCAAGGCGAAGGAAGCTCTTGATCTGCCAGCTGGCGTAGAGTCTGCGTTGCCAGCCATCCTGGAAGAGGTGCAAGATTTCATGTCGGTCTGGGCAGCTTTGTCCACCATCTGGAAGAGCCTCAACGATCTCCGGGACATGCTCTGGACGAGTGTGCAACCGAGAAAGCTCCGCCAATCCATTGATGGCCTGATTAAGATGACGAAGGAAATGCCTAGTCGCATGCGTCAGTATGCCGCCTTCGAGCACATTCAAAATGTCCTTCGGCAGCTACTCAAAGTCAATCCCTTGCTTTCCGACATGAAGTCTGAGGCCGTTCGCGAGCGCCACTGGCACAAGATCTACAAGGCACTGAAGCCGGGCAAGAGGTTCTCTCTTGTCTCCCTAACCCTCGGCGATGTGTGGGATCTTCAGCTTGCTGTCAGTGAGACCATCATCCGTAATATCATTGCACAAGCACAGGGTGAAATGGCATTGGAGGAGTTCTTGAAGTCTGTTCGTGAAACGTGGCAGAACTACTCGCTGGACCTCGTCAATTATCAGAACAAATGTCGTCTCATTCGAGGATTCGATGACTTATTTGCGAAGTGCAGCGAGAACCTGAACTCTCTGCAGGCAATGAAGCATTCACCTTACTACAAGGAATTCGAGGAGGAAGCTTCCTCATGGGAGGACAAGCTGAACAGAGTTCATGTTCTGTTCGACGTCTGGATCGATGTTCAGAGACAGTGGGTTTACCTTGAAGGTGTTTTCACTGGTAATGCCGACATCAAGCACTTGCTGCCCCTTGAATCGAGTCGCTTCCAGAACATCAACTCTGAGTTCTTCGCCGTCATGAAGAAGGTTTACAAGTCGCCTTTCGTGCTGGATGTCCTTGCCATCAACGGTGTGCAGAAATCATTGGAGCGTTTGGCCGAGCTGCTGAACAAGATCCAGAAGGCATTGGGAGAATATCTTGAGCGGGAGCGTGTGTCCTTCCCTCGTTTCTACTTTGTTGGTGACGAGGATCTGCTCGAGATCATTGGTAACTCCAATGATATCTTCCGCGTCGCCAAACATTTCAAGAAGATGTTCGCTGGTCTCTCAGGTGTCCTGATGGATGATGAGAACAACATCATCGGCTTCACGTCCAAAGAGGGCGAGGAGGTCCGACTCAAGAAAGAGGTCAACTTGGTCAAAACGCCGAGGATCAACGATTGGCTCAGTGCTATTGAAAGTAATATGAAGCTAACACTCGCCGAACTCCTGGCGGAAGCCGTAGAGCAATTTGAGCCTCTCTACAACGCCCCCGAAGTTGACCACACCGCCTTTAATGACTTTCTTGCAAACTACCCTGCGCAGATCGTCGTTCTTGCCACTCAAGTCTCATGGACCAGTGCAGTCCAGAGATCTCTGGAGAATGGTGGAAGCAATCTCCCTGCTCTGTTTGATGCTCAAGTCCGCGTTCTGGAGCTGTTGGCCGCCACCGTTCTTGGCGAGCTGGATGGAATCACTAGAAAGAAGTGCGAGCACTTGATTACAGAATTCGTCCATCAACGTGATGTGATCTCGAAGCTTATTTCCATGAACGCCTCCACCCCAACGCATTACTTGTGGCTTCTTCAGATGCGCTATGTCTACCACGCCGAAGGGGACTTCCTCCAGAGACTGTATGTTCACATGGCTAATGCTAAGTTGAACTATGGCTTCGAATATCTGGGTGTCCCTGAACGTCTCGTCCGCACTCCTCTTACCGATCGCTGTTTCCTTACACTCACCCAAGCCCTGTGTCAAAGACTGGGTGGTTCTCCTTACGGTCCCGCCGGTACTGGAAAGACTGAATCAGTCAAAGCGCTTGGTCTCCAGCTCGGGAGATTCACCCTCGTCTTCTGCTGTGACGACACTTTCGATTTCCAGGCCATGGGCCGCATCTTCCTGGGTATCTGTCAGGTCGGTGCCTGGGGTTGTTTTGATGAGTTTAACCGTCTGGAGGAGAGAATTCTGTCGGCCGTGTCTCAGCAAATTCAGAACATTCAAATCGGTCTACGGACTGGTGAAGACGATGACAAAGCCCAGATTGAGCTGGTCGGTAGACGTCTCTCTGTTAACCTCAACACTGGTATCTTTATCACCATGAACCCTGGTTATGCAGGACGTTCCAACCTCCCAGACAACTTAAAGAAGCTTTTCCGCAGCGTTGCCATGTCCAAGCCCGACAAGGAACTGATTGCCGAGGTGATGCTTTTCTCCCAAGGTTTCAAGCAAGCCAAGCGTCTCTCGACACAGACTGTTCCTTTCTTCGACCACTGTTCCTCTCAGTTGTCCAAGCAGGCTCACTACGATTTCGGTCTTCGTGCCCTCAAGAGCGTCTTGGTCAGTTCAGGAGGTCTCAAGCGTGCCAGAATCGCCAATTCAGACGGCGAACTGGGACCCGACGAAATCGTTGAGCCCCAGATTATTGTTCAGAGTCTTCGCGAGACGATTGCTCCCAAGCTGGTCCGCGAGGATGTGGAGAGAATGCTCGAAATTCAGAGGCAGGATTTCGCTGGGGTCGAATACGTGCCTGCCAACTATGAGAAGCTCACTGCAGCTGTCCGTGAGATTGCCAAGGAACAACACTTCGTCGATAGCGAGATGTGGATCACAAAGGCCCTGCAGCTCTACCAGATCCAGAGTATCCATCATGGTGTCATGATGGTGGGTAAATCCGGATCCGGTAAATCTGCTGCATGGAAGATTCTTCTGCAGGCCCTCCAGCGCATCGAAAATGTCGAAAGCGTGTCCCACATCATCGACTCTAAGGTCATGTCCAAGGAAGCACTCTATGGTAGTTTGGATGCAACTACTAGAGAGTGGACTGATGGTCTCTTCACTGGTATCCTTAGAAAGATCGTGGATAACCTTCGAGGTGAAGATGCGAAGCGTCACTGGATTGTTTTCGACGGCGATGTCGATCCGGAATGGGTCGAGAACTTGAACAGTGTTTTGGATGACAACAAACTCCTGACCCTTCCCAACGGAGAGCGTCTCAACCTGCCGCCTAATGTCCGTGTCATGTTCGAAGTCGAAAGCTTGAAGTACGCGACTTTGGCAACGGTCAGTCGCTGTGGTATGGTCTGGTTCAACGACGATACGGTCACTCCTTCAATGATGATCTCGAATTATGTCGAGTCGCTCAGAACTCGAACTTTCGAGGACCTGGATGATGACAGTGCTCCTGCCGGTCAAGCTGCCATCAAGACTCAGGATGCCCAGGAGATGCTTTCTAATATCCTCAAGCATCTGTTGCAGACTGATGAACTCGTCCTGAAGTCTCTCGACGAAGCCAAGAATTACAATCACATCATGGAGTTCACTAGTATCCGTGCTCTGAACACTCTTTTCAGTCTCCTCAACAAAGCCTGTCGGAATGTTCTGGAGTACAACATCCAACACGTCGACTTCCCCCTGGACTACGAGCAGATCGAGGCTTATATCTCCAAGAAGCTTCTCCTTGCACTTGTGTGGTCTTTCACAGGTGACTGCCCGCTGGTGGATCGCAAAGCCTTTGGTCAATACGTTTCTGCTTTGACGACAACTGATCTACCGCCGGATGGCTCGTCATCTATCATTGATTTTGATATTACTTTGCCGAAGGCCGAATGGACGAGCTGGCAATCGCAAGTGCCCTCAGTTGAGATCAACACACATTCAATCACACAAACTGATGTGGTCATTCCTACGGTGGACACTGTTCGCCATGAAGACGTGTTATACTCCTGGCTCGCGGAGCACAAGCCCCTGTTGCTGTGCGGTCCTCCCGGTTCCGGTAAAACTATGACACTGTTTGCTGCCCTCCGTAAGCTGCCGAACATGGAGGTTGTTGGTCTCAACTTTTCCAGCGCCACTACTCCTGATCTCTTGATCAAGACCTTCGAGCAGTATTGCGAGTACAAGAAGACTCTTAACGGTGTTGTCATGTCTCCGAACCAGATTGGTCGCTGGCTGGTCATCTTCTGTGACGAGATCAACTTGCCCGCACCCGACAGATATGGAACCCAACGTGCAATCTCCTTCCTTCGCCAGCTTGTTGAGCAGAATGGTTTCTGGAGAACTTCAGACAAAACTTGGGTTACCCTCGACCGCATCCAGTTTGTTGGTGCTTGTAACCCTCCTACCGATGCAGGACGTACTCCCATGGCTGAGCGTTTCTTGCGTCATGCTCCTCTTATCATGGTTGACTATCCTGGAGAGATCTCACTCATGCAGATCTATGGAACTTTCAACTCTGCCATTCTCAAGATTCTTCCTCTGTTGCGCGGATATTCTGAATCCCTCACGAAGGCCATGGTTCGATTCTACCTGGAATCGCAGACCAGGTTCACGCCTAAGATTCAACCCCACTATGTTTACTCGCCGCGTGAGCTTACCAGGTGGGTTCGTGGTGTCTACGAAGCTATCAAGCCGCTTGAAACACTCTCTGTCGAGGGTCTCGTCCGGATTTGGGCACACGAAGCACTGCGTTTGTTCCAGGATCGACTTGTGACTGAGGAGGAGAGAGGATGGACTGCAGACGCCGTTCGCCGTATTGCTCTTGACAATTTCCCTAGCATCGACGAGGAGCAGGCTCTGAAGGGCCCGATCTTGTTCTCCAACTGGCTGTCCAAGAACTACGTCCCCGTTGAGCAGGAGCGCCTGCGTGACTTCGTCAAGGCACGTCTCAAGACATTCTGTGAGGAAGAGGTCGATGTCCCTCTCGTTTTGTTCAACGATGTCTTGGAGCATGCCTTACGCATTGACCGAGTCTTCCGACAGCCTCAAGGCCATCTCATTCTCATCGGTGTCAGTGGAAGTGGTAAGACTACACTGTCACGTTTTGTTGCCTGGATGAACGGCTTGAAGGTGTTCCAGATCAAGGTGCATGGCAAGTACTCTTCCGAGGACTTCGATGATGACCTTCGAACTGTTCTTCGGCGCGCAGGCTGCAGGGGCGAGAAGATCTGTTTCATCATGGACGAAGCTAACGTTCTCGACTCTGGTTTCCTTGAACGTATGAATACTCTTCTGGCCAACGCAGAGGTTCCCGGTCTGTTCGAGGGGGATGAATTCTCGTCTTTGATGACCGCCTGTAAGGAGGGTGCGCAGCGACAAGGTCTCCTGCTCGATAGCCAAGAGGAGTTGTACAAGTGGTTTACGCAGCAGATTGTCAAGAATCTCCACGTTGTGTTTACCATGAATCCGCCGGAGGAAGGGCTCTCGTCCAAGGCCGCCACGAGTCCCGCGTTGTTCAACAGATGCGTTCTCAACTGGATGGGTGACTGGTCAGACCAGGCTCTCTTCCAAGTCGGCTCTGAACTTACGCAGTCGGTTGACTTGGACAAGCCGAACTTTGTGGCCCCTGATAGCATCCCTGTTGCCTATCGCGAGCTTAGCCTGCCTGCATCTCATCGGGATGCGGTGGTCAACTCTATGGTCTACATACACTACTCGCTGCAGCGCTTCAACCAGCGCTTGCAGAAGCAGCAGGACAGGACTACGTATCTCACTCCTCGTCACTACCTTGACTTCGTTGCACAATACGTCAAGCTCTTCAATGAGAAACGCGAAGATCTTGAGGAGCAACAAAGACATTTGAACGTCGGTCTTGAGAAGCTGCGGGATACTGTCGACAAGGTGAGCGATCTGCGAGCCAGTCTTGCCCAGAAGAAGACGCAGCTGGAGAAGAAAGACACGGAAGCGAACGAAAAACTCCAGCGCATGGTTGCCGACCAACGGGAGGCCGAGCAGCGTAAGGCCGTGTCTCTCGAGGTTCAAGCAGCCTTGGAGAAGCAGGAGAAGGAGGTTGCACTGCGGAAAGAGGTCGTCTTGAACGATCTCGCCAAAGCCGAGCCGGCGGTCCTGGAGGCTCAGAAGAGTGTCAGCAACATCAAGCGTCAGCATTTGACGGAAGTGCGTTCCATGGGTAACCCCCCTGCCAGTGTTCGTCTTACGCTCGAAGCTGTCTGCACCCTGCTGAAGGAACGGCCGGATAGCTGGAAGTCTATTCAGGGAATCATTCGCAAGGATGACTTTATTGCAAGGATCGTCAAATATGACAATGAGACTCAGATGACGAAACAGATCAGGATGAAGATGCAAGCCGAGTTCCTTTCCAATGAGGACTTCACCTATGAACGAGTGAACCGTGCCAGTAAGGCCTGTGGTCCTTTGGTGCAGTGGGTCGAAGCGCAAGTTAACTATTCCGAGATCTTGGACCGTGTTGGGCCCCTCCGGGAGGAAGTCGATCAGCTCGAGGAGCAAGCTCTGCAGACCAAGGCTGAGGCCCAGACCATCGACAATACCATCAGAGATCTCGAGAGCAGTATCGCCACCTACAAGGCGGAATATGCAACACTCATCAGTGAAACCCAGGCCATCAAGACGGAAATGGCGAGAGTACAGTTCAAGGTCGACCGGAGTGTTCGTTTGCTAGACAGCCTCTCCTCGGAGCGCATCAGATGGGAGGAGGGCAGCAAGTCGTTCGAGACGCAAATCAACACACTTGTCGGTGATGTGCTCATCGCAGCGGCGTTCCTCGCTTATGCTGGTTTCTACGACCAGCAATTCCGAAAGGCCATGATCGACGAGTGGGTCAATCAGCTGCAGCAATCGGGCATTAGCTTCAAGCCACACAACCCTATCACGGAATACCTGTCCAACGCCGACGAACGTCTGACATGGCAAGACCACTCGCTACCGGTCGATGACCTTTGCACTGAGAACGCCATCATTCTCAAACGCTACAACAGATACCCTCTTATCATTGATCCGTCGGGTCGCGTCACGGAGTTCTTGGAGAAAGAAAGCACCGATCGGAAACTCACGGTCACGAGCTTCTTGGACGATTCCTTTGTCAAACAATTGGAAAGTGCCCTGCGTTTCGGCAATCCCATCCTCATTCAAGACGCTGAGCATCTGGATCCCATTTTGAACCATGTGCTAAATAAGGAGTATCAGAAGACTGGTGGGCGTGTGCTCATTCAGCTTGGCAAGCAGGAGATCGACTTCTCGCCGTCATTCAAGTTGTTCCTCTCCACTAGAGATCCGTCCGCCTCGTTCCCTCCGGATGTTTGCAGCCGGACGACCTTCGTCAATTTCACTGTCACGCAGAGCAGCTTGCAGACGCAGTCGCTCAATGAAGTTCTCAAGTTCGAGCGCCCTGACGTTGATGCCCGGCGGACCGACCTGGTCAAATTGCAGGGAGAGTTCAAGATCCATCTTCGTCAGCTCGAAAAGCGACTTCTCCAGGCGCTCAACGAGTCTCGCGGTAACATCCTTGACGATGACAATGTCATTGAAACGCTCGAGACATTGAAGAAGGAAGCAGCGGAGATCTCCAAGAAGATGCTGGAGACCGAGGGTGTCATGACGGAAGTTGAGAATATCACGCTCAACTACAGCATCATTGCCCGTTCTTGCAGTGCCGTGTTTGCTGTTCTGGAGCAGCTTCACCATATCAATCATTTCTACCAGTTCTCTCTGCAGTTCTTTGTTGATATCTTCAACTCGGTCCTGTATCAGAACAAACGTCTTGCCCAAGAAAAGGACCATGCTGCACGAGTTCAGATCATCCTTCGGGACCTGTTCGTTACGACTTACCAGCGTACCTCGCTTGGACTGATTCAGAAAGACCGGATCACTTTGGCAATGCTCCTTGCTCAGGCGGCTCCCTACGCAATGGACAAGAGTATCATCGACATGATCCTTGATGAGTCGATGGAGGGCGTGGACCTTTCTACGGCCCCTGAACGTAAGGAGGAAGTGATTAACAAGATTTCCAACATGTCTATTTTCAAGGCGACCTTCCCTGCCATTACTCCCGAGCAATGGAACCAGTTCCTCGGCGAGGAGCTGGCGGAGAACTTTATCCCTGCCGTGTGGGATGACAACACAGAGAATCTGGATAAGCTACTTCGGTCGTTGTTGTTGGTGAAACTTTGCAGGATGGACCGCTTCGTGCCTACTGCGGAGCGTTTCATCGAGGCTGTCTTCGGTCGGGAGCTGTTCGAGGGAAGCACGGATCTGAAGGATATTGTGGAGCAGGTCACGGCGACCACGCCAATCTCTCTGAGCTCGAGTCCTGGCTTCGACGCAAGCTACAAGGTCGATGCCCTTGTTGAACGCATGGCCGCCACCTGCGCGAACATCGCCATGGGTTCCAACGAGGGTCTGGAGAGCGCCGACAAGGCGATCAGCAACGCCGCTGCGGCCGGCACCTGGGTCCAAGTCAAGAACGTACATCTGGCGCCTGCCTGGCTGCAGAGTCTGGAGAAACGTCTGGAGTCGCTCAAGCCCCACAAGGATTTCCGACTTTTCCTGTCCATGGAATCCAGCCCGAAGATCCCGGTCAATCTCCTCCGTGCCTCCCGAGTGCTGATGTACGAGCAGCCCGCCGGTGTCCGTGCCAACATGAAGGATTCGCTCTCGTCATTGTCTACGAGAGCCTCCAAGGCGCCGGTCGAGAAGGCTCGTGTCTACCTGCTTCTGTGCTTCCTACATGCCGTCGTGCAGGAGAGACTCCGTTATGCCCCTAATCTGGGATGGAAGGGATTCTGGGAATTTAACGACAGCGATGTAAGTTTTTATGCCTATTCCCCAACCTGTCATTGTCCTTTTACTAATGTTCATTCGGTAGTACGAATGCTCCGCCCACATCATCGACTACTGGGTCGACACCGTCGCCCAGGGCCGCTCCAACGTGGCGCCCCAAAAGCTCCCCTGGGAGATGATCCGCACGCTCGTCACCGAGACCTACGGCGGCAAGGTCGACGATCAAGCCGACTTCCAGCAGCTGGAGACCCTGGTCTACAAGCTCCTCACGCCCGCCGCCTTCGAGGACGAGCACCAGATCGTGGCGGGGGTTGACAACAGCGACGACTGCCTGACCCTGCCCGGAGGCACCAGCATCCGCGACTTCGTCGACTGGGTCAACCGCCTCCCCGAGCGCGAGCCCCCGACGTACCTGGGTCTGCCGGCCAACGCCGAGAAGCTGCTGCTCGTGGGCCACGGCAATAAGATGGTTTCCGATTTGGCGAAGGTGACGACGTTGTTGGATGAGGGTGAGCAGTTGATGATTGAGGGGTCTGCTTGATTTTCCTTTCTGTTTTGATCTTGGGTTTGGGAGGTGGTGTTGGTGGGGGTGGAAGGAATGGAATGAACTTTTCTTCTGAAGTGTGTTGATGACTGATAGCTTTAGGGGTGTTTTGATTTAAAGGTTAATGGGGTTCCAGGGGTGTTTAGAGGGAAGTGGGTATCGTAGATAGAGAAGACAAAGGGACTGTATTTTAGATGTGTATACCATTCAACTTGGGTTGTGTTTATTAGATTTAGAGAATGTGTTTTTTGTTCAAATTGTGAGTGGTCTTCATTCAGAACTATACAGTATCGACAGGATCGACAGTATTACAGAAGACAAGATGGATTACCAGTGGTTCAATTCAATCGAATCGGAGTATCATTAGATAACGCCTCCTCTCTTCAAGCCCTAGCCTAGTCTCAAGTAATATCGGACACCAACCAGAAGAAATATTCCACAACCAGAAGGAGAAAACAACATTCCGTCGACACAGTCCTCATGGATCAATCACCACCACCACCTTCTCCTCCCGAAACAATCCTACCGTACCATATCACGTTCATAATCCCAAGTAGATAAACTCCATTACCCCAGGTCCCTCAAGGAAACTCTCTCACATCCTAACGAGCTAACCATTCCAAGACAGAGTATGCATCCATCCAGCCGTACCAGATAAAGACAACTGACCAGGAACAAACCAGACCAATCCAGTCTTCCTTCCTTCCTGGATAGGAACCAGGTGTTTTTCATGCCAAGGTTTCGTCAGGTAACGGGTGTAGAAAATCAGTGCTCTTGAGTTTTGTAGTCATAGTGCCCGGTCTAGAGGTGCAGACGATGATCGACGAGAATAGTAATTGGCAGTTACAGGCAGGGATAATCGAGGATACTAGATGGAGCTTCGATTTGGGCTGCCTGCGATCTACCAGCGGGAGATCCTGTCGTGGAATCCGTAGATCGGATTGCCCATCTTGTTTCTTTCTGTTAGGTTTGTGGTCTCTTGTTTGAGTTTGGGAAGGACTTACTTGGTTCAAGACGAAGATCACCTATTTCGGTAATAGGGGGTAGGTGTTAGTTTTTGTTTCTGGGGTTTGTTTGTAGACGTTAATGTGGAAGGAAGGCAGGGGCTTACATCTTGGGTGCTGACGACCTTGTTTTTAATTTCTTGTTAGTTTTTATCATGTTTTATGTTCGTTCTGAGGGTGTTGTGATCAGGGTGTGTGTGTTTAAAATGATGGGGAGTGGGTTGGAGGACATGTTGTTGACCACAGGATAGGTTGTCAGTTCAGGTGAAGGATGAGTGAGGTTACAGTTCTCCAGCAGTGAACACAGTGAAATTAGACAAGAAAAGCTAGCTTACCTTGCGCTCGTGGCCGTGGGTGGTCGCACTGTCCATCACCAGAACGACGCGGCGAATTATCTACCCGTATCGCGTGGTTAGTCTTGTTCTTTTGCTTGCGCAAGCAGCGACTGGTTTTGTGACTTCGATACAAAGCAGTCCGTCCCTAGAGTGAACTCACCTCCGTCAATCGCTCTTTTAACGCGCGACGGGCTTCATCGTAGATGTCTGCGCTGATTCTGCAGACTCCGCCGCGGCGGGCTAGGCGACTGGTTGTAGATTTGGTTAGCTATGGGTTGTCTTGAGTGGTTTGAGGTGGTTTTATATGCTCCAAGCACGCTGTGCTTGATTCTGGTGCTTTGAAGCCTTGGAGTTAAGGTGTGTGTACCAGATGGCTGGACGTGCTGGTTGTGTTTCTGTTAGTTCGGGGATCTTGAGACCGTCGTGGAATGAGATGGATACTTACTAACTCCCTGTATGTTGTCACGGTACAACTTGCTGTAAGGTAGTGGTTAGTGAGTTGCTAAGCTGGTTGGCTCGCTCATGGATATCTAGCTGAAGTGTAGGAGTGCAATAGTCTAGAATGGAGGGAGCTAGGAAATCAAAGCAGGCGAATGCGCAGCGTACCGGAATCTCTTCCGAGGTGGCATGAAGGGTTTGTGTTTTTCATTCTGTCGAAGCAGATTGACGTCCATCCTGATGATTGTACGTTGGCAACGTTGAGGATAGGATAGCCGAGTGCTTTCTCTCGATCCCAGACGGCCAAGTGGTGCTGGAGGACAAGGGAGGTGAAGGCGTGGTTGACGATTCTACAAATCCCATGGCAACAGATAATCTGTGCTGTGTTGTGCTGCGATGATTAGTCGTCGAGGGGTAAGCTCGGCGTTTCACAAATTAACACCAGAGAAATTACTTGGGAACGAAACGACACATGACAGTAACATTAGATATCGTGGATAAGTTTATAGGCTATTAGAATCAATATCACGTTGCGGTGCGTATGGATGCATGAAAGGAGAGCGTGAAAATCCACACCACTCAGACCACCTGGTCCATGTCCGAGCTGATGTCCTCCGTCTATGAGATGAAAGTCGCCTCAGAGAACAAGGTACCCTCCTCGGTAATTTCTTCATCGCCGATCTTGAGCTTGAAAGCCAGCTTCTCCTGGGGAGAGTACTACAGACCAGTCAGTTCGACGTGAACGAGACACATATAGTCACCCGAATACATACCTGGAAGATGTACGGCCGGGTGCCCGCGACACTGCCAGCAATAGTCTTGATGAAGCCGGGAACCTCGGCCATCACGTCGATCCGGTCCAGACGGTTGCCGAGAGACCCATCGACCTCCGCGTGAACCTCCTTGCCATCCTTGGACTTGCCCTCCCAGACCCACTTGACGGACTTCGGCTCGGGCCAGTCACTCTCGGCATCCTGGTGAGATTCCGTGTGGGTGGCGGTGTTGGTGCTACCGGCGTAGACGATCTCTCCGTCCTTGACGATACCACCGACATTGACCACGGTCGATCCATACGAAGGGGGCGTGGTGTATTCCATCATGATGGCCGAGTACGTAGGGGTCTGGAAGTTGAGGAAGTTCCATCTCGCAGCTGGACTCTTATTAGGGCGTACATCCAGAGACAAATTGCAGATCCGACTTACCCGCGTGGTGGGGCTTCATGCCCTGGAGCGCGTGGATGAACAGACCGCGGCCCTTGAGGTCGAAGTTCTGCTCCTTGGTGGTGATGGTTCCCTCCACGGCGCAACGAGGCCAGAAGGCATGGCTCATAGAGCCCCAAGGATTCTGCGGATCCGTGCCGAAGTATGAAGTACCGTCCTTGCCAACAACAAAACCCGGAGCGGTGCGCTTGAAGGTCAAGTTCACCAGACTGTCCTCATTCACAGCCGACTTAATAGTGTAGGTATCGCCCTCCTCGTTCAGAGTCACAGACAGGTTGTCGGCGCCGAAGGAAAGCATGCTCTCATCGAACATGAAGTTGGAGAGAGGGTCGGAATGCCAGTTGTGGGGAGCGTCGCCCTTGAGGTTGAAGATCTTGGACGTGAACTGAGCGGTGGTGTGGATTCCACTGGCACCAAGCACATGCCAAGGTCAGTGATTATACAACTATAGATCCTCGAAAGAGGGGTTGGCAGCTGCGAGGAGGGGTTCCGAACTCACACAATGTTGCTGTAGATGACCTGGCATAGGGCTAGGGTGCCATTGTCGCCCATGACATAGAAGACATGAGTCTCGACGTTGGTATATTGGTGAGCCCGCCAGCGAAGATCATCCTTGGTGAGTTCGGTGTAGGGAGTTTCTTGTGCCTGCTGGGCAACTGATTTGATAGCCTCCGGGCCATAGATCGGTTCCTGAGTACCAGCAACGCTGGCGAGACTAGAAGCACCAGTAATCAGTATATTAGAGTAATCAGCTGATGATGTTAACATAGGCCAACGTACGTAGACTTAAGCCAGTTCATAATGAGCTGTAACTGACAGAGATAGGTGAGAGTAGGAGAGGGTGAAGCAGCACCGGTGGGGGGGGGGGGAGGGGGAGAAAAGAGCAGGAGCAGGAAAGGATGGACGGGAACTGGAAATCGATAGCGGGCGGGGCCCAAAGGGGTCGATCACCGTCTGGGTCCCGAAGAAGGGCCTTCGAGGGACAAGTAAGCGACGGATGAATCGAGGATTGATTGATAGTATCGCGGATACGAGTGAAAGGTAACTGGAATCAGCTACTGCTCGGTGTATCAACACATAACATGATCCGAAAGGAAGAAAGAAATGAGGGGAAAGTTAGTTCATAGATTGACTGATTGATTGATCGAATGTAGAAGGAAAGAAGAATGACGTCCGCATTGGATGCTTTTGCCTGTGCCCCAAACGGCAAGAAACTCCGGTCCCCGCCGCGCCCTTTCCTCATTGAGAAACCCCAAGAAAAGTTCCAGCAGTTCTCGAGCCGCGTCCATCGGGTCTGTTGCAAGCTGGAAGTTGATTGTTGACTCCTGGTTCAGTCGGTCAATTGCCACCTCAGTTCAGTTTCAAGTCCCTGAATACCTCACGCTAGTCAATCACCATGGCGAAGAAGGCATTGCCCAAGGATCAGATCGTGAAGCTCATCGTGGGCGCCGGTCAGGCCAGTCCCAGTCCTCCCGTCGGTCCGGCCCTGGGTAGTAAGGGTGTGAAGAGCATGGATTTCTGTAAGGTGAGTACCAAGTCTGGAGCAGACGGAAGGAACGACAACAATTGTGGAAAGCATCTACGTATGCCCCGCCGGAGGGAAGAGTCCACATGGCTCACGACAACCACTATATAGGAGTTCAACGCCCGCACGGCGCACATCAACACCGGTGTCCCCATGCCGTCGCTCATCACCGTCCGTCCCGACCGGTCGTTCTTCTTCGACCTCCGCACCCCGACTACCACCTACCTTCTTTTGCAAGCCGCCAACGTCGAGCCGCGCAAGAACCGCATTCGCGGTGCCCAGAGGCCCGGCCACGAGACCGTCGGCACGATCTCCCTCAAGCACGTCTACGAAATCGCGAAGATCAAGCACACCGAGACGAGACTGTCGGGTCTGAGCCTGCAGGGTATGTGCAAGAGTGTCATCGCCCAGGCCAAGTCGATTGGTGTTGAGGTTGTGCCGTAAACGGCAAACGAGCGAAAGAGGTGACTGGAATCCGTCGACTGTGTATTGTATATGGGATCCCTGCTACCGGGCGATTACTGCTGCTCGCTGTCTGGGACTGATGATCATGGCGTTCTTGGGGGATTGGGTCTGTTGTCATTTGTATTATAGGTATTGCATGTGATCTAGAAAGCGTTGGCTGGTGCCTGAAGCGTTCTACACAAATCTCCCGGTCTTGCTTTGCAATCGTAAGTGCCATTAAGCGGTTGACGGAGTCAGCGGCTCTTGGCCACTAAGTGTCTCGCCGAGGTTGCATGCCCGTAGGCATTCTGTCTTGGCTCAAGCAGAGAGACTCCTCCGTGTCACCCGCAAGACCTCAACTGTCGCCATGCCAAGCAGTCTCCGCCGTCTATCGAGCAACCGCGAGCGGAAGTGAGGACAGACAGCATGAGGCAAAGTCCGAGTTGCAAGGAGCCGAGAGGCGGACAAGACTGCACCAGGAGTAATGACGCAGAACCCGGTCAGCCGTCATTTCTGCCGAGCCAGGCCAAGAGGAGGAGGGTACGCAAAGTGCAGCTATCCATTGATGATCATTGCGATCGCCTGGGCTACGGCGAAGTTGAACACTGGGAGGGTAGTAGAAGGAGGCAGTGCAATTGTTCCAGGCTGGACTGAAACGCTTGGGCTTGGCAAGGGCGGGAATACTTGTGTATCTCACGCAAGTTTTGTGATATCGCTCGGCTTGGCATTCCTGAAGGAGGACGCGGAGATGCGGAGATGCGTCAGAGTGAGTCGCTTACATTCCACTGTTTCTTTTTCCGGTCTTGTTGCAGCCCCTGCTTTGACAGTATCTCGGCGGCGATCATGACTACCAGGCGGTTCGCTGTCACCGCCAGATGGGGTGGAGTGTGGTCAATGGGCTGGACGAGTCTATTTTAGGGTGTGTTGATGGAGCAACAGGGAAGTAGATATGTTGATCGTGGAAACTGATAGGTAGGAGGATAGTCAGAGTCACGGTGCGCGTGTCGCAGCGGCATGAATCAACCTTTGTAATGATTGTTCCATCGGAGATCGAAGCAAGAGCAAGGAGAGGAGTTGGAAGCAGTATCCCGTCGCTGCTTTCGGCTCTGCCAAACTCCTGGTCTCGCGATGATCGAACTCAATCCTATAACGAGATAACGAGGTTACTGTAGTTAGATAACTAAGTCACTAACTACAGGGAAGACGGGCTGATAAATGCGAGTACTATAGGCTAAAGCGATCCGCAACGCCCGGGTTAAATCACTGCCAATGCCGGCCTAGTCTCTAAGGCTGCCTGCCGTTGAGCTGCAGCCCAGCTTCTAGATTGGCCTTCTATCATCCTAGTTCTTGCCGGGTCTTTTCCTACTGGATCTGTACTTTGGTGGCAGACACCTGGCACAAGATCCTCATCGACTCCGGAGTAAGAGTGGTGGCAACGAATGGGGCAAGCACCGCTGCTGTTATTTTCTGACCCCCCGCGCTTCTTGATAATTGCTGTCAGCGCATGGCGAAGATGGCTTGCGAATGATATTTATTACTTGTTGGTCAGTCCTAGGCTTTAGATTGACTACTACGTGTTATTTTCCATCTTTCCTGGGAAGAGCGTTGAGCAGTAGCTACAGATCACTCCATAGGACCGACATTCTTTGATCAATCAATCCATTCAACGCAAATAACATGGGGTAGGATAGGATAGGATCATACTGTGGGGAGGGGGAAGGAAATACTGGGGACGAATAACAAGTAAAATCTATGGATCAATCCGGCGGGGTGGACCGATCAAATAACAAGGTGCAGTGCAGGGAAGGGGCTGGTTTTAGAGCCACGCCAGTTGCGATCCAGAAGAATCTAGCGGGGTACAAATACTCTAAGAGATAAGTGAGTCGGCAACACGGCACTGCGTCCATTCGCAGCTGATCAAAGCTGATCAATCCGGATCAATCCCGGCCATGGTTGGATTTGCCTACTCCGGCCAGATGACAGTCAAAATAATGATGTCGACATCCAGGGTTCGTCCGGTGATTCATGGTTCCCTCCGCAGAATCCCGACCGCAAAGCCTGTTGATGGCCAATCTTCTCCGCACGGGGTCGGGGTTCGCTCTTCCTGCGTAGAAGATGGAGAGAAAGAAGAGAAGTGTGGATGAGAGAGGGGTGGAGTGGATATCGTGAACCGTGCATAGCAGGCCAGATTCATAACCTTCTGGTTACTTAGTACTTATCATCTTGTCTCTTCTCTTTTGGGGATTCTAGAATTCTACGTAGAATCCGGAACCGGCTGGGGCAATGATTGAGAGGAGAAATCCCCGGTCAACTTGCCCATTTGCAGCGGGCAGTCTTCTACTAACCTAGTAGTACTCCGTACTGATGTCCTGTCCTGTCCTGGACTCGTCGAATCTCCCGTTTCATGAATGAATTCAAGTACTGTAGCCTGGCGAGATTGAGTCACCTGTTAAACAATCAATTTCGAGTCCATTCCCAGTGAGTAAGCCCGATCCAGGATCAGTCGAAGAGGGAAATTGAAAGTTGATGCTCCGTCCGTGCCGCCGCTATTGCCGCCGCCCGGCTTGACTTCCTTCGCCGAACGGCTGCTTCTGTTTCTGACTCTCTCTCACTCTCTCTCTCTCTCTCTCTCTCTCTCTCTTTCGTTCCTCTAGTCTATTTACTTATTGCTTTCCAGCCCGGTGGAACTTCCCGTGTCGTCTTCCCCTTCCCTCTCTTTTTCCCCCCTCCTCTGTTTCCCACTTCCAGACCCTCCGGCCCTCCACTTCCACTTCCACTTTCATCTCCCTCCAAACCCCCCCAATTTTCCTCTTCCACCTTCTCCTCACCTTTTCTTCCTTGTCTCATTTTCCTATGGTCAAGGTCAACCCTCCCAAATAATTCTTAATGTTGAGTGGGACAATTTTTCACTCAATCTTCTTCCATCTCTGCTCAGCGTCCACAGTCTTCCGGTTCGAGTAGTGACCGTTTCTGGACAAAAGATTTGCTCCGTCGTGCATAGGAAATCCTCCGTGCAACTCCCGTTCTGGCTCTCCTACACTCAAGCTACCTGGCTTTAGTCGCCGCCTTTCACAACAGCCCCCTTTGTCGCAAAGTGTTGCATTTCTGGATTACCGTTCATTTCATTAGTACTGTGTTCGGTACCATCGCTGTGGTCGAGTGATTCCAACAGGCATCAACCGTGGAGGGGCATGCCGTCCCACAGCGTGGTCTTGAGCCGAGTATGACGTCTGAAGCCACCGATTTTGCCCAAGCGAGCAATCCCAGCGACTTTGGTAAGCTACTCCCCCCCTCCGCTGCCACCACCCTCCCCACCCTCCAAGCAACTGCCTAATGCCATTTCCGTGCTCTTCTTAGCATCTCGCTCCCCTCAATTTTCCAACCAGATAGCCCCTGGTCCCAACATGGCCGCGGGAGAGGTCGATCCCAGGCTTAGTTCCCAACCCGGGCAGGTCCGGTTCTCCACGGTAACTGAGGAAATCGAGCCTACCGATCCGTCAGCCTCCGTCGAAACCCCCGGAGCAGATTCGATCAAGGATGCGCAGCATGAGGAGGAACTGCGGTCGCTAGCTGCCAGCCTGCAGCGATCTCAATTGCAGGAGAATCGACTGCGACAGTTCTCTTACGACCCGATCTCACTGCCTTCGTCCAGAGTAGGTTTCCCAGAACCCTGGTCGGTGATAGGTTTTTTTTTGGGGGTCGCGCAGCGTACAGCAAAGAACGTTCCATCTCTGCGGATGGATTCCTCCTCGCATGACCCTGCATGACCCTTCTAGACCAGGCCAGAAGCTGACTCTGGCACCCTTCCACACAGGTTGCCTCCCGGGAATCGAGCGACCGCAGTGCACGAGAAGCAAATGGATCGGGGTTCCCCTCGCCTCGGGGTTCCCCACCAGTGTCCGCTATGCAATCCCCCCCGCTGACGCCCGCAGCCACTCATTCACGTGAATCCAAGTCGATTGACACTACCTCCACATCCAATGCCACCGATCGGGCGGGGAATGACGGTCAGCCCACAGCAATGACGCCTGCAACCTCCCCTCCGACCAGCGCTACCGCACAAGGCAAAGCCCCCCAAAGTGCACCCTCCTCCCGTCCGCCCTCAACCGACCAGCTGTCGAAACAGAACCAAGTGGCACAAACATCTTCGCATCCGAACAATGGCGCGCGACATCGAGCACAGTTCTTCATCGGTCCTGCGGAGGGCTCCCAGGAGGAGAGCCCTCCGGCCACCCCTCGCGGTGATCCTGAGAGCTATACTCCTCCCGGTACCATTACCCCGGTGGGTGAGCCGAATGATCCGTATGCTCGCAGCAAGCGACCCCCACAACCGAAGAATCTCGCCCAACTCGACCAGCGGTTCATCTTCGGCAGTCGGGACTCTAAGCGTCGCACCACCACATCGGCCTTCGCACGCCCACTGAGCCCTCGTTCCTCCAGTGCTACGGATCTTCGGACTAGCGAGAAGCGCAGTGGCTTCTTCAATTCCAAGCGAGAGCCACGGCAGCAGGAACCTGAGGGAAAGTCCCATAGCCACATGTCCGAGCTGAAGCGCTTCTTCAAACGGAACCATAACAAACACAAGCGAGGAGATTCGCCGTCGTCGATCCCCTTCAAAAAATCGAGCCGGTCCTCGGCAAAGGGTCCATTCCACGCGGCAGCCGACAGTGTTCCATTCGCCGATGATCATGGTCTCAATTCCAAGTACGGTAAACTAGGCAAGGTCCTAGGCTCGGGAGCTGGAGGCTCGGTTCGGTTGCTCAAGCGAAACAGTGATGGGGTGACCTTTGCGGTCAAGCAGTTCCGAGATCGCCATTCATGGGAGACCATGAAGGAATACTCCAAGAAGGTGACTGCAGAGTTCTGCATTGGGTCCACCCTGCATCATGGCAATATCATCGAAACGCTAGACATCATCCAAGAAGGAAGCCATTGGTATGAAGTCATGGAGTATGCGCCCTTCGATCTATTTGCCATTGTCATGACCGGGAAGATGGTCAAGGAAGAGGTTGCCTGTGCTTTCAAGCAGATCCTCAGTGGAGTCGCTTACCTGCACGGAATGGGCCTGGCTCATCGTGATCTGAAATTGGACAACGTGGTCGTCAATGAGCATGGTATCATGAAGCTTATTGATTTCGGAAGTGCCGTGGTTTTCCGGTATCCCTTCGAGAACGATATTGTACTCTCTTCGGGTAAGTCCACCCTGGATGTGGTGTGAAAATCGGGTGCTCACAAGCTTTGACAGGAATTGTTGGCTCGGACCCATACCTTGCTCCAGAAGTCTACGACGAGAAGAAGTATGACCCCCGCCCGACAGATGTCTGGTCCCTGGCCATCATCTTCTGCTGCATGACGTTGCGTCGGTTCCCCTGGAAACAACCCCGTGTCAGCGATAATTCGTACCGACTATTTGTTTCCACGCCGACTCCGGGAACTCCGGTACCTGAGGTCGACCCGAAACGCCACCGGGTCGTCAAATCATCACCTGATCTTGTCACCACTGGCCATGACAGCAAGCCCGCCCAGCCCAGTATTAACACCGATGTCTCCGGACAAGCGCCACAGACGAATGGACAGCAACCTCAGACTCCTGCTGCTGGTGGTGAGGAAAATCAGCCTCCGAAGAGTCCTCAGGACAAGCCGCTGGTGACCAAAGCACCTACGGATAGCAAACATGCCAATGCTACCACTCACAAACCGTCTCGTACCACGAGCAAGGAGGCCCCTCCACTTCCGGCCAACGCCCAGGCGGCGGCTCAGCGACAGGAAGTCATCAAGGGTCCCTGGCGACTTCTCCGGCTCCTGCCCCGCGAGAGTCGGTACATTGTTGGCCGCATGCTCAAGGTGTCGGTGAAGGAGCGCGCCACGTTGGACGATGTCTTGACTGATGAGTGGGTGCGCAACATCAAGGCTTGTCGGCAGGAGTTGACCGGCGAAGTCATCCATGCGCCAGGTCACACGCATGTCTTGGAACCCCCTTCGGCTACGGTGCCAGTTCCCAGCAAGGCCAAGTGATCTTGCTCTATTCTTCAACTGTATAATCTCGTGTTTGTCAAACCTAAAAGGGTGTTTACGTCCCGATGTTTTAATAATTTTTCCTTGCCCGGACTACACTCCTCGCCCCTGTTTTTCTTCGATTCGTTTATTTTACCTTGATTCCCTCCGACTACGATGCTGATCTCGGTGACCTCACCTGCTCTGGTCGATTGTTTCTTTTCTTATTTCTTTTCGCTTCATGGCGGGGCTTCCTGTGCAGTCAGATATACTTGCGTGATCGATACTCCTCTGTGCTCTGCATTGATTGCTGGTTGCTTCTATTTTTCGAGAGCCCTCACAGCGTTGGACAGAGGGTGTGGGTTTCTGTCGCTTTTTCTTCTTCTCAATCTAGGCGTTGAGGTCACTGTCCGTGAAACGGAGCTGCTCAGGCAAATCATTCTTCCCTATAGAGGGTGGGCTGCTAGAAACATTTCTTTGTCTGTCTTGTGATTTTTCATCCTTCGGAGCCCTTCGATCAGAATGTTTTCTTCGTGCTGTTTTGTTGTATTGGGGCCAGTTATGGGCATAGTAGATATTATCAATGAAAGCATATCTTTGTGCATTGCATGGGCGCTAGTTGGGGTTTGACGTAAGGCGGAGATTGCGGAATTAGCCCGATAATCGGAGGTTGACGATTTGCCGACTTCTTTCGACGGCTGCTCGGCCAGAACTCGCACACGACCACGACCCGAACGATTGCAGGGAATTTTGGAGGTTCTAGTGCAACCCGTGTGATAGTCCGAGAAAGGATTCTGTAGCACTTGAAAGATCATTGAGTTTCCGGCCGAGCTGCCGCCTTCCTCCATCCTCCATGGCGTCAACCTCGGAATCCGAGCCCATGGTCTCGCTGTGGACGCGATCGTTGATTGTAGGCTTCCCTCGTGAGCCAGTGACGCAGCTACTAATTTTGGGGATTACTTTGTCTAGTCCGGAGCCATTGCAGGTCTGACAGTAGATTGCTCACTGTACCCGCTTGATACGATCAAGACCCGTCTCCAGAAAGCGCGCACGGCACCTGCAGCTGCGAGCGCCATTACGCCCGTCTCGCTCCGCCAAACGATCCGCGGCATCTACGCGGGACTCCCCTCGGTGCTCTTCGGATCTGCGCCGTCCGCAGCCTCCTTCTTCATCGTCTACGATGGAGTGAAACGCCTCCTCCTTGAGCCTTCGTCGTCATCTTCTTCCGCCGCCGCCGGCACCCCTCCTCCTCCCCCCTCGCGCACGCACATCTTCCTCACACACAGCCTCGCGTCCTCAATGGGCGAAATCGCCGCCTGCGCCGTCCGCGTCCCGACAGAGGTAATCAAGCAGCGCGCCCAAGCCGGCCTCTTCGGCGGCTCCACCGCCGCCGCCCTGAAGGATATTCTGGCCTTGCGCCACGCCCCCGGTGGAGCTGGAGGCTACACCCAAGTCATCCGCGAACTCTACCGCGGCGCCGGCATCACCATCGCCCGTGAGATCCCCTTCACTGTCCTGCAATTCACCATGTGGGAGCGCATGAAGGAGGCCTATGCACTCCGTAATCAGGTTGATATTGTCCCGGCGACTACGAGCGCTATGTTTGGGAGTGTCGCTGGTGCTATCTCCGCTGGGTTGACTACGCCGTTGGATGTCGTGAAGACGAGGGTTATGTTGGCTAGGAGGGGTGATTCTTCTCCTGGTGAGACTGGTGGCGTCAGGGTGAGGACGGTGGTTAGGGAGATTTGGGTGAATGAGGGGGCTGGGGCGTTTTGGAGGGGCATTGGGCCCCGGGTTGCGTGGATTGGGATTGGGGGCGCGGTGTTTTTGGGGAGTTATCAGTTTGCTTGGAATTCTCTGGGGAGGGATTCAGGACTTAGGGGTGAGTAGGGGGAGTTTTTGGAGAGGGATGAGGGGAGGGAAAGGGGGTGAGGGGCTGAGGGGCTGAGCCCTCGTATATCTGAGATGATACTCTGATATCAAGAGGGCAAGAAAAGGGGGGTAGAGGGGGTCTCCCCCTCATACATCAAAAAACTCATCTGTTATAGAGCATGGCAAGGGAGAGGGATGTTCCTTGTGTTCATTTCCTTATTTTAGGTGGTATGGATAGACATAGACAAGGCTGTATATTACACATACACATACACATACACATACATCTAGACAGACGGGAATTCAGGATGATTCTCCCGCAACATCCACGCCAACTCCCGCGCCTGCTCTTCGCTCAAGATCTCCTTCATCCTGCTGCCCGACAGGAACTCATGATCCTCCATCTCAAACCCAGGAACAACAGTCTACACAGCATGAATATCAGCTCACGTCCGTACCTACACCTGCCTCTCCAACCCCAGCCCCTATCCTCAAGCAAAGAAAGCGATGAAGAACATACCTCACTAATCAACATCCCTTCAAACTCTTCGTCATCTCCCTCCCCATTCCCATGGGTTACTGCCTCCTCCAAAAAACACCCCTTCCACACCCCCCCCTCAACAACCCACTGCATCCTCTCCCCGTGAGACGTATCCTTCCCCACGACGAACGACTCCACGCTAGCTTTGGGTTTGGCTTCACCTCCCTCCCCCTGATCTTCCCCCTCCCGCAAAAGAATATACCGTCCCCGCCCCCGGTGCAGTGTATGTACCGTCCGCCCCCGGTTCCGGTGGAACGTGCCCACGCGTGAGTCCGGTGTGAGGAGGTAGTAGATCGTTGTGCTGAGGGAGCGGGTTGGGCTTTCATTTTCCGACGGCGTAGTGCTGCTCCCCCACGGTGATGGTATGGTCACTGGGTGCCGGTCTGTTTGGTGGAAGTAGCCGCCTTCCGGGTGGGGGCTTAGTTGGTGGGAGAGGGGGTTTTGGGGGTGGGTTTTGGGGAGGGCGGTGGTTTGTTTCTTGGGGGTTGGGGGGTTCAAGTTATCTTGGGGTTGAGCCTTGGGCTCGTCGTGGAGGATTGGGGTAGGGTGGAAGGGCATTTTTGGTGATTTTCTGGATTATTGATGGATGAGTGGGGTTGCAGAGGAGAGGGGTTGTATATTAGTTGGTTGTTGGTGGTGGTTAGGGATCAGTGAGGTTATATACTTCGCGGACATGGCATCAGGATGATATCAGTGTTTATCGGCGGTTGTTGTGGGCCCTGGTTATATATGCTGCAATCGGAATATACAGTAGCTGCCAGGTGTTTTATATCTGAGTTTGTTTACAGCTCGTATAGCACTAGTCAGGTTGAGTATGCATAGGATATAGTTCTGCTACTAGTGCTTGGTTTTAGCCAGGTCGTAGATGTTGCATGTAGGTCTATACTGCTAGTGCCTGCTTGGTGCGTGCACTTATCGCTGGGATATTGGGTTGATGCATTTGTGAACTGTTATAGCAATCCCTCTAACTATATAACCATGACGGTAATTCAACTTTGAAGACTCAAAATAGGGAAGGAACTCCCCAATAATCTAACTATGCTTACCATCAGTTGCTGCCCCAAACTCCCGGGGAGGAAACTCCCCTCTATGCTTATTGCTAGCCAGTTGCCGACCCGCCGGGGATTTCCTCTCGTCATCCCATCATTCCACCTTCTCCGTCTGCATCCTCCCCAATTCGCACTCTCACTCTTTCTCTTACTCTCACTCTTACATTTACTCTCACTCTTCTATTACCATACATCTGTCTCTCTTTCTCACTCTCTTATCTTGACCATATTATCCCCTCGCCCTCCCCCCCATGAATCCTCCACCCCTTAAACCTGAGTGATCGTCTCTCCGCATCCTCCGTCGACCTCCGCATTTCCTCGTCAGCCTCTCCCCTCCGCCTTCACCACTGGATGGCGAGGAAACTCAACCACCAGAGGGTCACCTATGGTCAGTTCCTCCTGTTTCTCCTGGTTGCCCTCCTCAATCACCGCCGCTTCACCCCCGTCCGCCCCGGTTTCGCTCGGTTATTCCTCCCCGCGCTTATCGGACCCTCTCCGTCTACAATTCTGCATCTTTCACGCCAACAAACATACCAACTGACTTGCTGCCCCGTCTGTAGTGCTCCCTCTGCCTGATGCACCCGGTGGCCATCGGTTAGGCGTCAATGGCCTGGCAGTCGACCCCGACAGTTCCATCCTGTAAGCCCCAGACATCCGCATCTCGGACCGCTCGGTTGCCTAAACGTGCCGCTTGCGCCCGCCGCAACCCTCCCTCTGCCAACCTCACAACGCTAATACCCTCGGTCGCTTCAGCTACTCCGCAGGTCGCGATGGTGTCGTCTGCTCATGGGATCTCAATTTTCCTCTCACCGGGGCTTCGCCCTCCTCCCAACCCGGCCAAACCACCTTTCGCAACCAGGTCCAGGCGCACAGCCACTGGATCAACGACATCGTGCTGACCAAGAATAACTCCGCGCTAGTCTCGGCCTCGTCAGACACCACCGTCCGATTATGGCGCCCTCACTCCGAATTGACCGAGGTGCCCGCGCCCATCGGCAAACACGCCGACTACGTCAAGGCCTTGGCAACCCCCGGAAACCATTCTTCGTGGGTCGCGTCGGGCGGCTTGGACCACAAGCTCTATCTATGGGATTTGAACGGGGGTGGCGAGGTTTTGGGGATTGATGCGTCGGGCGATGACCGCACGGCCAAGGGGTCCGTCTACGCTTTGGGCGCCGTTTCCTCCGTTCTGGCCAGCGGTGGTCCGGAGAACGTGGTTCGGGTCTGGGACCCGAAATCCGGCAACCTCATCACGAAATTCGTCGGTCATACAGATAATATCCGGGATATCTTGATCAACCGCGATGGTGACACGATCATGACGGCCTCGTCCGACCAGACTATTAAGATCTGGTCCCTTACGGCGGGAAGATGCATGCACACGTTGACCATGCATAATGACAGCGTCTGGTCGCTCTACTCCAATCACCCGCAACTGTCGGTCTTTTACTCCAGTGACCGGTCCGGACTCGTCGCCAAAACCGACACGCGGACTACCCCGGACATCGAGCAGGGCACCTGCGTGGCCGCTCTGCAGGAGCACGAGGGGGTCGTCAACGTCGTAGCCGCAGGCGATTACATCTGGACCGCGACCCCCAAATCGAGCATTCATCGCTGGCGGGATGTGGACACCACTGCTGAGATTGAATCTCCTACGAGGGAACAAAACCAGACATCGGCGTCGGCGCCGGCAGCCAACGAGCCCAAGAAGATTCCATATGAATCGGTCCTTTTACTGTCGCCTACCTCGACCTTCCCAAATGCACGCCCCTTGGACGATGAGACCCCGCGTTCCGGGCCAACCTCCCCCGGATTGCTGTCAGGGTCCAACCTGGACGACGATTTGGGATTGACGCTGCCGGTTCAGGCACTACCCGAGGAAACCATTGAAGGCCAGCATGGACTGATTAAATACTTCATGTTGAACGACCGGAAACGCACATTGACTCAAGATTCCGCCGGCGAAGTTGTTCTGTGGGATTTGCTCAAGGTATTTCTGCCGTTCCATAGAGTTGGACTGTCCTAACGCACCCCTAGTGTAAACCGATTCAATCTTTCGGCAAACGACACATGGATGATGTCGCTTCGGAGATCAACACCACCGAAAGCATTGCGCATTGGTGTACCATTGATATCCGAACTGGGCGCCTTTCGGTGATCCTAGAGCCTGGTCGGTGTTTCGATGCTGAAGTATACGCTGATGAGTCTGATCTGGCGGACTATTCGCAGATACGGGAAGACCAAAGAAGTATGTTCATATTTGTTTTCAGGATACCATGTACTAACTTCCATAGTCAATCTCGGGAAATGGATTCTGCGCTGGCTTTTTGCCCCTTTGGTGGAAGAACATGTTCAGCGGGACGCCCAATTTCGGGCGGCCGTGAAAGCTAAGGCGGAAGAGTTGGCTCGCTTGACTAGCTCTGGCGCATCGGCCCCGGTCGATATACCATCGGCCGATCCGTCGAGGCGGGCGCTGGGCTTGCAGTCGCCTCTGGACCCATTTACTGCCACCTTCCGGTCCGGTTACGATTCTATCGGTAGCCCTACGACACCCGGGTTTGGCATCGGGTATGCTGGAAGCCCAGCAACCATGGGATCACCCATGTGGACGTCTAGTTTCATGAACAACAACAGTCATCTCGGCACATCTCCCGGGGATTCGACGTCAGAATACCTTCTGTCGCAGTCGCAACAGAACCCGGACATGGCCAGAGCGTCATTCTCTGATCGGTCCAGCGATTACTTCTCATCGTCCCGAACTCAGGGTGTGGGTTCGTTAGACAATGACAAGGTGCCGACCACTCCGGGTGAACCGACCCCGACGGCTCTGCCCCAGTCTCCAGCCGAGCCCGATAAGGAGGAGCGGAAGCGTGGAGCCTCTTTGTTCGGAAAGAAGTTCCGCATGGATTTCCCGAGGAAGCTGGGGCGGACCTCGTCCGAGGTCAAGCCCCAGGTTCCCGAGGAGAAGGTGGAAGAGTCGGACAAGTCGTCGACCAAGGAAGAGAGGGTGTTCGAGACTAACCTGAGTGGGTTCATTGAGCGAACACGGCATGAATACGAGGAGTTCATGTCTGCCCATCCTGGCCGCGAATTGACGTCGGCTTTTACACCGAGTCCGGACAATGAGACTCCTGTGCTGGACATTCCTCCTCGCACAGTTGTCTTTATTCAGGAAGAGTCGGGCGATACAGCTGTGGCGTCTGATCTGTATCGAGGAACGGTTGGTCAGATCAGCGAGGAGATTCACAAGTTGGAGAAATCTATACCTTTATGGCTCGCTGAGCTGCTGTTGAAGGTATGTGCATAAGCTATTTTTTTTGGCGATCAGCGAAACTGACAAACAGCAGAACCAAGTTCCGGTGAAGGAGCCAGTCAAGATAGCTTTCACACTGAAGCCGTACGATGATCTGCTGCCCCCTGTAGCCAACCCAGAGTGAGTGTTTACCTTGACCGTATTTGTGTGGGACTAACAAGAGATAGGCCTCCCGGTGGTGCCAATGGGAACAACAACCGCCTCAACGCGAATCGCATGCTGCGAGCCAAGAAGATCCTGGCCTACGTGGCGGAGCGAATCGACCCTCCCAATCCTAACGAGCCGGAAGCGAATCCGATGAAAGCGGAGGAATATTTAGAGCTGTATTGCCAGAAGATGGTATGTATTTCTCCTGTTCCGTGTGAGCGTTACTAACGGTCACAGCCCATTCCGCCAAACATGACCCTTGCGACAATTCGTGCCCATCTCTGGCGATCCTCGGGCGACATGGTCTTGTACTACAAGGCCAACGGCAAGAAGGAGATCCGCATGCCTGCGCCTGGCGGGGAGAAAGATACTGGGTCTGGAATCGGGTTGAGTGGAGAGGCTGGCAGTGCGCCGCCGGCCAGCATCCGCTCGCATGCAGCTTCTGGGTCGGCGGCCTCGGTCACTAACGCTTAGGTTAGGTGTTAGGTGTAGATAGTTAGTTTCCTGTTTATATTGGTTACGCCTATCCGAGTGATGGGCTGGTACATACATGCTGTGGATTAGCGATACCAACTAGTGCAACTTGCGTAGTCAGTGTGAATCAAATAGTTATATTGTTTACACCTGGGTGAATTGTGTCGAAGTGAAGAGAGGTAGAGCACAGCTGCATGCATGATCGATGCCAAGAGCGGGAATCGCATCTCATCTCATCTTATCAATCGCCCTCCCGCCATCCCCGGCTTTTTCCTCAACCACCTACCTCTCTTGGCCCCGGCCACTATGGCCATCTCCCGCTTACTTCGCCAAGGCAAACCTAGCGCAATCACAGTTTCGCAATTCATTGAGTCGTTCCAGCGAATATGGCACGACTCGCGACCTCGCGCGGGATGGACTTCTCGGGAGGCCCGTCTGCCCTCCCGACTGGGTAGGTTTTCTCTGACCATTGACTATCGTATGGAATAGTAGCATGATACTGATTATCAACAGGCTTAGCCATCAGCGGTGGCGCCGACTCCATGGCTCTCGCGTACCTTTGTCGCGAGTGGGAGAAGTTTTCTGTTCATGGCAGTGGTAGTAGCCGCACCACCCTCGCCTCGACTTCTGAGGAGTCCCCGCCAGCGCCATCGCCAGTCGAGGTGACGGCTTTTATTGTGGATCATAAGGCCCGGGAGGAGAGTTCCCGTGAGGCTGCTATGGTTGCTGGGTGGTTGGGTGAGATGGGTATGTTACTTTTCTGGGTTTGTTGATTCTTTTGGGTTGCGTTTATCAGGTTGTTGAGCTTTCTTTGAGTTGCGTGTTTATCAAATTGCTGATTCTTTGCTGTGGATTGCGTGTTTATCCCGTGTGCTTTCTTGTCCTCTGTTGTCTGTGGCGCGTTGTACTTCATCATGCTGTCTTGCTCTTATATCAAGAAGGGAGGATCACATCTGTTTTGTTACTCTTCCAATCAGCGTTGTTCCCACCTACCAGCGACGTCGTCACCACGTCTCACCCTTTGCCATGGGATCATGACCCTGTCTTATCAATCCATATCCTTACATCCTTACCCACAATCTCCCCTACCTTGGTCAACTATCATCGACTTGAACATCTATCAAAGCGCAACACATCTCAGATTCTCGTCCTGATTAGCCAACCAGACCCAAAACTAACACCAAAGAAGGAATCCAAACCCAAATCCTCCCACTAGACTGGTCGAACCTCAATCCCAACGAGATCTCCGCCTTCGAAACCCACGCCCGGCGCCTCCGCTTCCAAGCCCTCGGCCAAGCCTGCCGCACCCACCACATCGACGCCCTCCTAACAGGCCATCACCGCGACGACAACGTCGAAACGACCCTATGGCGCCTGTGCACCGGCGCACGAGGCGCAGGGTTAGGCGGGATCCCCGCTGTCACCGGCATTCCGGAGTGTCACGGGTTATTTGGGGTGGTGGGGAGCAGAGAGGTAGCGTGGGTGAGGAGTTCCAGTCAGCATCAGCAGCGTCAGCGTCAGCAGCAGCAGCAGCAGCAGCAGCAGCAGAATCAGACCCAGAATCAAAACCAGCAGAGCCAGAACCAGCACCCACCCCCCGAAAAAGAAGCAACCCTCAAAATCCAAATAGCAACAGGAACCCTCCCGATCATCCGGCCCCTCCTCAACTTCCCCAAATCCGACCTCCTAGCCACCTGCGCAAAACACCACATCCCCTTCGTCTCGGACCCAACAAACTTCGACCCCACCCTCACGCCGCGTAACGCGATTCGCGATTTACTAAGGCGGGAGGCGTTACCGCGTGCGCTGCGGGAGGAGTCGGTGTTGGGATTGATCGAGAAGAGTAAGAGGTTGATTCGCTCGGCGTGGGCGGATTCAGATCGGTGTTTGGAAGGGTGTCGGGTGCTGGGGTTTGTGCCGGAGACGGGGGTGGTTGTCGTGCGATTTCCTGCAGGACCTGCTGCTGCTGCTGCTACTTCTGCTGGAGCATCGGAGCCGCAGATCCAAGCTCTCACGCTCCGGCGCATCACGGAACTGGTCTCCCCGTTCCCGGAGAATCATTTCCCGTTGCGTGGGTTTGAGAAGTTTACTTCGCGGGTGTTTCCTGCGTCTCCTCTTACAGAGTCGGAGTCACAGTCACAGTCACAGACGCCGACACAGGAAAGACAACCCTTCACCCTAGGCGGCGTCATGTTCCAACCCATTTCACAGCGCAAAGGCGCAGACACTACCACGACCCCCCCGAAAGAGAAACAAGAAGAAGAAAAAGAAGGAAATACATGGCTCCTCTCCCGCCAACCCTACATGAAAAACCGCCTCCCAACCCTGGACATCGAACTTCCACCTCCTGCTTACCCCCTCCCTAACTCTACCTCTACCTCTACCTCTACCTCTACCCAGGGAACTGAATCACCAGAAGAATGGCACCTCTGGGACAACAGATTCTGGTTCCGATTCAGCATCACCCCCAAAACAAATCCCCCCGAGAACCCAACAGGACCAGAACCAGGACTAAGACCAGGAAGAATAAGAATCCGCCCGCTCCAGAAATCCGATCTCAAGTTCCTGCGTCAGCGTCAGCGCAGTCCCCAACATAAATCCCCTCCAGCAAGAGTGGGGAAATCACCTCGAGAGGACCAGAAACACAACAAGAACGAGAATGGAACCCAAAGCAATCCAGAAATCATCTCCCTCCTCTCAAAACTAAGCCCAGGTTCCACCCGGTTCACGATCCCGGTGCTTGTTCTTCGGCGGGCCGAGGATTCAACCCGGGGTTCTGCTTCAGCTTCAAATCTTGGGGTAGGTTTGGGGAAAGGGTTAGCGCCAAGTATAACACTAGACGCGGAAGGACAAGAATCATCTCCTACGTTGAATTCTGAAGGAACGCATACTATCCCGAACAGGGTAACCCCTCGACAAGAGGAACAAGGGGCAGCAGCAGCAGCAGCAGCAGCAGAAGAAGAAGAAATCCCTCTCGCGCTCCCAACGCTAAACGCCTGGCTTCCTTGTTCGGTGCCGATCCGGGAACATTGGGCTGGCGAGGTGAGCTGGGAATGGCGGTATAAGATGGTGGATGGGGAGGGGACGTTGCGGCGGATGGGGTGGAGATGATATTATCTTTTTTTACTTTTATAGTTGTATATCATCTGTCGGTGGTTACTATTGTCACGACAAAAACGAAGGGGGGGGGGGGGGCATATACTTCCTTTGATTTATTTTATTAGCAGGATTTATGCACCATATAGTCTTGTCTTCTGCTGAATACCTTGATACCTTTGATATACTCAGTACAAAGACAATAACCATCAACCATTGCTTCATCTCTCTTCACAACCTACTACCAGGCAAACTACCAGGCAAACTACCAGGCAAACTACCAGGCAACTACCAAACACAATAAAAGTATCTCAATATTTCTGATAATCCAGAAGTTATTAAAGGCTACGCTCCATGACGATGCGATGGTGAAAGAACCCAAACCCCAATCCACCCCTCCCAAAAAGAACCCGCCATAGCCAACGAAACAATACACGATGCTATGCCCACCAAACGAAAGAATCCCTATAGACACAAGAGAAGAAAAGAGAATGACCATGCAAGATGTTCAACAAGGAGAACCCAAACAACCAGTTCATGCACCGGTTCAAATCAGAAGGAAATCAGTCATGTAGAACAGGCGGTTTCTCGCCTGATGTGGGGACACGATGATAAGAAAGGTCAGAAAAGAGTGATGAAAAACATTCATCCAGGTACCTAACATCTCACTCGCTCGCCTTGAGCAATGCTACCGCAGCTTGCTGGGCACGCAGCCCACCAACCTCCCGTTTCAGTCGGAAGTTTTCCTTCTTCAGTCGGCCAATCTCCTCCAATGCCGATGTCAGCTGGGATTTCAAAGCCTCCTCAGCATTCCCGGTGCGGACGTCTTTGGCGATCTTGTCCAGCTCCGCGTTGAATCGATCATACAGAGCTTCGTTCTCGGCACTGGCCTCGCGATACAACTCATCCAGCTTCTTGGCCCGTCTCTCACTCACGACCAACGACGACTCGAGGTCTCTCTCAATCGCGGCAGTCCGGCCGTTCATCTCCCCCGAGAACGTTTCGAATCGTGCCTCGAGGCTTTTGACTCGGGAAGCCAGTGCGGCGTTCGTTGTCGAAGGGGCAAACGGTTCATCCAGTGAATTCAGGTGACCATCGCCCTTGTACGGCGTCGGAGCAAGCCTCAATGCCTGAAGTTCCTCGCCAATGAGCGCGAGCTCATCCTTTAAACCCAGTGACGCGATATTCTGCGCCTTCCTCTCGCTATTGAGACGGTCCCGGAGCTGCAAGCTATTAGAACTGTACTGTACATGATCAAGAAAAAGACAAAACTAACCTTCTGCGGACTTTGCAGACGCAATTTTGGCGTCCTCTGGGAGCCTAGGGTGGGTTGTAAGCGTCTGGCATCGGAGCCATTGATCTGCATCGGTCGCTCCTTCAAACCAGGCACCCTGGAAGAAGGAATGCTGGTAGCCCGCGACCGTCTCTTGATATCCGAGGGAGGCGAGACCGACCCATCGACCTTCTTTCTCGGAGCTCGATCCGTCTGCGGTAATTTCGGGTCGATATTCTCCTTGCGACTGGGGGTGACGGGACGAGTCGGCGATCGGCGGGACGGAGACGTCAGCCGCGTGGGCGAGGCACTCTTCGCAGGGGATGTGCTGCGGACCGACCCCGAGCCGTGACTGGTTTGCGGCCGTGTCTGTCCGGCTGGCGTCATCGCCTCCGCTCGGGGCTGGTTGGGAAGCGATGATGACGGCGTCATGGGTCTCTGTCCTTGGCTGGTTGATAAGATCGACACGTCAGACGATGCCGTCCCTGGCCTCATGTCCGACAAAGAGCTCCTTCGTCTCCTCCGCACCCTCACCACGCCATTGGTAGAAATCCCGCGAATCGAGGATAAAGACGAAGCCTCGTCCTGAGAGCTGCCGGGGCGCCGGAGATGCTCTTGTGATGTCGACGCTCCTGGGCGGTCGCGGGAGCCTGGCCGCAACAATGAAACCAGCCCTGTGTCGACATCGATAGACTTGGACCGGAGCAGCAGCGACCCTCGCGGTGTCCCGGGCTCAGAATCGCCGGATCCCTTGCTTTTGCTCAGTGTTCGCAGAATGGACGATACTTTGCTCTCCGTTTCCGACTTGGAGTTGTCGCGGTGTAGGCTGAATCCGAAACGCTTTCGAAACGACGATGCATTGGAGTTCACCGAACCTGCTGTTTGGGACACCGACTTGGTCTGGTCGCAATTGAGAGTCCCTTCCAGGTCCGCACCCCCGGGGATATACTCGTCAAACAAGTTATCAAAGTCATCCACGAGACGGTCCAACAGAGAGATGTACTGCATTGGGTCTCCCTCGACCGTCAAGACTTCTGCAAAGGCCGCCGTCAACGCACCACGGTCTCCGTCATTCCCCGAAGCATCCAGAAGCTCTGCGAGCAACCGGATCATGGAAGCCAGCGCACGACGATTTTGAGGGCTCATGTCCGCCAGAAATCTTCGGAAACTTTCCTCGAAGTCTCGCGGGAACATGCTGTCAAATTGGTTTTGCAGCGAGTTCAACGATGACGCATCAATCATGGGTCCCATATGTTCTCTCCATGCATTAGCCATGAATGTCTCGAAAGCCACGAAAAGTGTATCGACTGGCACTTCCGCCGCGGCCTGAATTTTGCCTGGGTCCTCCAACAAGATATTATACAGCTCATTGACCGACGACCGGTCCACGTTGTCACGACCACGCAGGGATCGTCCCACAATGTTCCCACTACGGGACTGCAGAGCGAGAGCGAACGCGGCAAACGTTTGCTCCAGGGCGCTGAACGGGCTCTCCTGCCCCCTCGAAGGTGGCGCACCAACCACGGAAATCTTGACGGGGTTTTCTTCCTTTCCTGGGAAGACGGACGGCAATGTATTCGAGCGTGGGATGCTTCCTCGCGGTGGTGGCATGCGAGGGAATTCACCCAACAGCGCTGCCGAGCTGGGCATCTTTACACTGCCCGCACTGTTCTCCTTGGATTGGTGGCCACCCAGCAGACTGGATAATAGCTTTGAGGGTGACGGCGGTCGGAAACCACGTGGGACCTTGAAGTTGGCCATGAGATGGCCGGTGAGATAACGCAGGATCTCGAAGTTGGAATGCACGATCGATTCCGTCATGGTCCGGTTCTGCGGGCCGTGCAGCGGGAGTAATACATTAGAGACTAAGTCCGGTCAGCACAGAATCACACCGTACAGGCATCAGCTACACTTACGACGTTTGGAGAGCACTGGAACGAAGCTGTCCGCGGTCACGAGGTCGGAGGAAGCGTTGCCCACAACCGAGTCTATGTCCACGCGGAACTGGTCCTCGGCCGACGCGGAGACCGACACAATAACCTCCAGATCGGAATTTGTTAATGTTTGACTGCAGGCTGTGCGTGAAGAGTTGAACACAATCCGGATCTTGGACGCACTGGGTCTTTTGGCGGCCGCCTCCTGCTCCTCCTCGAAGACACACGCCAGTACCCCCAGATTGCCCACCGTCCCAGATGGACTGCGCAGGGTCCACTTCCCATTCTCTCGCTCGCTTTCCGAGAACCGGCCTTCGATCTTTGCTTTCACAATCTCTTCGATGATACGGCTGGCGCGGCCTTCATACATGGAAACCGGTTCCAACGCGAGCAAATCGACGGTGGTGTTCTGGTTGGGCCGCGACTTTGCGGACATCGGGGCCAAGAAAAGGATGCGCCCACACGATGACTGCATGCATCGAACGTTGTGCAGATCGTAAACCTGCACCACTCGGAGCTCTGGCATCGCTGGAGCATTGGTGGCGGCCGGGGTGGCTGATGCGGCGTTGTCTAGATCCGCCAGAAGACCCCGCGCGGTTGTACGACCACCCACTGCTTTGGACAACAAGACTAGGCAATTTTTATAAATCAACATGATCCCCGGACTGGGCTCTTCTGCGAGATCGAGATGGTACGGAGGCGCCAGCTCGTTAAAATCCACCGCCGTAATCAGGCGGCCGGTTGGCAGAATGGTGGATGGCCAGCCGTCGACCAACTCCTTCAACCGCCGGAAGCTCTGATCATGGTTCGCGGTCGAGGCGTCGTCGAGGGAGCAGATGTCTTTGATGACATCTCGTGCCTTCAGTAAGGGGCGCACGGCTGGATGTATCAACGGCAGACTGCTCGTCATCGTGTCAATGAGGAGACTGTAGCGGGGCAGACGCTGAACAGGCTCCATTAAGAGTGAGCGGAGCTTTTGCTCCCCCGTCTCATATACGCGCTTAGAGAAACTAGAGCTTTTATCTCGCATGAACGAGTTCAACGTCTGAGTGAAGCCAGTATGGGCCCGCATGTAGTCTGCATAAGGCTGCGAGAATTGCGGAAACCAGTCGAGAAGCGCGTCCGCGAATGCCACGGCACCAATGGTGTCCCTCTCGTCCTTGGACGAGACCCGTTGCGACATGGATGAGGGAAGCTCGGTGTCTTCGGTCAAATCCGCAATGGCGTCCTTCTCTGTCTCTTCCAGGACCTGCCGGATTACACTCAGAAAACCCATGTTGACCTGAAGGATCTCGTTCAAGCACGGGGGGAATAGGGTGGCTAGATCGGACTCGTCCGGACTCGTACTGGATGACAGGCGCAGTTGAGCTTTCATCCGGAATTCCTCCGCCACTTGACAGACTAACGTATAGAGCTTATTGACATAGCGCTCCTCTGTATCCACCAGCTCGCACATGGTCAACCGCAAGGCCTGCTTCTGACTGGCGGAAAAGATCTTCGACTTGCTCACATTGGTGGGCTGGGAAGGAGCGCGCTTGAGACGAGAGGTCGGAAGGAACATGGGGGCGCCCAGGGTCTGGATAAGGGCGGTATACGGGCCATAACGAAGATCGGGACTTTCATAGAAATCTGCATTACCATCATAAACATTATCATCATTATCGGGCGCGGGTGCTTCGATGGTCCCGGCGGGCAGGACCACGTCGATGTCGACCCAGGGCACTTTGCGCTCCTGGAAGGCGCCGCGGATGTCGCGCACGAGCTCGGAGGGCTGTTCAACCTTTGTCATTCGATTCGCCAAATCCGCCGCATGCATTTCGTCAAAGAGCTTGGGAACCTTGGTGCCTGGCTTCCCTGCGCGGGCCAAGGCCTGCAGGCATTCCTTGGCGGGGTCGGACAGCTCGGCAAAATACTTCAACATACTGACGGCCAGGCCGCGACTGACTTCGTCGCCTTGCTTCTCGCGCGGCAGGTGGTTGACGGCGGCGTACAGCGGGGCAGCGGGGGAGATGGTGATGCGGGGATAGCTCTGGAAGCCGGCGGGGGTCACGATATGCGCCTGGATGCGCGAGCTGCTGACGGTGGCATTGGCGGTGGCCACCGGTCCGTAGAAGACGAAGACGGAGGCGATGTAGGGATCGGAGGCATGATAGAGCGACAAGTGCTCGAGGGGCAGGTCCGCGGGGGCGTTGGTGACGGTCGCCATGTTGGCGGAGACGGCAGGAGCTGAAATCGCATACAACGGTGGGAAGGAACGAGCGAAAGCCGGCACAGATTAGATTAGACAAAAAAAAAAGATTATAGATGACGAGGAAAAGAAACAGTTTAGAGACGGTTAGTCACGGAAGCTGGGTGGGTGTTGGGGACGACACAAGTCCAGTTTGACGGAGAATCGGAGAAGGGAAATGGATTAAAGAGGGTCGATGACAAGCGAAAGATTGACCAAAGACATAATACTATTGGCGTTGCGCAAAGGGAAAGAAACGAAGGACAAGCGTCATACAGTGCCGAGGGTAAGAGAAGGACACCCCTCCATGGGCAGAAGACAAGGAAAAAGAGTTTGGGAGAGGAAGGAAGCGAGAGAAGAAGAAAAGAGAAAGTAAAGCAGAAGTAAGAGCGGGCAAGTGAGGTAAAAGAAGTCGGGAAGGTTGGGTGACAAGCAGTGGAGGTGGAGTTGGACGCGTTTCTGGGCGGGCGCAAAGCAAGAAGCCGGAGAGGTCACAGGTGGGATGTTTGTTATCGGGGGGGGGAAAGACACACAGACCCAGAGAGAGAGAGAGTGAGAGAACGGTAAAAGAAGAAGAAGAAGAGGGGCAGGACAGAGCAGGACAAGACAGGATAGGACAAAATCAGACAAGACAAGACAAGACAAGACAAGGGTTGCTGCAGGGGAATTGAGGAGTAAGAGGAGAGAAGTAAGTTGAACTTAGAGAGAGGAGGAAGAAGAAGAACGAGTGGCTGGCCTTCAGCTCAATTCAGCTCAATAGATCTGGCGGCTTTACTAGCACCAATTGGGTCCATTGACCGGCTATCTCGCGATTATTGCATACTATAATCTTATAATATATCTAGTCTCTGAAGGCGATGTTAAATAATCCATCCTCCCTGAATATGTCTGAAGATGTTTGAATATGTATGAACTCTCCCCTGACCTGTCTGTATCCATGGACACGGACGCGACACGTGTAGGGACAGAGGGCCGAGAACTTCAGAACCATGAACTGTCAACATTTACCCGGAAGAAGAAATTCCACCGTCTAGAAAAAAAAAAGTGGATGGATGGATGGATGGATGGGGACTTGACATCATTTGAGGACTGCATGAGATTTGGAATGACTGCCCTACGCCGGGCTGGTTTGGCAGCTGTTGTGCCCGACTGGATAACTAGATAGAGATGAAGGTGAAGAATGAATCTGGTCGTGGTGGAGATCGGACCGGAAAACGACGACTCACCGCCTTCAGCCTGGTTGCTTCTCGTCTTCAACCATGGATCTGACCTTGGCGTCCAGACAATCTTATTTCCACTCAAATCGTCGAGGAGGCTGGGAATAACTTCGTCATCGCACTGGGTCTGCCTTGTCTCAAAACCCCATTCCGTCATTTCATCACCAACCGTCAAGTCCTCTTTCCGCCCCCATGTCTGTCCAGTGTCATGTATGGAGTAAGGCATGATTCAGAGTGCACTGCTGTATCCTTGCTTATCTCTCTCTTTGGGATTAGTACCTTAGTTACTCCAGTGATATGGCTGATGGTGGAGAGCGTTAGCCGAACAGGCGTCGATTCAACTGCATAGTGTGGAACAATGAGCATAGTGAGTAAGTAGTACGAGAAATTGTGCTGTGCAAATAGTTGAGCAGTCAATGCATATACTTTTAGAAGTACTCGATGTCTGCCCGGGGTAAGACTTGGCGCTAAACTCCATCGGGAATTGCCGCGATCTCTCCGCCCGGCGCAAGCAGAATGACCAGCTGTTGAGTTCCCGCATAGACAATACATGCCTTCACCACTTCTCTCTCTCTTCCTTCGCTCCCGCTTGGACAAACTTCTTCCCTTATTACAGGGCAATGGTCTGATATTGCTCCCTCGCTGGGCAATCTCATTCCACTCTGCTTCCTCTACCTGAACACCCTCCTCTCTCCCCGTCCCCCCCTCACTCGTTATGTCGTCCTCGACCCTCCCCATCGCGGTCGACCCGGTCGCGTTGGTGATCACAGAATGTATCACCGTCACCTCCGCCATGCGGAAACATACCCGTTGGGCTCACTCCTCCGTCTCGGCCATCTTAGGAGGTGGCGCCGTCTCACGAGTCTACGACCGTGATACCTCGACCCCTCCGAGCCCGCGAGATGGCAATACGCCCCCTCGTCCACCATCCCGCTTGTCCTCCGCCGACGACGACCATGCCCTGGCCAACCGATGGGGGTTGAGAGGGAAGAAAGGCAAGAGCATGCAAGATAACCCTCTAATCTCCGCGTTCACCAGGTTACGGAGCGATCTCAAGGGCTGCAAAGATATCCGAACCTTCGACGCCCCCGCCTTGCTCCATCCATTCCTACAAGTCGTTCGTTCCTCCTCCACCTCGGCCGCCATCACCTCCCTGGCCCTGGTCGCCCTCACCAAATTCTTCGCCTATGAGATCATCAATCGGGACTCACCCAGGCTTCCCATGGCCATGCAACTCCTCTCCGCCGCCATCACCCACTGCCGCTTCGAGGCGAGCGACTCCGCCGCCGATGAAATCGTCCTGCTACGGATTCTGAAGTTGATGGAGGGGATGTTGTCGCGACCGGAAGGGGACCTCCTGGGGGATGAGAGTGTCTGCGAGATGATGGAGACCGGGTTAAGTATGTGCTGTCAGGTCCGTCTCTCCGAGGTCTTGCGCAGATCGGCTGAGACGGCCATGGTCAACATGTGCCAGGTCATCTTCTCCCGATTGACCCACCTGGATGCCTCGCAAGAGCTGGAAACAGACTTGGAGACCCGGGCGCCGAAGATTGCGGACCAGACCAGCCTCAAAATGGACCCCTCCGTAGACGGAGATACAGTGACATCTCAGCATCCATCCGCCATGGGCTCGGATACAGCCATCGCAGACCGGGAGCGGGGCAGCCGAGACGGAACTCCCGATCAATCGCTGAACGGAACCGCTGTGACTGCTCCCCCAAACCCTCAAGACGACGCCGGCGAAGATATCAAACCATACTCCCTGCCTTCAATCCGCGAATTGTTTCGAGTGCTGATCGATCTCTTGGACCCGCACAACCGCCAGCATACTGAGCCGATGAAGGTGATGGCTCTCCGCATCATTGACGTGGCCCTGGAGGTTGCTGGTCCGTCCATCGCGAAGCATCCTAGCCTTGCCAATTTGGCACAGGATGACCTGTGTCGCTATCTCTTCCAGCTGGTCCGGTCAGAGAACATCGCCATTCTCACAGGATCGCTGCGGGTGGCAGGCACCCTGCTGCTGACTTGTCGCTCGGTCTTGAAGCTTCAGCAGGAGCTGTATCTGTCATACCTGGTGGCCTGCCTTCATCCCAGGGTCGAAATACCCAGGGAGCCCGGAATCAATCCCGCTCTGTACGATGGAGTACCCCAAAGGCCCAAGCTGGTCAAGCCGTCCCCTTCGCAGTCAAACAGTGGTCGTTCGACTCCGGTTCCCGTGAAGGATCGCCAGAAGCTGGGGCTTGAAGGAGGCTCTCGGAAGCCGGAGACTCGAGAAGCGATGGTAGAGAGTATCGGCGTGCTGGCACGGATCCCAAGCTTCATGGTGGAGTTGTTCATTAACTACGACTGTGATGTCGACCGTGCGGACCTCTGTGAGGACCTGATTGGGTTGTTGTCGCGAAGTGCGTTCCCCGACTCGGCCACCTGGAGCACGACCAATGTGCCGCCTCTGTGCTTGGATGCTCTGCTGGGCTATGTGCAGTTCATTTACGACCGCTTGGACGAGGGGTTCACCTCCGAGGGCTTCCCATCGCGGGATGAGCTTCGCGACCAGCGTCGGACCAAGAAGATCATTATCAAAGGAGCTCAAAAATTCAACGAGGATCCCAAGGCTGGAATCGCGTACCTGGCCTCGCAGGGGATCATCGAAAATCCCGACGACCCGGTTCTCGTCGCTCGTTTCCTAAAAGGCACCTCGCGGTTGTCGAAAAAGGTCCTGGGCGAGTTCATCTCCAAACGCTCGAATGAAAAGTTACTCGATGCCTTTGTGGATCTTTTCAATTTCTCGGGCCAGAGCGTCGTCGATGCCCTGCGCGATCTTCTCGGCGCGTTCCGTCTACCCGGTGAATCACAGCTGATCGAGCGCATCGTTACCACGTTTACGGACAAATACATGCAGAAGGCCCAGCCCACCGAGGTTGCGGACAAGGATGCACTCTTTGTTCTGACCTACGGCATTATTATGTTGAATACCGATTTATACAATTCGAACATCAGGTCGCAGAACCGCATGTCCTGCATAGACTTCTCCCGCAACCTGCGGGGTGTCAACGCAGGCCAAGACTTTGCGCCGGAGTTCCTGCAATCCGTTTACGATTCGATCAAACAGAATGAGATTATTCTACCTGATGAGCATGACAACCAACATGCATTTGAATATGCATGGCGTGAGTTGCTGCTGAAGTCTTCCTCGGCTGGTGAGCTTGTGGTGGGCGAGACAAATATCTACGATGCGGAGATGTTTGAAGCCACCTGGAGCCCCGTGGTCGCGACTCTGTCGTACGTCTTTATGTCTGCCTCTGATGATGCGGTCTATTCCCGCGTGGTGACGGGCTTCGATCAGTGTGCACAGATTGCAGCCCGCTATGGCCTGACGGCCGCCTTTGATCACATTGTCTTCTGCTTGGCCTCGATCAGCACTCTCGCTACCGAAAAGCCTCCCAGCACCGCTCTCAACACCGAGGTGCAGGCCGGTGAGAGGAGTGTGATGGTCAGCGAACTAGCCGTCAAATTCGGCCGCGACTTCCGAGCTCAATTAGCCGCCGTGGTTCTCTTCCGAGTTCTCGCTGGCAATGAGGCTACGGTTCAGCAGGGCTGGACCCATGTGATCCGCATTCTCAGTAATCTCTTCGTCAACGCCCTTATCCCCTCCTTCGGTTCTAGTCTTAATGCAGAGCTTGAGCTGTCCCCGATACCGCTGCAGAATCCATCCCAGGTTGTAGAGCGCGACGCACGGGGCACTGAAACGGGTCTTCTGTCCGCATTCACCTCGTACCTGTCCAGCTACGCAGCCGATGATCCTCCGGAGCCGTCGGACGAGGAGCTGGATAACACGCTGTGCACTGTCGACTGCGTCTCGGCTTGCTCCATCGATGACATCCTAGCCAACATCAAGTGAGTTGAATGCATGCACCTGTGAGAACGATGTACTAATGTGCTAGGACTCTTCCATTGGAAACGGTGTCGGTACTTGTGGAAGTCCTTCTGGCCCAACTCCCTGAGGAGAGCGCCCCGGCCGTCATCGTTGTTAAGCCGGAACGCCCGGCAGCTAGGCCCAGGGCGGCCAATGGCAGGGTTGACGCCAATAAACCAAATTACGACCCGGGCATGCTCTACCTCTTGGAGCTGGCCACTGTCTTAACGCTGCGGGACTCCAAGACACTAGAAAGCCTTGGCGAGAGATTGTTGACCGCCCTGCAGGCTTTTGTCCGCGATGCCCGGAATATCCACTCCTTGGCATTGACTCGGATCATTTACTATCTCATGAGTCTGCTGCGCTTGAGCTATGTATGGTACCCCGCTGCTGATATCCGGCGCACATGGTCTGACAAATCACAGAACCAACCTTATATGCGCGTGCCGGTTATTCTCCATGCAATCTCCGGATTTGACCAGGACATTCTTGAGAGCATTGCCATTCCTGTCGTGAAGAGCCTGGCAAGATGCATCTCGGATGCGGATGCTCTGCGAAACGAGATTTCTGCTTCGCCGGACTTCTGGTCCATCCTGCAGAGACTGCATCAGCACAAGGAAGCGGCTCCGTTGGTGTTTGATCTGCTACTGGCCATCGTGGAGTCGAATCCACCAATCGTTACGGCTGATAACTACGAGTCCGCTGTTAGCTTGGCGAACGACTTCATCAGTGCCGGGAGTGTGGGCTACATCGAAGAGCGACAGAGGGATACGCACGGACGCCGCAAGGCTGTCAAACATCCGAGGTCGAGGTATGTCTTCTGGAAGACCTGATATTTCAGAGCTGACAACGTTTTAGTACCGAGAACGAGGTAGTCTCGCGTGGAGTCAAAGCCATTAACTTTGTCTTCCACTTGACGCATCGGATCCCAACCCTCATCAAGCAGTCGCATCTTGAAGAGAACGAAGGTATGAGGCCAGCTCAACCTTTTAACATATTGCTAATCGAAACGACACAGCTTGGTCCGCCTATTGGTCTCCCATTTTCCAGACTTTGACGGCGCAATGTATTAATCCTTGCCGGGACATTCGCCACCACGCCGTGTCGACGCTGCAACGAACGCTTCTTTCGCTTGATATCAGCGCCGCCGACGAGAAGGAATGGACCGCAATCTTCGACCAGGTGCTCTTCCCTCTGATCCTCCGCCTTCTGAAACCCGAGGTCTACCACTCGGATCCCCTGGGCATGGGCGAAACGCGCGTTCAGGTCGCCACGCTGGTGTGCAAGATCTTCCTGCGGTATCTCGACCAGCTTCCCAACTGGGATGGTATGCTGGACCTTTGGCTCCGGATTCTGGACATTCTCGATCGAATGATGAACAGTGGCCAGGGAGACAGCTTGGTATGTTACTCTCATCGGGGCGCATCTTGGACCAGACTAACAACCTCATAGCAGGAGGCAATTCCAGAGAGTCTCAAGAACATTTTACTGGTGATGGCCGACGGCGGATACCTCGTGCCCCCTTCGCAGGACCCGACCAGGGAGAAGATCTGGACCGAAACCAAGAAGCGGCTTGACCGTTTCCTCCCGGATCTGTTCCAGGAGATCTTCCCTCCTATGGATGAGAAGGTCCCGTCTGCCCCGATGTCGGCGGCTGCGTCGCCTAATCCCGCTGCTTCCCAGCCTGAGACAGAAGAGCAGGAGAAGGGGCAAGAGGGTGAGACGCAAATCGCAGACGCCACCACCACTGAGGACATTGAGAGTGAGACACCTGAAGCACGCACCGAGGCTCCGTTGCCCGTGGATAAAGGCAAGAAAGCCGATTAGATCACCCATATGGCTATGAACATACATGGACTTCCCTGACGCTTTACTTGATTGAACAAACCCAGCGGAAAGAGAAGTTGACTCGCTTGGCATTAAACTACAATTCACCTCGAAGCATTTGCATTTACAACATGGGCTTAGTGGGTGGGGCTCTACTCGCTGGAATTGATTTTGGCCATTGGGGCCGGTGTGTACTGTTATTAGTTCGTTGCTATACTTGTGCATAATTGTAAATATAATCGAGACAACGCTATGAATAGACCTGACTTAGTGAGTCGGCCTGCGAAGATGAAAGAGGGAGTCAATGGCAACATCCTTCCATCAACCCAGCGTCGGCGATGATCCTATCGTCCGACATCGAAAAAGCAATGGTAGTGATATACGAAGTTAGGCAAACGCCATCCCCACATCAAGGGGGTGCAAAAAGAATGCATCATCCGTGAATCGAACACGGGCCTCATCGATGGCAACGATGAATTCTACCACTAGACCAATGATGCTATTGATGTTGTTGTCTAGTATCTCAGATCTTATACCCACACTAGATCTAGACCGAGTCACATGATCATGGTCACCCGCTAAAGCGGCACCGCTCTTTCGGTATCTCCGCCGGACCAACGAACGAACTAACTACAGCTCGGAAGCTCAACGCTCAGCTCAAACTCACTTATTGAACCTACCCTTCCTTCCTCCACGCATATTCTCCCCCTCTCAAGCGAAATCGCACCCTTGTACAGTGCGCAGCACCGCCGAAAAGGAAAATGGCCGCCCCCGCCGCGCCACCCGCAACCCAAGCACCAAACTGCACGTAAGTCCATCTTTCTCCTCCGCACCGCAAACCAATTCCCCAACTAACGCGAGCATAGAGTCTACGTACGTATCGCGCACCCAGCCAGCCAGTCCCTCCCCCACACAAACCCAGTTACAACCCAATACAACCGTAAACCCTAACGGATGAGAAAAAACAAAACAGGTCCGCAACCTCGAAGAACGCATCAAAGTTGACCAGCTGAAAGAGTCCCTGGAAGAGATCTTCTCGGAGTACGGCAACGTGATCGAGATCGTGGCGAAGACGAACCTGAAGGCGAAGGGACAGGCGTTTGTGGTTTTTGACTCCGTGGACGCCGCCAGCCGCGCCATCGACGAGATCAATGGGTTTGAGCTGTTCGATAAGCCCATGGTGCTGGAGTATGCGCGCACGCGCAGTGATGCGACGGTTTTGAGGGAGGGTGGGGAGGATGAGTTGGAGGCGCATAAGCGGCGGAGGGGGGCGGAGAAAGGTTCGTTTTTTACGTTTCTTATTCCTTTTTTTTCTTTTTTTGGAGGGGTTGGGGATGAGCGAGAGAAGCACCTGGTTAGGCGATATGCTAACACGCAAGGCGAAAAACAGAACGCAAACAAGCACACGAGGCCCTCGAAGCGCAAAAGAAACTCAAACGTCCCCCCGGCGCCGTGCCCGCGCCCACCGACTCCGGCCGCCCCGCGAAGGCCGCCAAGGGCGCCGGCCTCAAGCCCACCAGCGGCGCCGCCGCCACCGTCATCCCCGACGAGTACCTGCCGCCCAACAAGATCCTGTTCCTGCGCGACCTGCCCGACTCCGCCGACCAGGACTCCCTCACCGCCGTGTTCGCCCGCTTCGAGGGCTTCCAGGAGGTGCGTCTGGTGCCCGGCCGCAAGGGCATTGCCTTCGTCGAGTACGAGAACGAGTCCGGCGCTATCAGTGCCAAGGAGGCTACCTCGGGGATGCCTATGGGCGAGAATGGGAAGCCCATCCGCGTTACTTACCAGAGACAATAATGCGTTGTATTCCTGTTTGTTGGCGTTTTGGGGTTGTGTGGGCTTTTTCCTACTTGTTCGTTTATCTTGTTTTGTCTCACATGCAATGCTCATTGCTTGCTTCTGCGGCCGGGGGATATGTTCTCTGGTGGACTCCAAACTCGCATTCAAATGACCATGGACGAATATCAGCTACATGCTAGAAGTGTACTAGTTACATGACAAGGGCAAAGGGGCATCGCTGCGCTAGATTAGAAAATCACGTCGGCATCTTCCTGCTCTCCGAGCACGTCCGGTGCCTCGGGTGTTTCTTCTTCTTCTTCTTCTTCTTTCTCGTCTTCCTCCTTGGCAGGCGCACCGTCCTCTTGCTCCGCGGCAGCGGCGGCCTCTGCCTCGGCCTTGGCCTTCTGGCGCGCAGCCAGAATCTCGGCGTCGGCGGCGGCGGTGTCGCGCTGCTTCTTGCCGGAGACCTTCTTGAGACGGTAGAACTCCTCTCGGTCGAGCTCATCCAACTCGGAGTTGATATCTAGGGTACATTAGTCGTGCTGGAGGAGGCAATAGAGATCCAACAAGCGGGAGCCACTGACATTTGATCGTGTTTTCCGTTCGGGGGATGATAACATGCTCACTGCTATGATTAGTATCCCGGCGATCAAGTACTGCGGCTATGCAATGTCTTACATAGCGTTCACTAGAGCAACCGAAGTTAGCATATAGAACAGACAGCTGCCCGATGAACGAAGAACCTACCTCTGCGATTAACAACTTTAATCACCTCATCCAGAATCACAAAAGCCGTCTAAGACCGACCCATCAGCCCAACCAAACCACCTCAAACACTGGTAAGAACCGCCTCCTACCTGTAGACTAGCCAACTCAACCAACGTCTCGACAGCCCGCGCATACGTCTCCCGACAGCGCTGCACCTGCTGCCCACCCTTTCCCAACCCCGTCAGCCCGAAATCATTGATCGAGTCCTCGGTGTAGCTCTCAAAGTGCGGCAGCAGCACACCCGAGACGTTCTCCTGCTTGGCCCGCACGCGGAACCGCGCCTGCTTCGCCGACTCCTGCACCTGGTAGCCGATGTCCCCGCCAACGGCGTAGCTCACCTCCGCCAGCGAGAAGGCGGCGATCTGCATGACGCGGCCCATTTTTTGCTTGGCTTCATCGATGCGACGGGTGATTTCTATGTTCTTGTCAGTTTCTGTCTTTCTGAGATGGTGGAGGCGATGGGGAAGTTGCGCGCGGGGGTTAGATGGTGGGGGAGATATCGCAAGGGGGAAGGCATACCGCGGAAACGCCTAGTGGTATCAACAAGTCAGTTCCGGTTTCCCCGTCGGTTTTGCAATTAGGTATAGATAAGATGGGAATCTCACTTGGTAAGGGCTTCGGATTTGCGCTTCAACAGACTGTGGCCCGTTTCGGCGCCCTTCAATTTACCCTTCATTAACCCGAGGGACTGGCGAGTCGGGAAGACTGCCTCACGGCCCTAACAACCAGTAGGTGAGTAGGTGACAGACATGTGAGCGGCCAGACTGAGAGGCAAGTAGAACATACCACCGCACCCGACATGACTGCGAGACTCAGATAGCAACTGGAAGTTACCCACTACCTCCCAAGTCGAGAGAGAATACCGCGGATAGTAGTAGCGCGAGAGGAATGGAGAAAGCAGCCAGCTGGAGCGATAATGACGACTCCCGATAAGTCGACACTCAACCAACTGTTCCCAAAGAGAAAGAAGCTCGGACCATCCCGTGCCCGCCGGGGCGCATGACATCCGGTCACGTGCCTGCCTTGGACGTCCAACATCCTCTGCAAGCTTGGTTATCACTGCCCTCTCCGGTTTGGCTATTTCTCTCCCCTCCCTCTCCCTACAGCGACGAGGGTGTTTCTTTTGTTGCTGTTCGCTTATGCGACAATCCCCTCTTGTCTGGTGATTTTGTGTTGACTCCCGTGTGAGTCGGTCCCGCTCGATTGAGCGGCGCAATGCCAGGGACAATCCTGCCCCCGAGATCCCACCGGCAACACGCACAGATGGACCGATCAGCGGCCTCAGGGCCGGATTTCTACCTGATTGTACGTGGACTCGAATTCTGTGGCTGGAATGGATTGGGGGTGAAGCTAACGTCTCTATCACATCCGCTAGGCCGATCAGGACACTGTTTACGAGCAGGATCTTCTGCGCACTCCCGGGAGCATCAAGCCATGGCTGGCTTATATCGAGTATAAGCAGCAGAATGGAACGCTGTACGAGCAGGCCTTTGTATGTGTTTGAGTCGCGCTGGATTGGTGCCCCGAGAATGGTACTGACTGGTGATCGCAGGTAATGGAACGCGCTTGCAGACAGCTTCCGAGATCGTACAAGCTGTGGAAATTGGTATGAGACCCTGCATAATGTGCTGGAGTTGAATCAGACTGACAATTCTCTCAGTATCTGGAGTTCCGGACGAACCACCTGCGAGGCCGCAATGCGACGGTGTACAAGGCCGAGTACCAGAAGGTGAACGCACTCTTCGAGCGGGCGCTCATCCTCCTCAACAAGATGCCCCGCATCTGGGAACTGTACCTCTCGTTCCTGCTGCAGCAGCCGCTGGTGACGCAGACGCGGCGCACCTTCGACCGCGCGCTGCGCGCGCTCCCCATCACACAACACAACCGCATCTGGAAGCTCTACAAGAAGTTCGCGCGGTCCGCGTCGGGCCTTACGGCCGTGAAGGCTTGGGCCCGCTACATGCAGATCCACCCCGAGAATGCCGAGGAGTACATCGCGCTCCTCGTCGACATGGGCCACTACACCGAGGCCGTGCGCAAATACATGGAGATCCTCGACGACCCGCGCTTCCAGTCCAAGGAGGGCAAGAGCACCTTCCAGCTGTGGACTGAGATGGTCGACCTGCTGGTCTCCAAGGCGAAACAGATCGAGACCGGCCCCCGCGTCGGCATTGATGTGGACGCCATCCTGCGCAGCGGAATTGACCGTTTCGCCGACCAGAGAGGTAAGCTGTGGGCGGGCCTCGCCACCTACTGGATCACGCGCGGCAACTTCGAAAAGGCGCGGGATGTCTTCGAGGAAGGTATTACCACCGTCATGACGGTCCGTGATTTCACTTTGGTCTTTGATTCGTATGTGGAGTTCGAGGAGTCCATCATCGGAAGTTTGATGGAATCGGCAGCGGCGCGCACAGACAATGGCCAGAGCGACGAGGAGGCCGACTTCGACCTCGACCTGCGCATGCTCAGATTTGAGCAGTTGATGGATCGCCGGCCGTTCCTTGTCAACGACGTGCTTCTGCGGCAGAACCCGAACAACGTCATCGAGTGGGAGAAGAGAGTGGCTCTCTGGGGTGACAACAAGCACGAAATCGTGCAGACCTACACCGCGGCCATCGCGGCCATCAACCCTAAAAAAGCCCATGGTAAGTTCTCCGAGCTGTGGGTCAACTACGCCAAGTTCTACGAGAACGGCGGCGATCTGGATACCGCACGAGTTATCATGGAGAAGGCCGTCAAGGTGCCCTTCAAGTCGGTTGCGGAGCTGGCCGAGACATGGTGTGAGTGGGCGGAGATGGAGCTTCGGAGTGAGAACTTCGACAAGGCTGTCGAGATCATGGCCAAGGCCACCCAGGCGCCCAAACGATCGACGGTGGACTACTTCGACGAGACCCTCTCGCCTCAGCAACGTGTACACAAGAGCTGGAAGCTGTGGAGTTTCTACGTCGATCTCGTTGAGAGTGTGTCCACGATCGAAGAGACAAAGATGGTATACGAGCGCATCTTCGAGCTGCGCATCGCCACGCCGCAGACCGTGGTCAATTACGCCAACCTCCTGGAGGAGCACAAGTACTTCGAGGACTCTTTCAAGGTCTACGAGCGGGGCCTGGACCTGTTCAGCTACCCCGTCGCGTTCGAACTGTGGAACCTGTACCTGACCAAGGCCGTCGACCGTAAAATCGGCATCGAGCGACTCCGCGACCTCTTCGAGCAGGCCCTGGACGGATGTCCTCCCAAGTTCGCCAAGCCTTTGTACCTCATGTACGGCAACCTGGAAGAGGAGCGCGGCCTGGCCCGCCACGCGATGCGCATCTACGAACGGGCGACGCGCGCGGTCTCGGACGAGGACCGCTTCGAGATGTTCGAGTTCTACATCACCAAGTCCGCCTCCAACTTCGGCCTGACCTCAACGCGCCCCATCTACGAGCGCGCCATCGCCGCCCTCCCCGACCAGGAGGCCAAGGAGATGTGTCTCAAGTTCGCGGAGATGGAGCGCCGCCTCGGCGAGATCGACCGCGCCCGCGCGATCTACGGACATGCCTCCCAGTTCTGCGACCCGCGCACCAACGCTGGCTTCTGGCAGAAATGGGAGGCCTTCGAGGTGCAGCACGGAAACGAGGACACCTTCAAGGAGATGCTGCGGATCAAGCGCAGTGTTCAGGCTCAGTACAAGTATGTTTGCCCCTGCTTCCTGCTTTAGTGTGCGTATAGCTAACCCGAAACAGCACCGACGTCAACTTCATCGCCTCCCAGGCTATCGCCCGCAGCCAGCAACGGACCCAGGACGGGGACAAGGTCCTCGCGGACGGCGACGAAGACGCCGCAGCCGCAGCGGAGCATGCCGACGCCATGGCCGCCTTGGAGAGACAGGCTCGCGCCCCGGTGGGCTTCGTGGCAGCCAGTACCGGTCCAGAGGGCGGCAATCAACCTCAGGAGCAGCCCGCTGCTGCTGCTGCTGCTGCCCCTGTCAACCCGGACGCTATCGATTTGGATGATGAGATGGACGACTAGTTTGTTGTTTCTGCTTGCCTAGCCAGCCCAGTCCAGCCCAGCCCACTTGCATAGATGAACCAACCACCCACCCCGTGAGACGAGATTCTGTCCTGCTTCACACAATCTACCAAGCTATTTATCCTCCTGTCTGTAGCTTCGTCCACGAACCAATCAGCCCACCCCACCCAAATCCCCCGAGACCAGCTATCTTTCTTCTTCGTGGTATCTAGCTATCTACCAACCTGTTATCTACCAATTTACCAACTCACCACCACCAATCCATCTATCTATCTAGCCCTCTTATCTCATTACATGCATGATATCCAATCCAGCTCACTCGAATGTACTACCTCCTGTCCCCTCTATCAACCTATAATCTACAACAATGCAATCAGTCATCCCTCCAGATAAATTCATCCTCTGCGCCTACATACAGCCTATAGGTAGACATTCCACCACCGTATCCATATCATATCCAAACTACAATTATACGAAGTCCCCGCATACCAACCGCTTAAATAAGCCAAACGCTGGGACATAAAATAAATCCTATAGTCTAGTCTAATCTATCCCATCTACCTACTTACCTAGATTATAGTCTGAATCAGGGTATACCTCACAAACTACCAGAGATATAAAGGTTTCCGGGGGAGAACCTCCGGAACCCCCCTTTCTTTCAGCTTCCTGGTTACCTCAATCCAATACCAGAGGGTTATAAGGATAGCCGGGGGAGAACCCCCGGACCCCCCCTCCTTTCCAACTTCCTGGTTACCTCACAGAGAACTAAAGGTATCCTCAACGGACTACGATAGCGATAATCACCACCGCAGTCTACGCAACCAAGAACACTCGAAATCATTTGAGAAAGCTTTACCCTTTCACAGCCCTGTACAATACTAACCACCTGGTAACAGATAAGGTAAGGGAAAGGTAAGGAAGAAAGAACTACAAAACCACCTCCCGAACGACCCCCACAACCGACTTCAACTCCCGATTCGGCCGCGTCCAGTCCTCCGTCTTGACCACCTCCGCCCCGGTCTCCATGTACAAGTACTCGGCTACGTGCGAGCGGATCTAACGTCAGTTAGCAAGCAGTTCCCTCCCTTATTAGACATAGACACAACAGCAAAAACCCAACCAAACCCCTCCCCCCACAATACACAAAGGCAAGGAAGAAAGAAAGAAGAACATACCCTCGGAAACGGATGCAAAAGCAACGCAGTCATCTTCTTAAGCACCTCGGCGTGTAACCCGCCCGCGACCCGCGACAAAGGCGCGTACACCCTGACAGCGGCCTCCAAGCGGGCGAGATTGGTCGTCTTGAAATGCGCCTTCTGAACTAGAACGAAGAGGCGCTTGAGAGTGCTTGCCACCACTTGCTCGTCCTGATTCTCAACCTCGAACCCATCGAGCAGGAACCCCAGGAACTCCAGTGCAGGGATCGCGTACCGGTCATCCTGGAGATTCTCTGCGAGAATCCCGCTCAAGTCTTGGATGATAGCGAGGAGGGGCGCGGTTTGCGTTTCTACGCGCGACGGCTGCTGTAGACGATGGGAATAGATACTCTCTACCAATGCTGCCCGAGTTGCGCGGATCAATCCTTCGTTCCCTGCTACCGCGGACGTCGCGAGTCCTTGCAGTAGTGGTTGCCGAAGCCAGGGGACAGTCTGCAGCTGGAGGAGTTGTCGGAAGTATTCGGTCGTGGAGACGTGGCTGAAGTGGTCGTATTTGCTAGTACTCGTTAGTCATCTTGCTATCTTCTTAACATCACCAGGGATAGGGGAGGGGATCTACTTAAGTAATGGAGGAAATCCAGGAGGGCCTGTTTCCCAAAATGCCTGGAGACAGAGCCAGGCTGCGATGCGGACCTTGTCGAGTTTCTCGGCCGCCAGCCGGCATAGACAGCCCACCACCGTATCCCGGGTACTATCGCTGTAAAGGATGTTGGCTGGGTTAGCACCACCAGCACCCAGGATAATCCCTGCTGCATGGATGGCCTCGAGGCGGACCAGGGAGCCCACGTCGCCGCGGCGGTCGGTGGTGTAGTCGTTTAGCAGGCCGATGAGGTGGTGCACTAGTTCATCGGTGATGTCTGCCGTACCAGGTAAATTAGCTAGGGTCGGTACAGCTGCACCAGGAAAGAAGACCTACCAATGTGCGGCAAGACACCGCTCGTCAGACTCTTCACGGCGGACACCCGCTTCTCGATCAACTCCTCCTTCTCGGCGCATCGGAGCAGAGTATCGACCACTGATCCACGTAAAGAACTATCCGGCTGCAACTGTCGGAACACCGCACCCAGAGCCGTGATCTGACCGCGGCCGGTGGGCAGGTTCCAGGTTGAATTGAGATGTGAGAACCACCTTTCTAAGATCTCCTGCTGCTTCTCCTCCGACAGGAGAGGGAACAGCTCCGACACTGCCCTGGACGAGGACTCGATCGAGACGTCTTCGCTGCGTGAGATGCATAGCAAAAGCACCTCGCGGACCTTGTCTAGGACACCCGACGACGGCCGCTGAGGTCGTGGCCCGGCTTCTATCACCGCCGAGCGAGAAAGCGAGTAGATCAGACACGAGGACGCCTCCGCAGTCAACTCGGGCCGGAACGTCTGCAGCGTTAGGTCATCCTTCGTGGGTCCGATAGGTAGACTGAAAATCTCCCAAACTCGATCTAACTGACTGGAAACAGCCAACGCATCAGGAACGTCTTCGCTCTCCACCTTCTCTCTCAGGTCGTTAAAAGCATTGACGGTGGCTGCAATGGCCAGAAAACAGCCATGCCTTGTCTCCGCGTCACCATGCGGAAGTCCATGCAGCCTCTCAATCAACCGCTCCAGCACCTGCTGCATCGTCCGGTAAGACCCCTGAGTACTCAGGGCTCCAATCGCCCGCGCCGCTTGCCTCCTCGACTCTGCGTCTGGCGAGCCAATCCCGCGCCAGTGCATCAAAGACTCCACCAAGGGACTCCAGTAGTGGAGATGGCTCAGCGCGGCCGTAGCACCCGCAATCTCATTCATCGCCCGGGAACGCCGCGCGACCGCATGGTAGTCCACAACCTGCACCAGCGATATGCCCTCCGCGATCGTGTCCGGATGACGACCAATCAGCTCCTGCAGGGCAGCAGATGCACCTCGCCGGATATTGCCCGAGGGGTCGACGCAGGCCGCGCAAACCAACTCAATAGCCAGCATCTGCAACGTGTTCTGCTCCCCCATGGCACGTGCACTTGGGGTACTGATTTCCTGGGTCTTCAGGTCGAGCAATTCCTGAGTGGTGTACTTTCGAGAGAGGGCCCAGATGCCGAAACACGCGGCATCGCGGACGCCGGTGCCAACGGAGCTTCCAGTCGACGACCTCTGCTCGAAATCCAGCCCCGAGACCAGAGGCTGAAGCACCTCTGGAAGCTGCCGCGTTGGAGGCGCACGGCGGAAGAGCAGGTGGCCGAGGGTGAGGATCAAGCCCTGCCATCTCTGCGCGTCCACGGCGCTCAGGTTCCGTTTGAGGGTATTCAGCCCGATGCGACGTGCGTCCAGGGGCGTCACGATCGTACCATCCGGCCTCTGATACAGGATATTCTCCTCCAATGAGCCGGTGACCGCCTCAATGACCTCGGAGGCCATGTCCGGGTCCAGTTTGAGAGTGATGATGCTCAGCGCCTTACTAGCCGCAAAGCGGACCGGAGTATCCTTATCAGCCAAAGACACGAGGAAGTGATCGATAGAGTCCTCGAGGATTGTCGACACCTCATCGTCCGTCAGCGCCGAGCTTGCTCTCTCACCAAGCGCCAGTGCCATGACGGTCAGCGCTCGGAGAATCTTGATGACGATCTTCCGCGCCAACGCCGACGACCGGATGACCTGGGCAACCTCCGAGCTTCCCTGTACAATCCGCAACGTCTGCTGGAAGACCGGCACAATCAAGGGCGCAAAGTCCTCCACTTGGCCTGACGCCGCCAAGCGCGCCAGGAACGACAACACCCCGATGCACGTATACACCGACACAGACGTAGTAGTAGTAGTAGGCTCCTTCCCCGCCGAAGAATCAGGCTGGAGCACCGCAAACGCCCACTGCGTCAGACGCCCCAGCAGCCCCAGCGCCTGCATATCGCGGCGGAGAACCAGCCGCGCCAGCAGAACCGTAGCGGCTTCCCGCTCCTTCCCGGGGACATTGACATAGGCCAGCGCCACGGACAGGAGCGATCGCGCCAGCGTCGGCGTCTGCTCCGCCACCGACACCGAGCCGAGCTGCGCGAGATTATCGTGCGGAACGGGAAGATTGTCGGAGGACAGATAGGTCAGGTCGAACGGCGCCAGCAGCAGATGCGACAGCCAAATCAGCATCACGTAGCGCTCTTCCCACACCAGCCGGAGCGGGATATCCCACGAGGCTGTCGCCAAGTCGGATGCATTGGCCGTCGCGCCAACGGCATCCCACTCGATGAACGCCCGCAGCAGGACATCGAGATACTTCGGCTCGTTGTTCAGGAACCGGCTGATGACTTTGACCCCGCGGACCTTGCAGAAGGTGTAGAGCAGTCGACATACCGCGCGGGGCAGCGGGTATGCGGATTGGAGAGGTTTCTTGGTGGAAGATGAAGAAGCCGCGTACTGGTCGCGGTACTTCAGCAGGTAGGCGAGAAATGCATCCACCAAGGGAGGGAGCAGCGTTTGCAGATGAGGGTCCAGTAGTTGCGGCCACTCCTGAAAAGGCTCCAGCTGTTTACACCGCGCTGATTAGTGACTTTTGCCCACAGGTTCCGAGCTTTCCTTTTCTCTTGGATTTGAGGTTGAAAAGAAGAATGTAGGTAATGCCTCATTCCTCCAAATCCACGTTGGAACAAATGTACATTGGGTATGACATACCAAAGCAACCAACCTCTCTGTCTTCGCGGCGGGCGTCCAGCGGCGTGGCACACGACTGCTTCCCTTCTCGTTCTCGGCTCGGGGCTTCCACAGCAAAGAGGGCAATTTGACGGAAAACTCGGTGACGAGATCTCCAGAGGCACGCTGGAGTTTGACCTCTCGGTCCTCGACCGCATCCATGATGAGATGGTCGAATTGCGATTTCTTAACGGTGGTGGGAAGTTTGTACAGTACTGTACTCCGTAGTTCCCGGCCCCTTCCTGTACACAAATGGAAGGCTTCGGCAGTTTCGATGGGGTGCGGAAGTCCGTGCGTGGAAGGTGGCAGAATAACCCAAGATAGTAGGCGGAGAGTGCCGAACCCGTACCATGAAATATCACGTGCTATGACTTCCCAACTCGGCCAGCTCCAGCCTCTCCACTTCTTTCTCTCAGCTCCCTCAGCTTCCTCTCCACCTTCTCTCCACCTTCTCTCCATCCTTCATCCATCCTCTATTCATCCTCGCTGGCCCTTTCTTCTTCATCTTCTCTCTGCATCATCATCATCACGTAAAGAAACTATTTGCTCTTGCTGTTCTCGCGGCCAGCCCTGCCATTCCTGTGTTCTCATAGGACTCTCCGGCTTCATACGTTGATTCTCGGACGAGGGCACGTGCTCGTTACCAGACCGCAAGAGCTTCTACCACTTTACTCTCATCGTTTCGTTATCATCTCCCTGCAGCGTCACTATCATCATCGTCCTGTAAAGGAAGGATCTGCTCTTGCTGTTCTCGCAGCCAGTCCTGTCATTCCTGTGTTCTCATAGGACTCTCCGGCTTCATACGTTGATTCTCGGACGAGGGCACGTACTCGTTACCAGACCGCAAGAGCTTTTACCACTTTACTCCCCTCTTCTCGTATTTATTCATGATCCCACTTATTATCCCGAGTCAGGGCTGCTCAACTCTGTTTCAAAGCCCGGGTGGGTGGGTTACTCGATCCATCGAGGGTGTTCGTTTTTGAATCCAGCGCGTATTGCAACAACACGATGACCACCACATCGCCAAACCCGCCTTGGGTCTTGAAGAAGAAGGCCGTTCTCGTTTCGACACCCGATGTGGAAGTGTCTTGTTTTGCTCGTCTTCGTATTGCTCATGATCAAATCGCCAATCAAGGATCCATCTCCCTGAGGATCACGGCGGATCTTGCTAACTCGAGCGGCAGGTCCCAGGTGCTGACGTTGAATGTCCCTCCAGAATTAGTCGAAGAATGTGCTTTAGCCCGGATAAGCAATGACACCCTCTGTTCATCGCGTTTGGTTTCCCTGCTCCGGGCGTCTGTCACCAGTGTTTCGGCCGTCTCAACACTGAGTCTGAGACTCGGTGCAACCGGTGTTGTTCTCTGTCCATCTGGGATGGAGTCTCTAAGCCCAGCTAATCCAGGCGACGCGAACTTCAACGCGTTTGCAAAGATCTGCCAATCCAAGTCCCTACGTCTACACTTCTCCAGGCGACAATTTGTGAACGATGAGCTTACTCGGCTGGATGCTTTCGCCTTGGCCCTGCAGAAAAGAAGTCTTCGGGCAGAGTCTCTTGACCACGCGCGTCATGGCGTGGTTTCGAGAGATTGGCGTGTCTTTAATCTGTCGCTCGATCCACCTCCATACTGTGAAGAGCCCATGTCTGAGCCGGTGCAGCAAGTGGATCCACCGCGATATTGTGAGGAAACCAAGTCCGAGCCGGCGGTTGGGAAGCGGCGCAGAGGTATCTTATCTTATAATCTCATCGCCTTATGTAGTAATTTCAATAGCTCATCAATAGTATCTACCTAGAAGACCAGGGGTCACTGCCACCCGACGAAGAAAGACGCAAAAGACTGCTCCTTGCATCCCCAGAACCGCTAGGCTCTCCCACCGAAGTCAACACACCGAGTACTCTCTCCCCATCACCGTCAACAGCCTCAATCCGCCCAACCAAGTTCACACATACTCCCTGCCCCAGCCGCACAGAGCGCACCATCCTCGCACGCCTGGAACACGAGCTCAGCGGCATATCCGACGAGCTAATCCGCAAAGTACTGATTCGAACCGGCCGCCAACACCTACTAGCCCACCCAGATAAGGTGGCAGCATCCAACCCCACAAAGGCCAATCCCAATCTCCTGGACCCCAACCTGAAAGAATACATCGACGCCCTCCTCACCCACCGCCTCAAATCCCACCTCATGGACACCCTCATCGACACAGCAGTAACTGAATGCCGCGACCAGGTGGCGGACGAACACAAAACCAACACGACGGAGCTCCGGGACCAACTCGACGAAAGCAACGCCGACGTCCGGAACACCGCCAACGAGTGTATCAAGGAAATGAAAGAGCAGGCCCAGAAGCACATGCAGGAGATCGAAGACCAGGCACAGCAGTGCATGCATGATATCGAGACCCAGCGTATCGAGGTCGAGATGGCGGCCGAGAAGAACGTCGCGAGGTTTCGGCGTTGGGTTGATAATGCGGCTTCTGCCCGGTCCGGGAATGCGGGCATTGCCAGACGGAGGTCGTTTTAGTTTGCGTTGGGTAACCGACCTATCCGTTCGTCGGTCTTTCAGCCGTGCAAGAGTATCTGAAACCCCCGCCCCCCGCCCCCGCCCCCGTACTTTCAACACCCTGAGCACCTCAACCTAAGCTGAGACTGGTTAGAGGATGGCCGGGGGAGAACCCCCGGACCCCCCTTTCTTTCAGCTTCCCAGCACCCTCAACACTATGACCAGATTATAAGTGTTTCCGGGGGAGAACCCCCGGACCCCCCTTCCTTTCAACTCCCTGGGCACCTCATTCCTAAACCCCGGGCCAACCCATAGTTACCCATGGGAAGACCCCCCAGCTTCATCTTCCTAAGCACCGCAGTCCAAAACCAAACAAGCATACCCATGATCCCACGCGAGATCAAACCAGACAAGATAGCCTTCGGAGAGAGGACAGTAAACCTAAATCTACGACCCACTCACCAGCACAGATCAAGTCAGATCAAGTTTCAGCAGACAACAGTACAACAGTACATACCAATGGAAGTTGCGCTGCACGGGACGGATAGAACGGAAGGGAAGGGAATGTATCGCATCTGGTTCTTTCGGATACATCCATTGAACGAACCTCTACGAAGTTTGCATGGAAACACGCTGAAACTAATTCAATAAGAATAAACCCCACCTACCATCACTTCAGGCCTAAAATAAAAAGACACTAAGTTAGTAGTTCTCATGTAAGGTAGTTATATTCAGGTGCAGCGCAAGGACAACTAGAATTCAAACTTAAGAAATGAATAGCATTGTAAGAAGATGCATAAAGACAACATTCTGAAGAAACGAGCCAACCCCTTTAAAAGAATATCTGCTAAGCACATAAAGACCAGCCAGCCAGTAAAGAACAGATGAAAAGAACCCGAAATAGAAACCAAATGCCATCCATGAATTGTACTGAAAACCGAAAAAAAAGCACGAATAATTCAAAGGTAACGATATCCCCGCAAGATAACACCATTTGATTGAAAAAACCACAACTCCCCATGCAACAACAACAACAACAACAACAACAACAACAACAACAACAACAACAACAACAACAACAACAACAACAACAACAACAACAACAACAACAACAACA